GGTCCGGAGGGGGGGTGGTCCAAGATGTGGGCCTCCGACTTAGTTTTGGTTGATTAGGAATGGGGTTGCAAATGGCGGGGCTTTTCATGGGTGGCGGCTCAATACAGAAGAGCAATACGAGGCCTGATCCAGATCGTTGTCGTATGGATGACCATTCACCTTTAGTTGTTCAGTCCGTGCTTGTGTTTTGTCTGATACAGCAGTGATTACTTCTGAAAGACTGTCATAGTTCGTTCGGGAAGGCCCGCGAGTACTCGATCGAATGGCGTCTGGTCTGCGGAATGATGTTGGGTCACTCAGAAATGTAAATCTTCTCATACCTAGTACTTAAGAGACGCCGAACACATTGAACCCGTAAAAGCAACCCTCCATATCAACTAACAGTTAAGTTGGCCATCCGGAATAATCCGCCGAGAGCCATGCCGCCCGCGACACGAACTCGACAGTTTAGCCCACGTCTTGCCGATATAGCCCTCACCCAAAACCAGCACCAAGTCCTGGCACACCTGGAGTAAATAAAGGTGGTGGCTGCGTCTGACCAAAAGCGGCCCATGGAAGACTCTGGTTCACGCTCAATATTTCACTACTGAGGGTGGTCATCATCTCAGAGAAGAAGACCTTGTCCCCTTCCATCCATTCGAACGTTACCGCCATGACCGCCTCATCAGGGGAATCCAAAACGTCGTGTACCATGTGAAATGATACTTTCTTATTGGCGCCCAACACACGAACCTTCTTGGCGCGACACCGGTGCCGTGCGTGAGTGTAAGACCCCTCAAGAGTTCCAACCTCGACATCGAGTCGCCTCAGCACCTTTTCGTGTGACATGAGCACGTCTTGCGGCGCCATATGGCGGTCTGGAATCCCAATGTAGGAGACAAGGACGCGCTCTCCGATGAGCATAGGTGCGAGCCGCCGCTGAATGTTGGAGACCACATGCTTTGGCAGCGTGATGCCGCTCGAGTCCAGCTGCAGGGCTAGGCCGCCTGGACTGGGCCTAGCGGAAAGGCGCATGACACAGCCGTCATCTTCACAGTCAAGCACAAGTATATCTGGACCCTTCTGGACCGTTTCGGTGGAGACTGACAGGAAGTACAAAACATCTTCCACGTCTGCAAAGGTTTTGTCCCAAGACTTAGATGTGGGCAGAACCAGAGTAGTCGATGGCGTTGGCTGAGACGGTATGAAGGAGTACATGGGAGAATACGAAGACGGAAGGGATCTCATGGTGGGTTGGAACGGAGGTTCAAGGAAGCCGGGGGCGTTTGGCGTGGGAAGGCTGGCCCACGGCCAGCTCCCAGATGATGGGGGATCTTGCAACGAACTGGCTTGCTGCCCAACGTCTGATTTGGCCAGCCATGCTCGATGCCGAACTTCGTTAGCGGCTTGTGAGTTCCCGAGTCCATCGAGCGCATCTGCTAGAATCTCCATGGTCTGCTGAACCGTGTCGTCTGCCAGCGAGGCTCCCTCCGAGATCTGCTGATCAAGGAGGACATGGCATGTTCTTTCCGCGCTTTCGAAATCTCGTACCTCCATGTAGACCTGGGCTTGGCGGCATATAGCAGAAAAGGCGTCTGTGAGGGAACCTCGCTGGGTGAGTTCGTTGAACATGAATTCGTCGAGCTCGTCATCGTCATCGGGAGCCAAAGCTTCTTGTCTTGGGTCTCTAGAACTGGCAGCGGACGCCGGTCGGGAATGAGGCGGGCTCGAAGAACGAAGCCGATTGGAGGCTAGTAGCAGCTCCCCCTCACTTTCGTTCGAGTCTAGTTTCTGACTTTGTGCTGGATTAGGCTCGGGGGGGCAAGAAACCTTTTTCTGCCACATATCCCCAACCTTTGCAGCCAAATCGTCCATAGTGATGGAAGAGCTTTCCGGCACACTGCCCAATCGAGATTTGCCGACGCGAGGCTCGCCGGCTGGAAAGGCTTGTTTCAATTGCTGGGAGTTTTCCCATTTCTCCGGGGCACTTTGCAGTGCCTCTTTCAGAATGTTGGCTATATAGGGGTAGGGCCCGTTCTGGCCTCTTCGAATCTTGACCATCTGCGAGTGGTCTGCGTGTACAGGGCGTATGGTCTCGGTCTCGCAGCGCAGCCGAGCAGACTGCCTGCTGACCATCATTTCTTGCTCGCCGCCTCGCTGCCATTTGCCGTCCACTTGGACGACGGTAGGCGTTTCGTGATTCTCCACGAAAGAGTAGATCTTGATGGAGTTAGCAATCCTAGAAAAGCTGTCGGCCAAGCCTTCCAAAACAGCTGAGTCGACTCGAAGATCCCTAATCAAGTTCTCGTTTGGTTGGCCCTTGACCATGACTTGCAATGCCTTAATGTTGAGACCTCCATGAGGAACGCCAAAGAACAAGATAGACCTCACAGGAAGTCTTAATAGAATCTGCGGTTTGAGGTCCGCCAAGGCCTTCTTGATAATCAAACCGCCGAGGCTGTGGCCGATGAAGATGATAGGTCTGTCGTGCATGGCTGGGTGACTGCGGATGCCCATCAGATCTTGCATGAAACAATTGCTATAGTCGCCGAGGGAGCTCTGGCTGCGGCTGCCCTGGAGAGCTGAAGGATATCCGTAGATGAGTATGCGAGCTTTCTGTTGGAGATCTTTGGGTAGGTAGTCGAGTAGCCACATCTGGCCCCTTGAGTTGACCCACGAGCCGAAAGCATGGCCACTTAACCCTGTCACGGCAATGATGCTGTTTGATTCTGATTAGTATGTCGAAGATGCTACCACGGAATGCCTGGAGGGTGCATACTCTGCCGCCACGTTCCCTTCTGTCTCATTCAGGGGAGTGAAGCCACAGAAGTCCTTGTCAAGCTCGATGCCATTGGCATCGGCATCAAGCCTTGGAACGCCTTCTGATTGATACTCGATTGTCGCGGTGTGCTCGTTGCCGTCCGGATCCGAGATGCTTGGGACGAACGACCTGATGATTACGCGACTCTTATCATCGCTGTGAAAGCATTTCAGTAATTCCTCAGGGGTGCTATAGTCGCATGGAATTTCGTCAATCCGATAGGTCAGGGATCTGACCGTTCTGGTTGATATTGTGTGGTTCATGCTCACATGCAGGGAAAGACGGAGGGTAGTTTGGAAAAGAGGGTAAAGATTAATGGGCGAGAGGACAGTGTGGTAAGTGCGAATGATTGTTCTTGGGAGGTGAGCGAGGACACAAGCGGAGATTTATAGTAATGATGCGCAGGGCAGGCCAAGAAAGACGTCTACCTCTCACGCTGCGAATCGAACGCCGGCTAATCTTAGATCAGGCTGTGAAATGTCAACTGGGCGGTAAAGAGCCATCTGCACTGTCGTATCAGGCCTTGCCAGCGCATTTCTGACAGAAAGTGATATTTTTATTGGCTTGCCGCCGCGGTCAAGATTCTGGGGGCCGTAGCCTGATGATCGATGAGGTTCAGCTGGCGTCACAAAATCAAAATGCCAAGACCCGATTATCCAGTACAAATTCAGAGCTGCACACCATCATTAGGAATCAACTTGACAATTCCTGTTTCGGTGCTACCCCAAAGCTGCTGCGCCCAGAAGGGGGGCGCTTCCTGAACTGTTAGGCTACAGCAAAAAGCCATGGAACCTAGAAAAAGGGTAGGAATCGATTTGCAACCTTTGGCTAGATATCTAGTCGCATAATGGTGGCTGTCATCGAGGGATGCCACGGGCAGCCTGGAGTGATGGGAATCGGTTGAATTCTGCATATGTAGGCGCCAGGCAGTGACGACATGAGGGCCAAGCACTGACAAAGGTCCAAGACCAATATATTACGATGAACAGCATAAGAAGACACGAGCACGCAGAAGCTCCTACCTGATACGGCTGAAGCTCTCTCTCTAGAGTAGAGAACTGAATCGCATATATGGCAGAGATTTGGGCGGCTACAAGGCGAGTGAGGCATTGAAGCACGCCACCATCATTGGTTGCCTTGTTGACCGTAACCACAGGTCTCTCAACGGTCTGCCTAGACTAAGCCGCCACTTTCTATCTCAGGTGGTGATTAACCTAGAACGAGCGAGAAGCATTTTCGTGTGTCACTTTGTGGCACGAGTGTGTAACCATCGGGAGCTGTTGTGACAGCACTCTTGCATGTTAGACTACCCCGTTGGTGCTGCCCACCCGTCCTTAAAGTCATGGCGTTGCCCAGACCCCTTTTTCTCAAGCTCATTCACAGTTGTCTGGGTATATCCCTCATAAACTCGGTCACCCAAGTAGTACTGGTCAGCTCCAGTCTAAAATTGCCGATATGAACTCGTCAGCCGTTCAACTTCTTGAGTTGAGGCATTCCTCTGAGAGGCCTGGTACTCCAAGGAGTCCTCCTCTGTACGGCTCCAATCACAGCAATGAATCGGCCAGGACAATTTCCAGCACTTCTGAGAATGAGGCACCAGGACGCGTGCAGTCTGAGTCGCCAACACGAGTTGGATCACCTCCTGAGTCACCTGGCTCCCGTCAATCGCGGGCGGAATACACAGAAACGCAACGCCCAAAACATGGCTGGTTGTCTTTTAGTCGCGCGAATGATGCGTGGACATATGAGATTGCCAACATGATATTGAGCACGGTTTGCCTCGGAGTTATCGTGGGCATTCTATCTGGTGTCAACGGCAAGGCTCTGTTATCTTGGACACTACCTATCCAGCCTAACTCGCTCATCTCGATTTTCGCCGTTATCACCAAAGCTTCACTGGTGTTCCCAATGGCTGACTGTGCCAGCCAGCAAAAATGGATGCTCTTCAGTGGGAGTCGGCCGAATAGCCTCATTCGATTCGAACAGTTCGACGGTGCTAGCCGGGGGCCATGGGGGTCATTATTACTTTTATGGCATAGACGGCTCGAATCACTACCTGGCTCCATTTTGGCTTTTCTGACAGTCCTAGCCCTTGCTATCGACCCTTTCGCACAGCAAATCATCCACATTTCAGAACGCACAACTCCAGACGATGGGGCTTCTGCTTCCACGTTCCTGGCGCCAGCTTATAATTCTGGCCTGGTGACTTATCGCACTACACCTGGTGAGCCCTCCACGTGCCGTACCGGACCCGAACTCGCTTTAATATGAAAACAGCCCAGCTCATAGCTCCGGGGATGCAAGGGGCAATATTGATGGGGGTCTACGGTCGACCGTTGGGCTGGCCCTACACTTGCTCGACAGGAAGCTGTACCTATCCCGAGATATCAACACTGGGTGTCTGTGGCTCTTGTCAGAACGTCACTGCTCAATGCACCGTTTCCATTAGCCAGGATACTGGCAGTACGGTAAATTGGAAAAATATCACCACTCCGGGCAGCTTCAATCTATCCACCAAAGTCGTAAATGGTGGAGTCCGAGCCCATTGGAAGACGACGCTCACGTCGTCAGCGAGCTTTTATCTCCAGAGTCTTAAGCAGCCAGGACTGGTGAACTTTGCTACATGGAAAGAATCAAAGACCGATACCTGGCAGCAAAATGGGACCACTCACGAATGCAGGCTCGAGTTTTGTGAGCGAACGTATGCAGGATTCAACGTCACCAATGGGACTCCAGTCACACCCACCATCTCAGAGACTGGGCTACGCTGGAATGGCCAACACTATGGCGACAATGCTCACTTATGAGCCTATTCAGACAGATTCCGGGAGCGGACTAACGTACAACATCAGCAGTAATGATGTGACGGTGATATCGAAAACATTGAAAGATCTGTTCACCGTGACAAACTACTCTGAAGATGCCACGCTAGACGATGAGGACGCTGGGGGGTTCGACATCTCTGGTGCAATGTATGACGAGGACTTGGGCAAGCTTGTTGGGCTGGTCGCGCAGAGCATGACTTGTTATATTCGCGACATGAACTCGACAAAGATCCTGGTGCCCGGGACGGCGTTTCACCGGGAAGCCTATGTATCTGTACGCTGGCCTTGGCTATCACTTCCTGCAGCACTCGTGGCATTTGGAGCCATGATGTTAGTCTGGACCATATGGTTCAATAAAGTCCGGTCCGGCCCTGTTTGGAAGTCGTCGAGCTTGCCAGGCATACTGCATGCTAGGGCCGGAGATCAGGCTTCGTCAGATGTGCGGGACTTGGAGAAGTTGAGCGGGATAAGTGATGAAGCAGAGAGGACTCAAATGCGGCTGGTGCGGAATGAGGTTGGAACACTACGACTCAATGTGAGAGGAAGTGATGATTGATCTTGACGTCCGGCTCTGTGGTGGCTCGTTGAGGCTCTGGAATTCGGGTGACGGCGACTTCTCTTTGTGGATTTGGATCTAATAACTAATCATCTGTCTGCCTACATTACCTTTACATAATACCTTCTCTTGAGGCACATGCTCCATCGGTGATCGAACCATACAACTATACCGAACAAATGAGGTTTCAAATCTAGTTTCATCAAGTCATCGCTGGACGTATAGTAAGACATGCCAGGGTCTCCTCATTTCCGGTCCTAACAACCAACCTCAGCATCAGCACTTTCTCCACAGGATATGGTCAGAGCCGAGCAGGGCGAGGGCGGACCCTGCATTCCGGCCGTCGCGGCATACGCGGCATCCAAGATCGTAGCGCTACGTCACGCAGGGACTAGAGTGTCACACGAGCAGCCGGCCCTGAACGTCATGCACCTGCACCCGGATTTCGTGCTGGGCAGCAACGACGTGGCCGCCACGGCGCGCAGCGTCAAGTGCCTGGGGGGCACCAACTCGGTCATGCTGACCATCCTGCTGGGCAAGACGATGGGGCCATTTGCCGGCGCCAGTGCCCACGTCGACGACGTCGCGAGGGCTCATGTCGCATCGCTCGACGCGTGGGCGGGTCCCTGGTGGGAATAGTTACATTCTGGGCCGGGCGGCGTGTTGGGCTCGTGCCAAGGAGGTCGTGCTCGGGGTATTCCCCGAGACGTAGGAGCCGAGGCTGCCCGTGTCTATGGTTGAGATTCCCATCGATGTGAGTCTCTCACGGAGGGGATTCTCGGGATCGAGTTTGCCTGTTTGAAGAGCAGGTCAAGAGTGTGTCCAGATAGTTTCTGGAGCTGCTGTGTGTCAGCCAACACAAGCAGCAAAGCAAAGCCGGATTTCCATGGTGGTGGACGGAGAGCAAACGAGTCAGGAGAGGGTGTAAAACTGGTTATAGTTAATATGCTTTGAAGAACGCATTGCGCGGCGGTTTCAGGAGGCCTTGGTCCACAGTGTTTCTCGTAAGTGCCAGTCATATCATGGCAGCCTCCCCAGATATATTGATTGATTTATCATGGGCAAATCGCATCATGAAAGTGCCGGAAAGATTTCCGTAAGCAAGATCCACGTGCAAACACGCCCCGTCACGCTGACTGGTGGAGCGCTCGAGAACTTGGAAAATAAGCGACCCTGGTGACATCGGCTGCCCTATCACGGACTGGTGTCGTTCGTGTTGGCAGTAGCGCGCATAGCCAAGCGAGCAGAATTGTTACCGGGGGCCGTCTTTGCCCAAATCTTGGTCTACCTGGGCATGCCCACATTCCCGTGCCTCGCTTCTTTCCACTTCATGTACTACAACCAAGCGGCTCCCCCCCACCCATGAAGGAAATCGCCGTATAAGGAAATGTTGCAAGGGACCTCAAATAGGCACAGGGACACACTTACACCTCTGAAACAGATGGTCGAACACACCTTCTGCATGCAGCCTTTGAGCAATCCTTCGCCCTAGAGACGATGAGTACTACCACGGCGACCATCACCGTTACCACCATGACTCTGCCCGGCCCCGCTGGCACGGCTCCACCGCCGACGCCGACGCCGTCGTCGCAGACCGGCACTGGCACTGGCACTGGCATCGGCGCCGCCGCCGCCGCCGCCGAGCAACATCACCAACTCCGGCAGGACCCCGAGCAGACCTTCACTCTGTTCCCGGACCTGCCCGCCGAGCTGCGCCTGCGGATCTGGGACTTCTCCCTGCAGCCCCGCGTCGTGGTCCTGCACACCCGCAAGGCGCACTACTCGGACCCGGACAAGCAGCCGGGCAGCGTCGCCCTGCCGCCCTGGAAGAGCAGCTGCCGCAACCCGGCGGCGCTGTACGCCTGCTCCGAGTCGCGCTCCGTCGCCCTCGAGCGCTACCCCGTCACCATCCCGCTGCCCGGCGAGGGCAACCGCCGCCCGCACGGCCTGTACCTCGACCCGGAGCGCGACACGGTCGTCGTGCTCGGCGACTTTGACGTCCAGCGCCTGCGCAAGCTCAACGACGTCATTGAGATGCAGCAGCTCGAGCTTGAGCCGCTGCGGAGGCGCTACGACGCATACGACGGCCCCCTGTCGGAGAGGCTGGGCATGAAGCGCGCGGGGCTGAGCGCCGCCTGCTTCACGAGCGAAGGCTCCGGCGCCATGCTCGCCGCCTTTGGGCGCACCGCCCTTAGGAAATTCGACGAGGTGGTTCTCGTCCTGCATTTCGAGCTGACGCCTCCCTCCTGGTTCACCCGTGGGTCATGTTCCCTGGAGGAGTGCACGCCGGATAATTTTCAATATCAACGCTTCGCAGAGGGCAAAGGGAGGAGTCTCAGGGCGGGTTCTGGCTGGATGGTCGTCGGCAAGAACCCGCTTAAGTTGCGAGACCTGGTCTTCAAGCAAGACGGGTGGTGAGAGGTGTCCCGTGTTTCCGCGGCGGCCTATCGCATCTCTTGTACATTATCATGCAGCGGATCTTCTTGTTTGTCGTTTCTTGGGATACTTAAGGAAAGCCGGACACGGTCGGTCCTGGTTTATGTTGGTATAGCGTAGTCTAGATCAACAGGTATTGTACATCATTTTTACAGTTGCTCTCGGGCCCAATAAAACGCTTCATGCTGATATTCTCTTGAGTATCCTCTCCCTGACGACTCTGCTGGCCACTTCCGCGCCGGTCTGCAGGGACACGGCCCCGACGATCGCGAACATGGTGGTGGTAAGGACGACGGTCAGACCAGACGACTGGAGATTTTCGGGCTGTCGAAAGAGTCCCGTTAGCACATCTCCTTCCGCCAGAACAGATCGAAAACTCTCATGCGACTCACCAGCCGTGGTTTCCACCGCAGGACACTGTGCAGGCCAACATCTGCGGCCAGCTGTGACAGCTTCTCCTTCGACACAAGATCCTGGGGTTGGTGTACTGCAAGCTTGTCGACATTGGCGAGCGCGGGATGCTCGAAAGGCTCGCGGCCGTACGGGTCCTCAAGCTTAGCATCGGCAGTGGCGGGTGAAGCCAGAATCGAGCGAGTTGCCTCAAGAGCGATGATTTGACGCCCTGTCCCAAGTTCTGTCAGTTTTGGAATCGGGCAGTGCTAGAAGGACAGAGCGAGACCTACCAAAGAACGCAAGTCTTGTGTTGAATCCTCTCCTGCCTCCGTCGAAGCTCTTATGTGTCACGGCCAACCACTTCAGCTCGTCGGGGAGAAGTTGGGCCACGTCCTTGCCGAGCAGGCGCTCGTACATGCGCTCCAGCTTCTCCGGGTCCTCATTGACCTTCCAAATTTGGCGCTTAGGATCCTTCACTACGTTAATCGAGAAGGGTGCCTTCATGCCCTCGGGCGTGTACGCCCATCGCGGCTGGTCTTGGGACGGTGACGCAGCTGGGGATTCGGGGGTTTCATTTCTTCGGGTGACGGTGGTGGAGAAGGAGCGCGTGCACTGCCTCAATCCTGAGGCCTTGCATTGCCTCGATACGACTCGAGATATCCGGAATGCCTGCCTGGGGACCGTGGACGCCATCTTTGCGGCAGTTGCGGAGAAATGGTCGTTGGTAGATGAAGTAGCACTTCGGAGAGAGCTTCATGATATTTTTTGCGGATCCTTTCTGCCAAAGCCAATTCAGCACATGACCACGTGATGGGCGATAAGATAACTGCATTGTGCGCGTCGAGACCACTTTCCTCTCTGGGCTACTCTGTCGCATCGCTAGTCCCCTGTAAAACAAGGGCCAATTTAGCTCAATTAGTGCTAGACCTGCCGTCATCTGCACCTTTGCGGGGAAGCTGGAACCTGTACCTAGTGTCTGTCCTTGGGAGAGACGCGACAGAAGCGTGACGCAAAGGACACCTCCAGAGAAGCTGAGACAAAGCAATTGACGATCCCTTGCCTCAACTTCAAAACTTCAGCCATTGCCTGATTGCTTTGCTGCAGCACGCCATGCCACATCTCTTATCTCTCTGAGCCATCTCAACCTTATTGGAGCTGTCGCCATGGCAAAGACACTCTCAGTCGCGCCGAAGCAGCCGCAGAGCTGCGCAGCTCTGCTTGAGAAGCTGTCGTCCGTCCTTCCTAAGGGCCACCAATTCGGCATCTACCACCTCTCAACACCCCCGACCAAGACCGATGCGCTCTGTCATCCTCCACCCGACCAGAGGCCAGACAGAACATACTGCGAAAACCATTTCCTCGCCGTCACGATCAAGTCCGAGTCCAAGCCGTCCAGCTCCGAGCCGCACGCTGATTGGCGCCCTGTGATCGTCCTCGCCCTCGAAATCTTCATCTTCACCACCGCCTACTCGAGCATTTTCTTCGTATCAAAGGCCGACTCTACCGGCTACCTCCACCTCCTGAATCTCCCCAAGGGCACACCATCTCCGATCCGCGAGGTCAGCTCCGCCTTCCTCGCCTACCTCATCGACAAGCGCCGTCGCAAAGGCATCCAGACCACCGTCAACCTTTTCGCTCGAGCGCAAGATCAGTACCTCTTCCCAGGCAGCATTAAGAATGGCGGGAAGCACGTGCTGGACGACAGGGGCCTCGTCAAGTGGTGGTGCCGGGTGCTGGACCCTCTGCTCGAAGAGCAGCAGCAGAAGCAAGGCTCGCCGTGGCAGGTAGTTAAGGGCTACCTGCTCATCCCGGGCCTCGATCATTACGAGACACGAGCTTTCATACCGCGCACGGCGACCAGCGCGGCCAACTGGGTTCTCGGCCACCCCCTCGAGAAGATCTCTCACTATTGCCAGGAGTACGACTGGGTACCTCCGCGATGCCTGATCCCCAAGTACCCCGACGATCCCAAATCGCGATATCGTGATGAGCTGGACGAGGAGGCGTCGAACAAGGAGCAGAACAGCGGGGCTTGGAGGAGCGTCAAGACTTTGGAACAGTTCTGGGAAATGATGTCCTTTCGACAAGAGTGCTCGAGCGGCCGGATGACGGGTTTCATCTGGGTTGTATTTGATCCAAAAGATGCTGAGGTCAACAGAGGACGTGTTGGGGGAACGCCTATGCCCAATGGAACTCCGGATCAAGCACCACCAGGCACGCCATCGAGAAACCGACATGCGCTCAGCTCCGCGACACCAAAGTCCAGTCCCAAGAAGACGTTTGGATCTCCATCCAAGCAGGCGGACCTTGGCAGGGTAGAACAAAAGAAGAAAGCAAAGGATAAGAAGAAGAAAAAAAAGATCCTGAAAGGTCCAATCATACCTCGGCAACCGCGCATCAAGACCCGGCAGCGCAACTACCTCGTCGACCGCCCGGTCTCGTCAGCATACTACTACTGGCCCGCCGAGGGCCGAGGCCAGAAGATCGTGGACGAATCCGACTACAAGCGGTGCACAGAGCTGCTCCTAAGGCTTGACTTTGCCACGCTGGACAAGGCGGCTGGGAGCACGAGGCGCTGGATCGAGGAGGTTGGCATGGGGTCGCAGTGGGGGCTCGACGTGCAAGGGAAGATGGAGATGCCTCCGGCCGCGCAGGGCAGCGGTACTGCCGCAGGTGTGGTCAACAACCTGTCTGGACTGGTGAGGAAGAAACCCATTGAGGGCAGTGAAGGACAAGGTCAAAACGGCGCTGGCGTGAATATGCTTGGTGCGGGACTCGTCAGAAAGAAGAGAAAGGAGAGCACTGACGGGGCTGAGCCAAACACTGATGGCTCGTCCCATCCCGCCCCGTCCACAGCTGAGGAACCAAAGGTGAACATGCTTGGTGCTGGGATGGTCCGGAAGAAACCCAAGTTGGCATAGGCTTACTTACAGGCTTGGTGATTGGATTGGCGTCTTGGCGGAACGGGATTGGTACGGGTTCTCAAGAGTATTCTCTCGAGAAGAATAAGGTGCTTGGGAATTGTGTGAGGAATTCACAGGAGTACACTGGATTGTTGCGGTCTGATACCAAAACGCGAAGAGTTGCTCTCGCGATCCGCATCAAGGGGCGTTAGGATAGTGCAAGTTTATAGGCTTGTATTGAAGAGAACCAATATCAAAAGAAAACGTTGACTCTATGACCAAACCAGGCGTTGAGGCGTGGTATCTCTGTATGTAGGTAAAAGTAACTCCGGCTCCCATCTAGACCTGTCTTTTTTGTGTCACCGTAAATCACCAACCCCAATCCATATCTATCCCGTGTCCCGGAGATCAAAATGATACAACTGCAGCGTCTACAAGGCGAACGAGGTTCGTTCACATCACCTCTTCTGCCGCTTGGCGTCCCGCGCGTCGCCGTTCTGGTCCGCCAGGCTCCGCAGCTTCTGCTCCACGAGCTGCCTGGCCTCGAGCAGGAGGACCTTCTCCCCGAGCCGCACCTCGACGGCGTCGCGCAGGCGGCTGTCCCCGGCGGCGACGGCCTGGTCGAGCAGGACGCGGTCCTGGTCCGCGCTCGTCTCGTACTCGGCGAGCCGGGCGTCGAGGGCGGCCTGCGCGGCCGTGAGGTAGATCTCGTCGCGGCGGGTCTTGTCCGGGACGGACTCGGGCCGGACGTGCTTGACGGCCTTGAGGAGCATCTTGACCTGCTCGTCCATCTCGTGGGGCAGCTCCGTGAGCACGGCGGGCTGGCCGCTGGCGGCACCGGCGGGGAAGAGGCCCGTGGAGTCGGCCTCGTCGAGGTTGCGGTCGAGGATGAAGCTGTCCTCTAGCTCTTCGGGTTCGATGGAGTCGGCCTATAGGTGGGTGGAGGTTAGTACAAAAGCCTAGCGGTAGATAGGAGCTATAGGGGTCGTGGTGATGGGCATGAACGTACGATTTGTGTCCATTCTTGAGGGGAGAGGTTGATGAGCGACTTGAGGGACGCGAACACCGAATCCCATGACAGCTCGGCCACATCGTAACGGTGATGCCGGGACGTGGTGTAGCCATATCTGCGGAGAAGCTCGCTGTTAGGCAGCGGGCCGTAGTAGTTGAGGATCTCCTCGCCGGCCTTGATAGGGCGCAATGCGGTAGCGGTCAGTGCGTCCTCTCCGTGGTTGATGTGTGCCTGTGATGCGAGTCAGTTCCAGCTGAAAGCGTCTCATGTATAGTCAAGATTGTCATTCTTACGTTGAACTCGGCATCGGCATTCAGGATATCCGCCATGGGCACCATGCCCATCGTAGTCTTGCCCTCCCTGTCCTCAACCCACTCATCATCCTCATCCTCTCCGCCCCTTTCCTCGTCCTCGTCCTTGTCGAGGTCAAACGCATAGGCCATGATGGTGCTGCCCATCCGGTGAGCGAGAGCCAGGAGCTCGTCCTCACTGAGCCTGGCGCCGGCCCCGGCGTAAAAGACGTCGGCGTGCTCCTGCACGACGGGCAGGATCTTGCTCCTGATCATCGAGTCGGCCTCCTCCTTGCCGACCTTGGCCAGCACCGAGCTGGCCTGGAGCTGCCGCAGCTGGTCCTGGGACCAGAACATGAGCGTCTCGAACTCGGTGGGCAGGACCTCGAGGTAGGGCTTCCAGGGCGAGGCGTCGCCGCGCAGGTGCTCGTAGATCATGATGAGGATGAGCGAGGTCCACGAGTCCTGCGAGCGGTCCTCGTGCTCGTCGTCGGCCTCGCCATCCTCGGTGGCGTCGGCCGGGGGCGCAAAGACGGCGGGCAGCTGCCTCACGACCTCGGAGGTGGAGGCGCAGATGATGCTGCTGCGCGGGATGGTGAAGAGCACCGTGTCGGGCTCGATGTCGGCGGTGGCGACTGCATTAAGGTGTGGCGCGTGTGTGTGAGCTCTGATCATTCATGGAAGTGTCTTGGCGGGTGTATGTGTGGCTTTTAAGCTTACCTATGCCGCGTCCAGCGTGCCGGGGCCGCAGATCCGCTATCCTGATGTGATCATGGAAGGTCGCGCCCGGCAGGGACTTGAACCAGTCCTGGAAGGCCTGCGACTTTTGCGCAAACGCATCCATCTTGTCTGCAGTGGTGATGGACTGACGTGCTGGGGTTTCCGGCGCTTTTTTTTCCGTGTATGAGAGAGGAAAGTTTGGTCTCACCTCACTCAACACGCATAGATGAGAAGGGATTGAGAGACACGGGTACCTGCGAGGGAAAATGCTTTGGGCCAAGTTACCTCAGAGCTAGCCTGTATCGCGTGCTTTGCTATGGGCAGACGATAGTGTGCAAGTAGTTTTGGCGGCCATTTCCTGAGCTGAAAGTCTGCTCCGAATTTTGCTCTGATGCAGTGGGTGGCTCGTGCTTTAAAGTGGGCAAATGTCTTGGCATTATTCCCGTTTCTGGCCAAACAGCTTTGCGGATTTTCGGCAGTTCCCTGACGGCCAATACTGGCCATCACCTGGATAGCTGCAATTTGAACTCTTGGGCTTCGAGTTGGTTGTCGGATTGGACGACAGAGCACGAACTGTGTGTTGGTTGCTCAGACTTGGTCGATAATCCCATGCATTTTGACAGAAACAACCTTCCAAGAATACAAAATCTGTCCACACAGTTGGGAGTTTATGGTCTGGGAAATTAAATAATCCGCCCTCTGATTCAGAGACCACCCCTTCTGAGAACCAATCATTACCATGGAAGAAGTCCAACCTTCTCCACGATCTTGCCCGCATCAGCATCTCTATGGCCCTCGGCCACGCGCAGCAGTCTCTGCCCACCCTCGCTGGGATGGGTCGCGCCCATCTCTTCATATATCTTCCCTTTCAGTCCTCCCAGGTCCGTGTTACAGAGGCCGGGGCTGACGCTGAAGACCTTGATCCCGTCCGCCTTGAGCTTGTGGTTCCAGTCGAGCATCAGCATGCTCAAGGCCGTCTTGCTGCAGCGGTAGCCTATTGGGTCAAAGTCGATCTTCTTGGGCCACCCGGCTGGCTGCGGCGGCACGGGGAAGTAAGACTCGGCAGCCTGGGTCATCTGCGACAGGCCGGCGACGAAGAGCAGCCGAGGCTCCTTGGCCTTCATGAGCAAGGGGACAAAGGTCCAGGTGACGACGTTGGTGCCAGCCACGTTGACATCGTAGGCCTTGTTGAAGGACTCTCTGAGACCCATCGTCCCTTGCTTGAACTCAGTGTCATATGCGGCACCTAAGTAGCATACGTTAGAATGCCTCCTTTATAAGATCTATTCAACATTGGTCTTACCAGCATTATTGACAAGAACATCGAGATGACCATGGGCCTTCTTCACAATCTCAAATGCCTTCTCGATCGACTCATCACTGCTGACATCAATCTGGAGCAGCTCGACCGTGTTGGTTGAATCTGGACATTCGGCTTTGACCTTTTCAAGGGCAGCAGCACCCTTCTCGAGGGTCCTGCTGCCGAGATAGATATAATAAGAGTTTGGTGATTGGAGGAAGGCTTTGACGGTTTCAAATCCGATGCCGGTATTGGCACCAGTGACAAGAATGATCTTGGGAGTCATTGTTGGTTCTTGCGTAGATGCGAGGGGTAGAAAGGGCAGTGTCTTGAAGGAGTGAATTGCGTCTTGTCACAGCCGATAATTATCATTCACCGATGGATTTCTGCCTTTTTATAGACATTCGACATGCTCTCTCGGACTGTATCAACACCCCTAACGGAACTCTACTTGTATCTGATAATTGCATTTAATACATGAATAAGTGGAGCCGGAGGCAATTATTCAATAATCGAGGCGGCAGCTCCTAGCGGACTTAGGTCAACTGCAGGTCATACCGGATTTAATTGAATAACTCGGCGTTAATGACAATTGACGACAATCAGATGTCACGGGATTGTTGTACGTGACCAATAACGACAGAATCGATCAATGTCAGGTTGTCTTCATCGACTTGTACAAAAGGCACAAATCGTAACATGTGGGACAGTGCTCGAGCAGTATCTGAGTCTTGTCTTTACTTGCCTCACTGGAGATCGTTGCCTATTCTGCGGGGAAACCAAGTGATGCCCAGGGGTTCGTGCAATCCTGCGGGAAGTAGTCATCGTAAGGTTCAGAGATTGCTAATGGCTTTCACCGCTCTGGCTACCCACTCCGAGCTTAAAGCTCCGATTACAGTCGGTTTGATGAACCTGGTCAGAATTAACAGAGATTACGATAGGTCAGCCTCCCTAATAGTTTGCGCAAGAAGAACAGGGTTCGGATATAGCTATGGGGCGTTTGCCGTTGGCATGTTGTGGCAGTTCAGTTGACAGCAATCGAAAGAAAGGTATATAGAAGTGAATAACACCCTCTTTTCTTCTCTCGCTTCTGGAGCATGCCATAGTTTCTGTTTGGCTCCGTTTACAAGATACCGACAACAACACAGCTACTCTGTATTCAATACCATGCGCTTCGGCACTGTTCTCTTACTGCCATCCCTGTTCGCAGGGGCACTCGCCACCGTCTACTGCGGGTGCAGCAACGGCGGAATCAGCGGCGTTAATCAAAAGCAATCGGATTCATGCCAGGTGCACGATACCAGCGGGGCCACGGATGCCTGTAAGATGTACCAGGGCAAATGCTTATATCCCAAGTATGTCTCGATTGCCGCTCCTGTCCTATCGAACAAAACTGGTTCTGGAAGTAGGCTGACATTACGGCTCATAGTACTCTACATCTGATTGAGTGCTGTGGCAACAACGGCTATGGCATTGCTTGCCATTGATGATTCGGAGCGGGTTGGAGCAGGAGCGGATCCTAGGATTAAAGCATCGAACTCCTGTACCATAATGAGTTGTTTGAACTTTCGAATGCCAGGAAGTTCCTACCACGGAAAGAGGTGATACAATGTCAACGATGCTTAGAAGTTGCGCGCGGTGTGGCGAGGATACTCTTAGGTTCTTGCGGGCCGCAAGCTTTGCATAAGCATTATGGCAATCAACGGTAGATAAACACATAGAGAGTTTTTAGGATTCCGTATTGGACTAGAAGCCCCAACCATCAGTTTCTCAAACTACAAGTATGAGGTATCGACCCAGCTAGTGTAGTCGCTTCCGATAATGCTCCCAATCGTGAGCGGTGCACTAATCTTCGTAGCGAAGCTCGCCCTGTTGCCACTCGCACCGGATCCGGTGTTTCCATACTCTTGGAAGGTTACATGACCAGTGTTCGGTGTGCTACTGCTCCACACGGTCCAGCCGGCACTGTTGATAATGTTCGAAAGGCTGCATCGCTGGAAGCAGACACGGGCATACTCCCTCCACGGGCGGCCGAGATACACGCTTCCGGCCGCCACTGAGAAACCCGAGGCGGCCTGGACAGCGCTGTTGTCGATCACGTAGTAGCTCGGATCAGAGGACGAATCTCGCCCATTAGCAGTGATGTAATGGCCCCCTTCAGTAACGGCGATTACAGACTTGGTGATCCAGACCCGCGCGTGCTGCCCAAACACGAAGTCAACTGCGCCCTGTATGAGACAGTTGGCGTATACCTGGTTGCCAGTCTGTGCGAGGAGTGTGTCCTGGGAGCCGTAACTGATATCAAACCAAATCAGCCAGTGCTTCGAAGACGACGAAGAAAGCCGGACTTACAGTCCGACGCCGTAATAGCCTTGCGCAGTATTATAAGCAGATAGTGCCACGGCCTGCGACCCTTTGCCATAGGTATTTTTGATGTTGATATTGTACACTGCAACGTTCTTCGACAAGTTGATCAGCGCCGAGGTGTGCTGATCGTCCGGAGCACCACTAGCGAGACTAGAGCTCCACTGAAGATTCACAGCATTGTTACTGTAAGAGGCAGTGTTGGTGGTATAGCCATAGATGGTCAGCTTTCCAGCCAGAGAAGGAATTGTGACCTGCTCGGTGTAAGTGCCGCCATAGATGAAGATGCTATGCGCCGAAGTCGAGGTTGTTGAAATGGAGTTCACAGCATTCTGGATCTGATAAACAGTTAGCTGGTTGAGGCAAAAGAAAGCGGGTAAGTTGGGACAGACTTTGTTGTAGTTGCAGCCTGAACTGCACACCGTGATGCTTCCGGATGGGGGTGAAGTTCGCGATGCCGCTGCCACCAAACGCAACAACACGCCAAACACTGTGAAATGGGACAACATAGTGATTGGAAGACTGAACGAAGAACGAGAAAAGAAACTCGTTGAGGAGATTCTCGAGGGCTCAAGGTGGTTTTGGAACAAGATCTTGGAGCCATACTGATACCTTTATGCGACCTTTGTTTGGTACTTGACTTACACCTGGGCCTCGCCAATCGGTCTCGTTCCAGATCCAGAGTGCCGGTGCGAGTGAGAAACCCCACCAATCGTGCTTTTTAGCATAAAGCAGGGATCGGGCGGAGGCTATTCAAGTGCTGCAGTTCCAAGATAACCCCACCAATTACAGAGCCAGCAACGCTTCTGGGCCATTTTGATTTTGATGTTAGTTGCATTGAGACAATCGACTTGCCCCAATGTTGCATGCTTCAACGAGCCGTTTTCTACGTTCTGGACTCAGAGACTTTCAACCTCGGCGCTCGTGATGTTACATCGACTTGAGGGGAAGGGGCTTCGCCATCAATCCGATGGCGCTCTGCAAAGAGTCTATCCTCGATGCTCCATTGGAGGAATATCGACTTTGCTAGGACGACTTTGTTGCGGAGCTTCTCCTGGATATTGTCGTCGATAGTGTAAGTAACAATGCTCCTCTTGGTCCTGTGTATCTAAGCAGGATTCCTCGTCTCCAAGACGGCAGACGGAGAAACACAAGCGAGTCCAAGACTTGGCCTCTCACATCATCTTGCTATTTATGCACTTGCCTAGCCTTCTTCTGCTTGCCATCGCTACTCTCGAGGCGAGCCCGTAGTTGCCGCTGCAGTCATGGATCCACTGGCAAGCGAGCTCGTCAAAAGAGCCATACGCTGCACCTTTCCCGGCCCTGCCAACGCTTCATCGGCAAGCGAGCCCCCGAAGGTATGTTCACTGGTAGGACTTAGTCCATATCATGGTCACTCACTAATGAGAAGACCAGCGAAATCTACACCCATATTACAACATTCTTAGAACTAGGCTCGGTCGAGTACATAAACTGGAGAAGTAACACGGGTCTCTATTTCTCTCTAAGTTGCTACTCTCCTTTCTTTTCTTTAAGCTCCTGCAACACCTTGGGATACTCTGAGGCCGCATGTTCCTCACAGTCAAAGTTCAAGATCCACTCTTCTCGTTTCAGATGCAGACCCTCTGGGTTCTTCCATATGGCATCCCAGTCTGCCTTGTGCCAGCCATCCCTCGTTGACACACCAGTAGCTTGCACCTTGTGCACTCTCTCGTAACGAATCTTTTCATACACTCTGACAGCATCGGTGATATGCTCCTTGCCGGCCTTCTCGAGGCAGACCGCCATCGTGACACCGTCCTCCATTGACTGACTGGCTCCCTGGATCGAGGTAGGGAGGAACGGGTGAGCCGCATCGCCAATGAGCGCGATCCTCGCCTTGGGAGAGATAAAGGTCGGCAGCGGGTCTCGGTAGACGAGCTTGAAGTCAAAGAGACGATCTGGGGGTGTAGCCTTGACCACCTCTAGCACCACTGGGTCCCACCCTTCCAAGCACTTCAGGACATCTTCCTTATTGCCAGGGAACTGCCAGCTCTCCTCTATGTCGGCCTCGTCTTTGTGCGTGCACACCCAGCTCATCTCTTTGCCGTTTTTGACGGCTGCAGTGAGGAAGTGGATGTCTTGGCCCATCCACCCATTATGCGTATCGCCGTCGACCAGGTGCTTTGTCAAGTCGTTCTTAGCAAGCTCATCTGTCGCGAACCAAGCCCGGTAGACTGCGTACCCCGACGGCTGGGGTGGGTCCTCGAATCCCAGAACGATCTTGCGGCCGCGGGATCTCACTCCCTCACCAGCGAGGACGAGGTCTGCACGGTGTGTCTCGCCGTTCGCCTCGATCCCGGCACCCTCATCATCCTCGAAGTAGTTGGTCACATTCTGACCCAGCCGAATATCGATACCACGAGCAAGGGCGTGGCGGTACACGATCTGGTGCAGCTCGCCTCGGTGACAATTTACTCGCGGACCCCAAGCTGCGTGCTCCTCGGCGAAGGATTGCGTAGTGACGAAGCGGCCCTGCCAATCATGGTAGTGAAACTTGTCAGTTTGGTGCATGATCGGCTGGATCTCCTCCCAGACGCCAGGCCATTTCTGGAATATTCGAGAGGAATTCTGCCCGAAGCTGATGATATCTCCCAGTGGTTTGAGGTCGGCCACCTTCTCGAAAACGGTCACGGAATGGCCTTTGCGGTCGCATTCAATGGCAGCGGTCAAGCCACCGAAGCCGGCGCCGACGATGATGACTTTGATGCCAGTTGGTGGCTGATTGGGATAAGCGGTCATGATGAAGACGATGAAGGGAATGCTCAAACAGATAGTAACTAGCAGCACGAGACTAATGAGAGACTCTGCGACAGATCTCGGTACGGCGTATTGCTGCTGAAGCAGCCGAGGTGTGAACAACGAGCCTCGCGTCGAGGGAGGCTAGCTGAGTTACAATGCAGGGCCGGCTCTCCTGGCCATCGGATCATGCATGCCAGTTCTCGACGGCACTCCCTGATATCTGCAACATTCGGAATGAATGGAGCAACGATGCCGAATGCCGTGCCTTGGCGATGGCTGAGCGGCGTCAACTGCCGACAAGTCAGCTACCCCGCATAACCCCATATCACCCCGGAGGCCCTGATTGCTCGGATCTATTGATGCGCGCGCCATGCCTATCAAGTCGAAAACAATAGCACGGTAGTGTATGAGCAGGGTTACCCCACCTTTTGCTGTCGTCGCGAAGCGTGTCAGAGTAAGATTGCTGGCAACACGAGAGGCGCGGAGTCGGGTAAACGCACAGGCTATGGCCCCAAGGGTCCGGAAGGAAAAGGAGGGTGGTATTGCACATGGCGATCGCGTTAAGGGAGGGTTGCACAGGCCCCGTTTCTCCTATTAAACCAAGACTTGAACTTTCAAATTTCCATTTGCTCGTGGTTTTTCTGGCCCTTCCCAATCTCTTGGTACTGACAGCAGTTCAACTTTCCTTATCCCTGGTGACACGATGCCTTTTGGAATCCTGGAGTGCAAAAAGATGGAGGTCGTGCCTGGCACGGGTAAGACTTGATTTATACCAGCCGGGGATATACCGGAATGGAAGTCGTGAGCTAACCGTCCACGAAAACAGCCTTCATGAATGATCAAGATGATCTGCCACCGGAGTTTGCAGACGTCCCGAGGGACCTCCTCAAGCACGGCAAAGGACGGTATAAGGATGTCATCCTCGTGCCTCAGCCATCCGACAGCCCAAACGATCCCCTGAATGTGAGTAGTCGGCAAGTTTGACCCGTCAAGATGGAATTGGAGTAGATGCTGACAGTTATGAAGTGGCCTCAATGGTGCGTGACGGAATCTCTTTCCCGAGTTGCAGTTCCTAGACCGGCAAGACAAGAATCGCGCTGATGACGATGGAAAAATAGGCAGAAAGAAATGATCCTCCTCATCGTGGGCCTGTCGGCCGCCGTCGTCGGTGCTTACGGCCCCATGCTGTCTCCCGGCTTCGTCGAGGTTTCCCAGAACCTCGGCATCACCATCGAAACTCTCTCGCAGGCCACCGCCTGGCTGATCCTGTGCATCGGCCTGGGGCTGTTCCTCACCAACCCTCTCGCGAAGATCATCGGACGTCGGCCGGTGTACATCATCGCCATCATTATCATGTTTGCCACAAGCGTCTGGGGCGCCGCCGTCAAAGACTACAACTCCTTCCTTGCCAGCCGTATCCTGGCGGGTATCGGCATGGCGCCGTACGAGATCCTGGTTCAGTGCACCATTGGCGACTTGTACTTTGTGCACGAGCGAGCGACGCGTATCGCTGTCTGGAACTTGTTCCTACTGACGGGTATTGCTGGCGGAGCTCTGATCGCCGGGTACATCATCGAGCTTGATGGCTACCAGTGGACATTTGGAGTGTGCGCCATCTTCTTTGGTGTCCTGATGCTGGCTGTCATCTTCCTTGTCCCCGAGACGGCGTATCGACGAGATTCCGTGGTGGTAATCCCGGACACGCGCGAGAAGACCGAGGATGGCGGCGAGGGACACATGAAGTTGGCCCACGAGCACGATATCGAGCATCATACCATTCCAGTATCATATCAAGAGGAGACGGCTGCTACTGAGAAGAAACACACATATCTACAGTCTCTCAGGGTCTTCACAGGGCGATACAGTTATGCGCCCATGTGGAAGGTCTTTACGAGGCCAGTGGTGCTATTCTTCTACCCAGGAATCCTTTGGGCATTTCTCATCTATGGTCAGTCGTGGTAGTCTTAGATACAGATTAACATTACTGACCAATTCATAGGTACCACCATCACGTGGATCGTGGTCTTCTCTGTCGTGAACGGAGTCATTTTTGTCGCACCGCCATACAACTTCACCGTCAGCCAGACTGGTCTCATCAGTCTGTCGCCATTCATCATGACGGCACTGGCAGAGATTGTATCAGGCCCGCTAAACGATTATGTCTGTCTATATCTGACGCGCAAAAACAAAGGCATCTACGAGCCAGAGTTCCGACTGCCTCTGATGATCGTATCTGTGATCTTCGGTACCGTCGGCTTCTTTGGCTTTGGTGCAACAGTCCAGTTCCAGACCCACTGGATCGGCCCCGTACTGTGTTTCGGCTTTGCCAACGTGAGCTTGGTGTTTGCAGCCACTTGCGTGTTTGGGTACGTCGTGGACAGCTATCGGAAGCACAACGAGGAAGCGTTTGTCGCAATCAACGCGAGGAACCTTCTCACCTTTGGCTTGACCTACTTTGTCAATGACTGGCTGAAACAGCAGGGCCCGCTTGTTGTGTTTTGCATTCTTGGGGCGCTGTTCCTTTTCGTCTCCTTCTTGACTATCCCCCTCTGGTAAGCATCCTCTCGACTTTCTAAATGTCTTAGTTGCTGACGGCCTTAATCAGGATCTTTGGCAAGAAGCTTCGAAGCTTTACGGGCAGGAATAAGTGGCTCCAGGACTTTATGAATGACGATTCGTGAACAAGCGAATCGAGCGAGATGCAAACATCCACCCTTGGGTTAATGAAAGAGGGATAACTTGCAGCGACAAAAGGATTTAAAACAAGCTGTGACGTCTTTCGAACCCTGCATCGATGTTGTCTTGTTTGTTACTCGAGCATCATTCTCTCCAGCTAGGGTCTCCCACAGGTATCATGTCGATATGGACACCATACCATAAGAGAATACAAATTAGATGGCCCATTTGACTAACAAAATCACCCAAAAAGCGGTCATCATACTGTAAGCGGAATATGGGCTAGTAATGCATTGTCATGTCGTATCACGCATTAAAATGTGAGTGTCTAGGGGGGGTCCAAACGAGTCAATCATGAGACAGTCTCGTTTTCGGGATACTCAGCTGGATAAAAGCCATGGTAGCGTAGGTCGAGAGAGAACCGTCCAGTGGGATTGTTCTGCTTTTCCTTGGATCTTCTCGATGAGGCCAGCCCTAGCCAGCCACAAGACGGTGTTTCCGTTCCATTGACCTTGTGGATAACCTTTTCGGAGTTTGAGGTGAGATACCTAGGTGTGCTCGATGTCGAGGTAGATGAGCTCTTTTGCCCTTTAATTGCTAGCAGAAGCTGCCCGATGTCGGGTACCTCTCGTGACCTCGAGTCCACCCTAGTGAAATACGTCAAAACTCACAAAGGAGAAGCGGTTACTGTGTTAGGAGAATCTTTTGCAAGCCACACGCATTTAGAACCCCACACGGCGCTTCCTATGCCGGAGATATATCCCCGAAATTGCCCAGGGCGAGGGGAAAGAACACGTTGATTCCGCCTCTCTTTTGAAGGATAGTCTTATGAATGTAGCTTTTCACTAGTCAGATATGAACAGAGCCAGTGTGTTTATCCTTAACCGCGTCTAGACATGATCTCCTTGCTGCCTTCTTTTGTCTCCATTCGAATCCCACCTACTGGATATTCTTGCGCACTGTCTGGGAAAAGAACTCGGGAGCCACGCGGTTGCAGCCAATCCCAGAGCACTTCTGGCCAAGGATGTTGGCACACTGGAACACCTCGTACTGAATTTTTGTGTTCCAGTAAGGCAGTCCTAGCGTCGCGTTGATGCCAGTGATGTTGACATTCTCAAACTTGATACCAGGGCAAGGATGTAGGGCCGAGCAGTAGATTGACGCGCCAATGTTGTATCGGGAGGTGCCCGTGTAGTTGACCCAACGAACGTCCTCGATGGCCAGCTTGGACGTGTTGCACCCGTGACCTCCCTCACCTGCATAGATACACTGGCTGATCTGGATGGGCAGGGCTACATTCTTGAACCGGTAGTTCTGGAAGGTCACATTCTTGACACGTCCGCCGCCACCACCGCCCCCGTCTCCATTGGTGGTCTTGTTGAGATAGTCGCCTTGCCAAGTCTTGATGTAGGCACAGCCCGATGTGCTGATGCATGTGATGTTATCAAAGACGATGTTACTGACGTAGTCGGGCATGTCTGGGTACTGGCCGATGGAGCCGATTGTCGTGCCCGCCCCATTAATGCAGGTGACGTTCTTGATCAACATGTTGGTGGTGTTCCCCTTGACGGCAATGCAGTCATCATCGGTGTGGACGGTGGCGTTGTGGATGAGCAAGTTCTCGCTATTCCAGGAATCGAACCCGTCCGTGTTGGTGGTGCTGTTGCCATCGGTGCTCGTGGCGTTGGAGTAGTAGTTCACAATGGAGACATTCTTGCTTTGCCATACAAAGCTCGCCCAGAAGATGGGTTGGACACTGGACGCGAGTCAGTCAAACTAACGCAAGGCATAAGGCATGAGAAGTTTCTCCCACATCCTCAGATGGTCCATCCAGACATTCGTGGAATTGAACACAGTTATCTGAATCGGACGTCCCGGCATGTTCCCTTTGCCTCTGTTGAATGTATACCAAGCCTGGCCTGAGCCGTCAATATGCCCTCCATCCACGCCCTTGAATGTGACATTGGTGCCGCCAAAGAGCCATGCCGTCGTATGGTTCTGATAGATGACAGGGTAGGACTTGAGGCGCCAATAGGCAATATCGGTAGAGTATTTGAGGGTGCCGTGCAGCTCGACGTCACAGTTGACCAGATTCGTCGTGTTCATTACGCTACCGATGTTGAAAGTGTTCTTGGTAAACACCACTGTGCCATCTTTGCCGCATCGCTTGAAAGCATCGAGAATGGATGGCACGTCATCCACAGGCTTCCCACCGTGATCCAGCGATTCTGGATATAGCTCGCATCGATTGCCCTTCTGACGCACAGAGCCAGCCACAAGAGTGGCGAGCAAGAGCACAGGTGAACAACGCATTGCCAGTTCCTTCGCACCACGGGCAGACCGTCCGTCAATTACAGTGTGACTATCAAGAAAGATTTAACCCAGCATCTTGTGGTCCGGGAGTTGATTTTGTACTCGTCGTCTGGGCTCTCTCTTCCGCCCAGAAATAGGCATAGCTCCACCGATCGTCATGGCGTGCCGCTGCTTACCACACGTTCCTACACGTTCTCTGAGATCGGATGGTTTCCTGATGAGGCACAGGTGCCGACTATTAATAGGACACAATTAAGGAAGGATCCGCACTGCTTGAGAGACTAGTTGCGGGGTGTCACGTTGCACTTAGTGTAATCCCGGTTCGTCGGCTGGGCAAGCATGGAGCGATGATCAACGGGGCGTAGGAGGACATTCCTGATCTAAAAGCCTTTCTGCGACAACACGGAGGATAATTAACACAGATCTGGCAGGAGTAAGTACGCTCGCAAACCATTTGATACGACTATCAAACCAAGTGGTTGGAAGATAAGTAGCAGAACTTAGAGATTAGGCTACAACAATATGACAGAGGAATGATAACTGCGACCAATCTTGGAACGTGTGCCACTACAAAAATGGATATCATAAGGTCTCAGTGAGTTGCAAGCCTCGGAAGGTGGCCCCAGAGCAGCATTTGGACCTTTGTCTTGAAGTCAGGCAACAATGACAGGGAAACAAAGGCGTAATTGCTGAGTTTTCTTTCACGACAACAAGCCTTAGATGTATCTCTTTCAAGAACGAGCAATAGCGGTTCCAGATGCACTTACGTGGGGTCCACGATTACCGCCATAACTTCCGTCCCAGTCTTTTCCCTCTCAAGGAAAATAAGATATGCTAGGGGTGAATCGTTACAAAAAGTATTGCGCTATCAAAGAGTCCAGTTCCATGTACTTTCAGGTTGGCATCGTGTATGCGCCATTGACAATGAGAAACGCCCCCAATCAATCCTTCGGCCTCCGAGATCCATCCACTCGGGTAATGCCAACACAAAGGGGACAACAAATGCAATCTATGTTCCACCAACTCGTTCCTCTAAGCGTTCCGCCGCGCGTGGCGTTCAACCTCGCGCTGGAATGCCGAAATCGGCTCAAGTACCATACAGCGTAGCGCATGGTGGTCAAGCATATCTCGTCCAATGCCACCTGAGACGGTCAATGCAGGAATTGGACCCTCGGCATTATTGAATACGGTGTCCAAGGCGGACTGGACCCCCAGGATTACGCTCATCCCGATCGGCTGCTCACCGAGGAGCGTGATGCACCCAGGTCCTCCCGGCGCTCGGAGGAATTGTAGAACTAGGCGGTTGTCTTTGTTCTCGGACCAGATCTCAAAAATCTCCACCTTTGGCATAAACTCGAGGGCTATCAACATCTTCACGGCCAGGTCCACAACGGAACTCAAATGGCCCGGGTGGTTGGCGAACGTGTCTGATGTCAGAGCGATGTGCTTCAGCTCCGGCCATACAAACATGCACCGGTTTGAGACTTGCGAGATGGTCTGGTGAAGAAATCCAGACTGCAACTTCGGGATGGTGTAGTCGGCGAGGAACCCCTCTGCGGAGACGATGTGTGAGAGCGCGATCTTTTGGAGATCCAAGCAACGGAGGCTGTCGCAGATCGCTTCGGTATTGGGGAAGTCAAGGCAGATCGCTCGTCCACGATGGCCCAACCGTAGATCTGAGTCTTGGAAAACTATCAAGGCGGTAAGGCTCTTCGGGAGCGGAGATCCTCGCTCTGTTCGGCCCAGGTTCGGCGCAGGGAAAATCTCTCCACGACGACGATGACCGCACAGAAAGTCGACATAGTCTGTACCAAAAATCCCATGGTTATGCCCTCCAAAACCGTCGGGAAATTGCTCGTGGGAGAATGCAGTGAGGCAGGTAAAACTCTCATCAAGGAGCTTGGACAGAACATTGGGGGCCACAGATCGATAAAACTGGCGCCGCAACACCAATTGTGACACGACCGGCAGCTCGGGGAATCGCCTCTCGCTGTGGAAAGAGAAGTCCGAAAAGTCTAGGTTGAGCGGCCTCTCTCCCGTGATTCGGGCAATTGCTCCAATGGATTCACCAAGCACGGGGACTCGGTTCCAGCCACGGCAGTCATGATCATCAACAGGCTCTTTGAGCCCGAACGTCTTGCGGCTATGTCGATGCGTTCGAAGGAACTTGGCCGGGCTGACTACGAAGTCCATCAGGGCCGGATCTCTCGACTGCAATGGGTAGTCTGGGCATAGGCGGAAGTCGCGAAAGGTGTGCTTGCAGTCGCTTGGCGAGAATACGGCGATATCAAGAGTGATGCCTTCCTCAAGGATGCCCCTATAGAGACCCGGTCTTGGCCGTCTCCAGGCTGCCATGACCGAAAGAAGATTCCACAGAGTGTCGGTCAGGTATATCTCGTTGAGCTTCTTAGTCTCGGCTGATTCCGGCACCTCGGACTCTCCGCAATCATACTCGGCAAGTTTGACTTTCAGCCAGATGTGCTTTACTGCCTTCCGGCGCACCGGGTGCTTCGTGATGATTTCGTTCATGTCGTGGACTCGGTCATTGTCAACAACGATCGCTGAGAAAATCAGGGGCTCAAAGTAGCGCTGCCATTGTTGATCAACGGCGGCATAACCGGCGCGCACAGATGGCCGGGACGGATCATAGGTACAGTTCTCTGCCACAATAACCCAGATCATGTGGCGGATCTCATTTGGAAGTCTAGACCAGTACTCCATGGTTTCGTCCTTTTTGCTCCACCTGGTGGTTGAGCTGAGTGTTGGGTAGGATTTCCGAGCTCGTGATCGAAATTCAAGTGAGGTTCGTCCTCCTTGAACACGAATGCCGGAGAGGTGTTGAACTCGGGATATGAATTCGTTGTCGAAGGCTTTGAGTTTGTCTTGGAGTCTGTAGTGGAAAGAGGTGTGTATGGGAGTGTGCACCTTTCTTGATGAGTGTTGCAGAGAAAGGAGAACTCGGAGAGCAGGTCGTGTTGGGTCGTATATATACTAGAAATCTTTTGACCACTTGTATTCACTATTTAGTGCCTGGTTCGGCATCAAAGACATTGTTCCTCGTCATGAAAGCAGCCAAGCTGTTCCTTCCCGATGAGTGCAACAAATGTCCAAGATCCATTGTCCGAGTTTATATTCACTCCGGATTTACAACGATAGCACCAAGCGGTCTTATTTTACCAACCCATCTGGGACATCAGCCACTGCTGCTCTTCTTGACCTGATGAGGCTTCCGACAGATTCAATCTTCTGAAGTTAATCCTGCCGACAAAAGGAGATAAAGCCTAGGCAGAGACCCTGGTGCCATGGTTTACGCATTTGTACAACTATTGGGCCTTCACCTAAGTTGCCAACCTTTTCCCCGTATATATGTGTTGATCCTGGCTTCGAGGTGTTAACCAATGGTGAACGCTATCAAGTCTTTGTCTCAAAGGCAAAGTAAATTGCGTTGGACTTACCGCATGTCTTGTTCAACATCATCAAACTCGGCAAACATGAATATTGTGGCCATTAAAGCCGAGAGGTTATGATTCTTCGACAAAGAAGTTGTTCGTCCACTAGTATGAAATAATTTGCCAACAGGGCGCATATTCCCAAAGACAAAGGGAAGAGTACGATTCAATGAGGGGATCGGATTTCTGAACCCCAAACAGAGGAATTGTCTTGGGAAATGATAGGGAGTCCAAGTCCTTAATTTTATCGTGGGTGATAATATGAAGACCTGAGAACACGGCCATTGAAGTGTGCTGTTTACGTAACAGATAATCTTGCCTATCAAAGACTTAGGGATGGCGCTCGCAGACAAGCATACTATTCACAACTCATGGATGGCCGACAGTCATTCTGTAGATCTGTCGATTCAATTGCTTTCTGAGCCTGAGAAGAGACGCGATGCTTCCGCCGTGAGTCGTTTGAGAGCACTTCTTGCGGCAAGTTTTACTCCACGAAGGGCCGCGTACTAACCCCATATGGACGTACATTGTGTACGTCACAATGTACGTCCATATGGGGTTAGCTAAAATTTAAAGTGATTTGCTGAGACGTGCCAAGGCGTTCTCTCAAACAGGTGAAAGGAGCACAAGTTCTCTGATCAACTTGTCTATGTGAAAAGGCAAGGTGCTACTCGGGTTAGCCTTCTCTTGCCCGAGGAACAATACTTGTGAGCAACAGTATTAGCCAAGTGGACTCAGAAGGAGCTGTGTCACTAATCGGTAGAGGCCGATAAGACAAAGTCTTGTTGGGGTGAATGCGAGGATCCTGTGCAAATCCAAGTTGACTACCGAGTGAAAACAACTCGAAATGCACAATCAAATCTCAATCAAGTGGCCCCTTGTTCAGCAATCCAAGACTTTCACCTCAGCACGATTTCAGTTTCTTTTGACTTTTGATATCAGGATCCAAAAGCAAATCAGATGAATTTGCCTAGTCCAAACTTTGCCCGACAGTCGACCCCTTTCCACACAAACACCCATCCATATAAACGCTTCTCTCCACTCTCCTCCCGAATCTGCTTTCTCTCCTCTCCCACATCACATCGCATCCCGTCTTCCTTCGGCGTCATCATCAAGCATCGCCTTCGTGGTATCGCTCACTTCTACATTACCTCAATCCTCAATCCTCAATCTTCAATCATCAGCCACATCGCCCTCACCATCAGCAGCATGGCATCTCCCGCTCCCAAGATGAAGGGTGCCCTCACCGAGCGTGACCTCGAGATCATGGCCAAGGCCTGGCACTGCATGAAGGCTGAGCCTGAGGTAAGTCTTCCCATCACCATCGACTTTCATCCCCCAAAGCATCATTTTACGCCTTGCTCCTCTCCATGCGAATGCCATTTCATCCATCCAACACGCCTTCAAAGTATCTTCACAATGCTCAAAAGCTTTCCCATACGTCACCCGCTCTTCTCACTAACTTTCTCTTCCTCCCACACAGGTCGACTTTGCCAAACTCGCCGAGCTCACCGGCATGACCAACCCGCGCAGCGCCGGCAACGCCTGGCGCAACATCAAGACCAAACTCTTCGCCGACCTCCCGCCCGCCGAGCCCGCCACCCCGGGACCCGGCCGAAAGCGCAAGACCCCTGCCAAGAGCAGGGCCAAGGCCACTCCCAAGGCCGCTGCCGCCCCCGCCAGCGACGACGAAGACAACAAGCTCATCGCCACTGCCGACTCCGACGTCGACGAGCTCGAGGCTCAGAGCCCGACCAAGAAGCGCAAGAGCCCCGCCAAGAAGGCCGGCAAGAAGGCCCCTCTGTCTGCCGCCAAGGTCGAGGACGACTCTGATGAGGACGGGGAGATCAAGACGGAGCCTATCAAGGCTGAGGAACAGGAGGAGTACATCGAGGAGGACGTCGGCGAGATCTGAATATGCTGAGGCATTTTGCTTTTTCTTTCCTTTTAATTATTTTATTTCCCCTCAGCTACGTACCAACAATCTGTTGGGTCATCATCGGAATACTCAGGGACACAGGTTTTGCTTGACTGTTGCATCAATGAGAAGTGATGTCACCGCAAGTGCGTGTATCACCATGCGTCTTTACATGGAAGGAGGAATAGCATTTTACAGGTGCACATAGGCACAGACGACAGGGCTCTCTCGCAGGATTACATGGATTCATTGAAATGACAAACGAATTGCACAAGTAAAATTCCGCAATTAGTCCGCAATCCCTGGTAGTGACATGAGTTGATGAATTAGCCTGGACTGTTTTGTAGCGAACGAATTACATCTAAAAATCGGCATCTTTCATCATACCCTTCCCCTCGTTGTGCAGAGATACGCACTGCCTCAACACGACCCAGCATCCACTCATCATCCAATCTCGACCCAAAGCACCCAGCCAACCAGGTCCTTTATTTCTTAGCCAGCATAAAGATCTCGCCCTCGGCGCTGTTGTCGCTCGTCACCATCAGGCGCGTGCCCGCGGGGTCCCACCCCAGGCCCGCGAGGCGGAAGCAGTTGCTCTGCTGCAGGCCCATGGACTGGCACGAGCCCGGGTTGGCGGCGCCCCAGATGGTCTTGAAGCCCGTCTGGCTGTCGGCCTTGGCGACGGGCTCGTAGAGGCCCTCGGCGGTCTTGGTGAAGGGGATCTCGATGACGCTGTAGCCGGAGGCGGGCTGGCGGTCCCAGGACCCGTGCAGGGTGACGTACATGTTGGCGCCGTCCTTGTCGAAGGCGTTGGTGATGGGCGCCGTGTGGGCGGGCAGGGTCAGGCGCGGCGGGACCGACTTGCCGACGCAGCTGGCGTCGTTGAAGGTCGCGTTGGGCGTCACGACGAACTGGTCGCCCGTCTTGAACTGGGCGTCGCGGATGAGGTTGGCGCCCCAGACGGTGAAGCAGGTCGGGTAGCCGTACCAGTTGTTGTTGGGCTTGGTCGGGTCGCCGACTAGAGGTTTTGCCGGATCAGCAAGATGGGCATGCTTTGGAGAGGGAAGGCAGTGGGGAATGGCTTACGGTAGTTCAGTTCCTCGCCGGGGTTGTCGATGTGAATGTCGGTGGACTGGCCGTTGACAGTGCGACGGAAGTCCTTGAAGAGCGAAGCATGGTTAGCATCTCACTCATCAAACAACGCCACTTCGTATCAGCCGAAAGGTACTCACATCGCCGCTGTTCTCCACACCCCAAGCATGTCCAGCCGGGTCGATTGTAATGCCAACCTCGTTACGCAGTCCGTAGCCCATCTGGTAGCCATCGGTGTTGTAGCTGTATCCACCCGCAGGCACCTTGCTCATGTCGAACGCCTTTATGCAGGCGCGCCCCGTGGCTGGGCTCCCGGACTGATAGTCCCAGTTGTTGTTGCTGCCGACGGCAACGAGCACGATGTTGGGCGCCTGCGGCACGACGACCATTGTGCGGGTTGAGTGGATGCCCTGGCCGATGCCGCGGATGACGACCTTTTGGTTGCTGACCTTGCGCGTCGCGGCGTCGTAGTCCCACGCCCAGGCCGTGGTCTGGGAGCTGGCGTAGAGCGTCTTGCCGTCGGGCGTCAGGGACAGGCCGTGGTTGAGGCCGACGTTGGTGACGATCTGGGTGCTGCTGTTGACGCAGCCGTCGGCGCCGAACGTGTGCACGCTGACGCCCCTGGTGGCCTGCAGGACGAGCATGTTGCCGAGCGGGTCCCAGATGACGGTCCGGGGCTGCCGCAGGCCGCCGAGCAGCTTGGTCATCTTCCAGCCGCTGTCGACCCTGTTCTGATACCGGGTGGCCGTGACGCCGGTGCAGCTCGTGGGGAAGGGGAGCGGGTCGACTGCTTGCGCTGCGCGGGAGTTGTGGGTTAGCGGTGACTCCCTTGCGGCAGGCCAATACGTCTCGATAGAGCTTACCAGAGCTGCTCAGAGCAGCCACCGCTGCAACAAGCTGAGACCAACGCATCTTTGTTTTGTGGAACGCTGTCACGGGTGTAAAGGGAAGTAGTCGAGCGGAACGAAGCTGTACCCACAGAATCAGACTACGCCTGAAGGTCCAGGATCCAGGAAACGAGGATCTCCAGGTCTGCCGAGACCCGCCAGATGCGGTAGATGCAAATACTATATACATCACCCCTTCTCCCCGTGCACGCTCCCTGGACAGCTACTCTCTGGCGGATCGAGCCAAGCCGCATTAACCGATGTAGCATTTTCACAGGCGACTCGTCGTCATGATGCCGACCGATTATTACCCAGGGGGGGCAATTGGACGATTGATGAAGATGTAGTAGCAGCTGTGTTAATCAAGGCGTGGAAGGATCCTCGGAAGACAAAACAAACGACTGTCCAGGTCAGGTTATTGGGGCGAGCAATATGGGGAACGTGACGCCAAGTCGGATCAACTATATCGGCATTGGCACAATTGGCATCTGTCAGAGCAAGGGTTATGGGTGAGGTCGTCGAATCAGAAGTTCGAGAGCTGTCGGCACAAGGAAATAAGCTCTCCTATACGGGGCTGCCAATGATGATACTGCGGAGGGTGGTGTGTGGGAAGGGTATTTGGGCGGAGCGAGGAGAGGGATCGGCGTAGATTAAATGCCAATTAGGCGGAAGGTGAGCTAATATCCGGGGAGCAGGCGACGACACTGCTTGAACGTTCGAAGGAACGGACGGCACCAGCGTGGGAGGCTCCCGGCTAATTGAGCCAGAAATGTCCATGTCGAGATGGCAGATGCAAACTCATCTGACCCCCCGTGTGATTGGACACACTCGAACCCGGTCCGGGATCTGGACATCACCACTATCATCGCCTTTGAAACGATAACCGGCTTGCATCGCCGTACATCACGAGCATGTGACTTCTTCGGGCTATTGTGACATCGTGATTCATTTAAGTTGGTGGACGAATACAGTCCAATGATCCCTTGACCTCAGGGTTCTTCAAAGACTCTAGTCTCTCACCTTCGTGTCATCCGTTCTGCCAGGTCCTCTCGAGCCTCAGCAATCATCTTGTCCAGGTCAACGTTCCAAACATACGCCTGCCTATCGATAATGTCCTGTCTTATAACATCGTAGTCCCTCCCAAGCTCCGAGCTTCGCCACTCATAGATGTTTGCCGCCCTCCGACTACTTTGGGGCAGCCACTGATCGCGCTCCCTTCTGTTGGCATCGAATGACTGGAAGGCGACCTCTAGATCGCTAGCACTCTGAACACTATCATCATCCAGGATAGACGCCAGAGTGGCGCAGTCCTCGAGACAGAATCCGGCGCCGGCACCGTGGTGCGGAGTACTGGCATGAGCCGCATCTCCCACAAGACAGATGCGGCCTTTGCAGAATGACGAGACTGGGTTGTCTGCGAGATCAAACAGTCCCCACTACCGCGAGTTATCAATATCTACCTTGCAAATCTTATCTCTTTCGGGGACCTGGTCAACTCACTTTGTCGAAATCGCCCTTGATCTTGTCTATCAGGTTAAGGACGTTCGGACCGAACCCCTTGAAATCCTCCAAGGCCTGCTCCTTTGTTGCGGGCTGCACCAGGCTTCCACGGTTAGGCCATTCATTGGGGTCTGAGACAAAGGCAACAAGATTCATTGTCGCGCCCCGATTGACAAGGAATGTTAGAACATGACGGTCTGGTCCCATCTGTAAGGTGCGCGTTAGGATACACATGAAAACCTTAGCTGGAGTGCTGGCATCACCTACCCAAAGCTGCGCATTCTCTGCCTTCTCCGCCCCAAGCGCCTCGATGGCATCCTCCATCGGTATCAGCCCCCGATAGGCATACTTGTGACTGTACTTGCACCGGGCCTGCGGGCTGTCCTTGCCGACAGCAACCTCTCGCGTGCGCGACTTGATCCCGTCACAGCCCAGCACTGCGTCCGCCTCCGCGGTCGACCCGTCGTAGAACCTCATCAACATCTTGCCCGTCGGCCCTTGCGTATCATCGACAATGGTATCGAGGCGCTTATTGAAGTGTGCGATATCGCCTGGCAGCAGCTTCACCATCTCCTCCAGGAACCTGGCGCGGTGCACCCCGCCTCCCTCATTTGGCCCACGCCCGTCCACCGTGAATAGGGGCTTCAACTCCGGTGCTGGGACGGTGGAGGTACCGTCCAGAAAGTCAAACCATACCCTATCCTTGGATGGCCACTTGTTGCGCGTGGCGATCTTGTTGAAGCCGTCGACGAGGCGGGGGTCGCATATCTCCATCGCCCGCACGCCGTTTGGGTGCAGACCGACGCCGGCGCCGATCTCGCCGAAACCGGCCGACTGCTCATAGATGGTGCACTGGATGTTTCGCCTCTGGAGAGCGATGGCCAGCGTCACGCCCGTGATACCTCCGCCGATGATGGCGAGGTGGAAGGGCTTCTTTTGCGGGGTAGCCATGACGTCTGGTCAGGTGCAGGTGTCGGCGAAGCAGTCTCAGGGCCTGAGTGTATCGTGGATAAGATGACCTCGAATATTAAGTGTGTTTAGTATAAGAGTAGAACTATGACATCGATTTCGTCGCTTAGAAACACAGTAAACAACCACTGCAATGCAGTCACACAGAAACCAGAGCTCAACGCCAGTCTCGGTGCTGGTGCCGAACCGGACGTCGCTTGCATTTATCCGAGACTACCACAAGATAGATCGTTGATGCTGACATGCATTTGTCTGTATTCAGTGATAGCTCGGTCCCTTTGTCTTCCAACGTGGCAATGATAATCCACACCTGCGCCGCTCTACCCCGAACCCCGGGTTTTCTAGCATGGCCCTTTTCCGCATCCCGGAGCTTCACCCCGCTCTTTTGAGCCAGTACCAACCGCCGGCAGTGAAGATACTCGCGATCAAGAATAGTCTCCAGAATGCCCTCTCAATCCAAACCTTCGCCGCCTGCTGCTCCCGTGCCTTCCACCCGCCGGTCGCCGCGTTAGCATGGGGGAACTCCTCGTAAGGCACGTCCTTGCCCAGGAACTGGCAGAGTGGCTTCCAGCCGTCCTTGATGTCCCACTCGAGGAGCCGCTCCTTGGGCACAAGACCGCGGATCATGTTACAATGCTCTGGAATATTGCATATTATCAGTAAAACCCAGACAATGACATCACGACTGTCGAAATTGACACTGAACGTACCGCGATACACCCACTTGCCATTCCTCTTGATCGCGCCCGCCATGTCCCCGTCCGGCGCCCGGAAGAACAGCGGCCACATGTACCGCTCGTAGACGTGCCACGCCCAGAAGCACTCGCGGTCGACCCAGCTGGCCAGGTACCACGCCCAGCTCGAGTTGGCCCGCACGAGCGTCCGCACGACGCTTGCGTGCCACGCGTCCTCGTCGCCGCGCATGTTGAGCACCACCTTGGCGTCCGGGTACGCGGCGACCATCTCGGCGGCGAAGACGCTGGCCGCGGCGTCGGTGACGGCGACCGAGTGGCCCAGCAGCGCGTCAAAGTCGGCCGCCGTGAGGCCGCCGGACTCGCCGTCCTCGACGCCGAACCACTTGCGCCGCGCGAGCGCGCACCACCCCGGGGAGTGCACCTGCTCGTCGAAGACGATGTCCCAGCCGTGGTAGGTGTGATCGTAGCCCAGGATCAGCAGCGCCTGCTGCAGGGACTCGGTCCCGCTGCGCGGCGGGCCGACGCAGATGACCTCCATCGGCCGGGTGCGCTTGCGCGGCGGCGGCGGGCTGCGCAGGGCGTAGACGTGGTTCTCGAGGAAGCACCACCACCAGCTGTTGAGGCTGGGCGCGAGGAAGGACATGGTTGTTTTGCAATTTCTCTCGGTGTATTTCGAAGTGTTTTCGTCGTTTCACTTGGCGTACGATGTGATGATGTGATGTCTTTAGTCTCTGAGCGTGTCAAGGCTGGACATTGCAGCTCGGCCGGCGCATCGGTATAAATGGAGATTCTTAACAGCACACACTCCGTGGTCGCTTAGGGTGCGGTTGATTGAGCCTGTCCAGGTCAGGCCGTGTATAGAGTAGGTTGTTGCCCAACCGGCTATTTGAGACGGGGAATGCGGAAACAGCTCACCATGCCTGGAGAACTATCCCGGGAAGGTTAAAACGGACATGCTATCCCGGACCAGCGCATCGAGTGACCGGCTCCACCGGCCCAGTTTGTGGGGTGATGGACCATCCTCCAGGAAGAAATGTAGATATGTTGTCGATCATAATGTCTGTTCTATGTCCCCAAAGTTCCCTCCGCGCACCCCTGAGCCCCTGTCGCTTGCTCAGTCTCCTCAGGCTCGGCTCCGGCGCGGCTCAGGATCTGGTCAGCAGAGATCAGGGGAGACAACCGAATCTGGTTTAGTGTTGCTTTCTTGAATTTTCTAACCTCCTAGATCTCAGACATGAAAGGTAATCTCTTGACTCTTTGTAACTGCCTGAGATCTAGTACAGTAGATGTTAGGAACCAAATTGCAGTACGGCATCACACCGCAAGCAACTGAAGGTAGCGAATAGGCTCGCTTCGTTCTTGATGGAGGATTTTTATACAGATAACCTTTAAGCCGGATGTGATTACTCATCTCACAACGCCAAAGTTATCGAAGTTAGAGCGATCGCAGAGATTTATTTGTTATGTGACTACCAGCGTGAGTCCTCACCAACTATGCTTTACCTCAGTCCATGGATGTATCACCAGACAAACTCGATCAAAACCTTAACTGGTCGGGGAATCGCTGGCTGCAATGTAGTCATAACCACATGGATACTTCTCGACGAGATAGCGCATATCATCAAGAGCCCTAGAATGTAAATATCTATATGGAAATACTTAGATATCTGGACAAACTTACAATTCTCTTGGTTCGGTGTTCCCAGAATAATGAGCTGAAGATAGAAGGTTAAATCTGCTTCACGGATTATCAGCACTCATCCATGGCTACCTTGATAAACAACGGAGTTAGATCAAAGGGCTAGGCGAAGGAAAAGCATTTACATAGCGTAGAGTATATTTCTGTCCTCCCAATCTTCCACTGGCTCTGACTTGGGTATCAGCCGGTGATATTCCTCCATGTAGTGCCTCCCAATCGAAAATCTCGCAGGCCTCCACTTTCCCAGCTCGCCTACGGGTTGCCAACAATTTTCGTTAGCCGCTGGAAGATAGATAAATGTCAATGAAAGAAGTGAGTGGCTTGTTTGCAACTTACACTCGTTGTGGCCCCAGAAAGACCCGGCGTCGAAGATGAGAGGCTTTTGGGTCCCTTTATCCTTCTTCACATTGCGAATTTGGAGGTCTCCATGAACTAGTGACGACCGAAGGCTTCTCACGTGCGTCTCCATAGGGCGGAGGAGTCGTGGGATTACCTTCTCTAGGAGATTAACCGCTAGAGAAGCCAGTTCCATTGAGGATCCTTGAGCGTCGTTTTCATAGTCTAGGATCTTGCGCATGCCCCGGGCAAAAATTTCCTCCCAGGAGTCACACCAATCATTGTCCTGTGGGAACGCACCCATATGTGTGGTGAGGTGGAAACCGAATCTGCCCTGTGGCTTAGGATGTATCTTAGCTTGTTCGAATAGTTCGGAGCTCCCCTCGTGAAACCGAGCAACCATGGTGCAAAATTGCTGCATATCAGGCTGCTCGTTTATGAGATCGTAGAAGCTGCTGATGTAAAAGGAGTGATCCGGTTGCGACGAGCAAATCCCCCAGGCAAGCGGTTTAACAACATTGTCGGGTATAATCGAATAGAGCAATGACATTGACTCATACTCCCCTCGCAACATACTCATCCCGAGGTCACCCTTGGCTATCTGATATACTGTTAGTGAGACACGGGAGCCATCTTGGTGGAGAATACAATCAGACAATGACGAAGTAGCGCCGGGTCGTTGAGTCGTCCTTTACGAGCGAGACTCGTAGTGGCCAAGACCAGCCACTGTCTCCGATGTAAGTAGATTGAACCCGATCCCAATCACCAACGATACCTGTTGCTGGAAATTAACTTTGAAAGTTGCTTTTCAATTTTTCTTATCTTACATTTCATGATTGCCTCATCGACAGAGACATCACCAAGAAGCGCGAGCGGCGGCTGCGGTTTTGTGGAGAGCATTGCTTGGGGTTTTGGTTGGTCAGCAATGAACTCGCCTGTATCCCACAACATGGGCCTTAGACTGTTATGCTACGGCGGTGACAGATTACTGAGCAGCAAAGAGAAAAGAATGGGGAGCTAAAGTACTTAAGTACTTCAAATAGTTGCGTTACCAGCACTGCAGTGTCGGAGTTGCCTGGGCGGGCAGCCAGGCGAGGGTAGGTTCCAATTTTGGAAGGTTGCGGGTGCACGGGACGGTCTTGGGCTAGTCAGTTAGAACCTGACATTAGTGCTACCTAGTTAGGTATCTGGGAAGAGACTTATGAGGTACCGATCTACGTCTCTGCCTACTTTGCTCAGTAGGCTGGCAGGCAGTCCTTGAGCTTCGCGATATCAATTACAGATATAGACCGGACAGAATTAGTTTCATTCCTGTAGAGTCCGTGACTCCGTATAGAGTCAAGACATGAATGTCTATAGTCATAGCTCCTCATGCTGTGATTTAACCTTCTGCTCATTGGCGATCTTCTGCAAATCCGACAGAAACGCCCACCGGCCAGTCCCCTTCCAGCCTTTGGCTTTCCACCCATTTGCGATTGCTGGATAGTATTCCAACGTCTTGTACATGGTAACATCGTGCGCCCATACCACCAATACTCGCTCATCGGCATCAAACTTCTCTATACTCTCGATCGTTTTTTCTGCTGCATCGAGATCCTCAGGAAAGCATCGATCTAGGCCCAGAAACTGGAGCATTCGCGATGCCCTAGGATGGATTTGCAGCAGGTGCTCGGCAGGACAAGGTCGAGGAACTATGTTTGGGACATCAATCTCGTCCGGGAGTGGGAGAGAATGGGTAGGCCGAACTTCGCCCGCGAGGTGAACACTGTCGGCAGCCAAGAAAATGTATGTATCTGGGTCGGCTGATGTCCTAGCGAGGGCATTGATATGTCCAAGGGAATGCTAGAGGGGAGGGCTGGTCTTAGCAACCCATGTGTCAGGCTACCCCAGAAAAAGTATCACTCACCCCTGGTGCATTGAGTAGATAAAAGCTCCCATCTCCGAAGTAGTCGTACCCACGCAAGCCACCAATGTCAATTGTGAAACGCTGATTTTCCAAACCAGTGATCTTTCGGCCCAAGACATCGGACTCGCGGAAGTGCGAGTCGGCAACTGTTGGCCAGCCAGGCATGAAACGATCGACGATACCTGGACCCACGACAAGGTCAGTCGACGGTGGGAAACTAGCAAGGTTCCCTGTATGGTCCCAATGTATGTGACTATTGACTTGCAATTAGCACAAAACTTGTGTTCTTTGATGCAGGCGATGAGCTTGCCTCCACACCACAGCATCAATATCGTTCAGGTCAGTCCCGCCGTCACGCAAGATATCGACAAGCTCCTTCTCGACTACGACCGAGGTGCCGGATCTCTTGAGCCGCGCGACAGTGTCAGGAACGAGCTCTTCCCAATCCTTTTTGATGCCGAGGTCAAAAAGGACGTGGCGATTATTATGTGTGATCAAAAACGCGTAGGAGCAAATGTCAAAGGTATCGAGACCGGCGAATCGAGGATAGAAGAGATCTCTACACGGAATTTTGTATGCCCAGGATGTGGTGTCGATGATCGACACGGACACGGTGGAGTTTGAGGCTGGGATTGCCACTCCCAATGGCGATTCCATTTCAGCTTGCTTGCTTCGAAGTTGGAATGTAAGCGTGGAATGAAATTGTCGAAGTGAAGTTTGTGGAAATCTCAGGGTCCCCTGCGTAGAAGCCCGAATGAATCCAGTTGATTGCGAGGAGGGCACGCACCGTCTGCGCAAACGCACGCTGCGGCCTACGTGGATAAAGACTGTCCTCACCGGTCGTGGGGGGAGTGTCGGGGAGAGCGGAGGTGCCTGTCTGCACATTAAGGCAAGTAAATGTATTGCACTTGTACCTCCCTCTGGGAGGAGAGCACAAGTGGCACCAGCGAGAGGGTCGTCGTTTATGTGGTGTGTGTGACCTGAACTTGTCACATAACCCGAATTTCATCGTTTAGCAAACCGTGGACAGCAAAACAGGGCGGAACACGGATGAAAGTACATATCACCCCTCAATTCCGACGTAGTCATTCTGGCCGTGACAACTGTCCTAGGTAGGTACGATGAGGTAAAGTGAAAATTGATCTCGGGGATCTCCCCCTTCACCCCGAACATGGAGGCTGCGCACTCTTGCACCCCTGCAAACTATGAGGAGCATTGGCCGCTGTGCGCTACCTTTTACATCTCTAAGAGAGGCGGCGAAAGGAAGAAATCGATTTGTTTCGCTCTTTCACGGGTCAAATTATCAATACCGGACCTCTCCATCAGCGCCAACGAGAATGGGCGAAATCCGTCCTCGGTCCGGTGATAAGCCGCCCGAAGAAGTTAACGTAGTGGTGAGTGGCGGCGGAGTAAGTTTTCTTTTCCACCACACTGGTATCTTTTGATGCCCCAAGTACTACCTTAATAGATTCTCCCTTTATTCCCAATAATCTACTGGATCTCCAGGTGGCTAACAAAATTACCATCGTCCGCAGCCTTGGGGACCAGGCACGCCATGGCCACCAGTTCCCGTCAACTCCTCATGGCTTATAGCTGATGCATTGCCTCGAGTTGTATTTCGAGATGGCCGTCCCAATATTCGAGTGATTTTATATCCGGATCCGCTGCCCTCATCTTGGAAAGCAGTCCGCGAGACAGTGCCGCGTTTCTGGGACGGCGAGAAGGATTTCTTCCGCTTGTACCGCGACCCTGACGAACCGCCACAATTCTCGGTCACCGCGGTACTCCATATGGGGATGTTGGATAAGCCCCGAGAGGCATTTCGCCTTGAAAAGCACGGCTATAAACTCGGCTACCAGCTCCCGGATGTTGATGGCAAGTATCCTGACCACGATGATCTGACTGGGGGGGGAACTTGGGCAGGGGTGCCGGACAGGCTCAGCACCGATTTGGACATTGACACAATACACCGTAGAGTGGAATCTGATATTGAGGTATCCTATCTGTTATTCTGGCTAATTACCTACTTTGTGCTGATGATACATTGCACCAGGGTGCCAATATTGTGATCTCCCACGACCATCCACGTTTCATCTGCGGTTACGAATACTTCAATTCTCTAGCAAGCCTTTTCAACCGCCAAGAGAAGAAGAGGGTGCTCTTTATGCACACGCCAATTGAGCATGAGAGCAGGGACATTCAGCATGGCGTGCGCATCGCGGTGAAGGTTCTCGAGTCTATGGTGGATGACTTGGATCATCAAGAAAGCTATGCAGAGTAAGGTGTATCTAGTATTATGAAGAACACCATGCAACCACATGAGATCAAGAGACCAACATATGCTCGTTGTAAATGTCTTGAAAGCTCTACCCATGTTCCTAGGTATTGACTCGTGACAAGGGACACATTGTACCCCCTAGAAATACTATTCGAATCCCACGATAAACACCAACGCTAATATGTCGCTTATAATATGCAGCAATGGCCAGCGTGTTTGTGCCGATAAGGCACATAAATTGTCATGATTATAATACCACTGGCTTGTTCTGTCGCTAAAGGCATAATTTTGTTCGTCACTGGGGGCCTCGGTCTTCCAAGTCCAAATGGTGGTCCATGGTGTGTGCGCTGTCCTTAAGTAGTTGGTGATCTTGGATCATAATCATGGTTGGAATACGGTCGATGGAAATATGCTCCTAGAGAAGAAACAGCGCTGTATTTATGCACCGCTGCTCTTTTACTGAAAGGGGTGTCAGAGCGAGTGAAAGAACACCTGGGCAAGCTGTGGGGCACATCCTTCAGCATTCGATCCTTGGGCCGCACTACAACGAGCGAGAAACGCGACCTTCTGCAACAGATCTCTCCTTTGAATAAGAGCAGGCTACCGCACAGAAACTACGAACGGGAGAACTATATCAGTTCATATTCGATAAAAACCCCTCCTAGGATTAGGCAGCTGTATTGTCAAGACCTTCAGGTAATCCATACCTGAACCTATTTCTTAGGAACCCATCTCCCTGCCAGTAGGGATACCTTGTATTCAAAACTCTCCAGCTCTTCTGCTGGCTCCAGTACCTGTCTGTAACTTGGTCCAATTTTCCTTCTCGTTTCCCTCGCGCTGTTGAATAGCTCTTCGGCCTCCTTAGTTCTCTCGACGGTGAGCTGGTCAGTTCTCGCTCCAATCACCAAACCGAGATGGTACCTCGCCCGTGCGATTGCTTCCTCACTACCTTTTCATTAGCCAGTGACACCGTGCTGGGACTCGGGTAGTTGCACATACGGCCAGCTTAGTTCGATATTGCTGAGGACTAAGCGCAAGTGGGATCTATATATGCATCAATTTCGCTGTACGCGTTGTTGGGGGAAGAGGGCTGATGAGACAGCGTGGAGCACTTACTCTGCCTTATCCAGCTTTCCTTTGAGCCGGTATAGCTCAGCAACCAAGTACAAGCTGTTTTTGGTGTGCAGATTCGTCTCGCCGAGGATCTCCTTCCTTGTATGGTAGACGCTCTTGTGTAAGCGCAATGCTTCGTCACCCTTACCAATATTCATCAAAACCACCCCGAGAATGGAGCGGGCTTTCTGTGTCGATGCATCCCTGTCAGTGCGTCCAGAGCAACAGAGCTGGCAAGAGTGTCGGGCTAGGTCTTCAGCGCCCGCCGCGTCCCCTTGGTAGAGCTTTACGAGAGCGAGATTTTTGTATAGCTCCCCGAAGTGCCAAGGTAGCTCATCCTCAGTGGCGTGTTTCTGCTTGAGCGTCTGCGACTCAAGGAACAATGGCAATGCCCCATCAGCGTCCTCGAAAGAAAGCTTAGCACAGCCCACGTCGTTTTTGGCATTGGCCAGCTGCAGAGCCGTAGAGGAAGTTATGACTTGGCCGCGCTCTTCAATCAACCTGATCCTATCTTCCCGAAGTTTGAGGGCATGTTCACACTTCTTCAACGCAGTCGCCCGTCCGCTTAGCCCAATAGTCTCGTGTACCGACCCTCCGATCGCAAGAAGGTCCGCGTGCACCAGCGAGATCTGTTCCGTGCTGGCCAGACTGCTGCAGACCTGCTCCCCCGTATTCAGGACCTCGATAGCGTCACCTGATAATGCACGTTCCCACATGTAGTTTGTGGCCGTGTCGGAGAGAAGTGTCGCGAATTCATAGGTTGGTTCCGTTTTCGGGGACCAATCCCTGTATACCGACATTAGACTGATGATGTGCGGCAAACACCGCTCGCATTCCACGACTGTCAGGCTCGTCGGTGTCTGCAACTCGTCACTCTTGGGGAACTCATGCCGAACCATGGCCACAGCACGCTTGAAGACAGTATCCAGGGAACGAGCTCCGGTATAATCCAATTGTTGAATGATATGTCTTTTAAGAACCCTGTGCATCGATAGGAAATTCTTGCCCAAGTCACTGGTCACTCCGACGAGGTGCCGATCGATTAGACTCTGCCTGATCTCGTTGAACCTAAAGAAAAGAATCAGCAGGTCTGTGGCATTCTCGATGGTGACGAGACTTACTCGAATCGCTTATCTTTTGATAGGAAGTCAAGGTCCTTGTCTGTCCAATCACCGAAAAGCATATCTTCGTCGACTTCATCGGGGCTCAGCATGGCCATGAGTTGAAGGGTTCGCCGAGCCTCCGGAGTGAGCGAGTTTAAGGCTAGGCGCCAGGCTTTGGCCATCGGTTCTCCATAGTGAAAATTTGTTGACACTCTCGAATCATATGCCTAAATTCTTTTGAATTGAGACGGGGCCCGGAGATTGTCCAGAATGCTATTCAGGGGCGCTCGTGTGCCTTCGACATAGCCTGCCACATGTGATAAGAGGAGAGGGAGACACCAAGCTCATGTGAGATATTGCGAGCTATGCTGACGGTCTCTGGAGAGTGCGTCTGGGTTGCATGATCAACGACCCCGAGTATGAGCTGCGCACCCTCATTTTCGTCGAACGCATCCAGATGAATACCAGTGGCTGCCCAATGCGAAACCACTCGACGCTGCGTTGTCACGATGATGGAACCGTGGGAACCAGGGGACCAGAAGAGTGACAGATCGACGTCAGGATCATCTGCATTGTCAAAGACCAGAAGCCAATTGCCATCTGTATCAAGTTAGTCAGACTCTTTGCTTACAAAGTCTTATCAAGGCAATGTACTCTGAACCAGCCAATCCTTTACTAATTTCACATTGGTGACTTGATCTTGAACGGCGGAAGCAGGAGTCAGGGCTCTTGCGAACCGTGCAAAGTATGTCAGTAGCTCAACGCTGTTTTCGGCTCTGACCCAGAAGATGTAAGCATAATCCTCTCGAAAGCGGTAGGTATACTCCAATGCGACCTGGGTCTTGCCCACTCCGCCGATACCGTGAATGACACATGAAGTTTGACCAAGTGATGGTGGGGTCCTTGCCGTGTTCCTCGGACGCAGGTTCTTGTGTAGATCATCCAGTACATTGTCCCTGCCCTGAAATCGATAGTTGCGGTGAAATGGAACGCCGTTCACTACAATCTGCCGCCGCAGATTCGCTTGGGTCAACCCAATGATGTGTTCGTGAGCGCGAACCCCCAGGCGGGTCCGGGCGATGTCGACTTGTGCCTGAAAGCTTGACGCATTCTTAGCCACCTGGAGACGGGTTCGCTCAAACTCCTTGCGCAAGCCGCCAAAGCTCAGACGCAGGAGTAGTTCTGGGACATGCGGTTAGCACTTATGGTTGCACATTCTGATGTGACTGGTAATGTCTCACTCCATCGCTTAGATTTGAGGAATAACACGGTGTCAATGCAGAAACTTATGTAGTTGAAATAAAGCTTCCTGAGGGGCTCATCCAACTCATATGCGGTGGGGAAGAGTGAACGATACTCTTCAAAGAGAGGGAGTTGCTGGGTCATCTCGGTAATCATTTCACTGATGGCAGCCATCGTATCCACGAATGTGTACCCAATCTGCAGTCGGTCAGCGACAATACTGGCTTGTTTTGAAAGTCTTACGCGGCCGTACCTTCAGTATCGCCTGGAGACTGCCCCAAACAAAACATGCGATGTCACTAGCCTGGCACACGGTGCTAATTGCAGCAGTAAATTCCTTAATTTGCTCAAGGACCGTAAGCTTCAAGAGTCGTCCCAGCCCACGCAGCGCCCTGCGGTCTTCGAGATCTCTTAGATAGATGTCGAAGGTGTCGAAGGAAAGCTTTGTGTCGACCTCCCCGAGATGTTTGCCCAGCCGGCGCTTCTGTACATTGAGTGTCTCTTCCCAGCGCACCCGCGACCTCATTTGCCAAGCCATGCCGCAGCAGTAGATACACTCGGGGGTTGCTCCTGCGCAGTTGGGACAGAGAAAGGTTGGAGTCAGCCCAGGCTGGAGATTCAGCGCTGAGGGCCGAGATATAGGACCAAAAATGACCATGCGACACATTTTAAGGCGAGATGAGGCCTCAGGGGGCCGGAGGTTGGGTTGCAGGTGTTGGGCCCAAGGCACGATTAGTGAGCGCTCGGAATGGGGGCCAAGAGGCAGACTCGGTGATGGCTTGTCATCGATGAGAGGGTGTGGGAGGACGAATATGACAGGATGGTAGTACGGTTGAACAGGAGGATAGGAGAGCATGAGATGTGAGTGGAGACGGAAGAGAAATCTAGCGAATCGAATGCGCTTGGGCAAGGCAAGAGCATTAAGCGCACGAAGAGAAGTTTTCTCGAGCCTGAGAGATTCATCAAGATGAGTTGTGTTGGCAATTTGGCCATGGCTTGCCCATTGGGCCTCTATTCTTGTCAGTTCGATCAAACATCAAACAGATCACGAAAGTTGGCTGTCAAACCCGATAACGTGGCACTCGTACCATGGCTGCCGAGGAGGTGCAAAAACAGGTCAGAGGTGTAGGAAGGGTAGCACATAAATGTGCAATGTCAGTAATGGGGATGAGTGGGGATCATGAATTGAATTGAGCCCTACTATGTTGAGACTTGAACTATTGCTGAACATGAGGAGTAGATATGTCACTGATTCTTACTCTCTCTAGCGAGAACTGATAAGAACAGGTCGAGCGACTGACCAGTTTGAAACGGTCGAAAGAAAGTGTGCCGTTAAGTCTCTTGATATACCAATGAAGTAGCCCTTATCTACTGTTTTCTTGACAGAACTTCAGGAAATCGTGTATCGGTGTAAGAGAATCAAGTCCAACATCCTAGAGGAAAGGCAATTCTCTCTGCCCAGCAGCGACAACTCCATAATCCTTCAAGCAAGCCACCCTAACACGTAGAAGTGTCAAAAGTAACCGCTCAGGGAGACCTTATCTTAGTCTACCGTCTTGGCTCCCAGCCTCTAGACCTCATGCTATCATGATATAACACAGAGTAGTGTTGGTATAGAGCATATTGGATACGGAATGAACCACTAGCACCGTGGGGCAGGGGCCCGGTCAGGACATTGCCCTGTGGCCGTGCAGTCAGGCTATTTTTTATCCAGCCGGTAGAAACAAGTTATCAGTGACGGAGACAAGTGTGGGGCTATTTCCGAGACGGGAAACCGCCAGCATAGGTGGGTTTTTCCACACAGAAGAAGACAATAGTGTCTAGCAAGGGCTCAGGCTCGGTTCAGGCTCAGACCGTATCAACTCACCCTTATGCACGAGGAAGGAAATTGCTGAGGGGAACTTTCGGGTGTGACATTTATCTGTAATGACGACATTCGAGCTTTCTTGAGATCATGCTTTTGTACTCTTGCTTCCACGAAAAGCTGTCTGTTGATTTCTTATCCCATCAGCAGACAAAGTGGAATTCTGACCCGTGCACATAAGGATGACACTGCCATACAAGAGACCGGGCTCCTGGGATCTTGGATATCGAGTTGCTCTTCAACACGGACGACATTTAGAATGGACGTCCAAGATACAGCCAACGAGCTAGAGGCATGGATTAAGCGCTCGCTACCGAGGCGCATCTCAGCCGCACACGACTGGATCTCAGCTGCACATGACTTGGCATGCGCACCTGCGCAAAACCAAGTTTTACCGACCCAACGTCGATGGAATCTATCTCCCACCATCGTCAAGCCAAAAGGGATAAATCAATCTCCCTTGTGTTACCCCTAGGCCCCAGGGACCATGCGTCTTATCAACACAAAGACGCTCCGGCTGAGCGAGTTCTTCGGCGATGCGGTCCCCGAGTACGCCATCCTCTCCCACACATGGGGCGACGAGGAGGTCGACTTCCGCAGCTGGTCCATCGTCCAGGACTTCGACGCCGAGGAGGCCAACCCTTCTGGCGCCCAGCGTCGCCGCCGCCGCCTCCGCGCGGCCTGGCCCCTTGGCGGTGGGTCCCGCGACGACCCCGTGGCCGACGAGGTGCAGCGCATAAAGGCGCTCTCGGGCTACGCCAAGGTCGTGGCCGCCGCGGGGCTCGCGCTGCGCGAGGACGGCCTCGAGTGGGTGTGGGTCGACACGTGCTGCATCGACAAGTCGAGCTCGGCGGAGCTGTCCGAGGCCATCAACTCCATGTTCCGGTGGTACGCCGGGGCGGCCGTCTGCTACGCGTACCTGGTCGACGTGCCGGGCGGGCTGACGGAGGAGCAGTGCGGGGCCGAGGGCAGCGCGTTCCGGGCGAGCCGCTGGTTCACGCGCGGGTGGACGCTGCAGGAGCTCATCGCGCCGCGCGAGGTCGACTTCTACGCGCGCGACTGGACGCCGCTGGCCAAGAAAGGGCACGTCCTGCAGACGCTCGAGGAGGTCACCCACGTGTCGTACTTTGCGCTCTCGCACGACTCGGAGCTGTCCGAGTTTACCATCGCCGAGCGCATGTCGTGGGCTGCGGGCAGGCAGACGACGCGCAAGGAGGACGTGGCGTACTGCCTGCTGGGCCTGTTTGGGGTGCACATGCCGCTGCTCTACGGCGAGGGGGACAGGGCGTTTGTGCGGCTCCAGGAGGAGATCATCAGGTACGATCCGGATATCTCGTTTCTCTCCTGGTGCTATCCCAAGGAGGTCATCCAGTATGATGTGGAACCTGGGACGTGGCAAGTGACATCGACATGCAGCGTGCTTGCAAAGAACCCGGCGTGCTTTGATAGCGCGTCTGGGCTCATCCCGACCTACATTCCGGATTGGCTGGATGACGCTGTCAGGAGCGTCGATTATGATGACTATGACCATGGCTACGAGGATGAGCCAGAACCAGAAGAAGAATCAGATCCTCCTCTTTTCTTTATGTATCCGCACAGGATCACGAATTTGGGCTTGCTCACATCTCGGCCGCTGATCCGGACACTCGTGGACGGAGTGTACATGGTTGCTCTCTCGTCTTTGGTAACGGGCTCGAAATCTGATGGAACGGACCACTGGATGCCAGTCGCTGTCTGTTTCTTAGGTGTTGCAAACCGGTACACACGTCTAGCCTTCCCAAGCCCAACGGTCACAGCTCGAAGCAAACCACTCCGAGAGGCAATATTAGCCATGAACTTGCTCGACCAATTCATGGATCGTCACAAGCCGCAAGAAATGTTCATTGCTCTCGACGTCTCCAGAGGGGCGCAGCTGGTGCAGTCGAATACACAGTCAGACGACGCTCCCGGGGTGACAGGCGTCTTCGTCACGTTCCCTGTCGAAGACGGCCAGGCCAAGGACTTGGACCTGTCTGTCTGGCCGCCCAAAACCACGCCTGGAAAACTGCCCTTCATAGAGCTTCGGGGGAAATCAGAGCAGAGGCTGTCGTACGGGCTGCTGCATTTTTATGACGAACACAATGCGGTGTCCTATGGGGTCCTCTTTGTGGCGGAAACGGATGCGAGCGGCAAGCCCACCAAATGGACTTGCCGGGTCATAGAACGGGCTGGAAGAATACTTGGCCACTCTGTGGAAGGATGGGTTGAGGATGAGTTGAGCAAGGCCATGGAGAGCTGCTCAGAGGATCAGCCGTGGCCGACTACGCATATCATGGAGCGGAAGTGCGCAGTGGTGATGGAAGATTCGCTCTGGACGGGGAAAAGGCGCGGCGTGCCCTCGAAGTCGTACGGGCGGCATGCGTTCCACACGCTGATGGCGCATATCATCTTCTACTACCCAGTGCCCGCTGCCTGCTGAGATATGAAAGCATGCGCAGGTGCTGGTTGGAGCCTTGTCGAGAGTCGTGTTCGGCGGTGATCAAGGTTCCTCGTAGCTGGAGGCGACCGGGTAATTGCTGCCAAATACGAAGTGTTCAGGTCCAGGGCACGGACCTCTGCCGGCCAAAGATGCCCTTTGGTGTTCGATTTCTGGTCGGGCTTCGAGCCTGTAGCTATTTCCATCATGCATACTCTATGAACCGATTGATGGGTTCGGGAACAAAGTCTGGGTCGGATAGATGCATTGGCGGCGGGCGAGATTGGCCGTTGGCGCTGGGGCTGATGGTCTGGTCGGCCGTTTCAAGGGACCGAATAGCGGCATGCGTTAGTGCCCGCAGCTACTAAATGAGCCTCGGTCCTTGTGCAGAAGTCTGCCGAAGTCACAATTACATGTATGTAGATACCTGTCTGATCCATCGGTGGAGGGGTTTTATCAATCATCTGATGAACCGAAAGTCTGACGAGGGGCTCCCACCACTTGGTGCCTCTAGGTTACTTTATGCTGTTGGAATGGAGATCTCGTCATCGGGGCGACGGACCTCAGTCAACACTCCACTGTGCCCTGAAGGACTCGAGGCAGTCCTGGAAGCCTGAACATGGACGCCTCCACTGCTGGGATGGTGGGATGACTCCACTTTTCTGGTCCCTAGGCCCCCCCTTGGGCCCCTGTTCCTCGTTATTACAGCACTAAATAAGCCTGGCCTCGGACGCCCAACGCCAATTGGCAAAAAAAAAAAGTGTCAGGGAGCTGGCAACGCGAAGATGGATCAACACTCCAAGTACAAAACCATGACACACTACAGAAAGCTGCTAAAGGAATGCACAATTGCGGCTTAGCGCTAGTCATCGCCTCTGCTGCCATGGACTGAGACATGGCTGCTTCGTCTTCCATTCCTCCCGTATCCCGAACGATTTGATGCTGTCAGCGAACAACTGTCCGTTCAACATCGCACGCTTCCTGCCATGAGCAATTGAACTGCAACCCACCGCGAGGCACATGGCGCCACCAGCTTCTGACGCCATCTCCACGTCCTCCACGGCCAACCGAATCATCCCAAGCGATCGATTGGTACACCTAACGTTTCCCTGGGTAGCTTATCCCGAGTCCGAGTGCGCGTGTACCTCGAGATCCACGCAAGCACAACGGCATCCATGAGCTCTCCGCTTCTGCACCGTCGACAGCCGCTGCTCCCAGCTATCTCTGTTTCTTCGTCGACAACCACTCCGCCCGACCGACACGAGCCTCGATCCTCAATCGCCTGAAATCGCTTATCGCCAGGCGCAGAGTGCGCAACTCGCGCCCGCGCCTCGCCAAACCCTGCCAGCCATGTTCCAACGATTCCACCGGCGTGGTCCGTCCAACCCAAGCTCTCCCTCCTTGCCTGACCAGACCAGTCCGTGGGATACAGCGTCGTCTCCAGACCAGCTCCAACCGCCCAAGGAGCCATCGTCCCGCGGCGATGCGCGCTCCCAGTCACCTGGCGCCTCAAACCTCCCGCCATCCCTACCCCCGATTCCCCGCGTTCTCTCTGGCGACTTTAGCTCGTCATACCCTTTCGAGCACCAGAACCACCACCACGACCACGGGCCTGATCCTGCCCTCCGCTCCGATTCGCAGTCTCCGCCCACGAAATCGCCATACAATGGCACCGACCAGGGGTTCATCGGCGGCGTGGCCTTGAGGAAATACCGTCAGAGCATGCAGGATGCTGGGAAAGATGCCGAACTGCCTGCTCTCCCAAGCCAAAACAATAGACTGCCCGAAAACCTGCTGTCGCGCTCAAAGCCGCCGCCGCCGCCAATCGATACAAGTTTCTCGCAAAGACCCCCTCCCATACCTCTCAAACAGGTCAAGCCGGCATCCTCGTTCGCAACGCCCACCGAGCTCCAGAATGTTGCCGCGGGACCGGCACGGCGGCCAGCGGGCACCCGGCTTGCCAGCGACTCTACGGTGGCAGCATCGACCCAGCCAGTCAGCGAAACCCACAAGGCACGCAAAGGCCTCCCCTTCCTCAAGAACCCCATGTCCACCCTGTTGAACCGGAGGAGAGCCGGACAAGGGCCGTCAGATATATCGCCTGTCCCTCCGCCTGAAGAGCCAAACGAGTTTGCCTACGCCCCGATCCGAGGCACTCGAGTGCATGACTTCAGCGCCCCGCGACCGAAGCCTCGCCCCGGCCAGCCAGGGGATGGGAAGACATCTGGGCGGCGCGATGCTCTCGGCCTGCCCATGGACAGCAGCTACGGATCGATGGGGCAAAGTAGTGACACGACCGGCCCTTTTACTGAAATTTCGAGTGTTGCCAGCCATGGCAAGCCGTCGGGGCTCATTAAGAGCGTCTCTGGTCAGAGTTGGGCTTCTGAAGACCGTCATTCTGAGGCCGAGACCATCCCTCCCGTACCTCCAAAGGATAGCCCTGATCCGAATGCCCAGAGAAAGTCTCGCAGCTCGAAAACTCCGTCCATCGACAGCTCACCGGGCCAGGTACGGTACACGCCTTCTGATCGAACTGGAAGATCAAGAAATGTATCTCTATCCGACGCGTCAATCAAGGATGGGCCGAGTGCAATCCCTCGCCACATGAAGAGCACCTCGTCCCGGTTCAGCTTCATGGTGGGCTCCGCTAATCAAGAGCTTTTACTCGAGGAAAGGCACAGGCAGAAGGAACTCGAGAAGCAGGGCTCAACACCCAATGCTGGCACCCGAGACTCGCGTTTTGATGACTTTGACGAGGACAGCTTCGACTACGACGCCATGATGGATGACGATGGGCTGGAGGAGAGGATACCCGGAGTCAACGCCGATGCGGAGGATGATTATGCTTTTGAGGAGGAAAACATCTACGAGAATGAGAGCGTCTACGAAGACGAGATGGACCCGGACAACGACCAGGAGAACTTTGCGGGCTTTGTCTTTCAGAGATCCAATCCCACTTCATCACTCGCCACACCGCATACTGCTGGCAACACCATCACTCCTAGAGATGCCACGGGTAATGCGATCGGTTTTGCGATGACAAAGGACCAGACGCCAGATGTTTCCCAGCCCCCTTCGGCGACAACCTATCAAATGGAGGAGGCGACGCTCCGGCTCAAGGCAGATGATATCGAAGGACTCGGTATCCAAGGCCTCAGGTTACGAGATCAGTCAGAGGGCCCAGAAGACGCCGTGCCTATCACCGAAGAACAAACCGAACCACGGGGTCAGAGGCTCTCTGTTGACATACCCAAACAGCCGACTAACCTGGACGATGGACTCTACTTCGACGAAGGACTGATGGACGAACTCAACTTTGGCGATCCAGGGTCGGGCGACAAGTTCGACGAGTCGATCTTTGACCTCAACGACACCGATGAATATGGCCGTCCCATTCCCGGCGCCTTTGCCCAAGCACAGGCGCAGCGATTAGCCATGAGCCAGGATGCCTCAAAGCGCGAGAGCAATGCCACATCGCGCTTGTCGGGGCAGTCTCAAGTATCGCAGTCGACGACGCATACCTCTATGAGTGTGGGGCTGCAGCACATGACCTCTATCTCGGAGAAGCGCTCTGAACCTGAGACATTTCCTCATGGGCATGAGATCGTGCCGGCAATGCTCCAGTCGCCTCTGACTGGACAAGACAGAGTTGCTGCGTATCAGGCCGCCTTGGCTGAAGCCGCCCACAAGGCCGCCGCGTCGGGCAAATTCCGCAGAGGCTCATCGCCTCCACCACTAGGAGACTCGACACTGCTTTCTCCCTCCGCTGGTGAGCAGGATGAGCTGGACGAGTATGGACAAGAAGACCCAGCATTTGACGACTATGACGACGGGGCCTTCACGCAGGATATGGACGACTACGACTTCGACGATGATGCTATCATCGCGGCTGCAAATGCCGAAGCGCTCGCAAACGACATGGATGGTTTCTACGGCCAAGAGTTTGGCTTCTACTCGGCCCCGGCTCACCAAGGCCATGGACATGGGCATTCTCCATCGAAGCCGGCATCCACTGGTTCTGCCCCCCTCAATGAGCAGAACCTCTACGAGTATGCGGCTGGTGGCTACTTTGGGCCCTCTGGCCTCGGCAGATCAAAGAGCGGTCGCATCGTGTCCCGCGAGCCCAACCTGACGCCTATCACGGAGCGCTCGGAGTATTCGAATCGCAACAGTGTCATGTCCTTGGGCTTCCCACCCGGTGGCGTTGGCAGTGCTGGTGATTTGAGGTCTCCAGGCCTGGCTCAGCTAGCCATGATGGCCGACGACAGCGACATGACGCTGTCGGCACTCATGCGTCTCCGCAGTCGCGCTTTCGGCGGTAGCCAGGCCAGTCTAGCGTCGAGCAGGGAGGGGAGTCCCAAGTCGGCAGCTGGAGACCGCGAAGGTGCAACCTCGCCTTGGAATATCAACGGTGGCCAGACGGGATTTCTGGGCGTGAGAGACAGCTCACACGGCCGCATGGGGTCGCAAACGGGGTTTTCCGTCCGGAGCCGTGATTCCGACGCGGGGAGTGCGAGCGGCAGCCCGACTCTGACGATGAACATGCCGATGCCGGTCTCGTCGCCTTCGCCTATGCCCATAATCCCGCCGCTGCATCCGCATCGCTCGCAGAGTCCTGCCATGATTGGCTCGCTGAACGGGTGTCCGCCGGTGCTCGAGGACGACGAGACGTTTGACGACACGGAACCGCCGAGCGCTATGACCGGCGCGAGCACCGGCAGCATGGCCAACTCGGGCCTTTGGATGAGCCCCGGCGAGGGCCAGCAGTTTTCACAGGGTAGTGGTAGCCTGTCATCTCCGGCTACGAATACGGCGACGACGATATCGCCCCAGCAGCAACAGGCGCCGCCGGGGTACCCGCCCAGCGCGTCCTCGTCGTCGCGGTCGCGGCCGGGCATGGGTCACCGGCACAAGGGCTCGGCGGACAGCATTTCGTACATGAAGGAGGAGGAGGAGAGCGGGGAGACGCGCTGGGTCATGGAGCGGCGCCGCACGGCCGAGACGGGCGAGGTGGAGATCCTCGAGAGGGGGGTCGTGGAGGGCGGGAGGATTTAATACATCGGCGTTCTGCATATCATATCTCGACTTTTGTGATAGAGAAGGGGGCAACATTATATTAGCGATATATCTCGATACGGAGTGTGTTTTTGCTCGGGAGTCACACTTTCTTTTGGTATCATATAGAGAAAAGCAAACGCTGAGGATGGATCGGCTTTTAGGGCGTTTTGATGGGAAAGACCTGGTAGGCACGACGGTGCTGCTCGGCATAGCATTTGGGGAGTCCGCAGGCAGGAGATAATATGACGGATCTGACTTTACCTGCTGCGTCCTGGCACGCTTGTCGCGCGTGATATCTTGTCCAATGGACAGAATTGAGGCTTGTTGGTCGGCCTCCCGCATATGCAGCTGCATGTGCCATTGGTTGGTCCCTCGTGGAGGCCATGATGGCTGTTCGTGGAAGAGATCTCACCTGCAGAAAGCGATGGGGTTGCCCTGCTCCAAGCTTGTGGACCTGCTCATCATGTTGTTCAGCGGCTACATCTTTGTTCCCGATACATTCAGAAAGTGCTGATATATCGGTGAATCTGGTGTAGCGGGGGCTTCAAAACACTCTGCCATGACGCGGACGGTCAAACTCTGGACGCCTTCACTCGAGCGAGAGTTCCATAGTGCTGTCCAGGAGCTGCACGGGGTGACGCAAATTCCCTCGAGACCGGAAGGATACGCTCATGCGCCTAGTCCGACAACACCAGCAGGGTCTCATGTTCTGTCGTTGCAGGATGAGAGCCAGCTGGCGGACGACCTGGCGTTCCTGTGCCATTGCCAGGACGGCGTGCAGTACGTGTCAGCGGTGACGGTGCAGGAGCATGATGCAGGCCTTGTAATCGTTATTGCAAGCAACGAGACGCCCTCGGATGAGGTCGTTGATGGGTTGAAGAAGATCCTGGACATTGTAGTTGAATATGGGAGCGTACGTAGGTGCTACACTTGATTGGGACCAACACCGCACCGTTCACCACTGACAAGAGATGGACAGAACGCGATCGCGAGAACTTTTGTCAGAGATTGTTCGATGAGGTCCTTCGTCTCAACCAGGCTAGGATCCTCGGCCGTATTCGGCCTCCAAGCTGGCAACCGCCACCGCATATCGCCAACAGGGCCAAGCAGAAGCCTTCTTTATATTCTGACGTGCGCCACGCCATGAAAATCCTCAGAACAAGCGCGAGCTCCTTGCAAGGCATGGAAGAGATATCTTCAAGACTTGAAGAGCTGAGAGATTGCTTGCGTCATTTCAATCACTCTTGGCATCCGGACAGCCCATATAACGGCATTGACCGTATCGTCCAAGCATGTGTGGCGCTGGCAAATCTGGGCGATCGACGCTCTCTGGAGAAACACCTCGAGTCTCTCGGCGTCGCGGCCAACACTACGGAGAGCGCCGTCGCTCGGCAGATCGATAAGCTGGCGCGATATTCTCTGCTCTGCAGGAGCCTTTTGCGCATGGCGAGGCAGCAAGAGTACAACAGCCTGTTCAGAGCCGTCTCGGTGGTCGCCCTGCCAGCTTTTCCAGCCATAGCCCGACGAACAACGGGCCAGATTGCGAGCCACGAGTGCCACGTCCACGCAGAGGTGCAGCAGGTCCTCCACTACGAGCAGAACCCGTACGCTCCGCGGCCAAGGGCCATCGGGTGCAGCAAGTCTGCGTGCTACCTGTGCGATATGTTTATCGCCCAGCAGGGAGATTACATCATCACGCATGCCCATAGGCGGCTGTACAACAAGTGGACGCTGCCGGACGCGACGTGGATGGATCGTGCCCAGGTGCAGCGTTATCGGGGCGTTCTCAGAGCCATGGTTCGTCTTTTGCAAGGGCAGATCCAGATGTGCCGTCGGCCAGGACAGGTTCCCGGTCCGTACCCTAATGAGAGCGTGGCCGTCCTGCGGACTTTTCTCAGCGACTCAACACTAAGTCGCGGAAGCAGTGTTGGGAAAGAGAGTGTCGTCCGGAGCTCCTTTGGGGAAGCTCGCTCGTCCTCCAATGGCTCCTATTCAACACTCTCGACGATTGTTGAGTTGCAGGAGTTACCCCTGGAACAAGAGCTTAACTTCGGCCAAGGGCCAGTCGAGGTCGAGGTGGGCAGATCGGTCTTCTCCTTTGAGTCCCTCAATAAGCAGTCAGCTGTTTTGTTGGTCGCACGCTTGGCTGCACCGGCCGGAGGTTTGGCGCGCTCTGTTGATGTTGACGACATACCCACAGATGATGAGATGAGGGTCGCATGCTCCGGGAGTTCGTCTGAAGTCAATTTCGACGTGCGGGTCGACGAGGGGCTTTTCGTCCATGTCACAGTTCGGTGGGTCGAGGCAGAAGGTTCTGTGGAATGACCGAATGGCGAATTGAGCAGAAATGCCCAATCTTGGTTCGCGTTATCTTTCAGATGTCGTTCGTTTGACAGGAGGCTGCGCGGGTATTTGTCGCGCTACTTGTTGACGGTCGCGTTTCAAGATCTATGGTTCGCCTACCGGAACCTCACTTTATTCAGGTTGGGAGAGCTTGGCAAGAAAAGGAAGTATGGCTCTCCAATAAGGATAGACTTTGGCTAGACCTGAGTGCTTCCCGGGTTTATCATGAGGGAATTAACCACCGGACAAGTTTACGGACATCAATGGGTGGTAGCCGGAAAAGGACACAAAAGCAGACCGACATTCGAAACTTTGTCAACTTTGTCCCGGCCTCTTTCCTCTTCTCTAAAGTTTTCTGCTTCTTGACTAAAACAAGGCTTTGTAAGCTGTGCCGCCAAGATGGTCCGTTCTCCGGCCTTTGCATCGTTGCTAGTTGCGGGCCTGTTGGCCGCTCAGGCAGCCGCAGCTCCTCCTCCGTCGGCAGACAAGGAAGAGCTGCGGTCTCACACCTTGCCCATCATCATGCCTGACCCGAGGCCTACGGTGGCACCGGTTGATGAGGAGCCTCTTCCTCCCATCGTCGTCAGCGGCGGCGGCGACCCTGTCCTTTCGCCCAACCCGGCCCCTCTGACGACCGAAGATATACCATTAGATGACGAGGCACGCAAAGCAAACGAAGTCGGCAAATCCGGCGAAACCAGGAAAGGCGACAATGTTCTTCAGAAGTTTGCCAAGAAACTCAAAAAGATCTTCCATCGAGGACCTCCTCCGCCGCCCCCGACCCCGGAGCCTTGGTACCAAGAGCAGCTCCTGGCAGCCAAGTTCGGGACGACCCAGACAGGCATCCTGCCCCTGGAGACCGACATCTCGGACGCACTGCAAGCTCGGGATCTCGATCACAGAGACCATGCTATCGCTGCCAACGCCGCCGCTCCTACAGCTGCAGGATTCCGGCATGAGGAGGAGTTTCCCTTCCACCCGTCCTTCAGCAGAAAGACACTCTACAAATTGGAGACACTGAGCATCACCGGATCGCTGCACAAGCCCACCGAGGAGGCCAAGCCGGACCCCGACAAGAAGAAGAAAAAGGAGAAGAAGGAGGACAAGAAGAAGAAGAACGACGATGACAAGCACGTGACCGACCTGCTCAATGCCATTGACAAGATGCACACAACGACGACCACCACCAAGACCACCACCAAGACTAAGACTATGACGACGGCCAAGCCCAAGAAGCACAAGGCGGCCGGCGTTATTGTGGAGGACATCCCCGACTGGAAGACGTATCTCGCGGGGCCGGGGCCGGTTGTGGCGCAGGCTCCTACGCCGACGGTTGAGAGCACCGTCACGCTGCTCAAGACCAGGATCAAGTTCACGACCCGGACGTCGGTCCGGACGCGGACGCTGTTCCAGACTGTGTGGAAGCAGTTTACTGTCACTGGCTTTGTCACTGCGCAGCCGACGCAGCCTGCGGATGCCACCTCGAGTGCTTGAAGTTGTAAGGGTCCTGAAGGAGGTTGGTATGGTGGGCAAGGTCTGGGAAAAGTTATTGGTGATAGTTCTCGTTTTCAATGAGACTTTGCTTTTGTTTTGTTCTTCAGGGCTTTGGATTGTCATATTATCTTTTCGCAACTCGGTAATGGGAAACCAAGCCTTCTCTTTCGCTGCAGTGACATCGTGCCATGCTTGTTCCATCCCGTGTCTCTTCGTGTCGTCATAAACCCTGCCGCCGTTGGGCCGTGTCCGCCTTGCTCGCCGAGTCGCCGTAATAAGACTACATGTATCTGTAGTTCAATTTTCCTTCGCCTTTCTTCGCCGTTTCCGGCGCCGCGACCCCAGAGTCACCAACGACCTCTTTCATTTTCCCCTTTGATGCCGGCTCGTCCTCCTTCGGCAGTTCCGGTAGGTCTTTGGCATCCGCAGGCTGCTTCCCGTTCTTGGCGTACGCTGCCACCTCGGCCGCCGCTTTCAAGTCTCTGTCTCTGCGTCTGCCGCGTAGGATGAACCAGCCACATACCATGAGTGGTATGGCAACGCCAACGGTAATCCCGACGCCAAGCCCGATAGCCAACTTGGTAGATAGATCATCCGAACCATTGCCACCGACATCATGTGGTGAGTCTGTCCTCGTCGGTACGGCAGGGCTGGTCGTCGTCGTCGTCGTTTCTTGGTCTCGGCATGGGCCCCATGATCCCGGATTGTATGTCAAGCGGACATAGGTACACTGTTTGGCGAATGCGTCAATACTTGTTGAAGAAGATTGACGAAAACCCCATGGGGACTAGAAGTAGTAACTCGCCGTATTCATAATGGCTCGTGTTTTTGAGCCATTGTCTCCAAAGACTACCATCGCCGTCCCCAGAGTCACATTCATGCCTTCAAACCCAGGCACCAGGTAGGCCATGGCCTTCTGCTGGTACCAGTGCTCGAACCGGTCGGTGAGGTTGAGCGTGTACTGGCCCAGCCCGTCGCGCAGCGGCGTGCAGTACGGCCCCAGCGCGGACGCGAACCTCGTCGAGTTCCAGGACCAGCCGTCGAGGTAGATCCAGTTGTCCCGGCTCACGGTCGTGTTGTCGTTGAACTGGCCCAGGTACGCGTTGGCCATGTACTTGTCGCCGACGGGCAGGGCCGAGGCCGGCACCAGCGAGGTCAGGTTCCATCGGATCTGCCCGCCGGCGACGGGGAAGTCGACCCGCGCGGCGTCGGGCGGAATCGGCACAATCGCACACGCAAACTCGGCCTGGTCTCCCTCGGGCTGCGGGCCGACGGGTCGGCCGTCGACGATGGACTCGTGCGCGTTGTGCGGCGGCGGCCAGAGGAGGTCGACGTGCGCATCCTCGTCGACCCAGGCCCGGCTGAGACGGCAGCACGAGAGGACCAGGCCGAGAGAGGATACGAGCGTAGGCGGTCTCATCTTGAGTTCCGGCTTGAGTGCCTCCCAGTGGCGGTAGACCTTTGGAAAGTAGCCGGGAGGGCTCGAGGAGAGACCATGCTCCCGAAATTTGACGTTCTCAAGGACTTGTCAGATTACAATGTTGCCTGGTGGGTGAATCCTTCGAACCCCTCCTGTGCCCGTGGCCGAAGGCAGTTAGCGATAGTGGGGTGAAGCTGACATGTTGACTTAATCGGGCTGGAGGCCAGTTGTTAGCGGATGTCTGGTAAGTACTTCGATGTGACCTCGATGTCATACCTGTTCATGAGTCTTTTCAACTGCCGCAGGGTTGTCCTAGAACTTGAATGCCAGCACTATCCTGAGGCGTTGCTGAGAGAACATGTCTTGCCTGGCGCTTCGCTCCGGATGTTTCCCAAGATTGACCTTCGTGATGACTTTGCTTTGGGCGGTCCTGCAGTGCGCCCCTGGAGTTCAAGATGGAGATACCTCAGTGATGTAATTATGTAGGCCTGATGCCTGATCCTGATACTTTATGCAGTCCTATTTGTATCTTGACGTTGGAACTTGAGAGTTAAGGAAGGTGCAAAGACTGGGCTGGGGGGGGCACAAACGTTCCACCAACACCATCCTGCGCAAATCATTCCATGCCACATAATTCCACAGGGCTATGCCCGTTAGTATGCTGTGACTCAATTTCAGCATTCACACCTGGCTTATCGCCGTTGAATAGAAAACTCCAATTATCTGGGAGCAAAGTTGACTTCAATTCCAGCCATTCTTCCATGCATTGGTGGAATACGTGGCTTAAATATTTGCTAGTTCGACAACCTCCATCGTCACCTTTTTACTCCCGAGATGGGATCGAACCCGATTTCAGATCTCGCTCTCGTGTGAATGTTCCAAGTCTTTCAGCTGGCTCTTCCCTTCTTCCGTTGTAGCATCAATAATGGCCTTTTCGAGACTCAGGCAGCCGGACTTGGAACAGAACAAGTAGTTAGCATAAAGACCAACGCCAAAGCAATCACAGGTGATAACTTACGTCCCCTAGAAGACCGACTAGAGTCTCTGCATCTGCCACGTCCATCTTTGCCAGAACCTTATTGACCTCTTCCAACGAGCCAGTCTCCAGAGCGGCCTTCATATCAGGCTCAAAGGTCTCGAAAATCGACCTGGCCTTCTTGCCATCGTCGTCTGCGCTGTCGGCCGGTGGGATCCGGATACGGATCTCGGTGTCTTTATCCACAGCATAGAGCTGTATCTGTTCTACACCGCCTTCAACGCCTTCCTCACGTCGCTTGGCGTGCTTCTTCACTGCCTGCTTGATATGCTCGACTTTCTCCGAGACTTCCTTCTCGAATAGCGCGCGGGCCTGGTGCCCTGGGGATGTGATGCGTTTGAAGAATAGCGCCACGCCATCTGGGCCTAGGAGACGGCACCACTGTAGGATCAAGGCTTGGTGCACAAACTGTCGTGCCTGCTCAACATCGTTTCCTTCAAAGACTGTGTTGAATGCCTCAACCAGAAGTCCGTCTGTCTCGGCCTCGCGGAGGATCTCAGGGTGCGCTGAAATGAACTGCTGACTAGCGTGGAAGTCATTCCTCTTGATCCGCGCAAACTCCTTCGCAACAGAAGAGGCGCTCATCTCCTCAGCATTGTCATCTAGGGGGTCCAGTGCGTCTGCGCCAGTAGTAGCTGATGCCGCGCTATAGTCTGGATTAAGCAACTCGAGAGTGGTCCCCTTTTACGAGGTCGTTCCGGAATTGTCCTTGTTGACGTGCGAGCTATCAAACCCTGTGTGATAGCTGTCGCTGGTGATCTTCGTGGTTTCGAGCTTCTCCAATGCAGCAAGGTTTTCTTGCAGATCCTTCTGACAGCTTCGGATTTTGTCTAGATGGATCTGGAACTGGTCGAGAATGGTCTTGAAGCTTTCCTCAGGGGCATGTTGCTCATCCCTGAGGTCCTTATGAACTTGGTCCAAAATGCCCATCAGCATCTTGGTGTAGGTAGGCAGGGCTTGATCTTTCTCGTAAACGCCTTCTGGACGAGGTGGCGGCTCATCGGTCTTCTCATCTCGCGGAGCCAGCTCCATGATAGTCCGGAATATAACATTAGATACATCAGTTGAAGCTATTCGATCATTGGTCAGCCTCAGTTTGGAGAGCAAGGTAGAGAGGCGCTCCTCAAGAGCAGCGTTGATCACTCGTTCGTATTTAAGACCCTCGATTTGCAGTTTTCGTTGTTGCCGTTCCAGGTGGATCTGGTTTTGCTTTGCTCTAATGAAAGATCGTTTGTCGACATTGGGATGTACCTCGATATCAGAGTCGTCGCTGAGCTCCAGCGCATCCTGCCAGGGTGCTGATCAGTTCTGGGCACGACTTGCCGGCAAACACGAGAGCTCACCCATTTGCTATAATCGACCATCGTGACAGGTATTTTTGTCGAAATGGTACGCCACGTTTCGCTGATGGCCAAGATCGATGTGCGCCCCAAGATCAGACTAAGCGGTTGTCTATGATGGAAGGGTCCTCCGAATGTGGGTTGAGGTTGGACTAGCATGACTGCCTAGAGGATGACTGACCATTTTGCCAAGTGCGGGGCTACACCGATTTGAGGGAGGGGAGCTACGGATAAATGAGGAGACCTGCTCGGGGCACTGTTACCTTTTGTTGCGGGCACGGCTTTTCCACACCGCCTTCATTTTTCCCCCACTCACTAAATGAGGAAAGGCAGATGTCGAGACAATGATGCTGCTGCAAGAGAGAGACCAGCGAAGTAGGTTGAGGAATCACGCTTTGTACCTCCTGAAAATCCTGGACATCTGGCATGTCGACGCAAGCATTCCGACGTATCGCCGTCTAGCAGACTTGAGGAGGCAGCTTACTGTGGCGAAGCGATGAAACTCAGATTACCAACACCTAATAAGAAACTGACCACCTGAGCCTTAATGAAACGGCCAACATGCTTGAACATAGTCATCTGACTTGCGATTGTTTCGTTTCTTGGAGTTGACCCATCAAAGACCACAAGCGCTCGTTGTCACATCTAAACTTAGATGGAAGGAAGCCTTTACTCTCCCAGATACGCAGGCGGCAATGTATCGAAACCAACCATGTCCAGTGCTCAAGACCTATTGTCATAGTTGGCCGCCTGCGTTCACCTTGATCGGCTCCACCACTACCAGGCTCAATTTGGGACAACTTTTACCGCGCTACGGCGGCGGCAGCACCACCTCGGGATGAGCTCCTGATTTGGATTAAGTTTGTGTGTGAGTTCTTATGTTGGGCGCCCATTTTCAGCCTTGAGCAATGGTCAAGTCATGGATAGATTCACTTAGCACATCTGTAATTGCAAGCAACTTGGAGAATTGGAAGAACTTACTGTATGCATCTCAGTCTCAGTAATCCCCCTCATGATTTGACCCTAGGTTCTGTCTTTACAGACTCTGAAGAAGTCCTCTGACGCCAAGTCCGATCCTGCGGAACATTCAAGTTACTCAGCCATCCGGCGCTGCAAACCTGAAAATCTCGAGAACCAACAGTTTAGCTAGTGTTTTATTCTGATGTTGTTATTTTGTGTTGGTTCTTCTCGCTAGACGCTATTGGTTCCCGGAAGCGCTGAAGTGGGTCGAGTCATATCCGCCGCCGTCCCGGCCAGTTCGGCCATCCAAGGTAGCCCCCGGCCCGGCCATGAGCGGATCCAGTGGCGAAGACCCGGTAATGCCCATGATGTTGGAAGGGGACAGCCCTCACAGCCTAGCACGAGGCGCTTCCATTCACACCTCTTAGAGTCTACGACAACGAGATGGACGCCGTGCGTAGTATAGTATATATATTTTCCCACAAGTCGCCTGTCAAAATCTTGTTTGACGTCAAACTAGCCACTTATGAATAACTCACACCTCTCTGATCTACTCCACTGAACTCTACTCAACACAAGCTCTTCTTTCGACGACTATCGTTTTACCTCCTTACTCTGATCCTACCATAAATGAAAATGGCCCAGCTGCCGGGCTTAACCTCCAGTAAGGCCAGGCCCCTGGACTCACTTAAATTTCCCGTATGCATTGGTCTTGCCACTGACGTGCAAAGAACGATCTTGGTCGAAAATTCTTCTCTTCCCGGTCATCGTCGGCATCTTTTTGACCCAAAGTGCGTCATCTCCCCTACTACCAGACACTGATCTGAGCGTGTGTGCTGATCCCATGGCAGTACTGGTCCTGACTGGGTGCATCTCCAACTCACCAGGTCTCTCTAATATATACCTGGTTGAATTGAAGTCAACTCGTTCCGTTGACCATGTCGTTCGAGTTGGTTACTATGGTAAGTTTTACTCTTTCTTGTCTTGTCCCATTGCTAATTCGTATTGGGGAAGGGATGTGTGTGTCGTCTGTACTGAATGGTCGTCGCTTCACCTGCGGTCCGACCTATGCCTCTAGCAACGAGCAGCTTTACCAACAATTCTTTCCTACCTCGAACCAAGCTACGACAGCTAAACCTCGGGCCGAGAGTGCGACAGCTGACTTATCCGACCTTATTGTCATGGCACATTCGTTTCAGACCACAGTGCAGTATGCTATTTTGGCAGGCTCTGGAGTCTTTTTCTTTCTCAGCCTTGTGTGTTTCTTGAACATCAGCCGATTGGAGAAGAGAGAATCTGGGCCCACTGGAACGAGAGTCCCCGCTTGGGGGGTGACCATGATGATATTTGGACAGTACGCTCTCGGTCTTGCAATCGCTGCAGGCTTCGCGACCTTGGAGACAGTCAAAGCTTTGGAGTTCAGTACTGCACCCATCTCGAATGGAAAGACTGAAGCGACCGTCCATATCGATGCAACACTTCAGGGTCTGCAGTGGGCTAGTATTGGGCTGTTATTTATCTACCACTGCCAAAGCTTTTACACCTTCTGGAAGATCACACATGGAGAGAAAACGTTGCCATCCTTTGGTCCGCTAGGAGGAGGCAGGCCAGGACCGATGCCGAATCTTCCAGCGAGACCAATGGGCATGGCAGGTGGTCCAGCCCAAGCAATGCCCCCTCGCCCTGCTATGCCGCCCATGGCAAGATAGGTGGGTAGACCTGGTCAATTGGTGGAAAGCCCACACTTACACCATCGGGGCTTAGTGTCCATGGCATACGTACACTACTTGTTTTCGGAAATCTCTGGTGGGCTGGGATTTGATGTTGATGTTAACATGGAGCAAAGATTGGCGAGAGGACATAATGGGTGACGTTAGAGTAGCTACTCCAGTAGAGTCCAATGGAATTCCATTCTTACCAAGTATTTTCGAGTGGATTATGATTGATGTCATAGAAATGAGGCTGTGAGAGATCGGCTTGCACAGCGGCTCGGGTGTGCAAGCCATGTGAAATTGAGAGGGTGCTGATGGACAAGTACGTGGCGGCTCGCAGCCCGGAATCGACGCACCTCAGATGCTAAATAGCGCCTGCATCCCCTAATTATCGTCATTCTTCTCTCTGGGCCCGTGTCGCCCTCTGATGACCACTGAACGTGCACTTCCTGCGCCCTATGGGCAAGGAAATGACAAGCTAGACAGGAGAAGTTCAAAAAACGTATTAAAGCTCAGTTGCGATGGTCGAAGAATGGCGGACGAAGAATGATCATGTCTAAGGACCAGGCTGGAGAGTCGAACATTGAGACGAGACGAGCATGAACCCGTACTTCTTCCTCGGCGACGAGGAGCGGCAGGAGTGCATCGACACCATCGTCGGGATGCTGCCGGTGAACCTCGAGGTGCTGGTGCTGACGCTGACCATCCATGGTACATGGATGGGGTTCGCGGATATGGGGAACATACTGCCGAGCGCCGAGCCCGACGACTGGGACGACGAGGCGCTGGACGATGAGACGCTCGATAGGCGAGACCGGGACGATATTCCGATCCGGGAGCGGTCTGTTTTCGTTGCCTCGGTGTGTCTGGTGCACCTGATCAAGCGACGGCCGGAGCTCAAGACCATTTTCATTGACCAATCACTGGCCTAGAGAGTATCGTCCTCACTTTTGCGCGTGGTTCCGACGCGTCGTCCGGACAGGGGAGCAGCACGGCGTGGCTGTTTACCTCGGAAACGAGGATCGGCACGGCCTCCATTTCCCGGCGGTGCCGGATCTGGAGTCTGGACTGAATACTAAACCAAGAGATGAAGGGGCGTGGGAGATTGATCCGTACAATGGGCGCTGGAGACAAAGGTCATAGAGATGGGCTGCTTCGATGGCGCTGCTTGGCATGGCGCACTTGCGCGCTTGAAGCCCCGTGTCACGCTCATTGAGGATTTGTCGCTGGAGCTATTGATTGTTGGCCGCCAAGGGAAGAAGGGCTGCTTCCGTATTGGAAGTACAAAGCAGTCTTGGATTGGAATCGATGTGTCCTGTCCTGGCTAGGAAATGGTTTCAGCTGCGGAAGCTGGAGGAAGTCCGCCAAGGCCGGTCGGATAGATTTGTCACCTGTTCCCGCCGTCCAGTTCCCACACGACACCAGTCGAGGCTTGACCGTATTAGGAAAATGAGATGTTAGCGCAGATCCCTGCCATTTGATGATAGGTATAAAAAAGCTTCATCTTCGCCCTCGCGAGTCTGCCTAAGTCGAGAAAGTTTCCGAACAAACATATGATCGATCCCAAAGCATGACTTTTGCCCACTAATGTACTGTTAACCGCTGCCGTTCGGTTTCTCCTTCGCCCGATGCCGATCCAAGCAAGCCCGCGAAGCGCGCACTTCGTTTCCTGGACATGGCATTGCATTTGTAATGCCAAATGACGCAAAATGTATATAAACAAGGTCTCAAGGGTGTCCCGTGTTCAAGATACTTGTCCTGGCAATCAAACTCACTATCTGCGCTTTGATCCATCCTTCCCGACCCCCACACATCATCCAACATGTCCAAAATCCTTGCCGTCTTTGGCGCCACCGGCCAGCAGGGCGCCTCAGTCATCAACCACGTGCTGAGCGACCCAGAGCTGTCGAAGCAATACAAGATCCGCGCCATCACCCGCGACGTCAACTCGGCCAAGGCGAAGCAGCTCAGCGCCAAGGTCGAAGTCGTCCGCGGCGACATGGAGGACCGGGCCTCGCTCGAGGCGGCGCTGACCGGCGCCCACACCGTCTTCATCATGACGGTCCCCTCCTTCGCCCCCAGCGGCACCGAGGTCGAGTACGAGCAGGCCAAGACTATGGCCGACGTCGCCGTCGACAAGGGTGCTCAGTACATTATTCTCAGCACCCTGCCCTCGCCATCGCAGATCTCGGGCGGCAAGTACACCCGGGTCGGCCCCTTCGAGTCCAAGGCCAGGGCCGAGAGGTACATACGCGGCCTGCCTGTCAAGAGCGCCTTCTTCTCCGGCGGCTACTTCATGAGCAACTGGGCGCTGCAGCCGTTCCTCGGGCCCAAGAAGGTCGAGGGCGAGGAGGAGACCTGGGTCATCGGCCGGCCGTTCCCGGGGAGCACGCTGATGCCTTACTTTGACGTCGATGCCGACGCCGGCAAGTTCGTCGGTGCTATCTTGGCCGAGCCGGATAGACTGGAGGGCAAGGTCATTTGCGCCGCCCAGGCGCTGTATCCCATCGAGGAGTGCGCCGCCATCATCTCCAGGGCTACGGGTAAGAACGTCATTTTCAAGCAGATCTCGATAGAGGAAGCCAAGAAGGCCTTTGCCGGACTGCCACCGGTGTTTGAGGACATCTTTGCGGACGCATTCCAATGTCAGGCCGAGTTCGGATACTGGGGACCAGAGTCTGCGAAGCTGGTAGAGGAGGGGAAGAAACTCGCGCGCGGCCGCCTGACTACACTTGAGGAGTTCTTTCAGAAGCATCCTCTCGCGCTGCAAGAATGAAGAAAGCATTAGCAATATGATACATCCGTGGGAATTTTAATTATATAATATCTGGTGTGCAATTATTATTCGTGCCTATCTAATTCAATTTCTCTTTGGTTTCAATTCAAAATGTCAGCGGCACCTCCGCTTAAGGTTGTCCCATGAAGGCGGCGGCCGATTTGGCTGTTATGACCGAATTCTTTTCAGCGGGCCGCGACTGATTTCCCCTTTCCTAGAGGAGACACATAATCTTCCCAACCTGACATTTAAATCTAGCTCAAGCTTGAGAAATCACAGAACGAGGCAGTAAGTACCTGCCAGCAGAAGCGATGCTTGTTTTCCGTTATGCGGAGCGTGATGTGCAGACGGCCGAGATTGGAGATCTGGTTTCATCTGAGCAGAAAGATTCCTTTTATACACTGTTATTCTGACGAACTTGCCATCCAAGACACAGGATTGTTTATTGACAAAGAACAATGGCGCACATCAAGGAAGCCTTGACTCAAGATCATGTCTCGAAATGTGGATCAAATGCATTGTGTGCAACAAAGAGAAGTTCTCAACCGCCAATTGACTCAGAACATTGGCTGTTGACTAACCAATGGCAATGCAACCTCCAGTATTCAACACCATTGAATTTTGCATAGCTGGCAGAACCGTTCAAAATCCGCTGAAGAGCGACGCTGAATGAACCATAGACGGCAGCATCAAGGCCCGCGCGGATGAACCTTGGATTAGGCAATGAAACCAATGGCAACATTGGCGCATGCATTAAATCGTTACTGTTTTACTGCTAAACAAGGTCACAGTTCAGGAGCTGTGGTAGAATCAACAATCAATGTCTTTGTGGATTCGTGGAGGTGATGGGACAATAAGTCCTCGCGAGTCAAATTGGCATTCAGCCAGTGTTTGTGGCTCTCGTGGAAAGTGATCAAGATGAATGGTGCTACCGTTCAATTGACAGACTCCAAGTAGTCGATGTGTTTCGCCCAGAGAGGGCACAGGTCCCCTGAAAAGCTATTGTTCCCTATTGTTTGGCCCCAGGTCACTTGCTGGAGTGCCATTCACCTGCTGCCCAAACACATCAACAGGTATTACCACATTGACAACAATATTGATGATTCTATATAAAGCAGAGGCGATTCCCATCTCACAGTTCCGTAGTCAACCCAATCCTTTCCGATCTTTGCTCCAGCAACAATAGCGCTCTCAGCGCCGAGCCATTGTGGCCTATATATATATCATTCTTCAACATTACTCTTGTGGCACAGCTGTCAATAGAATCTCACTTGCAAGTCATTGTTTGGTTATGCACAATAGCAGGCGAACTAGCGTAGCCAATTAAGACCAACAATGCCTATTGGCCGAATCGCAATGCTATTCAGGAACAATAGCCACGCAAGGTCGGCCACGGACAATGGGAACTTGTTGCGAATAGCTTCTGTTCACCAGGGTTGATTTGTCGGCTATAAAAGAAAATCTTCGCTCCTTTCTTGATCTCTTTCTTCTCTCTTCTCGATTCCTCAGCTTCAGACTTCGCAGTTGTCTTCTTTCTCAGAGAACAAGTTCTTCGTCTTGACGAGTTTCTTTCTTTCGTAAAGAAAGATACCTGCACCCACCACCACCACCACTGAAGCACATGCCCCCCTTGGCCAGAGGCCACCCGTCACCAACCCCCCCCTCGCCGACAATGTCTTCCGACGTTGGCACCACCCCTTCCACGGTGGACAACAGGTCCACCAGCACTGAGGAGGATGATCTCCTGGGTATGCTCACACTCTCGCTTACCTCCTCGCATCCCCTCCTCCCACACACAAACGCTGCTCCCTCTTCTCCTTCGGTGGTGACTAACAACGTGGCCAGCCGAGTTCGAGGCCGCTGGCAACGACAACGACACGGACAGTCTCTTCGGAGACGCGCCCGGCGACGACGACGACAACGACAGTCTCTTCGGAGACTCACTCGTCGAACCAGACGAGTCCAGCGTCGTCGCGCCGGAGTCCGCAGTCACGCCTCCGTCGCCCGCCAAGCCCTCGCCCGCCAAGCCCTTGCCGGCCACACCTTCGCCCCCGGCCCGGGCGCCTTCGCCGGCGCCCTTCGCCCTGAGTCTTCCGCCGCGCCCGCCAACCCCTCCTCCCAGTGAGGAGAAGCCGGCCAAGAAGAAGAAGGCGAAGCAGCCGAAGAAGGCTCCGGCACCCCGCGGCCGCCGCCTCAAAGGCGCGCTCGACCCCGTCCTCAAGCCCACGCTGGCGGAGCGGCTCGCCGACAGCCCGGAGACGGCCGCGCCGCCGCCCGGGCGCGCGACCGTCGACAAGCTGCACGACCTCAACAGCTGGGTGAACCGGGCCCGCATCAACCTCGAGGACTGGAAGCAGAAGGGGGAGCAGAAGGTCAGGCTGAGCAACAGCCTGAACATGGATTGGGAGTGGGTGCACGCCCACCACGGCAAGTGTCCCGGCGTCCCCGACCGGCGCGAGATCTTCGCCGCCTACCTGTCTGCCGGTGCTGGCGCCGGCACGCTCGACGAGGAGACCATGGACCGGCTGATCTACACCAGCGCTTTGGGTTGGGTCCTCAACCCAAAGTTCGTCCGGCCCAAGTTCTGGGTAGGGTTCGACCCCCTTGACCCACTCCACTGTCACCAGGAGGTGTGGGTGCCCGCCGAGCCCAGCGCCGCTGTCCCCGCCGCTTCGTCTTCGTCTCCCGCCGCCGCCGCCACATCTTCTTCTTCTTCCGCCGCCGCCGCCACATCTTCCTCTTCTTCCGCCGTCGCAACCGCCACCACCACCACACCCTCCTCTTCGTCTCCGCCCCCCGTCGCCGCTCAGAGAGCTCCGACTCCGCCTCGCGGTGGAACGTCCACGGCCGCTGGCGGTCGTGGCCATACCACCGCAGGCGCCAACAACAACAACAAGCGCAAGAGGGACGACGCCCCTGCCGCCGCCGCCGCCGGCGCCAACAGAGAGGGCGACGAGGTAGTCGAGGTTCCGCCTCCGCCGCCGCAGAAGAGGGCTCGTACCTCGCGGCGGTCGGCTGCGGTCCCCGGCTCCTCGTCGGCCGCGCCCATCGTCCTCGCGGACGATGAGGTTGCGGACCCTCGACCGGCAATGACGACGACGAACGTCGGCTCTGCTATCCCCGCCCCCGCCGCCATGATGCGCGGTGCGCCGTCGTGGCCGCAGGCCACCAACCCATCCGGTCGTCCTCCCGCCGCTCCCGCCGCCGCCGCCCACACCTCCACACCTGCGCAGCAGGTTTCCACCCCTCCCGCCAGCCAAGAGGCCGGTGGCCACGCCTACCAGACGCCGCCGAGGAGGTCTGTTTGCCCTGGATACGGCGACATGGCGGACCTGCGCGCCTGGAAGCAGCAGCAGCAGCAGCTACCGCCGGAGCAGCGGCAGCGGCAGCCGCCGTTCAAGATCTGGGACCCCAGCGCGGATTTCTCCGCCATGGCCGGCACGCTCGCCCCTGGTCAGGGCAGCGCCTATGCCGGTGGCGGAGTGCCGCGGCAGGACCCTCCTTGGACGCGGTAGATGATGGTGGATGAGAGAGGAGAGGAGAGGAGAGTTTTCTTGTTGGTGTCTCTGTTTGTTTGTGTGTGTGTGTGTGAGAGAGAGAGAGAGAGAAAGAGAGACAGAGAGACAGACAGACAGAGAAAGAGAGAAAGAGTGAAAGAGAGAGAGACAGAGACAGAGAGAGAGAGAGAGAGAGGAAGAGAGCCAAAACTACGAGCAGAGCTTGATGGTTTTGGGGAGTTTAAACTATTTTTTATGATGATGAAGATACGAGTGAATTGAACTCCATTATGATTTCCTGCCAATACTTGCCTGACTACCAACCCGACCTCTTTGTGTGTAATCCTGCCTGTTCTTGTGGCTTCTGTTGACATGCTGTGGTTCAGAGAACTCGGACGTTTGCAGAAGAGCTGACCCAAGCCGCATGGTCTCGTCTCACTCACTAGCCCGTAGTCTGCTCTCCGGAAGTCGTCATCCTGCCCCGGTCGTGGAGCCCCGGATCTGCCGCAGGGCTGTCCAATGGGAGCAGTGACAGGTCCTCTTTGGGCTGCGTGGCCCCAGTTGAGGCTCTTTTTCATGCTGGAGCCGAGCTTAAGAGGCTGCAGCTTCGGACGAAGGGAAGCGGGAGTTGCCGAGTTTAGTCCGAGCGGCCCAGTGCTGCGCCAGATATTATCAAGCCTCCGCCTGCCTGTCACTTGCGCCTGCTGCAGATTGACGTCGCATTTGGCTTTTTTTTCTTTGTCTGGCCCAGGGACACCAGTCACGTTATCGTCATTTTTTCCGACACCGGCTTCTTGTTCTGAATCCCTGGCCGCCAAAGGGCCGTATGAATCTCCTGATATCCGCTCTTTTAATCGCCGCAAATATCACCAGATGAACAATGACGAAAAAAGAGCCGTGGTCCAAGCTCAAGCTTGCTTTACATGCCTTCTTTGGCCGGCCGGGTACGCGTTGCCGGCATTGACAAGTCTGTCCGGTTAGCAGCGCAACTGGCATAGTTGGTGTGGCACTGTTAGTGCAGATGGAGGGCACCTGTGGACGCTGAAAGAATGCCCCGCGCCTCCATGTTTGGCGCCTGTATTTTGTGCCTTTGGGCGCAGATATTAGCGGCTAATACAGCGGTCGCGCGCCTTTGATAGCCAGAAAGATACAGATAGACAGGGGTCTTTGCTAGGCAATGCTAGCACTGGAGCTTCTCTTTTTGGTGGGATGAATAAAGCCAGGCGCATCATCATGTCATCAATACCGAGGAAGTCCCAGAGTTCCCACCAGCCAGCCAGCCAGCATGATATGGGCTGATCGCGACAAGACCCAGAAAAGGTCCAGAGCTCCCCCATCTTCCCTCTGCGCCTCTCCCAGCCCATTGGCTCTACTGTCTCTTGCGTGGGAGGAATGCTTCCCAAGATCCTTAAAACCTTAGCCTGCCGCTAGCCGAGTCGTCGTCCCCATACGGAGCAGCTTGTCTCTCCCTGCTCTCTTCTCCTCCTCCACACCTCACACTCTCTCTTCTTTTGTTTTTTTCCCTTGTCGTGTGCCTTTCCTTTTGCTTGTCGTTGCTTGTCCCTGAACTTGGCCCCCCAATTGACCCCTCAGAGACCCGGCAGTCATGGCTTCTCCCATCGCTTCGGCGGCGCTCAAGGCCCGCGTCCATCGCCCCTCCATGCTCAAGAAGCTGTGCCAGCCCAAGGACCTGCTTCACCACTTCCCCAACGGTGCCACCATCGGCTGGTCCGGCTTCACCGGTGTTGGCTATCCTAAGTAAGTGCGCGCCCGTGGGAGCATTCGCTGAAGCGCAGAGATGCGTCGCGACAGCGAGAGAGAGAGGGACAGAAATAGCTGACCCGTCATCCCACCGCAACCAGGAAGATGCCCACTTTCCTCGCCGACCACGTCGAGCAGAACAAGCTCCAGGGCCAGCTCCGATACACCCTCTTCGTGGGCGCATCGTCGGGCGCCGAGACCGAGAACAGATGGGCGAGCCTGGACATGATTGAGAGGCGGAGTCCCCACCAGGTCGGCAAGGCCATCTCCAAGGGCATCAACGAGGGCCGCATCAAGTTCTTTGACAAGCACTTGTCCATGTTCCCCGTCGATCTCGTCTACGGCTTCTACACCAAGGACAGGCCCAATGCCGCCCTCGACGTCGCCGTCGTCGAGGCTTCCGAGATCAAGCCCGACGGTAGCATTGTTCCCGGCGCGTCGGTTGGCGCGACGCCAGAGCTGATCCAGCTGGCCGACAAGGTATGTCGGAAAAGCCGATGGCTACCACATGCGATGTGCGCGATGTGCGGCTAACATGATTCTCCCCTTGCCAGATCATTATCGAGGTCAACACGGCCATCCCTAGCTTTGACGGCCTGCACGACATCACGATGACCGACCTGCCGCCCCGCCGCAAGCCCTACCTGATCATGGGCGTCGAGGACCGCATCGGCACCACCTCCATCCCCATCGACCCGGAGAAGGTGGTGGGCATCATCGAGTCCGACTACGCCGACCAGACCGCGCCCAACACCCCCGCCGACGAGGGCTCGGCGCGCATCGCCGGCCACCTCATCGAGTTCTTCGAGCACGAGGTCGCCCACGGCCGCCTGCCCAAGAGCCTGCTGCCCCTGCAGTCGGGCATCGGCAACATCGCCAACGCCGTCATCGGCGGCCTCAACGAGTCCAACTTCAAGAACCTCAAGGTCTGGACCGAGGTCATCCAGGACACCTTCCTCGACCTGTTCGACTCGGGCAAGCTCGACTTCGCGACGGCGACGTCGGTGCGCTTCTCGCCCGACGGCTTCAAGCGCTTCTACGACAACTGGGAGCGCTACTACGACAAGCTGCTGCTGCGCGCGCAGCAGGTCTCCAACAGCCCCGAGATCATCCGCCGCCTCGGCGTCATCGGCATGAACACGCCCGTCGAGGTCGACATCTACGCCCACGCCAACTCGACCTGCGTCATGGGCTCGCGCATGCTCAACGGCCTCGGCGGCTCCGCCGACTTCCTCCGCTCCTCCAAGTACTCCATCATGCACACGCCGTCCACCCGCCCCTCCAAGACGGACCCGCACGGCGTCTCGTGCATCGTGCCCATGTGCACCCACGTCGACCAGACGGAGCACGACCTCGACGTCATCGTCACCGAGAACGGGCTCGCCGACGTGCGCGGGCTGAGCCCGCGCGAGCGCGCGCGCGTCATCATCGACAAGTGCGCGCACGAGGTCTACAAGCCCATCCTCAAGGCCTACTTTGAGCGCGCCGAGTCCGAGTGCCTGCGCAAGGGCATGGGCCACGAGCCGCACCTGCTGTTCAACTCGTTTGACATGCACAAGGCCCTGCTGGAGGAGGGCAGCATGGCCAAGGTCAAGAGCTGGTAGATGTTGCAGTGTGGGGGGAGTGAAGGGATGTACGGGGGAGCGGAGGAAAAGTGGAGGATTGTAGAAAAGTTCCATCTTGTACACAACAGACCTGATTGCCATGTGTAGATGAGATGGCTTGCGAATGGCGCTACTCTTGGTTTATTTGGGCGGTTTGCGCTTTTACTCTGGATAGATGCATAGATTCAGATTCGAGATAAAGAGTCGGTATCCTACACTTTCTCCAACATCTGCCCCTTTTGGCAGGTTCAATCGTGTCGGACCCTACCTACTCTTTCCTCTTCCACCTTTTCCCCATTTTCCATTAGGGTTCCATTCATTTTTGAATCGACTCACAGGACATTTTCATCACCCGAACTGCTACCAGACACTCACCTTCTCCAAATCCCGACTTGAGAATTGACTGCCCTCATCATACCTTTCGCTTCTCTCCTTTCCCTGTTACAGTACCGAACCAGTCTCGCCGTCTGCCTCCCGGATCTGGCGACATGTCTCGCCGCAGGATTTCTCGGAAACAGTGCCCGGTTGAAGAGGAGGAGGAGGTAGATGAAGATTACGACACGATAAAGAAGCGCTTCCAGACATTCCCTGCATCTGGACGGTTCCAGTCCCCGACCCGACGGTACATCTTGGCTGTAAGCGGCTTTCACTACTGCTCTGATTTGACAATCCTGTACGACGACGACTACAGCATAGCTTGTTGCTCCAGTTGTCAGTGGTGCCTTACCATGGAGGAACTCGAGAAGATCACGACCTGGCCCGGTACCATAGTATCCAAATTTCACAGGCTTAGATGCCCTTTTGGGTCTCAGACCTGCGGTGAATGTAAGGGCGTTTTCACAGACTGGCTATCGTGGCAGGGCCACATGATGGCAGTCCACGTTGTGCCGGCTATGATCGAGGACGATGAGAAACAGGCCAAGTCCAAGGCAAGCAATGCATCCGACCCTTAGTCCAAGGCTTCCAAGGAAACTAACACCCACGCTAAGCTGAAGCGAAAGCGAGATGGAATGACCGCGCAAGGCACCGGTACCCCAGTCGAGCTCGCTATGACCAAAGTCGTCACTACGATTTCTATTCAGCCTGCCTCCGTCGCGACGGAGCTCTCCCAGTCCCTCATCGTTGTTGCGTCGTACGATCAGGTCCGACACAAAATCATCATAGGCTCCATGAGCGGAATCAACTCGACGGCTGGGATTATGTCGCTCTCCGCGAGGAGCGCGATCAAACAACTCAAACCTATGATCCAGCTATTAGCTGACCCGGGAGCACGGCCAAAAGTGGGAGAGCCGAAAACCATTTTTGTGCAGATGGAAAAAGACGAATACAAGGCTCTGCGAGAGAACATCGAGCTCTTGAACTCCATGTAGGGGTGAGATCACGGAGCTAGTTGCGGCTTTGGAGGATTTCTCGAATGGGGTTGCGTACGTCTGATGCTTGAGTCTCGGTGGGTAGGATACTGGGTATCGCGAAGAGGTTTCGGGCATTATCAAAGGGAGGTCGCGCGGTATCATGCTTTCATATCAGTGGCGATGCGTTGTTACATGATCATTCAAAGTTGAACAGGAGAGTCAGGGGATGCAGAGAAGCCATGCCTCAATCAGGACAGTCATTTCTCAAGATGAATCATTTCAACCGTAGTGAGGCCCATAGAGGCATCAATAATCCAGACATCTGATTTCCTCGACCTGAGCCCTCCGTGCCCCAATCCTTCCACCACATCGTGGCCGCACTCTTTCCTCAGCCTCCTCTCACTCCTTGCACCCCCTCCTGGCTTCACGATCTCCAGCGAACTTCATCTGGGTCGCTGGCTCGCGCCTTGAAAATTGATCCGCTGCTCTCTTCAAGGCTGAAATTACACACCTCCTTTCGTATCCTCTCCCCTTCGATCTCCCTGCTGGAAATCCTCACTTTCATCCTGATCACATCCGCTCACGACTTTCGATAGCGGAACCCCAATCCAAAACCCCGTATTCTCATCCACACCCCTCGCCATGCCCCTTCCTGCCAACTCACCCTCTGAGCCACCGAAACCTCTTACGGACATGGCAAGAAAGAACAGACATTCCCGAGTGCTTCCCGTGCACATTCGCTTTGACGCTCGGCACCAGCCAGTCTACGAGCGGTACCAGACCTACAAAAACACGAGCTACTCCGATGTCAAGAAATACATGCTCGCCATCTGCGGATTCGCCCAGTCCAAACATAACCTTGGCGCGACTTGCTATATGTGCTCTAACCACCTCAAGGCCGACCAGCTAAATGCAGTCATCACCTCTGTCGATGACTGCGCTCAACACCACAAACTCAATTGCGCTTTTGTACACGGCCAGGTCCCCAAGTGCCACGACTGCTCCATCACCTTCAACACGCGACAGGCATGGAAGCACCACATGCTGAGCCAACATCTCGTTCCGGACCTGCTCAGGCACGAGACGGGTGTCGTAGCCCCGGCCCCTCCCTCGCGCGACTCGCCGCCCCCCCTCGATCATGTTGAGTCGTGCCCTCTGGACCGTGCGTTTAACCCGCGATGGCCCTCTGGCTCGTCTGCACAGAAGTCGGGACAGAAGTCCGACACTCAGAACCAATCCCGGGACTGCCCCAACCGTGAAAAGCGCACGCCGAGAGGCTCCAAGCCTTCCAAGCCCCGCAAGCGAAAGGGCGACAGCCTCCAGACGCCCTCGGGCAAGACAGACCCGCCGCACAATAACAAGAGGATCAAGTCCACTCCAGGCGACTCCTCCCCGCCACCCCCTCTGACCTCCGTCGCTCCCGTCGACCCCCGGCCCGAACACCTCCTCGCCATCGTGTCGTACAACCCAGCCAGCAAGCGCATCATTGTCGGCCGCGCCGAGGACGGCTCCTGCCTCGGCGACTACCCGCACTTCACGGCCTGGGACATGATCAGACAGCTGATCCCCATGGCCAAGGGCGACCACGGGTTCTTTGCCGCCGTGCTGCTGAGCGACGAGTCGCCGGCGAACGAGCTGAGGACCAAGTACGGCACGATGAGCCGGATCGAGTACGACCACCTGCGGGCTCTCGTGGAGCTCGCGGTTGCTCTCCGGGACTGAGAAGGGCAATGCTGGCTGGGGGAGACGGGCAGAGAAGAGTGTGGGAAAAAGTTTGCATTCATCGCGTTTGCTGTGAAGAAGTTTGGTTGACGGTGAGACTCCCGCGAGTCATTTGCGACTGGGCTTTGTGTCAGCAGTGCCTAGCATTTTCTATCCAGCTTACAGGTCGTCGCGTTCACGTTGGGATTTCCGGGCGTTTCTGTGGGTGGTGCTAGGACGATAAGTGTTTGGTATTGATGCTCGAGTGCCATGCCTACGGAGCCAAGGGTAGACGGAAATGGTACAACAATACGATTTGGGGTGTTCGGTCGGCAGAGAATCAACTCAACGACCACGTATTCGAAGCATAACAAGGGCGAGATGGGTCTGAAAATGGAACTTTGGGCAGCACACGGGCGGAGTTGAATTGCTTTTTTCCTTCTTTCTTTTTGCTTGATATACTGCGCAAGAGGCACTGAATGCAGAAACAATAAATCTTCTTTTCAGGGCCAAATAACCGGAGTGTTGTTTCCCATTTCTCTCTCCATTGAAACTGGTAAGGTCGCCATGTGCCTTGGGCCAATTGAACTGTTGCTTGCGGTGATACAGTGTTTTCAGCGGGCTGATTCCTTGCCTTCAGGAATTCAAGAATTGCCAAACTGCGTACCGTCCTTGGCCATGATATGACTCGCGGGTTGTCAAACATTATGTCACTCTGCCCATGCTGAGGTTTGGTAAAGCATTGCGCCAGGGCTCAAGCACACATCGTGTCATACACACGCATGATCGTGAAACTACATTCTGACATCTCTCGGAGTGCTGGAGTCATGACAAAGTCTGCATAAACCTTTGATGGGCACATTGCACATCAATTGGTGGAGCACACATTTGATGTACTGCATGGGCATGCTTGTCCATGCAGCGATGACTATCAAATTCATGGGATTTCACTTTGAGAGCAGGATATGATGTGCCAGATGGAAGTCTGTATTGTGAAAAGACCTTTGGTGTGCTTTTGACCAGGAACTGGCTTGCTTGCTGGTGGATAACAAACGCGATTTCTTGCATCATCTTTGCTATTCTTCATGGAAAGGCAGTGAAGCCGGTAGATCTTCGGGTGACAACTTTGGATGACAACTTTGGATGACTGGGACAACTTCGGTTGACTGGGAAAACTTCGGTTGACTGGGAAATCTTCGGTTGACTGGGACAACTTCGGATAAGGCTCTCACAACGAGTGGCTTCGTTGGCAAAAAACTATAAATCGAACAGAAATTCCCCACCAACTTGGACCTGGACTCATTTCCAAACATCAACACCACCCACTGGCCTGGGCATATTGCACATCTCAACCCGCCTCGTTTCAGTCAACGTTCACTCTGAAGCTTACTCTCTTCGGACTCTTTCCTGAACCCGTCTTCACCCTCTTGTGTTGGGAGTTGGAGTCATCTCATCCACCACATCACCATACATCTCGTCCACCACACCACCATAAATATATCAACTCCCGAGTTTCACCCCTCTTCTCTCGAACGCCTTCACGACAATCACTCACCTTCATTGAAGAGTCCAGCCCTCTGGCCTCGACAGTGATCAAGCGTCATCTTTACGCCGGTTTCAAGAGCTCCAAGAACAACTGCCCAACCCAACCCCCCTCGTGACCGTTCCAGCTTGTGGGTGCCTCAGTACGCGCCAACGTACCCACGGTGGTTGTCTAGGCGCGCCAACGCATCCTCACGGGTGCCGGTCGGGTTTTGTCAACAAAGGCGAAGAAGGAGACGTCCTCTACTACTCCGGCACAGGCCGACACAAGAGCCCTGACTCCGTCATCCCTCCAAGTCAAGTCTTCGCTGGCCGGTGCGTGTCTCCAAGCTTGACAGCAATGGCATCGCAGTAAGTACAAAGTTCAACAATCCCTGTGCTCATCCTCCATGACTGGCAACTCGGGATCTGACTTGTGTGAACAGGGCTCCTCAGGATGCGGGCTGCCCCTGGTGCGGCGAGGTGATGGTCGCGGCCAGGTGGCCGAGGCACATCAAAGACAACCACCTGCACCTTGGTGTGCTACGCTGCCATGTCCCCAACTGCGGCTGGAGCACGCACTTCGCGCGCACCGACGCGCTGTTCGACCACTGGAGCAATGTGCACGACTACTACCGGCCCGGAGACCCCAAGGCGCGCAGCACCGACGAATCCCACCTGTCACGAAAGGTGCGGGAGGTCCTGGAGCAGATCCTGACCGACGACTGCAGCGAGCTCGAGGCGCGGAAGACTCGTGTCCGGTTCCTAGAGGCGGAGATCACCACATACCAGCCGGGGTATGTCCCGAGCCATGGACTGACGACGACGCCGGGAGAGCCGCTGCACGTCCTGCTCAACAAGACCAAAAGCCAGTTGGTCGACGAGGTGATCAGAGCTCGGACCCAGCTCAGTCAGGACTGGGACGGTACCCTGGCAGCCTTGACCCTCTGTGTCATCAGCAACAAAGCTCAGGCCCAACAACAAGCTGACAACCAGGGTTGATTTGGGATGGGATACAAGGTCACATGGGTGCTTGGGGCTGGAGTCAGAGAAAAGGGATGGTTCCGCTGGTTTCCGGAACAAGTAGCATTAGGGAATTGTATTATGGAATTGTAATGAGTATGGTCCAAAGCAATGGTTGTGTCTTTTTTTTCCCTGACAATGAATTGCTGACTTGTCTATCCAGCAGCAAGACATCAATTGTGATATGGCTCTGAGCAATGGCTGCCTCGCCTGCACATTTTCAGACACACTGACCGCAATAGGTTCTGCCACCATTGTTGGGTGAATAGCTTAGGCACCGCAATGCCACTCTCCGCTTTTCTTGCGGTGCGGCCAATGATAGAAATGCGGTCCCGGTGGGCATCTCCATTGTCTCACGATGTTTTGCCAGCCGAGTCCCCGCGAGGCTCGCACCAGACGGATATAAAAAGGCCACAACTCGGCGGACTCGACCTTCTTTTCTGGCAACAACATCACCATCTTTCGGCAGCCGCCCCCAACCTACCTCCCCCATCCACAAAGACAAGATCGCTGGTCGATCTTTGAAAGAAAACCGAACCATGGCTGCCCCTGCTCCGTAAGTATTGCTGCTTCGACCCTCAGGACTACCTGACTCCGAAGCCGAGAAACTAACAGTGCTGCCACAGGAACGCGGAGTGCCCTTGTGGCACTCCATACTTCGACAAAATCATGCCGCACGTCAAGGAGGCCCATGTCGCCGGCGAGACCGTGTTCTGCCCTGTTGCCAGGTGCGAATGGACGGGAGGTCGCCACCGTGACGTCGTTGACCACCTCGTCCGGGTGCACTACTACTACCAGCCGAGCGACCCGAACAAGGGGACTTCGAAGAAGTCTCACCTCAAGCGGCTGGAGAAGCTCGTCCTGCTCGACCTGATTGAGGAGGAATACCTCAAACTGGAGTCCCAGAAGGACAATGCTCGCGAGTTCGAGGAGCAGATCGCGGCGGTGGACCCAACCTTCGTCTCACAGCACGGTCTTTCGACCGTTGCTGGAGAGCCTCTCGAAGAGCGGGAGCTGAAGACTCGCACCGACAAGTGGCTCGCCAACAAGCTAGGCGACATCCGGGACCTTTCGAGGAAGTGGACCGAAGCCATGGACTGGCTGAAGGATGAGGCAGGTAGGCGGGGGATTGAGGAGTGAGGAGGAGCGGGAGGAAGAGGACGATGATGGTCAAGAGGAGGAGTACGCCGAGGAGAATAAAGAACAGACAGGAGAGTTACACCCCTGGGGCTGTAGATTAGCAATTGATTTTCGGTGCCATTCTTTCGGCACTTTTTCCTTTCAAACACACCTGGCCCATCTTATGATTTCTCTACGAGTGCTCTCCATCTGATGGAACCATCCGACTTTGTGATGTCTCCTGTGTGGCGCAAGCGCAGGATACGTGCAGACACTGCCTTCGTTTGCTCTGCGAGGGTTTTAGTCGGAAGGCAACATGAATGGCCGCAATTCTCCGATGATATGGGCCCTCGGACCATCAGCGAAGCTGCTTCTCATGCCATGGCCTCCAAGCACAAGCCCCCAAAGCCGTGAGGCTTGCATTTTCAATTGGCACACAGCACCAAGTCCCTCCGTATGTCCTGCCCAGGATGAAGTTATGGGTTGCTTACCATCCTATTGTTCCAATGGAAATCATGACTTGTACGTTAACACAAAGACGTTTGACGCTCAGACCGCGTTTATCTACGCACAAGCAAAGCATCAAGGCCCGTGACTTTGTGATGCAAACACAATGGTAAATGCCTCAAGTGTTCTTTTTCATGTGTGAAGGCAGCAAAACAAAGACCGGCCAAAAGAAGTGGTGTCTCAACACAAGCCCAGAAGGTATTTCAGTCTGGTGAATCAGGTAAACATGATGCTTATTGCAACCATGAAGCCACCCAAAATCATATTCATCTGCATGGTAAATTATCGAAAGCCTTCATATGTTCCAGCGGCATTTAGTTTAGCCATGCTAACCACGGTCCTTGATATGCTGTCCTAAGCCTGGAGTGGTTCTGACAAGGCGACATATGGCCATTGAGCTTGCACATCAACCCGTATCAGCATCCGGGCTGTCTTTGGCTTACATAATGTCGTCCTGCAAGCCCTGCTATCCCTTTGCTATGAGTTGGGTTGGAGACTTGGGGAGACCACCCAGCAGTAGTCATGGATATTCGCGCACTCTCTGTAATCAACTCCAGGTAGACACACGAAACAGCAGATCTGATGTGCAATCTAGCGGGCTCCAGAAAATCCGTTCAACACCACCATGGAGGTTAATCGCTTTATGGAAAGGCGAAGCATAGTATGACGAGGCCACTGGGCTGCTCAAACAAAGCCATCCCTTGCAAGGTGAATTCGCACCTCGGTTTAAGCACATTCACTTTGGCTTCTCTATGTTAAACCACGGGGTCGAAGGATCCCAACCCCTTTAAATACTTGGCTCCGAGGACATCTCTAACCATGAGAAACCTGAAACAAATCCACCGTACCATTCCTATCCACCAACATTCTCATTCAACGCAGTTTCACCCTATTCTTCTACCTCATGGAGACGAATCTTGTAATTCGTCAACGAAATAAGATGATAGACCCGTAAGTCGTCCTTGCTTGAGCCATAGCATCCTAAAAGTTGCTGTCCGAGTTTCACAGCTAAATCTTGAATGACAGCACGAAATGCAGTGTCTGCAGCCAGCCTGCCACCACGTCAGCCAAGGATCATATAAAAAAGGCCCATACCCACAACGGAATCGCGTTCTGCAACATCCAAGCTTGTCCTTGGAGTTGCGATGTCGATCGGGCCGACGATCTCTGGGATCATTGGCATATCGAACATAACTTCTACCGGCAAGGCGACCCGCTGGCTCGCAGCACAGCAGAGTCACACCTGTATAGAAAGACCAAGCCCCTCTTGTCCGCCCTGGTTCGAGCAGAAGCTGCCGAACTGAACGCAAAGAAAGACCGTGTTCGCTAGATTGAACTGGACATCACCTATGCCAATGAATATTGGATCACAACTCACGACCTGTCGTCGGAAGAAGTAGTGCTGCCAGGAGACCTTGATGCCCCGGAGAAGTACAGGCTGGTCGAGCTGTTAATCGATGTGCGTCGGGAGCTCCTTCAGGATTGGGATCAAGTATTGCAGGATCTGGCTGAGGAACTCGATAGACAGGTGAAGATGGAGAAGCTTATCAATGGATGGCCTTGAGATTATAAATCTTTGCTATGACGTCTATCTTGTTGGCAGACTTTGAGTTCTTATGCCCTGTTTGATAGTTGCGCCACCTCGTCCACTCGTGAATCAGTAGAGCCGAGACAGTCTGTGCTGTATTGCCTCCCTCCTTTGTTCGCGTTTGTTCCAGGTAGTGTCGCCAAGAGAATTGGCTGTTGAGCAAGCATTGGTTTATATGGTTTCATTCAAGCTTGTCATATGTCTTGCTTTGCGATGGGCTGGAACTCGAGGCAGTACTACCTGTTGACGGCAGAGCTGCTCCCGCTGCGGATCCGGGCCGCATCTAACCACATCGCTCATTATGTGCATCCACTTTCTGAACGCGTACGGTAATAAGCAAAGCTACCAAACATGCTCCTGACAGGGTCAGCCGGGAGCTTGTCATATGCCGGTTCTTTCTGGATATTCTCCGACCTCGCCATCCTCTGCGGGCTCTTGGTGTGGGTCACCATCCCAGAGACAGCTGGGAGGAGCCTAGGGCGGATGAACGAGCTCTTCTCCCTGCTGCGGTACCAGATAAGATTGTATGGAAACAACATTGCGGTGGCAGATTCGGATAATGAGCATTCCGAAACTGGTGACGTGAAAGAGCTATCTTCCCGACAGAGGGAGAGATCCGGGGATCTATCGAAACGGCCAATGGCGTCATCCTCGCAACGATTGTCAATGTGTAGTATTCTCGTACAAGCGAGATTCAGACGGGTACAGGGCTTGTGGTTTTGTCGTCTCGAATAATGGGGCTCCCGGAGAGTGCTCACTGCCTCGAGATATTGTCGTCGACAGAGATTTAGCTAGACGGAACTCTGTCCGCAGGAGTGGCGCTGGGGCTTGAGTGTATCAGATGGAGGAATCTTGATCATACGAATGAGCAAACGTTCAATTGAGGCGGATTGCCTGTATAATTATGGAAGATTGTAAGTTCGACGATTTGACTATGGGAGACGGTAGGAGGGTGCTAAAGACCTTGCTAAGTCTTTTTCCATCCACATAGTTACTTGACAACTGACATCGCCTCCATGTCACTAACACAGCCAATGTCTTCATTAATGAGTAGTGACTTGGCAACATACGTAAGTAATCCTGGTAATCTAGGTATGATGCATGATGAAAACGGGACTTTCATGTTCTACTTCATAATGGTCTTTATCATCGTTGGACCGACTTTGGCTCCTCGGATGAAACTAAACACAAGTCCACACTGGTGAAACAATACCACATGAGCTGTGCCATCATGCCTCAAAACAGCTCTTATATAACTGGGTCAATATACGGTATTGTCCCTATCTATAGTTGATATGCTTAACCAGGAGAAGGCGTACACGCATTCGTAGTCCGTGAAATTGATCTCGCCATTCACATTCATCAAGCCCGCGAGACCCCAAAGCTATGCGTGTCTGGAGAAAGTAAGTATCCACATTTCACGACTGGTCTGGATAATTAGTCCGTACTTCGAGGAATTGCTTCTCCGGAGCATCTGAGTCAGCACACATCTTTCGATAGTTCTCATCTGGCCGAAACCCACATGAAGTGCGTAGCCTTCCTCAAGTGCTCGGGGACCTCGGGGCGACAGTCCTCTTCGCACCATAAGAGGATGATCCTGAACATCGACAGATGGGGAGCGATCATTACTATGATAGTTTATCGACTCTCTATCAACCCCATAAGGTGCAGTGTGGCTCCTGTTTGCAGGTAGTGAGCGAAGCCGGCGGCAATGGCTCCGTCGAAGGAAGAACTGTAGGAACAAGGAGCCAGGAATGCAAGTGACAACCAATGCGATTATGGCAATCGTCGCTTCTGTTGAAAGCGCCATTGAGAGAATAATACACTGTATGGGGTACGAAGAAGCAGAGTTTGAGTAGAATAACGGTTTTGGAAAGTTCTCTATTGATTGAAAAACATTGAGTGACAAGTTTCAGGACACCGCACCATGAATCTTGGGCGGTCGCGGTTTTCTCACCCAGCATGCCGTGCACATCGTCGTCAAGTATAAAACTTACCAGTGAAAATGCGACAGGGAGGGGTGGGATGAGGCCACAAGTGGCTCGAAGAAAGGTGGACGGATTACTAACAGGTAATTCGTTTGCACTTGCATACCTCCAGATAAAACCCGGTCTTCTTTACTTCGAGGTACTTCGAGGTATGGGAGGGAGGTGTGAAGATTCGGCGCGTGGCTGGCAGAGGCGTCCCGCAGCTCAGATCAGCAGGCGGATATCCACATGGAATCCCCAAGCACGCCCAAATCCCGTGCTTGCCCGTGCTTGCCCACGCTTGCCCCCTGTCGCCCCAAGCCAGATGGCAGATTCTCACCTCCACCTCCAGGCGGCTTTCCCTACCGGTGGGTACTGGTGGGTCAATCATAAACCAATCCTACCTACTCTCCACAATGACGCCCGAGAAGACTGGTGGGAAACACATGCATGCTGCAGTAGGGCCGTTCCATGCTTGACGTTGCGGCCCGGGGTGCTGTCAGCTTTTGTAAAGTTAAGCCTGATTTGGCACAGCATGGATGTCGAAGTCCTTCAAACGCAGGAAAAATGCTGACCTTGCTACGGCCTTTTAAAGTCTTTTTATGGTCGGTGGTATCCTATACCGCCTGCTATGAGGCCAAAATGTTCCGTTAGGTCTGGGCTCTCGACCTTGATTGCACTCCCTTGGGGCGCTGCGGGTTGCGGCGGGTCGCGTTGCTGTCTCTTCCAGTCGGCTGTCGACATTCGGTGGCTTGCTTTGCAGCTAATGTGTGTGGACATCCTTTTGAATAGCCCACAAAAACGCTACGTCTTCACTAATTGAAGTACACTGCCATGCTCCTAAACAGGACACTGCTGCGCTTGTGTTCTGCGACACGCATACCAGGGGCATGGTGGGATCCGCGTTTTCCATCCAGGGGTATCCTGGACATACCCTTTTGGGAATCATGACCAGCTTGATTGGTTAGCAGACACCAGCTGGTCAGCAGACCCTGTGTTTAAAAAGAAGACGTCGCTCCTTCAAATCAGAATGTCTGCTTTGCTACACGCTCTACCGTTTTCTTTTTGCTCAAAACACCTAGCCCATCAAGGCATATGCACTTATCGACTGAAGCCGTTGTCGCCATTGTGGCTCTGATCACCATGTGCATTCCGGGGACGCTCATTGTGAAGTACCTAGCACGAGCAGGCTACTTTCGCCGTCTTGGGTTTGACCCAAGCAACAGAGTTACAAGACCTGGCACAGGATCGGATGGTGCAGATGAGGTTGGGCTTCTCTTGGATGGAACCGACTCCCCAGATGTGACCAGCGGTGTCTTGAGAGATCCAAATAACGAATGGGTAGCGGTCGTAAGTAGCGCCTTCTGGGTCACTCTGGGGTATTGCTGATTCATCGAAGCGCATCCGCGAAGTCCAGACAATACACTCAAACGAGCAGATGTGGATCCGATCTCAGACTGGATCTTCCCGGCGGTAGGGAACAACAGAGGAAACTTAAAAGTTTGGCGTTTGGGTGGAAGACGCAGTTTTGGTATCATTCAATTCATTGATGTGATGAAGCACGATGGAGTCGAGCCAAGGAGCGCTGAATAGCGGTGCATACTATCAAAAAGGCACCGATACCTTGATTTTCATGCTTGGCTCCTCTTAAAGACCAACCAAAATCTCGTTTGATGTTCCCTACTTCTTTTTCTTTTCGTGGTCTTACACAGTGGTCGCGGCGTACCGATGTATTGTCAACACGATTTTCCCCACGCTGTCCTTTTAGAAAGATCTTGCACAATGTATAACATAGAACTCGGAACCTCAATAGGATACAACGTACTACTTCTCCAATGAACTTCTGTTGAAGAACAGTCCAATGACTGCAGATCACGCAAATCAGCGATCGTCCCCTTGAATGGCAGCGAGGGGTAAATCGCCTGCAACCAATGGTGATGCGGCGGCAAGCACAGCACTACGACTTCTAGTAAGGCCTTTTCCTCGCTGCTAATTCGACCCATAAACAGTTCTGCGAGATTGCAGAATCGCTTGCTGTTGTGTCGTTGCTCGTTGTTATCGCCCCTGAAGCGATCTCGGCAGCCGTAAATACCCACAGGCAGACTCAATTGTGATGCACCCGGGGAAGAATGGGACACCTTGGGTTGGACATGAGCTTTATCATAAGATATAAGCGTTGCCATTGCAGCTATTGCATCTAGCTCGCAGGCAAATAGCTCTTCCGACAACCCCACATACATGTACGATGTCCCTTGTTCCGCCAGGCTTCAGAAAGATGGAGAGTCATCACCGCTCCCTATGGGTGCCCACAATTCGAGCCTTATGCCATCTGAAAGCTCTCGGCGTGATGGTATACGCTTTCAGAACGTACCCACGCATATTCTCTTGCGTGGAAATGCCGTGGCTCACAACACCCCTTCTTTTCGGAGTACAGGTCAGCCAGCATCTCACTCGTAAAGCTGCCTGTACCCACATGGATGAAATGGCCTTCCTCGAGAGTTCGAGGGTCAGAAGCTAGCCTCCTTTGTTGCAACATAAGCGCAGCATGTGTGTCTGGAGCTGGAGCGTTTCCAGAGAATGTTCCAAGCCGGCGTACCGGTCTATCTCGGTGGGTGGTGGTGGTGGCTGTAGTGGGCGACAGGCCCAGCCAGGCCAGGTAACCTCGCTGGACAATTATTATCGCGCTCGGTATGCAGGTTGCAAGTAAGGCTACGATCGCGATCGTGGCTTCAGCCGACAGAGTCATGGCATGGGCTGACTGTGCAATGGACGAATAAATTGATCGGATGAGAATGTGGATAAAGAATATCGAGAGAGTTAGAATAATCAGTGACGGTGCATGCTGGTTTTGTATCCCACGCAAGCGCCCTGGGGATTTGATGCAAGCGCCCCTCGAGGTTCAGATGCAAGCTGTGCTCGGTGAGTCGCTGCAGGTACCCCCACAGCTCCCTTGAGAACATTGCTTTTGGCGCAGCCAAGCAGCAGCCGCATTCCCGCCCGACGATCTTTGGTGACGTTTACCCTGTATGAATGCGTAACGGTCGGCGAAAAGACCGGTGCTATCCATCGCCTTGACTGTTAAGAATCGGCATTTTCCGTGTTTTTCGCAGTACAGTAGAGATTTCGGCCAAAAGATCAACACCGATCATCTAACATACCTGGTCAAGCCCTAGCCAAACCCCGGCCGATCCTAGCAATTGTTGGCTTCATTGGCACCCATACCTAGATCATCGACAAGGCTGAGAAACCCTTGTATTTTGAAGTGATTATCTTGCCACTCCGAACATTTCGGAGAGTCTCATTTCGTACAGTCCTAGGACGTACCATTCCGATACGAAAAAGATAACGTTTGGCAATTAAGGGGATACTTCGAAGAAGTGCCTATCAGACCTGCCTACACTCTATACCTCGCTTTGAAAAAGGTTCAGGACTTTCAACGATGAAAAGCGGTTGCACTGTAAATGTGACTTTGTAGCATTGGCATTGCGAATTACTGTCACATCGTACCTCTACATAATCTAGACTCTATGTACAGTAGACCAAGTTGGCACACCTCGGGCGTGTCATGGGAGGCTCATACCACCGGTGCGGCAGAAGACAATTACTCTTCTTGGTTGACCCCACCCATCGGTATTCTCGCCGCTTGCCTCGCGAAGATCTACTCTTTCGGAAAATCTTCCGTCTCCCCTTGGCAGTTCGACTTCCTCGCCAAACGGTCTCGTGTGATCTACGTCCCGTCTGTTATGGTGCGGAAAGCTGATCAGCGGGAGCATACTGCCTAGAGCTTGGTTCAGTTCCACCTTCGAGGCAATCAAATCTAGGATAGAGCATACATACAATGAGAAGTACTCGAACCCATGGCGTAGGGTAGAGATGTGTGCGGCATGGCAGACACGACCCGCCGATGAAGGGTGACTCGGTTCGAATCTCGCCAAGAACCCAAGAACTGGGACCGTGAGGGTCTTCAGTCTGGTTTGACCACGGGCTCAGCTGCGTGCCTGCAATCTCTACTTGTACGCAAGGATTTGGAGGGAGCACGAGGGTGCGCTCCAAGCGATAACATGACATAGAAACATTGAAGAGTACTCTGCGGATCTTTCACAGGAAATCCTTCATTATGACAGATTCCGGTGTTTTCCCCTGAGATACCCCTGTGCCCCACAGAATTTGGGCCGCAAAACCTCAACTTGGTAGAGCGGACGAGGAGTAAGCATTGGCAATGCCATTCATCCTCTACCAATCACCATTGGGAATAAATCGCCTGTGAGGTATTGAGCGCCAACAGCCACACTCATACTTTTGCCAGTGGGCAGAAATTGGTACCAAAATGTCTGCTGGCCGCTTGAGCCTGAACAACGGCAGTCTATTCAAACACCAAAACTAACCTTGGCCTAGCATACCCGAGCGACCCCCACAAGCCTAAATTCTGGAGACACTAGGAAGCTTATCTTTACACCATTCCCGAGTCCTTTTCGCGCAACATCTTGCCCGTCCTCAAGCAAGTAACACATATTCCACCATTGCAATACCGGGGCTGGGACTGTAATCTCGTGTTCACTGTGGTGCCATCCGTTTTTCTTGTGTTTCATGCTCCCACAAGTGTTGCGCTTGCGGGTGGGCTTGCAACCGCCAGATTTGTAGGTACTCGAGGTTTCCAACAGCCTGTCTGGTCTGGGCCCCAAATAAGCTTGGATCATTACACGCGGGACCGGTGGAGGAGAAGTACCAAACACTTTGTGTAGTTCGAACGGTGAACGACTCCTTGCGCTACTACATGTATATCCTCGTCAGCAAATATCTTCAAGTGGTTTTTTTTTTCGTAAATATCGCGAACACCTACATGTTCCAATCGCCCTTCCTCTAACAAATGGTTCTGCCTCTGAGAAATCGCAGTGGGCAGCATTTGAGAAGATGCATCTAGTTCGAATATGGTGTCTTGGCTGTTGGTCAAATCGCTGGTACGATGTGGAAGGAAGCGGCGAAGGTATCCTCTTCTGACAACACAGTTAACAATGGGGATGCAGATCATGGCGAACAGACCAACTAGGCCTATGGTTGCTTCAGCGGAGAGGGGCATGGCGTCCAAAGCGAAGCGACGTGCACGAGAGAATGTTGACTGAGGAAATGTGTTGAAAGTGTGGTGCTTGGTGCCAATATCCAAGAATGCTGATGAGTTTCCTCTTACTACCTAGGTAGCTAGTAGGCGGTGATAAAGATTGCAAAGTTGAGACAAATGAGCTGGGGCCGACCGAAGCTCCCTAGTGTCATCGTTGGTCTTGCCTTGATCATCCATGTATGTTACACAGTAGTGTTCGAAAGCATCCTGAATGGTCGCAAACCTCAATCTGCGACCAGGGGGGCACATGCATCTCGTACTCAGAAGCGCAGCAGGGTGCCCTGGTTGGCTCTCTACGGAGTACTCACTCAGGTACGTTGTCCAACCCACCTGGCAATCGGCCTTGTACCTAGCACGCCCGCACCACTCAACTGCTTGCTGATGACCCCCCTTGCAAGTTTACCACACATTACTGGCCAAAGCTGCCACCCATCCCATTCAAGCGCTTGGCTTCTACACTCTCTCTGTGTGCTCAGCCTGATCATGCTTGGCCGCCATGCCCACATCCTCCAGTCCAGAAAAGTCAGCCACACCAAACAGCTCGTCCATTCGCTCGAGGGAGATCTGTTTACGTCATAGGGTTAGCCATTATCCTGTTGAAAGTGGAAAACACAGCCTTACCCCTTTGGTCTCCGGGATCCAGAACGCAGCGACTCCCATCGCGAAGCAGAACGACCCGTAGATGAAATACGTCCCGTACCCGGTCGAGCCGCCGGCGTTCACGAGCATCACGGGGCTGACCCTCGCGACGACCAAGTTGAACAACCACTGCGTCGCCGCCGCCAGCGCGACGTTGTAGCCCCGCAGCCGGTTGCTCGGGATCTCGGACACGTAGATCCAGCACACGGGGCCCCAGCCGAACTGGAAGGCCGCGGCGAAGATGTACACCATGACCAGCGCCACGTACCCGGCGGCGGGGATGCTCGCGGCGTCGGCCTTGGGCGGGTCGAAGCGCACGTAGAAGCCGAGGTAGAACATGCAGAACCACATGGCGAAGGCGGTCCAGACGAAGGACCACCGCCGGCCCAGGGTGTCGGCCAGGAAGACGATGAAGATGGCGCACGAGGTCATCTTGACGATGCCGTACACGCCCGTCGCCAGCAGCGAGTTGGCGTTGCCCGTGACGCCCAGCGCCGTGAAGATGGTCGGCGCGTAGTAGTTGATGGCGTTGGTGCCCGTCCACTGCTGGCACACCATCAGCCCGATCGACAGCAGCGCCCGGTTCCGGTTGCCCGGGATCAGCCAGCACTCCTTCTGCTCGGCCCAGAAGCCCTCGCCGTGCACGCTGCGGCGCTCGTTCTCGAGCTGGGTGCGCAGCTCGAGCAGCTCCTGCTGGATGTAGGGGTGGCCCACGGGCAGGTGGCGCACGTCGGACAGGACCTCGGACGCCTTCTCCCAGTTGTCCTTGCTGGCGAGCCAGCGCGGCGACTCCGGGCAGAAGATGATGCTGGCGAAGATGAGCACGGGCGGCAGGGACTGCATGGCGAGCGGGACCATCCAGGCGCCGTGGCCGGCGATGTGCAGCAGGGAGCCGTAGTCGATGAAGAAGGCGACCATGGCGCCCATGGTCTCGAAGAGCTGGTAGAAGCCGACGAGGAGGCCGCGGATGCCGCGGGGCGAGTTCTCCGAGACGTAGGTCGGGGCCAGCATGGTGGCGCCGCCAAGGCCGAGGCCTTCGACGAATCTTTTGATGCCGTCAGCCACTCCATTATATCTGCTGTGGGTGCGAGGATATGCGGCGCTCAGTCTAGCCTACCTTCCGATGTAGAAACAGGCATAGTTGCCATACGAGAAAGCCTGGAGTATGCCGCCGATGAAGGCAAAGACGGATACGATCATCAGGCTGGGTTTGCGTCCGAGGAGATGGGCGATCGGGTTGGTGAGCAGCGCCCCCGCAAAGGCACCAGCTTGCATGACCGTGACAAAGTTGGCGGAAAGATTGGCTCGCGCCAGCTTGTCATCTGCGCTATTGCCCGTTGGAATGCGGAACTCGCTATAATGTCATTGGAGGTTAGTTTTGATTCTCACTCGGCCGGGACATGCATTTGCGACGATGCGTACTGTTGGAAATCGGGCATCGTGAGGACTCCGCCGATGATACCGGTGTCCATGCCAAAGAGTGTGCCGCCGAAGCATGCCTATACAGGTTGGAAGACATGAGTAAACGCGAGATCACAGATCAGCAGTCCCTGCCTGAGGGGTTGGATGACATACCGCAGCGGCCAGCGCAAACACACGCCAGTTGTACACTTCGGGCGGATCGAGCTCGATAGAGTCATTGCGCACAACGCGCCGCAGGAGGCGGTAACTACGACCCATGTTTGAAAGCCGTCTGTACACTAGACTTGGAGGTTTGATCTAGAGGTTGTCTCGCGGCGTTGGGCAGTCAAGACAGTTTCCGGGCAGCGGCCTCTCTATTTAACAGCAGATCCGGCGAGCGCACCTCCTGTGGCCCCGCGCGTTCACCCAGCAAATCACCCTCGAGTAAGCGCAAGGGTGTCGGCATCAACTGGCCGCATTGGTGCGTCATTTGCTGAGTGAGAATTCTCTCGACAAGGTGCCCAGCAATGAGAATCCACCCCGTCATGTCCCCCCTCCCCCTTCCGTCCGCAGAGCGGATCCGCCTCGCTTCAGGCTGATTACCGTTCCCCATCCCCATGCGGGGGTTGGCAGACCTTGCCAAATGCAGGTCGGATTGGAAGGGTGAGACAGCGTGCCGCGCACACTAGCATGGGCTCTCGCGCTACGAGGAGGTGGTGATCATTTGAGAATATCCGTGGGATGGCAGTGGTGTGGGGGGCAACTCTCGGTGATTGGTGCGGCAGCAAAGGTAAGCTTTCTCGGTTGTTACATCCGTTCTTGGCTTGTTGAAGACAAGCTTTTGCGTTGTTGCAAGTCCGGTCTCGGCAACTTTAGTGTCATTGGCAAGAGTTGGCAAGAGTCTCGATGATACAAAGACCTAGAGTTGATGAAAGCGCAACATCTTTGTGCGCAAAACCCCTTTCAAAGACTGATTCCCGGAAGCAAAGAGGCCTCAGGCCCCCCACTGCATAGTAACTATCGACCAAACTCATAGCACCGCACTCCGTGCGTCTTGCCTTCAACACTGTCCACGGTCCTCTTCTGCCACTTGGGGTTGAACGCCAGTTGCAGCTCTTCTCTCCCCTCTCCGGCCGCCATTGATGGTTCCACGGCCTCCACAGTGGCAATCAATCCCATAGTCTTCAATGAGGCGATGCCTGCGCAGGTGTTGTCCAATTCTCCAGACCTTACCGGGGCAGACTGCTGCGACAAAACCAGCAGCTCCAGTATAGAGTCCCAAGCCTCGCTCGCCCGAGACTTCCAAAGTCCCCAAATGGTATGAAGAAGGGCGATCAGCGCGTGCAGCAAGAGCAACACCACGGCAATATAATCAAACCAGGTTTTCAGAGCCATGACGTAGCCCGTGAATACCGCGTGCATCTCGGTGCGCATCGAGTCGTGGTCCTGCAGCACTTCCGGCAGCGAGAAAGACTCGACCGGCGGCCCGATGCGGACTATCTTCCACGCCAGGTGTTCTGGCATCTCGGTCCACTTCTTGACCCAGGGCGGAAAGAGGTTCTGGGTATCCCGCTGCAGCTGCCAGCCAACCCGGGACAGTCCATCGGCTAGGAACATGGAGATGGTGATTTCCATGCTCGTCAGCCTAACTCCCGCATCAAATTCATTGTTTTTGTCCACTGTCGGATACGGCGTTCTCGAGAGCAGCCGTTCAAGTAGCGTGACTTCGTTGGGTGAGCTGGAATGACCTCTTGCGGCACTGTCCTCCGCAAGCGAAGCATCCGACACACTCGGCGACAACAGGTCGTACCAGTTTGGGTGCAGGCTTATATGATCCCATGCACCATCGTTCCTGGGGTGCCATGAAGGGGATGCCTGGTCGATATTATTGTCATTGGCAAGCTGCGCTTTGACAACGTTGCGCAACCTGTTGCTCGTGAACTCGTGGGACTGCAATTCATCGCCTTCCAGTCTTGCATCGATGATGGATTGGCCTCTGCCCCAGCGTGCGTCCACGGTGCATGTCACTGGCGACATGTCTGTCCCGTTTGAGCCGGCCAGTAATATCAAGCCCAGTGAGCTTGCATCTCCAGCGTCAATATCAATAGGGATGACAAATAGATTGAACTCGCGAGGCTTGAGAGAGAATATGCTGCCATTTACTACCCCCAACCCCCGTTCCTTGAAGGCCTGCTGAACGTTTGCCGTGACAGCAACGGTTTTATTGGCCCGAGTCCGACGGTACAAGGAGAATTGCTCCAACACAGGGAAGGTCATGTTGGTTGCTGCATATTCGATCGAGACATTCCAGTGACGTACACAGCTTGTCCTGACCACAGGGAGTTTCATGTCCACCTCGAAAGACTTGACCTTTGCTAGATCGAGTGACCTTGGATACGCCGGCCGACCTGTCTGGGATTGGTCTCGGAGCATCCTAAGCGCTACCTTGTAGAAATGAACCGAGGCATCTAGCATGTTCGCAGAAGGGCCGTGCGTTGTATAGACCCAGGTATCTTTGTCTAATTGTTGATCGGCGACAACGTAGAAAACTTTCCGCATCGTTTCATCCTGGAGGGTGACCTGGTAAGGCCGCTCAGGGAACTGCCACCATGTCCACAAGTGAGCACGCAGGGCAGTGAAGCCGGACGATGGGCATTTATAGTTGTGGATTCTGGAGTAGTCCGACGAGCAGTTGTAGCCTTCCAAGTAATGGGCGTCGAGTCTTGTTGGCCAGATCTGGGCTTCGCTTCCTACGACCGTTCCAAATCAGAGTTGAATAGGTGCGTTGAGACTGTTGCAAACAACATAGTTCCTGACTTACCATTAAGCCAGTAAACCATCCCCCCGGCAGGCCATTCCATCACTCTAGGGATCATGAGAATAGCACTAGCTGGCCCTGCGAGTGCGGCTATGATTCCTCCTACCCCGAGTAGCACGATGACTGGCAGGTTTCTTTTCCATCGATGGCCTCGATAAGCCAGCAGGCCTCCCCAGAAGTCCGGGGACCAGAAGTAACTAGAAGAATCAACTAGGAGTCAACCATATTTGCCAAGTCGAAGCGCTTCCAAGTTGGACAAATGGACCTTATCTGTGTGAACGCCTTGTCCGAAGCTAGCCAACCCAGTGGCACACCGTCTCCGGAAGCTAACTGAGCCCGTAAAACGTGTAGAATTACAGTTGTAAGACTCGCAATGATAAGAAGCTCCTGGTGAGTCGTTCAGCTCTTGCTTGTATATCCAAACCGAGCATGGATCAAAGGAATGAGATGTACCTGCATCTTGGCAGCGACCTGCAATAATCCCATCTTGACGCCGTCCATATTGAGGGGACCCTCAAGGTCTCTCCCGATGAAGCGGCCCCTGATATTGATAGCAATCAAAGCCAGTGAGATGGTGGCTGGTAGGATGTGCACGGCCGAGCGCGACAGGGCGGCGCGTCGTGATTGATAAATGATGGGTTTTCTGGGCTCATCTCTGAAGATGGCAACGACAATTGCCAGGCCAACGGCTCGGAGGAGCAATCTGAATCGATGCCTCAAGTCTACTAGGCTGGCTAGTGCTGCATGAAACAGCGCACCAGGTCTCCATTTCTGTAACCTGCTAGCTTGAGACGATAGAGCCCACATCAGACAGCAATGGCAGAAAGTCAACAGTTGTTCAAGTAACCTAGGTTAGAATTTGAGGTGAATTGACAATCACTAAGTATTGTAATTGGAAAAGAAAATCAAGGACTAAGTATCATTGATGCATTGACGACGTCTGCTTACCATCAGGCTGTGACAACTCTCGAACTTTCGAAATTACCCCACCCTAGCTGCCTGTAAACATGGCTATGTTCGATTAACATCCAATCAGAGCCAGAGCTCTAGGCAAACCTGGGCTGACATTGCTTTTGTCTGCATAGCCTGGTGGATGCTGTCAGCATTTCAACCTGATCTTCGCGGCTACACTTCGTCAAGCACTTCATACCAGCTTCATGATGAATATCAATGACTATCTGGGTGTGTGGTGGATTCCCAGTATCATCAGCGTACCCTCAGATAAGAAAAAGTCAGTCCAGCAAGTCTTTACTCTTGACCAGATCCCAAGTTGTCTCGGCGTTGTGTGCGAGAAACGCTTAAGCGATATTATCCACAAACTCCATTTTGACAGCAGTTAGGCACTTGTGAGTATGTTCAGGGTCTAAGAGGCCGTGTCCTTGAAGTAACGCCTGCAATATTTGGCTTTGAAGACAGGTTGACTTCTGGTTCCCAGAACTTTATAATGTCCGGTGTTGTTCAGGCAATTACATTCTGTCGACTTCGTACCTGCCTTCTCTCTCAGCGTTTTGGTTGCCACCTTGTCCAGCCGCTCCTAAGCTTTGTACCAAGTTAAACCACCCGTTCATCTGTTATGTCATCACCCTCAACCGCAACACCCTATCCACCTTGGCGAGCTTCTAACACCGTCTTCCCTCTCATCAACACCTCTCACTCCTCCTACCCCTCAGTCCTCAAGACTGTCAATCCCCAACCCCAAAGCATCACACCTCGCGCTCTCCCCAAACACAACCTGCCGCCCTCCCCACTGCAAAAGCCTCTGCGTCGGCCTCTCCCCCTCCCCGACGGGACTCCACCTGCCCCCGCTCTCCACCTCGGCCAGCAGCTCCCACCGGCCCCTGGCCCGTAGATACTCCGGGTCCGGGTTGGGATCCCCCGTCCGCGCGAAGGCGGTCCAGTACTCGCCGACGAGCCTCATGAACGGCCCGTCCAGGCCGTCCCTGTCGGGCGCGCCGGCGCGCCTCTCCGTGCCGAACACGACCATCTGCTCGCCGGCGTGGCACTTGAAGTACTCGAGATCCGGGTCGCCGTCGGGCCGCGCGGCAGTCTTGGGCGGGTCGCAGTAGGCCGTCGTGTAGCCCCGCGGGCTGTACGTCCGGTTGAACACGTAGCTGTAGACGTCGCCGCCGAAGGCGCGGTGCCGCGCGGCGGAGTAGGCCTTGGCGTTGTCGAGGCACGCGAACACGCCCTCCGTCACCAGCGCGACGGAGACGTTGTAGATCTGCGCGGGGGTCAGCTTGTCGCCCTGCTTCACGCCGGGCGGCAGGAAGGGCCTGATGGCGGGGCTGCAGGCCGAGATGTTGGCGTTGGACATGCCCAGCCGCCCGAGGACGTGGTCGCGCAGGTAGGAGCCCAGTGTGTCGTTGGCGGCGGGGAAGTCGGGCATGTCGATGGCCGACTCGTCGCGGTTGGTGCCCGTCATGACAGCGATGCCCGCCGGCGGCGGGTGGTTGGTCTGGTTGACGACTGTCTCGGGGGAGTCTAGGTAGACGCCGTCTTCGACGGCGGTGCTGTTGAGTGAACACTAATTTAGTAGCTCGCTCTTAGACCATTGCCTCTCCCTTTTCAAGGGACAGCATCGGGAAACTTACTTGACATTCGGATCGAGATTCACAAGATCGAACCCATCAATCTTAGCAAGGCAACCAATCTCATCCTCCGCACCCTTGCACCCCGCCGCCTCCAACACTTTCACCGTCTGGTCCTCGTACGCCTGCTCGGGGGTAGGGTACCGCGCGTACCGGAACTTGCCCCCGCTCGGCCACCCGACGGGGTCGGACATCATGATCGCGCGGTGGAACAGGCCGCGGGCCCGGGGGCTGCCGAGCATCATGCGCGTGGCCTGCGCGCCGGCGGACTCGCCAAACAGCGTCACCCGCGCCGGGTCGCCGCCGAAGAAGGCGACGTTGTCGCGCACCCACTCGAGCGCCGCGACCATGTCGCTCAGGCCGTAGTTGCCCCTGTGGATGCCGTCCGCGAAGGCCAGGAACCCGGCGTTGCCGACGCGGTAGTTGACCGACACGGCCACGACGTCGCCCCTGCTGGCGAGGTTCGTCCCGTCCGTGTTGGTGTTCTTGCCGGACCCGCTCGTGAAGCCGCCGCCGTAGAGGTACAGCATGACGGGCTTGAGCTTCGACGAGCCTGCCGCCGCCGCCGTGCCGTTCTCCCCCGGCTCCGGCAGGCTGCTCGTCCAGATATTCATAAACAGACAGTCCTCGCTGCTCCCGCTCTTGACCTCGCCCACGGGCTGCACGCAGTCGGCGCCCGCCTCGACGGCCAGGACCTCGGCGCCGGGCGCCTCCTCCGCCCCTTTCCGGACGCGCGCGTACGCGAACCGCGCCGGCCGCTCGGCGTACCGGACGCCGCGGAACTTGAACGCGTGCGCGTCCCGGTACCCCGTCATGCGGTACCCGGCGACGGGCAGCGCCACGCGCCACCTCTCCGAGGAGTCGGCCGTGGACGAGTTGGACAGCGGCGCCGACTGCGTGCACAGCGCGGGCAGCTCGCTGGCGCAGACGACGTCGGACCTCACGCTGCCCCGCGGGCTGATGGCGCGGCACGTGCCGTTGCTGCTGCTGCTGCTACGGGCGATCCAGTACAGCGTGTCGCTCGCCGCGCGGCCCTGGTAGACCTGGTAGGACAGCGAGGCGTTGAGGGCGGCGGCGAAGGACGCGGCGTCCGGGTCCCAGAGGGTCTCGCCGAGGAGGGCGCAGGACCGGGATGCCTCGCCGTAGGTGCTCTTCTGGCTGACGAGGATGGCGGAGGAGCCGTTTGTCGGTGCGGCTGGAGGGGAAAAATAGGGGGTGTCAGTCAGGGGGGTGTCTTTCTCTGATATGCATGTCCCTCACGTACAGTCCAGGTTATTCTCCGAGAGAATCGTAAGACCACCGCCCGTGTATAGCCCGCTGACGGCGAGAGGGAACGCCAGGGCGCGCAAGGCGTGAACACGCCACGAACAAGTCCTCATCGTAGCCATTGCTCTGTCGTACAGTATGTAGGGTATGTAGGGCCTAGGCTATAACAAGATAAAAGTCCCAAGAGCCAGGACAGGAGAGAGAGCCGCAACATGTTACACCACAGCATGCGCGAGCATACCCTCCTCAATATATATCCCTCCCCCGATTTTACCCCAACCTCTGGCGATCTGCCGCCCGGAGCTTCTGTGCAGAAAAAGCTTGAGCCTCGGGCCTTCTCCCCCCCGCCCATTGCGGCCCACGCGGGAATTGGCCTTTTAAATTGCGAACTGCACATTAACCGGACGAGTGCCTCGTGCCGTGTTCCTGCATGTAAAGTGCAGCGACGGCCCGAGCGCGCGAACAGTGCCAAGAGCGTTGCGTTCATACGACAGGGTTTGAGCTGGCCGTAGGAAGGAAGGTTGCATCGTACGGGAGTCACTGAAGCCAATGTCTTAGCATTGGGGGCCGGACAGTCCGGGACCTCGTGGCAGGGCCGACTTCGACGGCGTGTCTCGTTGCTTGTACGGCCTCAAGCTTGGCATCCAGTCTCCGACTCTTGAAGGCCGCCTTGTTGAAATTCCTGTCAGCATTTAGTTCAGCATCCTCCCCGCGAACCGGGCCGTCGGTATCATCATCATCCAGTCGAACATGTCAAGCCGTTTGATGCGCCCCAATCTCCACCACCAGGGACCTCCAAGAATATCACACTCAAGGCGATGCCAACGTTGTTGCTCATGGGTATGTAAGATTGAAAAATATGCTGCTATGCATAGGCTGAAAATAATCCCTCTCCAAGAAAACGCCGTGTGTAGATGCTGATTATGACCCGTCCTTTTGTTTCCCTCCCGTGCATGCAAAGTATCCGTCGCTCACGCGCGCGAACTATCGTCACCCGCCACGGCCCTTGATAAAGCCCATATCTACAGTACTTTCGTCCTCCGCTGTCAGCCGACCCATGGCCCTGCCGCCCGTCTGTGGTGGGCCGGCTTGCCGATGCTGCTCCAGAACGCCCGTATGGAGATGTTCCACCGGACCATGTCCGCCGACTGCTGAGCGATATTCTCGATCGCGCGCTGGGATAGGGTGAAGGCGTCGTGGAAGAGGTAATTCTCCGGGTCGCCGCAAGCAGCGCCGTCCCTCCTTCCGAGTCGGCCAGTCGTCGGATGAAACGACATGCTCTCCAGGGTAGCCCTGACATCGTGCGTCCTCTTGGACTGCTGTTGCTCGTCGTCGGCAACATCGTCACCAGGTGCACCCGTGTTCGGGTTGTCTATTTCCTTGACACTGACAGCAAGACTGGGCTCGGTGCTGGTGTTGTTGTAGGCCACCTCAACACACGGCGCGAGGACCTCGACGAACTCGGCGGCCGTCTCGTTCGCCCCGACTCCAGTCGCATCTTCTAATCCCAGATCCCGAAACTGGCGCTCGATGATCAATGGGATAATGTAGTGGGGCATGTCATACAAAACGGCATCTCGCACAGGAGGTGGCAAAGCGGGTTGAGGCTCCTCTTCTTTCTTGTTCCCTTCAGCGACGTCGCGTCGTCCAAAGGTCAGGTTCGGGGGCGGCTTGGAACTCATAACGCCATTGTGACCGTGCTCGTCCTTCTCGTTCTGCGCTTCTGTCTTGACCCAGCTTTCCAAGGCGTTGGCCATGCCTTGGTTCCATCTCTCGGTCAGACTAACAGCATTCCGCTGCTGTTCTACCTTTGAGTGCGGCTTGATCGCAGCCGGACGCGCCCGCGCCCAGGCGGGAGTGAGCGATGGGTCGAAAATCTGCGGGATGACGATTCGAAAGGGTTCGATGGTGGGGTCGCCGGTGCTTCGATAGGTCGAGTTCGGATCGAGATGAGGTACGGGAGTCGTCCGGCCATAGTAGTCCGAGTGCGCGATCGACTTTCCATCTAGAGAAGCCTGATAGAGGCGTTCTACGTTGACGAATACTTGTTGGACAAGCCTGTCGACATAGATGAAGGAATCCTCGCGAGGCAGGGCGGCCAGGGACCAGACGTCCCAAAAGCCGAGATTAAACACCCAAAGCGTCTCTCTGGGTGGCCTCTCGGGCGCCGGCATCGACAAAAAGGTCGACACCTGGGATGCGAGATCGGGAATATCGCTGGACACGGGATACTGATCGTGGAGAAACGAGTAATCGGGTCCTGGCGGGTTGGCGCTTTGCGAGTCCTGGATAGCCTCTTCAACGGCTGCCGCAAATACGTCGTTGGAGACGAGCGATCGATGAGGGGGTTTGAGAGTAGGTATCAGCGACAAATACCTCGTGCAGTTCAACTGAGTCTGGGTCAGCATGGCACGGCCACTGGGTTGTGCAGCGATGGGGTGCATACCTCTTTACAAAGCACCTCGGTCCACCCCTTGGCGCTCTCAGAGCCGCCGCCGTTCTCCGACCGTGCTGGCACGGCGATACCATTTTCTCCAAACACCACTATCCTCAGTCCTCCACCTATCTCTTCCTCTGATGGTGGGCGCTGGCCGTCCTCCTTGCCGCCTGGTTTCCACCGTACCAGGTCGCTGTACGACGACCCGAATGTGACATCTGACACCCTTTCCGGGAGAAGCCTCGTGAGGAGAATTATGCCGACCAGACAGAGGGCCAAATGCAGCAGTAATCTCGGACCTCCTTTCAAGACGCGATTGGAGAAGAAGGCCAGGAGGGAGCGCAGGCAGAAGTGGTCGTGGCCGGTGTGGTCGCCGAGCAGCCAGCCCGAGGGCCCGTTGGCGATCATTGTGTTTTGTTGTGTCGCCGCCGCGTCCACGGCCATCGAGCGGCTACACTGGTCCTTCAGGTTCGCAAATGGACGGATTGATTGATTAAAGCAATGCCGGGGCCTGGTCGTGGCTGGCAGCGAGATCCTCGGCCGACTCTCAAGCTCAAACGGGTATGATCGAGCGGTTGAGAGAGGCAAGAAAGACAATGCCGAAAAGCGTATGTGGTCGGATGAAGTCCAGAGCTCCCTTGGATCTGCTTCGTCTCAAGAAGGGACCCGCCTGTCGGGGAGGGTGGGATGACGATCGGATCGTTTGGCTGGTGGATGCGGGCGTTCGGGCGGCGGCGATGCCAAGAGATTGCCAAGCCGGCTTGGTAACGGGCTTGGGCAGACGGGCAGGAAACGCCAAACAAGCGACGTGACAAGTGTGTCGATCTTTCGGACAGGCGCCAGGACGAAAATCGCACTTGGTGGATTGAACTTGCTCCTCTGTGCAGCAGGATGTGGGATGTGTGTGTATTGAGAAAAGGAGAGAGAGAGAGAGCTGAGAGGGAAGTGCGGCGTTGACAAAATCAGAAGGACAGAACCGGGGGGGAATTGGGGGAATTGGGGGAAGGAATCGTGGAGGGCCGAGTCGACCAAGAAACGGCAGGAACCGCGCGGACGCACGCTAACTAGTTACTGCCAACAATAGCAGCAAGGGTCAGGTCAGATGGGGGCAGGGCAGTCGAGCTGGCGTGTATCGTCGTCTCGCGTAGTCTGGCCGCCAAAGAAAAGCCACAGCAGCGATGGCGTGGCTCGAGATCTGGTCCCTGGGATGGCACCATTCACAAGACTGCACACGGTAGAAGGGGAGGAAGAGGAAGAGGGAGCAAGAAAGGAGATCCAGCCCGACAAAGAGGGAGAGGAGGGCTACCTACACGTACAATTGCTTCTGGCAGACATTCACACGCACGGAGGAAGAGAGAAGACTACAAGTACTCGACTGCTCAACGGCCACATCCCTCCCCTCCCTCTGTGCTGAGAAAGCAGAAAGCATACGGAGTACGTCTCGCTCTGTCACTCTTGTCCCACGCTGCTTGTACCTGACACTTTGCCACCTTGCGGGATGCCGCTGGGGAGACAGGCAAAGCTGGAGAAGCGGCGTGTGGAATGGGTGCACTGCGCAAGGTGCGCCAGCACCTCCATCTGGCTGGCGAATTGCTTCAGGAAATGAGAGTTCCCCGCCCAGGCATGCCCATGGCGAGCATATTCCTCGAATCGAGAAGAGTGAGTGTGGCTCGTGTGGGCAGATGGAGCCAGAGGTTTTGAGTTGGTGGCCGAGCCAGTCCTTGCAGACCCTGGGTGCCGGGCCCCGGCTTGCTGTTGCTCGGCGCTAGTCCCGCATTTCGAGTCTGGGCGTCGTCAGCTCTTTCGTCCCCCATCCTTGCTTGACCTCGACCTGGACCACCCTTGACGGATTTATTTCCATCAACTATTGCCTGCCTTGTCTTGTTCATGACCAATTTCCTCCCCACTTCACGGAAATCTCTTGAAGAAAAGCAAGTCACTAACCGGGTTTTGCAAACCTCTGGTAGCCGCTCCTGAATGGACCTCTCCGTCCCTGCGTTCGTGCCACGAGGCTTTTCCTAGCCGGGCTTCCACCATGCCACAAGGATAGACGCAGCAAGACATTGCTTCTTCTTCTTCAAGTGTTTGATCTGTTGCACTGCACCGCGTGCCACGTTGAGCAATGTCAGAGTCGAGTCGCACTCTTACTCATCCCTCCCCCGTCTGGTCCATCCTCGGCATCTTGGCGCAAAAGAACAGTCCACAAAATGTCACACCTGCTCATCTCTTGTTTCTTGACAAGCAGGCCGTGTCCCTCTCCCCCTTCTCCACAATGCCCAGCACGGCCGTCCCCATCGGGAGATCATGCACACGACAGTGCTCATCACTGTCCATTGAGCAGTTCGTGTCCTGGCGCCGTCTTTGCCGTTCCATTGATCCTCTGCGAATGAATGTTTGAACATGGACGAGACAAGCACGACAAGTCATGCTCTTGTGGTGGAGTCAGTCTGTGCCGTTCTAAAAATGGAAGCATACACTTTAGTTATGTACAGCACGCCATTGCGCCCAAGCGAGAGCCGGGCTGTTAGATCCGCTCATCCATTGAATATCATCCACAGTGGCTTGGGCCGATGCATTCTCCGTCGAACGAAGCCTCATTATGCCAATTATGCTGTCAAGTAATAGGCTTTCTGTGTAGAAACTGCACCTGATCCCAAGACCCGGTCTGAGACACTGTGCCTCCTGTCAACGAGACCAAGGGAGACAAGTCTGGCTAAACTGTGTGATTGTCTTGAATCCACAAACGCCAGATCGACAGAACACGATCAGTTGTGCTCCCGGCAATCTTCACCTGTGCCTCAGTCGTGCTCGCCGCCCAGTGCCTCCCACCACAGCCCGGCCGAATACCCGACTTGGCATGCGATCCTTACATAACCCCTTTCACGCCCTGCTTCCCAGGTCCAGTCTTAATCATCCTTCCATCCATCCATCCATCCCTTCTCACAATCACACGCACACCCTCCGGACATCCATCGCATCCTCCCGTCACATGCCAGCCGGCCGGCCGGTCAGCCAACCCGACAAGACACATCACATCGTCATCGGACCCCTCGTCTCCAAGACCCAGCCCGCGCCGGCACACGCCGCGAAGAAGGCAAACAGCCAGCCCTGCGGGAACCCGGGCCCGCCAAACTCCGGGTCCAGCCCGGACACATTGGGGAACAGGATCGCCGCGAGCCCGGCCGCCCAGTACAGCACGCCCGTGAAGGCCGCCATGTCGAGCGCCGCGCGGCGGGGGCCCGGCCGCAGCCAGGCGTTGTAGAGCGTCGCGAGGCCGAGGACGACGGACATGGTGATGGTCTGCGCGTTGTGGAACCTAGGGGTCGGGGGGGCGTGAGCGTGAGCCGGACATGCCAAGGAGCCTCCCAAGGTGAAAAGGGTACCCAAAGGCAGAGTCAATGCTCCGAGGCGGCGATGAGGGGTGGGCTAGGGATCCCCGTGGAAAGGGGAAGGAAGCTACGCCGAGAGGAGGGAGGCATGAAAAGGTGAGTGGGTGTGTGCGTCGCGAGAAGAACCTACTTTGCGTGCGGCGGCCAGCGCGGGTTGAACTGGTGCGAGGCGCTGAAGTCGGCGTAGGGGGAGCCGACGATCAGGCCCAGGGCGCTGATGCTCATGAGGATGCGGCCGAGCATGGCGGTTGACTGACAAGTATCCGGAGCAGTGGTGGTGGGAGGGCGGCGGTGATCACGGTGAGTCTGTTATGATGTGTGTGCTAGCTGCAGTGCCTATGCGCCTCTTCGCTGGATGGCCCGGTAAGTTGTACTGCATGTAAAATATGGTGTTGCAAGGGGTTTTTGTTGCAGGATCTGGACCAGAGAGGCCGAGGTCTGGCCTTCTCTGCCGGGCTTGCTCTTTGTCGGCGGATCCCCAAATGCACCGGCAGGTGCCCGGCTGCCACTGACGACATGACGCATCACCATCGAACCGCGCTGTCGGCTCCGGTGGTCGGGCTTAGCTGCTTGGCCCAGCAAAAATAAGGTCTGGGAGGGAGGGTAAAGGAGCAACCTTGGACACACTCGAATTGCATTGGCTCCCTGGTCGACCGGCAAGACTCCTAGGCTAGCATTGTGAGTACCGCGACTTGGACACATCTTTGTCCGCTAACTGCTATGCCCGCATGCACCCTCTCTCTCCTACCTACCATCGACCTACGGCTAGGCAACGCGATGAGCCCAGTGACACTGCGACTGGAATTAGTTCATCCCGAGAGCTCAAGGCGTGAATCAATACCCTGTGGCCCAATGTTCACCCAGTCAGCCAAGCAAGTGGTAGGTACTCTGCTTGTGCCTGATAGCCAGGCCTGGAGTCAAAGAAACCCACTGAATAACAGCGCACCGACACACCAAGTCCTAGCACTGAACTACCTACCACTCAGACCCGAAACCTAGAAACAGCATGCAAAGAAGCCCGATTCACAGCTGTTTGGATCTAAATCGTTATATCTGATATCAAGCATGTTCCCTAATCTCGCCTCTGATCTTTCCAGTCTCTCTCTCCCTTGTTACTTGCATGCCTACCTACCTACTTGTACACAATGAAACCAAATGTCCAGGAAGCCAGCCCACACCATGGGAAAATAACTAGTTACCTAGGTAGGTAAGGTACCTTAGGTCAGTTAGGTATAGGTAGACAACCCCACAACCACACCTCCGTCATCCCAAGTCCGGCGGGAAGCCCGAAAGGGGGTTCTGCCCAATTTTCATTGTGCTCCATCCCTCCTCCACCTTAGACAACCTAGGTACCACCTCGCTCTCTCTCTCCCTTGCTCGAGACACAAAAAATGGACGAAGATAATTCCCAAGCCAGCCCCCTACTCACCCAGACTCGTTTTATATTTGATCGGCCAGCCTATCTGAACAGCTCGATACCGCCCTCCCTTCCCTGCAGATCTGCCCGTCTCGGTCGGCCAGACTGCGAAGAGAGAGAGACAGAGAGAGAGAGAAAGCCATGGCTTTGACCGCCGCCTCTATTGTCCCCCAGAGAGGGAGGGCATTCTCCTCATGAGCATCACGACAGCCAGGCCTACGAGGCACCTGCAACACCTTCTCTCCTCCAACCCCCTCCGTCACGGCAAGATTTCAGCAGTTTCTTATTTTCACAAAAGAAAGCTTCTCTCGCTAGTATGTCTACCCGTCTCGTCCGTCCCGACAGCCCTCTCCGCAAGGCGGCTCAGCCCTTGGGGCCGTGGGGCACCACCACCAGTCTCTTGCCGCAGATCGTGCAGATCTTACGACAGCGAGAAAAGCAGAAGAAAACTACCTCCTCCTTCTCTCGCTTTCCCCCTCCCGAGCTTGACAGAACAAGAAAGGGCAGACTTTTACTAACTCTCCTCCCCCTCTTACCTCTAGGGCACGAACAACACACCCGAGCGAAATCCTGATCATTCTACCATTGGGGCAAACCCGGACCTCGCAGCAGGCCATCCAACCCCAACCACTACGTCTTCCCCACGGGTCTGCCACTACGACTAATGAAAACGATCACGGCAGCAAGAAACACGCATTTCACGAACCAAGCGGGCAAGTCAAGACCGTGCTTCGGAAAAAGCGCATGGGGGAATCAATCTATTGCCATTACGCCTCCAAGCCGACGCGGAAAATGGAAAAAAGAAGTCCTCCGCCAGACAAAGTCGGCCAGAAATCCTCAAAAGTCCCCCCGGTATCCCGACGACGACCCCCTTGTTCCCCGGATCCTCGAAGAGCAAGCGCAAAAAAAAGAGAAAGAGACCCCCCAACGTGTCCATCACACACACGCCAACGCTCGCCATGAAAAGAAGAGACGTCGACAACAAAAAAAAAGAGTCGACCGAAGAAACCGAAGCGGGAAACATCCTCCCACGATCATGAACCCATCCCCGCCCCGGGAAAGGGCAAAAACGCGATGCGCAAGAATGGAGGCAAAAGTTTGCTTTTCTTCTTCTCTTTTCTTCTCTTTCCCCCCGGCTTCCCCAGAAGATCCCATCCATTCCCTGGATGCTTCTTCGTTTTCGTTCCATATTCTTCCCCCCAACGCGCGCCATTTTTTCGGGGTATTTTGTTCCTCATTGTTTCCCAACAGACAAGAGGGCGACGTACTGATGGGCACAAGTCTTCTCCCTCTCCCTCTCCCTCCCTCCCAAAACGATCAAGTCATTAATGTACAGGTTTGTTGCGACAAGGATATCATTACACAATGTTCAGCAGACAGTTGCCAATCTGCAGTCGCGCGGGGCCGCAGACAAACCGTCCAGGCAGGCGCGCAAAAAAAGAGAAAAAGGTCGAAGAGGCCGGCGCCCAGTCGAGTCGACAAAGACACCACATGCCCCGAAACTCAAGTCGAATCGAAGCAGCAAAGGCGCTCCTCATCGTCAGAGCCGAGAGACAGCAACCCCTCAACGACCGGTACCGCGCCGCCCCGTGGTGGAGACAACGGAGGCCATCTACTCTTCCTCCGAGTCGGCCTCGCTCTCGTCGTCGCTGTCGTACGCCTGAGCCGCCTGGTTCCCCTCGACCGAGGGCAGCGGCTCCTGGCTGCCGCTCCCGGGCCGCTGGAACTGGGCCTTGATCTCCTGCAGCTTCTGGATGCGCGACTCCTGCTCGGCCTTGCCCATCGGCTTGTGCTTCTTGGGCTTGTGGCCGGCGCCCTTGCCGGCGCCCTCGAGGCCCGCCGCCGACGCCGCCGGCGCCTTCTTGACCTCCTTCACCTTGAGGTGCGGCATGTGCTTGACCACCAGCTCGTACAGCTGCCGGAGCGCGTCCTGAGAGAGCTGGTCGATATCCAGCTCGAGCTCGCCATCTTCGCTCTCCTGTGGAAAAGAAAGGTAAGTCAGCATCTGTCTGTGGCTGACCACGATGTTTCAAAGGGAACTTTTCGGGGGGGTCTTACCTCTTGGTGAGTATCCTTCTTGATGATCTCGATAGCCTTCTCGAGGTTGCTACCCTCAAGAAGGTTGATTCCGTTGGTGATGGCATCCTTCTCGGGCTGGCCCATAACCGCACGACCCTTGGGAGCCTTCTTTGCACCGCCTCCGGACTTCTTCGCAGCACCGGCGCCTCCAGCAGCCTTCTTCCCCCCACCGGCTGCCGCGCCCGCGCCGCCAGCCTTCTTGGCCTTGGCGGCTTTGGGCTTGGACGCCTTCTTGCGGGGACCGCCCTGCTGAGCGAGCTTGGTCTTCTCCTCCACTATCTGCGTGGTGATCATGCTCACCACAGTCTCCTGGGTCTTGATAAGAGCCATGTTGGGCAGTGGTGCGTCGATCAGAGAGCTGAGCCTGTCTCGCTCCTCCTTAAGGCGCTGGGCAAGGGCTTCAATGGTCGCGTTGGATACCGGCGCCGCCTCCTCCTCCTCGGGCTCGCTGGCCTCTTCCTCCTCGTCAGAGTCTTTGGCGTCCGCGCCGGGGCTAGCGGCGGTCGGCAGAGGCGCGTGCGCGGCCATCCACTGATCCTTCTCTGCGACCTTGGCGTTGTACAAATCCTGGAGCTTGGCGGCTGCACTTGTGACCAGGTGGCCGTTGTCCAAGGGCCCGTTGAATTTGATGCAGTTCTTGATGATCAGCTTGAAGTCAGCGTCAAACTCTTTGAATGAGTCGTATTCTCCAGACTGGAGTTTCTCTTGCATGGTACGCAAGTCCATCGGCTTCTTGATGAACTTGAAGTAATCGGGTGCGCCATCCTGGACGGGATCAACGGGACGTTCGAAGAACTGGTTCGCGTCCCAATTTTTCCCCTTCAGGAGCTCCTTCAACACTTCATCGCAGAAGCGGTGATCAAGCGAAGACTTCTTCTTCTTCAGGTTCTTGGGTTCGTAGCCCAGATCCTTGGACTTGGGAGGGTGGATTGGCCGCTTGGGCCGGTCATCGTCGACCTTGGCCGAGTCGCGTCGGATCATGGGCATGCCCGAGGGAGGGATGGCGTAGACGGGAGACTCGACTACCTGGTCACTAGGTGAGACGGCGGCACCGCGGGATTCGCGCCTGCCCTGGGCTGCAGCACGGGGCTCGTGAGTGCGAGCGCCCTGTGCCTTGGCGTTGTTGCGCTCCGGCTTGGCCGGCTGCTCGGCGGGCACCTCGGCCATGCGGGTGAAAATGTTCTCCACCAACGACTTTGCGTGACCGGTGACGTCGTGTTGCGGACCGTTGAACTGTAGAGAATTCTCGTAGAGAAGGAAGACTTCCTCCACGAATTGACCAAAGCGCTCATATGTATTCTGTCGCAGACCGTGCTCGAGGTGGCTGATATCTACGGGGCGGTCGACTTTGGCGATATAGGCGTCCCACAAGTGAGGCCACTTAGTCTTCACTGGGTCCTTGAATATCGCACCGGCCTTGGTCTTCTTGACGTTGGCCAGGACCTTGCGTATCTCGCGATTCGCAAACTGGGAGATGGGCTTCTCGTCCTGGGAGAAGTCGCCCATGCTGCCAGGCTCACCGGGAACGCGTGTCGGCCGCGCGACGTGGGGCTTCTCGACCTCGATGTTATCGAGGGCGGCAGGCTCGTCGGCCGAGTGCAGGAGAGGCTGCGCGGAGATGGAGGATTCCTCTGGTTGAGAGGCGGCTTCCTCGGTCCTCGCGCGCTTGGCCACCGGCTCCTCGACATCATCCTCCTCGCGCTCGCGAGCAACTTTCGGTGCCGGTTGCGAAGGAGCATCGGTCATGGAAGTATCGGCGGTGGCAGGTGCTGAGACATCTTCTTGGGAGTTCTCCAGGGCCGCATTTGATATGACGGTCGGATCTTGGCTGGGCTCGCCAACAGACGAAAGGGCCGGCGCCTCGCTGGCCTCGGTCGCCTGGGTGGGCTGGACATCTTCGTTCTGCTCCATCGGGGCGGGTGCCTCGGGCTGCGGCGCATCGATCATATCAACATCCTCGGCGGGTTTTGGCTCCGGCGCTGACTTCTCCTCGGAGGGTTCTTCGGTCGGTGGCAGATCGGGGCTTGCCTTGGGCTCTGATGCAACTGCGGCAGGTGCTTCTGGCTCTTTCGGCGGAGAAAGGGAAGGGGACGGGGCTGGTGATGCATCCTTGGGGGCGGCGGGAGCAAGAGACTCGACTGGCGGCGGATCGTCCTTGGGCGCTTCTGGTGCAGGAACCGCGGCCTCAACAGCTGTTGTCTCCGTCGATTCCGCGGGCTTCGGTGAAGGCTCGTCCGCTGCGGGTTGCTTCTGCGTCTCCTCCGCCTGAACATCGGTCTTCTCTGGTGACTTGGGTGCCTCGGTAGGTGCCTCGGTCTCCTCCTTCGATGCGTCGAGCTTTGACAGAGTGTTGTCTTCGACAGCGGATGTGGTAGCTGGAGCCACCTTGGGTGATGTGTGTCTATAGAGAACAAAGAATGTTAGCGGTGGCGATCAGTCAAGCTGGGTCGCGATGACAAGTAATAAGAAAACGCGTTTGCAACAGATGTGCGATACTCGATGCGCCAGTTCGAGATGCGCAACCCAGAGGTTGCTGCAATGACAACGGAATGACGCGGAGAGGGGCACAGGCCGCAGCGAGCGCGGTAGAGGGAACAAGTGCAACTTACCCGTTGATGCCGTTTGTCGGTTGCGCCGCTGCGGGCAGCGACTGGTCTGGCGAAGCCATCTTGAGTGCGACTGGTTGCTGCTTCTGATCGACAAGACCTCCGTCTGGTTGTTGCGCGGTGGTCATTAATGCCATCCAGAAGATGGGATTGCGAAAATCAGATGGCGCGATGCGACATGTAAAAAAGAATCGGGTGAGAGTAAGGTGTCGCCTGATTCAAAAAAAACGCAGGTGGGCGCGCGCGCGCTCTCCTTATATATGTTTTTGGTACGGACCACCAAAGGACGTCGCAGGGCGGGAAGGAGGGTGGCCAGACCAAGTGAAAGGTGACCAGCCGCAAAGGAAGGAGTGAAGAAAGGAGGGTGAAGAGGGTGATGGCAAAGTGAATGAATGCGACCAATGCCTGGTGAGAACAGGAAGGCTGACAACAGGTCTAGAGCGGGACCCAGCCTTGTTGGGCGTTGGTCGTGGTCGTGGTCGTGGTGAATGGGATGCGACGCCGGAGTCGGACGGGGATTGCTGCTACTGCGACTGCTACTGCGACTGCTACTGCGACTGCTACTGCGACTGCGACTGTGGCTGCAATGGGAGGCGAGGCGAGGCGAGGCGATTTTGGTAAGAATCGATGCGCTCACACTGTGAATGGCGGACGAGAAGGAAGTGGCGCGCCAGAGGGTTTTGTGCCGGGCGGTGGGAGTTTAAAATCGCAAAAGGCCGGGGCGGCTGAGCGATAATTGGGTGGCTGGGGGGCTGGCAGGGGGGGAGGGGGTTGAGGTTACGGCTTTGGGCTGGTCTAGTCCACTGCTGGAAACCCGGATCCTCGGTTTGATGACTGCCTGTACCTGAAAATTATAAGGGATTTGGGGGGGGTTGACCGTCATGAAATAAAATAAAATAAAAACGAGTCAATAAAAGTGGCTTGGGCCCGAATCCACCCTGCAGGAGCTGGACGGTGGTTGGCTGGGGCGGAGACTCGAGTTGTTCCGGTACAGGCGCTGATTGGCAGGGGGGCGGTGGTACGTCCCTTTTTTCCAACTTTTCTGAGAAAAAACACATGTCAGTCCTGGTCGGAAGCACGAAGGTATTTATTTCAACAAAGCTCCCGGCGCCGTTTATCTGTTCTTATCGCTGATTCGCTCTGTGGTTGGGCAGAATTTTTGAGGGGTGCGGTGGCTCGTGCACGATCGCCTTGTTCCCTCGTTCCCCTGCCGCTAAGCTGGGGTCCACAGTGGACGCTGCAGCAGCTTGTTCTGTGTAGAGTACTGAACTGGTGTACCTACTTGTATGTGCTGACGATGATGAAAGGAACCTTGGAAGCTTTCACAAGCCTGCTTTTGATTCTTGAACCATACACACAAAGAAATAGTGTGCTGAAAGTTGCCTTTCAACAATAGAAACTCACTTCCTTTACTGGGCCCTACACATGCAGTGTTGCGTGCAAAGAAGATGCAAGTGGTGGGGGGGAGCCAGCATTCAAAGGCGGCGCGGCCAAAAGACGCCCTCGGGACAAACAAAGGACACGATGGTCCGGTACGACTCACTTTCTTTTTGTTGCTGCTGTTATTGTTGCACTGAATCTTTGCGGTGCGCCCGTGTCGCCCGCCGCTCTCCAGCTCCTCGCTTCCTGCTCTCGCACACAGTCCAGCCAAGCCGTCGAGTCAGTGAGAGGGTCACGAAGCAACGACGAGTCGAGCGGGTTGCACCTGAGTAACGTGCAAACAGTGGGCTCGACGTCAGGTACGCGACCACGGAAGGATAGACGGTTGACGGTGACGGAGACTCGGCCGTCGTGGAAGCACAAGAATCAGTTCACAAAGAGCCGATCAGGGTCCTCCATGAACTTTTTTACTTTTTTGGAGGCGTCCTGTCTCGACGCGTCGCGCGATGCAAGGAATCGCGGGAGCAGGTGCAGGGAGGGCTCGGCTGAAAGGGGAATGGCGGGTTACCGAAAGCAATATGGCGCTCGTGTGCCCGTGTGCCCGTGCTTGGTTCGCTGCCTCAGGAGTCAGGATATAGGCCGAAGAAGCCGGTGGGGCGGAGGGGGGGGTGAGAATTCCAGGACTTTTCCACGGGCAAGAATCGCAAATTGGACAAATCGGGGCGAGATCTTATTTGTAGAAACCCACTATCAACCAGGCGGTCCTCAGCAAGACTCCCATGGTTTTTCCTCAGGCTAGACTGCGAGCTAGCAGGGATTACAGTTGCACTAGTGCTTCTCTCTACCAATCAGAACAGCTATAGTGGGAACTCATGAGACATGAATGCGAGGGGGCGTCTGCAAGACGAGAGAGTAGGATGGTGGATGGTGGAGGCGGGTGTGCGAGGAAAGGCAGCAGGTCGGGATGTCCAATCAACTTGTTTCAGTCGCTGCCTTGAGATTTTGCGACACCAATCAAAGGCGTCTGAACAGCTCTCGATGATGCTATTTCTGTTTCCAAGCAATGACGTCGAACAACCATCACGTTATCGTTCTCTTCATAAGTACCAGTTGCTGAATTCCAACCGGAGTTCGTCGGGTGGGATGATTCACCATCAGGTCATGTGAGCGCTTAGTCACGGTTGACACTAGTCACATGACTCTTCACGAGACTTGATGCCGCACAGACCATCTCTTATCCGGGCGGAGAGACTTGCTTTGGGCGGCAGAAAAAAAAGTTCCAATCAGTGGAGCCAGAAATTTTCCGCAGTCGAGTGCGGCCGCCATTGAACGCTTCAATCGATGGGCGTCTTTGGGTCAACAGGCAGGTAGACGCAAGTAATCTGCTCGCACCTCATCTACGATTTGATTTGTTTCTTCTAATCTTTAGAAGTGTCTTGTGACTATCATTTCGTCTCATCTTAAATTGTACCGCACCATCTCTTCCCCTCCATTTCTCGGCTCCCAGCCATCCCACCGCCCGGAGCCATGTCCACCAAACGCAAGGCCGCAGCCAAGCTGGCGCAGCCCGTCGTCAAGCAGAGCGCCAAGGGGCCTTCAAGGAGTAGGATAGACGAGAGCAAGACCTCGGTATCAGCTTCCGCTGCCAAGCCCACAGAAACGGCCCAGACGATAGAGATCTCGAGCGACTCGGAGAGCGTTTATGATGAGGCGGGGGACAGCATGGACGAGGACGAGGAGGACCAGCCATCAAAGCAGAAGCTGGCAGCACAGAGCAATTCAAATGCCGACACCGAGATGAAGTCCGCCCAATCCTCAAAACAACAAGACCAGGAGGATGACGGATCCGACGCCGAGGCCACCTCCCCCACCTTCGGCGACCTCGTCCGCAACAACGAGATGGTCGAGGTCCCGTCCTCGCTAGCTGCCCAACACTCCGCCACGGCGCTGACCGCGCTCCAATCCCGCACGATCGCGCCCCCGGCCACGTCCTCCCTCGGCACCGTCCTCAACCAGGCGCTGCGCACCGACGACACCGACCTCCTCGAGTCCTGCCTGCACACGACGGACCTCAACACCGTCCGCAACACCATCCAGCGCATGGACTCGTCCCTCGCGGGCACCCTGCTCACCAAGCTCGCCGCCCGCATGCACAGGCGGCCCGGCCGCGCGCACAGCCTCATGAGCTGGGTCCAGTGGACGCTCGTCGCCCACGGCGGCGCCCTGGCCACGCAGCCCGACCTCGTCCGCCGCCTCGGCGAGCTGAACCGCGTGCTCGAGGAGCGCGCGCGCGGGCTCAACAGCCTGCTCGCCCTCAAAGGCAAGCTCGACATGCTCGAGGCCCAGATGCAGCTGCGGCGCACGCGTAGGGCGCGTGGGTCCGCGGCCAAGGAGGAGGAGGACAGCAGCGACGACGAGGCGGCCGAGGAGGGCATCATCTACGTCGAGGGTGAGGAGGAGGACGGAGGTGTCGCGGGCCTCACGAACGGTGCGTCGCGGGGTGGAGCGCGGGACGAGGAGGACGAGTTCCCTATCGCCAATGGCGTTTCTGATTCCGAAGACGACGATCTGGAGGACGATGATGACGACGATGATGATATGGAGGTGGATGATGGGGCCAGCGCGGCTGGAGAGTCTCTGGATGAGGACGATGTGGACCACGAGGACGTCGAGGAGTCTGCCGACGAGGAGGAGAGCGACGTGGAGACGGCGCCGCCACCCAAGGTGCAGAAGACGAGCAAGGCGTTTTCCAAGAGGAGGTGAGGGGTGAGACGGCTGACTCTTTGCTTTTAACTCCTTGTAGAAAAGAGGACATCTTAGAGCAGATACGTATCTGGCATAATGAATGGCGCATTGCGTTGGTTTTCTGTTGGCATACCCAGAATACAGACTGGATTCAGAGATTTGCTTTCTTCAATGTCGCTGTCATATAATTAAACCCATTGGGTTTCTTGGCTTGCACTCGATTTGATTTGACGTGAGCCCGAACGGCATTTTGTTGATCTTCAGACTGTATTCCATGTGTTATGCCATGGCCTGTACCCTGAGTCGTTTCATAGGGTCATGAATTACGAGTTGAAACTTAGACATTGACAACATTAATCTATTACCTGCGGTTGACTTGATTAAGTCAACCTAACTCCCAACTTAGGAAGCACGAGGTTATCTGAGTCATCCCAAAGACCGTTATCTGCCTCAGTCCTAATTAACTACACAGGAAGTATCTAGGTGCTGTCAACGGAAATATAAGAATCTTACGGTATTTCCATGTCGTGAGTCCAAGGGAATCTCAGTAGAAAGAAGTACTTCTTGGTGAGATGGGTATCTATTGCTGTATCTATATCAACTTCACTTGATCTCAGCACCGTAGAGTTTCTCTGTCAACTCGAAGAGCCGCCACCAAGTGCCTGATATGGGTGAATAGACCTGCAAACTGAGATGATGCTATTCCCCTTATTGTATACTCAATTTGACCAATCGACGATTTTGATGTCCTAATTTTACGTTTGCTTGCAATAGTTGTACGCAGCGGGACTGGCTGACTGTTGGGATTAAAGTTTTGGATAGCTGGAAGCCATTTCAAATTGTTGGTTGCGCCTGCTTTGCTCTTCCGTGACGTTCTACACTGCCAGTGCACACTGACAGTTGAGATTTTGCCCCCAAGTTATTGAGGCCTCTACTATGCCTCCGATGTTGATAATTTATGGATTAATAACCTCCAGTCTTTGTCGACCGCCGTATTGATTTTTATTCTGATTCAACAGGATGGCTTGATATCCACGACAGATAGGCAACTTAGTTTGTCTGTGACCCCCGCGGCACCATACCCTGAAGGCTATAATGGTCCGGGCCACATGATGATGACAGGCAAAGGATCATGGGACTTAAGCCTCTGGCTTACTGAGCGGTGGACCTGGCCCATCACCAGTGCAGCCGCCACCGACAAGACGGTTACGAAGCCATTGATCATCTGCTGCAGCACCGTTAGCTGAAGAGTGCGGGGAAACATGTCTATAGGGGTGGGCAAGGGGCAGTCAAGTCAGATGGAATCAGCACTTGGTGCATATCCAGTGCAGGGAGAGAGGTCTGGACTAACCGATTGACGAGGTGTGTGTGTGTGTCAAGAATGACTATAGTCATTTCGGTGTGTTATCTCCGACGGATATTCAAGCCGCAAGGGCGTTATAGGCTAGAGTCAGCGACTCAAATATGACAATGGAAAACCACCGGCGAAAAGGCGGGCTGGTCACCGTGCGCGAGGTGTACGCACAGCTCTCCACGACAGGAAGGTCCCTCTTCCGGACATATGTCGGCTTCCGCCCACTGGGTGGTAATCCGAATTACTGATCGCCCGCCAACGGCAGTTGACGTATGATCCAATGGAAACTCATTTATTGTGCTTGTATAGATCACATGGGACGCAGGGACTTGCGACAGAATCCCTTCTGGGTGATTGCGTCACCACTTACCTTTTTTTATTTCTGGTTAATCTTCTCTGTCAGCATCTTATTTTGCTTACAGACCACGGCGTGGCCTCGGGTTCCGGGCTTCGGAGGGTCTTACGGAGCGAAGCTGTTCGGGTGATAGTAGTCCGTCATCCTGCGCCAAGATTCCAGAGCCTCACGTCTTTTGACCCGGAAAGTACACACAAAGATCTACCCCCTCACCTTATTTCCCCGCGGGAGTTTTGTACTCGATGCAAGCAACACTAGGGACATGAAGTTGGACAATAATACCCCCACCCGTACGTGTCATTGAGCCCCTCCCCAGACGTGCATCCGCAACCATCGCACGGCCTCGCCGGGGGGAAAGATCAGCTTCAGGATGCCGAGTTAAGTGCCGCACTGTCGTCTGTATACAGTCAAACATCCAGATGCGGAAGGCAATGTGGAAGTCAATCGGTCGACTCTTGTTCCGACAGGATTTCTCACGGGAACAACGACAGTGCCCTCGCTTCGAGGGCCACGTCACATCGTTCAACCGCCGCTGCATGGTATCACACTTTAATGCAGTGCCTCCAGGAAGACCCCGCGGATGGAGCCTCGCCCTATAGAGGATGTGATATCTGTTTCTATATTTACGATCTCAGAGTCTGTCATATGTCACTTATATGTAGACATGCATGCAGGAGTAGAGTTTGGCTGCAGCGAGCATAAACCTTGAGAGGATTATAAAAGGGCGTCCTCACTCCCATTCTTATCGTGCGTGGTGCGTGGCAGCAGTCAGCACGACACGCGGAACCGTGCATCAAAATCCAAAGTCTTTTCGCAAAACTCTTGACAACATGTATAGACAAGGAGCCCTTTTAGCCCTGGGCCTGCTCCAGGCCATGCCTTTCGCCCTGGCGGCCCCAGCTCCTCAGTATGTCACTTACACACCCCCGGATCATGATTCAAACATGTGATCCTATAGACACACAAGGACGAAAGTCACTGACGCACATCCAGAATGGGAGACTTTGGCGAGAACTCCGGTGCCGTCGGCGGGATCAGCCCGCCCATCCCGACCGTCACCGCGGCGACCGGCGCCCTTCGCGGGAGCGAGGACCTCCTCGGCGGCCGCACCCCGGACCCGGACACTTCCGACCCGGACGAGTCGGCCATCGTGGAGAACCCGCAGTTCGTCAACGGGCAGGGCGCCGACAGCAAGCTGGGGCTCTACCTCGACTTCGACGGCATCGAGGTGCCCCAGCCCGTGCGCGGCGGCTTCGGCGCGACGGACCCCGGCCCGCGGACGTACGACTACGAGCGCCTGAACCCGGACCTCTTCGCGCCGCCGGGGACCGACAACGGCGCCGTCGAGCAGGCCGTCTGGCCGCTGGGCCTCTCGCACAACCGCCTCGGCTCGCAGCCGGGCGCCGGCTGGGCGCGCCAGCAGAACACGGACCAGCTGCCGAGCGCGACGGCCATGGCGGGCGTGGACATGCGCCTCGCGCCGCACGCCTACCGCGAGCTGCACTGGCACACGGCCAACGAGTGGTCGCTCGTGCTCAAGGGCTGCGCGCGCGTGTCGTCGATCGACACGGACGGCGCGTCGTTTGTCGACGACGTCTGCGCCGGCGACGTCTGGTTCTTCCCCTCGGGCTACCCGCACAGCATCCAGGCGTTCGGGCAGGGCGTCGAGTTCCTGCTCGTGTTCGACGACGGCGCCTTCAGCGAGGACGAGACCTTTCTCGTGTCGGAGATGTTCCTGCGGACGCCCGTCAGCGTGCTGGCTAAGAATTTCGAGGCGGATCCGAGCGCGTTCAAGAATATTCCTCAGGGAGAGCTTTACGTGAGTTGAAACTTTTGGTTCCTCTCTTTGAAGGAACTGTGTCAGGACGTATGTGTTACTTGCTAATAACCGTGCGTTTTGTGCAGATCTTCAACGGCACGCCGCAGCCCAAGGAAATCGACAAGACCCAGAACCTGACCTCGTCGGCCGGGTCCCTGAGCGGCACCAACAAGTCGCAGACGTACCACTGGTCCAAGCAGGAGCCCTTCCAGGTCCCCGGCGGCTCCGTCAAGATCCTCGACTCGACGACCTTCCCCGTCGCGCCCAACTTCGCCGCGGCGCTCGTCACCGTGCAGCCGGGCGCCATGCGCGAGATCCACTGGCACACGACGTCGCCCGAGTGGAACTACTTCCTGCAGGGGTCGGCGCGCGTCACCGTCTTCAAGGCGCCCGAGGCGGCGCGCACCTTTGACTTCACGGCCGGCAGCGTCGGGTACATCCCGCAGGCGGCGTCGCACTACGTCGAGAACACGGGCAACGAGGACGTCATCTTCCTCGAGGTGCTGCAGGCGCCCGTGTTCAGCGACATCAGCGCGGCGCAGTGGCTCGCGCTCACGCCCAAGCAGGTCGTGCAGGACCACCTGAAGCTGGCCGAGGGCGTGTGGGAGAGCCTGCCCCGGGAGAAGCAGTTCATGAAGACGGGGGACAAGAACATGACGGCTATAGCGACGGCCGCCGTTGGGAATGGGGGCTCAGGCTCAGGCAGCAGCAGCAGCAGCACCATGGCCTCGCCGTCTTACACTCCCTCGGCTGCAGCCAAGCGGCCGAGGGACATCAAGGACGATGGGGTGCAGGAGACTAGGAGAAAGGTCACTTTCTTTGCCTAAGGACAAGGGGTCCAAGTCCCGCGAGAAACACACTGCGGACTCTCTTATTTTCTAGCCAGATTATTCCTAGCCATTATTCTTTCATAATAATAATCCATGATGTTCAAGTATCGTGCGTTTGAGCTGTTATTGTTCAGCTATACCGATATCATCGCAATGAAAACGTTTTGTACCGTAATTAGACGGCAGTTTGAATTACTCTGCCTTGATCTTCAGCACGGCCTTGCCAAAGTTGCCTCCCTTCAGCATGTTGACGAAGCCCTCTGCCGCATTATCGATGCCCTCCGTGACGTAGATCTTGGGGTGGAAGCTGCCCTCGGTAATCCACTTGCCCACGTTCTCCTGGTGCTCCTGGTAATATGCCGGTCCGAACTCCTTGTCGCCCACCATGAATCCCTGCAGGGTAATCCGCCTGGCGATGGCCATGTGCAGGTTCTTGATGCCGTACCGCTTCTCGGGCGGGGTGTTGTAGTCAGAAATCTGTTTCCGAGCAGTCAGTATCTCTCTAACCAGATCACAACAGACAAAGAACATAAAGAGAGACGTACCATGCCGCAGATGGGGATCCTGCCGCCCTGCTTCATGTTGTCGATAGCCGCCTCGAGCTGCTCGCCGCCGACGTTCTCAAAGTAGATGTCGATGCCCTCGGGGGCCAGCCTCTTGAGCGCGTCGCCGGGCTTCTCGGTCTTGTAGTTGAAGCCGCCGTCGAAGCCGAGCTCCTCGGTGATGAACTTGAGCTTGTCGTCGGAGCCGACGGAGCCGATGACCCGCAGGCCCTCCCGCTTGGCCACCTGGCCGACGACCTGCCCCACGGCGCCGGCGGCCGAGCTCACGAAGACGGTCTCGCCCTTCTTGGGCTTGCCGATGCGGTGCAGGCCCGCGTACCCCGTGAGGCCGGGCATGCCGAGCGGGCCCAGGAAGACGGCGAGGTCGAGCCCCTTGTCGTTGGTGACGCGGCGGAAGCGCGCCGCCTTGAGGGCGTCGGCGTCGAGGCGCGCGTACTCGGCGATGGGCAGGAAGGCGATGGCCAGGTCGCCCTCCTTCCACTCGGGGCTGTCGGACTTGAGCACGCGGACGACGGTGTCGTTGACGACGGGCGCGTCGGGCTGGAAGGGCGGCGAGTAGGACGGGATCTTGGGGTCGCGCATGCGGCCGCGCAGGTAGGGGTCGTAGGAGGCGTAGAGGAGCTCGGCGAGGACGCCGCCCGCGGGCGCGGAGGAGGTGTCGACGGGCCGGTCCTCGACGGTGATGTGCTCGCCCGGCACGGGGTAGCCGGTGGGCGGGGACTTGAAGATGAAGGTCTTGTTTCGGGTCATGATGGGCAGAAGACGTGTGTATGCAATGTATGTATGTCGGTGCAAGGGTGGTTTTTCTTATTTAATGGGTCTTGCTTATGGTGGGATTGGCGATGCGACGCAAGTGATCTGAATGAAGCTTATTCTGACTTCGTGATGCTGAGAAGATTGCGAGTTCAACACACCGCACAATTGGAGGAATGTGATGATGGAAATGAATGAGGATTGAGAACAGAAGGTGATGCAACATCTGATGATGATGTCTTCTTTTATTATGAGACACTCCCCCACCATTGGATGCCCCCGTGGCGCGTGCGCCGTGTCCCCCGAATTGGCGAATTCTTGTTCAACGGTGATGGGTGTATTTGTCAGTCGCGCAGGACCTGCCTCGGCTCAGTTTAAGCTTCGAAACCCAAGGACCCCTTCTCTGGAATTCGCTGGAGACGGTGACGTGATTCATGCGATCGAGCTATGCCTATCTGCGTAATGCTGCACCGCTGCACCGACACGGCGAGCCCACTTGGCGCCGGCGCGGGCTCCAAAGACGATGCGCAGGGCCGCCGGGAGGAGCATTAGAGTGCTTGTACAGTCCTTGTGCATGCTTAGTGGGCGGATGTGGACACGAGAGGAGACATATGGAACTGTTCCTGTCGGGATTGGGCCTGGTTGGCAGGTAAAAGAAGATCTTTGCCGGCAACCCACCTCGTGGCGCGGCAACTAAGATGTACCGGACACAAAGAAGGGCGATGCAATGCATTGCAAAGCTGCTACTAGCCTGGGCTGAATGCCTACTTGTATACGCAACGATGTCCTGCTTGGTAATCGCAAAACCCACACCCTCCTCCCTCCCTCTAGATCTTGATCTCAACGGCCTCGGTCAGCGGCCACGACCCCTGCGCCGCCGCCGCGCCCTCGCCGGCCATGACCGACGCCTTGGTGCCCTGCTTGGCCCCGCCCATGAAGACGACGCTCTCGATGCGCACGTCCGTCTTGTACCCGAACTTGCCGCTCGACCGCAGCACGCTGCCGTCCCATGTGAAGTCGATGCGCGAGAACGCGTCCCCGACGTCGATGCTCTTGCCGTCGTCCAGGTACAGCGACCCGGACGCCTTGCCGTCCCGGCCGGGGGCCACCAGCAGGCTGAAGTTCTTGGTCCGCAGCGCCGCCGTCGTGTTGGCCGACTGCGCGCGCGTGGCGACGATGCTGCCGCCGCGCACGTGCAGCGGGATGTCGTCCCACGCGACGCCCGTGCGCGTGACCGTCTTGCCTGCGCCCTCGACCTTCTCGCCCGTCCAGAAGTCGTAGAAGACGTCGTCGGGCAGGTAGAAGGTCACGTCCTGGCTGTAGTCGCCCGTGACGGGGCTGACGAGCAGGGAGTCGCCGAAGAAGTACTGCAGGTCGATGGGGAAGGTGTTGGCGTCCTCCGGGTACAGGTAGAAGAGCGGCTTGACCGCCGGCTCGCCCGTCTCGGTCTGCCGCTGCATGTGCGTGTAGAAGTAGTCGATGAGGCGGTAGCGCATGTCGATGGCCTTCTTGGCCGTCTGCGCCACGAGCGGCCACCGGTAGAACTCCTGCGGCGGCGCGCTCTGGTCCGCGTGGTTGCGGTAGAAGGGCGACAGGGCGCCGAGCATGGCCCACCGCGAGCACATCTTCTCGTCGGCCACGCCGTTGAACCCGCACACGTCGGAGCCCACCATCGACACCTGGTGGACCGACGTGAAGGCGATCATCTGCGCGATCTGGATCCGGTAGTCCGACCACGTCGAGTTGTTGTCGCCGAACCAGTGCGCGCCGTGCGTGCCCATGCCCGCGTACGAGGCGCGCGTCAGCACGAACGGGCGCACGCCGGGCCGGCGCCTGAGGAGGGCGCCGCGCGTGGAGGCGACCATGCCGTTGCCGTACAGGCTGTGCGTCTGTGAAGCGAGAGGTCCTCAAGTCAGTGATCATGTCATGTGAGTGAGTAGATAAGCAGCAGACGGAGCACTCACGTCGTATTGGACTGAGCCGTCAAAGTTGGTGACGTTGGTCGACAGAGCCTGGTGGCTGAGGTTGCCGCGGTGGTTGCCGATCTTGTAGGCGGGATATACAAGATTGCGATACTCCTGCAGGCCCAAAGCAGCACCCTCCTTGGGCTTGTTCTTGGGGTTCCTGACCTGGTTGACCGGACACCTGTCCTCGTGGCAGAAGTTGGAGACCTCGTTCATGTCGTTCCACAGGCCGTCAACATTGACGCCCTTGTCGGCATCGAAGAACCGCATGATCTCCGACTGCCACCACTCGTTGGTGTTGGGCGCGAACCAATCTGGCCAGACCGAGGTCCCCGCCCACTGCGCGCCGTAGTAATCAGACCCATCGTCGGCCTTGAGGAAGGCGTCGACCTTCTTGCCACGGACATAGGGCTCGTAGGTGGTGCGCTGCGGAATGGCGGGGTCGACCATCATCACCATGTGCTGGTCGTGGCTGTGCAGCCTGTCGACGAGCTCGCGGTACTTGGGCAGCGGGAAGTTGACCGGGTCGAGGGTGAAGTCGGCGCGGCCGTCCATGTAGTCGATGTCGCCCCACAGCGTCTCGAGCGGGATGCCCGCGTCCGAGTAGTTCTGGACCACGGCGTTGTACGTCTCGATGTTCTTCCAGCCGAACTTGCACTGGTGGTAGCCGAACGTCCAGTACTGCTGCATCACGGGCAGGCCGGCCACCTCGGCATACTGCTTGCTCACGTCGTTGGGCGTGGGCCCCGCGAGGAAGTACATGTCCACGATGCCGCCGATCGTGTTGTACTCGAGGAACTGGCCGGCGGCGTCCTGGTCGATCTTGACGTCCATGCCGTTGGCATTGAGCAGGAAGACACCGTGGGTGCCTCCTTTGCCTCGGTGCTCGAAATAGACGGGGTGAGTGCCATAGAGGTTGGATTTGCGTGGGATAAAGGGAGACTCGGCATTCCACATGGTCCGCTTGTACCCCTTGGTCGGCAGGCGAAAGGAGTCGCTGTGCTCCCCGAGGCCGTAGAGGTTGGGGTCTTGAGGGAGCGAAGTCCGAAGCCTTACGTATTGCGTCTCCATGATGAGCTGAGACCCTGTCGTGTTGAAAAGGACCTCGCCCGAGGACTTGCGTGAGACCACAAAGGAGAAGGGGTTCTCAACCATGTCGATCTTCAGGTTCGAGTCTGCGGCAGAAACCTTGTTGCTCTTGGGTCGTGTAAAGATTGACTCATGAACTTGGTAGACATTGTTGCCCGCATCGGAAATCTTGACGTGGAGACGGTCCTCTGGGCCACGGATGTCAGTGAAATGACCGTGTTAGTTGATCGCATCAGGCAGACATACTAGTCTCGTACTCAATGAGCAATTTCAAGTTCTTCAAATCTCTGCTGTACGCATTGCAAGCAGCGCCGGCGAGGTTCAGGTCGGCAGTAATACCACTGTCAGTCTTGGCGATGTTCTCGGCTTTGTACCCCGGGCATTTTGACGGATCGCCACGGCACTTCAGACTGGCCCCGGTCATGGCCTGGGCCAGAATGACCAGGCCAAACAGGATATTCCGGACCATCGTAGCGGCAACAAAATCTCAAACCCCGTTCGAGGTGAACGGAAAAAGTACGGAGTCCTTCGGCTCGTGCCTGTTCGGAGGAGTGGTTCGAGGACTACATAGAGGTGAATGAGGTGTGCGCCATGACTGTATTTATCTTTTTCTATCGACAGGGTTCAGAGGATGGCAATTGGGTGAGGATCGTCAGCGCGTGGGCTCGGGATTGGTGGCAGCATCATCAGGCAGCATGGCCTCAAAAGTTATTTCTGCTGCAATCCTACGACCTATTAAAAGAGGGTACCCCCGGCTTCCGCTATGTCAGGTACCGCGTCTTGCCACATCCTGCCCAGGCAGCGCTGATCCGGGACCCCCAAGTCGGGGCAAGTAGAGCATAGAATGGGCGAGGGAAGTTCATCAAGAGATACCTCAATGCTAACAATGCATATCAAGCTATTGAGTGTCACATATATTATTTCACTCCCTTCCGCCGGTGAGTCTAATGAACGCCAAGTACTTCTGTTACCAAATTGGCATCTGATGTAACCATCACTTGCGAGCCCGAGTCCGAAGGGATGTGCCGCACGCTAGCCAGGCCTCTGCGGCACGCGGCCATCAGTTTGCACGATTTCAACGCTGTGCTGCCCACTATTCCTCCTGCCGGTTTGGGCAACCTCCTGGAAAGTCCGATGCTGTTCTTGCGGGGTTTGGCGGGTCCCTTGAGATGTTCAAGGATCAACATACCGACTGCGCCCTGGTCAGATCACCAGTGCAACATCGTTCGTTCATGGAACTATTCCTTGAGCGGCCGTTCTATCGGTCCGGTTGGGAACACAGGAGCGGCACCCCGCACTTGTATCTCTCGGTAGGGTTCCCAGTTCTTCCATGTCCGCCCCGGGCCGTGCCCGAACAGGCGGTAGCCGATTGTTTTGATTCCGGGAACCTGGGAAGGGCCGAATGTGTCTCTCTCTCTCGAGGAGTAAGTCACTTGACGCTTTATCTGATTGAGATCTTTGATTGTATTTCGAACGTCGCTACTTAAGAGCAGAGCGTTGGTCGATTCGGTCCACATGTGCAACCATGCTCGTATATTTTGCCTGCAGTCGTGGGGACCTGGTCCTTCTATTGGCTGAAGAAGTCTCAAATTCGGTCTAGCATAAAATATTGGCACTGGAGAACCAAGGGCCCTTGCAATGGTACTTCCGGTCTCTTGAGTCGCTTCATAGGCACGAACTATTCGTATTGATGAGCAGTAGTTGAGAAGATGCAGAGTCAAAGAACCAGCACACATCGAAGCCACATGACTGTCATGAGGTCAACACGGATTTAAATTCATCGAGCTGGTCTAGTTTTCAAGGCTTGGAGACCAATTGACATGTATATTAGACGAGTTTAGTAAGCTACTTGCGGTCGATCGCCAAAGATAGAACGGTCGATAGAATTTAACGAGAGTTGCGTGGAATAAGAGTTACAAAATAAATGGAATGAATAGCACTCAACCACAACTTATAGCAGGACTCCTAAAACTTGGCGAACGGGTTGTTGCAAAAGCGATGATATCTCGACATTGCTTAGAAGACCATACCCGACATAGACATGCCCTGTCCCGGGAGCTTATCGAGCCCTAGTTTAACTTGTCAGGGTTCCTTCTTCCATACCTCACACGCGAGTGGGGACAACTTACATCCGTCCATGTTCTCGCTGACTTGGGACTTGAGGGTGCACTTGTTTGCGGCAGGGAATGCCTGAGTCTTGAGACCGTTGCAGCTGGGTCCGAAGCATTTCCCATCCATAGCCTTCTGGAGACTGTCGCCTTTCCAGCCGAAGACGTAGTCACCGTGTTGCGAGTAGCCGGTCCTGCAGACGTGTTAGGAAAGGCCAAAACGTGCTCGGAGATAGAGTGGCTGATACGTACGTATCCCCGTTGCTAAGAACAAGTGGCTGAGATCCATCCTCGGGCCAGTCAGCCTTGTTGGCGAACATCCTGGTGTCCCAAACGATCTGCGGAAGCCATCGGGTGAGCAAAGATCTCTAGATTTATATACAAGTCAACCGCCTACCTCGTAGTGAACCTGTGGGATCTTGACCGGGTGCGATGCTGGGCATTTGCCGTTGACCACTGCGAAGGATGCCGGACCGCCCACGGGCGGAGAAACGTGGTCGATGTGGTTGGGGCTATCCAGGTTCTTACCATCCCAGCAGCTAACGTATAGATTAGTTCATGTGTTATTTATATTTGAGTTTTCAAGGTAGGCAGTTCACTCACATTGGGAAGATGACACTAGATCGGATCCCGCCCGGGCAGGGAGTCTTGGGAAAATCCTCGCTATCGATCTTGGGGTCCATGCAAGGCGACTGGGTGTTGGCCTGGAAGTTGGGACCCGGGAAGCAGCGGTAGCAACTCTGCATGTTCCTCCCGAGACCAGCCGACTTCTGCCTCATGGCATCGCCGCTGAACATGCGGAAACCCTACGAGAGGTGACGTAAGTCACTGGCGTCACATTATCTGTTATTTCCAGGGTGGTAGAGGATGACTTACGGGCTTGAACGCAGTGACCTTCTCAGTTGCAGTGTAATAAACGGTTACACCACCGTCTGCGTTGCCTATCTGCTGGTTGGGCATCTGTGGCACGCGCTTGTAGCTGCCGTTGCGAGCTCTGAAGTAGACTGCGGCCGTCCAGTAGTTGGAGAAGTCCTCGGCAAAGGTGCATGTAGTGCAGCTAGCCAGGTTCGAAACGTCGGTCGATGCCATGCTTGCGTTGAAGGCATTCTAGATAGTGAACGAGGTACGGTTAGACGACGGAGGCATATTGGTAGGTGGTGATGTCTGCACATACTCCTCCAACGACCTGGTGCACATGCGGGGACGGGATCTTGCCTGGATCGACGAGCCTATCCGTTCGCAGTCAGCTCTCAACTCCCTTTCTGCCTTGTTCGCCTTGCCTCCTACCCAAAAAGCATCCCTCGCGATGGGTAACTTACGGGTCGATTCGGTCGATGACGGACTGGGCACAGCCGAATCTCAACATGGACAGGCCACCCGCGCCACCACGCTGCGGCACTGCCTGGACGGTAGCGCCAAGGGCGAGAAGCGAAACCCAAAACATCTCGTAGGTGATGCGAGGTAGTAACTGCGATCTTACAAAAGCAGCGTCAAAGATCGACGAGATAGGAAGTGGAGAAAAAAAAGGAGTGCCATCGGTCCCATGCACGGCTTGTCTTTATAGACATGCCGACTTGGCAGCATACCAGCTACCTTCATACCCCGACAGCTTGAGCCTTGGCCTCGCCCAGGCACAGCTCAAGTACCGAGCCAGAGATCACGGGAATGACGGGGCAATATTGTGTTAGATGTCAAATATGTACAAGCGAAAGCTTAATTGGACAGCCGGCTAAGGAGGTTAATGTTGGGTTATTAACTTACATTGAGAACCGGCAAATGTCAGCAAAACTTCGTTCTGACGGCTGTCGCTTTTGCGTAGCACGGCGGTGCCGAGGCCCTGACCCCATGTTCGATGCAAGATCTACTTACGCCAATCACTACTCAGCAAGGGTTATCTGCTGCTTCACGAGACTGTGGCGTTAAGTCTAGACGCCTTACCCGGCGTGGCTGTGGCCGGTGTGGCTTGAGTAGATTGAAGGATTTTACATCTGTGTCGCGCGGCTCTTGAAATACCACCCTTGTGTCCATTCTGTGACCCATCATTGGCTTTGTCCAGGACTTTGGATGCCTCATTTTTTGGCGAAATCCAAGCCACAGGTGTGGATATGACTATAGTTCCTGGTAGAACATAGTACCTGGAGGAGAGCGGAAACCGCAGGGTAGTGAGATAACGCACTACTCAATTTTATTTCTAAGAAGCCAGTTTCACTCCAAGCTATCGAGGAGGCTCAAGTCCCTCGGTGCCTCAACCCCAGACCTCGCGCGTGCGTACGACGAAAAAGTTGGCCGATTTGTACGTCTTGACGAACTCATGCTGGTCGAGCATCAGCACCTCGTCAACACTTATAAAGTTGACATGCATACAGGCCAGTATCCCGCTCGCCTCGGAGATGTAGTCCCACTGCTCGTCTTTTACCTCGGACAGGCTAGAAGTAGAAAAGTAGATAAAGAGGGATAGGATCGTATGGCGGAGAAGGGCGGGGTTGGATTGGGTCCATACTTGATGGCACCCAAGAAGAATACACCAATAGGAAGCTGTGCCGCCGGCCAGTCAATGCTGTTGGCAACAGATTGAGACGGAGGCGCTTAGACGATTTATCAAATCGCCCAAGGGTCCGGGCTCGCTGCACGGCCAGCGTTCGAGTTCTCCTTGAGCTGGTTGCACTCTCAGGAATCAACCTCGATGTTGTTTCGCCCTTTTCTCAATGGAGAGGCCACAGCTACCCCTCGACAACGCGCTTCATGCGCTTGTACCAACCCGACTACTAGCAACGCTTCCTGTCCAAGTTCTGGTGATACTTGCTGTCTATTGTATCTCTCTTGTCATCAAAAGAGTTCAGCAGTATCAGGTAAGATCGTCGTCGGTCCATCTCCACCCATCTGCAGGGTACTCACATGTTCAACTAGGCCGATCTCGCCATCGCTCAACGGCACGGGTGCAAGCTGCCACCGGAGCTGTCAAAACGGTGGCCCTTTGGAATTGATCGAATCCGAGATCTGTGGATATGCAATGCTGAGGGTCGACTCTTGGCATATCTGTGTAATGTCGCCAAGGACTATGAACCGCGCAACACCCTCTCCCAGTACCTCCTGATCGGACCTCGTGCCTACCATATTCTCCGACCAGAGAATGTCGAGGCTGTATTGTCAACAAACTTCAAAGGTAAGAGAGAGGATTGTGTGTGCTTGAAATTGAGTTTTTAATTCATTAAACCATTTTAGACTATGGGTTTGGCAGCCGGCCTGCTGTCTTCGCACCCCTGCTCGGGAATGGCATCTTCACGCAGGAGGGTGCTGCATGGAAACACTCCAGAGAGCTGCTGAGGAAACAGTTCATCCGAGCCCAGTATCAGAACCTCGACCGATCTTTCCGTGAGCACCTTAACAACCTCGTGGCGTGTATGCCTTCTAAGGGTGAAGTCGATTTGCAACCTCTGTTCTTTAGACTGACCATGGATATTGCAACGGAACTGCTTTTTGGACGCTCCGTCTATAGTTTGAGATCAGATGTGGATCAGGACGCGGAGAACAGAGAGTTTGCTGAGAGTTTCACCATTGCGCAGGAAGGCCTTGCAAAGCGATTTCGTTCCGCCCCGTTTCATTCATTGTACAGCCCTCCAGCGTTTAGAAGAGCATGCCGCAATGTGCACCGATTTGTCGAGAAGTACATCCGACAGAATGGGATAGCAATCAGCAAGTCAGCGGCCGGGTCAGTATCCGACAATTCCACCTCATGGTTCATAAAGCAGATAGCTACGGAGTGTGCCTCAGAAACTGATCTCAGAGACCAACTCCTCAACATTTTTTTGGCAGGGCGAGATACCACAGCTTGCTGTCTATCGTGGACATTGTGAGTCACATCCAAGACCTCTCTACACACTTTCTGAGTTACTGACACATGCAAGCCGTCTTCTCGTCCGCCACCCTGACGTTTTACGGCGTCTTCGGCGTGAGGTCGCTTCAGTCATAGATACCTCGGCAGGTCCTACGCGAGAGGAAATAATGAAAATGCCTTTCTTATCTTGCGTTGTTAAGGAGAGTATGTACATACAGACATACATACAAAGCCATGGTTCGGGTTTCTTAACTAATCTATGTCATATTAGGTCTCCGGCTCTACCCTCCCGTTCCATTGAACAATCGTGAAGCCATCCGGACCACCATTCTACCAACTGGAGGCGGCCCGGATGGGGAGGATCCTATCCTCGTAAGAGCAGGTGAACTGGTCGTCTTTTCACAATACATCAACTCGCGTCGGAAGAACATATACGGTGCCGATGCCGAGCAGTTCCGCCCTGAGAGATGGGAGACTGGCGAACTTGACGATATCGGGTGGGCGTACTTCCCTTTCAATGGGGGGCCAAGGCAATGCCTCGGTGAAGACTTTGCTCGGATGGAAGTTTGTTACACCATTGTTAGGCTTTTGCAGACTTTTCCTGTGATTCAACTCCCTGAAAGAGAAAAGATTGAGGCAGTTGGAACGGAGCGGCAAACACTAACGCTAGTGTTGTCTCCGGCAGATGGTTGCAGGGTCACGGTCAGGAACCAGGGAAAGGGCAATGAAGCAGAGTAGTTGGCTTCTCAGGATCTATACAAGACGGCATTCAACCCTCCGTGACCATAGACACGCAATGCACAACGCGATAGCGAATGAGTGGCTCCTCTGTACGACGAGACGGCAGAGCGGCCAGGCATCGTGGCTAGCCACTCCGGCATGGCAGGGTTCAGGACCCTTCCAGTTAGGGAGGCTCGCAAGCTCGAACTGCCTTCTTTGGAAGGGTTGCCCTAAAACGCCTCTATTCGTCTTAAGGAAAAGACGCCTAAGTGTCAGTTGATATGACTTGATTTGTATTTCGCTGCGGAATATGCGTTAAGCGCCGCTGTCGGAGACCAGTAGTAGCATTGCATGGCGCCATGTGGAGAGGGGTCCAAGTCACCGACGTCATCCCGCTAAAGGGTGTGGTCGGTTCATCCCGACCTTCTTCATTATCGCAAGCTCAGGTCTGGCAGAACCGAGATCAGGCCTTCGCCCTCGCTACAAGATCAGAAAAGAAGTTTGGCGACAGAGTTCTTTTCAATTTGTAGACTAGTTGGCTGGGGATAGACAAGATCACCGCCAACTCAAGGCTTATTTCTCACTTCTTTCCGTTATCTCCCTCGCATTTGTGTCTGGTCGTCCTGGTGCAGCACTCCAGAGAGACTTCACGAGTGATGTTGGAGTACGACTTTCCAGCTCATCCCGTAGCGGAGGAAGACGCGGTGATCTGTGGCCCAAATTATCGCTTTACGATCATCAACGATGTTGTTCTCCGGTATGAATGGTCAGCTGACGGCACCTTCGAGGATCGAGCCTCGACCTTTGCAATCAATCGTCGCTTTTCTCAGAGGCCCAAACCAGTGGTGCAGGACAGCGAGGTCGGCCTGGAGATCATCACACCCAGCCTTCATCTCTCATATGACAAGAAGCGTTTCAGCCCCGGCGGTCTGGTAGTCGACCTGAAAAGCAAGACCACCCTGTGGGGCGCCCAGTGGCGCTTCGGGCATACACCCGAGGAGAACTTGGGAGGCACGGCCAGAACGCTGGACGGTGTCAACGGCCGCTGTGACATGGGCACAGGCATCTTGTCCAAGGCGGGTTACTCTATTGTGGACGACAGCGATACCATGCTCTTCGACGACAGTGGATTTGTCTCCCCGCGGAAGCCCGGAGATCGCATCGACGGCTACCTATTTGCCTATGGCCGTGACTACAAAGCGGCGATGAACGCCTTCTTCGCCCTGTCTGGGCAGACACCTAGGCTACCCAGATGGGCTCTTGGGAATTGGTGGAGTCGATATCACAAGTATACAACCGATTCCTACCTGAAACTGATGGACGACTTTCAAAAGCATGATATCCCCTTGTCCGTCGCCGTCATCGATATGGACTGGCATCTCGTCCAAGATGAAAAGGTCCCTCACGCAGGGTGGACAGGCTACACTTGGGACCGTAAGCTCTTCCCCGACCCGGTAGCCTTCCAAGCTGCCCTCCACGACAGAGATCTCAAGGTGACCCTCAACGACCATCCACATGCCGGGATACATCACCACGAGGAGCAGTACGACGAAGTCGCCCGCTTCATGGGAAGAGACCCATCCGAGAAGATTCCCATCATTTTCGACCCCACCGATCCCAAATTTATGCAGGCCTTCTTCGACATCGTGCACCGCAGCCTAGAGAAGCAGGGCTGCGACTTCTGGTGGATCGACTGGCAGCAAGGCGCTCTCTCCCGCATTCCCGGCTTCGACCCCCTCTGGCTGCTCAACCACTATCAGTTCCTTGATACACAGAAGCAGCAGCAAAAGGCCGAACACGGGGACCGCGCCCTCATCTTCTCCCGCTACGCCGGGCCGGGCAGCCACCGCTACCCCGTCGGATTCTCGGGTGACAGCGTCGTGTCGTGGGAGTCGCTGGCCTTCCAGCCCGAGTTCACGGCCACGGCGTCCAACATCGGCTACGCCTGGTGGAGCCACGACGTTGGCGGGCACTACGGCGGCTCGCGCGACGACGAGCTTGTCGCGCGCTGGGTGCAGCTCGGCGTCTTCTCGCCCATCATGCGCCTGCACTCCGCCGACAACGCGTGGTGCTCCAAGGAGCCGTGGCTGTACCGGCCCGAGGCCAGCAAGGCCATGACGTTCGCCATGCGCCTCCGCCACCGGCTGATGCCGTACTTGTACTCGGCCAACGTGGACTTCTCCGAGAAAAACGAAGCGATTGTGCAGCCTCTGTACTGGCGGTTCCCCTTGCGCGAGGAGGCGTATGAGCATCCGAACCAGTACTTCTTTGGCCCGTCGTTGGTCGTCGCCCCCATTGTGCAGCCGCGGGACGCTGCGACGCTGCATGCTTCAGCCGAGGTCTGGCTCCCGCCGACGGCGGCTCGGTACGTGGACTTGTTCACCGGTATGGTGTACGATAGCGACCGGACTCTCGATATGTGGCGCACACTGCAAACCTTGCCTGTTCTGGCTCCCGAAGGGTCCATAATAGTCTTGGATGCATCGGGAGAGCCAGCGAATGGAGGCTTCAACCCACAGGCCCTGGAGGTGATAGTTGTGGTGGGACAGGATGCCGAGTATGTTCTTGTCGAGGATATACGTGACGATAAGCACTGCAGGGCCACCAGAGCCACCCGATTAGGTGGAAATGATCGTGATATCGAGTTCAGATGGGACCAGAAAGCCGGGGAATTCAGAACGACTCTACCCTTGGGATATGGGTTGACTGTCCGATTCCTCTGTGTTGATGACTGCCCCCCCTCAGGCGTGCTAGTCACTCGGGATCGCGGCATCGACTACGAGAAAGTGGTCTCCATTGAGAAAGGGAACAATGTCCTTTTCCCTGGCACCGTGGTTAGACTAGGATCGAAGCCAGCAGCAGCTGACGTTGAAGAGTGGGTGGCCATCAGAGTGGTGCTCAGGCCAGATCAGCAGCTCGGAGTCGCGGATTATGTTACCAAGATCAAATCACTGCTGCTGGATTTCCAGATGGATTTCCGTATGAAAGATGTTATCTTCCAGATCGTGTCTGGTTCACAGCCTGTCCACAGTAAGATATCTGCGCTTCTGCGGCTAGATTTGCCAAGGCCAATCATGGGGGTTATTTCAGAAGTTCTCCTGGCTGACAGTCGACACTGAAGCCAGCAAGAGCTATGGATCTTGGAGCCCTGGGGAGAAACAGGGATTTGACAGACAAGGATAGAACCTCCTATTGGTTTGCTCACCTGGAAAGCAGTGATTTCATCCTACTGGACATAGATTGAGCCAAGAGGCGAAAGGTTGTCGAGCAGCATTCATTCAAGAAGTTCTCTGGATTCTACACCAAAGTTTTCATCATAGCCCAACGTACGGGGACTGCCTTTTTAAAGAGTTACTGTTCTCATTCCTTATTATTATTAATTTGACGAACATTTAACGACCCGACATCCCGCAAGCTCGTCGGTCTGATTCATCCGTCTCGAGTAAAGACAGGCATCGTGTCAAGAGGGCAGTCCACAGTGACCCTCTTCCCACCCTCATACTCATTGCCATCAACACCCTTCCACTTGATACTAGCTCCAGGTAGGTAGACCTCGCGCTTCGTTTGCTTGGCCTCCAGGACTGGCGCCACGAGGTACTTGGGCCCGTACATGTACTGGTCCTCAACCATCCAACTCTCCTTGTCTTCGGGGAAATCGTAAAAGAGAGGCCTCATGATCGGGTCGCCGTGCTCGTGGGCGGCCTTGTGCAGCCCGCGCGTGTAGTCGCGGAGCTCCTCGCGGATGCGCAGATACTTCTCGCAGATCTTGTACACCTCGTCGCCGTACGACCACACCTCGTTGGGCCCGCCCGACAGGCAGAACGAGCCGCCCGTCGTGCCGAGCTGCGGCTGCTTGGGCTCGCGGTCGCCGTGCAGGCGCATGACGGGGCAGTACGCGCCCCACTGGAACCAGCGCACCAGGAGCTCGCGGAAGGCCGGGTCCTCGGGCAGCCCGCCATGGAAGCCGCCGATGTCGGTCGTGAACCAGGCGAGGCCCGCCATGCCCATGTTCAGGCCCGCCGCGAGCTGGTTGCGGAAGCTGCCCCAGCTCGAGGCGATGTCGCCGGACCAGACGAGCGCGCCGTACTTCTGGGAGCCGGCCCAGGCGCAGCGCAGCAAGTTGACGATGTTGGTCTGCCCGGCGGCGGCCTGGCCCTCGTAGAAGGCCCTGGCGTACTCCACAGGGTAGATGTTGCCGATGGCGAGGTTGGGCCCCGCGGCGTAGCGGTAGATGTCAAAGTCGTAGACGCTGTACTCGGGCTCGGCCTCGTCGAGCCAGAAGACCTTGACGCCCTTATCAAAGTAGTTGCGCTTGGCAGCGTCCCAGATGAATTTCCGCGCCTCCGGGTTGGTGGCGTCGAAGTGGATGGCGTACCCACGGCCTTCCATGGAGGCCCGGATACCACGGTCTTGACGGATCAGGAGACCGCGTCGAAGCATCTCCTCGTAATTCTCTGATGTTCTCTCCACGGTGGGCCAGATGGAGACCATCAATTCTATGTTCATCTCCTTCAGCTCGGCAATCATAGCATCTGTGTCGTAATCATTAGTCTACTCCACCTTTTCAAGCGGCGATCGAGTAAACCTCTTACCAGGATCTGGCCAGAAAGTCGGATCAAACTTCCAGTCTCCCTGAGCAGGCCAATGGAAGTAGTCGCATACGATGAGATCGATTGGTAGGTTGCGCTTCTTGTATTCTCGCGCTACTTGGAGCAGCTCTTCCTGCGTCTGGTAGCGGAGCTTGCATTGCCAGAAACCAAGTCCGTACTCAGGCATCATGGGCACCCGGCCAGTCGCAGCAGTGTACGCTCGCATGATCTCGGAAGGTGCGTCACCCACAACGACATAGTAGTCGAGGATATCAGTAGAGTATGCCTCGAATGTTGTAGTAAGTTTACTAAAGACTGCTCTGCCGATGGAAGGGTTGTTCCATAGGAAGCCGTAACCTTCGCTGGAAACTGCGAAAGGTACAGTGGCTTGCGAGTTGCGTTGGGCGAGCTCGATGTCTGCTCCCTTGAGGTTCAAGAACGGTTGTTGATACTGGCCCATCCCATAGATGCGTTCGTCTGGGTTTTGTGACTCGAACCGCATCGTCAGATGGTAATCCGGTGAGCCGAGCCGGGCCTTCCATTCCCGGGCTTGGATGCGAAGAGAACTGCACTTGGGGTCGAGGAGATCCAGTCGGTGACGAGCGTACTCTTCCAAGATGACCTTGTTGGACTTGGCGTTGGAGATAACGATCTTGCCCCGGTTGCTTACGGAAGCACGGATCTTGCCGTTGGTAATGGAGGCGAACTTGGGCTCAATCTTGATGTCGGCTTTGGGAGACGAGACCTTTTCTGAAAGAGCCCAAGCCCTCTCGGGCATCTTGTTCAGACAGCTGGCACGAACACGGAAAGCATTCTCGCCCCATGGCTCAATGGTGACAGACTCGGAGTCAAAATAGAAACTGAGGCTGCCGTTGTCATCGGTGAACATGGGGTCAGGGCGTATGCCGTATTCGGAGTCCTCGACCTGAAGATTCTTGTATTCCATATTGGTCTATTTAGGAGAAGGAGATAGTAGAGTTTTACAATGAGCGTAACAAAAAGATGGCCACCTTGCCAAACATCTGTGTTGGGCATCGATTTATATGCGCATCGTGACTTGGGTTGGAGCTTTGTTGGAGACACTGCATGCCTGCCCCTCAAGTCCAAAGCCGCTGGCGTTACCCACGCCAACTCCTGATGTCCAATTGCGATCGGTGAATGCCGTTTAGGCTAAACAAAATGCGCGATCGGCATCCTGCCCGAGTGGTGGTAAGTAGAGTTCCACATAGCAATGCCGCACCAACTCGACAACACCATGAACCCCGCAGATGTGGTGGAGCTTATGACATCCCCATTCTTGGCCAGCTATTGACAAGTTCTCGGAAAGGCAAAGCCGGAGAGAAATCCGGACTTGTGTCCAACTTTGTAAAAACTTAAAAGAAAGAGGCGAACGATCGAAACTCATTCATCCTTCATACAGCCTCGAAGGTGGGCAGTTCTTGCATATGGTCGAGTCCCGCGTCTCTCTTCGGCATAGCCCAACTCAGGTTCATATTGTCAACAGTCAACATTGAACAAAACTTGGTGGAACGAGCATAGCTCTGCAACACCGACCATTGCTAAGTGGTCCTCTAACGATTTACGAAATTCGATTTCTCAAATCAGAATACTTAGCAAAGACCCTTATGATGAATTGGAAAAGGTAACACGGGGTAGCCCAAAGCGCAACACGTTTGACAAAATATTCAGGCCGGCCTCCAAGGCCATGGCTGGGATCCCGCGTATTATAGCTATCCTGGCCCTTGCTCGATAGACCTACGACCTTGGCATGCGGCACAGAAAATCTAGTTAGACTAACTTGAGTAAAGTGTCTTAATGCAAGTAGGTAAGCACGCCCATTTTGCTGTGGTCGGCATTACTAAAAGCCCGCCTCGACTCCGCCACTTCCCCCAAGTTGCGGAAAAGGGCTGTCCAGAACCTGGTTGCCGGGTCTGACCCCCAGACATCCCCCCCCGTTACTGCCGGGTGAATTCAAGTCAGGCCTTGAATGGGACTGGGGACGAATTTGGAGTCAGCGCCACTATATAACAAAAGCTAGCTAGTTACGATGCGATCATAACTCATGAGCAAGAGCGTGCTCCTCACCAACCTTGGCCTCTCACTATTCGCGCACTTGGCATCCTTGACCAAACTAAGGAGCGAGACAACCCCTGATCAGAGTCGTAACTCGGGGAAATAGGCCGGAGAAGGCATCAATCCCAGGAGCGCGGTGATGAACCCCCACGCCAGGATGCCCAGAGATCATCACCGCCAAGAGCCTTCCCCAAGAATGGTCGCCTGCATGCCCGAGGCTAGTCGTTCTGTAACAGCATGACGGGGGCCGTCAGCAGCATATTTTAACCCGCTGATCTTCCTATCCCCAGACTTCCATACTTTTCCACAAACATGCCCAAGCGACAAACATCCTTTGCATCTCTTTAGCCATCAGCAAGGATGTCTGAGCCCATTCACAAAGCCGAATCTGGAGCCGGCGAAGTCGAGCATGCCAAAGCAAATCTCGCGAGAAGACAGGATGCTCAGCAGGCTTCGGCAGCTGAGCATAATGCTACCTTTCGGGAGGCGCTTCGTGAGAACTGGAAGGCTTGCCTGTGGTCGGCCTTGATCTCCTTGACCATTGTGATGGAAGGCTATGACCAGTCGTACGTCTGCTCATTTTACTCCTTTATAAAATCAACAGGCATGAGCACTCGGCATTGCTTTTACTCCTATTAGTGGATATCATCTATTCAAACCCCATACGCTGATTTGGTTCCTTAATTAGTCTGATGTCGAATTTCTTCGGCTATCCAACTTTCCAGAGAAAGTTTGGTTCCTACGTACGTTTCTCATCCAAGCCGACAACCTTCAATTTGCGCACAACTCAAGCACTAACCCCTATTGCTAGTACCCTGACAAGGACACATGGCAACTCACAGCAGCTTGGCAGGCCGGTCTCCAGAATGGCACCTACGCCTGTGTCGTTCTCGGTGGCTTCATCAACGGCTGGGCATCGGCTCGCTATGGTTATCGCCGCACCCTCCAGGTCGCCCTTGCTCTCATGACAGGCTTCATCTTCATCTCGTTCTTTGCTGTCCGCATCGAGATGCTCCTTGTCGGCCAGATGCTATGCGGCTTTACGTGGGGAGTGTATGCAACCACCGGACCTGCCTATGCCTCCGAAGTTTGCCCTCTGGCTCTTCGCGGATACCTCACAGTGTAAGTGGCGCTCACTGATGAGGAGGAACCCCTCAGATATAGACTAATCACTTCATGTAAACAGATACATCAACCTATGCTGGGCCATGGGCCAATTCCTATCCAGTGGTGTCCTCAAGGGCATGCTCGCGTACACCACCGAGTGGTCATGGCGGGTGCCACTCGCCATCCAGTTCATGTGGCCAGTCCCTATCATGGTCGGCATCGCCTTTGCTCCCGAGTCGCCCTGGTGGCTCGCCAAGAAGGGCCGGTACGAAGAGGCGGAGAAATCCCTGATTCGCCTGTCGACCCGGAGCATCGAGGACTGCCGTGCCAGCCTTGCCCAGATCCAGCACACTATCGAGCTCGAGTCTCACATTCAGTCCGACACCAGCTATCTCGACTGCTTCCGCGGCACCAACCTCCGGCGCACCGAGATCTGCATGATAGTCTTCGCCGGTCAGCAACTCGGCGGCGCTGTCTTTGCGTACACGCCCACATACTTCTTCCTGCAGGCCGGCATCAGCACGAGCAACGCATACGGCGTTGCTATCGGCAGCACAGGCATGGCCTTCGTCGGCACATGCTTGTCGTGGCTACTGCTGGCGTACTTTGGTCGGCGGCCCTTGTACACCTACGGCATGGCAGGCCTCACTGCATCCCTCCTCGTCATCGGCATCTGCTCTGCGGCGTCGAAGAGCGAAGGCGCCATGTGGGCCCAGGTCGCGTTCGTCCTCGTCTGGAAGCTGATCTACTCCCTGACCGTCGGCCCCATCTGCTACGCCATCATCTCCGAGACGTCTGCCGTGCGCCTGCGGCCGCAGACCGTCGTCGTCGCGCGCAACACCTACGCCATGGTGCAGATCATCTCGAGCATACTCAACCCGTACATGCTCAACCCGACGGCGTGGAACTGGAAGGGCAAGTCGGCCTTCTTCTGGGCTGGCACCTCGGCTTGTGTGGCCACTTGGGCGTACTTCCGTCTCCCCGAGACGCGAGCGCGAACGTACGAGGAGCTAGACATGCTCTTTGACCAGAAAGTCAGTGCTAGGAAGTTCAAGGAGACTCATGTTGATCCGTATGGTGTCGACACGATGGAGGAGAAGCCGTCTTCTAAGTGATGTCCACCACAGCACAACCTATCGTTCATAGATCAAGTGAATGCAAGAATCAGGCAAGATATACGTCGATCCGTGTTCATAATATCATATGGTGGTAACAAGCCAGTAAGTGGAGCCAAATATGACCAGATCCAAATCTGTACTAAGAGACGTTGTCCCTCTATCTGACAGATGAAGCTCTATATGAAAATACATCTTTGAGTCCAGTTCTTTTGCGTCAATTCTTTTGTGGTGGTCCGCTCCCAAAGTGCCCATGCAACTTGGTGTTTCGGAGAAGAATAGCGAAAAGCACAACAGGCACCAACAAACCCATGCCCGTGATGACCAAAAGTCTCTGGATATACCTATAACTCTCAATGATAGCCGACCTCTCGGCCGTCCCAACAGGGAACCCAGGGACAACATACAGCGGCTCAGCATACACCGAATCCGCGAGTGTGCTGTTGATGGGATCGAGATCTCGGTGAAGGCGGGTGTACAATGTCTGAGTCCATATCGCTCCGGACACACAGTTCCCCAGCGCGAACCCGGCCCAGTTCATCGCCAGCCAGACACTTGTCAAGACGGCAAGGTTCTCATGCTTAGTCAGGGTCATCGCGATGATGATGTTAGGAAAGGATACTAGTGCCGCTGATATGCCGACGAGCACTTGGCCAGCAATAACACCGGCTCTGGACGAGCTGTCTGGTCCACCGCGGTAGTGGTACAGGAGGGCGTAGGCCGTGAACCACAAAGCAGCCCCTGCGATAACCATGGGCTTGCATCGCCGGAACTGAAAGATGATGATGCCTCCCGCCATCCCCCCGACAGCTTCGCAAAAGCTGGAGACAACTGACACGCGTGTAGCGGCCATGATGTTAAAGTCGTAGCCAACGAGGAGCACAGTGTAAAGAAAATCGCTTTGTGTTGTAAAAGAAGCGGCAGCAAAGAAGGCAATGCCAATGGCAGACCACACGGCGCGATCTTTGAGGAGCTTGAAAGGCAGGAGGGGATGTGGCGCCTTGCTCTCCCAGAGGATGAAAAGGGGGAGGAACAGGGCGCCCAAGACCACTGGCGTGATGATGCCAGGGATCTTCCACTTGCTGGTTGCTCCTCCTGCCAAGGTAAGAGGAATCAACAAGAGAGAGAGCACTGCCATTAGAAGCCCGAGCCCAATGAGATCCAGTTTGTGGTGCATCTCGCTGATCAACATACGGGGAGGATGGCCTTTGCCTATACTGGACGAGCCTTTGTAGTCCTCTTCCTTGGAAGCACGACGCCCGACGATGATGAGGAAGAGGATGAGAGGTAGTGCACACACGGGGTAGACGATACACCATATGCCAACACCCCACCGCCATGTCGTCGTCGTCAACACAGATGAGGTGACATTCCCGCTGATCCAAACATTGACGATATTGGGCATCGATGGAAGGAAGAGGAAGAAGAGACGGGATCTGAGTGAAGTGGTGTCCGCAACCAGGATCTCCACCAACAATTGGCAGCAAGTGTAGCCTATCTGGACAAGGAGCGATCCGGTGGCGAACGATTCAATGTTGTGAGCGCTCGCCTGCACGATCAACCCGACGACGAAGAAGAGGGTCGCGATGATGAAGCATTCAACGCGGCCGACGAGGTCGGATAGCTTGGCCGTCAGTGGCATCACTGCTGCCGATATGACTCCCCGAACCACATTGATTGTCGAGAGCAGCGAGTGGCGTTCCCAAGTTGATGTCGCATAGCCCTGGTACGTGCCAAGAGTGAGCCAATTGAGGTTTGCGGCGTAGGAGACGAGAAACATGCAGAAGTAGAGGCCGCATCTACCTGAGAAGCCGAGATGCCGGTTGACTGCGTTGATTCTCACGACCCCAGGGAGTTCTGGGTCACTTAGAGGCCTTAGGACTTCCAAGTCTGCTCGCAGCTCTTTGTCATCTGGCAGATTGGAAGAGTGCCCCGTTCGGTGTTCCCTTCCAGGATCTATGCCTTGAGCTTCGACGGCCATGGTGAGCGATAGGTACAGCCAAGTGTGTGGTGTACTCAGATGTCATGAACGAAAGGTATTGGGTAGGGCAGCTGTAATGCCAAGATGAAACTAGGAAGCACAGTCTTTTATGTAGAGTCACCGAGTGAACAGGACAAAAGTCTCCTCATGTCATGGTCGCTGCAGAGCATGGGGCTCGAGAACCCTGTAGGAAAACCAGCTTATTACTGCCAGCAAGTGACTTCCTCCTAGGCTAAACGTAACTAGCATAACACTCACATCCTCGATTACTCATATCCGTCGATAAGTTGGAACTCCGCCGTTTCAAGTTTGAGAATGCCGGAAAAGACCGCAAGGAGAAGACAATCGCCGCGTCCTCGACAGACTAGTTCTACCTTGGTCTAGATTCTAACCACCAGCTACGACTGGGGCAACGGATTTCGTTGTTATACGAGCATCTGAAAGCCCGTTTTGCCTGACACCAATGTTTAAGCTTGTTCCACGACAAGTTATTGGATACTTGCACAAAGGTCTTTCGCTTATCAGATGGAGATGTGGGTTGATCTAGAAGCAAGCAAGCCCAACCAGCCCGTCAGCATCGACGAGAACCTTTATGGCCGGGAGGGACGATCCTTCAACTACGCCGATTATCGGACTAACGACAGGAACAGGAAGAATAAGCGAGAACAAAAGTACTCATCGGAGAGATACGGTATTGAGGTGTGAGTTTCCAAAAGACAGCTTAACTTCTCTTTCAATGACCTTGCACCTGACATCAGTCTCCGACACCAAGATTCGATCTCCCTCTCCAACTCCCTTGAGCGATCGCAGCACTGCCGCAAAGACTGAATGGCAGAAAGACCAAAAGCCCTCATAGTTGGCGCGGGGATAGCCGGGTTGGCAGCAGCCTGGTGGCTCGACAAAGCCGGCTGGAGCTCAGTCATTATCGAAAAGGCTCCCGGGATCCGAGACGGCGGCTACATCGTCAGCCTGTCCGGGCCGTGCCGCGACACAGTCGAGCGCATGGACCTGGGGCCACGCCTGAGCGAGGTATCCTACAAGTTCGACGAGAACGTGCTCAGCGACGTTCACGGGCGGCGGCTCTTGCGGCTCCGGTACAAAGACGTCCATGGAGGCGTGGACAGCCTCGCGTTGTGCCGAGGCGACCTAGCACGGGCCCTGCTCGACGCATTGCCTACCAGCGTAGACATACGATTCGACGAGACGCTCGAAGATGCGGTACTTCGCGACGATAAAGTGACGGCAACACTGAAAAGTGGCACAGTTATCGAGGCAGACTTGCTCATCGGCGCCGACGGCATCCGGTCCTTCACGAGAGACCGGTTCTGGAAAGAGGCAGACTGCCTGGAACACCTCGGCTACATGTACGGTGTTTATGACGTGGAAGGGAATACCGAGCTCGGTTCTGACTGTGTATCTTTCAACAGCCCTGGTCACCTGGATGTGCTTTATCGGCTACGCAATGATAGGCTGGCGGCGCTTCACATATGGCGAGATGATGGGGTCAAGCTTCACGACCGACAGGGCAAACCCAGGGTGATCCGCGACGCCACAGCCGGAAGGAATATCACACTTATCAAAGATGTCCTGGACCGTGCGGAGAAGACTGGATACACCCCGCTCATCGACAGCCTCACAATGGTGGACCTCCAAAGCTGGTCTCAGGGGCGGGTCGTGCTGCTGGGTGACGCTGCTCACTGCCTCACACTGATGTCGGGCCAGGGAGCCGGCATGGCTCTCGTGTCCGCAGAGATACTAGGCAAGGAGCTGATGAGGACGAGCGATGTGGCTGAGGCCCTCGCCAGCCACGAGCGGAAGCTGCGACCCGTCATTGAACGGCTTCAGGACCGCAGCCGCAGGATGGCCGCCATGTACATACCGAAGAGCACCTTCAGCTACTACTTGCGCAATCTGCTTTTGAAGATCATGCCCTACTCGTGGATTGTTTCATGGCATGTCAACAGCACCAAGTCGGAGATAGAATTGATGCAAAGCTGATGGGGTTGTGGTGGGTGTAATATTATCGCAAGTTCGACTTGTGTCAGACAAGTAGTTTTCTTGCACTCTTTGGCTTGTCTCCCAATACGGGTAATATCTCATACTCCTCGACCCAACAATACATGATCCCCCATGCAGTCCGCGACCCAACAGTACATGACTTCCCAAGCAGTCTGCAACCCAACAGTACATGATCTCCCAAGCAGTCCGCCCCAAGCACAGCATTCCTAGCCATCCCATACATGTGACTCCTCCCATACAAAATACCACCACAGTAGAGACCACCGCCACCTCATGTCGTCGCGCTGCTCGCTTGCCCAGAATGCGCAGGCGGGGAGCGGGACGAGACGGGGCGCCAACGCCAGAGTTGTTCTGGCTACGGCCCCAGGGACAGCCGAACATGAGAGTTGCCGATGGGGTAACCCTGCATTTGATTGATGGCCATCTCTGCCGCGTGCCGATGGACGAATTGCACAAACCCACGGATTGGACGAACCCGCAACCCTTTCCAGGCGGAATCTTCACGTACGTGATCTCCCTGAAGCCCTGGAAAAACGAGCGGAGCTCGTCTTCAGTAACGTAGCCCGACAAGCCACCGACAAACACTGTTGTGTTGTTTGGATCAGTGAACTGGTTCATGGGCTGGGCCGCCATAGGGTTAAACCCCTGTTGATAGAACAGAGGGCCGCCCACACCCAGATAGTTCATACCAGCCTGAACAGGGGGCGGCATCATTTGTTGCTGCCCCTGCTGCTGGAAGCCGTGGTTTCTACTATCCGGTCAGCACATGACAGTAAAAGAATAGGGCCAGCAGACGTACCGCGACTTGGGAGTCGCGGTGGAAATCCGCATTGGGCGGTTTTCCACAGTAGACACCCTGCATCTCGAGGAGGGCCCGCTGCTGGTCGCCCTCATCCGAGAAGCGAACAGCCGGATACATAGGGGCCTTGCCGTTCGGTAGATCGCCACGTTTGTGAAGGGGGAAGGAGCGGGGGAGGAGGACTTGGTGCCATCTGATGCATGGGATAAGTTGACAAGCTTTAGGAAAAGTTGATGTGCCAGAGATGTGACGCTTTCACCATGACTTGATCGCCTCTCCACCAACCTGCACACTGTGCAGGCCATGAAGTGAACATCATGGTGAGGGAAGGGGGGGATGGAGGTGTGTGAAATGGAAATGGAACTTACTGGAATCTTTTGATAAAGTGAGTGTATATATATGGACAAAGGAAAAAAGGGAGGAGAGGGTGAAGTTGGTGATGATGTTGTACAACGGGGCGTGAGGTTGCTGGGGTGGGGATATAGGAGTTCGGATCAGTGAGGACGAAAGTGTGGATGATCTGAGGAGCCAAGAAAAAAGAGAAGGAAGGAACGTTGGTGGGAGAAAGGCGAGTATATATAGGCGCCCAGAGCGTTTGCAGGTGCGCTCTTGCCTCCAGTGACCGCCTTGAAACGGCTGAAGTTCGGCTGAAGCTCGGAAGCTCCTGGTATTTTGATTCCTTTTCGAAGGTACTAGAAGGTAAACCTGTTAATTCAGGAGCGCGTGGTTGACACGAGTTGGTGGTGATGGGTTGCGGCTCAGAAACTCTCAAACTGGCTGGTGACATGTACATATAGATTCGCGGGTGGACGGCACGAAAGGGGAGGTACTATTTACATATGAGCTAGAGACTTGTCAAAACTTTGCAGGTCACTTCCCAGTTACGTCCACTTCGTTATTTCAGATTCAGTCAACCTGTGACTCAAATTTCATCCCATTCTTCAACTCCAAGCAGGGCAGGGCCCACTTCAGCCCGCCACCCAGGCTTGGAAGGGCCTCGTTTGAATGATGCAGAAAGTGCTGTGAATGGAGTCAATGGAACTTTATGTGAAGAAATGAATTAATGTACATGTGTGTGGTCAGACAATGTGGTTTATCACAGTGTCTCAAAGTGCTGGGACCGGGCAATCATGATCCGGGTGTTAATAGTAAAGAATGGTGTGACTGGCTTCGACAAGACTTGTCGCTCCCTCCCCTCTTCGGCCAAGGGAGACTTGAATATGGTCAGCATCCCAGTACACCATGGTCAAGCAAAGCCTCGAGTCCGAGGACAATAAAATACTCCCAGATCAAAGCACCGCAGCACTAGACCCTCAGCCCGCCCGAAGTCGAGTCACCACCAAACCTGAGCACAATGACAACCTCAATCATGCATAATATCACATCCACAACCCTCACAAAGTACGGTACCGTATCACAAGACGACTATCGTATTAATATTCATCCGCTCCCTATTCTATTCCTACCACGTGTAAATGCTCTGCTGGGGGTACAGGTGAAAAGACAACCAGTGCAATGCATGCAAATGCTTCGCAGTGTAGTCTTTTCATTTTTGAACAGGGGTAAAAAAAAAAAAAAGGAAACGCCCTTTGCTATGCTGAAGGAAGTGTGGTGTAATGCATGTGTGGCTGAACAAAAGAAAAGAGCCCTTTTGAAACGACGGGAGAGCCCCCGTAGAGGAACGGAAGAAGGTCCTCATGCCGAGGAAGACAGCACTCCGCAGTCCCTCCTCTTCAACCCTCGATATGTATGCGTATGTATACACACCACCAGAGATGCCCATCCATCTGGAAGAGAGCACAAGGCTCCGTCTCATCAAGACCTGCCGCATCCTCTGAAGTAAGACACTCAAGGCTGAACCCCCTGCCTCCACCGCTCAACCCTATCGAGCTGCTGGCCCTGCGAAGGCTGCATAGGCATCATACCCGCGCCGCCCATGCCCATGCCCATACCCATGCCCATCCCGCCGTACACCCCATTCATGTTCATGTTCATGCCCATATTCATGCCGCCGCCGGGGTACCCATACCCATTCATCCCGCCCATCATCATCTGCTGCTGCTGTGGCTGCTGAAACTGCATCGGCATCTGCATCTGCTGCTGCTGCATCGGCATCTGCACAGGCATACCATACCCACTCATCGCGACGCTCTGCCTCGGGTTGAAGCCATTCATCATACCGCCAGCACCGCCGCCGCCGAGATTCGTCCCCTGCGTACCGCCAGCCTGGCTAGCCCACCGCCCGAAGCCAGGCCCATCCCCATTCACCGCGCCCGCCGAGGCCCCCCACCCGCCTCCCGTGCCGTCATTGAACCTCCCGCCCATGAAGCCCGAAGGTTTGTTGGCCGCCGCCGCAGCGGCATCCTGCTGCGCCTGCAGGCGCGCCAGCCGCACGCGCTCCTGCTTCTCGCGCGCCGACTGCGCGACCGCCTCCTCGCGGCGGAGCCTCTCCTGCTCGCGGGGGTCGACGGCGCCCCTCGGGTCGTCGGCCGGGTGCGCGCCCAGCACGTCCGCCATCGACAGGCGGCGCGACAGGCGGTCCGACCCCGTCAGCGCGTGCAGCGCGCCCGCGTTGACGGCCAGCCCGCCCATCTCGCGGTCGCGCGCCTCCTTCTCGGCCTGCAGGCGCTTGCGCCGCTGGCCCAGCGTCTCCTCCTCCTCGGGCTGGCCGCCCGTGCCGGCGCCATTCTTCGTCTTGTTCTTGTCCGCAGCCGCTTCGCTCTTGGCCTTGTCCTCCTCGGGGTCCCCAAACTGGCTGAGCAGTTCGGCCGAGAAGGCGCGGCTGACGGGCCGTGCGAGCGGCAGGGGGCTGTCTTCCTCTTCGCGGGCCCTGAGGCGGCGCATGCGGTCCGCGAGGGACTCGCCCTCGACCTCTTCCTCCTCGGGCTCGACGATGACAGTGGGTGCTCCTCCTCCCTGCGGCCCGTTGCCCAGCGCGCCGTTCCTGTTGAGCGCGGCGATGGTCGGCGTGAGAGTCATCATGCTCTGGCGGTTGGGCAGGCTGTTGATCCCAAGCCCGTTGCCGAGGTACATGCTCGGCCCCGGGTCGCGGCCCTGCAGCCGGTCGCGCCTCCGGCTTAGGGGCTCGCTGTCCTCGAGCTCCTTCTTCTCCATCAGGCCCAGGGGCCGGTTGATCTCGGCCGCGACGGCCGAGATGTCGTTGTTGCCCGCGGCCTTGGCGGCGTAGAGCATGCCGAGCGGGACGTCCTCGTCGTCCTCTCCTTCGGCGTACGGGTTGGCGTTGGGGTCCTCCCAGGCGAGGTTGATGCGCTTGCCCTTGCGCTGCTTGCGTTCGATCTCGGCTACGGTGTCGAGCTCCAGGAGGGTCGAGTGCATGCCGTTCGGGAAGGCCTTGTTGATAGGGCGAGTGCGCATCTTCTGCTGGTGCTTGCGTTTCTGCAACTCGGCGAGGAGGGTGGTAGGTGCGCCATCATACATCATTTCGTCGTCCTCCTCCTCTTCCTCCTCTTCTTCCTCAGAGGACGACTCCCTCTCGTCCTCTCCGGGTGCGAGAGCACCGCCAGCTGCAGCTTCGCTGAAGGTAGGAGACAGGACATCACCATCCACTTGGGAAGACAACCGCTGTCTCTCGTCCACAGCTCCGTCCGCCGCAATAACGGTCCGATGGCCTGAAGACATACTGTTCTTCTTCGTGTGCCCCATCAGAGACAAGAACGAGCCGCGCTTCTTCTCGTCGCCGAGCGGGTTGGTCGAGCTGGCGCGCAGATGGTTCTTGTCCTTCTCCTTCTCTTTCTCCTTCTCTGCCTTCTTCTTGCTCTTCTTCTCGAGACCGTACACTTCATTGCCCAGCTTGCCGGCAAAAGCGTGGTCGGTAAACGCACTGACCGGCGCGGCGGCAGACGCGTTGAGGATGCTGTCGAGGGTGTCCATGGCAGACCCGTTCTTGATCTCGATCTGGGGCGGAGCGGGTGGCAGGTCAAAGTAGGCCGAGGCGCGCAGAGCGGCCGGGATGTCAGACATGGTAGACATCTTCGACTTGCGCTTGTCGCCGAGCTTTTGCGGGCGGCGGAACTCCTGGGTGAGGGGCTCGTCCTCGGCCACGACAGGCGACGGCTCCGACTCCCGGGGAGATGCGTGATCGAGGAATTGCGACTCGGGCCGCGCAGCTGGCGAAGGTTCCGCCGAGGCGTCGTCCTTGTGCTGCTCTTCCTCCGGCTCGATGAGAGGCCCTCCCATGGAACCCTCGAGGGGATCAGGCAGCCAGACGCGCGATTCCCGAGAAGCCATGGGCATGGCGCTCAGTACCTGAGATCGCCTGACGTTGCGTTCATCGGCCTTGGGCTTTCTGGACAGCTTGGGCGGCAGGTTCAGCATGGCGGGGACACGAGCTGGGTAGTACAGCATCTGCTGTCCCGTGTCCATGTCAAAGTACGACTGGGGCCGAGGAGCAGCCGGGCGCATCGGGCGAGACATTCGCTTGTCCTGAGCCTGTGCTTGAGCCTGAGACTGCGCCATCAAGACATCGGGCAGGTCTGCCATGTCGGCCCTGTCAGGATCGCAGTGGACGCCGTCAAAGTCCCCAAAGGCATTTTGGGTCTGCTCGTAGGTGTCGCCTGACCCCGAGGTGGTGGGTCGCTCGTAATCTTGCGGACGTTGCTGCTGCTGCTGTGGCACATCGTAGTGCATCGCATACTCCATCGGGTTGGATGTGTGTTGTTGCGGGGTCTGCTGGTCGTCAAAGGACATGGGCGACACGTCGTAGCTGTTGTGTCCCAGCATGGGCTGCTGGGGCCAGGACTCGGCGTTGGGCGTCAGGTCCATATCCAAGCCCAGACCTAGGCCCGAGCTGAAGTCCATATCTATTTGCTGGTACGCGTTGATGCGCAATGTCTCATCTTCATCGTGATGTTCACCCGAGGCCTCGGCCCTGTCGGCTTCGTCCAATGCGTCCTGGGTCAGCGTGACGGGGAGCTCGTCTTCGACAATCTCGGGTAGGTTTGGCTTGTTGGAGTGCACGCTCCTGACCGAAGCTTTGCCTGGACCATGGCGAGACATGAGAGAGGTACCCTCCTCAGGGGAGACCACGCGATCCGAACCGCCACTAACGGACAAGGGACCGGTGGCACTGGCCTTGCTGCTCGAGCGTAGCCTCGAGCTCGACAGCGAGTGAGCCGGAGACATGACGAACCCGGAGGGAGAGTAGCCCCCTAACCGTGCGGTCGAGTTGATGTCGATGATGGACGTCGGCTTGGCGAAGGTCGGGGAGGTCTCTTGCGGATCGGGGTCGGGGTGGAGGTTCTTGACGCTGGCGGCGAGGATCGACGATCTCCGGCTGTCGCTCCTCTTCAGCTCGCGGTGCTCTTCTCGGATCGCGTCCTCGATGGAGCTGGTCATAGACAGGCGCTCGGCAATGTCTTCGAGCTGGGCGATGTTGCCGAGGAAGGCGCCGGCCCGGACGTTGGGGACGAAGTCGGGGACGGGATGGATGAGGGGCGTGTTGGCCGTGGAGGAGGTGGTCCTGACGAGCTCAGGGCCGAGGGCGTCGTGATCGTCCGCTGCTGGATCAGCTGCTGGAGGGTTTTCAGATGCCGGCTTCCCCTGGGTAGCTTGCGGCTGTGGCTCGTGGCCGAGGAATTTGGGGCGTATTATCGTTGTTGAGGTCTGGCTGGAATGTGTCGCGTTGGCCTGAGAATCTTTCCCCTTGGGAGCATCGCCTGTGGAGGAGGGAGCTGGCCGACTGGAATGCGCGCTTGGCCGCCGAGGCGATGAAGGGTTCAGCTGCTGACTGCTCTGTGGTGTTTCTGAGTTCTTCTCGTCTCTTGCCGATTTGGCAGGGTCCTGCGATAGGGGTGGAGCTGATGTCGATGTCGACAATGCTGATGAAGTTGCTTCAGCCGATATCGTCGGGTTCGGCGACTTGCTTTCCGTTGCGATCGTGGCTGTTGGCGTGCTTGCAGCACCTATTGATTGTGATGCAGCAGTGGTTGACAGATCTGAAGAATTATCTGCATCCTTGCCGATGCTTGTGCTTGTAGAGTCACTTTTCATTTCGGGGCATTTTGGCGAGGCCCGGGCATCGCGACCCTGAACCCGACCCCCTTGAGGTGCATCGGCCGTTGGGGATGGGGGCGATTGGGCGGCCATTTTGCTGGGTGTGGCCCGGTCCCCAGCTCTGCTGCGACTCTTGCTGGCCTGATGCCAGTGCTGGTGCGGGTGCTGGTGCTGGTGCTGGTGCTGGTGCGGGTGCGGGTGCGGTGGATGTGGTGGTCGCTGCGGTGGCGTCGGCGCAAAATTTGTTTGGCTGGAGTCGCGTCGGCCGCTCTCGTTTGCGGCATGGCCCTGTCGTCCCGCGTCGTCGTTGTCGTCGTCGTCGTTTTCTGCCAGCAAAGCAATAGCAGCAATGTTGTGGTAGTAGCGGTCCTTCTTTTTGTTGTTGCTGGCAGACGAAGAGGAGGCGGAGGACGGGCAGGATATGGGAAAGGGAGAGGAAGCGAAGTCGCTGCTGGTCAGAGACAGCGGCGTGTAGGACTGCTCGGCCAGGGCCAGCGGCGACGAAAAAGTCAATGGCGATTCAGCGGACTGCAGGCTGCTCGTGTCAGGCGAAGAGGGCGCTGAGGCTGGCGAGCGAGACCCGCTGTCTCTCGTGTCGTCATAGGCGGTGGCTAGTACGGCGGCCCCATCCTTGGTTGGGGCCATGTCCCCTTATAGAAAAGAACCTGGACTTGGGAAGCGGTAGTGTGGTGCTGCTAGTGTGGTGTGTGGTGTACTCCGTAGTAGCTTTGACTCGTATTCCCTGCAGGTCGGTCAGGTAAATTGCTGATGTATGTGCATGTGTGTTGAATGAAGGTGGGAAGAGAGAAGACAGGAGAAAAGAAAGATCAGGGCTGTCCGCAGTATGTCAAGGTTCGTGTCTATGTATTGTGTGTGTGTGTGTGTGTGTGTGTGCGTGTGTCTTTCTTCTTCCTGCCGAAACGTGTGAGGCGTCCGGGGTAGGGAAGGGAGGGAGCGTGAATAAAAGAGAGTTTGCGCAGAGCAATCTCGATGGCTGTGGATGGCTGGCTGGCTGGCTGGCTGGCAGAGCAAAGTACTTGTATCATCAATCCACTCAGTCCTTTTCCTTTGTCTTGATAACCATGGTTCTTGGATAGAGACACCTTAGGTCCAGCCCAGGAGATGATCGCCTGCCGCGTTGCCGACTTATCCCCTCCCAGTCGCGGCTGTTGCTTGCTTTGCGCGTGCAGCTACTTGCACTTGTACGTGAGATGATCGATCGATGACAGGCTATGACAGGACCGACTGGGCAAGCTGCCGGCCCATCCAAGACCTTCACAAGGCCTCTTTCCCTTTTCATGCCCCCGAAACCTTGTTTGCGAAACCAGCCGGCTCGAATCCCAATCGCCCAAGGATGGGGCCGGACAGGGGCCACGCTGGCTGGGCTGGCCCACGGATTCCCGGGTTGGCTGACAAGTGTGGCACAACGGCCGTCCCGCCAGACAGGGGGTTCTGGAAATTGGACCAGGACTGGATGGTCAACCCTATCAGCAGAGTGGTTGCGTGTGTGAGAAAGACAGAAAGAAAGAAGCGATCGTGGCCGGTTGGTTGGTTGGTTTCACAAGGCAGTGTTTCCTCTCCCTTGATACCGCGACTTTCCCTTTCCACTCACCACTTTTTGATGGCAGTCCGTATTTCTAGGTAGTCCAGCTGTCTGTCTCATGATCGCCAGGGGGTGCTGGATAGCCACTTGTGCTCTGGGTTCGGCCTGTACCGCAAGCCATCAAAACTCTATCCCCGCCGTTCCTCTCACCCCAACCACACACACGTATGATCTACACCGATGTGCTTCATTCACCTGGCTCCGACAGGTCACCCTGCAGCCTCTGCAAGCACAGTCACAGCGAGTCCCGGCAGTCAACATCCAGGCTGCGACTCTTCACGCGACCATATGCGGTCACTATCTGTCTGACACGCAGCGTATGTCTGGCACTGCCACTACCTCGGTCAGAGCCACACGCGTCTCGGTCGCTTGGGGTGTGGCAGTTAATCTACTGCTCTTATCTCATCTCATCATGCTGAGCCAATCCGCGCTACCTCACCAGCTTGATAGGGTGTCCCATATCTCACCCTCCCGGAGCTGGCATTGGCTGGCCGAAATGAAGAGGATTGACCACGAAAATTCTCTCCGGCCCAAGGAGCATCCGCCGCTCGCGTGCCATAGACAGGCAGGACCGCCCTGTTCCTGGAGGACGATCCGTGACGCGCGATGCAGCTAAAACGCCCGCCAGAGAGACCCAAGACGAACGCACGGCAGAGCGGTAAGGCGGCACGGCAGAAGTCCGTCTTTTCCTTGTTCGTTAAAACGGACGAACCATAGCCTGGGCTAGGGGAACGGATGCCCCGTCAAGGAACGTGGGATAGAACAAATGTTTCTCCATAATCCTTTTTATCCTTCCTCCCAGCCGCCACAGAGCCACCCTTGCCGGGAAGAACTCTCCCAGGGCAGAGTTTAGGTTTACCGAACTCTCGCTGCACCGGGAACGATTATTATCGCGGGCTGGCGCTGGGCCCACCCGGATTTGGTCGTTTGAGCGCCTTTTGAGGGGAGACTGCGCAAGATTGCTGGCAATCACGCATACGACCCCGTCTCAAACAGGCCCGCCTATCTGTGCCTCTCACTTCAGCTATCATCAACGGGAAATGAGAAGAGATTGTGACCACTCGGCGCATGTGTTCTCGCCTTTGAGCAGCGAGCTTGCTCATCTCCCCATCGATAACCCCCCCGGTCCACCATGTCGCCATCTTCCTTGTCCCCGTTGCACTGAAACACCCGTCCATCCTACCTCGCATCGGCAAGCAGGGCAAGGTAGACGTCATCCCGCCTGGGCGACGCGCGCTTGCAGCTCAACAACTAGGGTTACAATCAGCCGTTTATCACGAGAGAGAGAGAGAGAGAGCGACAGAATCAGCGATCCTGATATCCGACGAAGCAAGAGCCTGGGCTGTGAGCGACCCGCTGTCAAAATTGTCCAAGGCACGGCGCGCACCCGATTAGCAATGACATCCACAGGCATGTAACCTGGATCCCGCCAACAGGTTCTCTTCAGGATGTAATTCCCTGTTTGCTCAATCCGTGTCCTTGGACAAACCGATCACTTTTACCCGGGCTCGGGATTGCTTTGCTTACCTGGGCTGTACCCAAGGGTCGGCCAGTTGGAGAGACCCTCGGCCAGATCGGCCTGCGCCGTGTAAGTTTGACTTGATTGTTTGATATTGGTCTCTGGGCGTCACGGCTCCCAGCCCGGAGAAGCTCACTCGAGAAAGATATTCCATTTTCCAAAGTACATACCTGGCTACCACGATGCTGTCAGCCATCGCCAAGCCGGTTGTGTACATTGCATAGCCCTCAAGCGCTTGACATGCCTCCTTAAGTGTTAGACGTGCCGCAGACGTGTGTATGGCAGGCAATTTATCCGTCAGGAACACCTCAATCTAAACCACGCGCAGGGCCACTGCAGCCGGGCGCGAACCGACAGCCTTGTGCTACGTGTGTAGCTTGAAATTCAGGGATTTCCAAAAAGGCCAAGCGGCCTCCCGTTGGCTCTGACCCTGCACGACGCCTGATAGCTCAACTGCCAGCCTCTCTGATCAACCTGGGAATTGTCATTGTGAGACGCTGGGTGTGACATGGCAACCTCGGCTGCTTCTGCTGTGACCGAGGCAGGGACCCTTTTCGTGTAACCAAACCTGTAGTACGTATTGTCTGACGATCACGACTTTCGGCAGTGACATGGCAGTTGCATCGTCGAAGCGCGCTGGCTCGATACGCTGTTCGGCATTTGCCTGACTGTGTTCACGGCTACGGAAGCTGACTAAGGTGAGCAGAAAGAGGTTGCAGGACGAGCGGGCAGTACGTAACTCCGTCCGTGAGCCTTTCGACCAATACCATCGCAGAGGAATGGTGATGACCGAGCTCGGACATTGCTCGTCTGAGCTCTTTCCTTTTTCTTCCCCATGGGAGGTGTGCTCAGGCTTGGGCGATCGGCGAGAGGCAGCTGGCAAATCAAGTTGCCAGTTTGGTACACACTCTCAACGAGCGAACTCATGCACCCCGGAAAGCATCCGAGCATTGAGAGCCAGCTAGCGTCACGACACTCTGCAGCAGAGGAGAGAAGAGCGCAGTCTTGGCTGCTTGATTGACCGCCTTTTGGGCGGACTCGGCCAAATGTCCGACCTTTCATCTTGATAGGTTCAGCTTTCGATTGCCCTGTCTCAAAACGTCCGTGTCATGCATGCGGGGGCCAAACATCACGAGCAGGTCAGAAGCTGTGGTGGCTTTTCGGTTGAGAAGGGGATACAGGACGACTCATTTGGCCCTTGACCAGACACGGACAAAATACTGAAAATACTCGAGGGGCTGAGAGGCACGTGGTTGCGACACCATCATAGCGGTGAGGCTCCTTCTGGCATCGTGAGCTGCTTCCCAACCTCCTGTTCCTCCACTCTGTCCTTCAACCAGATCCGGGCATCTTTACACGATGTCGGACGACGTTGTTTCAAGAAAATAACCAGACCTTTGCGGTGTAGTTTGACGGGAGGTGGAGTTCTGGCTAGAGAGCGGTAGGCGGTAAGCGGCCGAGCGCAGGACGCTACTCGCCGGCTCCTACATCCCGATCCCGGGCAAGCGTCTGGAGCGGGCACTTTGTGTCAAGAACTTCGAAATGCAGGCCATTCTTGCTCTTGGAAAGCCGTGGGCCTCGATTGCACTCCTGGACTAGCTATACCTCTTTCAACTACCGATCGGATAGCGCGTCCAAGTCGCAGAAGAGAACCCACGGTTTAGGGTAGCATTGGGAATGGGAAGCAGTGGGTTCTTGCGCTGTTCTCCGCCGCCTTGCTGCCGCGCTGGCGCGATGGGTCTCCGGCTTCCAAGGATTAGTTAGTTATCAGGGAAGTTGCAGCAACTAGCTTGGACACGTAAGAAATTGGTCTGGACCGCCTGGGCAGCAAAGGGCCCAAAGTCCCACTGCGTGGGAGTGCGAGAGAGACAGAGAGCGCAAACTAAACTCAAGATGTCAGGAGAGAGCTGTTACCCTGGGCAATTTGAGACATTCTTAATCGCTGTGAGTGAGGGGGGAAGAAGCAAAGTGACCCCCAAACCCCCAACCGTGCGTGATCCTTCTCCGTGGCGGTCAAGCCACTGCCGATGATCGGCACTGCCTGCACCTCTTTCCATCCTCGCCCCAGCGCTCCTTGGACTGGGGGGGCCAGGGCCATTCATCGTGAGAGACTTCAGCTTGCCAGATGTCTCCGTGGATACTTTTGGGCAATTTCTCCTAACTAGATTGCCTCTCTCTAGTCCAGGTCTCCTGTTCCCCTTTTTGCCTCGTGTCGACCACAACCTGACCTACAAGTTACGTGGCCCCTGTGTTTGGGCAGACAAAAGGGCCCAAACCATGGGTGATGGTGGCTGCTCAGCCCCCCCAAAGCGGGTGCTCCGGCGCTGTTTTGGGCCAGACTAACGAGCGCCGGACACCGGAAGGGGCTTCCAGGTGACGAGGAGCCCTCGTTCCGGCGGTACCTAGCTCAGTAGCTCAGGGCGTTGTAATTTTGGGTGTCCTCGTGTCCCAGTGTCCCAGCGTCTTGCGTACCTTACCTGGAATTCGGATCTGTGTCTCAACGGCGGCGACTTTTTCTTTCTCTTGACATTGGTCACACCCACGCCGGCACATCCACCGCCCGTTGGGCTCCTTGGAATGGCGGAAGTTGGGCTTCGGCGTTGCCAGAGATACCTTACTCACCTACTTTTGTGTTCAACAACGAGAAAACCACCGAGGGAATGCCCATCAGCTTGCATGGAAGCAACAGTTCTTGCAGGCATGTCATCCCAATGGCGCGAGATGAATGGAGTTATTCAGATCTAATGCACGTCGGTGCGCCAGAGCAGCAGTAGTGCTACTGTTGGACAAACAGGTAATACCTAGCGGAAGGCCACTGGCATGGGCGCTGGCGTTATCAGCCAAGTTCCTGCACCGCTAATGCTCAAGTGCTTGGTCTGCTGGTGGCGATGATGTCAGGGTCGGGGATCCAGAGAGGTACCAGTAATAGCATTAGCGATACGGGCTTGCCAGGGGGTCAGTGGGGTGGTAAAATGACAGCAAATCAGAGCTGATGTCCGTGGCACTGGCGGGTGGTGTCCCTGCAAGCAGCCTGCAACGAGGTACTCGAGGGATGAGACCAGACGATGTACCAAGTCCGTCTGCCTGATAGTCATCAACACTGTATTCCTACCTGTGACCTGCCCGGAGGCAGTTCGAGATGGGAGTGGACTCGCTTGACTCGTTGACTCGTCAGAAGAATGGGGGCAGTTGTTGCTGCTGAGTGAGGCTGAAGCAGAGCCACCCGCAGACTGTATATGCACTGTCCATGCCCCTTCGCTATACACCCATCCCACCTTCCCTACCCTGTCCTCCCATGTCCGGGCTGCAACTCTAGTGAATTGGGGTGGCATTTATCAACCCGCGTTCACCGTGACCTTGTGACCGCCCCCGATCCCTTGTCCATCCCCCGCCATAGCAACATCGTCCATTCTTTTCCTGTGCTTCCTTTGACTGAGCGACTGACACTTCGTTTCGTTTCTTTCTTCCCCCTTCCTTCTGTGTTTGTTGCCTTGTGGGGAGGACACCGGCTGGCAATTAGAATTGATCCTCAGGGTATTCCAATGCCTTGTCCATAATGCTGTGAAGCTAGGAAACTACACGCTCCAAACTTCACGAGTCAGAGCTGCCATACTCGGTCAAAAAGAGGAACCAGAACAAGAAGACACCCCCTCCGGCAAATTGCAGCCAGGCCTTTGTCTCAGCCTGTGCTTCTCTACAGCCAGACTCTTGACGCATCACAGACCACTTCACAACACACACCCTAATAATTCACCAAAGGAACCATCCATTTGTGTGAATTCAGCATGTCTGAATCCACACCGCCGAAAAGGCGGTTCGCGCCGATACCGATAGAAACAACATTTGAGCGATACAGGAAAGGCGGTCCTGCCGCAGAGCTGACCCCGGAGCCCTCACCCCGATCACCTTCACCACCCCCGAGATTCCTCGAGGAGCAGGAGCAGCCCAAGAAAGAGAAGCGCCGCTTTGCCCCTCAGCTCATCGAGTCGACTCGCCGATCCCGCCGCCTCGGTGACACCGGCCCGGCCACGAGACCAGTCGATAAGACCGACATCACCCCCTACACCAAGCACATCTACGCTCCTCGCTCTAAGAGGCGACACAGCAGAATACCCAGCAATGGAAGGCGGGAGTCGTGCGACGACGAGACGGCGGCCCAGCTCTTCGAGCAGCTCGCCCGGGACCGGGAGCGCCTGCTGCAGGAGCAGGCCCTGTCTGCGTTCCCCAACAGCCGCGCCAGAGCCGGCGGCGCCGAGCATTTCTTTGTCCGGGAGGGATCCGAGGATGAGAGCAGCACGGACTCGCGGGGTAGGACGCCGATGCGAGGCACCCGGGCCTCGAGGCACTCGAGACGGGACTCGTCGGAGGAGGACGTCGGCTGGGCCGTCAAGGAGATGCAGGAGCACCACGAACACCTGGAGCAGGCGAGGATGTCGACGCTGGAGCTGGACAGGATGAGCATAGATAGCCCGCCTGAGGAGCCGCTCTGGACGACGCACAGGAGGGCGTCGGGAGACGTCGTTCGCCCGATTGGCGAGTCGCTTATGCCGCTGATTCCCAAGGAGCCGCTGGAGACCATTGGCGAGGCCCCCTCGGCCCCATTCGACCCGTCCGAGGAGCCGCCCCCCGCCCGACCCATCGGCGAGAGCCTGATGCCCTACATCCCGTCGGCACCGGCGGGCCAGGCGGCCAGCATGCCCTACATCCCCGCGTCCAAGCTCCCGCCCGAGACGGGCTTCCGCAACCACCGCGCGCCATTCGGGGCGCCCCTGAGCGGCTTCCGCGGCGCGAACCGGGACCTCGTCGCCGACCGCGAGTACCACAAGCTGCGCACGCGGGCGTCGCCGCCGATGCTGGGCAAGGACCTCGTCTTCCGCCGGTGCCCATCGCCCAAGCAGACCAAGATGGAGCCGGACCACCCGTTCCCGGACGTGGCGGGCGAGGACACGCACCGCGACGTGACGGGCCAGAAGGGCCTGTGGCAGGGCTACTGCTACTCGCCCGAGAAGAAGGAGTGGCTCGCGCGCATCGAGCGGCCGGCCATGATCGCGACCCCCTTGCCGCAGGCCCACGGCGCGGGCGACCCCTTCGCCGCGGCGTTCGGCACGGCGCCCGTGGCGATGAGCGAGGAGCCCTCGCCCAAGGCCACGGGGTGCATGTCGGCCGGGCACAACCTCGGCAGCAGCAGCGCCAACCCGGAGCACCGGACGCGGCACGGCGAGGCCAAGGGCCTGCACATGCTCATGGGCCTCGACGAGCGGCTGCGCAAGGAGAAGGCGGCGGCGGACCTCGAGGAGAAGATCGCGGCCGAGTTCACCGACGCGTTCGTGACGCAGGTCTACAACTACCTGTCGCTCGGCTACCCGGCCATGGCGCGCTTCTACGACGACGAGCTGTCCAAGATTGCGCGCATGTCGGTCGACGACCTCGAGAGCAGCGACGAGAGCATCATGGACGGGATCGGCGGGCCCAAGGGCCACATCATGATGGTCGACGGCGACGATGACGACTCGGGCGGGGATAGCAGGGACGGCGCTAGTAGCACGTCCAGCGGGAGCGGCGGGAGCAGCGGCGACGAGAAGAAGTGCCCCCGGTGGAGGGCGCTCAAGGAGTACATCTTTGAGTGGGCGCGGCAGCACCCTGATCTGGACAGCATCAGCCCTCTGGCTTGGGGCGTCCGTGAGAGGCGAGGCAGTTGGGGGATCTGAGAGAGAGAGGGGGGAGTATTTCGTTTTATCGTTTGGGGGAGTTGTTTGCTATATACGTTTTTTTTTTCCCCTGGGGAGGGTTCCTCCCGCCCCTTTCTCGTCTTCCTCCTTTCACACTTGGGATCTCGTCTTCGGGAAAACACTTCAACGCAAACACGGTTGGCGTTTGGCATGGCCCCGTTTGGCTTTTTGGGCTCTTCTGGCTTTCTTCGTTCTCGAGGGAATGCATACGACCTTTTACGATTTCGAGCTTGGTTTGCTTGCATTAGCATTCGGCATTTGTTTTTTTTTTTCTTATTATTTTTGGTTTCTGAGCACTGGAGAACGGGGAAGACCAAAACAGACATCTTTATTTGCGAAAGACTAGAGGAGGACACAAGACAAGACGGGGTTTCATGCTTCAACAGAAGAGAGGAATGGGGGAAGAGAAAGAAGACGAGTCACCGAGACCAGACCAGACCAGACTGCATGACGTTGCGTGCCTGCATTTGCTTGCTTTGCATTTTGCATTGCATCACGAGATTGGGCGAGAAGAAGAAGGGCGCAGACTGCGATATATACACCTTTTATATCTTTATCTTTCAGTGCGTCCGTCAGACTAGCTGGTGGTGCTATGTATATTGAAAGAGTATCTTTTATTCATCTTTTGGAAATCTTGGTATCCTTGTGCACGTTCACTCTAGACTGGTAGCGAGGTTGAGTGCATGTGAGGGTCCCCTGCCGTTCCTGGCTAACAGTGAAAGGCAACCCGTGGTTCACAAGAGCCGTTTTGTTCCTAGCGGGCTGATCAGCGCTAGGCTGAACTGTTCCCGGCCGCTGTGGTCCCGCCCTCCCAGCCCTTGGAGCACCCTTGCAGCACACTTAGCGCGCAATGGATCCTGGAGGATTGGGTGCGATAAGCTCGTGCCAATCTAAATTTCCCCTACTCCAGCAGGGAGGGAGAGGGACACGCACACGTAAAGAGGCAGAGAGAGAGAGAGAGAGACTGGCGCGGCTTTGCTCATCGTGCTGTTTAAGTATATTGCGACACCACCACTTCCCGCCTCTTGTGTTCCCGGAAACCAGGGCTTTCTGTTCAAAGCGGCAATGGGGGGATGTGCGCTATAGGAACCACGAGGATATTCTTTACGAACGACTAGCTGCTGCTGCCAACCGATCGAGAGAGGCAGCCAGGCAGTCAAGCCCACAGATGGAGCAATCGCCGCTCACGCACCAGCCTCGGCCGGAGGTCTTCCAGCCCAAGGTCGTGCAGCTGTACGAGGAGCTGTTCAAGGTTTGTTTTGCTCTGTTCTTCTCTGCCCTGTTTCGTTCCTTCACAGACTGACAGCCCGTTCCTGCTCTCAGGTTTGACGTCCCCCCTTCCTTCCCGAACCATGGAACCCGGAGGAGCTCCTAAGCTGACTTTGCGGGTCGCCAAAATACAACAGCCCCCCGAAGACGACGAATATGGCGCCGACAAGCCCGAGGGCTTCTGGCTCGAGCTCTTCCTCCTGAGGCCGGAGAGGGCGAGCCTGCGCAGGCTGCTGGACGGGCTGTCGGCGGGCGAGCTGCTGCAGCTCGAGGAGCAGACGCGGCAGCTCTTTGCGCGGGCCGTGGGCGCGCTCAAGGGCACGACGGGCGGGGCGCAGCAGGAGGTCGCCGAGGGGCATGCTCTAGAGGTATGCTATGCACCGGGCCGGAACATGTTAAGACGCCGTTGGAGGGAGAGGGAGAGGAGACACTTGGGCTGACGAGAGATGGTGGCATTCTCTTGCCATAACAGACGCTCAGCACCTTCCTGGCGGCCGTGCTGGCGAAGCGGTACACGAACCCTAGCTCCGACATCATCGCCGTGCTGGCGGGGCTGGACCACGTCGACACGATCTTCTCGGAATTTGTGGGTTCTCTGGATGGGATAATACGGAATGGGAAGAGCTGTGAGTGCCTGCCTGCCTTGATGTGCAATGCAGAGAGGGAGAGGGGGTAAACGGAGCAAGGAGATCGTCGGGAGTGCTAATACTGTGTGCTTTTGTCCAAAAGTGGAACTACGGCAAAAGGCCGTCGAGACGGCCCTGGCGGTCACGTCTGGCGCGTACCAGACGAGTCTGTTGACGTACTTTATACAGAGGGATATGTTTCCCGCCATCATGAAGGTGAGAGGAGTCTTCAGGACATGGTGTGGCATGGAGGTCCAGATACTGACAAAGGATCTGCTCAGTTCATACAAGAAACGGATACGCCGATACGAGTATTCCAGCCGTTTACCCTGCTCGGCTTGTTAGCAAACTACAACAAGTTTGAGTTTCAGAACCCATATCAGCTACGGCTGAACGACTTTGTCAACGAGGCCACGATACAGACTGTCGTCCGCAGCGTCGGATACACGTGCCAGAGGTTACGGGCGCAGTATGTGGACATTCAAGAGGACTTGCCGGAAGGATGGACGCTAGCGAGCACACTCAACATGATAGGGTTGGGTGCCATCGCTCCAGGGCCTAGGCCGGAGAAGAAGGTGGTATACGATGCCGAGACGGCGAAGCAAATGTTCACCAAACTGTAAGTTGGGCATCCCTTGGGGGATACACTCCAGACCGCCGGGACTACGACTTACCCTGATGTCTTTTTGCAGCCCCGGGGAAGAAGCTGCTCTTTTACTAGCGACCTACGATTTCAGTCACGCAAACAAGCTCTTCTGCTTCAACCTCATGACCCTCAAGGCCGACAAGGGCGAGGAGCAGCCCTTCGCCAGCTACCTCTCCCTGACGTCGTACCTCCTCCAGCACGCGCACCTATCCCAGCGCGCCACCGTCTACTGCCACCTCAACCTCATGGTCTTCCGCCTCCTGATCGAGGACCCGGTGCTGTGCAAGCGCATGTGCAGCGACGAGGGCAAGGCGGCCGTGCGCCTCTGCCGCCAGCGCCAGCCGCACCTGCCGGCCGTGCGCACGGAGCGCGTGCTGGCGGCCAGCCTGCTCGACACCATGATCGACGGCATCAACCACAACCTGCGGCGGCGGCTCGACGTGGGCCTGTACGCGCTCTGCGTGGGCATCCTGCTGCGCGCCGTGTCGTACATGTCGCGGTCGCGCACGCGGCTGCAGTACCACTGGGCCGAGCTGTTCCGGTCGCTGCTCGGGCTCGTCCGGTTCCTGACGACGTACGCGGCCGACCTGCGGGACCTGCCGCACGTCGAGACGCTGCTGGACCACGTGGTCAACCTGCTGGCGCTGGGGCTCAGCGCCGGCGAGGCCTTCCTGCCGACGCCCGCGGCGTACGACGACCTGTTCTACAAGGTCGTCGAGGCCGGGGACGTGCTGGTCAAGTTCCGGGACACGTACGGCCTGGCGGACAGGCCGAGCAACAGCATACACACGCTCGTCAGCGTGAGCGCGCACTACAAGCAGATGCTGGCGGAGGGGACGGCGAAGGGCGGCAAGGGCGGGCGCGTGGTGGGCAAAGGGGGCACGCTGACGAGCCTGCAGGTGGCCGAGGTGATCAAGCAGGGGTACGAGACGCTGAGCATCCAGGCCAAGGAGGGGCTGGACAGCTGGGAGCGGTACCGGGAGGCGGACGAGAGGACGGTGCTGAAGAGGATGGCGCGGACGGCGGTGGGGGACGTCAAGGTGCTGATTGGGTGAAGCCGAGAGGGCTTCTGGGGTCGTACCTAGATGACCGTGGTTTATCGTACAGGTCTGGACTGGAAGTTTGCCTGCTGTACCACACGATGAGGCTGGTCGGTGGTCGTTGGTTCGTGGTTTGTGGTGCTGTTGATGTGTGTTGGTCACGAGGGAGGCTGGCGTATTTACGTAGATGCCTCGGAATACCGATTGTTTGAGAAATAGCTGGGGAAGAATTATGGAGATTCTGGGGCCGGGAAGCTGGAGGGCAATGCCGATTTCTTGGGCCTGCAGCGAGGGAGAGCCTCGATGGATCCTGGAAGTTTGTGAATATCAATATAGAGATCAACCGGACAGAAATTCTGAACATGTTCATTGGGATGCCATCAAGGTTTTGTTCTCTATGTCTCCGTCCCAGGTGTACCGACCAACTAACTATTGTACGAATTTAGGGCCAATTGACAGCTCTTGACAGGGGGCGACAGCGGTACAGCGGGTGTCGGGCCCGCTAAACCAAACGGCTTCCCGAGTGAACAGCAGTGCCATTTTGACCATTAGCGACGCACTGATTGGCCCGGCCAAAGCCGGAGTCAACCGAGCTCCCTCCAAATGGATGTTCAGTGCTGCTTCTTCTTTCGTAGGGTGGGGCAGCCGTTTTTGATCATGTCATCACACCCAGGAAATCGGCTAACTACTACTACCTCTTTGACCCGCGCAGCCTCTGTGGGAAAATCAACATCTCCATCCATCTCCGGGCCCTGATTTTCAATCAATCCCGCCCTCCCCTCATCTGCACCTCTCTTCCTCTCACTCGTGCACGACAACACGATAGACCTAGTCTGTTTCACTCTACGCGCATCTGTACATTTTACTTCTCCCCTCCTTTCCTCGTCCTGCCAAACCACCATGAGCGCCCCGGTGGCCGCCCTGCTGCCGCGGAGGTCGCTCTCCGTCTGCCTCGCCTGCAGGCGGAACCTGCTGCGGCAGTTCTCGACCACCCGCGCCCGCCCCGTCGCCTTCCAGAGCTACCCGCTCGTCCAGCCGGCGTCGCAGCCGCGCAACACGACCGTCCCCGACACCTCCATCAGCCAGCCCCTCGACGGCCAGTCCGCGCCCCTGCCCAGAGTGCACGAGACGAGACCGCCCGCCGAGGCAGGGAAGCAGGCCGCGGCCTCGTCGCCAAAGGTGTCGATCCCGGAGCAGGTCGCGCAGCAGTCCAAGGAGGAGTTCGTGCCCGCCGCCGAGAAGAGCGCCGCCGCCGCAACACAGTCTGCCGCAGGAGCAGCAGGAACGACAACGACAACGGCAGCAGCGAAGCCGCCGCAGCGCAAGTCCCGCCTGCGCACCCCGCGCAAGGCCGCCATGAAGCTCACCCCCGAGGCCGTCGAGCACCTGCGCGACCTGCTCGACCAGCCCGAGCCCAAGCTCATCCGCGTCGGCGTCAAGAACCGCGGCTGCAGCGGCCTGGCCTACCACCTCGAGTACGTCGACGAGCCGGGCAAGTTTGACGAGACGGTCGAGCAGGACGGCGTGCGCGTGCTCATCGACAGCAAGGCGCTGTTCAGCATCATCGGCAGCGAGATGGACTGGGTCGAGGACAAGCTGCAGCAGAAGTTTGTGTTTCGGAACCCGAATATCAGTGAGTGGCTACTTCTTATACGATTTCTGGGATCACGAGCTAACCACCATACTCTCTGACAGAGGAGGAGTGTGGCTGCGGCGAGTCCTTTATGGTATAACGAGATCAACGATGACATTTTTCTTGGCGCCGGACCACGGCATCGATACAATTTCGAGAACGCCAAGCCACACATGGCATTGGCAGGCTTTACATGGATCCCGTATCACTTGTAGATTACACTAGATTGAGCATCGGAAAGGCGTTTCTGACATGAATATACCACCACTGCGGATTTGATTCAAAGAATGCATCGATGTTCATTACTCGTCTGCTCAAACTGTCCCCTCTTCGTGCAGAGGCCTCATGCTCAACCACGACGGCGCCGTCTCGGCCATATGTCCCGTGTCGTCCTACGGCACCAGGCTCTCGACGGAACCCAATCTAGGGCGAACAAACTTGATTAGTCCATAGAGCTGAGGTATAGCATGTCACTTGTTTCCGTGCAAACGTGGTGTAAGATCCATGGTCTGGATATTGTGTCAAGGATGGATCTGTGTCACAGTACAGGCCACCGCTGTAGGTTCGTGTCCGTGGCTCGTTCACGCAGCCAGGTGTCGCCAAGCTGTCTGCATCACCGGACACGGTGTCACGGTGCAACAGCCGGCTGCCCATCGCTGCAAACGAATATAAGGCCGGTGATGTATGTGTTCGGCAGAGGACGCTGGCATGGCAAAAATTGCCAAATGCACTCCAAGCTGAGCGCAGACATCCCTCCTGGAGAGCACACACTCCCGCACACACGTCACAAATGAGTCTCCAACACACGGTATGGCCATCCCGCTTTCCAGACTGGTTCCCGTTTGAAGACCCTTTGTAGCATATGCAAGTTGACAATGCCATCAACAGCGCCTAGGAGTATCCCAGGCCATGGCCAGGCGGTGGGTGCCCGAGGACCTGACCAGGTGGCTCTCGCAAGACGAGCCCAGGGGCCGCACCCGGGCAGACCTAGAAGCGACTGCCGACCAGATGATCGAAGGCATCGAGGCGCTTCACGAGTGGAGAGAACAAGTCGTCGAGATGCACCTCGACGTCTGCGCCGACAGCCTTCTATACGCGATCCTAGACCAGTACGAGCTCATCCAGATCCGTAGCGACTGCTACAAACGCATCTTCAAGCGAGATTTCAGCACCCACCTGAGGCGGGACCAGCGAGTGTACAGATATTACCGCCTGGCGTACCGGAAGCTCAGCGAGGTGCTGCTCACGATCGCTCTCATGGGGCTCGGGGTCAGGTATTGGAGGGCCGGGGCTGGTTTCAACGATCGAGAGGAGGAGCTTTATGATTTCATACTGGACATCAGAGACAATCTTGATCTGTCGGAGGAATCACTTGCCTGTCTGGCGACGATCGTCTTGGAACCGCGCTACCCACCTAGCCGTATTTACGTGCCGCTCCGTTGAACTAGGGTCTCTATTAGCTCTCTTGGATGTACTTGGATCTGAGGCTCGCAACTGTGAGGTGGGCTCTGCTGAACCGCATCTGGTTCAATGTAGCTCGGACAGCCTTCGTCACGGGCAAGCAAATGGATTAATCAACTGCTAGGTGGCTGTCATACAGCAGAGAGGCTTCCAAAAAGAACTTTTTCAATTCTGGACAAATGCTTCGCCTAGATAGTGGCTGTGCCTTGCCAGTGAAAGGCCAGTATTAAGTTTGGCTAACAAGCCCTTTGTGAATCTCAATACAAAAGCCAAGTTATCAAAAATAAATGGCGTCCGGATCAAGCCAAGGCAACCGTGGCCTCGGAAAGAAAGCCCCCGTCTCTCATCGGACTGGTTTCGCATCCTCGGGAAACTCTGCGTTGTACATCTTCACCATCTCCGCGGCAGTCCACGACCTCCGAGGGATGAGGCCCATCGGCCGGTACGGAGCCGCCTTGATGTCTTCCAAGACGGCCGCCCACGCCGCGTCGACGAACACCTTGAGCTCCTGGCTCAGCTCCGCGTAGGCCACGCCGTACGCCGCCCTCCGGTCCTCTTGGTCGATGGCCATCTGCTTCGCGATGCCCCGGAGTGTCGCCCACTCCGAGTCCAGGGCATCCTTCATGAGCCGGACGCGCTCAAAGGCCTCGAGGTTCCTGCCGACGAAGTCGGCGGTGTGGAAGTCGGTGCTCCGGGCCCATGATGGCAACGCCGACTTCCACTTCCGGAGGACGACCAGGCCTTCGTGCATGCGCTCGACGACGTTGCGGGCTCCGATGACTGTGGGGAGGGCCGCGAAGTGCTGGACCTCGAGCATGATATTCTCGTCGTAGGTCTAGATTAGGGTTAGAATTCCCGTCAAGATGTTTACAGGTATAGGGTGGATTAGACTCACAGGGTATGCCATTGTCAAGTTTCTGAAGAGCGACCGATAAATGCCGAAGAACGCTGCGACTGTGGTTTGTGACTGCATCAGCTGCCAGTACTCTCTTTTATACCCGAAATGCCCTTGACATCAGCGAAGCTTCATTATGTGTGATTATGACCAGACCTGTGAATTGCTTGTACGTGAAGTATGAGTAGCCAGGCCAGGAACGGTTGTCACTTAGTAATGCGATCCCTGGACTACTACTACGGACTCTTGAGTTTCACTGATAGTTTCTTGCGATTATGATACGGTTCCGGATTTTTATCCGCCTGTCTATCAAATTACAGAAGTCTGTCTCTGCATAGCATCAACAAAGAGGCAAAAGGCCCAAACGCCTCGCAGTATCATAGTTGAGTTACGAGTCCCAGTAAGAGCCTTCCAAGAGTTCCGAGAAAAAGAGAAAGAAAGCGAATACAAAGATAGCACGCTGGCTCCCTTCAATGAAAGCGCTCATTCGCCTGCCAAACTCAGGCGAACGTACGCACAAACACCTCCAGCAACTCGTCGATGCGAGGGTCATCCTGGTTCAGCCGTCCCAGAGTCTCCGGCAAGACCTTCTCCAACCACGCCTTGAGGACAAGAGCCAGGTCGTCCACGCTGGCCTGGAACTTGGCGAGATACTCCTGCTGCTTTGGCGTGACGTCCTCCTGCTGGCTCCACTCCTGCTCGATGGACTCTTTCTGGTCGCGCAGTCGAATGAAGCTTGCAATGTTCTGCTGGACGAACGAGACGCCGCAAGGCTCTCCGTTCTGGTCCCAGGCAGTGACCACGTCCTTCCAAGCGTACGCGAGGCTTGTGCCGATGTACACATCGTCGAGCAGATTGTGGAGATTCCTTGATGTCGGCATGGTGCTGAAACCGAGGATGTAATCGGCGAGCTCCTGCTCAAAATCGGCCGGGAAAGCCTGAGGACGGTTAGCCATGTGTTGGCCCTGGGAATGGGGTTGGTGTATGACTTACTGGAACCATTGCGATAGGATGGAGTTGGTTGTTGAACGAGCTTAGATATGATGGAGTAGACTCTAGTCGTCCTTGGTGTTCCCTGGTGTTCCCTGGTATTGCTTCGTTGGTCTGGAGAGAGTTCGAGAATGGGATTCTGGAGAAGGGGTTTTATATGTGTGACAAATGGACAAGCTGTGATGCGAGCTCACATGCGTGAATCGCGACCAGACTAGTTGGAGTTGACATCCTTCACTTTCTCTTCCTGCGTGAAAAGTCAGCTCTTCTCTCTATCTTCAACATTACTGGATCTGGGCAAGGTTATCAGTCAAAGGTTCTTGCGTAGCTAGTCACCAAGTCACCACGTAAGCACTGCTCAGTATCCCATCGATAATCCGCATGGTGGCTGCGGTGACTGTGAAACCTACCAACGGAAAGATTTTCATATCGTGACAGGTAGGGCAGGCCTAAGCCCCCTGACACGGTGACCTCTGTGACACTCCTCTGGAGCAATTCTCTTCACGTGCCCAAGATTTGTGTGTTGCGAAGGTGAAGGTTAGATTTTGTAGCAATGGAACGAAGTAGTAGTGCACCTCCTTTTCTTTTACTTGACCAAAAAAGTAAAGTTCTTCTTCCCTTTTGCTTCTAGCAGATCTCTGGTGAAGATCAAACCTTCCAAAAAAAACAAAGAAAAAGAAAACTGCAATTGCCGCACGCTGCTTCACCGCATTCACTCGGAAGCCTCGTCCCCAAGTGGACACCCACCTCAGGCCGAGACATTAAGAATGTCTAGAAGGTCCACCAAGGACTTCAGCCTATCAAGCAACCGCCTCTTCGCGTCACGGAATTCTGACAGTGCCGCGGCGTCAACATCGCCCTTCTCCTCGAGGGCCGACAGGCTGTTCAACATCGAAAGTGACAAGACTACTCTGAAAGAATCAAGGTCCCTGGCAACCTGGACAGCCTTCTGGCCTATCCTGCCCTTCTCTGCTGGCGACATGGATTGAATGTCTTTCGCAATATCAATAAAATGTCCATGTACTCTGTGGAACAATCCGAGGTTCATATCCAGGAACCCGATGCTGCATGTCCTCTCTGGGCTGGGGCTCCAATCGTCTAGGAGCTGTCTCCACCCGGGCAAAAGAAGATTGAGATCGTCGAGCTTTTGGAGGAGGCCTTCGATACCAGGCCCCCGAACGGTGATAGAGAGTTCGAGGTTATGAATAAACTCGTGATATGCGGTCTCGTCCTCGGTCTACACGAACTTGAGTTAGGTACTACTGCTTGGTCAAATGGCCATGAGAGAGTTACGTACCATCGCCATGTTTGAAATGTGAAATAAGTGAGTAAATTTGTAATCTTGGGCTCTGTAAGCGTGCTGGTGCGGAACATACTGAGAGTAACAGATAATTTTGAACAAGAGCCGCGGTATTTATGCACCAGAACCCAGCGAGCAATGGAGAAACAATGATGCACTCAGATGGGTGTAACATCTTGGTCTCTCTCGCTTTGTTGCACACGACTTGGTCAGTCAATCACCAGACCCTGTGAAGATTAATGATTAGCGTAACAAAGCCTGTACATCTAATCCTTCAGACGGAATTGCTTAAGATAGCAACTGTCATCCCATATATCCCACAAAGATGCTTCAACAAAGATGCTTCTCACTTCACCCATTCACTTACCTTTTGGAATCCGTGACGCACGCGCCTCTTCAACCTCCGCTTCAGGTCCAAATAAAGTGAGCGTCTGTCCTGGCAAGCAGATCCAATCACAGAGCGGCCACTGCCAATGGGATCAGTGATACTTTTAATTATTACACTATCGATATTCTCGCTTGATAACTATTGAAAGAAGAGTTCCTCTGTTTCAACGTCGCTACAGTATTTTTGAAAACGTGACGACGGTGGCTGATAACGCTCCAGTGGTACGAAATTGAAAGTGCAACGATTGCGGCTGTTTGCCAGGAACCCTCAGTTGGTGGCGCTTAGATCTGGCCCCGGGAGAACCATTCCATCTGGTCCCTGGAGAACCATTCCACCAACATCGGTGGTCAGCTCATCCATAACAAATACGTCATTCTCCAGATACTGTAAGAGACCCTTTGACGCCTTTTGAATGGTCGCCTTCAGCGCTTGCAGCTTCTCGATAGACTCTGTAAGGGCAACCTCGGCCGGCTGGAGTAGCTAGCTCCTCGCCTCCGCCCTCTCGACATCTACCTTCAGCTCTTGCAGGCCTATCTCAAGGGCGGTCTCCATCTCCATGTCGAACTGCTGCCACGTCTCATCGAAGTGATTGAGCAGCATAATGTGCTCCGCCGAGCCGAAGAGCCAGATATAGGGTCGCGCCTGCACCTCCCAGCGGTGAAACTGGCGGCAATCGTCGATCCACTTCAAGGCGTGTCCCAGCTTCTCGATCTCCGACTTGGACGCCTGTCTGGCGTTCCAGACCTCGAGCAGGGCAGTGCCCATGGTCATGTATCGTACAAACCTGTCGAAGTTCCTTGTGTCGCTTGCCATGGGCGTGGGCAGACGCATGTCCAGCCACATCCCCAGAGTATCGCCATAGACTTGCGCGCGTTGCGACCAGCGCGTTCTTCCTCGTGGCCGTGGCCCTTCAGACTCTGCCCTTCGTCCTAGCTGGGGTATGATTGACATTGGATGCGACTCTTGGAGTCGGCCTCGTGGGCGCCGCTCCTCTGACCGAGTTCGTATCAAGATTGGTGATTCAGGCTGGGTCGAAGTTAGTAGCTGCCAGCGTTGATGATTGGGCTGGCGGACCACGTGTAGACTTACGATGAACATCATGAAAGCTCCCAAGATGTGACAAGGAGGGTCTTGTGTGATGGGGGCAAGCAACGTGTGTAGGCCTCTCAATAGAGTACGATGCAACAATGCGATACTTGCAATACAGTTGATAGCCAAGCTGGATGGAGTGAATGAATTGTTGGAGAGTGGTTGATGCTGTTCAGATATGGACCAAGGCAAGAGCAAGAAACCTGAGACTAGGACCATGGAGTGAATATCTCTTCCAAGATTAGGTACCTACCTATTTGTAGGCAGCTCTTGCTCTAGATCCAAGATCAAGGCCTCCAACGCGAGATGTAAGCAGGGATGGCAGGAGGTATGGCGAGCACATTCGCAAGACTACCTTACGCTACTGACTAAAAAGAAATAATTTGAGCATGGGTCTCCAGGCCCGAGAGGAATGTATTCATACCGTCACTACCTATGTAGAAGACGCAGTGCTGCTGGACCTACTGGGAGATGTCTGTGCCAGCTTCTGCAATATCGGCAGTCACAACTCTTGTCTGATCTGGAGACTCGTGGCTCTCGGCAAGGTCACCGTCGTGGCTGCCCTACTGTTGGAGTATACCTTGCCGTTTTTCATTTCCTGCTAGCCCTGCTATCCTCCAGTATTCAAGAGCTACCGATACTAACTCGGTTCTCGCTGTGAAGCAATGTTTTAGAGACCGAGTCAGCAGCGATCCTCCTGACTACATGTTCCATACGTGCCGGACCACGAAAGTGTGCGAATACAAGGGTGGACGCAAGTCCATGTGCATTAGCCTGCATGCCTACAGACACCTTCCAGTGACTCATATACGCTCATTCAAAAGGCTACAAATTGCCACTTGGAGTACGTATAAAGAGATGCTCAGTCCAGCACCAAAGATTGAGATACCAGTCAAAGGGTATTCATACTTCCAAGTGTCGCTTTCTCCAAGCACAGGACAACTGACGCGGATATGAGAAATGGCTTATGTAGGCTCAGTCACTTGATCATGTCTGCGGTGCCCAGGGACAACATACTGATTGACCGTCGAGCAGCTGAACAATTCCAACGGTCGACCTTGCGACTTCCACGAGGAGGTGAATCGGTGGCTGTGCTTCACCATACCTGATCAGATAGAGGTGGCGAACGCCGTTGACGTCAGCGAACATATTGCGTCAGGCTTCGAAGTGCTCGAAGAATGGGAGATGGCGATCTTCAACTGGGATGCCAGCGAGGCTCCCCAAGATGACCTAGCCCAAGTCCGGAACACCATGAGGGAGCTCACCACTCGGACGGGACAATACGAGTCATATTTCACGGAGCTCGATGAAGAGGTGATTGAGCACGAGTGGCGATACCTGACCGTTGTGGTGAGGGAGATGCAAAGGAAGCTCTTGAGGGTCTCAAGGCGGGCCGAGCGGAAGATTCGAGGCATGTTGGCAGACCAGCAAGGCCAGGAGGACCAGGACACTGCGGGGGGAGAAGGGAAGGCAGCGTTGGAAGATCTTGAGATCCGGCTGGAGGTCTTGGAGGAGATCATCGAAGACATGCGGGCAGCACTGGGATCTGAGCACTGCACTATTGAGTGATTAGCGAAGAGATGCTCAAGGGGCTCGCGAGCTGGTTGAGCCTCGGAAGACTATTGGAGATATTTTGGAGAATAGACTTTTAATTCAAGTCCACAACTTGCATACGTATCAAAGAAAGCTGAGGCCGGAAGACAAGGTGTTTTCCCTCACATTACCCTTTAGCTGAGTATGGATCAAAGCCCGTGAGAGCATCTATTACAGTGTCTTTCGTTTCGCCCGGGCAGCAGCACTTGCATACCATGGGCTGTGAACATGGGTAAGACACTAGGCGGAGGCTGCTTGAGCCAGCCCAGAGCTGTCGTCCATTTTCTGCCAGGCTAGTGTGCCAGTGATTGATTGACTGCGGTGACACTGACTAAAGCCGACATATGATCATGGAGGTGTTCACAAGATCTGACTCCATGGATCTCCTACCCTCGTCACGAGCGAATCTCGCACTGAGGCCGGGGTATATAAGGCCGCGTCCCGGCATTGTTGTGTCCACACTTGACCAATTCTCGGCATATCATGCAACCTGACAATCTCCGAGATAGACATCGATCAACATGAGTTTTGTAAGTCAGCTAAGCCTGGAATTTTGGTACCATGACGTTCAGAAATTGGCTAACCGGGTGTGCGATCGCAAGGAACTCGAGGAGTCGTTTATTTTCCACGAGGGGCTGTGGGCGTGGCTTACCACCGCCATGCCGGCTCGGGGCGACGCAAGTGGTGTAGCAGAAGCCGTTAGCAATCTACAAGACGGAGCGGACACAATAGATGCCTGGATGACGCAGATAGACGATTGGAACGCCGGACTCGCCTCGCGGGAGACCATCGACGCAGTCCGCCTAACCGCGCGGAGAATTCTCTCGCGGAAGAACCAATACCAGGAGTACTTTAGGCAACATCGGAGCAACACGCGTCAGCAAGACAGACGAGTGCGAGACGTATTCCAGTTCGTCTGCAGCCAGCTGTGCGAGGCGCTGAAGGAGGTCTGCGAAGCGGGCACGCAGCAGATTCAGGGATACGTGGCTGACCTCGAGGCTGGAAGCGAGGCGCAGGATGATGCAAGAGCCAGGTTGGCTGCTCTTGCAGGGATTGTCGAGGACGTAGGAGAAGAAGTCTCGCCAGACTCGTCAGATTCGCCTTGAGCCGCTTTCGAATCGCTTCATAGCTGGCATTCCTTGCTAGAGTCGTTGAAGAGGCTTGGATTTTCTTGGGTCAATGAAGTGAGGACAAGGACAGCGTTTGGAAGCTTTTTTTGGTACAAGTATTCTTAGTTCAAGGTAGAGCATACGGAACAATCCAAATGCTTGCTCTCCAAAGCTTCTCCTGTTCTTCGCTACCTAACAAAGAAAACAGGCTTTCGATACCTCGTGAAAGGATGCGATGTCGTTGATGAGGCTGAAGCTTGGTGGCCCCACCAGCTCCACTTGACACCCTCAGTGGTTCGTTCCAGTGGTTCCAGTGGTTCCAGGCCAACCGTCGCGTCATCGGTGCCAGCATTTCGCATTTCCTGCTGAAAACGCGTCCCCCAAATAAATCCAATTAAATTGGCCGTCACCTCTCTCCGCAATCACATCGCATCGCATCGCATCTCACGAACACCCATCACTGGCCAACCAAACCTCGCTATCGAGCCCTCTCACCAGCTACCGAGTTGCCGCATGACACAACGCGCGCCAGATCTTTCCCATAGCTTCCGCTCTCTCGACATCTCGGCGACCATGGTCGTGTGCCCCATCTGCAACAAGCAGGTCAAGTCGTCCGACATCAACCCGCACATCGACTCCGGCTGCGCGTCACTCGTCCTCGACGATGCCGCCGCTCCTTCAGCCAGCGGCCCCGCCAACGGCGACGGGACATCAAACGGTCGAACCTCCTCTCCCCCCTCCAGCAGCGCCCAGAACGCCCCGCCCGCGACGCAGAAGCGATCTGCTGCAGCCTCCTTCTTCCAGACGCCCGCCGCAAAGCGACAGGCAAATGCCAGCACCAAGCCTGTCGCCAATGGCACGACGCCCAAGCCTAACGGGCTGAAGAGGAGTTTTGAGGATGGACCTGGTCGGATATCGCCTTCACAACCCCCTGAGCAGCAGCACAGCAATGAGGCACACCCGCAAGAACCACCACAGACACCAGCTCCCGGCCCTTTGGTAAAGAGGAGCAAGACGCACAAGTCGGCACCACTCGCTGAGCGCATGCGCCCACAGACCTTGGACGAAGTGTTTGGACAGGATCTCGTCGGGCCGCACGGCGTGCTGAGGTCGTTGATTGAGTCGGATCGGGTGCCCTCGATGATACTGTGGGGAGGGTCGGGGACAGGAAAGACGACGATCGCTCGGTGCATCGCCCGCCGCGCAGGCAGCCGTTTTATCGAGATGAACGCGACGAGCACAGGCGTTGCCGAGTGCAAGAAGCTGTTTCAAGAGGCGGCCAACGAACTGTCGCTGACGGGGCGCAAGACGATCATTTTCTGCGACGAGATACACAGGTTCAACAAGTCACAGCAAGACGTCTTCCTGGGGCCTGTCGAGTCTGGCACCATAACGCTCATCGGCGCGACGACAGAGAACCCCTCGTTCAAAGTGCAAGCAGCGCTGCTCTCGCGGTGTCGGACATTTACACTGGCTAAGCTCACGACCGAGGACGTCAGGGGCATATTACACCGCGCCCTGGAAGCCGAGCACAGCCACCCAGACTCGCCCGAGCTATCACCGCTCATCGACGACGAACTCCTGAAATACCTCTCCGCCTTTGCCGACGGCGACGCCCGCACGGCCCTCAACCTCCTCGAGCTCGCCCTCAGCATATCCCACAAGCCGCGCGAGGACGGCAGCGCCCTGACGAAAGAAGACATCAAGGCCGCACTGACCAAGACGCTCGTCTACGACCGCGCCGGCGACCAGCACTACGACACCATCTCGGCCTTCCACAAGTCGGTCCGCGGCTCGGACGCGGACGCCGCGCTCTACTACCTGGCGCGCATGCTGCAGAGCGGCGAGGACCCGCTCTTCGTCGCGCGGCGCATGGTCGTCATCGCGTCCGAGGACGTGGGCCTGGCCGACAACACGCTGCTGCCGCTGGCGACGGCGACGTACACGGCCGCGGCGCAGATCGGCATGCCCGAGGCGCGCATCCCGCTCGCGCACTGCGCCGTCGCGCTGGCCTTGGCGCCCAAGAGCACGCGGGCGTACCGGGGCCTGAACAACGCCATCGCGGCGCTGAGGGAGCCCGGCGTCGCGGGCCTGCCCGTGCCGATCCACCTCCGGAACGCGCCGACGCGGCTCATGAAGGAGATGGGGTACGGCAAGGAGTACAAGTACAACCCCAACTACAGGGACGGCAAGGTCCGGCAGGATTACCTCCCGGACGAGCTCTTGGGCAGGCGGTTCCTCGAGGATAGGGACCTGGGGACCGAGGTCGATCCGGACTTGTTGGCGGACGGCGAGGCGTGAGGTGCGGCCGCCGCTGGGGTTGGAATATCGGCCTGGCCTGGCATGGATGGCACTTGGATGCCGTTCGTCATGATTGTCTTCGTGTGTAAAATATGCCCCCCCTGGCCTGTCAGGATATACCCATGTCATTTGTGTCAATACCTACATGTAATGGGTCAAACAGGCCCTTTCGATCCTTCTCTTCTGAGGCTCGTCGTAGTATTCCGTCACTGCCTGCCATTTCTGAAACGATGATCTTTCTGCTGGGGCTCAGTCGCTGGAAGGGAAGGTCCGCCCTGCTCAATTGATAAACAACCACTCTCCCGTTCCTGCTTGTTTGGGAAGTTGGTCCTCAGGCAGGCAAGTCCTAGGTGCTTTTTGCTTGCCCATCTCAACTGAGGTCGTCTGTGGTCAAAGATTCCATTAGGTACCTAACATAGACTACGTTACCTCTAAATGTTCAGGCAGCTCCATCAGCACCAGCCCCCTCCATCGACACGTCTACAGCCACCGTCATCAGCATCTTCTTCATCATCGTTCCCTACTGCAAACCCCTCCACCACCTTTATCCTTCTTATCGATACTTCTTATAGCTCTTACAGACATGGGTGCTTCGGACAACCTCGACACAGTCTTCTCCGCATTCGACATAGCCTCTAAGCCTGAACCCAAGCCCGAATCCAAGCCTGAGCCTGAGCCAGAGCCTGAACCCAAACCAAATCCACTCCGCTCCTGCGAGGTTGGTTACTTCGAAGGTGACCAGATCGCCACGATATGGGAGGAACGCCTTCCTGAGGGCGACTAGGCCAATCCCTCGGGCGAGCGACCAGCCCTTTTCGAGGATGGCGATCTGGAGGAGTGCCTGAATTGCGGCAAGCCATGCGACCCCGAGAAAACACCGGTGACATGCAGCTTCTGTAGCGTCGGGCCATTCTGCAACGCCGAGTGCAAAGAGGAGAATGAAGCAAGCCACCACCTCGTGTGCAGCGAAGGTTCCATCTTGCGCCAGCCGGGTCTCGGCCAAATCTCGAAATTCTCCTCCCCCAGGATTCGTTTGTGTTTCTTTTTCTCGGATCGAAACGAACAACTTGCTGCCGGGTCCACGTTGCCAGTCTTTGATCCAAGGTGCCTCCCAGAGGAGGCTGCGCCCGACCTCAACGTCTTGAGCCTAGTAAAATTAGACAAGGACGGCATTCTCAAGTTGCCCATAGACTTTCCCAAGACCGCCGGCCTGCGCTTTACCGAGATCAACACGGCCAAGACGGCAAAGTCGCGTCACTACCTCCGCATCTTGCACTACGGCTGGCTCCGCAACCGCTCCACCACGTACTGTCTCTATCTCAACCGCGAGCTCATGAGACTCTGGCTGCCCGCGTACCCCTGGCCGTAGTACGGGCCAGTCCTCGTCTATGCGTACAGAATCAGCCCAAGTGGCATAGAGCACATAGACAACGTCGATGCCCGCGACTTTCGCATCGTGCACGACTTCTTTGCCGGGTTTCCCCATCTGCTCACGGCGACTCCCAACATTCTCTCGCCAGTCAAACACAAGAGGGCAGTCCTGATAAAGTCGTTTCGGGAGATGAGGAGAGTGGAAGCCGGCCGGTTCGACTACTGGTGTCTTTGCCTCCTCCTGGCTTCCCGGTTCCTGCAAGATATCAACGGGTAGAGACTGTTGAACACCTTTGCCCTATATTATCCGTATGTGTTCATACACGGGAGCGCCATCTCAAGGACCTTGGTAGAGCTGGGCCCATTCGGCAGAGATGTTGCTACCGTCCTAGTGGACAACATGATTCAACAGATGTCCCTCAATTCCATCCAGCGCGTCAAGTGCCTCTTTGAACCCGTGGACGTCTTGGCCACACCATCGTGCCTCCAGAAAGAATGGCCCTGTGTCTTCCCGGGGTACCTCGGCCTGGCGCTGACGGCCCGGCCGGACCCGGCAACCGTGAACCACATCTGCTGGGGGCCCATGGACTTGGAGAACCAGCACGCGAAGTGGATCGTGGCGCGGTGGCGCGACAACGCAGAGCAGCCGGGGGGCAGAGTCCTCGACGTGGACGAGTACGGAAACCAACACCTGGGCCACTGCGCCGTGGTCTTCGACTGCGGCTTCCATCTCCACCCGATCTGGATCTTCTTGATGCGCGTATTCTTCGAAGAGGTCCTCATGGGCATGGCCGCGGACGGCAAGCCCCACCGCAACCTGGTCGAGCGGCACCTGCCCGAGGGCTGTCTCCAAGGAGGCTGCCACGAGTGCAGGCGCGACGGGACGAGGGTGAAGCCGGTCCAACCCCCCAGGGACCGGGAGCTGCGCGAGTTCAGACCGCGCGACAGGCTACCTCGCGTGCGGTCCTTTGTGATCAACGCCGAGGACCTGAAGAGGGAGCTGACGATGGGCAATTTCCTGCGCCAGTGCAGCGAGGTCTACTTTCCGCGGTTCAGCCAGAGCTGGGTGTGGCCCGACTGGGAGCAGGCGCACCTCGACAAGACGGTGAGGCTGCTCAGCACGTACTCTTCGTCGCCGCAGGCGGCGGAGATGAGGAAGGCCGCGCTGGCGCCCGAGGGGTGGTGTCAGAGGTTTGATTGGCGGCCGCTGGAGAAGGAGGCAGTGGACTTTTTGGACTGCTGAGTGTCTGTTGTCGTGTGTTTGTGTGGTGTGTATCAAGCGTGCTTTGGCCGCATAAGCGGTGTGCTGATCAGCAGCGTGAAGGAATGATCAGGGCCGTGTTATCAGAAGCGTGTTGGGGGTCTGATCGGTCTCAATATATTTGATTTTTCCACACCGACCTGCCTGACTTGGGAGCCTTGCGTGAGTTGACGCCGGGTCTCTGATTTATTCGCCCTGCAGCAGTTCACGTGAGACGTGTCGAGCTGAAGGTTCTCTGGCGGAACGAGCTTTTGAGTTTGAAACTTCTTTTCAACCGGCAGCGCGTGTGCAAGTCGCAGATATCTTCTGTGCTTCTTGCGCCGTGGTAAGGGGGGCTCAACGAATTATCCAGGTCCAACAGACGCTTACAATGACTATTTAGTTAACCTGACGTCAACTACCTACATGCTACGCTCCCACGTGCAATATGCGTGAACATGGATCTACAAGAAAGGCCTAGCTACTCTACACGGAATGTCTGTTGGCGAAGTGGTGGTAGACTGGGCTGCTGTCCAGCTCATGTTGCAATCAGATGTGCTCTTGGAGTAAGCTGGGATCAGGGGCAATCGGTCATTTCCTTCAGACAAGGAGAACGGTGAGTGAGCGTTCCATCATCATGTTTTCATTACACTCGACTAGCAAGGCTCCAAGGTCTCTAACGTCGTCAAGACCTGGCAACTTCAATCAATGACTGTTTGTTCAGTGATGTATGTAGGATCTGTTTAATTCAGCCCTTGCGATATAAGCTTCAAAGTATTTGACATTGTTATCAGCTTCCTCAGGGGTAACGCTTTTGAGTGGTAATGTGTGTTTGAGACACTGCTGCCGTGGATTGATTGCCTATCAGCCTGGCTTCGAACTCTTCGGTTGCATACCATGTTTAGATACCAAATGGCAACAAGGGACAAGGCCGGTATGACTGTATACTGTGACATATAATGACCATAGTGGGTGTGGCTGGATGAAGTATCGGGCGAGTCCCTCTCCCGTTAAGTACCCCTCAATGCACACATTACTCCGGGAACTAAAAGCTCTGCATCGCTCCAAAACAAGTGCCGAATTGAAAGTCGATCATTAACACCGAGTCTACCATGCCGCCCGCCAGTGGGTCCACGGAGCACCGTGGATGTGCGATGCTTTGTCAGAACACAAGCCCACAGACGGTCTCAAGGGGCACCTCGGCGAAGAGTGGATCACCACGCCGCGTGTCGGCGGCGCCGAGGTACATGACTGAGAAGCAGCACCCCCCGCTTACCCAGCGAAAGATGATCACTGACTCGATTGAATGGTATAAAGGGCGGAGCCATCAGGTCTGTTGATTGAAATCAGGTCGAGTTGTAGATAAGTGTCAAAATAGCAGCAAATCTTACGACAAAGGCCAGCAGACCAGCTCACGAACATCAACCTTCTCGGCACTCACGTACATCACATCCACGAAGGAAGATCTATATTCACCCACCATGTCCGCCCCCGTCATGGTAACCGTCCTCTACCCTGCGTCGCAAGACCTCACCTTTGACATGGATTACTATCTCGAAACGCACATGCCCTTTGTCGAGGGCCTCCTGAAGCCCTTCGGCTTGCAGCAGGCCTTCGCCGTTGACCTCCGGGGCACAGACTCGCCCTACGCTGTGCAAGCCATCATGGTGTTTGAGACAGGCGTCGAGGGCCTCCAGAAGGGAATGCAGGCGCACGGAGAGGAGATCACGGCCGACGTCGCCAAATTCACCAATGCGAAAGCGACCCGCTTGATCGGCGGGGTGAAATATCCGGGGTCGGCGTCATGAATGTCGGCTGGAGAAAGGCGTGGAAAACAATCGCTTCTTAGGCACGATCGACAGTCGAGATAGCGGATGCCTGATCCACACCAAGAACGCGGACTAGGGACTTGTCTCGGCAAGGATTGACTGATAGTTGGACTAGTATACAAGTGAAGATATCGAACACAGACGGTCATTGGCTGAATAAATGATGATGTGCTTGCGCAGTGCTGTATGTGGCTTGCGAAGGCTGGCAAAGAGGCACGCACGGGGCTCGTTAGAAGCCCTTCTTCCAAGTCTCGGGCCCGTCGTGGTCGTGCGCCGCTCCGTAAGACACGCTCACCACATCCGTTCGCACGATCCCCTCATGCGGACCGACCCGCGGGGCACCCCGCGACTCGGCGCTGTGCAGGGACGTACCGTTGCCGCCGTTCTTGGCCGTCTGCTCCTGGCGCAGGATGCTCTCCTCGCTGCCGGCCTTGGTCTCGTCGAGGAAGGTCAGGCCGTTGGGGTCGCGGGGTGGCCTGCGCTTGGCGCTGCGGCTGTTGGACATCTCCATGTCCGACGGGTACATGCCGCCGCCGCCGTCGCTGCGGCCGGTGCCGTACTTCTTGTAGGAGCGGGGGCCCAGGGAGCTGCCGAAGAAGCGGCGGCCGAGGACGCGGTCGACCAGGGGCTGCAGGACGGGGATGCAGGAGGCGATGATGATGGTGCTCCCTTCGATGCTGCGGTTGTGAGGAGATGCTTTATGAGCCAGTGCGCGAGAGCGGGGGCTTGGGAGCTGGGAGGGAAGACTTACCAAGTCCACATTACGAGGTCCGAGGTGTCGTAGGAGAAGTCGTCGCTGGCGAGGTTGGGAAGGCGGGTTGTCTTGTAGATGGCAATGACCGTGGCACTGGTTGGATGTTAGCGACATCATCGTCTCCAATCAAGTCGGGCATTAAGGCACACTAACATCGAACCGATTCCCAGAGCGGCCGAAAGGGCGAGCTTCTTCCGCAACGGCAATTGCAAGTTGAAGAGGACAAAGGCTGGGTACACAGCCAGATAGAGATCAGTGCACGCCGAGGCGACTGTTGCAAAGTCAAGTTAGCGGACCATTGAATCCCTCCTCGAGGTCCGGGCTGCTTACCGCCAGCGTATATAGCGTAGTTGACTAGAATCCACTTGTCGAAGCACTTCTTGTCCGTGATCGAAAAGTCCCACTGCGAAGATGCTGGAGTACACTGCGCAAACAGGACGACGACACACCCGAGGAGGCTGAGGATGCAAAGGACACCAATGCACCACAGAATTATGCGGTGGACGCGGCTGGGGTTCAGGAGACGTTCTAGCAAGGAGATGACGGCGAGCTTTGGTATGCCAAATGACATGATACCCGGGCAAAACCCGACGATAGTCCAGAGAATCGCGCCGGATTTCTGCTCCGTCGTCAAAGTCAGAAAGTGCCTGCCGTTCCCCGAATGAACTGCCATCACGCCGAACACCACCGCACTCCATCCGAAAAGCTACAAATCAGTCTATTTAGCTCATGCGTTGATACCGGACTTTTGGTGGCGGCAACGCCGTCCAGCAGCCAGGGGTCAGAGCCAACTCACGACCGAGATAATGATCAGATAGTCATCTAGACGCAGCCTTCCCAGGATAATCCCGCGAGTGTATAGCCTCATCAAACAAAAAATAGTCTCGAGGGCAGTCACTGTGCAGATGACGGCGATAATCGCTGGGCCCTTATTCGCCTCGATGTACTCGGGCGCAAAATTGAAGGCCTCGGGCGGGGGCGGTGGGCCAGCCATCTTCAAAGTACGGAGGGCTGCGAGGCTTGCAACTGTTCAAAGAATGACAATGAGAAGAGAGAGACAATGGTCAGTCCTCAGCCCTGAGCAAATGAAATGAAATGAAATGGCAGAGACGAATGCGGACACAAGAGGCCGCTCTCGAGTCTGGAATCTGTGCTGTCGACGGCAATATGAATATCACAGAGGTTTGTCATCTGCAACACTCATGGATCGCCGTGGGATGCCCCTGAAAGAGCCTGCATGAGAACTTTAGGTAATCGCGCACATAACATCAAATGCTTATGGCCGGGACATTCTATATGGTGTAACCCTTCTGCAAGCCTCAGTGCCGATCATGGGCAGGTATGCAACCCTCAACCCACTCTTCTCGCATTGTCGAATGTCCAGGAGCCGGGAATGAGGAAGACTCGGTGAGGGCAGGGATCTCAAAGCGCTTGGCTCCTAAGCCCGTGGTGCAACGGCCAGCAAGCAGACAGTCCCAGGATCCCGTTCGAGGACACTGGCGGCCGCATTAGGGCTGGGCGAATGACGGCAGCTTCATCGCTTTTCGCTCCAAGTTAGCGAGAGCCGGGACCCAGTTTTGATGTATTGAGATGGCCATCAAGTATCGATACTCGAGAGGGCGTGCACGTGTGAAGATTTCTGTATGCAGGTACTCCTGCACCGCCTCTCGACCCTTGCTCTCTCTGATGGAGCAGGATGGGACGGGGTATGGTGATCATTATCCAAATAGCCCAACAGCACAGGAGATGCTTGTTTCAACTTTTTGTCGCTTTCCCGGAACAGCAAGTGCGCGGCAAGTCAGGCCCGGAGGAAAGCCCGCGTTCAGGCTCGCATACAAGTCCCATGGTCCTGGGTTGTGCATGGACACCCCCCCTGCTGCGAATACGGCGTGTAAAGTCTCGGCAAAAGATTCCTTGTTGAGACTTGGAAAGGAAGGATGGAAAACTAACAGCCCCTGTCAAACAGAGGGCAATAGGCTTGCAATCCCTACTAGATGGATTTCGCAGTTGACTTGCTGACATTATTATTCGCATGTAGCTGGCACGACACTGAATCCTGAGAGCGTTCTAGAGATGATCAAGAAGCCAAAGGGCGCGGCGCTGCGACTACGACCTTGCTCTGTTTTCATATACAGGTGCAACGTACGTGCGCAGAAGAACGTGATAAGCTTATGGCCAAGCCTCAACGGCGCCCTATTGCACTTGTGGGCGGGAAGGGATGATACCAGCAGCCCTGGTCTGGGGCATTGACTGGGGTTCTGGAACGAAGGTGGACGCGCAATTGCAGCAGCAAGCATTTTTTATACGTTTACGTACAGAAATGGTTGGTGATCTGCCCTCTCATTTGGGTACTTTTGTCACGAGCACCAACTGCACCCCTGCTGTTTGCATCAGATCCTTCAGGATGGCCTGCAGTGTGTAATTCCGCTGCACACAGGTCAGCTCCACGCTGTAGACATGTTGACTTGACACGAGCAGGGTCGAAACATCCCTTCAAAAGTCGGACCGACAGCTGCTGCCCTCAAGGTGATACATTTCTCGTACTGTTCCCTGAATATGTCATATCGCTCTGCGGATAATGGTTACTGGATATCTCCAGACATCGGAGTAGCGGGTGCCGTACAACCATGCAGGTCGATCCTCGAGACGAACAACTCGATGGTATGTTTTTCATGTGACTCTGATTTGAGCACTCGTATATTAGTGTACTCCGTACTTCACTCTCTACGGAGTAGGTGCCTGGATGGCCTCTGCGGGAGTCTGTGCTGCAAGGTGTGAGTGTTGGTTTCATTCCTGGAAGATATGCTCCTTTAAATTAGTGCAGACCAGGATCGCGGCTGCAAACTGCCGTCGCCATCAACCCCGATTGGACGGTTCCACTCCATCCACAAATGTTAAATGCAACCCCATCTGCTTGTGATCGCAAGTGAAGAGCGAAGGCCAACGAGGCGGCACCGTGTCGTTGCAGCACAGCCACGGGGGCCGTTTGGTAACTGTCCCCCCTGAGAGCATCGGTCCTCGAGACGTGGATCTCGCGTGCCGTGTGTTTTCATTGGAGACCCGACAGACTGGGAAATTGGCTGCGCCGGTTATTGTTGGTGGCGACAGTTGACCCCTGTTCCAACATTACGACTTCCCTCGCTGTGCAGGAAACATGCTTGGTCGGGTGCACTTCGGCAACGTGCCCATCCAAGGGGACGGCGGAATGGCGGAAAGATCCGCTGTATGATCCGTTACGTATGAGTGACTCGAGTACACGTAACTACTCCGTGAGAGAAAACATATACGAGTACAGACTGGATATGCTCTTGAGCTGGGGAGACCTGGTCAGTGGGGACTACTGCAACGCGCACGTTTGCCGGCCAAGAACCCCCACTCCGCCATCGACGTAGATCAACTTGACCTAGAAGGGCAACCATCCTCGAAATCCCCTACAGACCATTGCTCTCTCATCTTGGCCTCTGCCCTTGAAGATGTCGATCACCTACACGAGAGAGGAAGGTGTCCCACCGTGACTGTTAGGCGAGCCGTCACCCTTGAGACTAGCTGAATCGATTCTCGGCATGGTGCAGCTGCCACAAGCAGTCGCCGATGCACTGTCAGATATACAAGTACCAATGATGGAAGTGGAGCACTTCCCCTACTTCTTTTATACGCATAATACGGCGAGATGTTCTGCGGAGGACTTGCCCCGAATGAGAAGCCCAGAGTGAAAACGCCATTTGCCAGGGGTTGGCCCACTCCTTTGCCTGGTGCGTTCCGCTCCACCAGGGCTATATGAGGCATTAGCCAAGGGTCATCAAGCACCGAAGTGATACTTGCTCAAAAGTCATTGATGTTCATAGTCTGTGCTATCACACGTTTATTACACGTGCAAAGGTCTCTTTCCATGCGGAGGTAGTTCCCATTAGGGTTCAAAATAGGATGTACATGCTTCTCAAAGTTGGTCGATTGGGAAGTTCAATGGACCTGGAACAGATACGAAGTCTCGGAATTCAAACCCCGAGTGAGAACTGCTGTGTCTGTGTGAAGAGACTGAGCAAAGACAACGGTTCCATGCCCGGCGGTAGCATGGGTTTGCCTACATTTCACGCCGCAACCCCATGCCTACTCGACATGCATATATGCAGGCGTACACTTGGCCTAGCATGCATTCGGTCTTCTGATGCATCCCTCCTTCTAATAGTGGGATCGACCCACGAGCTTTTGACAGCATGGAGACATCAATAAATGATCCCGGCCATGTATCGAGACCTGTTGGTGTACCTTTGGCATTAAGGGTGAATGTTGGGGGCGAAGAACATCTTCAACCAAAAAGCAGCCACTCCTGCTCCATCTCATCTTCCTGTTTCTGGTTCACACACAACTGTACCTGCAGGCTTCACACCCCCATTCTGTCCAGTTTCTCACTATTGTATATTACCTCCTGTGCTTTCCGAACAACGTGCTCATCATGTCTGCTGAGTCCAACGGCACGAATGGTGCAAACGGCACAAACGGTGTCAGTGTCACCAATGGCGTTCCGGAGACCGTGAAAATCGCCGAGTCCATCAAAGCAAAGGGTCCTGCAGTCGAGGTGCCAGTCGCTCTGACGGCCTGCAACTTGAAGGCCGTTCCCGCACTCGCGCAGTCCATTGCATCTCTGGGAGAGAAGGCTGCCTCCGGTAGTGAAGATGCCCGTCTCGAGCTCGTCGAGCATGCGCGATCGCTGGTGCGAGCGCTGGAGACGCCCCGAGAGACCATGATCAAGCATTGTTGGGCTCAGGTAACTCGACCTAGCTTCTATATCAGCAGCATGAATCTATGACTGACGAGTGCACACGGGGTAGCCCGCTTCCGATACCGCTATCGCTCTCGGCGTCGACATCGGCCTTTTCCACCTACTTGCCAAGGACAATGGCAGCGCAAAGAACGCAAAAGATCTGGCGAAGGAACTTGCTGTCGACCCTCCTTTGCTGTGTAAGTGTGATCCCGCACCTAGATTCAGGAGGATCGGATTCGTTGACCCTTTCACAGGCCGCCTCATGCGCCATTTGAGCACGATGGGCCACATCATTGAGGTCGGACCCGACCAGTACAAGCCGACCAGCTTTTCCAACTCTCTCACCGTTCCCATCATTGGCGATGGATACACCTGCATGTAAGCTAAGTCCGGTTCGGCTTTTCGACTGAGAATCGGGCAAGACTGACAACTATCACAACAGCTTTGGAGGATGCGCCGCATCGCTGTACAAATTCCACGAGTACGCTCGCCACAACAACTACCGCACGCCCAACAGCATCTCCGATGGCTCGCTGCAGTGGGCCTACAACACCAAGCTCAACTTCTTCGAGCACCTGCAGGCCAACCCGCCGTACGGAGTGCAGTTCAACCACCACATGGGCGGCTACCGACAGGGCCGTCCCTCGTGGATGGACGACGGCTTCTATCCGGTCAAGGAGCGCCTCCTCGACGGCGCCGACACTGCCTCCGACGCGGCGCTGATCGTCGATATCGGAGGCAGCATCGGCCACGACCTGGACGAGTTCCGGCGCAAGTACCCCGATGCAAAGGGCCGGCTGATCCTGCAGGATCTCCCTCTGGTCATCAGCCAGATTGTCAAGCTGGATGAGCGGATTGAGAGAATGCCGTATGACTTTTACGACGAGCAGCCCGTGAAGGGTAAGCGAGCTGGAGTTGCGCTTGAAACAAATGACATAGCCTGAGCTGACTCGTTGCTCTGAACCAGGTGCCCGCGCATATTACATGCACTCTGTGCTCCACGACTGGCCCGACGAGGCCGACGTCAAGATCCTGACCCGCATCAAGGAGGCCATGAAGCCCGGCTACAGCCGCCTGCTCATCAACGAGAACGTCATTCCCCTCGAGAAGGCGCAGTGGGAGGCTACGGCGCTCGATATCATGATGCTGACCCTGCTCAGCTCGCGGGAGCGCACCGAGGAGGACTGGCACACGCTGATCGAGGCGGTGGCTGGCCTCAAGATCACCAAGATCTACACCCCTGCGAACGGTGTCGAGAGCATTATCGAGTGCGAGCTGGTAGCCTGATTGTGCGAAATATCTTGGCATGCAGATATATTTAGATAGGACATATGAACCGAAAACGGTGTTTGCATTGCATGTTGTGCAGTTACCCAGTCCATCAAGCGACATCACTGGTCTCTGAGGTTGGACACCAGCGGCGGCAGAAAAGCAAGAGATCGATACGCATGCACATTGCTCCAGTGTGTGCTGCTCCTGATGTCCATGAGAGAAATATCGGGATGATGGGTGCCGCCCGCACCACCATCACTCAGTGATAACCCTTGCAGGAAAGCCCATAGTCACGCCCTGAGAGCTGCCTGCAAGGCCCTCACTTCCAATTGATCGGGAGTGGGAGAGCGCTGGTAGCCATTGCACATCGCAAGCACTCTGTTCTTTTACAGCTAGGTAGGGAGCGCGCATCTTGGAAGGCGGTCAGAAGCGGCAATAATGGCCTCTTGTTCAGGGGGTTGGGCGTGCTCCGCAACACGCACTGTTTTGAGTGATCAGCATTAGGCAGACAAATAATAAGCAGCAACTCGTCAGAAGGCAAAGACGTGTACATCGCATCTGAGCCAGCCGGGGTTGTTTTGACGTTAAAACAACTCATTGATGAATAGATGTTACATCACACTGGAATTGAGTTGTCTAGGCCCGGTCAATGCCGAGGAACGAGTTGTGGTCTTAATTAGTTGAATGACAATCGAGTTCTTATCCAGACTTGGCCCGTGAGTATCTTCGCCCACCCCAGTCACCGACTACTCTAACATTCTCTCGAGCCCTTTCAAGTTAATCCAGACTTTCTCTCACATCATGGACTCGAAGCACAGCGAGCCGAGCCCGCTCGAGTCACTCCCCGTCGAGTTGGTGCGGCTCATCCTCTCGGCGCTTCCAGATGTGATCTCTTTACAAACTGCAATCTTGTCATCTCCTACATTTTACCGCCCCTTCGTACGAGCGCAATCGGCAATTACCTCGCATGTGTTGCTTCAACAGATTGATGCCACGGTACTCCCTGACGCCGTGCTCGCCGTTTCGGCATCAAGATTACAAACCTGCGATGAGACCGATCGTCTGGAACTTGTACGGGAATTTTCAAGGAAAAGCCTCGGTGACAAAGCGATGCTTCCTAAGACGTGGCCACTGCAAGAGGCAGTTGCTATTGCGAAACTCCACGTCTACGTGGACGGCTTCGCACACAAATTCGCCGCGGCAACCTTGACAGAACCACCCTTCGCTCCGGCCGAGTCCTCACCCATGCCGACACAGCAAGAGAGTCTCCGTATACACCGAGCTCTGTACCGCTTCGAGACCTACCGCCATCTCTTCCGGGTAGCGCCGGATGCGCTGAGGCTCGACAGCCTCCAATTGTTCTTCCGACACTACTCTACCTTTGAGAACGAACAGCTCGCTTGTATACACGACTTCTTTGCGCGTGCTGTCTTGTTATGTTAGTTATCACGAAGCAACAGGTTGCGTAGTTACTTGACGAAGCTGACCCGGGATGGCACAGCTCTCATTGGAAAAGTGTCAGACGGGACATTCGAGACCACAATCAACTCTCCCCTGGTGCAGAACCTCCTCCTGCTCGGCCTCGAGGGTCTCCATAATGCCATTTATAGGGTGCCCGGCAATCTATTTGCGGATTTGCCTCCTGGGGCCGACCTCTTTCGGCCCCAGTCGTTTCTCTACGCCGGGCTCTGTTACGCAAATGATTCTGAAATTCACATCACCCTGAATGAGATGAGCCCGCAGCTCCAGGAGTTGCACATCAGAAAGCCATTCTTTGCAGATCCCGACTCTGGTCCTCTTGAAGCCTGGAAATGGGCGTACTTGGAGGAAATGGGAATGGAGTTTGTGTTCAACAGAGCACGGCGGAGTCTGAGGCGGTGGGGATACGTCCTATGGGATCGATGGCGATTGGACGACATTGGCGTCTTGGAGGAGCCATTTGAGCCATGGTGACGACAGGCACGACAGAAAGAAACGGAATGATTTCTCTAGACAAGCAGCATAGCTATCGTCGAATGCCATATGAGTTTGTCAAGGCCAATGGCCTGCTCGTTTGCATGTCTCCTTCTGTGTCTCGATGCCACGCCTTCCGCTATTCCCCCCCTTACTGTTGGTTCAAATGCAAACGATAAACAATACTGTCAGGTGGCACATTGCCCTCGCCCTCAGTGAAAGACTAGCTGGGTTGAACAAGGAGGCAAAGCTAAGGTGATCAGGCCAATGTTTGCATGTGGCGTGTCTGGGGAGGGGATTGTGCATCAACAGCCCCTTCTGGAAAGCACAAATCATGCACTGTATTGCCTTGAGAGAGTTGTGTACGACCCTACCAGGCAGCCGGTCTGGCTTTGGTAGGCAGTGACTGCGATGTCGGCAGTGAGCGGGCCCGGGGCAGAGGCCAAGCAAACCAGCCTCCATGGCAAGGAGCAGGCGTCTTGATTTCCCTGCTGTGGCATCCGGCAATTCACTTGCGTATGGGTGACACCGGGACATAAAAACAAGGGTGACAAGGGCGTGACACAAAGGTGACCTGGAAGCGTGGAAAACAGCGCAAATGCGCGCGCAAGAGCGGGCAGGAGCGCGCAAGAGCGCGCCGGAACAAGCACAAACCCGAGAGGACAGCACCCGACTTCAATGTTGACTGGCGCTGGCCACCCTTAGAGCGTGCCTGTCATCGCCCTCCTCCATCAACAACACTACCATCACCAAACATCACCACGATCATCAACCGGCACCCCCATCGTCATCCCCACTCTTTCGTTTCTTCTATCTATTGCCACAGCGCAGCTCTGCGCACAGCGGACCGACTCACTCGTCATGTCTCTCACCCAAGAGTCCCCGCCTGCCCAGCAGGTGCGACATTTGACCTCCTCAGACTTGCTCAAGTCCCTTCTGCCTGCGACCAAACCTCTCAATGTCAACATGGAGGACGGAGACGGTGAAGGTGACTATACGATGTGTGCGACAGCCTACAAGATGGCACTCGACCTCATATGTGGCTGCGCCGAAGCAGTCAATGCGGAACTCCGGCGCCTGACAGACCAGGGCCGGTTCGTCCACACTTGTACGCCAACAGCGGAGCTGCCTACAGAGACAGAAGCGACCAGCACCACTGCCGCGATAGCACCGGAGATGCCAGCGGTTCTCGAGCAAGCATTGGTCCAGCTTCAAGATGACATCATACAGGGACCCTGGTATGGCAAGCCAAACGCCTGGGAAGCACCTCTCGAATGGCAGCGGTGGCTCTGCCAGATTGCCGAGGACGTCATTGTCAAGGCGAAGGTCGGAGATGTCATCGAGTCGGACCGGGACCAGAATTATCGTAACAGGTAAGCTGGGTCATGCACCCAAGGCCAGGCCGATCACGCTCTTCTCGCTTCTGGCTGACAGTTGGGACATTTCAGAAACCTCGGCAAAATCCCGTTCATGTCGGATCTCTTCTTTGGCCACCGCTGGGACGCTAGTGAGTGGTGGTATCTAGCGGGCGTCGTCTCCAAGGCAGGCCACTGGACCGCCGTTGTCTGCGACAGAACCAAGCTGAACCTCGAAGGCCTCTCGGGCCCTTCGACCTATACCATTGCCGATGGCGGCGTCGGCGAGCCCGTGACCCTTCTGCGCAGCGAGCTGCTCATCGGCTTCTACCTGCTATGCTGCCAGATGTCGAGCTGGGAACACTGCGAGTGGGACGACCTGCCCGCCTCGGAACAGGACGCTTACAAGGCGAGAGGGGGCTGCCGCAGCTACTTCAACATGAACCCAGACTCAGGCCAGCTCGTGTTCCGCGACGAGCTGCCCGCCGAAGTGCACGTCACCGTCGTCACTGAGACCAGGAACTCTCTGCGCGTTGTGCAGCTCGCCTGCCGGACCAACAAGGACGAGGGCGCCGGCCGGTTCTCCATCTGTGTCCGCCGCGTGATCCCCCTGCCCGGCCATACAGCCACCACCGGCGCCTCCACTTCCGGCGCCGCCGAGTCCAAGCCGGCGGGCATCAGCGACCCAAGCACCGGCACAGGCAGCGGGCCTTCTACGTACATGGAGGAGAAGCTCGACCTTCTGCGCTGGATCCTCTGGCCTGCCAACCCTCACCCGCCTCCTGCTGCCGAGACAAAGTACAGCAGTGGTGACTTCTCTTCCTCCACCTCGTCCGCCTCCTCCACCTCGTCCGGGTCCTCCACCTCGTCCGCCTCCTCCACCTCGTCCGCCTCCACCTCATGCCCTTGAGCGCCAAAACGTGGGATTTTTCATACCTTTCCATAGTACAGATAGACATATACAAAAAGATCAATAAACATACCTGGCTCGACCCTTGTCAAACCCTAGCAGTTGTAGGCCCCATTGGCGATTACACCTAGATCATTGATAGGGCTGAGGAATTCTTGTATTCTGAAGTGATTATTTTCCCACTCTTGAGCGTTTAAGAGGCTCTCATTCGATAGAACCCTGGTAGGCACCACTTCAGTACGAAAAACCCACGTTTTGGCGCTCAAGGGGATCCTGCTTCACCCCGCTCCCCTCCACCTCATTCTCACCCACCTCATCCTCCTCACCACCCTCTTTCCCCTCCGACAACATGCCCACGTCCAATCAGACATCTGACTCGCCGACTTCGATCTCCCCCTTGATCGCCAACTCACCCCCGCTGCCTGATTCCAGTTCTGAGCAAGACTTGCCCCTTCGACAAGGTCACTAAGGAGCAAACAAGCATGAGTAGCAGGTCGCCAAAGAAAGTCACCAATAGTGAATATCTGTCGCTGAGGCTTGCCAAACGCGGAGATCAACTTTTGCTGGAGAATTCAAAGGTTGTGTACTGGGAACTGGTATTAAGGAGGACAGTAGAAGGTGGATATGAATGCTCGGCCAATGCACATCATGGGCATAATAAATATCCTAATACACACATATTTCCCTTCAAGTAGTTGCGATTTACCGTTGCTTGGGCAGCGTGTCTCTCATTGGAGTTATCACTGGCCTCTGGGATTGGACGTCATTGACGGCACAAAAGCATGAGATGGATACGCATGCACATTGCTCCAGTGCATGATACTCCTAATGTCTATAAGAGAAAAGAAATAGAGGGAAGGAGAAGTATATCAATAAAACGAGTATGTTAAAGTACTTTATTGTCATCAGATTCCCCTCTATCAGCCCGTTCATCTCGGCCTAAACTATTGTCTCTGTGAGGACCACGACATTGCCCTCTAGAGAATGGTGATTGCAACAGGGGCTTGGGTTGCATATCTCCTTGATTGTTCATTTGATTTGAGCTTTTTGCCCTTTGCTGGTATCTAAACGAGTCTTCTGTCTGGCCTAGCTTCGTCTCACCCAAGTAAACCAAGCCAAGCTTGCTATTGTCCAGCGAGACAATCATCACAATCGAGTTTCATATGGCTCGTACAAGCCAGCGGTTAGATAAGGCAAGTCTCCACACAAGATTCTGCAAGCAAACAGTCTTTCCTACTCACTATTTACGGCCGAGAAAAGCTTTGCATCTCTTGCAATCAACAAGGAAGGCGTCTTATCAGCTCGTGCAACAATGTCTTCCCAGCAAACACCAAGTACACTTTCCTTACGGCTCACTACCACCTACAATCAGAAAAACAAGTAAAATAGGCAACCACTTTGCTCTGGTTATGTTTTCGAGAACATTGATAGACATACATACGCATGAAGACCTGTGGGGGTCGAACGAACTATGAAGACTCAAGGTATCTCCTCTCATCTCATGGCCAGTCTTCTCGTGATGAAACACCATATTCATTTCATATGTCCTATCTGAGGATTTTCTTTCTAAGCACGCCAGAGGCTTGCTTGTTTTATTTATAAAATAGGAATCTAATTCATCACCCTAGAGTATTACTATAGCATTGTTGTTTTAAGCGAGCCTGTACTAGAACCAATACAGACAAAATGATATATAGTTAGTGGTGCTTAAGTGGATGTCTGATTGACAGAAGTTCATCAGGAGCTACCTCAATCTTAACAATCAATATCCTTATCACATCCTTGCCCTAGGACTCAGAAGGGCTATCCCACTACCTAAATCTGATAGGCTTGATAGATAGTCAAGTACTTCTGTTAGCAGTCTGTCAACTAATCTGACCATCACTTGGTGCTGTATCTAGTTCAGGCTACGAGGCAGTCATCCCAGAGATAACAGCACAGCCTGAAAGCACTCCAACTAGCAGTGTTACATACTCCAGGGAGTCGAGACCCAAGCCTTGCGGGAGTCCCGGACCAAGCATCTCAGCTGCCAATGCTCACTCCATGCACGTGCCTGGGTGCTGCGCTGTAGATACTCGACTCGGGTCGAGTTGGACCGGACGTGCAGGTCTTCGCTCTAGGTAGCCTGCGAGAAAAAGAACGATCTTGGCATCTCGTAATCTCGTCTCTCTTGGATGATAGGTTTGGCATTGGTCTACTAGAAATATTGGGTCACATACAACACAAAAAGCTTCTTGCAATGCGATCAGCTCCGCCATGCGCTGCCCGCCTCACTTTATATCCCCCATTCCCGACCAGTCACAAGCGTCGGTCTTGCAGGCAACCCTCGGGGCTTGACTATGGGCTTTCCTGCATGGGGTTATCACCGAGTGTTGGTGGTGCGGGCGGCATGCCTCTGATTGGGGACGAAAATGCAGGTCAGCCATGCGCAAACACGTGTCCCACGCTGCCCCTCCGGATTCAGCCTCGCGAGCACTGCCTCAACCGCCTTGCATTGGTGGTGGTGGTGGTGGGGGATATAAAGTGAGGCGGGCAGCGCATGGTTGAGCCTGATCGCCCAGTCCTTGATTTTTCACCCTCTTCTGTGAATTCCAAATGCGTGAAAAGTCTGCAATATCCACCGCTTAACCTCGTACGCCTCTTGGACACCTACAGCGCCATTATCACCACGCGCGCGCGCGCGCACTGCACGCCGAAATCCGACATGGATCCTGTCTCCCTCGTAGCCGGTGGCATCGCCTTCGCCCAGGCTGCGGGTGCCATCGGCAAAGGTATCGCCATCCTGAGGTCTATGGCGAATGCGCCCCTCGAGTTCTGCGACCTGCTCAATGAGTTCGAGACGCTGCGGATGGCCATAGAGGTGAATAAACAGGTGATTGAAGACATCTACAGCGATGCGACCCTCCAGAGATACCGGCCGGGCTTGGACAGAATCTGTCTGTCACTGAGCCAAAACGTAAACCAGTTCGAGGCATCGGCCGCGAAGCTTCTGCGCTCAAAAGACGGGTTGAAAAAACTCGGCCAAAAGAAGATCTCAAAGCAGGCGTGGCATAGGGAACGACCAGAACTCTACGCCCTTCGAGATCAGTGTCGTAAGAATCAGCAGGAGTTGACTGCCTTTATGGCAGCGGTTTCACCGGCTCAGAAGCAAGTTACCCCCATTTCTATCGACCAAACCTGCAGGGAGGGTCAGCTAATATGATTCTAACTAGTTTTCGTCACACCCAATCACTGGTCGAGATCAATCTCAAAATGGACACTATGCTTCTCGCTCTCACTGAAAGAAAGGTCGAGTTTCATAGCAAGCCTCACGAAATCGGTTGGTACGGCACCAGCCGCGAGCAGAAGGAAGGAAAGGTGCTCACAAACGAGGGGCTCACTCCAATCGGAACATCTACTCCCAGCAACCCACGAGGACTCATGTCGCCTGGACGTGCGGCACCAGAAAGCGATGCGAGCGCATTTGTGGAAATATCCGCAACTGCACGGTCAAAGTGTGAGCGGTTTTGCAGATGCCAGTGCCACCGGATTACAGACAAGACATGGCCGAAGTGGCTCCAACCGGTCGTGGGTTCTTTGTTCATCCAGTACAACAGCTTCCCAGTACTGGACAGTCGACCATGCAATAGTCCGCTGTGTAACTCGAACTCGGCCGCCGCAATCAGGGTGCAGTACCTTTTCCCCCGATGGGCGTTGTCGAGGGCGATGCACATAAGCATGGCATGGTGCAGCCTTACCGGCACTGGCGCGTCTTTGCATCTAAAGGTCCCAAGGGTGAACACGCCCCCCAATATGGCCTTCCTCCTGGAGTACGACCGGGGTGACATCATTCGAGGCCTGATTTCTAACGGGAAACTCTTACCGAGCGATGTCGATGATTTTGGGAACCCTTGGCTGTTGGTAAGCATCCAGAACGTCCATCCCCTCAAGGCTCAACTCGCTGAAACAAAAATGCTAGCGTTGTGTTGGGACTTTTGCTACGCAGAGTGCTAGTATTTTGCTTGAAAGTGGGTTTGATATAACCATGTCCAACATGCGCGGAGAGTGAGTTTATGCCGATGCCTACATACGTGCGTTTGTTTCTGATTTGAATCGCATGACAGATCTGCCTTTAGCAACATGCTTCCAACCCTCACACGCCACCAAAAAGGAGATGGGTCTTATATGCCAGAATCATGGGCGGATGCAGTCCAGAAGGTGATGGATGACCATGAACCTGGTTATACGCTCATACACAAAAGTCTCATCGGTCTTGCCCCAATCTCGCTCGAGCGTGCAATCAGTGAAGAGCCGCATGCGATCGACACACCAGACTTCATTTCGGGCTCTTCGCCCCTTTTTCTCGCTATCCAAATCCAGGATACCGAAGCGGTACGGCAACTTCTTAACCGGGGCAGTAACGTCAACCTTCCGAATCGACGACAAGCATTGACGCCACTAATGCTTGCATGTATCTTTGGCAATGAAGAAATCATACAGGAGCTCATCTCAAAGGGAGCTGATATTCATGCTGGCGATAGTGGCAATTGGACGGCTCTTCATCACGCGGCCTGGTCGAGTTCAAACTCAATTCGACAACTACTAGATTCTGGAGCAAACCCAAACGCTTCATCTGACCTCCAGGAAACACCACTTCATGTGATCGCGCGTACCATTTCTGGCAGGGGTTGGACCGAGGACAACATACGCGCCCTTCATCAGGCAAGTGCGGATCTCAACGCAATCGATAAGTGGGGTGACACCCCATTGATGAACGCCATCCGATTGGACAATGTTGATGTTGCAAGGGCCTTGGCTAGCTTCGGGTCTAGGTTCGACAAAGCCGATAGTTTTGGTCTTAGCGTTCTACACCTCCTCATTGACAGCCATGCGGGCAAGTGTATTCGAGAGCTTGCGGCTAGCCATTGGGACGGAATCGACCCTGACATAGGAGATGGGGACGGCGACTCGCCCCTCGATATACTGAAATTCGAGTGCGAGTATGATTATCAAGGTTCCCCATACATTCCTATTCAGATCCACGAGGTCATAGGAGCTGCAGAACTCATCGTGGAAATTCGCGAAAGAAACTGGGAGAGACAGTTGTTTCTTGACGCGCAGGAACGTTTCACGGCGGATGGTTCGCATCAGAGGATCAAACTGTGGATTCGAGATTTCCAAGAGTGGCTCAAGGCAGATCGATGGATGCCAAGTGAAAACTGGGATTCAGAGCGGATGCCCTGGCATACGGATCAAATCGTCCCAGAGGGTGAGTTTGGGGATGTCGATCTCGAGACATGGTCTGTCCGCAAAGCGTGGTGGGAGGAGCAGAGCGACTTCTGGGAGTCTGACGAAGAGGATGGTGCATGGAGCGAGGAAGATCAAGAGTCAGATGAGGGAGAGGACCCTGTCGAGGATGAAGATGGAAGGACAAGCGATGCAGAAAATGGTTCGGACCAAGATGAAAGGGGTGATGGGGGGGAGTCCGATGACGATGAAGCATTTTTTGATGCACTGGAGGCTTGATCTTTTAATTTGTACCGTGGTATGGATTCTGGTCATTTTGGGAGTTCTAAAACACTTATTCAACCGGGCTTGAAACTGGGAATTCAGCTGGTTGCCCTAGAGCATTGCGATGGTATTGGTACTTCAAACGGGTCTGTATCTGAAACAATAAAATCTTGGTGATATACAGAGTATCATGGGCGGTGCCGTATCTAAGGTAAGGCTACAAGGCAGTCTGCCAGGAGAGAACAAACGCAGCCAGAATGAACTCTGACAGTGTCACATGCTCCGAGACTCTCTCACCACATAACTAGATTCAGCACCTCCTCCAAGACAGGACGACGGCACAACTCAACCAACTATCCACGACCGGTTTTACCCTTTCCGCAATCCATCCACCCAACTCACCCAAACATACCATCCCCATCCCCATCCCCATCCCACAAACCCCCCCCAGCCCTCCAATCTCCCTCTCCCTGACCGCCCTCTCGGCAATCCCAGCCTGGCTCCCCAACATCACCAACCCCCTTGCACGCCGGCTCCGGCGGCCACTTCCAGTTCCTCATCGTCAGTCCCCTTGCTCGAGGCCTGTTTCTCGGGCAGCATGTGATTTCCGTTCTCGACCAGGCTGGGGACCAGGGTTGATAGGATTTAGTGGGGCCTTGATGCTGACAATGGTGGTTGTGATCAAAAAGTACTTGGGTGTCCTTATCCCCTTGTTCGGCCGACTCTCGCCGTCGCACAGGGCGCTGCTCTGCGCGGGCCCGGTTATGGTCTTGATGTGTAGCACTATGGGGTTGATGTGGGTGCATGCGATGATGATCAGAGCCGAAGCAAGCCCGAGGGAAAACGCTCTGCAACCGACACAGACGGAGACGGACTAGACTTGCTCCTACAGACACGAGATGCTCTACTTCGTATTCATCATCGATTCACTCATTAAACCCATCAAACTATATATAGTAGTAGTACTAGGTAGTAACATCTCGAAACACAAGAGAGTCGCAATATCCAAAAGACCACCACCAAAAAAAGCAATCCAACCAATCACCAGACCCCGGAAACACAAACCATAACCAAGTCCCAAACCAACCAAACCAAGCAAACCAACCAACCCAGCCCCCTTCCTATCCATTCCTTTCCTATCCTTTCCTTTCCCTACCGTTCAAAAACAAAACAATCCGCCCCCGCACACCACCCAAATCACCAAATCCCAGTGTGATCCAGATTCCCACCATGACCATGACCATGATATGCGCCAGTGCTATGCTGAACATGCTGCTGCTGCTGCTGCTGCTGCTGCTCCCCACCGACATGCCCGTTGCCCAGTATCCTCGGCGTCGTCCCGTTGCTCTCCCCCGCGCCGCCAAAGGTATACTCCTGCCCCGGCGGCCCCCGGACAGTCCCGTGCATCTCCCCGCCGAACCCGCCACCGCCAGGCGACAACCCCCCTCCACCACCACCACCACTGCCTCCCCAGCTCCCGCTCCCGCTGCCACCGTGATGATGCCCCGAACTAGCAGGTCTCCACGCAGGAGGCGGCATCTGCGCCACTCCTCCTATTCCCATCCCCACTCCCACTCCCCTCCCACCATTTCCACCATGACCATGATGACCACCACCCATCATCATAACCCCAAGATCATCCCCCCCTCCATCACCGCCAGAAGAAAGCGGCTCCTGCTTGACCATAGCAGGCGTGAGCGGCGCCAGCCCCCCGCCGCCGAACCCAGACAGCGGGTGGTGCAGCAGCGCCAGCCCGCCGCTGTGCAGGCTGACGTCGCTGGGGTTGCGGCTGATGACGCCCGTGCTGCGCGCTGCCTCGCTCTCGAGGTCGTCGTCCGCCGCGTTGCTGCTGCCGTTGATACCGCCGCCGCCGCCAATGTACTCGCCGATGACGCTGCCCGCGTTGCTGCTCACGCCGCCCGTGCTCCAGGTGTGCTGGCGCCGCGGCGGGTGCGGGTGCGGGTGCGGGTGTGAGTGTGGGGCCACCTCCGATGCTGGTGAGGGAAGCGGCTGCTGCTGCGCTGCACCGCCGCCGCCGCCGCCGCCACTACTACCCAGCGGCGAGAACGCGTGTCCCGACGCCGCCGCCGCCGGCATGGGAATGTGAGGCCCGGGTAGAGGTACAGCGCTCGACAACCCCGGCGACAAGCTCATGCGCATCCCGCCGGGCCGCTCGCCGGCAAACATGAGCAGCCGCTCGGCGAACTGCGTGCGGCTGTTGGGGCTCGCGCTGAGCGTCTTGACAAAGAACTCGAGGGGGTCGATCGTCGCGCCCTTCCTGTCCCCCGACCCCGCGCCGCCGAGCAGACCCAGGTCCGTCCCCACTCCGGCACCACCACCGACGAAATCCATGCGCAGCCCGCCGGGGGCGGGCGGGACGGCCGCGTGGTGGTGCGCCGACGTGCCGGCCGCGTCGCAGGCGCCGAGGACGTTGATGCACCAGGTGCCGATCTCGAAGATCTTCTCAAAGATGCCCATGCCGTGGACCTCGACGGCCGAGGGCGGCAGGGACTGCAGGACGGAGGCGGTGCGGCGGGCGATGGCGAGCGGGAAGGCAAAGTGCATGGACTCGTGGGGCGCGGCCCAGGAGAGCAGGCCCTGGCGGAAGGAGGACTGCCAGACGATGAGGCGGAGCCACTGCTGGGTGATGAGAAGGTCTGCCTTTTGGATGGCCGTCGGCTCGGGCTGGCTCTGGTTGCTCTGGTCGTGGTCTGTTTGCGGGTGTTGTTGTCGACTGTGGTTATGGTTGTGGTTGTGGTTGGCCGTCGTGGCGGGGATCGTGGTGGGTGAGATGACTTCTGACGGCGGATATCGCGGTGTGCTTTCGGTGGATGGTGTGGAGGGTCGGGAGCCGTGGACGAAGCTCGGCGGGATGGCGAGGAGGTTCTGTAGGGTGAGGTATGTCGTGGCTGATACGTGAGGATCGGAACCCTCGTTCCATGCTGTTACGAAGGACTCGTCAAGAGGGACGTAGGAGGATATCAGTTGGAGGAAGCCGGCGTGTATCTCTGGTGACTCGTAGGGGTGTCGCGTCGTCGGTAAGGACGGCGTCTTTTTAAACGTGATCGTCTTGTTCCGAAGGATGGCGAAGGATCTATCATCACCGCCTATCAGCTCATCATACTACACAGACGAGACAGACAAACAGAACAGAAAAGAGAACAAACCTCTCCGTGACAAAGAGCTGCCAAAACACCCTCTGCCGGCACAGCTTCTCCTCCGGCCCGAGCCCGACATACGTGGCGTCGTCGTGCAGGCCGAGGTCGAGCGCCAGCGCCAGTGCCTCGCGCAGGTATAGCCACGACTTGCGCGACTGGTTGATCTCGAAGAAGGACGTGGACAGCCAGAAGGACGAGATGACGGCCCCGAGCGACGCGTCGTCGAAGAAGTCGTACGAGTGGCGCACCGAGATGCACTGGTCGAGGAAGAAGCGGCCGACGGCCTCCCACGACGACTGCGGCGCGGGCGGCGGCATGCTCTGGCCGGACATGTGCAGGGCTGTCAGGGCGCAGAGCGCGTAGACGAGGTTCTTCTCCGAGGGGGTCAGGGCGCCGGTGCCGGGCCCGCCGCGGTGGATCATCTCGCGGGCGGCGGGCATGTAGAGCAGGGGCATGATGGGGTAGACGTGCTCGTAGTAGAGGTCGAGGCAGCGCGGAACGAGGTGCAGGTAGCTGCGGCTCGTGGGCTGGTACTGATCCGAGGTGAAGACGCTGCGGGGCTCCGAGGGGGCGTGCCGCGGGTCCGACGAGATCTTGGTCCAGGAGATGTCGACCGGAGGCGGGGTGGAGGGGACGGAGGGCGCGGCAGACGGCGCGGCCGAGTGGGAGCTCTCGTCGGTGCCGCCATCGAGGCTTTTGCTGGATAAGGGGGAAAAGAAAGAGAGGAGCGCGTGAGCCTTTGTCGTTCCGTCTTGCGTATATGTGATGTATGTATTGCACGGTGCCGGAGGAGGATAGAGGGAGATGGACGGGGAGAGAGAGAGACAGAGGAAGGTAAAGGAGAGGGAGAGAGAAGACTTACTACTCTGCGCTGCTCTCCCTGCTCCCTTTGAATCCCTCAAAGGCGTCGCGGGCGCGGAGCTCGTTGATCACCCGGCCATGCCCCCGCTTGGGCCCACGTTTCCTCGGGACATGCTCCCTCTTACAGGTCAGCGAGGCGTTGAGGCACTGCTGGCAGGGGAATTGGCCGTCGCAGCGGATCCCTACGGAGGCGCGTGGCAGATCATGTTAGCATGCTGCGCAGGAAAGTGGGGGGTTTGGAGATATTGATGGTCTGTTGCGGAGGTGTCGTGTTTGGAGAAGTGAGACAGGAGAAGAGACACGGACTGACACCACACAACGGTGTTGAGCTGATGTAAAACAAAGTGCCACCCCAAAGCAAGCAAGCAAGCAAGCAAGCAAGCAACCATTCTTTCGAGGAATAACACCAGAGCAAGAGAGAACAAGACAGGGGGAAAGGAGATGGCAGATGACGGATGACAGTAAACATACTCCGGCGGCGGCAGTGGTCGCAGACGGTGCGCTTCTGGGCGTCGGCAGGGGTGCCGCTGATGCTCGGGGTCCTGGACCTGGCGGCGACGGGCGAGGTGGTGCCACTGGCGGCGGCGGCGGTGTTGGTGTTGGAGGCGGTCCGGAAGTCCGGAGGATCCATCTCAGGTAGGCCGCTGCTTCGGCATCCGGCGGCGTGGGTGGGTGGGTGGGGGGTGGGAGAGGAGAGGAGAGGCGAGGAGCTAGCTCTGTCTCTCACAAAACTCACTGATCACCGATCGGGGACGGGCCGCTTCGACATGAGGACGAGACTGGCCTCGGAGCGTGTGTGTATGTCGCACGTTTGCGGTGGGAAAAATTGGGAAAGTGGGAAGGCTGGTGGTGGTTTAAGCGAGAATATAAGCGATCACGACAGGTTTTTGGGCAGAGAAGAAAAGAGCCGGCACCCACTTCGAGCTTCGAGTCGAGTTACCCAGGTAGTCAATGGAGTTCATGGAGCTGAAGGAGGAGGATCCAGCACGTAGCTCGGAGGGAGGGGGGGGGGGGAGGAAGAGGAGAAAGGAAGCTATCTATCCTTGGTCACCAGCTCCGCTGGAGCTCGTCGCCTCTTTCGTCGAGCCCCCTCCACTCTGAGCACGCTGTGTGGTGCTGTGTGGTGTGTTTTCTGGGTGGCGGGTGGGGTCCGAGTGACGCCGCCTCAAAGAGGGAAATGCGGGGAAGGGGCCATGATGGAGCAGATCTGGGGAAAAGAGGCAGGAGCTAGCCAGCTAGGCAGAAAGCAGCCAGGCGTGGGCGGGCCAAGGAAGGAGCTACCTACCGCTGCTGCTCTGATCTGGTGACGATGGAGGAGGGAAATGGGACGTGGGACATGGGACATGGATGGAGGACGGAGGACGGAGGAGAGGGTGTGGGCTGCTGCTGGGTGTCGGGATCCAGGGTGCAGCGGTGCAGCGGTGCAGCAGCAGCGCATCGGCAACAGCTGCACCACCAGGAGAGCTGTGAGCTGTGAGCTGCGGTGAGCTGTGCTTGCAGCAACGTTAGGTGGATGGAGGAATTGGAAGCTGTGTGGATGTTACCTGTAGCTAGCTTGATGCCCGTGCGAGTGGGTGCGTGGCGCGGATCGCCGTTGAGACAGAAAACAGAACAATCTCGAGCCGTCCATCAGGGGCGGGGAGGGCAGGGCTTTGAATTAGCCTTTTCTGGGGATGTGCTTGCCAGCTTGCTGCTCTCTCTCTCCTCTCCTCTCCTCTCCTCTCGTCTCGTCTCGTTCTCATGAGCCGACTCGGACGGGGACAGGACACGACAAGACACGACAAGACATCTCTTACACAATGCCTGCTGTCTGCTGTCTGCTGTCAGTCCCCGCCAGACCAGTCCCGAGACGAGTCCCCCATGTTCCAGTCCCTCTACCTTTCTCCGCCGACTTTTCCTCTCTTTAGCAATTGACTCCTTTGCAGCATTGAACTAGTTAACCCACCCTCCTCTCGGGGCTAACGGGCATGCAGCGCCATCCATCTCGAGCCGATGGAAAGGAGGGGGATGGACAGACCGAAGGTACAGCTGCACTACGTACGTCATCTGCCCATCCCCCATCCTGCCGTCGCCGTCTCGCAACGCCTCCACACCTGGACAGGCAAGCTTTCACATGATCCATTTTGACGCAACTGGCAAACGCCCGTCCCGAACGACTCCCGTGACACCCGGACCAGCCGCTTCTGCAGTTCGGCATTGCAAGGAACATGCCTGTACGATAAAAAGAAAAAAACAAAACAAGAGGTGCATTTTCCGCGTGGTCATTAATCAGCGTTGCGTTCTTGCTGCCGCATGATCGAATACTACTTGTGGATGGATGGATGGCAATGCCAGTCAAAAATGCAATTGAATGCATTGTACATCCGCCGCTTAGGTCAGACCGAACTGCTTGTACTTCACAGCAGCTGCACGGCAACTTCGCCTCACCCTGCACAAAAAGTCAGGATATCGCGTGACTCACTGCATCCATCGTGCATCAAGCCCTCATGCACAACTACGTAAGAATCGCCTGTATATATGCTGGTATCGACGTATCAAAACACTGTTCTAGTACTGCGCCTTCCGTCAGAGCTCCTCCTTGAAGAACTTCTCCTCGCTGCCAGCGTCGTCATCGTCACCCTCATCCTGCTGCTGCTGCTTCTGCTGCTGCTGCTGTTGCTGCTGTCGATTGTTATTGCTCCCCTTGGCCTTCCCCTTGGCCTTCTTCGCCTTGGCACCACCGCCCTCCTCACCACCAGCCTGTCCCAGTCCCTGTCCCTGTCCCTGCCCCTTCCCTTCCTGTACCTGCGCCCCTCCCGCCAAGTCCGGATCGTCCTCGTCCGTCTCCACGATGCCCCGGATCTCCGCCTGCTGGCCCGGCACCTCGACGATCTCGAGCTTCCAGCCCTTGTCGCCCGCGAGCGCCTTGAGCTCCTCCCGCAGCTGCTCGATCGTCTCGGGGTTCAGGTCCAGCCGCTGCAGCTCCTCGTCCGTCTTGAACTCGACCCTGCCGCCCTCGGCCTTGCTCCACGCCCGCGCCAGCACCACCTCCACCTGCCTGTTGTTGTTGTTGTCGTTGTTACCCGCCGCGCCAGCCAGCTTGGCCGCCGACGCGAACCCGCGCGGCGGCTTGAGGTGCACCGCCGGCGCGCCGTCCTCGCCCACCCCGATCCGCTGCTGGCTGCCGATCATGACCCCGCCGATCGTGATGCCCTTGTAGTCTCTCGACGCCGGAACGCCTCCCTCCTCCTCGTGCTGCTGCTGTTGATGTTCGCCCTGCTCGCCCTGCTGGCCGAGCATCGCCGCCTCGGCCTCGAGCGTCTTCATCCGGTGCCACGCCGCCGCCTCGGCCTCCGTGCCGACGATCAGCCGGCAGCTGATGGGGTGCGCCCGCGCCGGCTTGGGCGGCCTGAACGCCACGTCCTCGCATAGCCGCGGCGTCTGCACCATCATGAGGTACGTGCACGTCGTGACCTCCTTGATCCAGCCGATCCGGTCGCCCGCCGCCCCCGGGTTGCAGTGGTACTGGATCTCGATCGTCCGGTCCCTACCCGTCAGGTCGCACACCGTGCCCTCCCCCAGCCGCTGCACCAGGTACCTCTGGTCGCCCTTGACCTGTAACTCTGTGTGGGGCGGCGCCGCCGCCGCCGCGCCCGCCGGCCTCCTCTGCTGCTGCTGCTGCTGCTGCTGCTGCTGCTGCTGCTGCTGCTGCTGTTGTAAGTCCTGGTTGTACTCGGCCGACCCCTCGCGGTGGGCCGGCTGCGAGTGCGGCCGCCCGGTCCGGCCGAGCACGTAGTCGAGCGTGTGCGGGTCCCGCACCGGCACCGCGCCCCGGATCGGGCTCGGCAGCGCGTGGAACTGCACCACCTCCCTGCCGTAGCAGAAGCTGTAGCTCCACCACCCCGAAGTGTAGTACAGGCACTCGCCCTCGAGGCCCGTCATGAGCTCCCACCCGCGCGCCGACGCCCGGCTCAGCTCGCGCGCCTCCTCCGCCCGCGCCAGCTCCGTCGCCGTCTGGTTCGGCGGGCTCGGGGGGGCCAGCACGGGGATCGTGCACAGGTATTTCGAGGGCGGCACGTTCATCACCTGGTACGTCTCCGAGACCTGCGCGCTGCCGTCGCCCGCCGCGTCGCCGTAGTTGCCCGGTGCGCCGCTGTCGCCGCCGCCGCCCCCAGTCACATGGCCGTCGGCCGTCGTGGACTCGCGGATCTGGCTCGTGAGGTCCGTCTGCGAGACGTCGGCCGCGTAGGTCGCGTGCGGCTCGGTGGCGCGCTCGAGGAGGGATTGCGCGTCGCTCTCGGATATGTAGGACTCGGAGAAGACTACTTCAAACTGTTTTGAGAGGCAATCATCTCGTCAGCATGAGCCATATCGCAAGTGAACGGAGATGGGGGCGCGCGCGCGGTAGGCACGAACCTGGGGGTATGCTAGGATGTCATCGTGGATGCTGAAACCGGGCTGCCTAGCTCCAGCGAGCTGCAGCAGGGCTAGCAGAACCAGTTCTATGCGCCGCATCGTGCCGTCGATATCATCTCTATTGTGTGTGTGGGATGAGCCAGAGAGTTGTCGCTTGGATCATTAGATGACAGCGAAGCGAGTGTGGGATGGCCCGGGAGGCAATGTTGCTGCTTATCAGTTATCGGTGAGGTGGCTTCAATCTTATCGGCACAATTGACTTGTCACCACTTCCCGAAGGATGCCCAGATTATGTCATCACTCAGTCCCTCCCTTCAACACAGCCCTCACCAAATTCCGGAAATCACCAAGGAAAATACAGAATGAATTATTGAATTAGCTTCTCTACTCGCTATGTAACTAACTTCGCTCAAACTGTAGATCCTCTAGTGTAGGCTTCGTCTGCCAAAGCTCAGGAGCATTCGCAACCCGACTATCCTCGACAGCCGCCGGAATGCCGAATACGCCCGTGACAAAGACGTACGTCCTGGGCTCTTCTCTTGACCCAGTCCACTCCGGGACACTGACGATGTGCTGCATACATGGAACGACCGTTCGCTGCTCAACGAGGTTGGTGTTGGCATGCTGCCTCACGATTGTGCCATTGCTCTTCACATCCGCATTCTGAGGCTTGCCCTGCACCACCCTCAAAAAGTCTTCGGTGAGGTCTAGCACACCGCTGGAACCAGATCGAGTAGTCACAAGGGCGGCGGAAACCTCTTCTCCCCACCCTTGCTCTGTAAATGCCGTGGCCGGTCCTTTGGGCAGCTCATAGACTGTCGTCCCCCGCAAAGTCTCGACCGCAACCGGGAAACCCCCATCGACAAACCGTAGTTGGTGGAACGCAGGAATCTGCTGCTGCGGTCGGGAAAAGCGCACTTCGTGCACTCTGAAATGCCACCCGGGAAACCTGCGCACAGGTGGGATCAGGGTTGTGCGAATCGTGAGGTCAAGCAGGATATCCGGCCTCCAAGTGCCGCACAGCGTCGGCACTGTCTCTTCGCCCAACCTGGCAGACCCTGAGGCGAGCTCTGTCGGTTGCTGGAAGGCCCTCCATGTCTCGCCACCATCCCAACTGAGCCCCAGCGTGTTGTCGACGCCGAGCTGGCTGAGAAACTCGCCCGCCGCCACGTTGAAAGTGAACGCCGACGAGTACGAGAACTTGTTGTACTTGGCCTGGCCCGCCCTGTGGATCCTCTTGGCAGTCTGTCCTAGCGATAGTAGGAAGTGGTGCTCGGGGGTGCTGCAGAGTATCTGTCTGGGGTGTTTGAGGAGGATAGGGATAGAGGATTGCGGGGGCGTCTGCTTGAGAGGATGAGCAATCTCATCGCTGCTCCAGAAGGGTGCGTCTTCTGCTGCCGCGACGATGACCATCGATTTGAGGCACCAGTAGACTGACTGCGGAGAGTTGTAGTCCTCCGCCGAGTTCATAGTGTGATCTAAGAGTCAAGAGTCAGCACAGGGAGCTCGAAGCGAAGTGTGCGCGAGATGAAAGCAGTCGGTTCTTCTTACAGGCAAACCCAATGCTCAACGATCCGTCAATGTTAAACATGTCCCGCTTCTGGGCCCACCACCGAAGGTGCCGCATCAACATGCCCTTGACTGCGCCAGGCCTGTCCATCGGCGCGGGCAACTTCACCTCTGCTAACCCGGCAGCAGCCCAGAACGCACCCATGGCGAATCTATACGTCAGACTCCGTCCAAAGGGTATTGAAGCGCCTGACGGAACACTGTTGTATTAGCTTCTAGTCATGCGAAAGTCGCTGCAAGCATCAACCTCACCATTGGTATCAAAATATCTCCAGTACGCAGCCGCGAAATCAGCAGCCTGCGCCCTGTACCGCTCCGTCCTCGCAGGATCAAAGTCCGGCGCCAGCTTCACGTAGAGAAGCTGCGCAAACTGGATGGCAAAGCTGCCCGAGTAGTAGTCGACCTGCCTCCTCTCCTCGTCCCACGGCCCGTCGCTGTTCCACCCGTCGCCGAGGTAGAACGAGTCGAGCATGGCGAAGTCGGCGTCCATGACGGCCCGGACCCGCTCCAGCGGCACGCCGAGGACCCGCGTCAGGGCCAGGTTCACAAAGATCCGGAACCACCGCCAGTTGTTCTGGTGCACCTCCTTCGAGTTGATCTGCAGCAGCCACCGCACCAGGTTTCCCCGCGCCACCTCGTCGTCGGCAAAGCCAAAGGTCTCGGGCGCGAAGAGCAGCGTGTACGCGATCGACTCCATCTCCACCATGCGCTGGTCCAGGTCATGCAGATCGCCCCAGTACTCGGGCGAGCTCGGGTCCACGCCGTTCCGCAGGCCCGTGATCCACGTCTCGGTCCGCAGCGCCACCTCGGCCGAGAACGCCTCAAGCGTGCCAGACCGCACCGAGGCCGCCGAGTGCAGAGAGCCGATCAGCCAGAGCGGCCTCGCGAAGCCCTCGAGCTGCGCCGCCTCCTCGCTAAAGGCCGCGCCGTTGGCTGTGGCGAGCATGATGCGCGCCTTGCCGGGGGAACGGTACTGCTCCAATGGGGCCACGAGAGCCAAGCCCGCGGCGACCAGGTCGGACCGGGTCCGGAAGGCGTTGTCGCAGAAGGCGTTGAGAGATTTCATGCTTTCTGTCCTTGTATGATTTGCGCCTGATGGGCTGGTGTAAACTGTTTGGCAATGAGAAGGTTAGAGTAATTAACCAACTCCACGCCCCAGGATAGAACACTATCAAAAGATGTAGTTCAGGGTCGGACGAAGATGTCGGGATGGCGGGATGAGCCTCCGGTGTCGCCCCACGATGCGGGGAGGGTATAGTTTCGTGAACGGCGAAACGGAGGCGGTTCGGTATTGTGGCCGGGGCGGTTGGGCGTAGTGGTGCGTCGGGCGTCGGACGAGTTGGACCGGAAACCGGGCTATGTCCCCCTTTCGGGTGGTGAACTGGGAAAGCAAAGTGGACTCACGCCGCGCATTATGGGATGGTATCAAGTATTACGTCTTGGACGTGCATCATTTTGAGCCTATTTATAATTGTTCCGCCCGTTTGCGTAAGCTGCTTTTGGCATCTCTCATCCTCCTTGCCCCTGCCTCCACATAGGGTTTGGTTGTCCAGCCGTGCGCCGCACCCAACAACTCGTTGCAGCCCAACGAAACTCGAAAGATCTCAGAGTCGCCAAATATCTCACTCTCCCTGCAACAGCATACATCCAACCAGAGGCTATTGGCGATGTCTCCATTCAAAGACGATGCCACAGAGCTCTACCCTCGGATGAGGCTGGGCGCCAACCTCCAGGAGCTCTACGCCGAAAACATCATCGCCAAAGTCCACCGGACGGCGAGGAAAGCGGAAAAGGCAGACGATGGCTCGTGTAACCTCACAGGGTTCCCCGAATACGTGACAAGTGACGCATCAGGCGGCGGGGATTACACCATGCGCGAACCCAAGTTCTGGACTTGTGGCTTCTTCCCTGGCACGCTCTACAACATCATAGAGAGACTTCACAGATATCCCAAGTCCATCAAGATCTCCTCCAACAACTCCGAAGACGGGAAGCAAATGGCCAACCTGCGCTCAGAATTCGGCAGCTTGTGCAAAACCTGGGCAGCGCCATTGCACGACATGGCCAGCCGCACAGATACCCACGACGTCGGCTTCATCATCATGCCTGCCCTGCGCCTGGACTGGGAACTCACTGCCAATACCAAGAGCCTGGAGTCAATCCAGCGCGCAGCCAACAGTCTCGCCTCGAGATTCATCCCCGCCGCCCGCGCGATCCGCAGCTGGGACGCCCGCATCCAGAAGAACGTGCAGATCACAGACATGGACGACAATCTGATCGTCATCATCGACAGCATGTGTAACTTAGACCTGCTCTTCTACGCTTCAAAGCACTGCGCCGACCAGCGCCTGCACGACATCGCCGTGGCCCACGCCACCACCCTCCTCCGCACCCACCTGAGGCCCGAGCCGACCAGGGTGACCTCGCCACTCGCGTACAAAGGCCAGTGGTACTCGTCTCACCACGTCGTCAACCTCGACCCGAAGGACGGCAGCATCAAGCGCGCCTTCACGGCGCAGGGGGACAGCGACACGTCGACATGGGCGCGCGGCCAGGCCTGGGGCATCCTGGGCTACGCGCAGACCTACATGTGGACCAAGGACGTCAAGTTCCTGCAGGCGTCTGCCGGTATGGCAGAATACTTTCTCTGCCGGCTCGAGTCCTGCCCACCCATGGTCGACGCCGAGACCGGCCAGGAGACGACTGTCGATAGTGCTCCTGCCAAGCACCACGGTGGTCGATGTGTGCCGCTCTGGGACTTTGATGCCCCGGATAGGGAGTCCGGGTCCTGTCCACGAGATTCCTCGGCGGGAGCCATCGCTGCAAATGGCATGCTCATTATCTCCCAGGCGCTGCTCGCTTTGGGCCACGACAAGCTTGCCCTGCGGTTCCGTACCAGTGCGGTCGACATTGTGAGGGATCTGCTGAACTTTGCTCTGGCATCGGAGAAGGCTACTCTGGCAAGCACTGCAGACGGGGTGTTTGAGTCGAGAGATGCAGTGCCCGGGGAGCATTATGAGGCCATATTGAAACACGGTACGGCGAATAACAATCAACATGCAATGAAGAGGTATGCCGATCATGGGCTAGTTTACGGAGACTATTATCTGGTTGAGTTTGGCAACCAGTTGCTGAGGATGGGCCTAGAATGACTTGTTTACTGAATGCAAGAGTAGCGTAGCCATTTATCAAATCGCAACAGCAAAATCGGGTTATCCTTAGGCTGTTTCTTTGTCTACTATCCGCAACGGTTAGGACTCCTTATAAAGAGACTCTCGGCATCTTTGGCAATGGCCAGATTTAGTGTTACGGGCCCGAGGTGCGATGCATCCTTCAGGCTTTGCACAAGAGGAGTTTCACCATACATGCCGTGGACAGCAGACCCACCAAAATGTCCGCTTGCTATGGGCTGATGTGGCCACTACACGTGCTCCCAGCGTAGAAACAACATTTCTTTCAATCCACTTCAGCACCGCCAGAAAGAGCCATGAGATTTCATGTGCGGCGGATGAACGATCTCTTATTGAGTCGGAACGTTTCGTGGCGCGCGGCAACCACAACCACAAGGGTCTGCTCTTTGAGCCCTTGCTTTCGCCGGGCCTGGGGGCCAGGATCCAGCCTCTGCTCTCAGCAACCTCACTCGACCAAGCCTGCTGCGCCTGTTGAGTACGAACATGTCGACGGAGCAGAAAGTCTGAGTGACTATCGACCCGGTGGCTATCATCCGATTCACATCGACGATCGCCTTGATAGACGATATCGTGTTGTGCACAAGCTCGGCCATGGCACGTTCTCCACGGTATGGCTTGCCATCAATGAGGAGACATCAAAATATGTCGCCATCAAGGTCGGCACGGCGGATGCGAGTCGCACCGAAATTGATATTCTTTCTAGGCTTACAGAAAGCGCTGTAGGCTACTCGGAACATGAGCGGTCGCTGATTCCAAACGTTCTGGATCACTTTGATATAAGTGGCCCCAATGGCAATCATCAGTGCCTCGTGACTGTTCCGGCACGGGGTAGCTTGCAGGACGCGAGAGAGGCGTCTGGTAGCTCCTTATTCCAGCTTGATGTTGCTAGATCTCTTGCCGCGCAACTAGTGTTAGCCGTATCCCTCGTCCACTCAAAGGGTTACGCCCATGGAGGTGAGCAACCCGGTGATCGGCTCGGACACCAACAAGCCAGCTGATACTCATACCCTAGATCTTCATCTTGGCAATATCTTCTTACGACTACCCTCGCCTCTCGACAAGCTATCAATACAGCAACTATATACGCAGTATGGAGAGCCCGAACGAGAGCCAGCAATTTGCCTCGGCACCATAGCAGCACCGAAGAATCCCGGAGTTCCTTCCTACGTAGTGCCGGCAATGTGGCTCGGCACACAAAGCAATAGACTTACACTGAGCGAGGCGAAGCTCGTGCTAGGCGACTTGGGGGTCGCTTTCCGACCCAGCGATCAGTCTCGGACGGTGTCGTATACACCACTTGTATATCGCCCGCCGGAAGCATATTTTGAGCCCATAACGCCCCTCACACTCGCCTCTGACATATGGAGCCTAGGCTGTGTAGTCTTCGAGCTCCTAGCCCACAGGTCGCTCATCGATGGCTTGTTTATGGTACGGGAAGACGAGATCACGGCCCAGCAGGTGGAGCTTCAAGGTCCAATGCCGCCCGAATGGTGGGCGGCATGGGAGAAGCGAGCCAAGTGGTATGACGATGCAGGAAACCCCCTCAGCAATGCGTCTGATGTATGGTCCTGGGAAAGACGATTCGAGCAGTGGGTGCAAAACCCGCGACAGGCTAAGGGGATGGAGACGATCGGCGAGGACGAGAGGGATGCCCTGTTCAGGCTGCTGCGGTGGATGTTGTCATGGAGGCCTAGCGAGCGGCCAAATATCAAGAAGGTGCTGGAGGCGGATTGGTTGACGAGATGGGCTTTGCCAGCATATCGGAAAAGCCTAAGGGCTCATTGACCCTATTCGCACGTGTCGATATTTAGTATAGGATATCGCAACTAGTGATCAACATTGACATATGTGGCCTTGCCTGAATTTACATCTTTGTTGGAATCTCCACTGTCATGATCGCGAGGAGGAAGAAGTAGTTCAAGATATTGCTGCCTCCTGTCTGTTCAGTAATAGATTGGTGCTCGGTTAGCTTGTCAGGTAGGAGCCGATTTACACTGTAGATTAGACACAGCTGAAGAGACACATTAAACACAATACTCGTGTCCCAGAGACTCTATGGGCTCAATGTTTTAAGTCCTTAGGAGATAGGGTCTGCTAACTAACCTAGGAACAAAGTGTTAGTCTAAAACTGCACTTGTTCGACATATGAGCCACTGGCTTGCATCATATTTGTTCTGCGAACATAACACTCATTACTTTATGATTCATAGATTAATTCGACCTCAAGGGCATCGAGTTCAGCATATTCAACAAGTTGTACAAAATCATCCACTCCGTCCTTGCGACCATCATGTGCTTGACTAGGGGGTGCAGGCGTAGGCCCTCGACTTGCACTTTAAACCTGCTTCATGCTCAGACAACGAGGCTAAAAGTTGACATGGGACATTAGGAAAGAATGCCTCCTCCCTTCGAGCCAGGTCAGTCATATCCCGACTTTGTCAAAATGACACAGCCAGCGCGCACTGGCTGAAGCCATCGATGTATGAGATCGCCCTTCGTCTGAACCTCCTACACCGGGGGTAACGACGTCATGTTGCCCATTCTCGAAAGGGCTGGGGAAGAAGGGACCAGGCGGCAACGTGGCACTGGCGTGCGTCTGCATCCCACTGTACCCGTCACGCAATGCCTCAAGTGATAGCGGCTTCGGCAACGGGCTGTACGACCGCACCCGACGAGGAAGGGAATAGCGAGGATGCTCGCAGGGAGAAGGCCACCAATGTAGAGGCAGAGGCAGTAGCCACGGAGCAACAGCAGCACTAGATCGACATTGCGGCTGGGCAGGCGGTGAAGTGAAACGTGCTCTGGTCTGGTGAGGCTGTGTAGATGCATGGCATGGGGAGTGAAAGGGGACAAGTCATGTATCGTGGCTGTGTAGGAAGTAGAGTTGTAGCTCGTCGTCGTCCTTTGACCAACGCGGAGTGAGTCTAGATGCCTGGATACAGAAGGGACGCTGTCATGGACAACCTTGCCTTTGCCTTTGCCATTGCTCTTGCTCGTCTCGACGTCGTCGGTGTAGAGGGAGTCGAGAATGTCCAGTTCACCACTGGATCTGGATTTGGATGTTGCGTAAATCTACTGTGGCGAACTCAACACCCATGATTTTGAATGCCATCATTCAAAAGCCTTCTAGTATTCGATCGTGGCATATCTTGTATCTCATGTTATGCTCCAGCCTGGCTCATCTCGCACCAGTGTTGAGAGTATCCCAGTCCCATGTTCAAAGCGGTCCTCATCCTTCGTCGTGTTAGTACAACAGCGGGAAACTTCACCGCCATCCTAACGGCCACGAGATGATCATTGACCTCCTCCGTAAAGCTATGGGCCAACCTCACCAGACGCAAAGCCAGAATGCGTTGCACACACTACCATCGGATGCAAGAGACCGTACCCAAGCCTCGTTTGGATGGACCTCGCCGCCCAGCCAGCCAGTCCTCACCGACCCAGAGGTCTATGCACAAGCACAAAAGAAGGGATTGGGTAGCATTCCCCTCCTCCCTCCCCCGCCCCAAAGAGCTCTGTGTGGCTAATGAGGAAGTGCGGTGAAGCCAGTAGGAGGCCGCACCACGGGACCATCACTCAGCGTTGTACATCTCTTTTGCACAGCGGTACCTGTAATGGATGGCCCCAGAGCGTCACATCGGATTAATTTGCGCGACGCAGTAGCAGCAGTGAACGATACGTGGACGGGGTGCCGCAGCCAGCCGCGCCCAGGGGGGTGGGTAGTGCCGGTGTGATCTGGTCCGTGCAAAGGTATTTCCCGTTCCCCCTTGACGATGTTTTGTAACTCGAAGTTTAAGTTTTGGACTGGGGGTTCATCCTCGTAATGGGAAACTTCCGAAGAAGGAGCGAGAGCGGTCAGGACAGACAGGGTAAGTGGCCGACGGACGTCTAGGTCACGAGGATAGCAATGCCCGACAAAACTACACGACCGACCGGAAGTCGGTGAAGAGCTAACTACAAGCAGAGAGAGGATCGTCCCGTGGCATTTCGGCACGAAGAAGCCACTCGCAGGACAGCAAGAGAGAGAGAGAGAGAGAGAGAGAGAGAGCTAGTTAGATCTCGTTATCGAGATCATCTGTTTCGCGTCGAGAGAAGCGAGAGGCTGACTGGATCCATCCATGCTCCTCTCGCTCCCACCCCCGGAAATGCCGGCGATCCGTACACCGCAAACGGGTAATTTTCAATTTTCTACAGTGGGGTATCAGCCCAGAGAGTGGACATTTGTTCTGTTTGAAGAAAGGCAAGCTACGTACACAGTACCTACCTAGTGTGCAATTGGAACTCTTTTCGAAATTACAAGCATCGCTGTGAGTCGTTGCCAAGCGCGGACTCGGTAATTTACTACAAAGCAAGAGGTCATGGGGTCTGCAAGATCTCGAATGATTCAAAAAGGACCAGCCGAATGGGGGATAATGGAGTGACCATCATCGCCAGCCAGAGGAGGAAAGGAAAGGAATGAAACAGTGTCTCCCAAGACAGCCAGACACGAGCGTGACCGAGCAGAAAGTACGCAAGGATTGCTGCGAACCCCCGTGGCGCATCCATATGCCCGACCGGGCGATGCACAGCGCTGCGATGCGCGTCTTACAGCGCATTGTGCCATTGATGAATGGGAAGAAAGAATGCAGACGCCCGGCAGATGTTGGCAGGCTGAGGTAACAACAGCAAGCAAGCACGCAGCAATCAGCATGTAAGATTCCTGGGGTAGTAATATGAGGAGAGAGTGTCACGGGTTGGAGGTCGGTCGGTCGGGCATTCAGCCAGAGGGGACGCGGGCGACCCAAGCATTCGACAGGTTTTGCCGCAGGTCTCAGACCTGTGTCTGGTACCTACCGCCGTACCCGTACAAGGACCAGATTTCCGAGCCAAGAGGCCGAGTTTAAGTGATGGAGCCATCACGGGCGGCGCGGGCAGAAGCGTGTCGTCGCGACCGCCCACTAACTTGTTAGTTGCCTTCACGCTTGGCCAGTTTTTAGCGCAGGTCCACGAAGGTAACTTGTTCGAGGACCGACCACTGGAGGGAGTCTCGCATGGCATGTGTGAGTTAGTTGGCCCAGGGGGTGGAGGCCGACCCACGCGGTCTGCGACAGCAGACGAGCGGGCTGTCCGCAGCCACTCGACCTAGAACAGGGCGAACTCGCCTCACTCTGTGCTGGACGCCGGCAGCCAATCAAGCTGAGCGGGGGAGCTAGCACTTAAGGTTGGGGGATGGTATCGTTCCTTTGGCTGAGGGACCAGGGTGGATAATAAGGCCTGGGTTGACATTAGTGCCAAACACCAGGCTATTCTCCTTCGTCTCTTGCTGCATCGTTAGGTGCTAGCCAAAGCAGCTCAGCAGCTGGAGTACTTCGTCCGGAAGCCCATGGCATGGCACATGCTGCCTACCGGGGAAGCAGGAAGGAAGGAAGTCCATTCGCTAGTCTCGTCATCGTCGTAGGCGTCGTAGGCGTCGTTGCGCGCGTGCGTGCGCCGTTCGTTGGCTGTTGAGAGCATGCATGCCGCTAATCAGATTCAGGATAAAGTACGAAGTCTTGGGATGCGTCGAAAGGTTGCAGGTTGCAGGTTGCAGGTGGGTACCCGTGTTTGCTGGCCCTGTCCTGGATGATTGCCTGAGAATTGTCCGGGCTAGGGTGCCCGTGAGGAAGCTCAGCCAGCCAGAGAAGCGTGGCGGCTCCATCTCGACAAGGCCCAATCGAGATGCGTGCTCACTTTACAGCTGGTCCCACTGGGGTGTGTCGTGTGTCTGGCGTGTCTGGTGTGAACGAGCTGCGGAAACTGCAGTAGCGGGTGCAATGCGAGAAACAAGAGGGACAGAGAGTTGTCACCGAATGGGCGATGACGATGGTGGCAGGCTGCCCACACCACACCGGTATTGATAGGTCGGAATGTCCCTGGTTCGGGACGCACGCATACACACCCCAGCGAATGAGGTCAGAGGTCGTCTCGTGTGTGCAGTGTGGCTTGCCCGGCCGGGCAGGGATGCATGTCTGTGAGAAGGTGGTTGCTGCACGTCTGTGACTGGATGACGACGTTTGTGCTGGGCAGCCGCATGAGTGTCTCTTGTGTTTTGCTTTTTCTGCGTTTCCCTAGCTCCCCACCCTCGTCGTGCCGTTGCTTTTTCTGACGTTTATGGTTCTGTAGGGCCCTGGTGGTGGTGGTCGCTCGATTCGTGGGTTGGGTTAGGCGATGGAGATGGAGATGGAGATGATGGAGGGAGGGCAATCATGCCGGGACAGCTCACACATACACACCCATCCCACAACGCATTCACACCGGCTGGACTGTCGCCCACCACCCACCAGGCCACTGGAGGTGGGAAGCTAACGGCAGCTAAACCTCGGGCCCCAGGTGCTAAGACATTGCTGTTTCGGGCATTAGCATCCATCCCATTATCGCAATATGGCTTCAGGGGCAACCCAAGCACAGTGGTGACCGACGACCTAGCCGACCGAGAAAGGGGGGGTTGCCAGATCCGATCTGTTGCCTTTTCGTCGCCTCTCGCATATCGCATCGAGGTGGCCGGGCTTGGGTGGCATTCTCGCCTAACGATGTCTTGCTCACTTGCTAGGTGCGTGTGAAATAGAGGAACAAGCAAGGATTGGCATGGGCTGTTGACAGTTTGTCCGCGGGATCGTCGTCGGCCCTGGTCGTATTGGCCATGCTCGACGTCAGTTTAGGTGCGAACCCGTAGTTCCCCGGTGTCACAGGCGTGCAGAATCCTGGACAGGGCAGGCCAGGATCATGTCGCAATTCAGAGTTTGCCTGTTGCTGTGGCTTGTCTGCAAGGTCCTTACGCGTCAGAGACTTCCGGGGATGGGCGAGGACAAAGACATCATCCATCGTCACAGACTCTATTTTCGTCAAGTGTAGCAAGGAAGCGGTGCGCGAGACAGCCACCGGGCAGAACTTGAGAGCAGACAGGCTTGCTTGCCGGCTCACCGCCGCAACGCCGCCGCCGATGATGGTGGGTTGGGTAAAGTTGAGCACTCAGGAGAGTAGCCTCACGCCGAAGATGAGAGGTGGACGACGACCGTTGAGGACCAAGGAGATGGATGGCCCGGGCACACACACGCGCACCCACAGACACGTACACTTTCATCGACGGATGCATGGCAGACGATAGATCCCATCTACCTTTGCGGTGGATATGCATCTATCTGACCACGCGCGCTGCATCGTGTGGTTTTTTGAACCGGGCATTCATGGGTGATGGCGAGCAGCTTCCGGGCATGCAAGCAATCCAGACTCTCAGCCCAGTAGGAGCAAACAGTCGGGCACCCAGGGACTTGCTCGATCCCCATTGCTCCAAATTCATCGATTCGGATCAAGCCATCCTGCTGCTGCTATTGCCTGCGGCTTGCTGCGTTGCTGCTTGTCAGAGGAACCGCTAATCGGAACGCATGCTGACCCTCCCTGATGATCCCACTGATTGGCGTTTTTCCCACCCCCGGTCTGGTCTGCTGCGGGTCACAGCGCATCGTCAGAGCCCATTAGTGAACTAATTGTTCTCCAGAAAAAGTGACACCGCCGGACCAGCCATGGTGGAGCGCTGATCAGGAGGTCCAGAAGGCTCTGGTGGCACACACACACCATCGACCCGATCCCTGGCCGTTGAGAGAGAAGAATAGCCAAGAGGAAGACGGTGGAAACGAAAGAAGAAGAAAAAACGATCCTTGAACAACACATCCACACCCATCCACACCCATCCACACCCGCCAATCTTACCCCCCTGTTCCCTGTCCCACGCCTGGCCTCTCTGCCTGTGTCTGAAGGTATTCCACTCTGTCCTGGTCTTGTCACAGTGCCGTGTTCCCTCTCGCTCGGTGTACGTACTCTGAGTTAATGTAGGTAGGCTTCTCTTCAAGGCCTGTCCGGTGCGTATCTGCGTGTCTCTCTGCTCTGTCTCTTACTCTGATCTGCCCGTGCATCTCTCTCTCTCTCTCTCTCTCTCTCTCTCTCTCTCTCTCTCCATATGCATTCTAGGTACTCACGTACGAGGAGTATCTGCATACACACCCCCCTCCCACCCCTGTCCTCCCAGTCCAGCAGCATCATCACTGGCAGCAGCATCATCATCATCGTCGACCTTCCCTCCACCACACCCTTCCAGACCGGCCTAGCTCGAGCTTGGCCTTTTGCCCACCACGAGGGAGGACGGATTGGCCTGACTGACAACAGACATCCGCTCCCGTGTCCACCTGCAAGGACTTTGCTATCCAATTTGTCGTGCCACTGGAAGACTGGGATGGGCGATCTACATCGAACACTCGCCTGGAATCCCACCGCCGCCCGCCGCCGCCGCAACCCACCCACCTTGAAGAAGAGACTCACACACGCACACCCACCCACCTCCACCGTCACACCCATGCCCCCTGTCTGTCCCCATCCTTCTCTTGTCTTCATCCTCCACTAACGTCGCTACCTTCACTCTCCAAAAGAGACGTTTCCAACACCACCGTGCCCAAAGCCTTGCGTTGATGATAGGTTGATATATGGCCACCGCCTCCCTCTTCCCAAAGCTTCATCCTTCCCTCTCCCCTTTCCCTTCCCTGAAACCCCTCTTTCCCCTCCCTCTTATTGTTCAACAATTGTCCATTGCTGTCGTAGAAAGCCGACGATCTGTTTCGTTTTGCTTCATTCTTTTTTCTTACCCCATCACCGTCATCCCCCAATAATCCTTAGCTTGGTCGAATACTCTTCCACCGGCCCTCCCTCCCCATTCACACGCACGCACGTACGCACACGTACAACGACACTTCTCCAATCTCACTCCTCCTAGTCCTAGTTAGCTAGGTTACTCCTGTTTGACCAGCCGGTGCCTGGGCAGCAAAGCAAATCGGAGCAGAGCAAACAAGCTCCATCTTCCCTCTCTCTCTTGTACTCTCTTATACAAGAAAGCAAAACCAGAAAAACGAGGCTGCACTTTAGTCATTCCATCTCTGAATAGACAGTGATTCTCCTCTTCCTCTCCGCCCCGCCCGCCGTTTAGTCAAATCTGCCGTTTGCTACCACCGCTCACGCACCCACGCACGCACGGCCAAACGAGCAAGCTTTGGTGTCACTCGGAGTCATCCTTAAAAGAAGCCCAGTATGAGCCAACAGGCGAGCAAGATCCAGCGTTTAGAAGAGGCCCTGCGACAGAGAACCAGTGAGGCCCAGCGGCTCAAGGAAGAGCTCGAGCGCCTCCGAGCCACGGGCCAGCTGGGTGGCTGCGACGCATCGTCATCGTCGCTGTCGTCCTCGCCCCTCTACACCGCACCCGCCCTCAAGCAAGATGCCCACCGACGGCACTCAACACCGCGGACGGCCGCCACGGCCGGCCTCACCCTGCAGACCAACGGTCAGCAACAACAAGTAAGAAAGCTCCCTCGTCCTTCATGGACAGACCCAGACCCCTCACCTCGAGTCACACCTACCACACCTGCCGGGGTTCGTAGTGGCGATGACACCTCTACCTCCTAGACTTGGGATGACACTGACACAAACCTCGTTTCGTTCTGCTGCTTTTAGAATCGCAAGAACGACTACCACCACCCCATGAAGCGAGCCAAGACCATCGCGCAGCCGCCGCCACGCACGACGGCCCGCACCAGCCCCTCCACCATGATGGCGAGGTCGAGCTCCAGCCGGTCCGCGAGGTCACATCCCGTGTCGGCTAGTACCACCACCACCATCCCCTTCACCGGCGCCGGCCCCATCACCCCGCCGCTGCAGAACGGGCCCTCCCACGCACCCGAGCCGGCGGCACCCGCGGTAGTAAACCCCGTCGACTACTGGCAGCCGCCGCCCGCCGCCCGCGACTCCATATCGCAGGAGATGCTCTTCAGCCAGGCCATGCAGCAGTCGTCGCAACAACAGCAGCAGTCGCAGCAGAGCAGCCTGTCCACGCTCTCGGAGCAGCCGGGCCTCGACGGCGTGGGCATGGACGTCACGAGCTTCCTCATGTCGAGGGGCGAGCTCGACGACCCCTCCTCCTGCTCGTCGTCGGCACAGTTCAGCCAGCACCCGCAACAGCAACAGCAGCAGCACCTCTCGCCCTTTGAAGCGTCCATGTACCACCACCAGTTCGCGCCCGCCACGCCGACCATGGCCTCGACCTGCGGGTCGCTGACCGAGGCGCCCACGCTGGCGACGTCGATGAGCCGCAACAACAGCAACATGTACTCGGACGGCGACGTCTCGCTGTCGGGCCAGCTGCCCATCGACATGATGCGCATCCAGTCGCAGTCGTCGTCGACGCAGCAGGCCGGCGCCGGGGGCCCGGGCCAGCTCTCCCGCCAGGCCAGCTCCGGGTACGAGTACGTCTCGTCGTCCTCGCCGCTGGGCAAGCACCACCACCACCTGCAGCAGCAGCAGCAGCAGCAGCACCACCACCACCACCAGAGCAGGCGTAGCCAGAACGAGCAGGACATCCTCGGCGTCGGGGCCAACCTGCCCAAGCCCCAGCCGCACGAGTACGCGTCGTCGGCGCCCAGCGCCGCCATGCTGAGCCAGCAGTCGGCCATGGAGCGCTCCGACTCGGCCGCCAGCTTCCAGTCCGACGTGTCGTCGTCGTCCAACCTGCTCCACCTGCCCGGTGGTGGTGGCGGCGCCGGCATGGAGCGCTCCGTGTCCAACACGAGCGTCCGGTCGAACCAGTCGCTCAAGCTGCGCGCCAAGGAGGCCCTCGCGCGGCAGAACAAGAACGCCTCGCGCGCGCTGCTCATCCAGCCCCGGCCCGCCGGCGGCAGCGGCAAGGACAGCAAGGCAAGCAACGGCAGCCGCAGCGGTAACGGCAATGCAGGCTCCGCGGCGGCGGTGGCAGCTGCAGCAGCAGAAGCAGCAGACGCGGCGAACAAGAACGGCAAGGCCGCCATCTCGCGGCCCAAGTACGAGCGGCCCAAGCACCCCAAGGTCAAGTGCCTGCAGTGCAACGACTACCCGGAAGGGTTCCGCGGCGAGCACGAGCTGCGGCGGCACACCGAGGCCAAGCACCGCGGCCTCGTGAAAAAGTTCGTCTGCCGGGACCCGGCGATCGACGGCATCGCGACGGCCGTGCAGGCCGTCAACCCGCTCGAGAAGTGCAAGCAGTGCACCCAGGGCAAGCAGTACGGCGCGTACTACAACGCCGCCGCGCACCTGCGCCGCACGCACTTCAAGGTCAAGCCGAGCCGCTCGCGGAGCGGCAACAACAACAACGGCAGTGCCAACGGCGGCGGCAGCGGCAGTAGCAAGAAGAACAGCGGCAAGGATGAGTCGTCCTCCGCTGCCGCCGCCGCCGCTGCCGCCGCTGCGGCGGCGCAAGACGAGAAGCGCGGCGGCAAGGGCGGCGGCGACTGGCCGCCGATGAACGAGCTCAAGAACTGGATGAAGGAGATCCTCGTCGACGTCGGGTCCGAGGGCGCGCTGACGGAGCAGTGCTACGACGCCGAGGACGGCGGCGACGAGATCATCGACGGCCTGCCCGTTGGGACCACCACGCCCGGCGAGGGCGGTGCAGAGGGCGGCTTCGACATGAGCGCGTACGCCGGCATGGACGCGTCCTACGGCGCCGTCGGCGTCGACCCGTCCTCCTTCGAGGACTTCAGCCACGCCGCCGTGGCGACCTATCTCACATGCATGGACAACGGGTTCCCGATCGGCTCGGCCGACTTCTGCCACAGCCTCGGCCAGGTGCAGCAGCACTACGGCGTCGGCGGTGGCAGCGGCAGCGGCGGCGGCAGCCCGCACACCGCGACGTGCTCGTCGGCCGGGACGGTCACGCAGCAGCAGCAGCACCAGCAGCACCAGCAGCTGTACGTCGCGCACGACCCGGCGCAGCAGTTCGTGACGAGCCCTGCGACGGCCGGCATGGTGCCCATGGGGTACGTCGGCGCCGACGAGCACCACCCGGAGCTCGACTTCTCCATGGCGGCGGCGTTCCACCAGCCGCAGCCCATGACGTCGCAGTGCTAGAGCGCTGATTGCGTGCCCGCCAGACCTGCTTGCATGTCTTGTTCTTGCCTTGCCCTCAGTGTACTGGAATGTGCCTGTGCATGAGTGATGCTTCGTTCCCTGGAATGGCGTGCTAATGTACGGGGGTGTTTGGCTTCGGTCGCATTTAGGGGACGAAATGTCTTGGTAGTGCGATCGGTCCAAGCCCAGCGCCTTCGTACAAGAAGAAGTCAGCTGAGAGATATTGAAGAAATATCATTTCAAAGGAAAGGAAAAATGAAAGAAACACACAAAAATAAAGAAGAAGAGAGGAGTTTTGTGAGCAATTCTCGCGTTTCATTTCCTTCTGGTACGACTCAGAGCGCCTCACTTTTTCCCCTGCTCGACTCTGGCCGCACCCGCCGTGCGGCCACGAGAGCATGGGTTCCGCCTCACATTGCGTCCGCCTTGCTACAGGCACGCAATGTCTTTGCTTTACCCTATCTGCTTTTTAATCGTTTACGAGATATTGTTGAGCCACATTTCTTTATTTTTTTGGTTTTGCTTGCTTCCCTGCCCCTTGTTAGTTCCAGCGAGTGGTTCTCCTTTCTTCGTCCTGTCGTTTCTTTTCTCTCGGTCGGTCGCATGCGTTTCATACGTTCTGCCCTTTGGGAGGCACCTCCAGACAGTCGTCTCCAGTGCTGATTTGGATCCTATGAACGGATCAACAGCCTTGCTTTTGGGACACAGGTCCTTTGGGAGGAAGCCAAAGCCTGAAGTACTCTGCTTGATGTCTGCCAGCTTGTTGAATGCGCGTCGAGAATACCGGGAACGGTTATGATGCGACCCGAGCTGGATGAGACAAGCGAGATGTGCTACAGGAGTGCTCCAGAGTCATTGGTCACTGGGGTTTTGAATCTCTTTTTGAAGTTCCTTGAGGCTGGCTGGTCAATCAAGCGGCCGTTGACTTTTTCTGTATACACAACACATCTTGGGAGAAAGAGGGCCTGCCTCCAACGGCTTGGGGAAAAGAGAGATCGGAGCGAAACGGGATCCTGCTTGCTTTGTGCTTGGGGTGCTGGGCGTCACTACTTCTTAATGGGACAAAGGAAAGACCTGGGACGCGATTTCATGATCGAAAAGGGCACAGGGGAAACCATCTATGATGATGTTATGAGGGCGTTTTGAGCGTTATTGTCTGTTGCTTTGGCTTTTTTTTCCTTTTTTTTTTTTCACTCGTCAGGTTGCGATATGCATGTTTTTTTTGTGTTTTTGGGAAACGCTGCGGGAGGAGCATCATCGTCCTCAAGTCATCAGCTACACTTTGCAAACGGGAGGCATTGGGTCTTTGTATATAATGAGCAAGGCAAGGTGTGTGCCTGGTTGAGTATGAGCAGTCGTCAATGTTGATGAGAGCGCTTGTTCGCGTCTGATAACACGATATCTTGGACTGTCTTCTGAAGTGACGCCCATGAGAACCACTGAACTCCAAAAGTCCAGTTCACTAGGTGCTTGTACAGCAGTCTTCACTACAGCAGTCTTGGTGCCTGCAGCGAGTGGAGGCACTCAGCGGCACTGTGAATCAAGCTCCAGCAAGCAACTCCACCAACACAAAGAGCGGGGCCCTTGACATGTCAACCCCACATGCAGCCTACACGCCAGCCTTATCTTATCGCAATAAAGTTTTCCACCCAGCTAGATGAAAATCTTTAACCAGAGCAAGAAACTCCACCGTCAAAACTCTTCCCACCTCTTCCAAACCACGCGACAGTGAACCTCACCGGCGAGTCCTCCATTCGACCCGAGACAGTGAACCACGAGGCGAGTCAGCACACGACAAAACCTCCTCCTCCTACAACAAATCATCAACCAAAGCCATGACTTCCACCACCGACGCCCAGGGCTCCGTCGCCTGGCCTCTGGCCGACGCCGCCCTCTCGACCGAGATCATGGACCTCATCCAGCAGGCCACCCACTATCGCCAGGCCAAGAAGGGTGCCAACGAGGGTAAGCCTATCCATACCCCCTTCTCTTGACTATTGTGCAAAATATGCGCGACCGATGGAATGGGAACTAACAATGTGATCCTTTCTTCTGCAGTGACCAAGTCCCTCAACCGCGGCACCGCCGAGCTCGTCGTCCTCGCCGCCGACACCACCCCGCTGTCCATCGTGCTGCACCTGCCCCTGCTCTGCGAGGACAAGAACGTGCCCTACGTCTTTCTCGGAAGCAAGCTCCAGCTCGGCCGCGCGTGCGGTGTCTCCCGCCCCGTCATCGCGGCCACCATCACCACCAACGAGGCCTCGGACCTGGCTGGCCAGATCAAGCGCCTCAAGGAGAAGGTCGAGAGACTGGCTATCTAAGGTGCCAGTTGGCTCCACTGGGTGACGAGGGGATGAGACCTTTGCGATGTTGTGTATATCTGCTGCTGGGATGATATACCATGGTCATGAGATGATGGAAGGGAGAAAAAGAAAGGACGGGAATCTTGCGGTTACTGGCTGGAGCCTAGATCTCAGAATTTGATTGAGGCTCGCAAGGGCTGATATATCTGGTTCTGAGTTTGGGCCAGACGTTGAGATGTGAAATTTGATGATACGTATAGCTCAGTAATACGACCCGTTCGAGTCAATGCTCTTGATCAATACAGTGCATTGTGCCATGTCCAAAAAGGCTTGTCGCAGCCTTCCTCAAGGCTCGCAATACAGCTTACCAGCAAGTCCAGAGTCCAGCTCGGGTCTCCCTCCACTATTACAGTACAGAAAACAAAACGCCAAAGCAGGTAGGGTGTCTCCAATCCAACACAGGTTCAAAGCTCCCAAACTCCAATTCGCCAAATTCGTCCAGCTAAACATCCATCACACCCAAACCCAGCTACACTTGACCCTCCCCTCCGCCCTCTGAGCCAACCGATCAAACACAGACTCCGTGACATCCAGATCCGCCACCGCGCACCCCGTGCACCGGTCCCGCACCGTCACGTCGACGCTCCGGTTCGCCCCCGCCGCCGCGCGCGACGAGATGCGGATCACCTTGCCGCACAGCGGGTTCGCGTTGGGGTTGCTCCCGCTGCCGGCCTGGCCCGCCGCGGCGTCGAACAGCGTGTGCGACACGGCGACGATGGACTCGTTGACGAAGTTGGTCGCGCCGCATGCGCCGAGCCCCGGGTCGTAGTAGGTCAGGTCGCCCGTCGAGGTGATGCCCGTGCCCGGCAGCGGCAGCGGCTGGCTGCTGCCGCGGTTGCGCAGGCCGAGCGCGAGGCCGAGGATCAGGGCGAGGAGGAGGAGAAAGGCTAGGGCGGCGAGGAGGGCGAGGAAGGCGCGGCGGGAGAGGCGGCTGTTGAGGTACCGCTTGTGAGGGGGGAGGACGCGGTCTAGGTACGATGTCCTACTGCTAGTGGTGGCTGCTGTTGTTGCTACTGCTGGGGTTTTGCCGCGACGGGGGAGGATGCGCGCGAGGAATGAGGTGCTGGAGGGGCGAGGTTTGGATGTTTCCCAGTCGAGGGTGTGGGTTGGCAGGGGTTTACGCGGGAGTGAGTGCTGTTCTGCCATGGTGTAAGAGGCTTTTTCGCGAACGCGATTGATGTTTCTTTATGGGAGGCCGGGACTCTCGGTTGATTATGTTGAAGGGACCAGAGGGATAGAGCAATCGACTTTACGCATCATTGGGATGATGCGAGGCGACGAATTGATATTGTGCGAAGCGCTGGTCTTCCTCGGTAGGCGCAATGGGCCTTGGCCAAGGTTGAGCTCGTCAATGTTTGACCAACAAAGTTGGCGAGAATGAAGCAAACCGGTTTTGGCATCACGGCTTGGCGGATTGTCGTCGCAGCATGGGTGGTGGTCCCGGCAGGGGTCCAGGTCCCCAGCCACCCCGCAGAAACCAGGAACGGGGCACAGGCTGCGCTAACCTTAGTGGGCTCTCCTGAGATGCCCAAGTCGCAGTCGATTTGGAGTGCATTGCCTTCCCTGAAGCATTCTCAATTTCAAGAAAAGAAGGTTGGTAAAACGATTTGCGGGGTGTAAATCATCGACTGACATGCCAGGAGGGTCCATTAAAACAAGATCGCCGGCATGGGAAAGCTGATTGTAAGATCGTTGCGGGAGCTGATCTCGTAGACATCCCAAGGTTGACAAGCGGGCATGTGGTTCGAAACTATTCCCTTGTGAGAACAAAGCTGAATTAACAGATGCTAGTCTGCCCAAGTAGGTACATGAGGTTTTGGACCAAACGAGAACGTGGCTCCAGTACAGAATACCGTTAGTCGACCAGCCTATCTGTCGATACAAGGATCATTGGAGGCGTTTGGCAATTTTCATTTGTCAGCTCGCGTCTGCTCAAGGCTCTCATCTCGCTGGCTGCCTGGTCAAGTCTTTTTCTCCCCCCTTAAACTTTTCCGAGTCCCAACGTCTCGCCGCATTAAACTCGCTCTCAGGGAAAATGCTCTGCGCAAAATGTATCAGCATATTCCTTCACCGTTCCCGAGAGGCCTCCGACCTGACACATCGACGTACATACGTTCACCATAAATGGCGCGAGGAGGTGGAAAGCGCTGCCAAAAATGGGTGCCGTATCTGCTTCACAGCAATCACCAAATTCAAGTCTTTCGGAAATTGGACCTCGATTTATGTTCAGCATCCTCTTTATGGCTTGGTCCTGCGGCTCCACTGCTGGGAGGGTGAAGACGATACCATACATCCTCGAGGTAAACTTGAAGTACATCTATTGAGACTCGTGGATCTTGAATCACCTCCACACTACCTTCAGTATGCAGAGCAGGTGGCTCAGGACATCACGAACGGGTTTTCGTCAACAGTCCGAGAGGACAGGTTCTCCCGGAGGACCATTCCCACTAGTACTGGTCACAACGAGAATGTTGCTCTTGCTCGGGCCTGGCTGGACCGATGCCTTAAGAGTCACGCCATCTGTGGCCAGACGGATGACTCTGCTGCAGATATCCATTGGCAACCAAAACGGCTCGTTGACGTTCATGCTCCTGACGGTCGGCTTAAAGTGGTAGAGCGAGACAAACAAACCGTTTCCGAACCGTATGTTGCCGTGAGCCACTGCTGGGGCAAGGAAGAATTCTTTACCCTGAACGCCAAAACACATGACGCAGCTGTCAATGCCCAAATACTGCTGGAGGAGTTGCCTCGGAGTTTCCGCGACGTGATCGACTTCTGTCGGAGGCTCGGCATCCCGTACATATGGATAGACAGCTTATGCATTCTGCAATCGGGCGCCCGTTCGGAGGATGACTGGTTGGACCACACCAAAGAGATGCGGCTCATCTACTCTAGATGTCTTCTCAACATCTCCGTCAACTGCGCCGCGAGTCCATACGAGGGCGCGTTTCGAGACCGCAATCCCACATGTCTGAGCGAGGCTTATGTGCCATCTAGACCGCCCGGGTGCGAGGATCTGGAGGTGACTAATTACGAATGGTATCTCGTCACCTTCGAAGAGGACTATTCCTCAGCACTGCGGAAGGGACCACTCGCGACACGAGGCTGGGTTTTGCAAGAGCGCTACCTGTCTCCTCGAATCCTATACTTTGCACAGGACCGTATGTACTGGGAGTGCAGCGGGTGGAGGACGAATGAATGCTGTCCTTTGAACTTCATGGAGAATCTCGAGCCTACAGGGGTCACACGCACCGCGAACGATGGCCGTGACAATCCGTCTGTCTTCTCCATACGTTCTACAACATTCACGCTTTCACACAGTCGTTTCCGAAACAAACCTTCGAGCCCCGAGTATCTATTGAAAATCTCATTAGAATGGTTCAGTATTGTATCCTACTATTCCGAATGCCACCTCACCTATCCTGACAAGGACAAAGCAATGGCCCTGGAAGGGATCGCACAGAAGCTAGGCATGCTGGCCCCGAAGAGCTTTTACGCCGCGGGTCTCTTCTCACACGACCTACCGCTTGGTCTATTATGGCATCTGCCTCAAGACAAAGGGAGCAACAAAAATGGACCACCAGCGGTCTCAAATTCACGGGCGCCGAGCTGGAGCTGGCTGAATGCCAACTCACCTATCCAATTCGCAATAATGTCCATGCCGGGACAGGAGTCTTCGCAAGTCTGCACTGACCATTATCTTGAGGACATACACGTCATTCCGCAGTCACATGCGCTTCAATTACGAGGCTGGTTGCTCCCTACGAGCACTATCGAGGCTGTCTATACCAGCACAAACTCCTTGCAAAGCCTTGTGTACTATTTCGATGTTGGGCGTATTGAGTGCAAGCAAAATGGAAGCTGGTGGATGTTGCCTGTGGGAAAATACTCGAACCTGTTCGGGGAAATACAGGGCGGATTGATACTGCACAAGACGGAGGTAAACGGGCAATATATTCGGGCAGGAATGTATCGATACATTTCCTATGCGCGCCCAATAGACTCGAGAGTTACGGAGGAACTCAGGAAGCACGAGAAGGTGGACTTGATGATAGTCTGACCAACTTGCTGGAGGAATAGAGGGACAAAGATTCTGCGTTTAGGCTAGGGGGATGAAAACTCATGAGCAAAGAGACATTGGGTGATCGACATCATTCTATTATCTACAACTTATATTTCCTTCTAATCTATATCTTCCACTGCAACCTGCTCGACCTCGACCACCACCACGGTAGTCCCCACGAGGTCAATGTGGATTCGGCGAGAGCCCAAGCATCTTGCAATCCTCAATACTCAGATAAGGGCCAGTCCTGATACACTTCGCCCAGATCCAGAGATTCTTACGGTTTCCGGTACATGGATCAACCCTGCCTTTGACATGTAGAAAGGCGCCATGGCTTGCGGATTTACCCGTGCCCCACTGGTCAAGATATGGATTTCTACCCTAATTATGCGTCCAACTGTCAATCTCCTGTAGAGACTGAGAGCCGAATCCCGGGATCTCCATATCCTTGTCGAGCACCGTCAGCATCGGGTGCCATGTTTCGGGATCGTCACCTCTATTCCGACCAGAAATTATTTCTTCCGACTCCCTGAGAGATGAGTTTTCGGCACAATATAACCGAGGGAATGCTCGACGCCGGCCCTGAGCGTGGTTTTGAGCCGCAAGCAAAAGCGCCATGGCTGGGATTGGATCTAGCTCCGTCGTAGAAATCTTGGTAGTCCGCGGCGATATAGGCTTCAACGATCTGTGACTTCGTGGATGGCTTTCTGCGCGCTAGTTCTCGGTAGGGGCAGGCGACGGCCGGCACGGGATGGCATGTAATGAGCGGAAGCTGATCGGTCGGGACAGCACCAGGCGCCCAGCCAAGGTTGTTGTCCACGATGAAGACGGCGTGCACGAAGGGTAAGAATCTCGACGAGCTGCTGGCGGAGGAAGCGACGGACGCGCCGGAGGGCCCCGATCGCGGTCGCGCCCGCATGGACTACCTGTGTGGTCTGAACCTCGAGCTGCGTCGGATCCGATCGAGAAAACTCGGACTACGTCGTGTCCGGCGTGTGCGGACCCCGGCGGCGCCTGGAAGACGAGGATCAAGGGGTCGACATCCTTCACAGCGCGCGTGGTGCTCTCCACGGGCACGTGAGTGCCCACGATCGTCACCTGGGCCTTAGTAGCTTCAATTAAGGGGGGAGTGGGAAGGTGGTAATAAACATTTAGTTCATAGTGATTATTGTAATTGTCCTCGACAAGGACGCTATCTTGTTCCACCTTAAGACGCTTTTGTGTGGTTGTATAATTCCCTCACGGCCTGCCCGAAGCGTCGTCACGTCTATGAACAGCTGATTTGGGGTTTTGGGTATCGCTCTTCATCTAGCAGGCCTCAATTCATTAGTCTAAGCCTTGAGACGGTTAATCTGGACACTTTTCTGAGAATACAGATCAACAGTGTGGGCGTCCAGGCCTCTGAAATCTTGTGGAATAGGAGCCGGATCTTCCGTGCCGAACGTCCAACTGAATTGAATGTCTGTAGGGTCTTATTTGTACATAATTCCATCTGTTCACGTTAGAATACTGAACAATAGCAGGCGCCGTTTTAGCCGCCGAGGATAGAACACTGAACACTTGGAGAATGGCCTCCAAGCCAGGTAGCCAGTAATAAGACCGAACCATGGGAATCCGCAACGATCAGGTATTTGGAGAGACAGAAGCAAGAAGTGGAAGACGTATGGGCTGAAGGAGATCAAGATATGGCTTTCGAAATGTACATGTATTATTTATAGTTGCCCTTTCGGGTAAGTTCCGCCGGGCGTCATAAATTGTTCGTGTGGATATACTTGCAACCTCGACGCAATGCAATCGAAACACTCTGTTCTTCTATAAACCTTAGAAACTCAGATATCTTTTCAAGAATTTCAATTGCCCATCCAGCAGTTGATCCAGATTAGCATCATGCCAGTAGTTGAAATGCCCTTTCCCTTTCGCAACCTCCAAGACCTTGGGGTCTGAGAAAGTCTCGAAGGTTTTGTGCTGCAACACGGGTGCAGAGAGCTCGTCAATCTCAGGTATCACCAGCATGACAGGTGTCGTCCCTAAGGCGGTGAAGCGTGAGAAAGGAGACCAATTGGCGATCCGATAGAGAGTCTGCACGGTAACGTTGTCTGCAAATCTTGGAGCCTGCCCCTTGGCACCTTCGACCATACCGGCCACCATGGTCCGCTGCTCGAGGCTGAGGTCTGTGAAAGCCTTGAAAATCATGAAGTGCTCGCCTTCTTCCTTATAGAAGGGTATGTAAATAGGTGGCTCTCCCCGAACTCGAGCTTCACGGTCCTTCATTGCCAGCGCCATCATGGGAGGCCCCAGTGTGGGATCGAGGGTCCAGTCCAGCACAGGTCCAATGGAGACGACGGCAGCCACACGTTTGTCCACGGCCGCTGCCTCGAGAACTTGAGTTCCGCTCCAGAAGAAACCCCAGAGAGCAATGCGCTTGGAGTCAATCCACTCAAAAGTCTTCAAGAACTACCGTGAGGATCGAGTTAGCAGGAGGATCTATCAGGACGCTATGGGTGAAAGAGAGGGTCGGTACGAACAGTGACAGCGTCATGCATGTCTTCAATGAGCTTGCGCTGGTCGAGGTCGCTTCGGGGCTCGCCATCACTTTCGCCAACAGTGCGGGGATCATAGACGAGGACTGTCAGGCCATGGTGTTGAAACCATGCTGCTACAGGGTTGAGAATGAGCTCTTTGGGGTAGTTAAACTTGACGGGCAGTGTCAATAGGACTGAGATGACGGAAGAGGCCGGGGCAACGAGTACACTTACACCGTTGTGGAGGATCACGGCCGGGCCACCCTTTACTCCCGGGTACAGCCATCCGCGCAGGGTAAGCCCGTCCAGAGTGGGGAATTTGATGTCACGACGCTCCATAGCTTGGGGGGTACGACAAATCGGGAGTAGAATCTTCTGTTAATCTTATACGATATTGCATCGAGTTTACCAAGATATGGACTAGATTCCCCTGTGCGGTGTATCAATTCGAATCATTTATACTTTTCTCCCCTTAGTATTGGCTATAGTATGGAATAAAAGACAGACTCAATGTATTGTGAATGTCGCAGATGACCCGTCCTCCGATCTAACAGCCGGTCACCGTCGAACAGACTCCGGTGTCTGGTTGGACTCGGAAAGTGCCGCATAGCCATGACACGGAGTTTGGATATTCATTTCGGAAATGGCCTGCATGTATCATCACCGAGATCCTGAGTGTCCGAGCCCAGATGGACCTTTTTGTAAACTGGGGCATCATCATGCCCTGTAGATCACGGTGTTGAAACAAAGTATCTACGAGAGCTAACCTACGGGCCGGACCGACAGGATTTTCGGCACATCATCACACGCTCGCTCCACATAACCCCCTGGTGAGTGAGACGATGCAAGTACACCCTATCGGCACGGACTACCGTTTTAGGTAATATCCGCATGCCCAGCCCCCAGACCCTCCGAAAGACATGACATGCGACAATGCAGGATAAAGCAGGGGGGTAAAAGAAGGACGCGCTTCTGAAGGTCTGGCTGCAGGCTCGGCGGTCTGACCTGGCCATGTCGACGATGACGGAGGCCGGAAATCAATCCGGGATTTGGTCGCCATGGCAAAGCGATGGAGTCGTAGCAGCTGCTCCGAGCCCTTGAGCCCAATCGTCGAGCACCCATGCAGATATGCGTATATGGAGCACAGATTCGGAAGAGAAGCGAACACCTGAGCCACCGTAGTGCATTTACGACCGCGTAAACGTTTCTACCGCTGATCAGACATCTGCTTTTGCTTTGTGTCCCTCTTATCTCCGATTAAGTTTTCTCAGGCCGAAGAGTGATTCCGGATTCCTCCGCCGTCGTCGCCACAACTTCCGCCGTTGCCACACGTAACTCCGCCTGATTGAAGTAAATGGATGCGGTCTATTCTCATTCGTCTACTCGCTTTTAACGTATTTGCAATTGTTTTCGTAGATACATGAAGTCCGAAGAGGTGGGGTATCTTGTTTGCACACTGTACCTTTGAACACTGGTTCCGAACATGATTACGCGTGAAGTGCAAACCGTAAGAGATTATTTGTTAAGCAAGAATTAGAGGCCATTTCAAGAGGAACAGGAACCAATCTGATTCCATTAGACAAAGTCGAAGCTATGTGTAACTGTAGGGGCGCCAACGGAGTGTTGCTTAAGTAGAAACGTTATGGACAGGGAACCGCCCTGATCAGCAGGGATAAGATGAAATCGACAAAAAGGTGTAACATGAGCGCCAAGAAGAACGACTTGCCTATCTTCTACCATTGTGCCGTGCTGACGTGCATATGCATGTGCCCAAGCCTCTCGCGGCAAGAATGCAGTAAAAACGTCAATCGATCGATGCGGGGGATCACGAACCTCTAATACTATGTCCCCGCTTGAGCTCCTCCCACTGGAGCAGGCCCTCACATACAAGACCGACGAACACAGTGATTCGCTAGACATGCGTATAATCCCTGACAGAAAAGAATGTACCCATTTGCGGCGATCAGTCCTAATTACACAATAGAGTATTCAAGCCCCAGTACGGAAGATCCATCCTAGATAGTGCTTGTAGTTTTACTGTGTGTGACCAGGGGGTTGCTCCCGTCTCGAGTTACGCTGGCATTCGGCCGTGCGAGTTTGATACGGTCGACACACGTGTTTACATCACAAGTCCACGGGGGGCAGGGCACTTGCATCCGGTAGATGACTGGCAAGCTTACCAAGGCTCAGCGTCTTCTTGCTCGTCTGCGACGTACCGGCTCAGTGCTGACGTGATGGGATGGTACCAATTCCTAGAAATAGCTATTTATCTGACAAAGCCCTGCGACATTGAACTAAAGAGCCCCTCGAAGGCCCCTTCAGATACCAGGATGTCCTACCGACAATCTTGTGACCGCTGCCGGCAACAAAAGGTCCGATGCCTGCGAGAAGAGCCGCAAGCGGTAGACAATGATGCCCCGTCTGGGCAGCACCTGCCCCCATGTGATCGATGCACTAAAGCTGGTGTGGCTTGTGTGTACAGCCGTACGTATCCCATCCATGTATCCCTGCTCTGATGTTGGTTCATTTTTACCAGTGGAAAGTCCCAACGCTGACCCGGCGGTTGCGCTTAGTGAGACACAGGTCTAGGCGACTGTCGGACCGCAAAACTACTCGTACGGATCTGAGTATGCCGACTCTGCCTGTCGGGCAAGGCCTGACCGAGCTCTTCACTCGAAGCAGCGTTTTGGGGCCTGATCTGGGAGACCTCACGGGAATATTTCCCGGCCTAGACAGCGCTCCGGAGTTAGTACCGAGCAGCTTTGATGGCACCGACCCATGGGACCAGCATCTCTTCTCTCCGCTCTCCCTTGAAGCACCGCCCGTCAGTCAGCTTGGCACCGAAAATCACAAACTGAGCGCTATGCACGGATCCTCGCCTAGTCCTGACGACAAAGATCCCGTTGGGGCCTTGAATGCCGAGCTAACCGCCCTAAACTCCCGAACCGTGCTCTCCATGCGCTCCTTGATACTTCCGGGCGGTGCTCCTCTAACTGTCAACTCACCTGTTGTCAATGACGCTTTCGAGGCCACTACAGAACTTATACGCATCATCAATACAATTGCTCACATCTCAGTACCGAAGTCTCACGAAGACCACGGCCATGTTGTGACCGATGGCCGTTCATCTATGACTTCCGGGCTGGTGTTTCTTTCCCTCGCAGTTCATCAGCACCTGTTGGGCTTGTTCAGGGCAATTTGCAATTCTGTCGAACGTTGTCTAGACTCTATAAGCTCTAGCAGCAAATCCCAACAACGAGGCTTACACGGCGAAGGGCCATCATCTGCTCAGTTCGTCATGGTTCTGCAGCTACTCATACACCTTATAGGGCGGATGGACCGGAGCCTTTTCAGCAACACTATGAGTCTTACAGGAGAGAATCAAGGGTCCAGTGCGGATAGTATTGTGTCAGGCTACATGGGAGGAGACTCCTGGGACAGTGAAGGATCTCAGTGCGTCATCGTGCTTGCACAAGCCATTGTCGAGACGCTGCCAGAGGAGCACGTCAAGCTCAAGGACCTGATTCAGTTATTATTGAAGCGGATGGAAGGATCTGATGTTATCTAATGTGTAGAGAAGAGGTGCGAGAGGCCATCAATAGCGAGGGTGTTATCAATACACGGGAGGTTCCACAGGATGCAAGCAGTGTTTTAATGCACTTCACTTTACCTCAGTTATTGAAGCTAAAAGACAGGGTAGATCTTTTAATCGCTGGACCACGTTCTTCCTACGCGATCAACGGCATTACAATCTTTCTAGCTCGGACGTCGCCAGCGCGCAGACGCTCCAGTTCTGTCGGGATGTTCGCCAACCCTCCATCTTTGACGTCAACGGGGTGGTGCTTGATTCTCCCATCTTGCAACAGCTGCTCAATGACCGCGAAGAGACGTGACCCAAATATCTGATGCTCCTTTGAGCTAGGTCTACCAATGCTTCCGTGCTGTGCGGACACCCCAAGGACCGTCTCGACCATCACCCAGTCCGCGCGGATATCCCTTCGTGTATACTTGACAGTTGTTACGACCGGCCTCAGAGCAGTGTATATGCCGCCGGATGAGCCAATGGCCTTGTAACACATGTTCATGGTTTCGTCGTCAGCAATGCAGTCTAGAACGTGAGCCAGGTTGTTATTCGTGTGAGCCCGGATGTCTGCGCCACACGTGGGAGAGTGGTAGTCGAAACATGCCGAGGCACCATACGACTCGCAGAGGGCGTTATTGCCGGGCGAGCACGTCACAATTGGCGTGTAACCAGCACTGAAACCCATGAGATATTAGCTTTAAGCCTCATTCTCCCGAGGTGAAAGTGCCCATACATCTTGAGCAGCTGTATAGCCATCGTACCAGTAGCCGTCGCCCCTCCTGACACCAGGATAGTGGCCTTCTCTCGCCCTTGAGTACCCTCTGCTTGCGGCATGGATAGCCGTAGGCCCGGGGCCTGGAAGATGGCCAACCCAGCGGCAGCAACAGCAACTCCCATCGAACATGCCTCTGTGAAAGCCAAAGCGCCCGGCAATCGACAAGACGCGTTCTCTCTTGCCAAAGCGAATTCGGCAAAGGCGCCCGCTGTCTTTTCTGCATGGTTGAGACCAGTGGTGAACCCGAGAATACGATCACCGACGTTGAATCGCGTGACGCCTTCGCCGATCTGGATCACAGTACCCGCAAAGTCGCATCCACCTATTGCTCCTGGAGTGTTGAAGTGGTCCAGTATCATAACATCGTACGGGTTGAGAGCAACTGCGTGGACACGGCACAAAACAGTGCCTGGACCTGGCGCGGGGATATTGATATTGTCAGCAAGGCGATAGTCGCCTTCTTTGCTACCGACAAGGGCTTTCATCGTAAGTTGCATGGTAACTGGTTGGTGCTGTGGTTTGTTTGAACACAGAGTCAGACTTGACGGCTCAGGGTCGGGTGATTCCGCACGTTGATATGGAATTGTAATGAGGACAGACTTGAGCAGCCGAGGTATGGAAACTCCTTGTCAGGCTACTACTGATCTAACCAAACATCGAATCCGTTTGACTACTCAGCGCAAAGTCGCCTTCACTGTCCAGAGATTGGTCATCGGATGTATACCCAACCCGACGCGGAACCCGGCAATTTCCGGCACCTGGCGATCAACTTCCGAGACCGAGAATACCGATGCAGAATGTCCGATTTATCAGACCTAGTAGCGGAGGCAAGAAGTAGGGAATGGAAGGTTGAAGTTATCAGCCGGAAAAACAGAGTCTGGAGAGGATAGGAAATATGACAACAACATTAATGGCACGGGCTTGAGCATCGAGCGACAAGACCGAAAGAATTGTCCGAGGTCTTCTGGGCGAGTTACTAAGTGCATGGGCATGCATTATCCTCTACGAGCGGGAGGATGTAGCTATACACCTCCTCACTTACCTGGATTGCAACACAAGATTGTTAGAATAAGAGTGCCTTGCATTCCGCCTTGACATGATCCCTCACTCTCTGTAGCCAGTGCGTATGTAGCGCACAGCAATTTCACTCACGACTACTTGCACGAGCTTCTAGTGATTACCCTTATTGTGATCCTCTTCCAGTCTCACTCAATAAAACTATCGGAATGGGTAGTCAAGGCTTTGAAGGACCCTATGGCCGGGAGCCGATCGCAATCATAGGTAGCAGCTGTCGCCTCCCGGGCGGTGCCTCGTCTCCCTCCCGGCTCTGGGACTTGCTCTTAGAACCGAAAGATCTCGTACAAGAGGTTCCATCCAGTCGCTTTAATATCAAAGCGTTTTACCATCCCGATAGCCAACATCACGGGGTAAGAAACTTCCCTACACGCCGTTCAGACAAGCAATTATTCAAATTGTTTGGAGGCCGCATGCTAAATTGGCGATGTCAGAGTTCAAATGTTCAACATGCATACCTAATCGACCACGACCCCAGGGTCTTTGATCGAGACTTCTTTGCCATGAATCCCAAAGAAGCCGAGTCGCTCGATCCACAACAGAGGATGCTGCTTGAGACGGTATATGAAGGCCTCGAATCGGCCGGATACTCGATACAGCAGCTCCGGGGTTCTCCAACTGCGGTATTTGTGGGAGTCATGCTCGTCGACATGCAATTCATCTCTTCTCGGGGCCTTGATACCCTGCCACAGTACGATATCACCGGTACTGCCCGGTCGATTTTGGCAAATCGAGTATCGTACTTCTATGACTGGAATGGGCCCTCAGTGGCAGTGGATACAGGCTGCTCATCAAGCCTTGTGGCACTCGATCAGGCGGTTCAAACGCTCCGTAATGGGGATTCAACCATGGCTGTCGCTGCAGGGACCAATCTTATCCTCGACCCATACCCATTCATAGCTGCCACAAGTGTAAGTGGTCCCTACAAGACCAAATCTTAGATGCCAGCCCAGACTGATTATACCGTGTCAGCTCAATATGCTGTCCCCGAATGGTCGATCGTGCATGTGGGATATACGTGCGGACGGATACACCCGTGGAGATGGCTTCTCTGTTGTGGTGCTGAAGACCCTGAGCCAAGCTATTGCTGATAACGATCACATCGAATGCATTGTGCGAGAAACTGGGGTCAATCAGGATGGCCGGACACCAGGTTTGTGGGAAGGTCACCTTGTTCTCATATCGGGTATTCTAACTTGAGTTTAGGTATCACCATGCCGAGTGCAACAGCCCAAGCATCTTTAATCAGATCCACCTATGCAAAATGTGGATTAGATGTCTCTCGCAAATGTGACCGGCCCCAGTTCTTCGAGTGCCATGGAACTGGAACTCCCACAGGAGACCGTAAGTGTCACTTTCAGACCAATGCAGATTTTTATCCAGTTCCATTCAGAATTTGGCGATGAGAAATACTGACACGGTACCAATATGACTAGCTCTTGAGGCGGAGGCCATTCAAAGTGTCTTTTTCCCAGGCAATAAAAGACAGGGAAACGATGAGCTTCTCGTTGGCTCGATCAAGACCATTGTCGGTCATACCGAGGGCAGTGCTGGTCTCGCTGGTGTCATCAAAGCATCTTTGGCGGTTCAGCACGGTAAGATCCCTGCAAACCTTCATTTTGAAGAACTCAACCCAAAGATCCAACCGTTTTATGGCCATCTCCGCGTGCCGACAACTACGCTGCCCTGGCCTGATTTGCCCGAAGGAGCACCTCGCCGTGTCAGCGTCAACAGCTTTGGCTTTGGGGGCACCAATTCCCATGCGGTACGTTCTTGACTCATTTATTCATTCGTCCAAAACCAAAGCCATTGGAACTGACAGACATCTAGATTATTGAGAGCTGGGATGGTCCCGGAAGTAAACATTACACCTCCTCGAAATCTATCGGCGGTGGTCTCTTCGTGCTGTCCGCTGGCTCCGGCCAGTCTTTGTCAAAGACGGCATTGGTGCTAGCAGAGTATCTACGACAGCATCCCGAGACCGATCTGAGTGCGCTGGCCTTGACGCTGTTCCGTAGAGGAAGCTTCCCATTCCGCGCAGCCTTTTCGGCCACGACAGTAACACAGCTTATTGATAAGCTTGAGCGCAGCGCTGAGGAATTGAGCACCAGTTCACGTATTCCTATGCTTCCGGACAGCCTTCCACCTCGCATTCTCGGTGTTTTCACGGGACAGGGTGCGCAGTGGGCTACCATGGGTAAGGGCCTTTACGAAGCATCCGACATCTTCCGCCACTCTCTAGACCAAATGCAGTCCAGTCTCGACTCTTTGCCGAAAGCAGACCGGCCTGGCTGGTCTCTCGTTGAGGAGCTCCTTGCACCGAAAGACACATCTCGTCTGGGTACGGCCGCCATTTCACAGCCACTCTGCACTGCTCTGCAAGTCTCTCTGGTCAATGTTCTCCACGCTGCTGGGATTGAATTCGCAGCTGTTGTGGGGCATTCATCGGGCGAGATCGGCGCTGCGTATGCCGCAGGGTATCTCGATTCTAAGGATGCCATTCGCATCGCGTATTACCGAGGCGTGTACTCTAGCCTGGCAAAGAGCTCTAACGGACAACGGGGCAAGATGATGGCCGTCGGCATGTCGTTAGAAGAGGCAACAATATTCTGCAGCGAGTTTAAGGGGAGACTTGCAGTCGCAGCCAGCAACTCAGCGACGAGCTGCACACTCGCAGGTGACGCTGAAATTGTCGAGGAGGCCCAGCTGCGACTGCAAGGAAGTACCTTTGCTCGTGTCTTAGCTGTCGACACGGCCTATCATTCTAACCACATGGTACCATGCGCGATCCCTTATCTTGAGGCGATGCGTCGTTGTGGAGTCAAAGTCCAAAAAGGCCCTAGACGATGTCAATGGTACTCCAGCGTCTGGGGCTTCGATGGCGTTGCTCGATCGTTTGAGGATGACCATGTCCTTCTGACGGACCAGTATTGGGTTGACAACATGACAAAGCCGGTCTTCTTCAACCAGGCTATTCACCGTGCTGTGAGTGAAGAGCACTGCTTCGATATTGCTTTTGAAGTTGGGCCACACCCGGCTCTAAAGGGTCCTGCATCTGAAACCATCGATGCCCTGGCTGGGACTTCCCTTCCGTACACCGGAGTTTTAAACCGCGGAAAGAGCGCAGTGGAGACTTTTGCAGATGCCTTAGGTCTTGTGTGGAAATTGTTTCCGTCGGCGTGCCCCATCGTCAGATTTGAGGACTTGAACAAAGCTTACTTTAGCGACTTGCCAAAGAGACCTGTTGTCTTGAAGGGGCTACCAACTTACTCATGGGATCATGATAACATCCTGTGGAAGGAGCCGAGAGCATCAAGGGTCTTGCGCACTCGGGTTGATCCTCGACATGAGCTCTTGGGTCATGCAATCAATCACGGCGAAGGCGATACACGCGAGGTTCATTGGCGGCAAGTCTTGAAAGTCAACGAACTCGCTTGGCTACGTGGCCATCGTATCCAAGGCGAGGTTTTGGTTCCTGCGTCTGCTTTCCTGTCCATGGCTTATGAGGCAGCCGTCCGGTTGGCTGATGACCAACATACGATACAGCTGATTGAGCTCCACGACATAGATTTTGTTCGCGCACTGCGACTGGAAGAGGACTCTACAGGTGTTGAGGTTCTCTTCACAGCTGGAGTGATTGGCCGAACAAAGGGATACCTAGAGTTGCAAATAGCCTGTTACAGCAGCTCGGTTGACGCACAGGGCCAATTTGACAACTCTAAAGCAGGAGTTAGTTCTCATTTCAGGGCCAGGGCTCGTCTATTTCTTGGAGACGCCCGGGAGCATACATTGCCCGCCCGTGTTGCTCCTCTTCTTCCGATGGATGCTCTGGACATGGAGCAATTCTACTCGGGTCTCTCCGAGATTGGCTTCAATTACTCTGGACACTTCCAGGCTAGCAAAATAGTTCGACGACTGGACCAGGCCGAGGTCACGGTTGCGGTACCGCCGGATAACTCGAAACTGAGAGCATGCATGCATCCTTCACGCGTCGATACCGCCTTCCAAGGCCTCTTCGCCGGATTCTCGTTCCCTGGAGACGGTCGTCTCTACACAACATACTTGCCTACACACATTGACTGTGTAAGGATAAGCATGCAGCCTTCCGAGTCTCAGTCACCATATTTTCATGCCGACTGCCTCGTGACCTGGGGTGATGCAACTTCTTTGATCGGAAATGTGGACCTATTCGATCCTAGAGACTCCCACACCGAAGTTCAAATGCGAGGAGTTCGTCTGACAGCTGTCGGTCAGCACAAGGATCGCTGGCTCTATGCCACGGAAACTTGGATTCGAGACGCCGCCTCCGGAATTGAACCAGGCGATCGGGCCAAGCTGTCGGAAGAAGACACGTCCCTGGGCGAGATCCTGATGCGAACAGCCTATTGCTACTACCGTCAGCTTCGCAGAGAGGTCAATCGCCTAGAACTGGATCAACTAGGCAAATATCAGCATCATATGATGACATGGATCCTCGACCATCTCTTCCCACAGATTGAATCAGGCAACCATCCGGATATTCGCCCCGGATGTGGGTGGGAGAATGACACCATGGACATCCTGTACGAGATGGGAAGTAAATACCTGGCTGTTGGAAACATTGATATGCAGCTGCTTCATGCCGTGGGGCAAAAACTTCCCGACATAGTCCGCGGCACCATTCCTCCCCTCCAAATTCTCATGCGGGATGGCATGGTCGAGCGGCTCTACGTGGAAGGCCTCGGAGTCGAGGCTGTGAATCGTGACATTGGTGCACTGGCAAAGCAGATTGCTTGCCGGTATCCGCGTATGCGTATACTCGAGGTTGGAGCCGGAACTGGCGGAGCGACGCGGAGCATTCTCCATACCATCGGTGACCATTATGCTTCCTACACATACACGGATATCTCGGTCGGTTTCTTCGAAAAGGCACGCGATCTCTTCAAGGACAGCACCAAGGCTACATTCAAAACGCTGAATATCGAGAATGATCCAGCTGCTCAGGGCTTTGTTAACGGTGCTTACGACATGGTTGTTGCGTCCAATGTGCTGCACGCAACCCACAAGCTCGAGGAGACGCTCCAGCACTGTCGGCAGTTGCTCCGGCCTGGAGGGTACTTGCTCCTTGTAGAAATCACCAGTGACAATCTGCCCATGCAGCTCTACATGTCGATACTTCCGGGGTGGTTCCTCGGCATCGAAGACGGCCGTGTCTGGGCTCCCACAGTCGGCGTCGATCGATGGGACTCACTCCTAAAGTCCACCGGATTCTCAGGGGTGGAGACGGTCTCGACGCCTTCATTCTGCAGCGTGATCATGTCTCGAGCGACAGATGATAACGTTCGCATCCTCCAGGAACCTCTGAAGGTCGCGTCATCGCAACTGCCCAACATCGGTGAAGTCCTGATTGTGGGTGACGGCAACTCGGACCTAGCATGCAAAACCCGCGATCTCCTTAGAGCTACTATCTCCTCGCCGATTGCGATACACCCAAACCTCGAGGGCATTCGAATCTCTACCACGACTGCCGTCCTCTGCCTCTGTGACCTATCCAGCCCAATCTTCGCCGACATGAGCGAGGCGAGGTTCAAGAGCCTGCAAGGTGTCATCCAGAACGCCGATATCGTGCTGTGGGTGACGCACGGTTCAACATCCGGCAAGAAACCCGAGGCCGCCATCACAGTGGGCCTAGGGCGGACGGCACTTGTCGAGCGGAGTGATCTGCGGCTGCAATTTCTAGATGTTGATGACCCGAACTCCGTCGATCCGTCCCTGCTTGCAACACTCTTCCTTCGTCTCTCTTGCATCGGCCAGTCCAGATGGGACAATGTACAGTGGACGCACGAGCCCGAGCTAGCGCTGCAAAACGGTGCCCTTTACTTCCCCAGAGTCCTTTCACTAGAATCAGTCAACCGTCGGACGGCGGCAAGAAACCGCCAAGTTAGTCAAGTGGCAGAAGTCGGGACCTCTGGTACCGCTGTGGCCTTGTCCAAGCATGGAGCTATCGAGATCGATTCCGTCCCACTCGGCAAGATAGAAGTCGCCAAAATTCGCGTCTGCGTCACGGCATCCTCGTTTCATCCCTTGACTGATGACGGAAACGTGGCCACATATCTTTGTATGGGCCGGGATGTGAGATCAAAGGACAAGGTCCTTGCTCTGGCCGATGACAACAAGTCGCTGGTAGACGTCTTCCAGGCCGATGTCGTCCATAGCTGGGCCGCCACCGGGGATATCGATGCAGATGAGACAGACGCCTCACAGCTGAGTTATCTATTGGGACGAGCTCTAGCAATGCACATCTTACGCGATTCAGCAGCTCCTCTCTGGATTCATGGAGCCCCCAATGATCTAGCCCAGAGCATCGATCTTGTCGCACAAGAGCAGAGGCTTGCGGTGTTACAGACAACATCTGAAGATGACGATACTTCTGGACGCACGTTCATCCATCCATATGCGAGCAATCCCACCCTCCAAAGCCTGATTCCGAAGGGACTTCGAACATTCATCACTTTCAAGCACCCGATCAATGATGACTTGAATGAATCGATAGTGCGGATACTGTCCCGGACCACAGCAATCAAGAAACTCAAGGTTCCGTCTCTTTTAGAGTTGAATCGTGAGGACCAAGTTCAGCATTTCAAGCAGTGCTTCCAGAAAGAGCAGCTTATTAGCACGGCAGATGCTCAAATCTTCCCCATCGACAGCGTTCCGTCCACAGAAGCGACATCCACGGTACTTCCTACAGCAGTGGTTAGCTGGACGGGCCCCAAAGCCATCACTGCCCTGGCGCGTCCACTCCAACATCAAGGGCTGCTCTCGGCCGATAAAACATATATCCTTTTCGGTATGGGAGGCGACATGGGAATATCCGTATGCAAGTGGATGGTGGAGAACGGAGCGCAGAATGTGGTTCTGGTGAGTCGAACTCCGAAGGTGCCACCAGGAGTGATCGAATACATGGCCCAGCGAGGGGCCCATGTCCGGGTTATGGCGGTAGACATCACGAACCGCGAGGTGCTACGAGCTGCCTGCGCCGACGTCCAAGCCACCATGCCGCCTGTTGGTGGTGTTATCAACGGTGCCATGGTCCTCCGTGATCGCATGTTTGTCAACATGTCTCTGGCCGACTTTTCGGCGGTTCTAGCGCCAAAATTGCGCGGAACACAGCATCTCGACGAGATATTTGGAGAGATGGAGTATCCTGACTTGGAGTTCTTCATTGCCCTTTCATCCACCATGACCGTGGTGGGAAACATTGGCCAGTCTGCTTACAACGCTGCCAACCTCTCCATGACCAGCCTTATCCGCCAGAGGCGTCGCCGTGGGCTTGCGGGCTCGGTGGTCGTCCTGGCTGTCATGTCAGGCTTCGGCTATGTTTTCCGGGCCAATGCAGATCAGGTCTCTACTCTACAAGAGACTGGATTCGCCCGTGCCGTCAGAGAGTCGGAAACGGAGCTGCACGAGATGCTGGCCGAGGCTATTGTCTGTGGTCGGCCAGACTCGGGTCAGCCTCCCGAGCTTATCACAGGTCTTGAGACGACATTTGAGGTGCCCCGGCGTCGCGACCTGCGTCTAGCCTGTTATTTTGCAGAGCAAGACAACTCAAACTCTCAACAGACGGGGGCGAAGACACACGAGAGTAAGAGCACAAACGTGGAAACTCGGTTGGCCGAAGCCAAGGAGCCATCGGAGTGTTTAGCCGTGTTGGAACAGTCTTTCTGCGAGACATTGGGGAAAGTATTGGACATCGACCCTGAGCATATGGATAGAAGTATGCCAGTGGCAAATCTGGGTATCGATTCTCTCGTTGCTGTGCGGATCCGAGAATGGTTCCTCGATCAAATCGGCGTCGATGTGTCAGTCCTCAAAATTCTCTCCACCAGCTATTCCCTGTCGCGTCTTTGCGAGGATGTCCTCGTCGACTGGAGAAAATTACGGAAAGAGCCGGAGATGGAGACCAAGACAAACGGGCTCAGTTCAAATGGTGAAACACATATGGACTGGGAAAGGGAACTGGCTAGACTCCAGGATGAAGTGCAGGGCCTCGTCCCTCAAGACATCGACTCTCGGGTCACACCTCGTCAAAGCGGTGGGCTTCGTATCGTTCTCACGGGTGCCACCGGCTTCATAGGCACAAATCTCTTGCGCTGTCTCATCGCGGATCCTCGTGTTGAAGAGGTCCATTGTCTTGCCATCCGTTCACGGCCGGTCAAGGTGCAGAACGCCAAAGTATATCAGTACCAGGGCGACCTCGGCAAGGCGCTCCTCGGGCTTTCCATGGATGACTTCGCCCGCTTTTCCCAGACAGCAGATATTATCATTCACCTGGGGGCAGATGTTAATCTGCTAAAGTCTTACGATGCCCTACGCGATGCCAACCTAGGCTCAACCCAATTCTTACTCGCCATGGCAACCCCTAGGCGCATTCCGGTCCACTACATCTCGTCGTCGGCAGTCGCCTTGCTGCAGAAAGATAGTGCAGAGCTTGCCGAGACTTCAGTCTCAGTCTTCTCTCCTCCGCCAGACGCCGAGTCTCAGCTGAGGACCGGTTTTGGCTATGCGACCTGCAAATGGATGGCCGAAATGCTACTGGAACGAGGGTCGGGCGATGTACCAGCGACAGTACACCGCTTCGTCAACATAATGGGTACCGAAGCCCCGGAGGAGCACTATCTCGTGGCTCTAGACCGCTACTGCACGAGAATGCGGGCCGTGCCGCTGCTTGATCCGGAACGTTGGCAAGGACAACTTGACATCATGGACATTGATGAGCTCACGCCAGCCTTCGCTTCCACTGTTCTTGAGCAAATCGAGCGGCCTTTTGCGATTCACAACTACTGCAGCGGGGGCAAGTACGGTATGGCCGATCTGGAAGAAATGTACCGTGAGAAGCTCGGGAGTGATGTTGAAGTGTGGCCGCTGAATAAATGGTTGCGGAAGGCAACAGAGATGGGCATGAGCAGAGGAGTTGAGAGTTCCTTCCTTGACACGGGTTATGTTGTACGAGCTCCGAGTCTCCTCCCTGGAAAGTCATGAAGAAAGGAGCCCAGCTCCAGCAATATTCGGAACTTTCTGCTTTTTCTTTGGCTAAAGTATTGCACTTACCTATGCTTTCCTTGCACTTGAGCTCTTCAAATGTTTCAATGGATCTATTTAATTATAGAGCGTCTGCATAATCAACTGATCACAAATACGAATGTCGACTAAGTGAGATCAAATGAATTTAAGTCTCACTTTTTTGAAGAGAGATCGCTGCAATATTTCATAACACCAAGGGACAAATCAAATGCAGCCTGTTTGTCCATTAAACTCAGAGTCGAACCTCTTATCTGCTTGGGGCGGGCTCATCCGCTATTGTGCAAGGCTTGTACCCAGAGCCTTACGCAAAGAATTTGATCCTCTTCCTTTATTCATCAACTTGAAGACCACCCCAACCGGTGACCAGGCAATAAGATATTTCAGTCTCCTGGCCATTCCACCTTCCCAAAAGACCCCGCTCTCGCCAGCCAGTATATGACGAATGATAGCCTTGGCAGTAGCCTCTGGCGTGGCGGTATTTCGCCCTGTCGGCTTGATTCCCTCGCCCGCGGCTCTTACATGATCAATCATAGTCTGTACAGGCTTGTACAAGGAGTCCGGCGGGAGGTTGAGCTGGTCTTGCTTGTCCCACATGGGTGTATCCACGATGCCAATGAGGATGCAGATGACACGGACACCCAGGGGCTCTAATTCATATCGAAGGACTTCAGACATGTGCCTGACTGCTGCCTTGGAGCTCCCATAGATGCCTATATGCCACACCAAGAATAGATTAGCGCAAGCCTCTTCCCAAAGGTCCCCAAAGGTCACTTCTCTTACACAGGAACCAACTTACCGTCCCACAGCATCGGAAAGCAACCAGCTATTGACCCATGGTTGCAGATAGTGCCCTTGGCGCGAATAAGCATGGGCGCAAAGATCTGGGACATGGCAAGCATGCTCCAGAAATTGGTGTCGAACGCTCGTCTGGCCTCGTCCAGATCGACATCGAGGAGCGGGAACCATTGGCTGTAGGCGGCGTTGTTTACCAACACGTTTAGCAAACCACCGGTTTTCTCCTCCACAACCCGTGCGCAGTCATCGATGGAATCTTTAGAAGTGATGTCGAGGATGAGCACCTCAATACCATCGTCATTGACCAAGGCACCGGCCTTAGCGAGGCTGCGAACAGTTGCAAAGACGTGAAACCCATGCTCGCTGAAAGTCCGGGCCATGGCATAGCCGAGACTACCCTCACTACAACCTGTGATCAGAACAGATTTCTTTGCCATTGTGGATCGTCGCTTGTCAAATTGTAACACTGGAGAAGTGAGAAGCGGGGGAAGGGCTGGCAGGTCTGATAATGCATGCGATAATCATGCAGGATCGCAATTTAATTACTTTGCGCTTAATGCCGACTCGGACTCCGCCATCCGATCCCAAGTCTTCCGAAACTCCGATTTTACCGTGTCGGTAAGACAAGACAGTAAGACCGGTGTTAAGAGTGTTCTCATACTGGTAGACTCTTAGCATTTCCGGACCAGCTCGCAAGAGATGGAAACGGAGCCGAAGCAGCGCCATGGCCACCGCCCTGGAGCACCTTGCTGATCGCCTCTGCCATTCCGGAATAATTGGTTCCAATCAGGAGAGAAAAGGATTTCAAAGCATGCCGAAGGGTTACTATCTATCTCGAAGGGGACTTGAAGCCATCCCCAGCGCATAAATGATAAGACCGAGACGGTCTCCTCTTTTGGCGTTACCGGAAGAACACGTAGGATACACGGTGCCCATTATTGAGCCTACTCAGATTTCTGCGCGCGAAAGTGTCCTGGTCAATAATCTGCGAGAATGCTTTCTGTGTCTTCCTTGCCAAACAGCAGTGTCCTTCATGGTACTGTCTACGCTCTGTTATTCCTGGTCATTACGCAGACAATACTCTTCATCCTCGGTGCCCTCCGCCCAAAAGGCTTCCCTCCTGGCCCGAGAGGGTTACCCGGCCTGGGCAACCTCCTGCAGATTGACAGGAAGTTCCCATTTCGTACGTTCACCGAATGGGCCAGGAAGGTGGGTAAGGATACTCCCCTAGGATGGAAATCGGCTATGAACAACGTCATCGTCCTTAACAGCGCGCGGCTCGTTCACGAGCTGTTCGATAAGCGCGGGTCTGTCTTTAGCGACAGGCCTTACATGTACATCAACGCCGAATGGATCGTGCGGTACGACTTCAAGGTCGCCGTGTTTCAGAATAACGATGCGTGGCTAAATCGCTGGCGCAAGGATGTCGCACTCATGTTGAGCTCGGCATCAATCAAGAAGCTGGCGCCTGTCTATGAGGCCGAGGCAGCGAGGCTGTTGGTCAAGGTCCTGGAGTCGGGCCCGGCCACGGGTCACAAGCTCATGGACGTCTTGACCATGGGCATGCTCAGCGTGCCGTGCCTCGAGCTATGCGGGAGGCGACCGGATGACCTAGGTGTCTTTGAGAACTTTAGACACGTCATGGAAACCTGGTTCTCTCTCGTCACGCCGGGCGCGACCGACGTTTTTCCCCTTCTGCGCTGTCTACCCGGGTTTCTCGCACCGTGGAAGTACAAAGCTCAGGAAGTCAGAGATTCCCTACTCGTCCCTGGAAATGCTGTTCTGCAGGCGGGGAGAGCGCAGCGTGCTTCCTTGGACGCCGGGTCAAGCGGGTTTGAAAGCTTGCTGGCCAAGATACTTAGAGACCAGGCTGGTCAGAAGGAACCCTTTTACACGTCGAGGGAGCTGAGCTTAATTGCTGTGACAATGCTCATAGGCGGATCAGACTCCTCTTTGGTCTTGTTTTCGACTGCTCTTTCAGTTTTTGCCCACTATCAAGACGCGCAGCGAAAGGTCCGCACTGAGATCCTCGACTTGCTCGGCGTTGCGCCACCACGAGTAGCGAATCTGCCAGATCTTCGCTTTTTGGAAGCTTGTTTCAACGAAGTAAATAAATCCCCATTGCCCCAGACCCCAAGGACGGAATAACCGTTTACGGTAGCGTCTGCTAACCTCACAAACGATGTAGATTCTCCGCTGGCGTCCTGTGGCCCCGATGGGCATTCCCCACGCACCATCCCGGGACGATACAATCAACGGCCACCGCATCCCCAAGGGATCCTCGATCATCCCCAACGTATGGAACATACACCACGATGAAGCTGACTACGAGAGTCCAGATGAGTTTATTCCGGAGCGCTTTCTACGTCACCCATTCGGAATGAGGGTGGACGATGAGCACGAACCCGCACGCCTGGAGAAGCAGGGCCGGCGGATGAACTACACTTTCGGGGCTGGCAGAAGGGTATGTCTGGGCATGGAATCAGCTAAGAAGAGCTTCTTGATCGGCATGGCAAAGTTCCTGTGGGCTTTTGAAGTACACCCTCGAGACCCAGGGCGAGGGGTTGACCTCAGTCTTGACACTGGGTTTATTTCTGATCTGACGCTGAAAGTGAAGGAACTAGATATAATGGTCAAGCTGAGGGAGGGCCTGAGCCGAGAGGATATATTCAGACACTATGAAGATGTGTACACAGATGAGGCCAGGCTGATGGATTGGTAGGCAACCTGGATGGACTACTGTATTTATGAGGACGGGGAAGTAGTCAAGTGCTGTTTGTCACCGGTACATGTGGTCTTCTTCTCAAAACGAAGCTTCAAAAGGATGCATCTGGTTTTTATGGTGAGCATGATGAGGCACGCTTACAAAACTGCCTGGTATGGGCAGGATACCAAAGAGGAGAAGGCTTGGGGCCACATTAACCTCGGGAGTAGGTGCTCTACGTACATCAACATGTCGCTAGAGTGGAATCTCAATTGGTCTGTCCCGCCTTTGTACAAGCCATGTTCTACCTGCCCCTTCGATATCATTCTGTACTTTTCATGACTTGACTTCCTTATAAAAACAAAGTATAGGGTGATGATTGATGACATGGTCCAACTTCAGGATGAAACGGAGGAACGGTATCTGAGCTTGTTCCTGTTATCTCTATCAACCTTAGAGCTAACCATCCTGTGTATTAGCCTTTCTCATAACTGACCTTATTTCCCAACGACGGTCTCGAGACGGCGATTGGTGATCCCAGCGACGACGATAGACGGAGTAATGGATGGGATGAGCATACAGTCGGCTATCTGATCCCTCAACCGCACTACTCTCTCTTTAGGTAAGAAGCAAGCTTATTCCGTTGCGCCTTTCATCTTATCGAGACTCAGTCGCTTGGATCCCCTCAATAGCTGCCTAACGAGAAGCGAGAATGTGGCTCGAACGGCCAAGCTTGAGGAAGAAATGCTCCTTAGATGTTCAGTAGGGCTGATGCCAATTAATGTACATTGATGATATTGGTCGCAAGCATCAATGCCTTTACACTAGTGAAAACCTATCCTGAGTTGTCATGGAACCTAAAAGCGGCGTAGTATTGGCGCTGATGGAATCGTGATTCGTAGAGTGGGGTAATAATCGCGCCCTTTCCTTGATGCTCATTGCTGTCAATGTGATACCATCTCATATGTCTCACTTCCTGAATTGGTCAACCTGGTAGTTACATATCACAGACACCTCAAATACCCAACGAGGTCATGGAGAATACAAACAAATTCGCTGCCAAATTCAAGCTATTGCATCAGCCCTCGAAGCCGCTGGTGATACCCAACATTTGGGACCTCTCGAGCTTGAACGCCGTCGCATCCCTTAACGCCGGAGATGACAATGACAAACCAGTCAAGGCCATCGCGACCGCGTCGTGGGCCATTGCTGACTCGATGGGACTGCGTGACGAGGACCTGACCTTTAAGGACAACATGGCCGCGATTGCCCGTCTGGCTCCTTTCGTCCGGGCTGCTGGCCTGCCCTTCTCGGTTGACTTGCAAGATGGCTACGGAGATCGGATTGAAGAAGCGGTCGCATCTGCGGTAAAGCTAGGCGCAGTGGGCGCCAACATTGAGGATAGCATCCCTTCGGCTGGGTTCGACCAAGGCCTGGAGGGCTCTTTGTACCGGCTTGACGTCCAGGTAGCTCGACTCAAGTCGGCTCTTGAGGCAGCGACAAGGAGTGGCTGCCCGGACTTTGTTCTCAATGCTCGGTGCGATGTCTTTTGCCTGAGGCCGGCCTGGGGACCATCCGACCCGACCGCACTTCACGAAGCTGTGACGCGTGGCCGGGCATATCTAGAAGCGGGTGCCACAACGGTCTTCTTCTGGGGTGGCCGCGGCCGTGGACTCACAAGATCAGAGGTCGAACATCTGGTCCAGGAACTGGACGGACGTGTTGCAGTCAAGCTCGACGAGCAGGCTGGTGCGCTGGGCTCGGCCGAGCTTGGAGAACTGGGGGTCGCTCGCATCAGTGTCGGACCTGGTCTCTATCGTAAGGCGATGCAAGCTATTCGGGAGTGGACCCAGAATATTCTCTCTGGAGGGAGCATGGCAACTTAACTCACTGCAGCATTGTCATTTCACTACATCAGAAGAGAATACGGAGCGAATTGTCACTTCTGAAATGAACGGTGTGGATGTTGCGACTTTTGTTGCTATCTAGGTTTTCCTGCTCGAGTGAATATTTTGACACTTGCTCTAGAATAGGATAGAACGAGCAGACTACGAGAGGCTGTGACTGTTGGGGGCTATCTGGTTTACTTCTTCTCCAAGAAGTGAATCGGTGTGCCCACCTCCTTAGTAACCCTCAGGCTCAGAAGATCAGGGCGGGAGTAGTGGCCGACGATATCAAGGTTCTGCTTCGCCAAGGCCTTGGCGTGGAGGTCAACATCAGCGTAGAGAATGCCCTCCTCGCCAGGGTCCAGAGGCTTGCAGAGCTCCGTAGCGTCAGGCCCATATATCATGGTGAAGCCGCCGCTGGGCGTCCGCGCGTACCCGAAGCCCTGCAGGCGGTTCTTCTCCCTGTTCTTCTCCGTCAGTATCTGCGTGCAGACCATGACGAAGCAGGCGCCCTCCATGGCCATGACCTGGGAGATGCGCTGCGACATGGTCGGCGTGATGTGGTAGAGCCACGGCATGCCGTCGTCGGGCATGTCCCAGATCAGGGGCCAGCTCGCGACGTGGATGTCGACGTCCTGGGCGTACTCGTAGTACCTCAGCAGGGTCTGCGAGTGCTCCCAGCAGTTGAGACCTCCGACCTTGCCAAAGGGCGTCTCGACGACTGTCTTGAGGGACTCGGCCTGGCCGTCGCCCCAGTAGGCGCGCTCGACGTGGGTAGGCTTGATCTTGCGGCGGTGGTGGATGATGGTGCCGGTGGGGTCGATGAAGGATTATGGGCAGGTGAGTTATCTCAAAGGAAGACAGGAGGCGGAGAGAGTGGCTTATCCTACTTGTGCAATATACAGTGTGCCATTGCATCGTTCGCTGTAGCCGAGGACAACAAATATGCCAGCTTCGCGGACGGCAGAGCGGATGCGGTCCATCTCTTCAGAGTCCTTGGCAAGGGAGTTGCGGAAGTACTCGTCCATGAACTTTGCATTGTCGCAAGGCGAATTCGCCCAAATGCTCCTTCCTCTCAGTCAGTATAGTTGTGTGAGTAATGAGACGATCAACATAGAGACTCACCATGGGTAGCCCGGAATGAAGACTTCGGGGAAGCCGAGCACATTAGCTCCATTCTTTCCGGCTTCCTCGATCAAGGCAATAGCTTTATCAACACCGGCCTGGAGGTTGTTCCACTCAGGCTCAGCCTGGATCGCAGCGATACGGACCTTTTGGCCGGACATTTTTGTTTCGTGATTGGGAAAGTGAACAAGATGAAGAGATTGGTGAAGACGAGTTGGTGTATTGCGGGATCTCCAGTGCGAGCATTGAACCTCAAACATGAGGCCAGCATCTCGAATTATATAGATGCTGTTAATCGTCCTTCCTTGGCGTTGATGAGGCCTGTTCCCCGGATAGTTACTATCCTGATAAGTCCTCTTCAGATTGGTATCAGGGTATTAATTATCCAGATACCTGGCCATCTGAAGTCTGGGGTTTGTGGGGAAAGAACAACGCTTATTTGGGCGGGGTAGACACGTCTCCCCACAGATTGAGAGCCCGGGTACTTGATATCCGGATCCAAAGGCCGGGTACCTGGTATCCTGATTGAAGATCTCATTGAAGATCTCGGGTAACAGGTATCCCGATTAGATACGGCTGCGGGCAGTCATCCATTTGCTCTCTATGGATGACTTAGAGGGGTAGTGGCTCATGATACTCACGAGGGCAATGCCGTCCAGACGCTTTTTGATCTGTAGCATGTAACTAAGCTGAAGCATAAATAGCCCGTAGATTTTCCCAGAAGACAGCAAACCGAGGTGCTCATGTTCTAAGATACAAACGACCAGGACTTGAAATTCTCGTGCGAAAACATGTCTTCCTCAAAGTTTTCCTGGCAAAATGTTGCTGTAAGACCTTGTTCTCTCATATCAGATGATGGAAGGAAACAGCCTACTTATCATGGACTAGATTGTTCTATCTCTATGCCTTGGAAGCATCACCTATGGCTATAACTTCAGTATCATCTCTACGACAGTGGGCCAGCCGACCTGGTACGCCAGCATGGGCTTAACAGCTGATCCCACGGATGCATCACTCTATGCCTACAGCAACCAGATGATTGGCACCATCTTTGGTCTTTTCTCGGCTGGTGCAATCTTCGGTGCCCTATTCGTCGGCTGGGTCTGTGATGCATACGGCCGTAAACAGTCCTTGATGCTTGCTGCTTTCATCAACATCATCGGCGGTGCACTTCAGACTGGCTCGGTACACGTTGCGATGTTCATCGTGGCCCGCATGGTCACTGGCTTCTCTTCAGGTATACGGTCCGTGATAATCCATGAGTGGCACGTCGACTAAAACTCATGTAGCTATGTTTGTGACCTTGGTGCCGATCTATATTGCTGAGATCGCTCCTCCTGGGGTTCGGGGGCTTTTGGTTGGCCAGCATGGTTCGTGAGCCTAGGTTCCCGAGACGGGTCTTCTCTAACTTTACTAGGTGCATTCTTCCTGGTGGGCTACGTACTCGCCGCCTGGGTTGGTGTGGGTAGTTTCTACTCTGCCAACCACCAGTTCAATTGGCGTTTCCCGCTGTCGCTGCAAATCCTGTGGCCCTTGCTCATGTGCTGCTTCATCAAGTGGCTCCCCGAATCCCCGCGTTGGCGTGAGTGAATGGCTACAAAAGCTACTGGGCCGAAATATACGAACAAGGGACTAATATACATCTCTCTCCAGTGGTCAGCAAAGGTCGAAACGACGAGGCGTGGCAGATTCTCGAAAGACTGCACTCGACCAGCAAGGATGCCGCCCACACCTTCGCGCGTGAAGAGTTTTTCCAGATTACCTCTCAATACTCGGTGGACGAAGCTTCGTATGGACATGTCACCTGGCTTGACCTCTTCCGCAAGCCTCATTTCCGGAAAAGGATGCTTATCGGAACCCTCGTCATGTGGGCATCTCAGGCGAACGGGGCTATTGTCATCTACAGTCGGTCTCTCGCTACCCGGACACTCTTGGGGACTATTTGCGCTCTGACACGATAGATTAGGCAATATTGTTGGCCTCGTAGCGGGTCTAGGCTTCAGCAACAGCGACTCTCTACTTCTTTCCGCGGGTTGGATCACCTGGGCTTGCGTGGGCAATTTTGCGAACGCCCTCTTTCTTGACCGGCTTGGGCGCATTCGTAGTCTATGTGAGTGCGCATCTTTTCCCAAGTCACGAACAACTTACATGCATGACATACTAATACATGGATATACTTCAGTGATTGGAATCAGCGGTTGTGTGGTTTTTGTGATCATCGAGGCTGCCATCGTCAAGAATTACGGATCCTCGACAAACAAGGCAGCTCTGGCCGCTGGTGTGGCTATGCTCTTTGGCTTCATTACATTGTAAACACTCCCTCGCCCAGACTTCATAAAAAGAAGGCGTGCTGATGCTATCGACGTAGCTATGGAGGATTCGTCGACACCACGATCTATGTCTACTGCTCCGAGATCTTCCCTACTCATATTCGCTCCAAGGGCATGGGCTGGTCTCTGGCCATCTTCTTCCTCTCGACTCTTCCCTTCCTCGAGTCGGCGACGACCGGATTTGCCACGATTGGCTGGAAGTACTATCTACTTTTCATCATTCTGCCTTCCATCAATGTGCTTCTGCTGGCGCTCTTCTGCCCCGAGGTAAATATCCTGATTCTATTCATCCTTTCGCACTTGACTGTACTGACATGATTCCCGTCTAGACCAAAGGTCTTTCTCTGGAAGAGATCAACGGCGTCTTCAATGACACGGTCGCTGTCCAAATCACCCATCTCGATGCTCAGGAGCGGAGTGCCTTGGACGCGCGAATCCTGGCGGGTACTCCTGATATTGGCGAAAAGGACCAGGCAACCGACGGGAGCACCGAAAAGAACGGCAGTGTCGTCTAAGGCTCGAGCGGGGACTTTCGCCGGCACAGACTCGACCTTACGACAGTAGTTTGTAGCTCAATACGGCAAAGAAATGGTGAATCTTGAGGGACGAAGGTGTTGAGAGCCAAGTGGTTGGAGATGCGTCCGGACTGGAGAGGATAGCAAGCGTGTCTACAGAACAGACCTAGGGGTCTGCGTTTCAGGCACGCTTTATCACAATGTAGAATTGCAAGGCTTTGAATTCAAGTGGGAGAAGATCTTTAGTTCCTTATCTGTCTGCTCTGTACCAACAGTTTGGTGGGTACAAGCCAATTTGCACCTCAAATTTGACACAGCCGAAGAGGAGACACAATCATTCACTTCCTTATGTTTCTCTTCTTGGAAAATTCAATTGTTGAGCCTGGTCGCAGGGTACCAAATCGCACTAAACTTCAAACGTCTTGATCATAGTTGAAAAGGTTAAACGCCGTGTCCATCCCGTTCTGATCGAACGACCAAAAGTTGAAGGCTTCATCAAACATCTCCGCCGCCGTGGCTTCCAACGCGGGCGCTTCGTCTGGGATCTGACGAGGTGACAGGCAGTCTCGGCTGTACCTCTCGAATGAGCGATGATTCACTTCGCTGATCTCACCTGCCAGGCCGGATGCCCATACGTCGATCTTCCACTGCGTTGCTAGAGAGAGAATAGCCCGGAGGGATCGGTTCGCCCAGTCCCAGGTCTCGTTCATCTCGTACAGGGCCTTGATGCAGATACTCAAGCGCTGCATGGCGCCACTTTGCTCGTGAGGCGGCGCTGTCGATATATTGCCAGGAGTTTTGCCACCGCCAGAAGATGCTCAGTAGATGGTCGCGCAGTTCTGCCGAGGGCTCAAAGTAAGTCGGGATCTGGCAGGCGGCATCGAGGCCACGCTTCCGAGCATCCATGGAGGAGGTGACTTTGAGGGAATGGTTCTGGATGATACTGAAGTTGCTCGATGCGCCAAAGAACCGCAGCTCACCGTAATCACCTAGGGTAAAGCACCCGAGAGCATCAGCCAAGTCGTCTACCTCGTCCTCTCCTGACGAATCGCCCTCCACTGAGGCGGGCTCTTTTCCTGGAATGATTGTAGCGTCATCTTCGCCGTGGAGGGGTTCACTCTCGCCGGAAAGTGACTGGGAGACATCGGAATAGGCGGCTAGCCTCTTTTCTAGACTAGCAACCCGTGCTTCTAACGCAAGGATGTATGCGTTACTGGGGCGCCTATTGTTGATGTTTAGCGGTGTGCCTGTGGTTTGCGAGGTGAAGGGTCACGAACTTTCTCTTGCTCTCTGCTAGACTGTATTCGCACGTTTCTCGACGATATTTGCAGGCACCACACTGCGGTTGCTGGCCGTCGCACTAGGGAGGATCTTCATATTAGACGCAAAACTCAGTCCAGTGTGTTTTCCGATGCTATTAGTAACCTTTGTTCTCTTGGCCCGACAGCCGTTGCACGCAAGAGTGATCCTCTTCCGGTTGTGTCTCTGGGCCTGTTCGTTCATTCCGGGTATTACGTCCGCGCCTTGTTATAACCGAGAGTTGTTGCCACAGCCTTGCAATCTGTTTCAACTATGCTTAGCGATCAGGGCTGATTCCCTGGCCCTAGGAGTTCTGCGTTACGGGACGCCTGCCTGTAATCAGCTCTCCGTCGTTATTGTGAGATATGGAGAGCCCACTCCCCTAGATTCAACTCGGTTCATTGTGAGATAAGCCTACCTTAACCGTTCTGTGCGTATCTACCCTCTGACGAGAGGGATTCACGTCAATGACCGGGTTGCTGTAATGGCATTAGGGGACCGCATGCTACATGGACGGCAAGCGTCTTATCAAGAAGTGAGGGGTCTTGACAAGCCAGCCTCCAAGTGTCTCCGATGGTAATGGTTGTTAATATGATGGTGGGACCCCGGCCGCGTGATGTCCAGCACTAGTCTCGGGGGTTGTGCTTCTAGTGGCCAAAAAGCAACCACTCCATAGAGCTAGCGGCAAAGGGAACGGCATTTCGGGGAACTCTGCTGGTCACTATCTCGGTAGTGAGCCTCGTGTCGTGGCCAATACACCATACTAGCTGGGAGAGCGCAGGGGAGTGCTTCATGGATGGCTGGTCGAAGTGGGCAAGTCGAATTTAGACTTGAGATGTGACGGAGCTCTAGAGCCAAGCTTGAAGATTGACATATCACCTCCCTAAGCATTCCCTACGGAAATTGACGTATACTCTGGGTTCTGCGAAGATGAAAGCCTGAGACGAGATCAACCCCTACTCCCTACTCAGACAGGTGGAGATGTCCCGGGCCTCCATCCTCCAAGAGAGCTACCTTAGTACCCGAGGTTAAGGCAGGTACCGCGGGGAAAATGGACGACCCAGCGACAGCTCTCAACCTACCACGAGTATTTGGCCCTCTAACTACCAGCTGCCAACGTCATGGTACGTTTTGGGTGGGTCACACGCCTTATAAGCCGCACAGTGGCCAGCATCGAGACTGGCGAGCCCCAGCCTCGTTGTCAAGCTTTAATTTTAGCTATGCCGCGCGCTGGCGAGAGGTTTGGTCTCTAAGGAAGCCCCTTCCGCCGCGCCAAGTATGATATTGTGGAGATTTCCTGCGTCCAACCATGAGAACAGATTCGAGTGCCACGATGTTCACAATGCAGTTCCGTCACACGCGGCAAGACTTGTGTCAATACCTCAGGCGACGTGGCTCGCAAAGCAGTAAACTTAGAGGACATGGCCCGTCTGCTCGATACGAGCAGTGTATGCCACTTACAAAGGCCGAGGTCGAGGCACCGACGCATGAGGCACGCGACCTCAGTAATCCTGGGGTCAATCTTGCATGCGGGCCCCCGGTTGCCTTCCAGGAGTTCCCGCCGCCCGTACCCCGCCAATATTTTTTTCGACTTATACCTCATGTCATTCCGGTGCACGCAGGAGATGCCTGCTAATGAAGAAATATCCTCGAAGGATGGCAAGATAATCCTCGCCAGTCATGCAGGGATCTGGAATACGGGGAATTCCGCAATCGGGCTTATCGAGGACACTACCCAAGCGTGAACAAGGGTGCGGGGACTGAAACCCCACTAGCTGAACCAGCCTCTCCTGAGTCCTGAGATGGCTGAACCACAGCGCAACATCACTTGTGCCTCCTTTACTTTGTATCCGCGAGGGGCATATCTGCTTCCATCACCGTCTCCAGACTCAAATGAGTCTGTCTCATCCGGCCAACCATTCCGCGGGACACGAATCGATTGCCTCAAGCCACACGCAAACCCGCCGTCTCCGGCCTGACTTGTCGCCGAGCCACAGAGATGCCATGCGACCTTCGTGAGGGGGGGTTGATATGGCTCGACCAGGAGTTCCAATGCGGCACTTGTGGCAAAGAGTTCTCAGCAGGGAGCGCGGCTCGAGACAAGCACTGCGAGGCCACCGGCCATCGACCGCCCGCGCACGAATGCCAGCGCTGTTCGCAGGTCTTCCACTGCGAGCTCGCCGTGATGGATCATATGGCGCAGGCGGACCACTTCCGATTCAGCTGCGCAGTCTGTGGCCAGACCTCACCGCACCGGGTAAGCGTCGTTGCGCACGAGGCTGTGGAGCACCTGTATTGTCATGATTGCAATCGCCGCTTTATCAACCTGAATGCGATCAAGATGGTTAGTCCCCCTAAGTACATGCATGTGTGATGTGCCAAGCAAGTTTCAGGAGTGGAGACTTTGCTGACGCCCAATCCCTCCACCTAGCACCTGAAGTCGCGGATCCATACAGGACAGACACTCTCCTGCCCGTTGTGCCGGAAGGCCTTCGCTACGGCGACGGGAATTGCCACTCATCACGAGCGCGGTGCCTGTCCCAAGGCAAGGAACCTCAACCGCGACACGGTGTACAGAGTTGTGAGGTCCAAGGATCCGAGAGGCTTGATATCGAAGAAGCTCCTTGGCTGGTCTGGGTCTCCCGTCTACGAAGCTAGTGAGAAGACGTGGAATGGAGACTTTTACGAGTGCTATCTTTGCCATCGTGAATTCACAAAGCTACAGGGCCTCAACCAACATCTGAATTCACCGATACGTAAGTCAAATAAAGCTGCGGCTAGGCTCTTGTCCGGTCAATGCATGGATCATATGATCCTGTCTCTAAGATGACCTTGCTGACCCAAGAGATAGACCAGCAAGCTCTCTATCATTGCCCGAATCGGTCGTGTCAGATGGACTTTAAGAGCCTTGCTAGCATTATCAACCATCTAGAAAGCGAGGCCTGCGGCTTGATGCGTTTTGAGCAAGTGCAAAAACAAATGGCGGATATTGTCAGCAGCAACCGGCGTATTGAGTATCACTTCTCGGCGGGCTTGAGGAATTGAGTTCTCCTCTTCGAACCGACCTGTATTAACTGTCTTTTGCCTTGGCTCGTGTAGCAGCTCATGTATCTATCCTGTTTTTATAATAGATAGAAGCCCTGAATGGCTCCCGGGGAATAATAAAATGGGACGGTTTTCAAGACACGCTGATATAAATTATCGTAGCGTTTGCCATGACATGCTAGCCTATGCCGTACTCATACTCACCAATGAGTCATTGGCCTGCATACTCCATGTTCACATCTCCTCTTTGATGTCATTGCTGCTGGCTGGCCTGCTCCTCATGAAACATCGAGTGCCAAGGTGCCGTAACCGTCAATGGCGCAGGCGGTCGGTACAGCTCGTGAGCATTTGCCCTGAGCCACGAATCCACGTTTGCCGGGAGGGTAGCCGGATATGCCGAGACATCTATAGCAGGGAAGCCACCACCAGGATGGTTCCGTCGCGATGCAATGCGGGTTGTGTTAGGAACGCCATTACGGGAAGCCTGTTCCGGAGATGGGTTCATGGAGTTGGTGGAGGACGTCGGTGGACTAGTATTGTCTGGGCCAAAGCCGGCAGGCCGCGGAAGCTGTCCCGGCTGCGAGTATGTTTCGCTTACTGCAGCGCTGTGGGGGGAGGGATCCACCGATGAGGTGAAGCCGGCAGGTCGAGGTGGTTGATAAGAGTGGCTGAGATGGGATTGTGGCGATATACTCGACGCACTGCCTTCGTCTATGTTTGGAGTTGTCGTCGTTGAATACGCTGCGAATTGCACGTAGCCGGGAGCCAGAGGTCTACCGTCGGAGGCGGAGGTCATGGCGCTTCCACCGGAGGCTGCCGAGGCTGGCGATGCGAAATGATGCTGTCCTGCGAGCCTTCTGACGAGACCGTTAGCTGGCAAGCTGGAAGAGCCTGCGCTGGTCTGCGCTGAGATGTGTGATGATAGGTTCGACTGTGGGCTTATGTTTGCGATGTATCCATTTTGATAGACGCCACTTGGCACTGATCCTACAGAGTAGCCTGCAGATTCAGCCGAGCGGGTATTGGCTGGTGAAACAGACGCTTGAGGCAAGACGTGCTCCGGCACCGTGCCCGGCGGCGGCCGACGGTCCTCAGTCGTTGTCTGAGGAGATGCCCCGTAAGACCAAGCCTTGTCGAAGGCTTGAGTGCCCGTCCCGACGACCTCCGAAGCCGCACGTTCGCTCGCAGCCCTTGGTGGTAAAGTCCAGCGTTGCTCAAAGGTGTTGAATGGCGCTACCTGACGATCTACGTCATCTCGTTGAGAGAGAGCGATGGGGAAGGCTCCCCTGATAGTATCCTGGGACGTTGCCTGGCTTTCGGTCTCTGTAGCATCTGAAACGGACTCCGGGATGGTCGAGAGAGTCCACTCACGGGGCCATGGCGCTGGAGGGCTGGAAAGCTCGACTTCTAGAGGCACGTCACGCTGTCCGCCCGACAGCGTCCAGTTGGACGGAAAAGCCATACCAGATTGCCCCGGTGTTACTCCCGCCTCGCACAAGGAGGGTGCATTTGAGCACCGGAACAGTGTGACCTTCAAGTTGCTCGAGTATTGCCTCAGGCTGAAGACTGGGAGTCCGACGCGAGTAGAAATCTGCCTTGTGCCTGGGTCGCGGCACTCTGTCAAGTAAGTGTGACTGGAGCGATGAACAACGGCCAATCACTTGCTAGGCTCTCATGCACCTGCATTACAAGGTGGCGGTGGCTGAAGGCCTACCACGTCAGCCTAGGGACTGCTTCACCAGGGGTATTGATTGGCCACTCATTGGTCCGGGGTTGCCAGCCGCAAGTCAGGCGTTCCCCCCCTGTGTGTGAAATCTTTAAAGTGCTTGAATTGAAGACCACCCAGAAATCCTAAAGTGATTGACCAAAACATAGCTTGCTTTATTGCAGCTCAGAAGATGGCAACATTGAGTCCTGCGGATGCGGTTGCCGGCCCGGCCCGGCTTCCGCCTAGAGTCAGCTCTGGATCCGCAGACGGTTGGCCATTCAACAAAGCTTGTTTTGACCCCGTTCTGTAAGGCGTTCCTGAACTATTAGTAAATGCGATTGATTGGAGCTAATAAACTTTCTCGTCTCAAGTGATTATGCTAGCGATGTCGGGGATGCCTTCAAGGAGATCGAGAAGAGCCAACTCGCCCAAACTACGTGTCTCTTCGCTCTGGAGGTTGGGGAAGGATATTCAAGTGCGTGTCATCTGATCATTTCAGTTACAAAACATATACTAACAGTTCTGATTCCTTAGACACCAAGAGTTCAAATCTTAATGACCAAGAAACTCTAGCCGTCTTGTCCTCTCAGGTATATACACCCACTCCTTTGTCCAAGAAACTTTAAACCCAATCTGACTACCTCGGTGCAGAAAGAACTGATGGATGGCTCCGCTGGGCTCAAACTCTTGTATAGACATATGTATCATTTGCGTGACTTTGACTAACATGTGTTAGTTCAATCTCTAGACTTTCGTCACAGAGCGGAGGACAGTCCTCAGCAGCACGAACTGATCGTGACCGACTTCAAGTGACCAACTCGGCCTTTAGAATGCTGCTGTCGACAACCAATGCGCCTGTTGCATTTGTCACAGCCCTGGCACGACCATACATGGTTTGCGGAACCGGGTTCCGCCAAATAGACTCGTATGAGTGGGATTATTGGTGCGTGATACCCGTGCGAATGATCATGCCCTGTCGCGCGACAGCAATAGATCATACCAAGAGCAGAGCGGGCAGCAACCAAATGGACCCATTTCACTACATTCACCTCTCTGGAGCAAAGGCCGACATCCGGGGATCGTACATTGGCCTGTACACGAGACACAATTTCCGAACTCGGGAAACGACTGTCATTTCTGTCAATCTATTGGATCGCCGATTACGTGATTTGATCGAAGAGCCCCTGAACCGAGTCTGTGTGGCGGTTAGGCGACGAAGCGGTGGAGAGATGACAATCAGTCCCTACTTCATCCTCGTCGTCTATCTGTCAAGCGCATTGAGGTGGTGGAACAATGTGTTGTTTTGTTTCAATCAGCAACTCGTTATGCATGTAAGGCCATACACGTATCATGGATGTCAGAGTGTCACGAGACCCTAACATTGGCCGGGACTACAGGAAAAAGAGCTACAGAGCGAAATAGCCGCGGCAACGTCAGCATTCTCCAGCAAGAGTAAAGAGATCAACACCTCATTGCATATTATGGCTGCTCATCTGCACCGATACAAATCCGAGCTGCATCGAGTGGAGTTCATTCTGCAGGAATTAGGCTCAATGAGCTCCGATGCTAATCTTCCAGGGACAGATAATGTCAAGGCTACTTCCGACACTGACAGACCGAAAGTTGGCCAGTTGAAGTCTCAGCTCAGTGCCATCACCAGCTTCTCGGACGAGTTAGAGCGAAAGGTGCAGAATATTCTTACTTTGGTAAGTCAACAGCCATGAACCTAATACAATGACACTTAACTAATACAGGTGGTTCATGTAGCTCTTCAATCAAATTCAAGTGACCAACGACATTACAATGCAAGCTATTCTGACTGCAGCACAAGAGGACAACAAATACTCCCAGGATATCGCCTTCCAGTCCCATCAGCTCGCACAGAGCATGAAGAATGACAGTGTTGCTATGAAAACCGTGAGTAAACATCTCCAGCCGATGGATCGATGCTAACAGACGCAGATTGCCATTCTCACCATGCTGTTTCTTCCTGGAACGTCCTTTGCTGTAAGTTGACCTTGATCTTCCGGATTATTGGGAAGTTCTCATGAGTTTACTGACACTTTTGCCTTGGTCTTCGAAGGCGTTCTTTGCTATGCCGTTCTTCACCCAGACTCCTTATCTGACTACACCTTCTCAAGTTTGGATCTGGACCGTTCTTACGTTGGTCGTGACCTTCATTTCCTTTGGAATATTTACCCATATCATAAGACGCGACACTGGCTCGAGAGCAGACAGTAGAGGAAGGTCCCCAGTTTAAGCCGTATGTCTAGAAGGGTGGTTGAGGGTATTGATAATGGATGAGTATCTCTACGGGTATTAATAAAGCATGCATAGAAAACCTTTCATTTGCTTCGAAATTATTTTGTCAATAAAGATCGTGATTAATTGGTTCTCGATTCGCAGAGAACGAGAGCTGTGGTTGCACGGGTCTAGCTGGATTCGACGACTTGCATGGCAGGCGGCTAGCAAGGCGTTCTGCTCCGCCACCACTCGTGTCGGGCTGTGTTGGTTGCCTTACAATGGCGCCTGACTGAGGCAGCTGAACAATAAAATGACCTGGTCATTCCTCGTGAATTGGGCAGCTCTTAATTAGTCCTCTACAGAAGGTGTTATTACAAGGGACCTGGCGACCTACGCTCGCTCTGCACAGGTTGCTCTAGTATCATCTGAAGATCGACAAAATGCAGCTAAAGAGAAAGCTATCCGATGATGAGAGCGAGGGCGTTTCGATGCCAACAAGGACTGATCGAGACCCACCGACACCCTCCAGCGAAGACTCGACGAAGCCGAAACTAGACCGACAGCCTTTGCGAAATGTCCAGGTCTCTTTTGCGGTCGACATCTCTGGCAGCACTTACGGCAACACCTTGTCTGCCGAGAAGGCCTTCATCAAGGGTGTCGCGAACCTGTTGGCGCCACAGGCACGGTTCAGCTCAAAGATCCTGCCATGGGACAACAGGGCCCATCCCATCTTGAGCCTTGGCCAAGTGAACTCGCTTGAAGACAGCGGCGGCACCGACCCGGGAGTGCTCCTCACGGATAGGCGTCATAAAGCTGCCCTCAAGGAGTGCTCGCTGTGGTTTCTGATGACCGACGGGTTGATACCTCCCGAGTCCAGGGCAAAGTTCGCCCGCGATGTGACGGCCCAAGGGCTGCATGGTATCAGCTGTGTGATTGTCGTCTTTGGGAATCCAAAGACCGGGCCTAGCAGCTGCGACATCTCGGTCGGAGTGGGCGTCTTTGCTGTGGTCCCCAACTGCGCCTTTCTTTTCTGCGACGAGACGACTGGCGACCTCCGCGCGATGCAAACCAAAGGTACCTTCAACGCCCTCCTCAAGGGACAGCCACACCCAGTGTTCGACTCGTCCTCCCGCTGGGACCTCCTCCCTCAGGTCTCCATCGCCGACTTTGCCACCATTTCCATCCCAGATCCCCAGGGCCTTGGCGCGGACCAGGTTGCTTTGCAGGACTCGCTCGTCATCAACATGAACGACTTGTTTGCAAATCGTCTGAGCACTGATGAGATCAACAAGATTTTCGACAATGGTGATAACCTTGACAGTATCAGGCTGACCATGCAGGCTCGCAACCAGCAGGAGGATTTCCGACACTGGCTCCAGCAGCAGGCGATCCGTCCTGACGACCCGCTGGTGATTCCTCGCAGGGACATCGGTCACAAGGCTGAATCTCTCTTCGGGGAGCTTGTTGATCTCATAAGCCGAGGGCAGTCACCTCCGGATCCACTACAGGCACGTCTGCGCGCTGCCTATCGGGAGAATATGCGAGGCTTTATCAGGCGTGGAGAGAGAGAACACCATAACTCGGAACAGAGGAGTGAGATGATTACCCAGGCTGCTTTCAGCTCTTACACTCCTACCGACGCGAGCCCGGCGCTGAGTCCCAGCACGCGGGGTGTCAACCGATACGATCGCCAGGTCATGGGAGCCGGGACTGTCAGCGCCCCGGTGTCAGCTCTTCCTCGGCGGCTTGATTGGAGCAACTCGGAACTTCCGAGCATCACACCCCAGGCTCAGATTATGTCTTACCCCCAAGTAGTACCTGGTGCGCCGCCCAGAAGTCCTCCAAGGAGGCGAGATAGCGGACATGCCTCGGCAATCCCTTATCCCCCCCGGTACCAACCTATGGAGGAGCCGTGGGGAAGCTGGGAAAGCAAAATCACGAATCCAAACTTGCGTGGACTTTTATACACAACAGGCCTCCGCTCAACAAAGGGTTCATTCAAGGGGACTTGTCCAGCCTGTGGTACCAAGGACATCACCATGGCCTGGTTGTTCCGCGCTCCTGCACCATCAACCCCTTTCAAGCCACCCACTCCTGGCGGCACCGAAGGCTTTCCACGACCAGGGAGCCGTACCCGCCTTGCATTCCCTCTAGCCATGGGCCATTTTACCGAGACTTCAGGCGTGTTAGCCTCGATCACTCCCATATCAACACCAATCACCGCAACCTCTTCCAGCCAGTCTGCTCAAATGCCTTCTCTCGTCTGCGACCCTTGCTCCCACTTCTACACCCGCAACGGTGCCCTATCGTTCGGCATCACGACCGCGCTTCCCTTGGTCCGCTTCTCAGAGAATAGAGAGGCAATATGCAACATCCTCGCTACGGCCTTCAACGACCGGTTCGACCGTGGGGACCTCCCGCAGGTCTTCCTTTCCGTCCTGATGCTCGCCGCCGACCACGCCGCCGCGGCCTCCACGCCCAGAACGCAGCAGTTCTCCCCGCCTTCTGAACGCGACTTTGACATCTCGGCCACGTTCAAGGCCGCCGCGGCCCTGAGGACGCTGCGCTCGGCGATCGAGTGGGCGGCGCGCGACCTGCTGTACTGCGTCGTCGCGCTGCGCGAGCTGTCCGAGTCGTTCTCTCTGCCCTCGGACACCTCCGGCGCGGTATGGCCGCTGGCGACAGTCCTGGCCGGGTCCTTTGAAGAGCTCGACGCCGGCTTAGAAGGCAAGGCCCACAGCGCCGCCGCCGTGCCGCTCTTGCGTTATCCGCTGCCCGGATTCGTCACGATCCTCAAGACCGCCCCGTTGGTTGGCATCAGCGAGCAGACTCGGCGGCGCGCAGCGTTCCGTCGCTTACTGTTTCTGATCTGCGAGGAGCTCGAGAAGGCGGCGGGGCAGGTGCCGCACTCGCAGTCGATAGGGGAGGCGTTTGGCGGACTGCTGGGCCGGCCGCACTCAGTAGCCTCGACCGGCAAGGAGGGCGCGAAGCCCGAGACGCCTTGGGAGCCCGCCCTGTCGGTAAGCATCCAGAGCCTACGGTTTACGTCGCTTCTGGGCGCTGCGAGCTACGTCATGCTGTCACGGACGGAGGAGTTTCGGCACCTCGAAGAGCCGCTGGCGTCGGCGTGGGCCGGCTCGGGCCTCGCGCTGTTCTTGCACACGCTGTTTGCAGTGGTCACCAAAGGCGGCGGGCCGATGAAGGCGTTGGACATGTTCCAGGATGTGATGAAGGTGAAGTTGGTGGCGAGTGCGCTTCAGAGGCCAGAGGAGATTGGGTCTGATACGGTGCAGGAGGTGTTGGCACAGCTACTCTGAACGCGGGATGGGAAACAATATTTTGCTTTATTTGGAACGATGAACGGAGACAATGCATGTATAAATTAGAATTTGTCTTTGATAATTGAGAGGCTTCTTAAACCATACTGAACAACCGCAGTCCAATGAACTCTGTGATAGCTGCCGGAGTAAGGATGCCCCGAAAGAGCTTGTACCGGTGTCTGAGGCTATTCCCACTCTTGTGTTTAGGTTGCCCTCTTCCACTTCCCGTATCAAACTCGAGCACTGAGGAATCAGGCGGCTCAACACTAAAAAACCACTACTGCTTTCCAGTCCAGCGCAGTGCAAGTCGGTGAGAAAGTGAACCTGGCGAGAAGCCTTGCCAGACGCCTGGCCAGAAGTTGCGTTTAACACGCGTAGCTCCCAACCTCAGCAGAGGCGATACGTCCCCAAACAAGCGTTGTTCAACGATCCATAAACCCGCGAATCCACCCTGTTGTCCAGCTCCCACGGGCGCAAGTTCCAAGATGTTGACCTCGACTCCGTTGAGTGGGCCACCGCTGATGGTGATTGAATTTTGTGGACGAAATTGCCTGTATTCGGCCGACAGTTTAGCCTCGTATATGACAGTCCGTCTGCCAGTGGCGGTGTCGGGGATATCCCAAGCTCGCGTCATGGTGTACTCGAACCCGCAAAGTCCGGTAGTGTTCTGTTCTAGCAAATCTTCGGTCTCCTCTCTGGAGCGGGGGCCGTCGCCATTGATGAAGAAGCGGGCGTCCGGCCCGAACGCCTCCCTCAGCTCGGCGAAGCTTGTGCTGGGAGTTTGTGGAAGTTCTTCGATAAGGGGGACGAATCTCTTTAGGAACTGGAGGCCCGGGGTGGTCCCCATGTGAATGGTTGTATGCGGACCATCGTGGAATTCGACCTGTGACATCTTGTGATCAAATGATTGCCAAGGGCGGAGGGTCAGAGATCGTGGCTCTAATGGCAGACGAAAACAAGAGATATTCTAATAACAGACAAGGGAACGATGTATTCTTGTTGGCTTGAAGTCTTCAGAGGACTATTGGTGTCGGCTGTGTGTTTGAATGCAGAGATTCGATTGAGGACTGCGGTGAGCGTCTGGTGGCTCTCTTATGCCTCCGGCCTCCTACCTCCCACCTTCTTTGGGTTTGCACTTGCCTCTGCCTCAAGGTTGTGAAAAGAAGGAAAGAATCGATAACTGAGTGCTTATGTTAGGAAGGTGATTTGTTCGAGAACTAATGCAAGAGGTGCGTATTGCTGCTTTCCACTTTTGTGACTCCGGATGTGATTACCATCTGAATCAGTAGCAATATCACCCAACAGCTTTATTGTGTCATAGTAAACAAGAGCCACTTAGTGCATGTCTGTCAACACGCTGGAGAGGAATACGGAGGACTATACATATGTATCCAGAGCACTTATGAATGATAGGGTCTCTGATCGTCATGGTAGGTGATGCATTTCTGCAATGTCCCGCCAAACCTTTCTCTCACCTGCAGCGCGTCTACTTGCCATAGTAGTGTGCATCCACAAGAATGGCTTAGGAAAAGCGCTCTAGATGCTGCTTACTGTGTCTATTGATCCGGTGTCGGGTAGTGGGGCAAACCTCTGTCGTGGACAAGCATGGGCACAAGGTATGCCATCGTTCTTCCATCATTCTACTCTAGGGTATGCATTCTATCCAATGGTACGGACGAGAACATATCCTGTCGTTCTTTCGCTTTCTTGCGGTCTCCAGCTGAGCCTTCTTCAGCCTTGTCCTGGATATCATCACCTTCCTCGTCATGCGAAGATTCTTCCTGCCCCTGCCTCGACTCATCCGCCGCAGGGCCCTCCTTCTCTTTCGTCGAATCAATGTAATCCAACCCTCGGTCTTTGACAAAGATGCACCCCAGAAACGCGAGGCCGACGAGTGGGATCTGTAAAATAAAGACAGCCCGACTTGCTGCCATGTACGCATCGAGGATGGCATCTTTACCGGGCCCTTCTATGTGCGGCAGGGAGTAAGTTTTGTTTGCCAGATAGCTGTATTCAGGTGGCAAGTTCGCTCGGAGCGCTGCCTGAAGTACGGCTGCCGATACGGCAAGGCCGCAAGATCCGCCTGCGCAGCGGAAGAAATTGCGGTTCGAGATGATCACGGCGCGGCGCGGCTTTGGAGAGTGTGCCTGCAGAGCTACGAGTGTGGGCTGGAAGACATTGCCGGTGCCCATGCCGATGACGACAAGTGGGAGAACAATAACAACCGGTTGCGTTGCCCGCCCGTAGAGTAGAGTTAAGCCAGCACCACTATGACATAATGTCAGCAGCTCTGATACATCGCACAGGTATGCTAGCACTCACAGAGTCCAAACGCCGAAGCCCGCCCACAGAACCTCGCCATATCTCTTTGTCCGCGAGATATACTGGCCTGATAATATCGAAAGCGTAGACTGTGCAACCGACATGGAGATAGCTATGGCAGCTGATACCACAACAGAGTACTGCTTGACGTTCTGCAAGTAAAGCGGGAGGTAATAGAGATTGGCTTGGTAGACTGAGCCAAAGAAAAAGGTCTGGATGAGAAGGACCGTAACGACGTGGTTCTGGAAAATTTGTACTATGACAGGGTCAGTCAATAACCATGGTAGTCTACGATGCATCAAACCTACCCGGCATCATGGGAAGTTTAGCAAACCTCCACTCGATGAGAAGAAAAACGACGAAAGACAAGCCGCCAATGATTAACATGCTGATTACCATCGGCGACTTCCATTCAAAGTAGGCTCCTCCGCCACTCACAGGGATAAGGACGAGAATGACGGCAATGGACGAAGCGAGAACGCCACCATAGTCGATCTTCTTGACATTCTCCCAAACACCATCCGGCGGAGCGTTCGATGGTAGGAGAAAGAAGGACACAATGCCACCAAGCGCAGACAGCGGAGACAGCATGTAAAAGAAGACGCGCCACGAAACCTTGGAGATGAACGCGGCAGCCAGAAAAGGCCCAGCAACGTTACCCAGACCTACACACGCTCCAATGATACCCTGGTACTTCCCCCGCTGCTCGAGAGTGACAATGTCAGACACGATGATCATGCTCAGGCTCGTGATCCCGCCGCCGGCGATGCCAGCCACGCCGCGGAAGACGTAGAACATGGCCGGGCTGCGCGCCAGGCCGCACAGCAGGTCGGCGATGCACAGCAGGCCCGTGGCGGCGAGGTAGACGCGCTTGCGGCCAAAGATGTCCGAGAGCCGGCCGTAGAGCATCTGGAAGGTCGTGTTGGCGATGAGCGACGACGTGCCAGCCCACGAGATGGTGGCCTCGGCCCCCAGGTCGCGGGCGATGGTGGGCAGCGCGACGCTGATGCCGTTCTGGTCGATGAAGCACATGAGCAGTGTCAGGGACAGCGTGGCGAAGACGAGGAGGAGCTTGCCGCGCGGCAGGATGTCCTCCTGGTTGTGCAGCGCTCGCTCGGCGGCCGACTGGACCCGGCGCATCTTTGTCTTGACCATCTTGGCGGCGGCGGCAGCAGCAGCAACAACGCGGAGATCACGGGCGGAGGAATGGTGGAGAGAGTGCCTGGGGTCGAGACGGCGCCCACGGAGCCGACTCTTGGTGCATTGGACGGGTCTGCCAAGCCCCGGGAAGGATCCGACAATCTGTAGACGGGAGCTTATTGCATTAGACGGCAAAGCGATATGGATGTAAGCCCCGAATTAATAAGAATAAAAGAAAGCCAAGGTTTTAGTTAAGAGTCACAACTCGGATGTATTTCACCCCCAATGCCACCGCCTCCTTGCCTGGAAAAGTCCCCAAACGCATCCGACTTCGCGGTGGCGCCTCGCGGCTTCAGAGTGAAAATTCCCTTCAATTCGGAGGTAAACTCCCCGAGCCGATGCCGTCATCTGGGCAAGTTGTGGGTCGCGCTCAGGCAAGTCCGCGATGTTCCCACCGCTTTTACCAGCAAACGTCGCTAATGATACCCAACTAAGCATGCACTAGGCGAGGACAGCCCAAGGATCACCGGTGTGCTAAACAACTTAGGCCCCGTAATCGGACTTGCCATGCCCTTGATTCGCTGGGAGTTGGGAATGTGCCAATTTCGAAGGGGGTGAACCATCAGGTAATTGATCCGAGAAGATCGTATATACGGAGGGCAAGGAACAGGTTTACGAGGACTGATGCATGTTTGGTGTGATATTCGTTTCCAGTTAAACTCAATTGACCTGTATTTCGCTATCGGAATCCCAGTGTCACGATGGCTTCACGCCCCGGCCGATTCCCGCGGAATTACACCGGGAACCCCGACGGTGACACACACTTCCGGGCCGGATCGGACTAGTAGTCCGAGGAGGCAGCTCGCTTACGCAAGCCACATCTTGCTGTTGACGTAGCGAATTTTCATTTCTTTTCTACGTTGAAGACTTGTCCAATCGAGACGGATCGCCCTGATCCAATCTGTTTTCAATTTCCAAGTCCAGAACGAGGATTCGAATATTCGCCTTGCCTTGGATGTTCACCACGTCTATAAACCTTAATCCGCCAAACCTGAAAAGAATTGAGGTTATACAATGGCTACTGAGTGAATAGGGCAAAGAAAGAGACTATCTATGCTGGTTATGTGAGGAGTCTGGAAGTAGCGTTCCCTGGGGTTCATCCTGTGCACCCAGCCTATCGTTTCAGGCAGATGCCTGAACCTCAGAGACGACAGCAACTGGCTTTTCATCCGCGCACATCTCCTTATCAACCTGGACCATCTGGAAGCGCCGCCGGCACCACTGCGAGAATGAGTACATAGTGTCAGGTTGGATAGCCATGCACGTGTTAGAAGCAATGGAGGGCATTACTCACCTCACCGCATGAGATCGGCTCATACTTCGCGGGATGTGCGTCGTCGACACAGGTGGGTAGGACAGAGCACGTCTCGTTGAAGTTGAATCCGAAGAAGAAGGGCATGCTATACCGATCGACGGTGGCCCGGTTGTACACGCGATGCACCGTCGATTTGAAGCGGTCATTGGACATGCGCATCAAGAAGTCGCCGATATTGACAACCAGCGTGCCCGGAATGGGCGGTGCTTTGATCCACTCATCCTCGTTGTTGAGTACCTGTAGGCCACCGACCTGATCCTGCCACAGCAATGTGAAGCATTGTAGATCTGTATGGGACCCAATTCCGACCTCACCAAGCTCTCTGCTGTCGGTAGCTGCCAACTCTTCCGGCTTGAGTGCGGGATAATAGTTGAGGACGCCATCTGCACCGGGATATGTCGTGAGCCTATCAAAGTAATCTTCTGGTAGATCTTGCGTGAGGGCCATCACTTTTGCTAGGCTCCGCGCCAGTCTCAGACAAGCCTGCCAGTATGTTATTAGGGCGTCTTGAAACCCTGGAATATGGGATGTGCCGTCCCAAATGAAGTCTTCGTGCCGAAGCCAGGCCTTGACCTCGGGAGGAATGGAGGCAACGTCTTTCGGCTCCGGGTCAAATTTGGGATCATATTGCCACATGAAACCTTCCTTTCTGTCACGGGACTCAGATGGGGAGAGCTGAGTTGTTCCACAGCCACTGTAGCCGTTGAAATGCTTCGAGAACTTCTTGGCCACCTTCATTTTGTCCTCGGTGGTCTGAGCGAAGAACCTTGCAAACGATATTAGCAAGTTAGGTAAGATTATCCGAGACTAGTAACGCACTTGGTCGTGGCTTGAAGAGCGTTGTCAATGACTTTCTCATCGATACCGTGATTCTGTATGTAGAAAAACCCGGAACCTTCGACCGCACGTTTCACAAGTGTTGCCATTTTCTTGCGGGCATCTGCATCATCGTAAATCCCACCAATGTCGATGACGGGAATTTCGTCCGGACGACAGTTGCGCGGGGCTACGGTTGAGACTCGACGATATATCGGCCCATTGCTGGAGAGGAGTTTGATAGTCGTGTATCCTGATTTAACATCCATGATGCGACGATGGACAGCAACTGGCTGAGCAGTACCGGTTTTGTGAAAGGATGATTAAAGAATAGTTGGGTCTGGCTTGTTTCCAAAGGGATATTTTACCATAGCGCAGCCATCCGGACAAGGTATTCGGGCCCGTAGATATGCTAAGGTTTGACTTCCCCGCTCCTGTACTAGGCAGGAGGCTTGGGAATCCACGGTGTGCCGTCCGTCGTGTTCCGCAGGGATTCGTGTGGCGCTTAGGAAAGCTTATCCCTCCGCATGATGGCAACCCCAATGATAAGCAAGCAATCCAATCATCAACACGGTGGTTGGCTAGCTTCACCTCAGCGCGGCCGTATCGGTTGCAGGATCTCCCATTGCACTACACGCTACTTGATAGCACCCATCTGGGGATCGCCAAGCATCCGTATCTCTGTTTGGCGGTCGGCCACGGGTCCCATAATCAAAGATGCTTTGGTTCTTGAGGACTGACCCGAATCGATCTATGGATGCAAACGCAATGCAACACAAGGTAGGGCCGGGATGCCTATCGGCGTTCAGGTAGTCGCGCACATGCTTTACTCCTTATCTACGTGACCATGGCAACCCCTTGTTTCTTAGATAAACCAATCTCGGTCCTTCGATTCAGCATCATCAGAGAACCTTCACTTCTCGGATTCGGCAGGCCTCTGCAACAATGTCATCTTTAGGTGCAACTTTGAAACGGCGTCTATCTGTGCCAGGAGCCCGAACAAGCCCGTTTCTCGACAACGACGATATTCGTCCTCTAAAGTTAAAGGACCGCACGTGGACTCAAACAACGTACTTGTTATTCTGGTTCTCCGCGGCCGCGACCGGTACTATCTTCCCCTCCACGCTGCAATCCGGCACACCCTTCCGTTGTGAATATCGCTGATTGCCAGTCGTTTGACCAAGTCGCCGGATGGTACTCGGGTAGTGCTGCTCAGTCCACAGGGCTCAGCATCTGGGAGGTCGTCGGCTGCCAAGCAGCGGGCTATTCTCTGATCGCCATCGTCTTCGTCGTCAACGGACGCCCAGGAGCTGTGTACCATGTCGGCTATCCCATCCTCAACCGTGCAGCATTTGGCGTCTATGGTGCTTGGTGGCCTACGCTGAATCGCGCCATCATGGCTATCGTGTGGAACGGTGTTAATGTAAGTGGCATGCCGCCGACAATGCATTGTCATACAGAGATGACCTAAACGAAGATATGTAGGGTGTTCAAGGAGGACAATGCATCTAGTGAGTGGACTATCGTCCGATGATAGGACAATGTATCTTTGACAGCTAACATGAACACAGTGTCATGTTGCATGCCATCTTCCCAAGCATTGCAACCATCCCCAATAAGATGGGCAAAGGATCGGCGCTTACATCAGGAGGCATGATCGGCTACACCATATTCTGGTAAGTGAATCATGATCATCGGCGAGGCATGTATCTAACAGGTTGAGCAGGCTGCTAATCTGCGGTGTCCTCTGGGTCAGAATCCCAAAGATGCGTATCTTGATTTGTCAGTTCCCCTAGACTTCTCAACCGAATTATCGTCTAACATTCCTCCCTCTAGATATCAAACTCGCAGTGTATATCCTTTCCGCTGTCTCCATGCTTGTTTGGACTCTTAGCCTGGCTGGTGGCGTTGGTCCCGTCCTCTCTCAGGGCTCCCGTGTACATGGATCGCAAAAGACTTGGCTCATCGTGCGCTTCGTCTGGCTCTTCGCGGCCAACTGCGCTACGTTTGCAAGTAATGCTGCAGACTTCCAGCGTTACGCACGAAAGCCCAATGACGTTATCCTTGGTAATCTGGTCGGCTTCCCGCTGGCTGACTGTTCCGTGGTTATTGTCGGGAATATTGTGGCGTCAACATCGACTATCATCTTTGATGAGATGGAATGGAACCCAATCATGTTGCTGGATCGCATACAGACGGAGCACTACTCGTCGGAGAACAGAGCTGCATGCTTCTTTGTGGCGCTAATGTTTGCGTATTCGGCACTGTTCTCCTCGGTATTCGAGAATAGCATTCCAGGTGAGTATAGGTCGGATTGCGTTCTCCATGCCATAACCATATTATAATTAACACGCCTCGCATAGCTGGGAACGACATTGCCGCACTTGTGCCCAAGTATATCTCCATCCGCCGGGGCATGTTCATCTGCCAGGTGGTATCCGTCCTCATCAATCCTTGGTTCCTCCTTGGCTCGGCATCTATCTTCATCCAGTTCCTAGGCTCTTACCAGATCTTCCTCGCGGCCATCACCGGCATTCTCATTTGCAACTACTATGTCATCTCGCGTGGCTCGCTAGTCGTTTCTGACTTGTACACCGGCGATAAATCTGGCGCGTACTACTTCACTAAAGGGTGGAACATCCGAGCCTACATCGCATATGTTGTCACTGTGGCAGTTGGGTTCGCCGGCTTCCTGGGCAATATGGGCGTTAAGGTCCCTCTTTGGATCACCCGCATGTACTACTTTGCCTACCCGATTGGCATCTTTGTGTCGTTTGGCGTCTTTCTGCTCTGTAACCTCGTTGTTAAGCCTGCTCATATCGTACCTTTCAGCAAGTGGCTTGAACCGAAGAACTACATCCGACCAGAAGATGACACCGGGACGATCTTAGAGAGCGTAGACTCTGAGAGACGAACTACCGATAGTCCTACGGCGGCTGTTGGTAGGAAGGGAATAAACATCATCTAATGCCTGGATGGCCTGTGCCAGGTTATTTTACTCTGTTCTCAGTCGAGTCGAGGGATGCCGAACGAGGAGTTTAAGCATGCATTGAGCGGCCGGATGGGTGTCTGTGCTGCGTAGGTTGAAAGTAGTGCTAAACAGCCAGCTCTTTCCCAAATGACTAGGCTGCTTAATAGTCTTATATTCAACATGTCATCGGGAGTAAAAGTTTGAATTGTATTAAGAGGTAATATCATGTATGTAGACCGCCTCAATCCAGGAGTTGTCCCAACAGGCTGTCTGATCTTGCATCGGTAGTTCGGGCTGAGCTATATTCATTCTCGATCTAATTCATAGTTTTGTATCGCTCTAGTTCCACTCATTATTCTCAGACCAGGTTTCGATCTTCATGCAATCTGAAAGATCTTGAAGCTCTTCTGAACGTAGACTTTGGCGCCGTAGAGACAGAGGCCCGAGAGTGCAAATAGCGAACCACCAAAGGCAATTGAAATTGCGTACGCATCTGCTCCTTGCTTGCCAAGTGCGTTCCTGGAATACTCGAGCAAGGCAATGGCGCAGGGACTTGCTACCGCTGCAGGTAATGCCACCGAAAGCCAGAAGATTGTGAGGGCAGACACCATATGTGCCGAGCCCACAACTCGACTCGCGACAGGGGCTGCGGTACTCCATAGGGAACCTCCCATGCAGCCGTTGAAAATGGCAAAGACGGCGAGGAGGGCAAACGATCGAGCTGGGAGCCAAAGGGCCCAGCATGATACCCCCGCCAGGATGTGGAGAATTATTGTTGTGTTTATCCGCCCGCCTAGATCAAGGATAGAGCCGATGCCCAGTCGTCCAACAACCAGACCGGCACAGAACAGAGACTGAAGAGCAGCGCCCTCGGCTTGGGAATGTCCAATCCCGTCTGTAGCATATGATGCTAGAGTGTACATGACGAGGAAATATGCCATCACTATTTCAGAATGTCAGTAGACAGTACAGGGACGTTTCCTCACAGGTCCTGGGCGGAAATGCTCACTGGCTAGAAAGCCCCAGATGCAAACCCAGACAAAACCTGGATGAACCAGCCATCGAAGCTGCAGAGGCTCTGATGAACGGTCCGCATGTGCAGGGCCCTTCCGGAGGAGAAAGATTACAGGTATAAGGATGGCGCCAGCGATGGCGCCGTTGATTATGAGAGAGGTTCGCAGGCCAAGATGCTCAATCAGGATTCGGGTAGTGTTTGCCAGAACTAGACCTCCAATACCAGAACCCGCGTTTGCTATGCCCTAGACAGACTGTAAGTATATGGTTATAAGGCTGAGTGGTCAGAGAAAAGCGTTACCAATGCCAGGCTTAATCTGTGGTCAAACCACGAAGCCAGTATGTTTTGCGTAGACACCAAGACCTGCAAAAAGGTGACATGATTTAGTGATAGTAACTAAAGGACAACGAACAAAGAGAAGGAGAGGATATTGGAGTATCATACCGCGCCGAGCCCTAGTGATGTCAGTAAGATGTGGACCTAGACCCGGAACTCAAACGTACCTAAACCAAAGAGTAGACCCTGACAAACGAGGAACGTGGCAAAGGATTTACATATACCTGCTGAGCATTGTCCCAGAACAACTGCCACAGTAGCTTATATTCAAATATATCAGCACGGAAGTGTAGGATCCCTGGATAGAAGGACTGACCGAAGACAAACGGCACCCGAAAGTCGAACCGTTTCGCCAGATAGGTCCACAAAGGAGCTGATACAAGGGCGACAGCGACGGAAAGTCCACCCACAAAACCGTAGCGTAGTGGTGTCCCGCCTGGGAAATAATTGTGTTCGAGCAGGAAGGAGGCGTAGACACCGAATGTCGTATTGATCCCTACGATTGATCAACTAGACGTTAGTATGGGTCATCAGGCAGTTAGAGATGGGAACCATGCCCCAAGTGATAGCGTATGAAACCATGATAGCAACAGCAACGACCCAGCCATACCCGCCATCAGGCAACCTGGGCGTCCCATACTTGTCCTCGCCAGAGACCTCGACGACTTCGGAAACCATCGTGCTTTCAACTTTCAGAGGGGGAAGCTTGTTCTCATGGGAGCGGTGATTGGAGAGGGAGAACATGATTACAAGTCACCGAGAGATGTAAAATTTGATCTTCATATTAGAAAGGTAACTTCCAGTGAAGTAAACTATTAAGAAAGGGACACGAAACCTTCTTGAAAGATTGGCTCTGCGGCATCGGCTGCAACGAAATTCCCAGTCGCCGTCCTTGGAACGCGGCAAACCCAATCGAACGTAATTTCAGACGTAATAATTACACTTTCTTCTGTACATATCGTCGCCGGTTGCGCTCTTGTCTGTACAACACATCGCTGGCAAGCGGCCCCGTCACGTGTGGGCATTGAACGGCGACTAGACTAGACACCGACGGCGTCATCCAAGCATCTCCACCAATGTTCTCTTTCTCACAAACGCCGTTTTCCAGCACTTGTCCTTCCTCTCATCTCCTCGCGCAGGTTGCTTTGCTCTAAATAAACACGAGAAATTTCTTCATGGAGCAATCGGCGCGTCGACAGCAATTGCTGCCGAGACCGGCGGGCCGGGGCCGGGATGCGGATTGCGACCGGGACGGCTCCACCGCCTCCGGCCACACTGGCAAACACCGCACAGCATGCTTCAATTGCAGAAGCCTGCGGCAGCGATGCGACCGTCAACAACCTTGGTATGGTGGCACATTAAGCAGTGTCGCACTATCATGTACTTTCCTCTTGCTAATTCCAGAACATTTTCAGTTCACGCTGCGCTTCCCAATCCCGCCCATGCATGTATCCCGCTGGGTCAAATCGGGGACGAAAATTAGGAAGCACTAAGTACAACACATTATCCTATCTTATACGCAACAGGAAATCATGCTAACTTGTGGTTTCAGCAAGCCGGTTGCAGTGGAGAAGCTTCTCTCGCGCCTCGATGAGAAAGATGTGCGTGAGCAAGTCATTGCGGCTTTGGTCAATTCTCACCTTATCGACCCGGGAATGCCCACAACACCAAAAGACACGCCAGCAGCCCAGCTCAGTGCACCACCACCAACACCACTTATGTACTCTCATCAAGATGGCATCGAATACGATATACAACACTCGCTGGTGTCGCCTCTTGATATGATGGCCGCTGCCGTGACAGCTGACACGACGACACATCGAGGAAATCCTAGCTCCCAGACAACTGCCTCACTCCATGGCCAGCTAAGTCGAACAGCTTCTGCAGGTTTGATAGACGAGAGGCTAGCTAGCTACTTCGGTAAGACTTGCGTTAATGCTTTTGCTCCCCAACGCTAGACTGACGTAGAATTGTAAAGCGCCTCAAGCAACGCATCATCGGGATTGGCAAGTTCTGGCTTCACAACCCATCGACAGTACACTGAAGCTAGACCCTACCGCATCAGACCCGATAACTTCCCGGATTATTGACCTCGACGATGCTTCACACTACTTTGACCTGTCAGTACCTCAACAAAAACTGACTCTTCGCAAGTACTGACTTTGGGGTCTAGTTTCTTCAAACTTCGCAATCCACTCTTAGGCATTCTAGACCCTGTTCTTCACACTCCTGAATATGTCTACTCTGCGTCCTTTACGCTGTTTTCGACCATTTGTGCTCTGGGTTGTGCGGTTTCCCGACGGACTCGAGACAGAGTTCTCTATCCCGTACTGCTTTCACTCGCAGAAGCCGGCGTAAAATGGTCGATCGCAAATTCAGTCAAATCTCTCGAGACAATCCAGGCAATCATGTGCATGCAATATTGGGCGCCTATTAGTCGACGTCAGTCCGATGATCCTTCGTGGCTGCGTCTAAGCCATGTGAGTATGAATACGCCTGCCCCTTGCTAAGCGTGCTCTAAGCAATGCCCCTAGGCAGTTCAAATCGCAAGGGAAATGGGCATCCACAGACCTGCAGCCATATCCGCTCAAGTCAACGCCTCGACATCCCCAACCGACAGCCCTTCCTTCAAAGAACGTCTTTTGCGAAACTTTGAGCGCACTTGGTTGTACACTTTTATCGCCGACAAAAGTTTCGGCATCACGGTTGGACGGTATATGGGAGTGTCATGGAAGGAGATACCCGCCTCCGCCTCGGACTGGTGGCGGAAGCCCATGACGAGCCCGATTGACCGCGTCATTAGTGGCATCATTGAGATGAGAGGAATTCTTGTAAGTCAACTTAGTACCCCTCTCTAATGTCTGCTACCGATACTTATGTGTTCATAGTTGAATGCCCTTGCAAAACGGAAGCGTGGTGACATCAACAATACTGCGGCCTCAATCTTTGAATGGCATTCGCAAACGTTCTCACGGCTCGAAACAATGAGGCGAATTCGCTGCGAACCAGATACGCTCCCTTCAGCACGGTCCCTGCCAGCTCTAGCCTTCTACGTAGACCACAGCATTCTCATATTGAACGCAGAGGCCATAAGAGACCTTGTCGCCCTGGAAGAATCCAATGCCCCGATGTCGGTCGAACTCGCCACGATCTCTAAAAGAAGTGTCGACGTCGCTAGTCGACTCTTAGATTCCTTGCTCAACGACGAGTTCCTACTTGAGCTGTTCATTGGTTTTCATAACAACCAATACATAATGATCTGCCATGCCGCCACAGAGATTCTACATGTAAGTGAATGCCAAACTATCTCACGCATTCAGCCCAGAAGCTTACTTCCCCTCGCAGGCCATCAAACGCGGATGCCTATCGACAACGGAAGTCTCTAGTGCGACTGCCAAGGTGATGGCGATCCCCGAGCACCTTGGGAAAGCCGCCCAGGAGCTGCCCGCAACGTCTGCAGTGCACCTCTATTTGAGCCTCGCTCGGTTCTTTGCATCCCAGTTCGACAAGATCGTCGGTACAGGCCACGATCAAGCTGAAGGCAGGACCGGCGACCAGGGCGACGCGTTTTCAGAGTGGTGGAGGGTCCTTGACGGAGGCCCGCTCGACTCAGCTACCTGGTTTGATATGGGCTTTCTCGGGTCCGAGCAGCCGGCCTTTGACCTCAACAGCTTTGAGAGTGCGGAGCAGGACTTGGATAGCTATGCATTTTCGTAGTTGGGAAGTTGAGAGGACGAGCCCTTGAAAGGCTATACCCGCTACAATAACGACATCCGAGTCAAGGATTGACTCCATCGAGAACTGCTAATGACGGCATGCCATCCGCCTCTTCCACCGACCGGCTCTGCAGCCGGCCCTTCAGGTGCCACGGAAACACCAGGTGCAGCCACCGGTACAGCAGTTGTATCAGCGTCCGCATCGCATCCGTAAGCTCCCTGTACTCGTCCATCGTCGTGACCGAGTCCAGCGCCTGCGAATACACATCGCCCAGCTTGGCCGTGCGTCTGAGCCCCAGGTCCGACAGGAAGTGGAAGTGGTTGAAAGTTTGGATCAGGAACTCGCGCGTCTGCCGGACCATCAGCGGCACAGTCATCTCTGGGTAGTAGGACACGGCGAGTAGCCGGGAGAAGACGTGGGGGCCGAGTGTTGACAGGAAGCCTTGCAGGAAGACGATGGTTTGCAGCGCGCTGCCCTCACTGCCTGCGCGGGCGGCTGTCGCGCCGAGGCGGATGCGTTTGATGTCTATTGGCTCTTGCGGCTGCCGGAGACTCCTGATCTCTTGCTCGATCAGCGCCTTGGCTGATTGCCAGCTTCCGTCAAACTTGTCGCCAACCACGGAATGCGGTTGGGTCTTGGGTGCTGAGTTATCTCCGGGCAGGCGCATGGTCATCTGAACGATAGTCGGCGTCTTTGCCGACACAGTCTCTCTGTACACCAGCCTTCCGAGAGCCTCAAGCTTCGGCAGATCCTCGTCAAGTACCTGGGCAAACTGATTGACGGCCGTACTCTCGGTTACGGCGCCGTAGCAGAAGCACACTGACTGGCTGGTCGTGTTCCAGTAGACAGTGCCCTTTTGTCGGGGCACCATGTTCTTGGAGGAAAGAGATATGCTAGGCGCCGGCGTGTAGATGGTCTCGCCGGCTACCACGACGTGGAGTAGGAAGCTTTGGAAGGGTAGGAGAGCGAGCAAGCCGTTGACAACGTCCGGATTCTCGGAGCGGAGCAGCCGCATCCGGAATGAGAGGTCCGGTGACGGGCCGGCAACCTCGATGATGTCGGCATCTGTACCGCACAGCATTACGGAAGTCTTTGGATTCTGGTGACTGTGAGAGACACAGGAAACGAAAGAAGGGCAGATGCCGGACTACCGGAGTTGTCAACCTCGAACTGGGGATCCGAATTATTGAAGCCTCATACGCAATATAGAGATAAGCTGTCAGACCAAGTCATGAGAGACACTTCCAAGAGAACAAGCCTTGAAACTTCCGAAGAAAGGCTCTGATAAAAGACGATGATCGGACAATACTGCGACTTACTGCTTTCAGACACAAGCCAACATTGTGGATGAAGTGGATCGCCCACAAGGAACTGGTTTCGTTGCTTGCGGGCTTGATACCGATAGACCTAAAGGCCCCGAACCCTGAAACGGCAACGGCTCATCAATAGGCTTGTGGAGATGGAGATCTTGAACTGAGGGTCCGGGGTAGAGTCGATCTCGGATCTCGTGAGACCTGTCAACATAGTCCCTTTCTCTATCTGGGAAGTCTAATTATTTCTTGGACTACTGGCGGAAACCGACATTCCCCCGTTTTGGTTATCAAGATGTCAAGGATGAGGCCGCCGGGGAAAAGACCGATCGAAAGCGGCTCCATTTCAGGGGTCTTGATAACGGTCTGACCACGACCCACCAGGTCGGGCAGACCCCGATCGAGAGTCGCGCTCCACTTACTCATGGTTGCGTGCATCACACTCTGTCAAAGGACTCAAATTTCACACCCTCGTACAATTATCCAAAGTTGTCGGATCCTTCTCCCCGAAGCTCACACCGCTTCTTGGGGCAAGGAGGGTCGGATTGGTTGTGAGCCCAGTGCCTGACACAGTTACCAAGTTATGGTTAGGGGCTATGGTCGCTAAGACGTTACACCCTTTGGGGAACCTGACTCGGAAGGCTCTGTTTGGAAAGCAGGCAGCCTGATGAGAATCATGACAAATGCAATTTACATGTTCATAGGAATACGACGAGTATGCCAGATCTACAATGCTATTCCGTGCTAGTGACAACGCCGACGCCGTATGATGAGCGAGAAAAACTCCCGTGTATGCAGTCAGCCAAGACAGAAAAACTCCCAAAGCCTCGCCTGGCCCTTGGCCTCCTCTTACTCGGGCTTCCCCCAGCCACCGCCGCCGGGCGTGTTGATCTGGATCCGCTCGCCGGGCCGGAGGTTGACGACGGCCTGGCCGCAGAGGTTGATGCGGTCGTAGCCGCCCTCGCCGTTGAGCCGGAAGAGGTAGTTCTTGCCCGTGGCGCCGGGCTCGCCGCCCTCCATGCCGTAGGGCGCGTAGACGCGCCGCTCGCTGAGGATGCTCGACTTGAGCGGGATGCGCGCCTCGACCTCGCGCGTGATGCCGTCGCCGCCGCGCCAGCGGCCCCGCCCGCCCGTGCCGCGGTTGATCGAGTGCTGGCGCACGACGACCTGCGTGCGCTTCTCGATGACCTCGGCGTCGGTGATGCGCGTGTTGGTCGAGTGCACGTGCACGGCCGACTCGCCGTGCCACCCGGGGCCCGCGCCCGCGCCGCCGCCGATGGACTCGCCGTAGTTCCAGCCCTTCTCGATCTCGCCCGTCGCCGGGTTGCGGCCGCCCATGCCCCAGCCCAAGGGGCTGGCGCAGCCCTGGAAGGCGGCGACGCGCTTGAAGGCGCGGAGGATGACGTCGATGACGCGCTGCGAGGCCGTGGTGGAGCCGCAGATGGCGACGGCGGAGGTCGGGTTCAGGATGGAGCCCTTGGGCACGCGGATCTCGATGGGCGTCAGGCAGCCCTGGTTGAGCGGGATCTCGAGGTCGATGAGGCAGCGCACCGAGTAGATGACGGCCGAGTGCGTGATGGAGATGGGGCAGTTGATGTTGCCCCAGATCTGCTCGCCCGTGCCGGCAAAGTCAAAGACCGCAGATCCGGTCTCCGGGTCGATGGTGACCTTGAGCTTGAGCGCGGTGCCGTTGTCAAAGTAGTCGACCGAGGACAGGCCGTCGGGATACTGCTTGGCCAGGCCCTTGAGGAACTCGCGGACGGTGAGCTCGGCATTGGCCTGGATTCCCTTCATGTACTTGTGGACCACTGGGAGAGTGAACTCGTCGCATAGCTTCTGCAGCAGCAGGTTACCACGCTGATTGGCCGAAATCTGAGCCTTGAGATCGGAGAGGTTGTCCTGAATACGGCGGGTCGGGCTGCAGCCAGGGAAGGTCCCGGCCTTGTCGAAAGCAGCGCGGACCTCCTCCTCGAGGAACTCGCCGCCGCTGACGATCTTCATGGTCTTGATGTTGATGCCTTCCTCCCACAGCTCCTTGGAGTCGGGCATCATAGAGGTAATACCCTTGCCACCTAGCAATCCGTTAGTAGATGAGTCCAGCTAGAAGTCAATGCAAAGGACTTACCAATATCGGTATGATGACCACGGCTAGCCGTGTAGAAAGCAATCTCGCCATCAACGAAGAAGGGGGTGACGACGGTAATGTCGGGAAGATGGGTGCCTCCCCACTCGGGATGGTTGGTCATGACAACGTCACCGGGTGCAAGCTTGCCCAGCCAGTAGTTATGTTGCGACTGGATGGCCATCTGCATACTGCCCAAGTGAATGGGGATATGCGGCGCGTTGGCGACAAGCTGGCCGTCGGGGGAGAAGATGGCGCAGGAGAAGTCGAGCCGTTCCCTGATACTAGTAGAGATGGACGTCCTCTGCAGGGTGTTGCCCATCTGCTCGGCGATGGACATGAAGCGATGCGCAAAGACGGAAAGCTGGATGTGGCTGAAGGAGTCGCTGGCGGCGGCCTTGGCTACAGCAGAGTGATCGACCTTTTCAATCACAACATGGTTGGACAGGATGTAGGCGCGGAAACGGGGCTCGACGACGATAGTCTGTGTAGCATCGAGGATGAGGGCTGGGCCATCGAGAACGGTGCCCTTGGGCACGTCGGCAAGGCGAAAGATGCGGGCGTCTTGCCAAGCGCCGTCAACGTATACCTTTTGTTGTTCGGTAGTGGTGGCAGGGGTCCCGGTAGCCTTGACACTGAGCAGCTCCTTGGTGGGAGCCTCCTCCTTAACGGTCACACCCGCGCTGCCGGTACCGCGGACCTGGATAGAGTCGATGACGATGTTTCGGCCGAGGACAAAGGCAAACTCGCGCAGGTGCTCGGCAACAAAGGCCTCACCGTAATCCTCATCGGCAGGTCGCGATATGGAGAGGTTAGTATCGGTACCGAAATACCGCAGGCTGAGGGACTCGTCGAATTTAAGAGACTTTTCGTTGGCGCCTTGGGAGACGAGCTCGTCACGGACCGCCTTGCGTAGTACCTCGAGGCGCTCACGGAGACGCGGAAGCTCCTCAAGGGACCAGTTGCCGGCATAAGGCTCCGAAGTGTCGTACTGCAGTTGTGATTGAGAGATACCATAGGCGGACAGCAACGAGGACCACTTGTGAATGACGATGCGGTTGATGCCAAGCTTATCAGCAATAGAGCAAGCGTGCTGCCCTCCAGCACCGCCAAAGCTGACAAGGTTGTGCTTCTCGGGAGCATAGCCACGGGCTTCAGTTGCGTTCCTGATAGGTCGGCTCATAGCCTCGTTGGCAACGTTGAGGAACCCTAGTGCAACCTCCTCGGGGGTGAGGTTTTGGGAAGTCTGCGAGTTGAACTCTTCGGTGATCTCCTTGAACTTGACCTTGACGATCTCTACATCGAGAGGCTCGTCGGCGTTCTTGCCAAAGATGGCAGGGAAGGAAGAAAGGTCAAGACGGCCAAGGAAGAGGTTGGCGTCGGTAACGGTCAGGGGCCCGCCGTTCCTGTAACTAGCGGGGCCAGGGTAGGCACCTGCACTCTCCGGGCCGACGACAAGCAGGCCGTTGCGGGCGAAGAGGATGGAGCCACCGCCGGCAGCAACGGTCTGGATGTTGAGCATGGGGACGGTAATGGAGCGGTCGGCGATGCGGGACTCGGTGAGGTAGTCGTACTTGCCGTCGAAGCGGGAGACGTCGGTGCTGGTGCCGCCCATGTCGAAGCCGATGAGGGCGGTACCCTCCTCCTCGTCGTAGCAGGCCTTGGCGATGCCCACCACGCCGCCGGCGGGACCGCTAAGCAGGGCCTCGTTGCCCCGGAACTTGTGCGCCTGCTTCAGGCCGCCGTCGGAGCACATGAACTCGACGCGGCGCGGCAGCTGCGCGAAGCCGGACTCGAAGTTCTCGACGTACCGCCGGATGACGGGGTACAGGTAGGCCTCGGAGCAGACGGACTGGCTGCGGCGCAGGTACTTGATGACGGGGCTGGTCTCGTGCGACGTGGTCACGTAGCGGAAGCCGACGTCGCGGGCGACGGCGGCGACGGCCTCCTCGTGGTCCGGGTAGAGGTATGAGTGGATGAAGGCGATGGCGACGGAGGTGTAGCCCTCGTCGCGGAGGGCCTGCAGCTGGGCGCGGACCTCGCCCTCGTCGGGCTTCTTCAGGACGCGCACGATCTCACCGCTCTTGGTGCGGACGAGGGCGGGATCGGTCAGCTCGGCGGTCTTGTCCATGGGATAGGGGTTGAGGTCGTAGTCTTCGACGGTGATGCGCTCGTCGACCTCGATGACCTTGTCGTGCAGCGCCTCGGCCTTCTTGACGTCCAGGGCGAAGAGCTTGGGGCGGGTCTGGTCGCCGATAACGCAGACATCCTTGAACCCCTTGGTGGCCACAAAGGCGAACTTCTCGCCTTTGTGTTCGAGTAGCGTGTTGGTTGCGACGGTGGTGCCTATCCTGCATGATGCTGGAAAGGGAGAAGACGTTTTGTTAGGTGCTGTGCCGCATCGTGGCTCTCTGATATCCGAGCCGAGGCAACTTACCTATGCGGGAGCCATCGAGCTTTTCTCCTACAGGAATAGAGCGTTCCTCGGCAATCTCCAGCACTCTCCTGATCGCCTCTGTGGGAGCATCTGAGTAGTTGTTTGGGTCCTCAGACAGAAGCTTGAAGACGAGGTCGTCGCGGCCCTCGATCTTCGCGATCACATCACAGAAGGTGCCGCCCCGGTCGATGGAGATGGAGATATCCGGGAGAGCCTTGGGCGACTCTGGCGGGTTACCAATGAAAGGAGCCATGGCGCTGTCGAGTCAGTGGGCTCGGTGGTCCTGACTTTGTGGCTTGGGCCGTGACAGGATCCAGATGCTCCTTCTCCTCTTACCAGGGACTCGAAGGGGAGACGAAGCCCCGAGAATAAATAAGGTCTAGGATCTCGACAGCCATCTGAAGATATTCGCAGTCCTTCCTCAAGTCTCGCCATCCACCCCGCTGGCACCCGAGACTGTGTCGCAATACGCCCGAGTGCTGGAGCTACGTGGGGCGACTGGAATCTGTCGAAGATGTGGAGATCGAGATGGGCGTGTTAGTCCGGTGATCATTGGCCAGTAGGCGCAGTGGCCGACCGAAATTCCCGCTTTGGGGCCCCGACGGGAGAGTGTCCTGCGAGCCTAATGGGGGAATTCGCTGTCAGTGGCCACCCCCGAGGACCCGAGGAGAGGCCTGCATTTCGCCATCTGGCGCTAGCAGAGGCAGATTGCTACTTGATACAGATCCCGCATCGATGAGATCACGACACCCTGGGGTGGGCGTCGCCACAATGTCCGGTATCGCGGACAAGAACCCGCCAATGCTTATTTGAATCTTTTTCGCTGCTTTTATCGCCAAATACGACGGTATCTTGATGGGGAAATCGCAGACATGCCGATAAGGTGCCCAGTAACGTGATGAAACGGGGAAGTCGGCCACACATATCGCGCATCCTTGCCGACGCCGACAAGATGCCCCGAGTTGGTGATAATCCGGTCGCAAGGACGGCCGATACATCGCGCATGTGTCCGATATGGTACCATTGAACAATAGGTCCGTCGCTCGAGAGGCCGGCATGCCGGGACAAGGCCGTCTGGACTGTGAGAATGGGCATTGTGGTCTTCGGTCTTCGCTAGCCATGGCCTGATTAAGGGAGAGGCTATTGATGATCACCATCGCGAGACAAGTAGAGGTGTAATTGAATGTTGCTATGCAGAACCTTCTCCTGACGGTGATAGATTGCAAGTTCAGGGCATCCGTCGAAGGGGGCTTTCCCCCGGTGCCCGGTGCAGTATAAAACGCAATGTTCCGGCTGCAAACCGCACTTGGAAGCCCCACGGGGAACCGTTTGAAGAGACGGAATGTGGGCAGACGGCATTGGAAATGACATGCAGTTAGCTCCACGCTGCTACAGTTCTCTCCGGCTTGGTCTGTGAGCTCTACAAGTACTAGTGCCGGTGCTGCCCCGAAGAGCGAGGTCAGAGCCTTGCCGACCGACCATGGTCTCCAGCCTCCACGAGTCTCACTTGCCTGCTCCCAACCCGCGTGTACAATTTCGTATCTCTATGTCTGTCCACTCCAAGTTCATCTTCCATGATCAAGAGATACAGAGTAGTCAAGATAGCCTTTCTGCAGTCGGCAGAATGTCCGATGCGAGCATTTTTTATCACAATAATTACTCCTTTGGGAATGGGTGTCCCCAAGAAACATGTCAATGGGTAGCACTCACGGGATGGAACCAGGGTACGGGATTGCGGCTTGGCCACCGCCAAACCCGGCAAGGCGGGAATGCTTACTGAGGGCGTCGACAGAGATTCAGTGGGGTTCTGGTGGCAGAAGCTTGTCCAAGCTTGTCCTTTACATCCATCTGTGAGAGAATCCGTATCGCGGCATCCCCTTCATGAAGTCCCGTCAACTGTTCATGCCCCAGCTTGACTTCCTCTCAATTGTTCGCGAGTGTACAGCCAGTCGAAACCAAATCAAAGCCCCAGAAGTGCCGTCCGCCTTTGCTTGCCCCTTGAGCACGCACAGCAAGGGAGAGAGAGCGCAGACACCCGCATTCCACGCGGCATTCATCAGTCAGAGTCAGAGTTCTCCCCCACGCGAGCTGGCCTGACACGAGCATAAAAGTTACATGAGAAATGACAGCGACCCCAGCAGGACCCTAGCACGCTCACCCTTGCGAAAAACGGGCCCTCATCAGCCGTGATGCAGCGCTAAGTTCATGCAGTCGGCCCAGAGTGCCCAGCAGGGCCTGGAGACATTGCTGCTTCTGGCATGGCCTGTCAGGGTTTAGCAGCAGAGACCGGTGATTCCGTAGGTGCAGTAGCCTGCCGCCACGGCGCCACTCTCGCGCGCCGTACTGGGTAGGTAGGTATGCGGTGCAGCCAACAATGGCTCGAATGGGTTCCCACTCCCACACCCTTCACACCTTCACCTCCCAACACGAACAAGCACGAATCACCACACAAGCTTATCTGCGGCGGAGAGGGGATTTGTGGGGATTCCCTCTCGCTAGGTGTGTAGTGCCCGTCCGTCCTGGGTCCCATCCTGCTGGAGACTTGACTTTTTCCATGGGGAGGGCAGCCAGAATGGCGAACTGGTGATCTTGTTTCTTTGACCATCCTGCCTGGCCGGGCGTACACCTCTGACCGGGCCCTTTAAGTTATCCTGGTACTCCCTCTCGCTATCAGGGGACACACGGGGCCTGCTTCGTTTCTTTAAAAGAAGCTCAAGGTCGTGCACGTACACAGTCCCAGAGCTGAGAGGACAAGGCTTCACATCCCTCATCCTCCCTCGATCCTACTGCGGTCCACCCATTCTGTTGTGGTGATCTGCGCCCGTCCCCGCCCCTTTTCTCGTCTTTATTCCATCTCTTGGGTCCTGGGCCTCACTCACCTTGGCTCACCACCCCCCCAAGAGACAACAACGACAAACTTGCCGCGCGCACAACATCACGCAAGGTCCTTTCTCTGAAGATGGCAGACCGGCCTCTTCCCGCGGCCTACGACGAGGCGGCGGCGGCCAAGAACGAGATGCAGGTCGACGAGCCCAAGCCCAGGTCCGTCGACGACGCCGACACGTCCGAGGGCGGCGACCACCGGCCCAAGAAGGACACGCTCAAGCGCAAGATCCTGCGCGTGATCTGGGACTCGCTCGACAAGTCGCCCGAGGAGCGCAGGTTCGTCGCCAAGGCGGACTGGTGGATCATGACCTACGTCTGCGTCGCCTACTTTGTCAAGTATCTCGACCAGACCAACGTAAGTACTTTTTCCCTGCTTCTCGTCCGTCCACGGTTTCCTGTATTGTGTTTGGCAGGTCATGTCATGTCACACATATCAGGGGGGGACTGGAAAGCGTGTGGGCTAATATTGAGGTATCACCAACAAAAAGATTGTCAACGCCTACGTCTCGGGCATGAAGGAAGACCTGGGCATGAGCGGCAACGACTACAACTACCTGCAGACCATGTTCACGGTCGGCTACTGCCTGGGCAACCTGCCGTCGCAGCTCATCATGACCAAGGTGCGGCCGTCGGTCTGGCTGCCCAGCCTGGAGCTGATCTGGTCGGTGCTGGTGATGGTCATGGCGTCGGTCAAGAACGTGCAGGGCATGTACGCGCTGCGCTTCTTCATCGGCATGCTCGAGGCCTCGGCCTACCCGGGCATCATCACGCTGCTGGGCAACTGGTACACGCCGCAGGAGCTGGGCAAGCGGTCGTCCATCTTCATCGCGTCGTCGGCCGTGGCGCAGATGTTCTCGGGCTACCTGCAGGCGGGGCTGTACCACGGCATGGACGGCAAGCACGGGCTGGCGGCGTGGCAGTGGCTCTTCATCTTCGACGGCATCATCGGCATCCCCATCTCGATCCTCGGCTTCTTCGCCATCCCGGACAGCCCGTTCACGTCCAAGGCGCGGTGGCTCAACGAGTCGGACCGGGCGATGGCGCAGCAGCGCATGGAGCGGGTGGGCCGCAAGCCGCCCAAGAAGCTGACGTGGGGCGTGATCCGCGACATCGCGACGTCGTGGCCGGTGTACCTGTTCAGCATCCCGTTCGCGTGCCAGCTGCTGGGCAACCGGATCTACAACTACTTCACCATCTACCTCAAGAGCACGAAGCGGTACAGCGTCGAGCAGGTCAACCTGATCCCGACGGGCGGGTTCGGGATCCAGGTGGTGACGGCGCTGCTGTGGGCCTGGCTGTCGGACGCGACGCAGAGCCGGGTGTGGGTCATCTGCCTGGCGGCGTCGCTGTCGATGCTCGGCTGCATCATCCTGTCCGTCTACCCGGAGCACAACCACTCGGCCATGATGGCGGGCTGGTTCCTGACGTACTGCCAGATGGGCGCGTCGGCGCTCATGCTCAGCATGGTCAACGAGCTGCTGTCCTTCTCGACGGAGCAGCGGCTCGTCGTCATCGGCGTCATCGAGACGTTCGGCTTCGTCATGAACGCCTGGGTCATCCTGCTGGCCTACGACAGCGGGCAGGCGCCCAAGTTCAAGGTCGGCTACGAGATGGCGACCATGTTCTTCGCGCTCGAGGCCATCTTCATCCTCATCATCGGCTACTGCGCCAAGCGGTGGAAGCCCGGCCCCAAGCACCAGGTCGTCGACGAGTGAAGCACAGACAGACACACACACGGCGGCGGCGGCGGCGGCAGGGGATGTGAGCTCACCGTACGCTGGCTGCCGAGACGAGCTGGGATGGTTGCGGGTGTGAGTGGAGAGAGGAGGTGTGTTTCTCGAACACTTGGCTAGTTAGTGGCGGTTCTGTGTCAGTCGTGCATTGGCACGGCGTGGCATTCTGCTTCCTTCTTTTCTTGTCCTTCAGCGTAGCCTGTTCTGGATTTTTGGATAATTATTCCCCCTCCTTTGGATGGACGGTACAAAGCGATCACTGGGATACGATTTATTATGGTAAAATGATAATACTCACCTCGATATGGGGATATGGAGGGACTGATGGCCTCAGAGGAACGACTTCTAGATTAGAATCATCTACGAATACAGCGTTTTCTTCGCCAGACAGCAGTCACATGCGATTGGTCTTTGGTGGAACTCACAGGGGCCTCCATTCACAAGAAAAAATCACTCGTGCCTTCGTTATCACCATTTGATAGGACAGCATCCCCTTTCTTTGTCCCCTGTCCAAGCTGCGGGTGGCCCAGCAATCGATCCATGGATGCAGGATATGCAGGATGGACGGCACGGACACACGGTACGGTATTTGATTTCTTGGTCGCCGGCCACGCGCGATGGAACATTACATGTTCGTGCATGTACAGAGGCTTGCATGGAGGAGCACGACACGAGCGCCGCCGCTAAAAACATGGCATCAACGCCACTAGCCGGGACGGATGATTTACGCGAAACTTGGGCGAAAGAAGAATCCATCAATTGCCGTGCTGGCCAAGGACGGTGGACCGCAGGAGGACAGACTACACAGACTCCATTGTCTGTGGGCAGATTTGTGTCTGATCCGTCCTCGGTTCTAGTCGTGAATCTCCCGCGACCGCCGCTCTCGACTCGAACGATCTTCCCTAGCGCTGAACCTTGTTTTGCCTTCTTGCCTTCTTGTCCGTCCATCAATGATCAATGATCAATCATCTTTCACACGTTTTTCAATCCTGCCGCGTCTGCCCAGCCCAGAGAGAGAGGAGGCTCCGGGCTCTTGGGTGCCCGCGACTTCTCCGAGGCATTGCAGCCCATTGCAACCCGAGCTGGACCCTGATTGGCACCGATGGCACCTTCGCCCGCCTGACGGCCCCCAAATCACGCCGAGGGCCATCGCTGTACGACCCCCTTTTGGCAAGAGATTCCAGGTTTCAAGGGTGCTGAAAATCCATCCCCGGCCCCCCCCTGGGCGGGCTCCAGTACAGGCCCCACTCGCCGCCTGTTCCGGGGACGCTATGCTGGAAGAAACACCTGTTGACCTGAATTAAAACGGAAAACAGTGAGGCTGGCTGGCTGGCTGGCTGGCCCTTTTGGCTCGTGATTGGAATTGGATCCCACCACCGCCAACCGCCAAACAGGAGCGAGATAGAGGCACGGCATCCCCGCATTTTCACAATCCACAATCCAGTTCCCTTCTTTTCCCACTGCCGGGGACGCGCTCCCTTTTTGCTTTGACGCAAAGGTCAGACACACACACACACACATCCGCTCCTAGCCCGGCGGCACTGACCAGCGAGCGATGGAGACACCAATGAAAAACTAAAAGTCTTGTCTCCTTCGTCTCTCACCCGCCGCCCCAACACGCCTCCTCCATCTCCTCCTCCCCTCTCTCTCCACTGATTTTTCCCAATGCCGGAGAAAACCCCGACGACACTATTGATCTCGTCCACCAACTGGCCGCACTTGTCTGACCGCACACGCCCGCCCGCGCGTGTCTCATCGGACACTGCCAACAGGAGAGGCTTTGCTTTGCTTTTTTAGTGGTCCGTCGCTGGATCTTGCCGAACCGGGTCCCCCTTTGCTCCCCGAGCTTGGCTTCCTTTCCCCGAGCTTCCTTGGCCCCCTTCCTTACCTCGGCCTTGGCCCGACTCCCGCCTGCCGGCACCGCACCGCACCGCACCGCGCTCCCCAAGGGTCTCCGTCTTTGTTGGGGACCTGTCCGTGAGTGAGTGAGCGAGCGAGCGAGCGGGTGCAGTTCGCACAACCAGGCAGTGAGGCTAGGCCCCTGGGCCGTGGTGCATCGCCAGCCCGAACCGAGCCATGGAGTCGCACATGGACCGGTTCCGGGTCCGCCTCCCGTCTGCCGTCAGCACACACTCCAACACCTCTTCCTCCTCCGCACAAGGGGCGGGTGCCACGGCGGCGGCGGCGGCGGCGGGCACGGCGCCCCCGTCATCGACCTCGGCGCCGCACACCAACCCCGCCGGCACCCCGCTGCGGACGCCCAAGGCAGGCTCCGCCGAGGGCAGCCCGGCGATCCCTCCGCCGCCGCCCTCGGCCGGCAGGATCATCGCCTGCGACCGCTGCCGCCACTTCAAGAAGAAGTGCAGCAAGACGCCGCCCGAGTGCACCACCTGCGCCGCCGCGGGGCTCAAGTGCTCCCTCGCCACCGTCACGCCCGCCAGCACCTCGGAGCTGCGCGCCCGCCTCGCCTGGGTCGAGAGCTTCATCAACCAGCGCCACCTGCTCGGCAAGGACCAGTCCATCCAGCAGCTGCCCACCGGCACCGACCTCGGCGAGATCGCCGACAGGTCCGGCGCCGTCGCGGCCGCGGCCATGGGTCCCTCCCCCTCGGCGGCCGGGTCGGCCGGGGCGCACAGCCACGACTCGCCGACGCTTTCCTTCCGGTCGAGGGGCGGCCGGCGCCTGGACGACGACTCGAGCATGGGCGACGCCAACAGCCCCAACGGCCCGCCCGTCAAGCGCAAGCGGCTCGAGAGCCTGAGCGCGTCGGGCGACAGGCCCTCTGACGACGCTGTCCTGCACGTGCTGCCCGAGAGGCCCGAGGAGCAGACGGGCCGCACCTTTGTCGATGCCTACTTTAGGGATGTGAATCGCGCGTATCCCTTTGTGGACAGGAACCGGATCCTCGCTACGCTAGAGGCCGAGGGCGGGCGCGTCTTCTCGATGAAGGAGCGCGACGCCGACTCCATCATCGTCTACCTGGTCATGGCCATCGGATACACGACCCTGCAGCGCGCGGGGCAGGTCTCGCCCAACATGGACCTGACCTTTGAGGTCGAGTACAAGGAGGTGCTCTCCGAGTGTCTGATTGAAGAGACCTTCGACACGGTACAAATCCTACTGCTGCTGGCCATCTACTCAATCTCCGACCCGCGGGGCTTCTCCACCAGGCCCATCGTCGACATGCTCGCTCGCCAAGCCATACGGCTGGGCCTGACGCAGCGCGACCTAGCGGACAAGGGCCTGACGCCGACGGAGATCGAGCGCAACCACCGCCTCTTCTGGAGCATATACGTGCTCGACCGCATGGTGGCCGCGTCGGCGGGCATGCCCGTGGCGCTCAACGACGCCAACATGAACGTGCCGCTGCCGGGCATCATGGTCGAGGAGTTCTCGTCGCCCGACTGCAACGAGACCATGTCGATGCTGCAGGTCGCGCGCCACATCATCCAGCTGCGCAAGCTCGAGGACAAGGTCATCCACCAGGTGCACCTGCGCGAGCGCGCGAGCATCTCGTCCCTGACGCACTCGGACCGCCGGTCCATCGTCACCGTCCTGCGCACCGAGATCGAGGACTGGTACAGCAACGGCTGCCTGCTGCGGTCGTCCGAGGTCGACAACGTGCGGATCCACATCCGCATCTCGTGGCTCGCCGCCCGCTACTACAACCTGCTGCTGCTGCTCTACTACCCTTCCCACTTCAACCCGACCTCGTCCCTGATCTCCAAGGGCGAGCTGCTCTCCATCACGCAGAAGCACGTCCAGTCCAACGCCGTGCGCTTCCAGCACCGCCAGCTGCCGCTCAACCACATCACCCTCTGCCGCCTGCTCCACGTCTGCATGATCTTCCTGCACTGCTTCCTGTATACTATGCAGCAGCAGCAGCAGCCTGGCGGCGGCGGAGGGGGAGGAGGGGGAGACCAGGCCCCGCCGCTGCCGATCGCCGGCATGCGCGAGGAGGTCGACATCACGGCGGACATGATGGAGGCCTACGCGCCGCACTACACGCAGGCCCACCGCGCCACGGCCATCATGCGGCAGCTCTCGTCCATCATCGCCTCGTCGACGGCCGCGGCCGCGGCAGCGCAGCAGCAGCAGCAGCACCCACCGCCCACGTCGTCGTCCACCATGTACGACCCGACGGGCCGGTACCCCTCGACCACCTCGTCGTCGTCTGTGTCGGCGGCGGCGGCGGCGGCGGTACCGTCGTCCGCCACCGGAGCGGGGGCAGGGGCGGCGCGCCCCCCCGTCGTGCTGCTGCTGACGGACCCCGAGCGCGCGTGGGTGCACGCCATGCGCGCCGGCCTCGCCGAGGTGACGGAGCACGTGCTGGGCCGCGGGAGCGTGTTCCGCATCGTGCTCGACGAGGGCGACGAGCTGACGCCCGGCGGGTGCGGGACCGGGGGCGGGCTGGACAGGTCTTCTATCCCCAACGGGCCGCTCACGACGGCGCCGCCTGGTTCCGCCGGGCAGGGGGGGTCGAGGGCGGTGTCTGCATCGGCGTCGGCGTCGATGGTCCCTCAGCAGCAGCATCCTGTTGCGCCGCAGCCGTTGCCTGCGGCGGGTATGCCGGCGCCTATGCAGCAGCAGCAGCAGCAGCAGCATTTGCCGCCTCCCCCCAGCAATGGGGGTGGGCCGGGGCATCATCACCTCCAACACCCACACCAGCACCACCGTCCGCATCATCATCAGCAACAGCACCAGCACCAGCACCAGCATCACCCGTCGATGGGCATGGCGCAGCCGCAGGACATGGGCCACAGCAACCACCAGTACTTCAACGGCGGGAAGGACGACCTCGAGTACGCCATGATCCAGGCGGGCGATGGCGACGGGACTACTACTAGCAACGGGGGCGGGGGTGCCGCCGCCGCCGCCGCCGCCGCCGCTGCCGGGGGCAAGAAGGTCTCGATTATGGACTTTTTATGACGGTAGGGGTAGTTCAGTCAGTCAGTCCAAGACTGGTTTGTGTCTTTTTTTTCGTGTTCATGTAAATACCCACCCCTTTTTGTTTCTTTATGGATTGTCTCTATGGTATTATAAAAAGCGATGGATATGGTAATTGGGTTTCAGACGCAGGCAGGCACTTTTTTTCTTTGGTTCAAACACTTATTTGTCTTGGAGGAGGACTTTTTACACGCGCGTGTGGAGGGGGGCTCTGAAAAGGTTTGAGCGAGAGCGGCGGGCTTTTGTGTGTATTTTTGCTTGGTGGGCATTTTTAAATTTTTGGGTATCATGGGGCGTTTGGAAAAGATAGTGTGGGTTTTTTGATAGATGTGTGTTGTGTGAGAATATGAGATGCATTTGAACATACCTTATGGTCAAGATGTTGCCGTGCTGTGCTGATGAAGGTTCGTCTGCTTGGCTTCAGCTCCCTCGCCCAGGTTGTGTGTCAAGCATTACTGCACTGGCAGCCATGCACATCATTTCCTCATCCAGCTTTCTTACATCGAGCAGGGACCAAAAAGAATTAATACACATTCTGAATCCCGATTCCCACCTTTAAAACGTGGTCGAGACCAGCAAAAGATGGAAGGTTGCTTGAAATTCGGCCCAAAAAAAAGAGGGGAGAGAAGAAAACCGTGGTTTTGTCTCGAGCGCGGTGCGATTCGAACACACAATCTTTTGAGCCGAAATCAAACGCCTTACCATTAGGCCACGCGCCCAGTAGGATAGTAGTATCTCGGCGCTATTTTGGTTTATGCGTCTAATTTGCAAGTGGACTCAGTGGGGTTCTCCTCGAGGTACAGCCTAGGTAGTGTCACGGGTGCCAGATGAATGGTAAAGACTACTGGAATGTGAAGCCTTGTGCCTGTCAGAAACGGCAGTCCAAACCAGCACACACGCGGTCTAGGAAGAGCTTGTACGCCAAGCGCATTTAGGTTCCCGAGGTACCTAGGCAAGGAACATCAACGGCTACCTGTCAATATGGTATCGTGCTGGCAAGTGGGTGTGTTGAATCCCCGAGGTTTGCAGAGTTGACTCACCAAGGTTGAAGATATGCGCCAAAGATGTCTAAGAAAACAGAGTCTCTCATGCATAGATTGCACAGTATCCCCAGCTTTCTACGAAGCTTCCACGCAAGGCGCACCGCGCCCAAGTCGGGGCCAGGCACAATTGGTCGTGACGCAAGAAAGACGAAACGGACACACTGCTGCAAGCAATATAGCAAAACAGGGGAAGACTTCGCCACGGCGAGAGCGTTGTTGATCCCTACGTGAAGCTGCCAGCACTCGGACTGCGCCCCCCTCGGGCCCGGCCTTTGCCTCAGCCCCCCGAGCTGAACACCTCGTGCCACACCCGGTCGAGCAGACGCTGCGCACCCTCGATATTTGTGAGAAGCTGTTTTTCCTGTAGCGGATGGCTCTAAAACGTATCACCCATATTTTCTTGAATTTCGATTCACACTGCAAAATGTTGACAACATGATAAAGGCGATCCCGCTATTACCCATCCAACGTTCGTGGACAATCAAGTCTTTCCTGTCACGGTCACTTTATTTCAATGTTTACAAGTCGCAACTTGGGGGTTCCTTCCGTAAGCAGCTCAATGGCACGGCCACACAGAGTGTAGATCAATTTGCAGTCTGACGTGGGATAAGTCCCGGAGGCTGTATGTGGTTGTATTACAGCGCCAGGTTAAGGATCTGATCAATAACCTTAACTTCCCTGCATATATGATATTTGACAGTATCAACTCCGCCCCCCACTCTAACAAAGACCCTCTTTGCACTTGGGCTTCGTGACGTAGTTGAAGGTCAGCTGGCCGTACTTGACGTCGTTCTTCTCCTTGTCGAGCGGCGCGCTGCCGCAGACCTTGCAGCCGTGGTCGACGATCCTCTGCGCCAGGGCCTTGACCTGCTTGCCCGTCATGCTGTCGACGCTCTGCACGAAGGCGCAGATCTCGCCCCCGAGCCGCGGCAGGCCGGGGATCCAGGGCGCCGTGCCGCCCGCCGACGGGTCGCACGCTATGTGGTCGCCCTTCTTGAACGTCTTGTCGTCGGGCGCCCCGTTGATGCTGTTGCGCAGGTTCTCCGCCACCAGGTGGTCGCCCGTCGGGCACATGCCGCTGCCGCGGCAGTTGATGCCAAGCCCCTGGGACGAGCCCGCGAAGAGGCCCAGAAGGGCTGCTACGGAGAGGAAGTGGGCTTGGGTAAGATGCATCGTTGCTGAGCGTGTAATTAGCCGGTGCTTTGATGTGGAATGTGTTTGATGGCGAGACGGTTAAGAAACCGAAACTGGAGTTTGCAGATGCAGAGTGCGGTGGATAGGCAGATGTATATGAGATGACCCGGCGCCTCGGACTTATTGCTCATAGGGGGGATATGGCATTGTTATATACTACTTTGGCCATGCTTCTTGTGACATTCTGAAGGGCTGCAGCGGTCTATGAGATGGACAGGGCTTTCTAAAATTAACTTGCCTTCGCGATCTGCACTCCCGAGACTGGCTTCCGAGTTGTACTGCCGCTTTAGACACTCAACTCGCTCGGAATCTATTCCAGGTAACCTTGAAGCCACATTAACAGTCAAGCACCTCGCCGCCAGGTCGTGGCTCCCTTTGGCAAATATCCTCGCTACGAATGGAATGTGGCAGCGGACGGCCGTTTCAGATTGAACCGCCAGGCCGCCCCCAAAATCCGCCGCCCCCAAGACCTCCGTCTAATAATAACCTTGTGCTACGATAGACTGCAATGCAAGTCAACGTATCGACAAGGAAGACGCATTGGAGAGGAAGCATATTTGAGTTCTCATGTTCTCATGTTCTCATGTCACACGACAGCAACAGGCCTGCCCTCGGGCCTATGATGACAAGCCGAGCCCCCTCAGCACCGGCCGATCTAATTATATTCCCATTGGTTTCATCTCATAGTCTCTGGCCTATAGATAACAAGCATATCATCAAGTTCCTCGGACTCGGCCGGTCTATTTATAATTTCCGCTGATTTCATCTCGTAGCCTCTGCTCCCAGCTCAATATTTAAGCAGTCGGACGGTACGAACTTGTCCCCCGAATCGAGAAAGTGCATCCACACAGAAGCAACACAATAACCTAGAATCAGAACTACTAAACTCAAGTAAGAAAAGAACCCAGATGCAAGGAGTCCTCCGTGCCCCATCATCGGCTGTCTCTAACATAGATCCATAGTCACGCTGTCATAACCAGAAACCATGGCTGTCACCACTTTCTCATCCCGAGCCCTCGCGATCATCATGCTGGTCCTCAGCGTCGCGTCTGCCGTCCAGGGGCTGGGGATCAACTGCCGAGGCAGCGGCATGTGCACGCCCTTCATCAACGGCGGCGCGACGGGCAACGAGGCCAAGGTGCTGTCGGACTGGATCCAGGGCATCGAGGCCGAGGGGTACAAGCCGCCCCAGATCCAGGCCAACCGCATCTACAAGACGGGCGAGCAGATCGCGTGCTACGAGCGCTCGCACATCTGCGCCTTCCTGCAGAACACGGGCGACAAGGGCGGCTCCGGCGCCGACGTCCGCCGGCTCGCCCCGCTGATCCCCAAGCACGGCTGCAAGATCTGCGGCAGCGTGCCGACCCACTACCCCGACTCCAACAACGTCAAGGACGGCCAGCTGACCTTCAACTACGTCACCAAGATCTGCGGGAACGGGATCTGCTAGCTGAAGCTCTGTGCCAGCCTCCTCCGGTGCTTAGCCTTGTCAACTAGCGACGATGCTTCTCTGTTCCGCTGGTGGCTAGTCAGCTTCGCACCAGATAGGCCACAGAACAAGGGTTTGAGCAGACTGATAGCACAGATAGCCTATTACTTCTTGTGGGTTTGAGGAGTGCTGCTAAGAGGACTTGGTAGAGTTGAACTTAGGGAGGTCTTTGTGGGCTTCTCTCCCAAGGCCCTGAGCAAAGGTTCCGTCATACTTTGTGGCTAGAGTCTATGCAGGCTAGTCTTCAGCTTGAATTATTAGCATGAGTCAACAGTGAAGTATAGCAAAACGTTCAGAGAAACCATATCTATGCTGGTATCGTCCACATCATGTGTTTTTATGTACCACTTGATGATTGAAGGGATACCTGACAAACCGCCGTACTTCGAGGTGGGCAACTTGGAAGACTACGAAGTACAGCCACTGGAAAAGATTTTCTTGTAAAATTTAAAGCTAGACGCGAGGTGTGCTAATGAGCTTTCTGGCTTGCCAGGTTGTTGGGCTTGCCTAACTCCTACCCACTACTACCCAACCTTCTCGCCCTGCTTTTCATCTTGCCATTCTGAGTGGTTGTCGAGGTGCATGCGACCTGCATGAAACACTTTCGACTCCGCCCCAATTCATGCAGGGTCGTGGCCTGCTCCTTGTAGCCTAGATTATTATATCGCTCATGCCCAGCGAACCCAAAAGTATGGTGATTCGAGCCTCTATCATCAATCCATCTGCTCGATACTGTTCTCCTTCTCTTCGCTCTCCACTGCCAATATCGCCATGGATGTCGCCGGTACCGTGGTCGGCATTCTTTCTCTGGGTATTCAGGTGACCAAAGGCCTGATTGACTTTTACTCTGCCTGCAAAGAGCAACAGTCAGATATCGCCGATACACAGCTGAAACTCAATCGGCTCTTAGGCCTGCTACATGAGGTTGACGGCTTGACGAAGCGCAAATTTCCCGCCGAAGAACAGCCATTGGTCGATAACATCACAAAACAGATCGAGCAATGTGGGTTCTTCGTGGAGAAGCTCAAGCGCAAAGCAGAGAAATTCCAAAGCCAGCCCGCCGACGACATTCGGTCAATCGCTTGCACGGCAGCTTACCGCTTGGCTTATCCTTTCCGGCAGAGCACGTTACAGAAGCTCGACGAGAACATCGAAGAGATCATTTCTCACCTGTCGCTGGGCGTGCAGCTCTTGACACAGAGAAGGGTCCATCAGATACATGACAGTGTCGCAGAGCACACCCGACTCCTCGAACTGATTCGAGCGGAAGAAATCTCGACGTCCGTACACTCCTGGTTGAACGCCCAAGACGCCACTGTCGACTACAACAGAGCTTGCAATGCATCCCATCCCGGTACTGGATTGTGGTTTATCAACAGTGCAGCATACTCAAGTTGGCTTCAGGGTCCCTCTTCATTCCTCTGGCTCAATGGCTTTGCTGGATGCGGTAAGACAGTGCTATGTTCAACAATCATACGGCACACGTTCCAGCATCGGCAGTCAAATCAAAATGTCGGCCTTGCGTTCTTTTTCTTCTCTTTCAGTGATAAGGGTAAACAGGATAGTTCCGCTATGCTTAGAGCTGTGGTCCAACAACTCGCAAGTCAGTTGAGAGATGGGGAGGGGATTCTCGATGGCATTAGGAAGAGATGCCATTCAGGAGAACCACCCATTGAAGTTCTCATTGATGCTTTGAATTTGTTGGCGCGCTCATTCAGCCGCGTCTACATTCTCCTGGACGCTCTGGATGAAAGTCCTCGCGATGAGCATCGGCAAGAGTTGCTTGATACTCTGCACATGGCGTGGAGGCGATTGCCACCCACGGCTCATTGGATGGTCACAAGCCGGGATGAGATCGATATCCGGGAGATGTTGACTGATTCATTTCGGCTCGCATCTCACACCATTATCACCCTGCGAAACGACAGCATCGATGTAGACATCCAAGCCTATATACAGGGCTATCTCAAGAACAATCGTGGAATGCGGAAATTGGAAGAACATCATGCCATCATAGAGCAGGTTTTAACACAGCGAGCCCAGGGCGTGTAAGTGCTCCCTGTCTGGGGATGTCAATCTACCCTTACTAATTGATCCTAGTTTTCGCTGGGTCGACTGCCAACTCGCAACAATTGCATCCGGGGCTGGGAGCAAACAGAAACTCCAAAACCTGTTGGAATCTCTCCCACGAAGCCTGGATGAGACGTACGAGCAGATGTTGGCGAGGATTCATCCAGAATCCACAAAAGACGCTATCCGTATTCTCAAAACGCTGTGCTGTGCCACAAGGCCTCTAAAGGTCGCGGAACTCATTGACGCAGTTGCAATCGATTTGGAAACCCACCCGCCAAGGTTGAATCCAGATGCCCGGCTCTTTAATGCAGATGAAATACTCCGCATCTGCCCAGGCTTCATTGAAATCTACGAGGTCGAGACGAGAAGAAGGAAAGTCGACACCTGTTGGTATAGTACTATTACACCAGCCGTTCCATTGTCGGTATTTTTCGAGAACGAGAAAACGTGGGGCGACGGCGATATGTCGGATTCAATCCTCACTCAGCACGTTCGTCTAGCCCACTTCTCCATCCAGGAGTATCTAGAATCTGAACGCGCGCTGTCCCAGTTTCGAGTAGAACGGGCAGAAGCACATACGGAAATGTCAGGCGCCTGTCTCTCGTATTTACTGGAAAGTCCTATCAATCCTTACATACATAACCCTATCGACGAGTACATCCATCGCATCAAGGGTGACGACAAACGCGATAGAAAAAATGCTAAGTTCCCCTGGGACTTCATTAAGAACTGTCCAGGGGAATATCCCCTTCTCCGCTATGCCTCGACTGAGTGGCTCGAACATTACCAACTTGGAAGAAGGGATTCTCTTCCTCTCAAATCGCTGGTGCTTCAACTATTCCTAAGCCCGAAGGCTACGTTCGACAACTGGTTGAAAACCATATACCAATTCGATCAGAAGTACCCAGGTAGATGGAGAACAGATTGGCAGGGAGGGAATCGCCTGCACATTGCTGTGCTCTATAACTTGGATGTGGACCTGATGGCGAAGATAATTCAGGAGATGCCTGACTCAGTGATTGATAGCGACACACTAGTCACAGAAGCGGACCAAGTTGAACGGACTCCGCTGGAGGAGGTCTGCTACCAGAATAACGAAGCGGCAGTTCGTTTACTTCTAAATGAGGGTGCCGGCATACGTCGAACCTCCTGGTGGCGTCCAACGGGTACACTTGAAACGGCGTCTGCTTATGGGAATGAGATAATCGTACAAATCTTGCTTAGCCACGGTACCCACGATACCTCGAGCGTCAACAAGGCACTCCAAGAAGCCTCAAAGAGAGGCCATGAGAAGGTTGTGCAAACTCTGCTTGACCACAGGGCCGGCGATGTCAAGAATCTCAACAAAGCACTTCGCCAGGCTTGAGAAGATAGCCATCATCGGAAGAGTAGTTAATTGATCCACGATGGCAAATGTGTCTTTATCCTTGGGAACCGTCATAGTGTCCTTGGAACACAGGTATTATGTTCGTTGTGTCTTTTCGACTGAGCCTAATTTACAGTGAAACCTCGCTTGTACCTAGACAGGTAGACCGAGCACCAATGTATAGATAGAGGACTGCGTAGATGCTACTTATTTACTGCCCCAATGATATCAACAGAGAACTGAACAGCGCCAAGTCCGACCATAAGCATTATAAAGCTCCTGTTCAGACATGGCGTTTATGATATTATTGAAGTAGCTTGGTATGCTTTCACGAGAGGCTGTTAGATGATTGTGTAGATTGTGCTGGAGTCATGGCACCGCAGATGTCAAGAAAGTAACTACTTGAATACGCTTCAGAGAAAGGGCCTATAAGGGGAGTCCGACCATTTCTTAAAGGATACACCCCAGAAATATTTCTACCACATCTCGAAGCTATCGTGAATCTCACAAAGAATCCTAGATCTTTCCTGATTGTTTGCGCATAGTATTTGTTGGGGGAATGTAAAAGAGAAAAGTTAGTATTTCATTGAGAACAAATGCACACAGTATCTGGAGATGGGGACACTGGAGCAAACCAATGAAGAATATCAAGTTATGGCTTTCAGAGAGCAATGTTTGAGAGGTGCAACTTTGGCGGCTGGGTTTCGCTCACCAAAAGGAGGAAAGCCACAGGGCTAGGTGCGTTCGGAAGGGGCATGCAGTGCACTGCAGGCTGGCATTCTGGTGCGATGTCGGGTGCGACGAATGGCAGCACCCACTGTTGCAGCCGTATTCGCTTAACGTCTATCGAGGGGCGCGAGGCGAGCGCCATCTAGTTACTTGTACTTGTAATGGCGAGACCCGGTTATCGAGTGCATCGATGAATGACCTGTCAAGGAATTGCAGATGCTGGGATGGCTACTGGGATGCTGGGATGAATCCGGCTTCCGCGATGTCCCGTTCTGGGGTGCTTCGGGCTCAGCGGGGTGTCCACAGTGGGCTCTTTTGGGCAATGGGCTCTGGAGTCAGGGTCCACCGGCGGTGATTGGACCAATTTCAGTTTGCTTGACAGGTCCATGGGGACATGACAGAAGGAGAAATGGCAAGCTGTGAACAGAGGTTTTGCAGATCTTGCTGGAAGAATGCGTCGTTGCTTCAGCCTAGAGATGATAACATCAGATCGACGTCGGCAGGTGTTCGTCATAGGGCTCCTTTATCGTCTTTTATCGAAAGCTTACTCCGTAGTCGAGCTGTGGATGCCAATGTTGAGCATCGTCATGGGGATGCAATCCATGCAATAGAGTTGCACTTAATGCCTTGGTGCAAATGCTGTTCCCCTCATCGCGGTCCGAAAAGGGAACAGGCGCATCCAGTCTGCATTGCCTTAGGCTGTACCGACCGTGGCCGTCGGCAGGTTGGGCCAGTCGGAGCGGTGGCGTTCCTGTCTTTCTGCGACGATGTGCCGCCTGCATTCCCGTTGGTGCAAAATGGCTGCACCCATCCATCATCTGGTTCTTTCCCCTCCGCAACGATCCATTTCAGACCGAGCGTTGAGTTGTTTTTCTTTTGGCGAGTCACTTGGACGGACGCAGCACACACACCTCACCTGCATCTGCATGCCCGATGAAGGGGGGTTGAGACCAGTGAGCTCACAGGCTTGGGAGCAGAGGCATATCTTTCGAATCTTGTTGCAGCCACTTTCATTTCTTTCTCTTTCTTTCCTCCTCTGCAACAACACTACTCTTGATCTCTATGAAATAAAACAAAGCATCGTTGCCAGCATCATCATCAGACATCATCAAATCGCAGAAAACACTGAGACATCGTCACCCACCACCACCACCACACCAGACCCCTGGACGAATCAGCACTCCACCCACTCACCCCGGGCGCCAACACCCTGACTAAGGCTGCTGGCTAGTGGTCCCTCCCGTGCGCATCCCTGCCATCCCTGCCTGGACGGGCAGCCTGTGCACTGGCACGACTGGCTTGTGCAGCCATTCCGCGCTGCGGCAGTGGCACAAATCGACAGGGGAGTGGAGCGCTGGAGCAAATCCTGAGCTTCCCCATCTCGGAATCCCAGCTTGGGGCGACCCAAATTCTGGTCCCGCCCTGCTAGAAGCCCTTTTTTTTTTTTTTTTAGTGCCAGGGTCACGCAGCTGCGCTGGTTTTTTCTCCCATTCTCTGCTTTCCCCGACATTACATTGGTCTGGGTCTGACTACTAGGCGGGCGCACGGCTAAAGCACGATTTTTTTTTCTTTCCACTTCTCCATCTGCGACACCGCCAAAAGCAAGAACTCCAACGGGGCTGGCTGGCAAAACCTGACAACACACACACACGCGCGCGCACGCACTCTCTCTCATCCATCCTCCACACCTCTTTCTTTGCGACAGACCTGCGCATCCAGCCGCCTCTTCCTTTCTCTTCCACACTCGCACCGCACCCTCGATGCGACCGCCGCGACCCGACTTCTCGCTATTCTTTTGATTCTCCAAGGCTGTTGGTCTGTCGCGCGCGCCGCTCCAGAGTATCCACCTTTGATCGGCCAGCACAAGTCGCGGCGCGTGGTTCGCTGAGTTTTGGTTGGGTGGAGGAGCCGCAAGGCGAAGCTCAAGCCCCCCAAGGCTGCAGAATCTTGGATCCCTCGTCATTGTTTTTGGAGCTAAAAACTCGGCATGATGGATCCAAGACATCAACCACAACCACAACCACCGCCCTCTCATCCGCCATCTCACCATCATCCCTTTTCCTCATCGCGCGGCGCCGCCTCTCCCCTCTTCAGCCGCTCGCCGTTTCCCCCAGCTGCCACCTCCGCGCCGACCTCGTCGCATGCGCCCCAGCAGCAACATCAGCCACAACAACCGTCGGCAAATCGTCCTCCCTACGCCGATCATCAGCGACGCCTCTCCGACACTTCCTACTATCCTCCCTCGCGATCCTACACCTCCGACCCGACCTCACACACCCCCTCCAGCCATTCGCGACACCCCAGCTCATCGTCACTACCGCCCTCCGCATCGATAAGCCGGCCGATGCCGCCCCCTGGCTCTCCTCCCCAACCCGGCCAAGGCCCAGGAGGTCACACCATGGGCGGGTATGGGCTGCCACCTCCGCGACCCCCTCCTGTGTCCGTCGGACCGCCGTCGGCCTTTCCCTCAGGTCGCGAACTCCCGGCGCTGAGCTCTCTACCCAGGACTGGAAGCTCGGGGAGCTCCATGTCAATATCGTCTATGCTTGGAGGACCACCGCCTCCATCCAGGGAACCCTCTGCGCCATATCCTCCGCCTAGTACGTCCGCCGGGGGCCATGGTCCGGGTTACGGTCCACCCGTGCACGCCTCTCCTCGCCTGCATAACACCGATTACCCTGCCTTCCGCCGACCTCACACTCCCGATCAGCGACCGTACGATGCTAGAGATCCGCGCGTCAGTGCGAATGCCGCATCGCCGCCACAGGCAATGTACGGCACGCCCGAAGTACAGAGATATGGCACACCGCAGGGCTATGGCCAGCGCGGGCCTCCTCCGATGAGCGCAGCCGACCAGGCGAGAGAGCAACAGGCCAGGATGGCCGCGTCCATGCCTCCTCGACCCAACAGCCAGCCCAAGTCCTTCAGCAGCGGACCTCCCCCTCCGCGACACGTCGACATGGGCCGCCCAGGCCCTCCCGAGGGTGTGTACGGTCGACGGGAAGAATACCCACCATCTACAGAATACAACCCAGAACGACCAGGTCGTGCACTCAAATACGAAGAACCGCGCTACATGACGGAGCGGGAGCGTCAGGAGCGCGAATTCGAGCTGCGTGACAGAGAGATGAGAGATCGCGCCATCTCGGGCGGTGAGCAGAGTCGTCCGCCACAGGCGATGCACCAACAACCCGAGTACCTTCAGCGCGGCCAGCCGCCTGCATATCCACGGAACGAGCGGGAACCTACTTGGCAGCGTCCTCCGTACGAGCACTCGAGACCTTACGATTCTGCTGGCCCGCAGCCACGCCATCCCGACTACCCTCCCTCCTCTACGTCGAATTACCCCGGCCACCCCACGTATTCGCAGCCTCCTGCCGACCGGTATCCTCCTCCAGGCCCTCCGCCACCGCATCAGGGCATGCCTCCCTCAGGTCCTCCACCCGTTCAGCCCTACGACTCGCCCGAGCGTCAGCGCTACGGTCTGCCGCCCCAACACCAGCAGCCACCGCGTGGCCGCATGATGGATGACGCACCCCCTCCGCCGTCTGTTGCATATAGTGCAGCTTCTTCCTTGTACGACGCGTCGCGGGGCAGGCCGATGGAGGAAGGCCCTGCTCCGCCGGGCCAACCGAACCGACTCCTGGGCATCCAGGAGATGAACAGGAAGGGCCGCATCTCTCCGTTGCCGCAGGCCGTTCAGGGCGCCCAACCCCAGATCTCGGGTCCAGCCGGTGAGCCGGGCATCAAGAGCGAGTTTGGCCGCATGTTTGCTGGGATTGGAAGCGGTGTCAGCATGGGTATTTCTAGTCCGGTGGCCGCCGGAGCACAACTCGCTTTTGCTGCTGGCGGAGGAGCTCGTCGAGAGGATGGTGAAGGACCCCCTCAAGATGCCGCCCCAGAGACAAATGCCAAGGGCCAGAACGGCCGTGGGAAGAGGAGGAAGCTCAAGGACGAGGATGGCAAGGGTGACGATGACAGCACGGGCAGGCTCACCCCTGTGGGTGGCCGCACAAAGCGCAACAAGACTCATGCTCACCACCATCATCAGTACGTGGTTTACCCGCTTGCAGTGTTTCGAGACTATGCTAACTTGTCCAGTAGCCACCATCATCATCACCACCATCATCCCGAACAGACCTCCTCTCCCGGCCTCACTCCGTTCAAGAACGTCAAAGGATCGACACCTATTCCTTCGCCAACCGGCTTTGGCAAGGATGTCGCGCCTCCCCACCACCATCACCATCACCATGCCGCTCCCCGCTCGACGCCACAGACGAAGGCACCGCCGCCGCAACCTGCACCGGTCATGCCTGTGCCCAAGCTCTCAATCAGCTCAAGGACGGTACTCGACAGCGTCGCCAATCGACCTCGCCACCACTTGGGAGATTGCCTCTACGAGACCAAGCTCAAGACGGCGCGCCACTGCGACCCCAAGACGGGCAGGCCGCCACGATACCCTTACAAGACTACACCGAAGCCGCTGCCCTGGAATTTGATCAACGGTAAGGAGAACTGTACCCTGACCGTCAAGATCAGCAAGGTGCACCTCACGGCCGCCGCGCGCGAGGAGATCACCGAGCGCAGGGCCGTCTGGGGCACCGATGTTTATACCGATGACTCGGACGTCATTGCCGCTTGTATACATGCGGGTTGGATACGGGGCGAGTGGTCCGAGGACGTGGATGTCGACATGCTGGGGCTCGACGACATGGAGCACACGGCTGTTAACGGCAACGGCAAGAAGGGCAACAAGAGCAGCAGCAACGAGCAGCAGCCGATCCCGGAGGTGCTCACCGAGCCGCCCAAGTCCGGGCCGACGCCGATCCCCGTGGACAAGGACCTGCACGTGACGGTGCTGATCCTGCCGGTGCTGGACAAGTACGCCTCGACGACGCGGTTCGGCCTGCGCAGCCGCGAGTGGGGCAGCGCGCAGGGCCGCGGGGACCCGCTGCACAAGACGCACGACGGCCTCAGCTTCATGGTCACGGGGATCCGGTGGGTGACCAACGGGGCCGGCGCGCAGTCGCGGCTGCGGGGCCGGGCGCGGCGGGAGCGGATCCGGCTCGCGCTGCGGGAGGTCGAGGTCTCGACAGACGTGGAGCCCGGGCGGTTTGCCGACGTTGTCGTCTCTGAGAGCCGGAGCGTGCTTGTGCGACCGAACCCGAATCCGAGGAAGAGGGCTGCTGCGTCTATTTCGGGAGGTGGTGGTGATGGGAAGGAGGGGCTGAGGGAGGGGAGCGAGGGGGATAAGGAGAATCGGCCTGTCGATGGGGCGTTTGGTTCTGCTGCTCCTGCGGTGGCGGTTGAGCCGGAGAAAGCGGAGGTGGTTGATAAGACCATTGAGAAGGAGGCGGAGAAGGGTGATGGGAATGTCAAGGGTGCTGAGGAGGTGGAGGACGAGGCGAAGAAGGCTGAGCAGGAACCGAAGGATACGTCTGGTGAGAAGGCGGCCGAGTTGGAGAGTGCTGCTGCGACGACAACAGACAAAAACAAGGCGGTGGATGACAAGAAGGGAGACGGAAACAGGGAGGACGAACCGCCTGCCGCTACCGCCTCGACGACTGAGGGCACTGATGCCCCTGCCAAGGACGCTGCTCCCGCTGCCGAGAAGACGGAGGAGGAGCAAACGGATGTCACGATGAAGGAGTAGTAGGTTGTGGCCGACCCGGCAGGGACAATGTGTTTCCTCCACTCATGACGACAGTGTTTTTGTTGTTTTTGAAGCATATCGTTATTTCTGGTTTTTATTGATACCATGCCGTACTATATCGCTGCTGCACTGCACCCACCGTGGTGGTGTGGCGCGGGAAGATGGGGAAGTGGGAGGGGAGACAGCAAACTGCGAAGCGTCCGTCGTTTCTTTCGAGTGTGTGTGTGTGTCTTGCGGAGAATTTGCATGCGACACACCAGACCGACCAGCCTGGCGATGTATATAGTTGTTGATGTTGAAGGAGTAGGTTGTTTATGGGGGATAGGGAATGAGAATACTTGATCATGGCATATTTATTACTTTACACGTGAAGCTTGCACTCTGCCTTCCTTTGGATGCTATTCCGCGTCCCTGGCCGAGTCGCCAGCCCATGTCGTTTTTACCTAGAGCCCATTGCACCAGACAAACCTCCCGAAAACTACGGCCTCGATAGCCATTTTCTCCACAATCTCTAGAGACCGACAAGACGCGTATCCGTCCTGACATGTTAGATATTTCCGGGCTTGCTAGCAGTACTCCGCGCCACACAGTTGCGGGATCGAGGCAACCCTCGTCCAACGCAACAAGGCCTCGACTGATACATATATATATACACTCCTGCAATACTTGTCCTGTGGCTCCACCAAATGCCACGGTGATGCTACATTCCCGCAAACACCACTCAATGGCCTCCAGGCCTCTTACACCGCCCCCACTCGAAAGCATCACTCTCGCGTCCTACCTTACCTATCCTACACATACACTAAAACGCTGCCCTCGCCAGCCATGCCCTATCTCCCTCTAGAAATCCGTGACCCGCCCGTTGTAGCTCCAGTCCCCGGCGCTGCCCCACCGCAGCGGCTCGTTCTTGGGCCCGCCGACCTCGCCCGTCTTGGGGTTCGTGTCGCCCTCGAACTCGGGCGGCGCGCCGCGCCAGACGCCCTCGTGGGTCGACGTGTCGGCGGCAGCGGCGGCGGGGGCGGCGGCGGGGGCCGCGGAGGAGGCGCTGGTGGTGTGCCGGGAGGTGGACGTCGCGGTGGTGCCCCCGCCGCCGCCGGTGGTGGAGGCTCCGGCGTCGTCGACGATGCCGAGGCGCTCGGCCGAGGCGCGCTGGAGGCGCTCGAACTCTGCTTGCTGGGCGGCGGGGAGGCGGGGCGGGGAGGGGCCCTGTTGGAAGGTTGACGAGAGGCGGGTTGTTGTCACTGTTGTTGTTGATGATGTGAGTGCCGTGCGGCGCGGGATGCGAGGCCGGAGGAGGCGGAGAATCGGGGTCGTGCGGGCGATGGGCATTGTGGTATGGAGGGAGACAGACAGTGAGAGCTGAGAGGTGTGTGTAGACTTATGGACTCTCCCAAGATTGTGTGAGGCTCTTGAGTGTGTGTGTGGGAAAGACTCGCGTGGATGGAGGCTGGCGACGTGAGGTCAAGGCGTGTGTCGTGATGTGATTGATGATGATCTCGGATCTGAGTCCCAAAGTTTCGTCGCCCTCGGCTCTTGATGACGAAAATGACTGAAAAATGGGGCTCTGGCGGATTGGCAGTGGCGTTGTGGGGGGCCCGTTCGCGCCGTTCTAGGCCCTGACCCGCTTTCGCAGGGGGCGGATTTAGCGCTGCTTTGTTGGGAGGAAAGATCATCGCCAGTTCGGACGACATCAATGGATGGATGGGTCAAATTGGATTGGCTCTGGCATGGACTTTGTGAGATGCGAGATGTGCTGTTTCATGTATAAAGAAGATATACAGGACTCGTATGATTTTCTAGTGGAAAATGATGTGTAATATATCACCAACGCCAAATAAAAAGGACAGTCCTCCCGAAACTCCATGCCATATACAGTCTACCGTGCATGTCGATCAATGTCCTTCCTTGTTGTACTCGTACATGTGAAGAAACAATCATAGCTCATGTCCGGACCTATTCCTCCTGTCCATCTCCCAAATCTTTGGATAGCCGGCGATCAAATCTCTCAAGACTCAGACACCTGCACCTTGTCCTTCGCGACCTGGCACTGCGGGCATCGGACGTGTGAACAGTTGGGGCACGATTGGGTCGTGAGGATGAACATGCTTCCTTTTCCGCAATTGTGCTGTGGTAACTCTGTCAGAAACTTAAACGATCTCAATGCGAGAGTACAATGAAGAGGTAACGTACGCAGGTCCACAGCCAGACAGAAACAGTCTTCGTCGGCTGCCCGTTTCACCACCAGTTAGCAACAGTCACAAGGATGAAGCCATTAGGGAGATAGGCTGGACCGCTTACCATGATTTCAGTTTGTGTTAGCTTCGCATGAACGACCCGGGTTCTATGCTGAAGTGGTAGATAGTTGAAAGTTTCGAAAGTTGGTGCCTCTGAGAGACGTGGTAAAGAAGTTGGCGCTGTTCGGGATCTCTGTCCTGTGATTGTGGCTCAAAAGAAGCTGAAAGAGTCTGGACCTTGGTCCAAGACTTCCGGGGAGAAGCCCTTTCTAAAATAAGCCGCACAGAGTGCCGCACATCGGGGATTATCCATCGAGCAACCGAGACAAGCGCGTTCCTCCCGACCTCCCGGACTCCAAATGTCTATGCAGCACTGCCCACCGACAAGAAGTGAGGAATTAAATCCCTCTGGCATCTGCCTTCCCACCATCAATCTCCAGGGCTCGGGCCGGGATGACGTAGGTGGTCACTCAAGGAGCACATCCTTGATTCGAGAAAAGGCCAGAGACGGCAGCATCCCTCCAATGGCGCCCGCAGCCCGCCTTTGAACCTAATGCATGCCGTGCAACCCCTCACTCCCTCTTCTGAACATAGCTGCTTACGATGCACGACATTTGCTGTTGGTCCCATAGTAGGATCCAACGGCTCCGTGAATCGGATCAGGGGGGATAGCGCAATTTGCAGGTGATGGTCTCTGCCGTTTGGGCTGCAGGCTGACCTGTACGGGAGCGCGAATCGGACGGCCAAGTCTTGGGAGAGTACGGGGGAAAGGCTCCTTTTCATTATCGATTGGTGGGCATACTCCCGTGTGATGGGGAATTGCTATTCCAGAAGCTATCTTGGGGGTCTCTCCCAGTGTCTTAGCCCTGGATTCAGATCTTGGTTGCAGTTGGGCTCCAGGGTCGGGGGAAAGCTGCTTGGCTCTCGGCAGTGGCGTTTCCCCATTTCCTCGGGGCCAGCCTACGCGGTGATCGTCAGGGTTTTAATCGATTCAGGGCAGGTGTACATGTGCCAAGCGGATTGGCTGTGTCGGCGATTGAGTGCTCCTGGGTCGATGATGGTGTGGTGCCTGGGGTGTTGCCTGCTGTGGTGGCAGAGCTGGCTCCGTCATGCTCACGCAATACCGGACAAGAGAGCCCGTATGGCATGGTAATGATTACTCACTCTTACGATTGGTTTGACGAAATATCATTGGCTTCTACCAGTTATCTCTGCTCGATTGGATTGAACCCCTGAAAAGGATCACCCAGATAGAGTGGCCATGGCCTATCACCTATTGAATCATGACTTGCGGGACCCTCATGATTCATCGAGCACCTGGCTCTTATAATGCTATTGCCCATCATTACCCAAGTAATATACCATAACATCTCTCGACTTCGAAAATTAATAATAGTAATAGACTGACTCCGAATACTCATACTCATCCTCCGATTCGTAATCATCAGAATCAGATCCAGTATCGGAGCTAATATCAAATTCAGAGTCTGAAGAGTCATCGAAGTCAGATTCCTCAAAGTCAGACTTTCCAACTACGCTGTCGTCGTCTGAATCATCCGAATAATAGCAGCTACAAAATGTCAGCCAAGCCGAACAATAAAGCTGAATGGACTAGTCTTGTATGCTCACCTTGACGACACTGCCATAGCTGTCCAGTCGCTGGGCAAGTTGTCCTTCACGCCTGTAGCCTTGCCGGCCTGGCGTATACGTCTCCAAAAGTTGGCCATGGTTGAGGAATCGGGCTCGAGGGGATAAAGCTCGACATCCTGTGACTCCGTAAGTACATCTCAGTATCGTACTGAGATAACTAACAAAGAAGGCCGATACATACTTGGCTCAGGCATAGATGAATGAAGGCCACCACAAACGAAACCCACGTCTTGGTCTGCTCGGAATCCCTGATCCCAGGACCCCCGCGGAACTCGACTGACCCGCTCTTGCCGGGACGCGCGTTGTCAAAATTCCACAGGACGTACCTATCTTTCTTGGGCTCGTAGCTCTGTTGCATCAAGTTCCTCAGCTGGTACTTGTCAGCGACCTGATCCAACCTGTGCTTGACCGCGATGAGGTCCATCCCTCTCGAGGTGTGGGACATGATCCGGTTCAATTCGTAGGACTTCTCGGTGTTCAGCCTGCAGTACTTATTGTCATTTCTGTGTGCTGGGAGGAGCTCCGCGACCAGTGGTTCGTATCGGACGACACCGAATGCTATGCGGCGCAGCTGTGACAGGGAGAATTCCTGTTGCGGTGACGGCGAAACGTGCACATGGCAACCGCACAACGTGGAATCTTCGGGCTCTTCAAAGACTTCGCCCCAGGCGCTCCAGAACATATCAATGTCGCTTTCCCAGGCCGTGTCTGTGGACAGGATCGGAGATACTGCCTCGAGAGCGACTAACAACCATCAATTGTCAGGTAAACTCCAAATAATACCTTCTTCATATCAATAGGAGACGCATAACTTGCCCCTAGAGTTCTCAGGCTCCCCTAGAGAACCGTCTCTAGTTATCCACCACTTGTCATAGTGTTCGGGATGCTTGCTGTACCGCTGGCCGTGCTGTTCTGCTACAGCTGACACTCCGTAGGATTGTAGCTTCGCGACAAGTCTGTTGAAGTATGCTTCTCGTTGCTTGTTGTGGCCGACCTTAACCGGCAAGGCGATGGCCTCGATCTCTACCCCGAAGAAGTAGGAGCCCCAGTCTGCCATCTCCAAGAAGCTTCAGGTATGTGCGCGTCGGGACATGGGACAAGCGACGAGTATTTTGCCAAGTTCATCTGCTACATTAAAGTTCATATATGTGCCGGGAAATGTTGAACTAGGAATTGGACTGCTCAAGACGCCTCACTTGACGCAGGCAGGCTCACACTGTGCCGTGTATCCTGCCGTACTTGGGATAGGTCGCGGCATGCCGATAGAAAAATGCCTTGTCAGGCTGGATGACTTCTTTACTTCCTTTTCCCCCTGGAAGTCTGGGGGGCTGAAACGTCGTCCATTCTAGACACTACAACGCAACGTGGCGGCCCGAGCAGCAAGCTGCAAATAGATCCAAGGGTCCTCTTGACAATACATAGATGCAGCCCAGGGGTCTCAACTCTTGGAAAAGGAGCCCGAGCCGGGAGAGTGTAGGGCGGTTGGGATAAGTGAGTCAAGGATGTGTGCCCTGCATGTGCATGGGGGCCTTGTGCCGAAAGAGGAAATCGGCGTCCGTGGCTTCGTACGCTTCCGCCCAAAACGGCCACCCACAGCCAGATGTGTGCAAGGCACTTCCATGGTGGGGCCGGCCACAACAGTTGGCATAAAGCGCATGTATTAAAAGCCTTGCTGAGGCGTGTTTCGAACAATGGAGTCGGGGGTTGATACTAGGGCCTTGCGCCGCGTGCTGTCGAGACCAGGCCCAAGCCCTGGTTGCTGATGTACTTGTTCGCCGATGATTTAGGAACACGAGTTGCTGAGTTTCACGCCAAGTCAGGCCTAATAAAACCTATCAGGGCCCTACGCTTCTTATTGAAATGTGATCTATCACGGCGCTCGCGCCTACCCGCTGTCTTGCCTTGATTCGGAATTTGTCCTTCCCTCGACTGACTTGGGTTCCATCGAAGCAGACCCTTGAACGTGGGACTTTGAGCATAGGGCACAGGTTCGCGGCGCATGCTTGATTTCATGTATGCATCGGTGCATCGGCAAAAGGAACACGTCACACCAGACGCGATAGTTACAGGAGGCCTACAGTGAAAACTCACCTTGTTGCTCTAGGCCCCAGCATGCATGCTGAACTGCTCACGGTGGATTTGGCGCTAGTGGATGTGACGAGTCTATCACTTACTGCATGATGCAGACTCGTCACTACGCCCGGTCTTGGGCGGACTTTCTGCATGCAGAGCAGCCCTAGACACTCTATTAGTAAGGAAAAGACTGATTGGCAACAGAGGCTTGGGCTGACCAATACAGAAGCTTTCGTGCGGGGTTTGTAACTGCCTGCAGGCGCCATGCATGCTTTCTATTGAGATGCCAAGTCTCTTGTCCCTTGGACACAGCCTTGTTTCCCCTGTAACGCCCACATTTCGGTTCCGGAGACCCACAGGTAAGCACGCCTCGGCACCGAGTCTCAAGAGGCCTCACATTTTGAGTTCTTCAGAACAGCGTACTAGTGGTTTGGCACTTGTGTTTTCTCTACGCGTGAAATAATCATTAAACACGGACGAGTGGACCTCGCTCTTCTATGACCAATAATCTCTTTATCGCGGGCGGCGGTGCTCAGAATGAATAAGTTGCAGACTAAAGAAAGGTACCTATTGCAAACTACAACTCAATGAATAGTCAAATCGAAATGCTGTTCTACGCCTTGTTGCGCCCACCATACGCCGTCCCACTGTTTTAGTCCTCCTAGCTGTTCCTTGACTCGTTGAGAACTCTGTAATCATCCGGAAGCAATTCGGCCATCGCAAGACTACGGGCAGCGCTCTTCACCTTGGAGTAGAGACCGGCCGCAGTGAACTTGTTACCTTGGAGAGTAGGGGAGCTAGGGTGGCTCAAGTCGTTCTGTCTCTGGTATCAGCCATAGAGCATTATCGTGTCTAGTGTCAACCTTCATAGGCTTGTATGGGAATGCTTACCATGTCCAGGATAGCGTGGATCAGAGCAACAGCGAAGGCGATCCAGCGCTTTGTTCTGACTGGGCCTCTAAGGCATCTGCCTCCGCGGAACTCGATAGTGCCAGACTTGCCCCTGACGACATTCTCAAAGTTCCACAAGACTCTCCTATCGTCTTGCATGACCTCGACGAGATCGTCCCGGTTGGTGGCGCCTCGAATGAGCCGCGCCATGTCGCTCGGGCCTCCGCATGACCTTAGCTTGGTTGAAGCAGCCGAGTTGGGCTGGCAGTACCCGTTTGTGGTGCGGATGGACATAAGACATTCCGAGATGAGTGGCTCGTAGAGGACAACGCCGAATGCGATTGTCTTGAGCTGATCGAGCGAGAACGACTTGGCTCCGGTGTTGGATATGTGGATGTGGCTCCCGCACTTGGGTGAGCGCTGTGGCATGTGGAAGACGGCGCTCATGGCCTTCCAAAAGGTGTCGATCTCACTCTCCCAAGTGGCGCGGCAGTTCATCACTGGCGAGACGGCTTCCATAGGCACTGACAATCGGCTCGTTAGCAGTTGATTTGCCTTGATCATGAACGAGAGCAGCATCTTACCAATGTTGGCCCCGGAATTGTCGAGAGAGCCATCACGAGTGATCCACCACTTGTCGTAGAGATCGGGACGCTTTCTACGGCCCCCAGGCTGGAGATCATTTGCTACGGCTTTGAGACCTCGCTTCCGTAGGGACTTCGAGAGCTTGTCGTAGTAGAGGGCATGGTCTAGAGGTGCTCGGATTCTATGGGGCTCAACGAGCACCTCGATCTCGATACCGAAGTGGTAGTTTGTCATGGTCAACGATAGATTCAAGTGTAATTGTTGTCGTATAGCACAACACACGATGAGCTGCAGCTTTCGCCGGTGGTCTCCTCCGTTTGCTACACATTTTCATAATAACCATTCGAGTGGGCGCTTCCAGCCTTTATCTAAACTTCAAGGATCAAGCGTTCTGGTGGCGTTTAGACTACATGGTAGACTGGATTCCGTGCCCAAGGCTGAACGAGCTGGGGTTGACACTCGAACGTCGAAGTATCTCCCCAGGGGTATGAGCGCGGGGTGTCATCCTCACTCACAACCCGAGCGGGCGGGCCGTTCTCCCGTAGGGCGATAGCGATGTATGGCTCAAGCTGGGTCCAAGAGCCCCCAAAGTGACCAAGAGGCGTTGATTGCTCCACGATGCCGGTCCTTTTAGACACAGCTCAATCAGAGTGAAGTGGAATGCGACCGGCGTGGTTATTGGCTGCTCCGTCGAGCAGGGATTTCGGTGTGCATAGAGTGAGGCTAAGCTTGCATGGATACCCGAAGTCGGTTGTCTTTTGGGTTCCCTCCGCTACATTCATATGCAGGGCTGAGGCGCGCAACATGCAGCCAGGTGTACGGTACAGTACACCGCCCAACAGTGCTCCCACTGTGCAGCCGCCTGGTTGCCTGATGCCATATCCCACTTCGCATCATTGACGTTGTCCGTCACCAGGCAATATGCCTTTTCTTCGAATTTACCGTCAAAATCTATCTCTACTATTCATCGCTCGGCCAAATTGAATTCGAAAGGACCATTGCTGCTCCCTTTTTCCTTTCCAATTTTTTGCCCCCGACATCTTTTCCCTCGTAGCATTCCCCTTCATTGCAAGCCCAACTGGCCTGACCCCAGTCTCAGACCGACAAACATGAGCGCCCTTCATCCGGAACCGGACTCTGGCCAGACCTCCCGGGCGCCACGACAGACTAAGCAAACCATGACACCTTACTTCGCCTACGGTAGCAACCTCCAACTGGCTCAGATGGCCCAGCGATGCCCCGCCAGCATCTTCAGTGGCAGAGCGACCTTGCCAGGATACCGGTGGCAGATCAACCAGCGCGGCGTCGCCAATGTCGTACCATGCGACGAGCCAGGCTGCAAGGTCGAAGGCCTGATCTATCTCATCAACTCCAAGGACGAGAAGTCGCTCGACAGGTCCGAAGGTGTGGCCAGAGACTTCTACCAGAAACACCTGCTGAGGATGTCCTTTGAGCCGCACGAGCGCTTCGCGTACTACAAGACATCCGGCCTAGCCGCTGCGCTCTCGGGCCGGGGCGGCGTCGCCGAGTACGACGGTGTCGGCTCGATGGGACCGGGAGGGGGCTTTAGCGACGTGATGGGCGCGGAACCTGCGACGACCGGCTCGCCTGGGTTCATCAAGGCGCTCGTATACATGAGCAAGAACTACGCGGAGGATGGGGAGATTCGTTCAGAGTATATCGGACGCATGCAGAAGGCCATCACCGATGCTTTGAGACTGGGAGTCAACCAGTCCTTCATCGACGACTTCATTAGGCCGCACCTAGGCAGCGCCGTCTCCCCGGACATGCCCGGCCTGCCTCCCAGGAAGCGCAAGGTCGAATCAAAACGCAAGTCGGGCACCTTAACGGCGCCGGACTCCGCATCGCGCTCGAAGCATGCAGACATGATGGAGATGGACACCGATCAGGGATCGAAACGTAAGAGAGGTTTCCATCTTTACCTTTTTTGTTTCATCGGTTGACCCATTTCCCCTTTCTCTCAGCCTACATCCTCGTGCGAGAAGTATCTCCGCGGCCAGGGAAGCGAGTTGACGTCAAAGCTTTGCTGCATGAGAACCGCGAGCGCCATCACGAGTCGCGGCTGGCGTACCCCGCGGAAATGCTAAACTTGCTGCTCGACGCCCACGCAGGGGATGGCCGGGATGATGAGACTGTCTTCGCCGTTTGTTGCAAGGAGAGAGACATGCGTTCTGACCAGCCGCGATTTAGCATCCCGGCCACGACGATGGACCTGGAACTGGCTAACGAGTTCGCTATGAAGCACTTCCGGCAGGCGTGCTCTCGGATCCCGGAGATGGCGTTCGGCGCTTGGAATAGGTCGGATGTGGAGCCATGTCCTCGGGGGGCTTTGATATGGAGTTTAGACAAGAATGGATGTCTCCGCCTGTGCATCACTTCGCATGATGGGCTGGACGAGAGGACGGTTTGGGTCAACGCACAGATACTTCTGAAGAGATAGACATGGCAAAGATGGTGAATTAAAGCGAGGTGCTTAGCTGTAGACGTCGATTGAAGGGACTGGTTGAAGAAGGAGCCATGAATAGCCACCAAGTGCCCCGCGTTCTCAGCAAGAGAACATGATATGAATAATGAAAATTGGCATCTAGAGATAGCAAGAGCAAGTTGAACCACTTTGGATAGATTTATTGTTACATGGAACAGCAAGCCTTCATCCAAGGCACCATTCTTGGCTTTCTTGAGTAAGCTCAAATGTTGGCAAGTCATCAACCGAGGGTAGAGCCATTGACTCTGACTCCATTATCTGAGACATGGCCGAAGACCGCGATGAAGAATATTCACGACCAGTGATAAGAACATCTGCGAGAATCCTGCCGCGTAGAATCCTGTCTGTACTCTGTTCGACCGCGACGAGTATGGCCGAGTAAAAGGAGAGCTTGGGAGCTGTGAAATCCCATGAAGAACTTGACTTCCTGTCCCGTAGCAGGTCTAAAAAGAATCCTGTATTTTGAGCTCGGTGAGTTTGAATCGGGATAGCTTCCTCAAGGACTAAGGCCGGCTCGAAATTGTTTGAGAGATGCAAGGAGTCAGGCCAAGGTGGCTCATCGTCACTGAGTGAGACTATTCTGAAATATGTATCCCAGATCCCTGAAATTGTAAAGAAGAAAACCCGTGGCTTGTTCTTTATATCAGCCCAGTTTAGCATCACTCCTGGGAAGGTCACATGAAAGCCAAGCTGATTTGCGGGTCGTAATTTCGCATCTATCGGGATGCTCTTGTGCCGTGTAGTCCTGTAACAAAAACTTCTCGGAGCCCAGCGATATCCATCACAGGGTAGACGAGGGGCCTCGCCGATATCGCGAATCCCAGATTCGAAAAGTGAGGATGGGGGAAACAGAACTTGCGTGCGAATAAAGGCCTGCATCCTTTCCTCTGCAGCGTTTGAGAGTTTTCGAGGAACCTGAAGAATGGCGTCCAAATCTAGGTGAAGTATGCTAGCAAGGCACAGGGGCTCGTCGGATGCGTAGCTGGTCACCCGCCATTGTACAGCGGTCCATAAATGGCGCACTCGTTCACTTGGGTGTGTATTTCTGAGGTCCTTCAAAGCCACAAGCGGCTGGCTGCAATCGCGGATGATCCTCTCCTTGATCAGAGCTTCAATTGGTGAAGAGGTGGTGCGATTAGGCCTGAGCTGATCCTCCGCGTCAAGTCCATTGTCTAGACATAGGGCAGAGTCTTTGAATTGGAAATACAGCTCTCGAGCGAATACTCCCTCCTGTAATGTCCAGAGTCGACGGAACCAGGTCGTCCTGGTCGTTCTAGCCACCAACTCTTCAAATGGCCGCTCGGCGTCGAGCACCCTTAGCTCCTTGTTGAAGACCAAAACCATCTTGGCTTCGGAGTATGTTTTTACCAGAGCGCTGATAGCTAGATCCCGCTCCTTAGCGTAAGCTTCTCCCACTGGTATGCACAAAGTGTCTATCCAGAAAGGAGTTGGTTGACCATCGGGCGATCGGAGAAGATTGTTCACTTGTCTTTGCATCCGGCGCACTTGACAGTTTGGAAGTTGATTACTGTGTGGGTTTCCGAGGCCGTCTGCCCAGACGTGTGATACGGCTACATAGCCTTGTGTACAGCTAGGCCCCTTGAGGATGCGCATCGCTCCATCGCCATCAACGATTAAGAGCGGGGTCGTCTGCTGAGCCACAAATTGTGCTATAGTAGTGGTACTTGCTGTGACAGGTGCGCATAGACATGTGTCACTGATATGCTGTGATTTGTACGTCGATTCGTCAACCTGTGCCGCCAGACAGAGGCCTTCTGTACATGTTCCATGATTTTGAAGACAAGGGAGTTTGCCCAGTCGAGAGGAATAGTACATTCCAATGATGGAGCTGTGTTGTTGCAAACGAGAATGATCGCTTTTGCACCAACCATCATCTGAGAACTGTTCAGACAACAATGGAATGCCGTGAGGCTGCCAAGTCTCAAGTTTGCTCTTCCCGGGCAATACAGCATTTCTCACGTCCATCAACGTTCGAAACAGTATCGCAAGAGACAGTGAGAGGTCATCCGTCAAGAAGTTCCCCGCCGTGCTCACTGAGATGTACATCTCATTTGATGCTTGGAGAACCTTGTCGATATGCGAGGCTTTCGCCTCTTGTGCTCCATCTGAGAGCTGAGAAACCTGAGAAATCCACTTCTCTAGGTACTCGCAAAGAATCCGTGTTGAAACCAACTTTGCATCGTCAGTCGATCGAGTGACAGTCCAATCTGACAAATCGAGCTTTTTGCCCAAGAACTCGGAAATTGTACCGAAGTAAAGCCACGACTGGAGAAAAGCCAGGAAAAGATTCCTATACCCGGCGCCATATTTCTCCCAAGATTCATGAGCCTGTATTTCTGGTATGCTGAAACCACAATGCTCCGGATAGTCGAGAAAGGGCGGCTTGTACACGTATGGATGATAGGGGCTTTCCCAAAACAACACCTCAACATGCAATCGAGACTGTGGCGCAGGGAGTGGAATGTGATCCATCATAAGTCAATCGAGCGAACTGGTAGTAACACAGGGGAACTTGTGTGGGAACTTGTTCTGGGTTGTTGTTGCCCTTGTTTATACAGCCAAGCGGTTCATGGTTCATGTGGTGGCTTATTACTTCAGCCTAAGAGTCAAAGTGAAGATTGTCAGCACAAGGCGAGGTTGCCTATTATTAATACACGCATCCCCGCTGGCCAGTGAGAGTTATGCAAGTGCTGCATCGCGCCAAAAGCAGTGGCTTACGGGCACCAGGCCCAGGGACCCTCATTCAGGTAGCATTGTATCCGAAATTTCAGGTAGCATTTCGTCCAAAACGGGAACAATGCCCACGAGGCAACCCATCGGGTGGGTAACAGCAACAAGGTGGTAAATGAATAGTTGGTAGTAATCGATTAATATGCCTATCGCGATATTAAGTTTGTGTGCGCAAATACTTCTTTTCTTGTTGTAGCTGGCAAACTAGTGGAATTTATTCTTGTCCGCGAGAGCATCATTCTCCAGGAATATCTCGATCTTTGGTGTCATCTTGGGTGTGATGTCCTCACATGCTACAGCTAGGGCGATTCCCACCACACCGAAAGCTAATGACGCAAGGGCCGCGTTACTGTGGCGGTAATGTCAGTTGAGTTCGATGTTTGTGTGTGTGTCTCAGACACGTATTGTACATACCGCAGTCCAAACGCGGCAGCATACTTGTACGCCGTATTCACCGCCTGCGCAATCTGCGGCGTAACACCAGGCACGGCAGAAATCGCCGCCGCACCTTGCGGCACAGCCTTCATCAACTGGCCCAGCGATGACGACGGCAGTCCCGCGTTGAGAGCCGCCTTGGGGATGAGCTCGGCACCCTTGGATGTGACCCCGTTCCCAATGGCGCTCGAGTAGCACGCCGATGCCACCGCTCCGCCCGCGTATCTAGCTAGTCCGGCCAGACCGCCCGAGATGCCGAGCATGGTCTGCGGGACGCCGAGCTGAGTGAATGTTACCGCGAGGTAGGCGGCCCACCCATACGAGGTCTGGCCGAGGAAGACGAAGGCGATCATCAACCCTTTGTTGTCAGGCGTGATCATAGCCATCAAGCTGCCCCACAGGACCAGGGAGAAGACTGAGGCGATGAGGGTCCAGCGCCAGTGGCCGATCTTGTTACCGAAGATGGTAAGGAGAGCGGCGCCAAAGGGAAGACCCAGGTTTGGCGGGAGCGTGAGAAGCATTTGTTCAGAGACGGAGGTGTTTGCGTCGATGTAGAAGTCATCTGTAAAGTGGAGATAGGAGTTAGGTCTGGGGCTTCAGGAAATTGCATTGCGATAGTAGGAGAGACCGACTCAGCATGGTGGGATAGATGACGGCGAGGCCGTAGAAAAAGCCAACGACGATGAAGGACAGGCAGAATGGTGCAGTGAACTCGCGGCCCCAGTGGCTGACGAAGATCTCGTTTGGGCACAGAGGATACTTGACCCCGGAAAAGCGCTCCCACAGGCCAAAGGCGACGATTAGGACGAAGCCGACGGTGAGGCACGCGATGACCCGGGCATCGCTTGCTGGAAGATAAGTAGTGTATACAACTAGACCTGGTAAGTGACAACTCCTATGGGCTCGGAAGACAATGAAGCTTACTGCCAACTGCGGGCGCAAAATCCGTTACCAATTGAATGTATTGTGTAAGCCAAGTTCAAACTTACCTAGAACCATGACTGCCCCAGGTGTGAAAAGCAGCCCACCGACCCAGTCCAAGCCTCTGAGTGCATCTCTCCAAGGTACACCACGGGGATGTTTCGGTGGGACTGCACACATGATCAATTACTTCTGCCCCTTGGCAGCGTATTGGAATCACTCACAGTAGAAGAATCCCAAGCCGAGTCCAGCGACGCAGGAGATGATGAACCCGGCCCAGTAAATGTACTTCCACCTGTCATCACTGTGATTGACCGCCGCACGCCCGACGACAGGGCCAATGATGATCATGATATACACGAACCCGTCGGCCATCACGACACCGATATGTCTGTACTTGTTCGGCAAGAGCTCCGGGCATGCAATTAGAGCCACGCCTGCCGTCCCCGAGCCGCAGCCGTTAAGGCATAAACCGGCTAGGAGCTGGCCGGGTGTCTTGGCGGTAGCTATAACTGCATAACCGACTGCGTTAATGAGGTTGGAGAAGAGAAGGAACGGACGCCTTCCAAAGAGGTCCGAGTTTGCGCCGAATAAGAGGATAGTGATACTGGCGGCCGTGGTAATGCAGGGCACGACCCACGCGGAGAGCTGGGTGTCTCCAAATCTCTCGAGCAACGGAGCGGCCACGGCTGAGGTAGTAGGTGTAGCCCTTGTGATAAGTCAGTTTCTGTTCGTCTTGCGTATTGACTGGTTTCGATATCAATACCAGAAAGGCACGCCAAAGCTCAGCGAGAGGAACTATATCAGTGATTTGATGTCAGTCATGCAGCAATATAGAGCCGAAAGGGGAGCACGAACAAAGCAACTTAGCCAGGCCTTTGCCGTCACCCGCTCCTCCGGGTCAGCTTCCTCGCTCGCTGGGGTTGCGTGTTGCTCCTTGGTCGATGGAACACGCTCGATCTTTTCAGAGTTCTCACTCCCATGTGTCTCCTTGACAGGGACATCAGTGGTAGTAGGTGCACCCATGGCTGGTCTTGGATCGCATTGATGTGCTTCTGCAGATGGCAAGTTAAACCTTTGCGTTGCTGGCAATGGGTCGTAGCGAGAATAAATGCACAAGCTTCGTTCATGAGTCTAGGGAGAACGCGATGGAGTTCAGAGGCACCACAGTCGGATTGCTCCCCGACCACCCCAGTGATAGTATGATGTACACTGGCACACCTCAGTGCGCGGCGGCGCTAGGACTTCGAAGACCGAAAGAAGGGCTCCACATCAGGAGTTCGAGGAGCGGCTTAGACCCGGGGTGTGGATAGTTTAGTAGGTGATTCATTAGAACTCTCCCCGCATTTGATGTCATCTGGGGAACGGGAACCCATTTTCCAGTCCGGTGGGCTGATTGAATCTGGGGAAACCACGGACTCCCAAGCATGACTTGTGAGTGATTAAGCCCCTTGGAGCCCGGTGTTGGAAGTGTGTGGTCCCTACTCTCGCTTTCCCATCCATTCAGATAGGGACGGCCTCTTCCTTGTGGAGCGTGAATTATTCGTAGTCCGTCATCTAAACCCGGGTCACAATCTGAGGTCGGGTGTCTGGAATCCGTGGTCACGAAAAGAAAGTGCCGAAAGAATGTAGCATGTCAGTCTGCGAGCCCTCGGGTAAGAATTCGTCAAATGAGAACGAATCCGAAGGAAGGCTGGGAACCGTTGGCATGGTTCCCATATCTCCGAGCAAGGTTCCATATGGCAGTGAATCTGGAGAGACAAGATCAATACTCGATCTTAACCCCGTGCTTCCGAGTGGCGTTGCTTCGTTGACCGCTGTGCCGAGGTCCAGAAGTCTCATCGCCCTCTGCACCACCTTTCTTACTCTCCTTGTAGGGATATGGCTCTTCTCCAGCTCACTGAGTGCGTTGAGACACTCGCGCAGGCACGAAAGCTGTCCTTGCCAGTCTCCTTCGGTTCTGTGCTCGGCCAGGTTTGCGACAAGTGTTGTGGCTGCGGTCGTAATCATATGAAGGGCGATCCATGACATCTTCAGGACACTTCCGTGACGTTCTTGGAATTCACGGACGTAGTGTGCTATCAGGCTGGCGTGATAAACACACATTTGACGCGAGAGATCATTGGAAGAGGAGCGGCCACTCGATGCACTGCCAAACTGAGCGAGAGGCCTATGGAGGAGAATTACGGCCGCCGAGTATTGCATGCTACGGAGAGGTTAGTCATTTCTACCTGAACTAGGAAGGTGGTTGTGTGCGTACTGCAAGAGAAAGACGGCTGGAGTTTGCTGTGCGTTGTATCGGAATGACTGTTCCAGCGACGAGTACCACGTCCTGAGATCCTGGTCTAGGGACGCAACTCTGTGCTTCCGTGATCGAATTCCATTGCTTAGATGCTGTCAGTATAGATCATTTGTGACACACAACACGACTTACAGTGCATCACAGATGATACCAACAATTTCGAGCAGATTCGCCCACACTGCAGACATCTTCATCTCACAAGAGGCGTCCAGCGTTCCGTATTGTGGACGTTCCGCTGTGACATCTTCTAGCTTGATCATTTGTGGTCGCCCTAAATACAAAGCCCATTGCCTAGGAGTACTATCAGCAAGCAGGATAGAATGTTTAAGATGCGTGCGCTTGGCTCACCTGTCTAGGCTAAAGCAGCTCCAAAAGGCAATTTGACGTATCTCGAGATCAACCTGCCCCAAGGTGGCCGAGTTCAGACCGCTAATGTCACTATGAAGACCAAGTTCGAATGCCAAGCGGCAAGCACCACCTATTCAACATCAAGTCAGCCGTGGCGAATCACACAGTTCGGCGAGGACTTACCGGCGTCGAGCCATCCTTTTGTGTCATTGGAAATGACACAGTCTATCTCACTCAAAAGCTGCAACGACTGAAGTGTCGTAATTCCAGGATTGTTGAGTTCGGAGTCTAGCAGTGCTGCACATCTCCGGACAAGATATGGAGGATCTTCGTTTGTCTCGTCATCCGCGAGAGCAAGAGCACGGATCTCTGCTCGGTCCGAAATTGCAGCTGCTCGAGTTAATATACAGTGGACTAAGAGCTTGCTACAATATTTGGTCTGGCCAGTGCTGAAGTCTCGAAGGAAGGCTTTCCAAGATAGATTTAGTGAATAGCCTGTCGTGCTGGGCGAATTGTTGTCGCTTAACTCACCTTCTTTGTGAATGACTGGTATCACCTGGTGCTGGTACTCCCAATATAGGGCCAGTAAATAATCTTGCAAGTCCTGTGGCAAGACTTCCTGCCATGTGAAATGTCCCCGGTTTGAGGACCCTTCATTGATGAGAACAGACGAAACTATGCTCTCGCTCAGATGCAAACTCGAAGTTGGCCCAAAAAATCGTAGCCTCCCAGCCCGATCGCTGTTAAGCTGGCGCTGGCCTCCACAAAGCCTGACGATCATGTTATCCGAGCTGTTTGATCCATCAGAGGACGCAACTGAAGGAGGTCCTCGACTCGGTAGCATGGAGGTGCCCTCCAATAAGTCCTGTTCATCTGATGTGTTCGCTGCTCGAAGGCAGAAGCTCCGATGCTCCTCGAGCTCGGCTTCAAGGGAGGCAATGCGGCCGTAGAGCTCCCTTATTAATTTCTTGGATGATGATATTTTTCGTTCGTCTACCGCCGGAATAATACACTGGGTAGCTGTTCGGGCGCACAGGCGACATCTTATCGGGTCATCCGGGCTGGGTTGGCACTTGACGAGACTCTCAGCTACCAACTTCATGCAATTTGTCCAGGGGACCTCATGTTCGTCTTAACTCTATCCACTCACCTTGATCTTCTTTTTCCGACAGCTGATGCAGGCAAGAGGCTTCGCTTTCTTGCCCATAGAGGACTGTGGCACACTGACGCTTTCTTCGCCAGCCTGGAGCAGATTGATTGAGAGTAAGGTAGTGTCCATGTCCACATCAGAGACGTCAACAGTAAGGCGACCGCGACTGAGGCCTCTGAATTTACAAGAGAATGGTGTAGCTGCACAGCTTGCCAGCCCCCATGCAAACGTCGGGAGCTTTCTTGGGAGGTCTTGACTTAGGATCGTTAGCCCCATGAACAAGGCCACGGACATACCATACTGGAATTGTCTCCGTAGGTCCCGTGGATGCTCCACACTCCCCGCATGCACCGGCTATGCTGACCCGCCGAGGTGTTGCACTAAAGTCCTTGTTTCAAATACTTGGCAAACACTTTGTATTCGAATCTAATGAAGAACAGACGGTGATGCGTTTGCAGGTTCATAAAGCGAGGCTCAGTAACACGTTCGCTCTGGGACTATCTCTGCTACTGATCAAATCTAATCGCCACCCTGCCCCTGACGTTGCCCTTATCCATCAGATCTATCATCTCGTAAATGTCTTCAAGATTGTTGTAATAGGTAACGTGGGATTTGATACCATGCTCCATAGAGAAATCAATGCATTCCTTCAAGTTGGCAGGAATCGAGTTGCACGCGCCCATGATCCGGAACTTGCCCAGGGCAATATCTATCGATGTGAATGTCAGAGCTTGCTGAGGATGTCCGACAACCATCAGGATGCCGTTGATTCGCAAGACATCAGGCGCCCGGTCATATGATGCCTTGGAGCTGGTATAGTTGACCACGGCGTGACATCCACCCCCAGTGATTTTCTTGATCGAGTGTACGTAGTCGTGGTTAGTTTTTGTGTTGAAGACAAAATCGGCACCGCAGTCTTTAGCTTCTTCAAGTTGAGCATCGTTGATATCCAGCCCTATCACATTGTATCCTTTCGCCTTTGCGTACTGGATACCTGAGTAAGAAATTAAATGTCAGTGGGTTCCGAGAGGGCGCCGCAGGCTACTTGAAGCCACAAATGGTCGTACCTAGATGCCCAAGTCCACCGCATCCTATGACCGCAACCCACTGACCAGCTGGAATCCCAAGATCAGCGATTCCGTGATAGCTAGTGACACCTGCACAGAAGAGTGGTGCGGCTTCCACAGCAGACAGCCTGGGCGGTAGCACAATGGCGTTTCTATAATCTGTCGCGATGTACTCCTGGAAGAAGCCATCCGCAGCATGTCCTGGCATCTTGCAGCCACCAAGTGTCTTGCACCACATCTGATGGACCTGGCACTCGTCACACTCGAAGCAGCAGTTGGTAGAAGGCAAGAAGCCGACCTGATCGCCGATGTTGAAACCCTTGCACTCGTCCCCGACCCCTACCACGACGCCGGCAGCTTCATGCCCGATCGTGATAGGCGGTGTGTCCTCTGCTGTCGGTTTGAGACCAAGCTCGTCGGGCTCAAAGTTCATGAGATCTGAGCGGCAGAGGCTGCTACATAGTGTCTTGACGAGCAGCTCATTGGCCTTGGGTGTTGGCACAGGAACCTCGTTGATGTGGACTTTGTTATCGCGCTGATCATACTGTGCCGCCTTCATAGTGGCCGGGGGACTGATTGATCCCATGATGGGTGGTGTTTGGGGACTTGACGGAAGCAAGGTAGCTGTTGTATGGCCGTGTTCAGTCCATGGCGGTCGTTGTCAGACCGCCAGGCCATCTTTGAACCTTATACAGCCCCCTCACGAAGGGCCAGGATCTCGGGACCAATTTGCGAGGGATACTACGGCTTCTGAAGGCCGTGCTCCGGCCACATCTCCATCAAGAGACTTGAGAAATGCAAAATCGGACTTTGGAGGCCGTGTCGTGTGAAGGGTGTCACATTCAAGTGGTATGGTGTTTAGCCCTCCCACGCTAATGATTCACGGAGTCTGGGACGCATTAGTTTGGGTTCAAGTGTTACGGAAGTTAGACAGTGCGCTAATGATACCACGGGGTGAGCTGGCCAAGCGTTGTTAACGTTATCGAGGTAGGAAGGTTATTGTGAACCCTTATTTTAAGATCCCTGCTCCACTTTCTTCGGTGATCGATCTCCGAGACGTTGAAACTGATAGCCTACCACGGGATGGTGCGGGGAAAGCCGAGGGTTCCCCAATAAACTGTCCAAAGGAGCTCATCATACTTCTAACACATCAAAGAAAGCACATGACGAGCACTCACTAGATTATCATAGTTAAAAACTTCGAATGCACACAGGATCCGAGCTTGGTCGGCTCTAACACATAAAATTCTTCACCAAAGCGGCCCTGAAAATGTCGACTGAAAGACTGATCCGGATAACAACGCTCATCCCTCGCAAGAAAGGGATGACTGAGGCCGAGTTCTATAAGCACTGGACTCAGGTTCATGGACCTATGGTCATCGACTTCATGATGCGCCACGGTGTGATCGAGTACCGTCAGGTATGCCTAGTTCAATGGCTCAATATGATAGACAGTGCCTCTTGACGCCGGGGATTGACGTCTTTTCTAGTATCACACGACACCTGAGACAAAAGCACTCGGCGACGCCTTTGCCAAGGCCACTGGCCGTCCTATGCTGAGCTTTGATGGCATTAGCGACGCGTACGTCAAGGATTTTGCAACTTTTCAGGAGGCCTTCAAGGACCCCGAGTATCTCGAAAAAATCAGGCCCGATGAACTCGCCTTCATCGACGTGGAAAACATTCAGATGACTATCGGATATGACTGGGGCGTGATAGAAAACGGGAAGGTGGTGACCGAACATGCTCGATCATACGAGTGAAACCCTGATCATCAGGCATGCTCCTTTAAGAAACATGTTGACATATCTGCAGATAGACAGCATCATGAGTCAGAATTACATGCAATGTCCCGCATTTGATATCCCCTCTATTCCATTGATCGTTAATCATACACGTCACTCAAGGCAAGGGGTGTAAACGGTTCATTTTGGCCTGTATGCCGTAGTATACCAGGACGAGGGCCGAATCCAAGGCATCGAGCAAGCTTTGGATCTCAGAACTGCTATCTGGTTGGGACATGAACTGTTAACTGCTGATAACCCTTAAATCAAGTGTCGTCTTGTTTATATTGGTAATCATTAGAGAACCGTTCACAAGTTGACCCAGTCGGGGTTCTCTGTACTCAAAACCCAGAGACGGTATATTCGAGCTAGAATGAAGATCACTTTCCAGTAGTAACTCAGCCCTGTGATATCATGTTCGGGTAACCTCAGCTTTTTACCATGCTAGGCTCCAAAAGGAAAGTTTCCTTCACATGTAGTAGAGGGCGCGCAGCCTTGGCTTTGCGAGATCGGTTGCGTTCAGTTGCAATTCACGCACCGAATTCGGGATGACAAGTAGCTGGGTTTTGAATTATTGAATCTCTACTGCAGTTTCATGAGAGCTTGATTGTCACGTTGACCGTTGAGTCCGTATAATTGGTGATTCGGCGGGAGCGGGCCCACGCCGGCCAGTGCCAATATCTTGGCGACCCATTCACGTGGGAACTTAGACATCCTGATCGCATAATTTGAAATACAGGAAGAGATATAAGCATGAGATCATAATCTACCATCAAGGAGTCAGAAGCTGCCCAAATCCGTCCGGCAAGTCTGCTACGCTGCGTGTTCTTCACCATGGCCTCCAAACTCCTCGCCACGACGCTCGCTTTCGCCGCCACGGCCTTGGCCGGGAGTAAGCACCAGCCACTGACATTCAGGAATGATGGAACTTTCAAAATCTCAATCCTCGAGGACCTTCATTACGGCGAAGGTGTGTCTCTCTCTCCCTCCTATTATTTCCCTGGTTCCCTACTAATAGAATGTGTAGCCGAGTCCTCCTGGGGGGCGTTGCAGGACTCACTCACCACTCGCACCGTGGCGTATCTCCTCGAGGCCGAGCCAAACCCGGACCTCGTCGTCATCAACGGAGACTTGCTGTCACGCGACGCCATCTATCCTAACTCCACCAACTACGTCGACCAGATCCTCTCCCCCTTGCTCGAGCGCAACCTGACGTGGGCGTCGCTGCACGGCAACCACGACGCCGGCTTCAACCGCTCCGTGGAGGACCTTTTCGCCGCCGAGGCGCGTCACCCGGGCTCCCGCACGCGCTTCATGCCGCCCGGCCTCGACCCGCAGCAGGTCGGCGTGACAAACTACTACCTGCCCGTCTTCGGCGCCGACTGTCCCACCGGCTGCGGCTGCGCGCCGGAGCTGCTGCTCTGGTTCTTCGACTCGCGCGGCGGGTTCGCCTACCAGCAGCTCGACGCCAAGGGCGCGCGGGTGCCCTGGCCGAACTGGGTCGACGACCGCGTCGTCGCATGGTTCGAGGCCGAGAGCGCGCGGATCACGCGGAAGTTCGGCAAGGTGATCCCCGCCGTCACCTTCGTGCACATCCCCGTGCACGCCTTCACCGCCATCACCGAGGGCCCTGGGCTCGACCCGCAGCGCAACCCGGGCATCAACGACCTGGCGTCGACGGCGCAGGCCAACGGGTGGTGCGCAGACGGCAGCAAGAACAGCTCCTGTGCGCATGGCGGGCAGGATATTCCCTTCATGCGGGCCATCAGCAACGCGCCGGGGATGCTGGGCATGTTCTCGGCGCACATCCACGGCACGTCGTGGTGCTACAAGTGGACGGCCGAGTCGCTGCCGGGGTACGTGGTGACGCCCAAGAAAGAGGGGCTGAATATCTGCTACGGCCAGCACACTGGCTATGGGGGCTTCGGTGATTGGGAGAGGGGCGCTCGGCAGGTAGTTGTGAGCCGAGAGGGGATGGCGAAGGGAGAGCTGAACACCTGGATCAGACTTGAGTCGGGTGAGGTGGTGGGTAAGGTAAGCCTGAATGCGACGTACGGTCAGGATATCTATCCTGCGTCCCCGAACAGGAAAACTTATTGCAAAGAATGTGAGTATTATGTCGATTTTCTTTACACTATACGGAGCTGATGTGCATCGTTGATCTAGGCGGTGATGTTGAGGCACCGGCGTCCTGAAGCCAATGTACTGATTTTCAACATTTTACTCGACCACACTTGCTTGAAATGCATACGATATAGCACCTGATTTTGTCATCAGCAAGCCAGCGAAACAAGGAATACATCGCCACGTCAGTTCTCTTTATGACAGCGGGTCGCCATCTCAAGTGCACCTCTACGGAAATAAGACTACCCAGAGGTGGAATAACAAGCAGTACTGATCTCAACAGAATGAATGATCAGGATTTCGGCCCAACGTCTCCCATCCCAAAGTCGTAGTGATGATCACGGAGGCTTTCCCTTAGCAGGTTGCTGTACCTCTCCCCGTCTCCCTCGTGCTATTCGTATTGAAGATCTCTGTGTAAGTCTAGAACCGCGAGAACGACATAGGTGTCCTCCATATTGCGACAGCAATGAAGTCGCGATCGCACAGAAGGGCATGGATGTCTGAGCGTGGATTTTCTACTTACCTAACAGATCCATGTAGCATTGAGCCTGGATTGGTAGGTACATCCCTCTTATCAGGGTAGCTAGCTAAGAGGTACAGCTAGACGCGAGATTAGCAACCTTGAAGCAGTCGATAGAAGCGGATAGACGCAGCCATGTTCAGCTTTCCAGTGTCTCCGAATCCCCTCCTTTTCTCTGCCCTTCGCCCTGTCTGTCCATCTCATTCGTTGTAGTCAATAGATACTTGCATGCAAGTGGTAGCATTGCGTGATGGCCTGCATGCAGTCTGCAAGCCCCGGCCATTGGGCTTACTGTAACCCGCCGCCATCTACGTACTTCAAGCAAGCCCACACCCCCCACGGACAATTGGCAATCCCCGAGGAATACGCTGATACGCAGTGAAGAAATACTTGATACAATTGTGAGCCCCCCAATTACTCTGTCTGGGTAGGGACGGGTCCTTCTCCGGCGACATGCTCTGAATCCCAGATCCCCAGCACCGAATTTCCAACATCCGATCCATCTAAGCTATGGCTTCGAATGATGGATTGCCAGGAGGCGATGGCCGGGAAGCCGTCCTTGAGTGGCCGGGTAGGTTCCACAATCCTGCATCTATCACCCGACAGATTACTCGCTGGGCTTGCAGGCGAACCCTAGGACCGTGACCTCAATTGCCGCCGCTAACATCGCCCCGCCGCATCGCAGTCCCGAAGTTCGAGGAGTTCATCATCGCCAACCGGAACATCGGCTCCTCGTCGACCGTCAGCATCCTCCTCACCTTCTCCAGTCCCAGCAGTCTCGACTCCGTGCGTGTCACCCAAAGAATTACCGAGGTCCAGCAGCTATGGCCACTCCTGAGCATCACCATCGCCGACCATCGTACACCCAACCCCAAGATACGATACCACTCTCGGAGCTGGGATGTGGGTCGGATTCTCTACAGAGAGACCTATAATGCCACACCAAGCAATCCAAACAGAGAACGGGACTGGGTGTATGACAAGGCGCTGCGACTTGCCCAGACCAAGACCGCATCAGACAGCGACCCGCTGTGGAGGGTTGCGCTCTTCTATGCCACTTCGGACCCTGAGAACCATAGGGTCTATCTCTCCTTGGCTATAGATCACCTCCTTATTGATGGACGTGGAGCTGTCAAGCTTGCTAAGGCACTTGTTACTAGTGATATCTCAGATCTACCAAAGGAGGATATCACAGTGTATAAGGCTATGCATGGCAAAGACTACAGCGGCTTTCCTCCACTGTCTTTCATCATCCATAGTATATTTAGTATGATGGTAGCACCACGCCTGCCCAATTTTATACAGAGACCGATGGGTTACATCCCGGCTTGGCCCAGGAAGATCACGCAGCCTACAATCGACAGCCCCTGGAAATCGTCGATCCTTGACATCCCATCCAGTCTGATGCAGGAGCTCAAAGTCATTGGGAAGCATCATGGGATTGCTACGCTCAACCCAACGCTCCATACCGCATGGGTACTGGCACTGTGGGCCGTGTTCATTCCAGAGAAGAAGAGGAAGCGCCTTTGCATCAAGGACACTTCAGTGAAGGATATACGTGACATCAGTCAGGGAGATTCATACTGCCTGGGTACCCACTCCAGTACCTATCTCTGGTCTAGCGGCCGTATGAACAGCCAGAGCCGCTTCTGGGAATTAGCAAAGTCATACCGGGCTGCATCGATGGACAGCAAAATGGTCTCTAACAGTCACAAGATTATGCAGCTGGTAGTGAAGCTGAAGAACCGAGAGATGAAGCCGGAAAGGTGCCGGTACCGGTCCCCTAACGCCACAACGCTCCCTGCCGGGGATAAGAGGGCATATACGCGCTTTGAGGAGGGCGGGCTCAGGAAGATCAACTCTACATCACCCTACGGCGGCACAAGCGGTATCTGGTCCAATCTATCATACGTACCGCTGCCCGAGGGGGCAATAGACATGCTTTTTGGCGTGTCGGGGAATGACCTCTGCGCTGCATTCAATACATGTGTGCTGGGGCACGAGGGTGGGGTGCGGCTCGTGAATGCGTTTTCCGACGGTGCAGCCATGACGCTGGCAGGGGTCAAGAAGGCCGAGGAGTTGTTTGTGCGCATCCTTGGAGAAATTGCGGCCGAGGGGGGCCGAGACTGGCTTGTGGGTGACCTGGTGAAGAACAAGGAAGGCTAGGCAGGCAACGTTCTTCTGAGGCCACTATCACAGCCATGCGGCAGAAAGGCCCTGGGTTGCCAGAAGGGCTGACTCTATAACCGGTTTCAACACCAGAGAGTCGTGCAGTGAGAGACTCCGATAGCTCAACCTAAGAGGCAAAGTGCATGGATGCTCGAGTGGGAAGGGTTGCTATCTAGGCTCTCCAGCACTTATCTGAATCAATCATTCAATTGCAACAGCAACTTTCAGTGCGCTTGCAATGCTCCACAAACTCACAGACCTCAGGGTTCTAGAATCATACCTAGAATCATGATATGGGTTGTTAAGGAAAGGACAAAAGTTCTCGATTATGGTATTACTGTTTCAACTCGATCCAAAATGTACATCATGGTCATATCGCGACTGGTTCTCCATCGCTAAATTCTCAATCTCGTGTTGGTAGAAAGGTGCCATTTGCTAGTCCAAGCATGAGAAGGCACTGATGATGTAGCTCTGGTTTTATTGAAAAGTCCGTCTCCCCAAATAGATAGTAGATTACTCCGAGAGCCAAGGAAAGTGATAAAAACACCAGGTGATTTCAAATTCATCACCAAATTATCTTAAATCTGTGTAGCAAGCTTGCAGGATCTTCGTTAGCAGGCTAGGATTGCCTTCACAGATCAGTCGAGCCCTTCCGTTATGAGAAAATAGCGCTTCAGACAACGCCAGGTCTTCCCCAAGATGAACGTATCATATCCCCTAAGTCCTCGTGTTGAATAATAGAGAAAGCAACCCCGGTGCTGGCAAATAGGGAGCAAACCCGATTTTCAAGCAGCCTTATATCCTCGTCCACTTGACACTCTCCATTATTAGGCCTGCGGAAGATTGCAGATGTAACAGCAAGAGATTTGAGCTCGGTTAAAGAAGTTCGGCAGCCCTGGAGGAGACTAGTCAAGACCGTATCGATAAACTTGAAGGGTGTCATTCCGTTTGGGAACTGAGGCCAAAGGGCATCTGGCTCGTGGCTACCCCAGTAGTCAATAAGATGGAGGTTAACCAGAGAAACAGGAAGGAGATCTGCGACATAGTGGGCCGCCGAAATATCCAGTGTGCCAAAAAGCCAGATTGTTTCTATCCGAAGGCACTGGAGTCTTTTCATGTGCCGCAGTGCTGGGGATAGCAGCGCCGGAGTATTAGTCCTTTTCCATGACACTCCTGCTAGTGTAGTAAGAGAAAACGTTTCTAGGGTTGTGCTGAGACTCGTGAGACAGTTTAAGAAGCCTGTATAGCCTCGCCCACGGGGGTTTGGGAACGCCCCAACCTTAGACTCATAGTGAAGTGCAATAAGGTTTGGAAAAGCTATAGCCAGCTGCTCCATGCCGGTCTGCGGGTAGTTGCCACCAATGTGATGTAGCGTTCGAGTGTGTTTTAGAATAGTGGGTGGCAACGGTCCATGCCTCGTGTGTCGTCTGACTAGTCCACCAAAACAGGTATCGCTTTTGAGCATCACATGACGCAACCTTGGTGAATCTGACAAGATATGTAATACTAAATCGGTGGCGATCCATGATGTCCACGGGTCGTGAAAGCCTTCTAAAATTAACTTCTCCACTTGGTGTAGAGGGCTTTTTTTCATGGCTGATCGAAGGTTAAATCTCTGCTAAAACGACTATACCCTTTTGACGAAAGCACTAATCCTGTCATATGAGAAGAACTTACACTTCCAGGTCCGAAAGAAGTGTGAAATGGCGTCATGTTCTGGAGGCGTCTCCCTTGCAATGGTTGGGGGTGGTAAAGGTCCTATGGAACAGCCTGTATGTATGCTGAGAAACAGTACCCTGATTTCTGGTACCATCGCGAGAGCAGCGGCTAAAATTCGGGACACTGGGCATTCCTTAGGGCTACCAAGAGCCAACATGGGACCTAAAATACCGACAAGGGCCTCGGTTTGGCCTTTCGGATGCCAAAAAATGGATGCATCGACGTCTTTGGCCTCGGATCTCAGCGTTATAGTGGACAAATCGATCATTTCCGTGAAAACGAAATCATGTTTTGAGAGCATGGCAGTCCAGATGAAGACCCGAGCAAGTTCTCGGTATAATGGGACCTCTACCATGGTACGGAAGAAATAAAGCAGCTCTCGCTGGCTCTTCAGGAGGATGGTATGATAGAGGAAGGGAATGGCGAGGCTATGCATTCTTTGCGAGACTTGGCAAACGCTGGCCAAGTCGGACCGAGACAGAACATAAGACAGAGCCACCTGAGGCTGGTTTGAAGTGGATTCGTAAGCCGTGGTGGAGTGGTAGGGAAGCATCTCGCGCAGGACTGCCTGGATGAGCTCGACGGGGAGCGTTGCGAGACAGTTGGCCGGCCCAATGGTGGTCTCAGGGACGGGATCCATGGCAATAATATAAGATTGAAGCTTTAAGAGGTTAGAGCCCTTGTCAGTACTGCAGTTCGTGTCGTTGATGAGAAGGAATGATCAAGGTTTGGATGGGGGGTTTCAGCCAGTTCTTGTTGGGCGTCTGAAAGTAACAGCCACGTGACGAGACGACTCGTTCTTCCAAACACGGCGCCTTTCCCCATGTTCGAACACAAAATATCCTGCGAGCGCCACGTCTAAGCCGTTCCAGGCCGGCTTCCCGGCGTTCTTCGCGTCAACCGAGCCAGGCCTTGCAGCGCACACCCTCGATCGCCTCTCGGCCGCGGAGTCAGACCTCTCAACGCACACCATCCACCGCTTCTCGACCTCCAGGTGAAACCTCGCAACGCAGCTCCTCATGTGTGTTGATCGCTGCGGGCTCGGTCCCTCTCCCAGCCACCACGTCAAGAGCACCGTTAAGTGCTCCGTCGTCCTCGTCCCTAAGCCCACGGAGCTCTTACGGGCAGTCTGCTCGCCGACTCAGCGGCAACAAAGGCTTGACACGGGCCTTCCTGCGCCTACCACCTGATCACCCGCTCCGGGAAGCCGACCCCGTGACTGTACAAACTAGAGTGAACGCGGTTCCTGGAACTACCCTGTACTCACGGGATTCGCGCTTGTCACGGATAACGCCACAGAACTCACAGCAGCGCTTGCCTCACGATCCGCCCTCGAAGAGGCCTTTAACGCTACGGCCTTCAAACTACAGGAATGATGGGTAGCCTACCTCCTGTCGCCTGTCCCTCGCCGGATACATGACCTGGACGGTCTTATCACAGGCCTCACCCCACGCCGCACCCACTGGATTAAACGGTCGGCATCCTCGGCCTACAAGGCCGAAGGAGAGATGGTCCTCCACTTCGTACAGGACTCCAGCCCCCTACCTGCCCGTTTCTGGCTCTTCGGACGTCAGGGCGGCTTCTGGCTCATACGGAAATCTCACTCCTCTGTTCGGCCATGTAAGTCCTGCCACCAATACCACATCACCAACGCCAGCGTCTGCCGCCAGTCCTTTCGATGCGTCGACTGTAGGCAGGCCCATCATGGATCTCCAGAAATACACACCCTGCCGGCCCAGTGCATAAACTGCAGAGGCCCTCACGAAGCCACCGACTCCAGCTGCCCAGCCCGCCCGCGACTGGACCACGGAGTCGTACGACGCCTGAACCGGCGTCAGCTACAAGCCATCTAGACCGCTGGAAGCCGGGCGTGGTTAGAAACAAATGCCAACGACACCGATGCCAACAACACCGACGACAACAACAATGCTCGTTAAAATGTGATTATCTACAGGAGGTCCCTTGAAGACGCTTAAAAATGGTCATCATTCCGCCCTACTAGGCCCCCTAGTAGCCTGAACTTAACTCCGCAGTAGCCAATCGTAGGCATAAGACATGGCCACCTTTGGCTCCTCCGTAGGCTACAATACACGGTTCGGTCACGCATGTCAAGCTAGGCCTGGACACTTGGCCAACAGGGGGGGATTCCATGCTAGGAACCAATATGTGGGGTGAAATAATTAGCAGCTGATAGACTTGTATCCAATCAGTGCTTTCCAATAGACCCGACACTACTTCGTATGTTCAACCCGACGTATCACCAACAGCACCTGGATGGCTTGCGCTGTTGGTTGTCATTGCATCTGCGCCGGAGCTCTTTGCCCTTTTTGAACGGATCTGGCCGGTTTTTCATGCTCGGCGCCTTGCCAGTGACCTAATTTTTGTCACCAACAATACCCGAATACCTTGCACTCTTGGTTCGCTTGGTATTTACACTGGAGCTCTTTCTCATGTTGAAGCGCTGGCCTAAGCGCCAACACCATGCTACACCCGGCTTGGGCAGAGAGGTGTGAGAAACACCCTTGGTCATCTCGGGGCTTTCTTAAGTGCTCCTGGTATCATTCTGCGGCCGGCTTGGGCGAGCAGCTGGGAGTGCTGAGGGGGTGGAAATGAGGCCTGCGGTACTTCGGTCGATAACATGAACACCGTTTGTCATGTCTGTGGTCATGAAAAGTGCGAGCAGTGCGAAGACTTCTTATCTTCTTAGCGGTAGGATCATCAGGCTCTCCCAGGCAGTTCGATGATTCTACACCCATCAAGAATACATCTATTCATGAATATTTCATTCTTGGTGATGAGTACTGATTGCTATCACCCCGCTTGTTTTGTTGCCAATCAACACCAACAACCTATCAACCAACAACGCACGGCCTGCGCCTCCTATCGTCTAACGGCGGCTGCTCCAAGAGGCGCAGTAGGCAGACAGATATACCTGATAACCTGAAAGTGAAACTAAAAGACAATATGTTGGCCATCATTGAAACAAATGACTGTAAAGAATAGCTTCTTGGTGGTGAATGAGGCGAGCGGCGCTTAGAAACCCCAATCCCCATTCCCGAATTGCATCAGAACAGGTCACGGCCTAACCTCCAAAGTCGCAGTTATCAAGTTGGAGCTCTGGTTTGTCCCGTTTCCTCCCTAAACCGGCCAACACTACTGCGCAGTAAGCCAGTGTGGCCGTACCTGCCAGAGCGACACCAGGCAGAACCGCGTTCCGGGCTGACCGTGTGGCCGAAGGACACCGGCCACCCAATGTCCACTCCAGAGGGCCAGGAGAAAGACTGGAGACAACTCCCATAGGCCAACAAGCTGGCCTGAACCGTTTAAGGACCAGGACCAGTGACCCCCAGGTTTTCGCCACCCGACCACCTACAGGCCACATTCTCGACAATGCCCCTGTCTAAGAATTGAAGCAACGTTTTCTGCTGGTCCATGGCAAAGGATTTCCCAAAGCCAGGCTACGATTCTTTCGCGAGAGTTGATTATACAGCAGAGGGGATTTTACTATATATTCCCAGGGTTTCTCTCATCTTCTTCCAGTCTCTTTCTTGTGTAAATCACCCACTTACATATACACAAAAGTTCGACCTCTAACTCTCTCTCTCTCAACATCCATCTGCCTCTTTATACACTTCAAGAACTGGTCGTCTTCGAGAAGGTCTTCCTTTCTACCTCCGAAGAATCTCACCAGTAGACGCTCTTCTCCTCTTCTCGTGCCCTCCTCTTGTCTGGGATCGCCTTCTCGCTAGCCGACCCAAACCAATATCTCTAGCTGGAGCCCATCAACTAGCTGAGTAACCATTCAAACGAACGCCGCAGTCCCGTCAATTCCGCCAATCAAGACGAAATGAGTTGTTGGAAGTGCGGTCAGCCCCAGTCTGAAGCGGCACCTGAAATCCCATTTTACATGCCCTGCGATAAGTGTATGAAATATGGAATACCGACTGGAAAAACTCTATGCGAGAAATGCGACGGCGGTTTGCAGGTGTTCAATCCAGAAACGAACGAATGGGAGGGTTGCGGAACATGTGGAGGTTTTGGGGTGGAAGATTGCTGGCGATGCGGGGGCTACTGCCAGTACCAGCAGAACACTACATGCGACCAGCCGCATGGCGTGTAGGAATAGCTGCTGGCCTACTAAAATTTGCCGCCAGATTACGAAGTTTCAACAAAGTGCTATGGTTCGAGAGCTCACCACCGGGACTATGCTCTACGACTTGAACGCAGGGATTATTAAAAATTTGCAGCGCAGATTTTTTGGGACACTTTAAGGACAACAACAAAGAGGAAAATAGCGGATACGTTGGAGACTATAAGTTGTGGGTAGTATGGCTGGAAGGTACCTTCTTTTTGCGCGATGCTTTTCTGAACTGCTTTGGGTATTTTGTTTTTTCTTATCTTTGTTACTTTAGTCAGTCTTTCTCATTTGTTAGATTTGCTCCGCCACCTGGTGTGGGCGAGAGGAAAATATAGTTCCTGCGTGTGTCCTTCGTTCCACTTCGTTCCACTCTAAGCATTACGGTTGATAGCTTGGTCCTTTGATTTGACACTTGTTTCTCTTTTCCCTAGACCCAATTTCAACTATTCTCGGTTTCGCTCCCCTTGAATCAAGCATCTTAGGACTTAATATGCTGTTCTCGAGTTGAGTTTCCTCAGTAAATGAGCAGTGTGACTGCCTCGACGCTCCATCGGAGCAAGCGGGGTGTGAGAGACTGTGTTGGTCACATCGCTGCCGCCAGCCGGGTAGCGAGTTGTCGCAATTCTGTTCGTCAGGCCTATCAGGGAGAGCGTGGTCAGCATTATGTTTTGGACATTTGTAGTATCGCGATCGTCGACAATCCGGGAACCTGAGTCGGCACTTTTGCTCCACTCGACTTACAAGTATTGTCGCTCTCGGCGTTCAGCACCTCCTGGAGCTTGGCCTTGGCCTTCTCCACGTTAAACTTTGCTTTTGCTTTGGCCTTTTCCATTTTGTCCCGGTATCAGCGATTTCTTTTGATGGGTGATTGATGCTCGTAATTCTCCCGTTTTCCTAACAAATGCGGAGGACAGGAAGACGAGCATGTCGAAGGGGGTGACAGACCCCTAAGTAGGCACCCCCGCTTACCCCGGAATATGGAGGGACGAATCACACACGAATCGTTGGGGGAAGCTAATAAATTGATTAGTACGAGTGTGTCCTGCAATTCGTCGAGTTTTGAAGCTTCCCCTCGTGGCTGCCCACCACGATGATATCAGAGTGACATGTGGCCCCCTTCAAGTGCTAAGCGTGGGCATGATCGCCGGGCCGGATGCGCCGGCCCAACCTTCGGTAAGCGATTCAAAGCGCAACAGTAAATTCTGCACAGAGCAGAGTGTTATGTGGGCGGCATATCCATTGGCAAGAAAGGATCCTGGGTGAGTTGCAGTGTGAGTATTTGTTCCATATGAAGGCTACTCTCGATTACCAGGAGAACTTTTCCCGGACCAAGCGCTCTGATACAGCCCAGAGCTTGTCGGCCTCCTCGCTAGAACATGCGCGAGGGTGCGCCTTGTCCGTGACTTGACAATGCTCCAGAAATATCCCGACATTCTCTTTTCCGTCCTTGTTCTCTATCTTTCCGAGCTTAGGATCCAGCGCCGCGACAAGGCTCGTTGAAGATCCTGCCCCCAGCGTCTTGTACTGGACTCCCGTCTTCATAATCAAGCTCTCGACCGAACTCTTCCAGTCCGGTGTTGCCGCTCTTTGGAGCTCGGTCTTGATCCAGCCAGGGTGCACAGTGAGGCAAAGGATCCCATGCTTTTCGTACAGTCTCCGAGTCGCTCCGATGCTGAACAGCAGGTTCGCCACTTTACTCTGGTTGTATGCCTCGAGCGGGACATAGGATCGTTCCTCGATGTCCGGCGTGCCCCACGCCTTGTGGGTAGCAAAGTTGGGCTGCTCCTCTGCCGGCAGGTCTTTGTTCTTCTTCTCGAAGTTGGGGTCGCTCCATCGCATGTACGCCCAGTACGGCGAGCCGGCCGACACGTTCACCACGCGTGTCGCACCCTTGCGGTTGGTCTCTGCGGCCTTGAGGAGCTTGGGCATGATCAGGCAGGTGAACAGGAAGTGCCCGATGTGGTTCGTAGCAAAGTGCATCTCGATCCCGTCCTCGCTCAGGGTGCGCTCTGGCAGCAACGCAAGCCCGGCGCTGTTGATCAGTATGTCGACCTTGGGGATGTCATCCCAGCTGAGGAGTTCGGCGGCAGCGGCTCTGACGGCTGCTTGGCTCGACAGATCCAGTCGCAGAGCTCGGTAGTCGACGTTGGGGTACTGAGCCTTGAGGGCATCGATGCTGTCTTGCAGCTTAGATGGCGTACGCCCAGCGATGATAAGGTGGGCTGGTGATTGAGATGCCTTTTGAGGAGGTTAGCTGCGTGCTTGAGGATGCATTGGATTGGGTTCCTACGAGAGCTTCTGCCGTGGTGAATCCGATGCCCCCGCGGTTCACTCCGGTCACTACAATGGTCTTGTCGTAGACCCGATCAGCAAATGCCCGGGCGACTTCGAGGCCCTCTGTATCGCGATTGAAGTTTGGGTGAGTGGTAGCCATGCTGTCGTCGGGATTGTTGGATTAGTCCGTAGTAGTCTCGCGGGGTCGGGACTTTCATGACATAGAAACCATGAATCGGCACTCCGTGCAACAATAGTTCTTACTTTATTTATCTCTCTCAACATCCTTAAGTCCATATTCTCCATGCCTGAATAGTACCGTGGCAGTGGTGCTTTGTGAAGCTCGCAAAAGCTCGCAAAGCGGACTTAACGGGTATAGTGTGCTGTTTCCATCACCAAAGTCAAATCCCGCACCCTAATGCGTGCACCACAGGGGCCAGACCGATATCCCGGAGAGGATACTCGCTAGATCACGACCGGGCCTGTTATTTGTAGATCTCTTAATCATTGAGCGAAAGTAGGGGGTGTCTATCTATCAACATGGTCAACCGTCCTTCAACAAGTCTCCCACGATTCTGCTTTCATAGGTCAAACTTCTGTCCCACAAGCTCCTCGCTCACAGTCCACAGCTTCTCCACGTATTCCTCCTTGGTCGCCCACTCAAACGTAGCCTCCGGCTGGCAGTCAGACATGTAAGCCCCAGAGTCGCCCTCGATATCCGGCCGCAACGCCGCCGCGAGTGTCGTGCTCACGCCCTGGCTCGTCGTCTTGGGCGGGTGGATGGACCAGTCGGGGTTGCCGTTGGCCCTGGCCACCTCGGCGATGTCGTCGAACGCCTTCATCTCGAGGTGGTCCGCCAGCGCCGTCTCGTAGATGGAGCCCGGGTGGACGGCGTAGGACAGGACGCCGCGCCCGGCGAGGCCCTTGGTGAAGAGCACGTTGGCCGTCTTGGCCTGCCCGTACGCGGACCAGGGGTCGTAGGCCTTGCCGCCGGAGAAGTTGTGGTCGCCGAAGCGGAAGGGCCCGATCTGGTGGCCCAGGCTCGTGAGGTTGACCACCCGCGCGCCGGGCCCCGCGGCCTTGATCTTGGGCATGATGAGGTTGGTGAGGAGGAAGTGGCCGACGTGGCACGCGGACAGGGTCATCTCGACGCCCCGCTTGTCGAGGGTGTACTCCTGGATGGCCATGATGCCCGCGTTGTTGATGACGGCGTCGATCTTGCTGATCTCGCTGTTGCCGTTGATCTCGTCTGCGGCATGGCGTACAGAGTCGAGGTCGGACAGGTCGCAGGCGACAAAGGTGACTTTCACGCTGGAGTCGATCTTTCGGATCTCGTCGATGACGGGGTCGACCTTGGACTTGTTGCGCGAGACGAGGATGAGGTGCGCCGGGGAGGCGCGGGCGAGAGCGGTGGCGGTGTTGGCACCCAGGCCGCGGGCGCTTGTGCCGGTGATGAGAAAGGTGCGGCCCTTGACCTTGTCTGCGAGCGCGCGGATAACCTCCTCGGCGGTAGTATCGTGATTCCACTGGGTGTAGGTCGTCATCGTGAGAGTGCGGTCTTGTGATGTCTGATCAGATATGAAGCAGAAGATTAGAGTCAACTCCAGTTTGCTGTTCACTAGATTTGTGTTTTGGTTAGTCTTTGACGTTGGTTGGGATCGGATCAGATCGAGCAAGGCAGCTTCCAAGATTCATGATATTCTCTAGCTATTATATACGATTCGAATTCTCAAGGCCAATTGCATGCCACGACCAAGAGTATTCGAGGTTTCCAGTGCTATCTCCATGACTCTCGGGTTTAGGATGCGCATGTAAATGTTTTATCCGGGCCGGTTTACCTTTTTATCAATCAGATAGAATAAGCCTGCATCATAGAACCATTGCATTGGATCATGATATCATGCTCAACTTAAAGAACAAGTGCCCTCCAAAGAACAGTTACTGCACGACATTGCCGATCAGAGCGGGTCGGCGTAAGGCAAAGGAGCGTCAAGCTTCCATGGAAAGGTTGGGTCAACTCTTGGCTATCGGCGATAAAAGCCTGCAATGCGGGTCCCTCGTCGCCGATAATACACATTCTGGTGAGATTGTCGGCGTTTACCAGTGACATGAAAGCGGCGTTTACACATAAAGCACCGTCTCTCGACAGCTATGTATTTGAGCCTAGGATCCTAGATGTGATTACCAATAATACTCGATAGGAATATGACTAAAGCAGCCGACGGCCTGGAGCATGCATGCGTGCCTCAGCTGCGCAAGCGAAGAGGCGGGTGGACACAACGGACTTGGGCGGTGGTTATGTCCGGGCGGCCATGGATGGATGTGCCATTGCCCATAACTGCCACCTGCCGTTATTCTGTCTGGTCACAGCACGAGAGACTCGACGTGCTCCCCGTCTCGCGCACAAAACACATAGCAGATGTCCACCCTGGTGGCAGACGGTCCATGGACGGCTGTCCAAGTCACATCCTCGACCCTCTGCGCGAACGGAATCTGCGCCATGCTCTGGACCGTTCTCCCTTCCCCGGCCTGTCCGCTCTCCTCGATCTCAATGAGTCTCTCGACCACTCTGGCGGCAGACATGCTATCCCACACCGCCTCCCGTATCGTCCGTCGCCGCAAGATGCCCAGCACCTCGCGCCGGACCGTGGGATGGCGGCATTTGGCCCCGACCATGAAGAGCACGGGGACTATGCCGACATCCGGGGTGTAGGTCGACCGTAGTGGCCCCGAGTCCCGCTCGTGCGCCGCCGTCACGTCGCCCGCCAGCGCTACGCATCGCTGAAACTGCGGCAGGAAAGCGTCGTAGTCCATCTCCCTTTGCGGTCCGCAACAGCGGAGAAGGATCCATACAAGGGTATACTGCAGGCGTAGTAGCGATACGAGTGGGTTGCTATGTTGAGGAACGTTCTCGCGAGGGTCGCCTTGTTGCAAGAGCATGCTTTCGAAGAGACCTGACCACAGATCCAGCTGCCCGAGGACGACAGTCACATGTACAGAGGTCAAGGATGGATCACTACACTCTAGGAATATTCCGTGATGCGCGTAGCGCAGTCGCATCACCCGAGCGATCAGAATCTGGAGGTGGTCGGCCGCATCCTCGAGGGACTGGAATGCACAGCCAGCTGATAGATGCAGGGAATTGACTGTCTCTTGTATATCGACCGGCGTCCAGTCGACTAGAAACGCCACAGCCTGCATGTCGAGGCGGCGAATCTGTCTTGTGACCTGAAGTAGGAGCGTGTATGCTTCCGAGTTGTCACTGGCATTGTTGCTATTGGCGGCAGCCCTCTCGACGGTGCGTGAGAGCTCTACGCCTCCGCGCAGGTGCTTCATTGCTTGGTCATAGTTGCCAGCCAGTTGATCAAAGCAATTGAAGAGATAGCAGACCAGGAGGGTGACTGCCGTTGTCTCGGTGCTGTTGCCAGCTTCCTGGTTCAACACCAATTGGATGGCCCGGTTGTAGTGATATAGGGGAGATTTATCGGCAAGTTCTTTCGCACGACCAAGGGCGTCGCGGTCCGAGCCATGAAGCTGTATCAATGCTAGAGCCGTTGCCGCATGCTGCACTGCTGGTACTGTTTCAGAGAAATACATCAGAGTATTCCGCCACGAATCGCTGGGGCGGTATTCGTCGAGATGTTTGACTGAAATATGTTTGAAAAAGCTCATTGCCTCGCCCTGCACTGACCCAGTTACGGGTAGGGTCATGAACGGTCCGGGATTGTATAGAGAGAGACCATGACCCTCTGGCTGCCGCTGCTGGGCAGTGGATCCTTGAATCATGGTCCATGGATGGTCGCTGTCGCATACCGCAGCTCTACAGCCCTCGTTGTCATATTGATGAGCTGGCTCGGCGTCCAACCGGGAGACAGGAGGCGGCTCATTATAGCCGTCACAAGTGCGGCCGGTGGACGTGCATTTCTTGCATGAAGGCTGCGCCAGGTCGCATTTGACTCGCCGTATCCTATTAACAAGTGCAAGGTTTAGTTTGTGCCCTTGGCACTTTGAGCAAAGTTGGTCGCACCAGTGCAGGGGGATCTGTAGACTCACTTGCAAGTCTTACATCCTAGTCTTGACTTGGGCGCCCACTTTCGAGGTTTTCTTCTCCAGGCATGGGGGTCTGCCCGTGCGGTTCCGTCCTGGTTGTTGGTGGCGCCCATCCTGCCGAATGGAGGTGGCCAAGATTTGCGATACGCCCAAGACTGCGTCTGCCCAGTGCCATCAAGAAAGTTGCCAACTGCAAGGGCAATCTTTGAGAGGGAGATGTCATCAGCAGGTGAGCGAATTTCAATAGGGACTACCTATTTGCTTGTTCGTACGTGAGTGGGGTAGTCATCCTCGATCTTCTGTCATTGGCATTGTGTTGGACGAAGATTGGGTGGTGTACCTAGGCAGTCTAGTCAGGGGCTTAGAGGTGTTAATTCCGCAAGGTAAGTCAGCGTGGCAGGGGTGGTCTCCCTACTAACAGAGCGGTTCATTGGCCAGTTCGCACAAGTGGAGCGCCGAGCACAGGGTGTCAACGGGAGGGTGATGGTAGTGCCACCACAGCCCTCTTTCCCCCATGACGTCGTGCGTCGTTGGGCGGCATGTTTACTTATTTAGCATGCGCGACTGCATGTTCACATTATCGCGACATGCATCGATTGGCTGCTTCGCACAAGCGGATTGTCAGGACGGATCCGCTCGTAATGCGTATCGTGAAATGACTTGGGGGAATCTGGCAAAGCAGCAGATGGTCTTGATGTTGGCCAGCATCGTAAGATAGGTGAAACCTGTATAAATACGTTCTTGATGCTCCCAGTGTGTCGCATGGAAGGATGGTAGCCACACGGCAGGACAAACACGAAGCCCAGTAAAGGATCTTCTCTCCAAGAAATGAAACGGCTCTTGACTACGCTTGCTGTTCTCACGGCCGTGGGATGCAATGGTGCTCGCTGCGATAGCCATGGCATGGTCCAGGGATTCGACGATGTGAGCCTTGGAAATGCCCGAGGCCTGAAGGCTTTCTAACGTAGCTGTCCACCTAGATTGAACCCTCAGCCAACCTCACCTGGACACCATGCTTCGACGGATTCGGTTGTTCGAAGCTCGAAGTGCCTCTGGACTACTCAAACACCAGCATTGGCACAACCTCAATCGCCTTCATCAAACTCGCCGGCAAGAACGCCACGGCTGAGTCCCCAAACCTCGTGATTCTACCTGGTGAGAGCTTCGATCTGTACATGTAATGTATGTTCCGTTCCAGTCATATGAGCTGACTCTTCGTCCAGGCGGGCCGGGAGGTTCCGGCATCGCACAACTTCTCGAATACGCAGCTTTTGCAGGGAAGATGTTTGGCGACCAGTACAACATTGTTTCCTTTGACCCTCGCGGCGTGAACAACAGCGGCCCGGGGCTTGACTGCTTCTCGGGCAACCAGGAGGCAAGGTCTGCCTTTTTCGCACTGCATAGAACCGGCGCTACCAACATATCGTCCACGTCCTTCGAGCAGCAGTACTACTCGGCCTCTATTTACGGAGAGTGGTGTAACGACGCTGTCGCGAACGGTTCATCTCATGGGTATTATGTGACCACTCCGGCAGTCGCCCATGACTTGATCACGTTCATCGAAGCCGATGCCCTGTCCGTCGGCCGAGCACCCGCAGAGGCCAAGTTGTGGGCCTATGGCATCAGCTACGGCACTGTCGTCGGCACCACCTTTGCTTCCATGTTCCCCGACCGAATCGGGAGAATGGTCCTCGACGGCGTTATTAATGCAGACCAATACTACGACAATGACTGGCGGGACAATGTCGACAAGATGGACGCAGCCATGGAGAGCTTCTCCACCTCCTGTCACTCCGCCGGTCCTACAAACTGCTCCTTCTGGGGACCCACGCCGGCCAACATCACGGACAGACTCAACGGACTGATTGAACAACTTCTGGACCACCCGGTCCCGATAAGCGGAGTCCCAGGCCGGACTCTGCCGACGATGGTCACCTACTCCGACCTGAAGGCCTCTTTTATCAATGCTATCTACGAGCCGCTCGCAGGCTTCCCGCTCATGGCCGAAATGCTCCATCAGCTTGAGCAGGGCAACGTGTCTGCTCTCGCAGGCAGGTTCGACTCGCTGCGCGACGCATCCGACGCGCGTCTCGTCATCCAATGCGTCGATCCGTCCCGGAGAAACAAGCTTACCACCATCGAGGAATTCAGGGACTACGCCGAGTACACCGTCTCCAAGAGCAAGTACATCGGTGACATCTACCCCATTTACGTGGAGCAGATTCTGTGCAGATCATTCCAGCCGCATTTGCCCGATAGTATGTTTATGCAAGGTATGTGACCCTCCTTGAACTTGCTCTGTCTCCGATGCTGTTTTCTGTTGGGAAAGATGGAAGAAAAGCCCACTCTCAGTTGCAAAAGCTGACCCTCGTCGTGGTTATGCAGAGTCAGTGCTTGGGGCAAACAAGCCGACATCCTTCCCGATCCTGTTTGCGAGCAACACCATCGACCCCATTACGCCCTTGATATCGTAAGTCCTGTTAACTGTCATCCTACGATATTACAAGCGGCTGAATGTTTCATCATAGTGCGCAGAAAATGTCCTCTGGGTTCCAAGGGTCGGTTATTCTAAAGCAAGAAGCTGTCGGCGTAAGTAGACCATCGAGATCCCTCTGTCTTCATATCAGCAAGAACCCAAACTGACCCCTACGTCTCCTGAATTCAGCACACAGTCATCAACCAGCCGGGATCAGACTGTTACTTCGCGCATGTCCAGGCATACCTGCAGGGCGTAGTTCCGCCGCCCAACACCACATGCCCTCAGCAGTACACCCCTTTCATAGACAGCTCCATTTTTTGACAGCTTTTTCCGAAGTAATGGTAAAGGGCTATCTCCACTGGGCTACTGTGTGATGGAGGATCTAATCAGATGAGATTCAAAGGGAAGGAAGAAGCGGGGCGTAGAGGAGGCATAGCTAGAAATTCATCAAGCTCAGCACAGCGAGACTACTTCTAAATTGACCTAATACACTATCTTGATTCAGATCCATGATCAATGCCACCTATCTCCGCGTCATCATGGTCGGTGTACGGAACTGCGGAGTCGCCATCTGTCCACCGCTCTTCCTCACCAGTCACCGTCCCCTGGTCTCCCTTGGCCCCAACATCAACATCACCAAGCGAGCTTTGCTCCATCCACCCAGCAGCCCTCCTACTCACCCGATACCTCAGCCACGCAAGGCCCGCCGCCACAGATACCATCAATCAGCTACCCCAAACAATGGCCAAGAACAACCCGGCTCTCCGAGGAGCCATCGTCACCCCCTCAGGAAGATACTCGTTCACACTCCCGGACGTACCCGCTCCCCCCCCCGGGTCCTGGACGTGCGCTGGGCAGGCCGGGCACTCCCACGCGAAGGCGTTGGGGAGGGCGTGCAGCGTGAACATGAACTCCATGCTGTGCGGGGCGGAGGTGGTCATGATGCCGTCGTACTGTCGTGGGCGTTTTTGCCGTCAGTACTCACGATGTCGTCTCCCATGCCTGGGCGAATGGGGAAAAAAAGGAAGAAAGAAACCCATACCGAGACCATGGAGAGCTGCGGCAGACTCAGCTCCAGCGTTCCAGGCCTCTTGATCGAAGGCACGAGGAACGTCCCCGCGCGAGGAGGAGCAGCAGTGTCGTGAGGAGCGGGAGGGCGACGAGCCACCTGCTGGCGCGTAGCATCCAGCGCCGTGCGTTAGATGACCACGCAGTCTGCGGCATCGTGTCTTGTTTTCTTTGCACTCTAGTCCGACCGATGTTGATCAAGACGTTGGTTGTCCTGGTCCAAGGTCAATCAATTTGGAAGTCCATGACAGTTCCGACATTTTGCAACGGAGTTTCGTATTCGTTGTGCTTACGAGTCTGGTCAGAGTCTGGACCTCTACCCCCTGTCTGTGTGCCCGATGTCGAAACCAAACACCCACACCGGTGGTACCTAGTGCTTACAGCGGTTCATGCACGCAGGATTCAATTACATCATTGGCAGCAGTAGGTGAGAAAAGCATTAAAAGACTTTTATAAAAGCTCTGTAGAGCATCTCTATCAATGGTGTTGTTCGACATTTCCTCATTTGCGGGATGCCGGCAAGCGGTGCTAACACTCGCATCACCGGCCCCTTTTATCCATCGCGGCCGATCCCGCGCTCTCTTCTTTGCTCCAAGTCCAGTATTATCATCAATCAGGTTTGAACTGGTCCTCCGGCAACTATCCCTCCTCTTGACTCAATCTGATGTGTTAGGCTGTCATAGGGACAACCGCGTTTGCCAGACTGACCAGCCGTCCAGCGATAGCCAACGCCCTTCCGTGAAGCGCTTTAGTTCTTGGGGAAGGAAGCCTTGCCCTTGGCGCGAGCGGCGGCCAGAGCGCCGTGGAGGCCGTACTGCGAGGGGACGCCCTCGATGCGGTGGGTGGCGTTGAGGTTCTTGACGACGACAAACTGGAAGCAGGTGGCGCTGCCCTGGCGGGAGGCAATGCTGGACCAGGCCAGGAAGAGCTCCCAGATCCGGAACCAGCGGACACCGTACTTGGCCTTGATCTCCTCGGCGTTGCCCAGCCAGTTCCTGTACCACCTCCAGATGGTGCCGGAGTAGTGGACGCCGACGGTGTCGATGCTCTTGACCTCGAAGCCAGCAGACTCGAGGCAGCTCACGTAGAAGCTGAGCGGGGTGGAGGCGTCGGCGCCGGGGAAGATGTACTTGTTCAGGAAGGTGCCCCAGATGAAGTCCTCGTACTGCCAGGCGCGGCGCAGGCCGGAGAGCTGGACGTACATGGAGCCGTCGTCCTCGAGCATGTCGTAGCACTGGCGGAAGAAGCCGGTGAGCCGCTTGATGCCGACGTGCTCGGCCATCTCGAGCTGGGTGATCTTGTCGAACTTCTGGAAGGGGATGTCGCGGTAGTCCATGCACAGCATGTTGCTCTGCTCCTCGGGGATGCCGGCCTTGCGCAGCGCGTCGTTGCCCCAGGCGGCCTGGTTGCGGGCCAGGGTGCAGCCGGTGACCTTGGCGCCGAAGTTGACGCTGGCGAAGCGGGCGAGGGTGCCCCAGCCGCAGCCGATGTCGAGCATGCGATCGCCCTCGCGGAGGCCGATCTTCTCGCAGACGATGGCCATCTTGTTGTCCTGCATCTCCTCGAGCGTCTCCTCGCGGGTGATGTCGGAGATGACGCCGGAGGTGTAGATCATGCGGGGGCCGAGGAACCAAGCGTAGTGGTCGTTACCGCGGTCGTAGTTGGGGCGGATCTGCTCCTCATCTTGTTTTGGTCAGTGCCAGTCTTCGGGTCGGCAGGATCTGAGGAAACTTCGTCTTACCTTGAGCGCGGGTGTGGAAGATGATGTCCATGAAGAAGTTGAACAGGATAAACTTGAAGACGTCGACGGTGAAGTTGAAGGTGGCCCAGTCGTGGCGGTACTCCATAATGTCGAGGCAGTCGCCATTAAAGTCGACGTCACCGTCAAAGTACATCTCGTAGAAGGTCTTCATGGGGATCTTGTTCCTGCCGCTCCACTTCTGGCGGTCGCTCTCCTTCTTGAAGGTGATGTAGAACTCGACGGGCCGGTTCGGCAGCTTGGCCTTGTCATTGGTGCGGGGGCTGAAGTTGGACGCGATGTACCAGATGACGATCAGGAGAGGGAAGAAGAAGACGACGGCCAGGAAGAGGAAGGTCTTGAGACCACCGCCGAGCTTCCACGTCAGGTAGAGGGGGATGCCGAAGATGACAGCGAGGAGGGCATAGTTGTTAAAGCTCTCGTTTCCGGATCCTTCGGCGGGCAGGGGAGGGTTGTTGATTGCGGGAGACTATGGAAAATGTCAGCGTCAATTGAGATACTCGGGAACTGTCGTCACGAGCTTACGCTGGAGGTCGGGACGCCGCAGTCCTCGCCAGTCTCGAACTTGGAGGGCTGGGCGGCAGGGGTCTTGATAAAGTTGATGTCCTCTGTGAGCTCAGCTCCGGGCTTGGGCTTGGTGGTCATGATGAATGATGGAGTGCGAGACCTGATTGTCCGCGTCAATTGATCCAGAGGGAGGTGATCAGGTCGAAGGCCGGAGGGACACGTTCGTATATCGATGGGGAGGGATAAAAAAAAATAGCCAGACCGTCTCGGGGCTGGAATGCTCGGGGACCCGACTGGAAAGGCGGTCAATTGGGCTAGAATCTGGATCAGGTCAGGATAAAAAGAGCTTGGGCCCCTCATTCTAGGGCACAGCTACCCCTGAATATCCTGCTTTGGTGGGGCTTGGCGTCACTAGCCTCACCGCCCGCGACCGTGAAACAAATTGCATGGGAAGAAATGGTTGAACAGATCCATGTATTCGCTAACGGCAGTGGCTCAACAAAGAGCGGAGTAGGGGGGCGGCACAGTGGTCCATCTGAACTGCCGAGGGCATTCATTGTTGTTCTGAAAGATACTGGGCCTTGTGGACAGTGGCCAGAGTGCAAACTCGGTGCCGTATGTGCGATGCACCGTCATTGAGTGAGTGCATGAACTGTGTTTGCAATCAGGCACTCCAAACATCCAAACAATGTACCTATGACTAACAGTGAGGCAAACTGGTCTCAGGTTCTGGGATATAACTAAGGGGACCTGATATCCATCCTCATCCAGAACTCTGATATTTACTTAGTATCAATGTTTACTACCTTACAATTTCAACAGCTGTTGCAGCACATGCCGCCGAGGCTCACTGGCAGAACATGCCACGTCACGGGAAGTTCAAGCAACGCTCCATCCTTATCAGAGCCATCTACGAAGATAACGATTGTGCTTGAACAGCCTTGAGATTGAACACAATGATGCACAAGTGTGCAAGGCTCTCCTGCTGTTGAATGCCAGCATGCGCATTGGAACACAGTGCCATGGAGAATTGTCTGGGAGTAACTATGCTGCCTCTACAATCATCGACCAGATGGTCAGAAAAAGGTCATGGCCGTCACAAGTTCAAGCGCACCAGTCGTGTTTGGATCTCAATTATCCGATGGTTGCCAGACTCGTGCTTTCAGAGGACCCTTATCGCACTACCATAGGCTTTGCATTTATTTGATGACAGCTGTTGATTCTTTTTTTTTCTTAGTATATATAAAAGAAAAAGAGAAAAAAAGGACAAGAAGAGAAAATACATGGACGAAAAAAAGGGGTATCCTGTCCGTGCCAACTGTTGACAATATCTTCATTGACGTTGTTCACCAAATTGGAGCTCCCCCTCTCACCACATCCTCACCCAGCACGTCACAGCCTGCTTTCTTCACCAAGAGCGTCGCCTAGAGAGGTTTCCCCCAAGGCAAATTCCAATCCTTTCCCCCCAACCTCGTCAATCCGCCCTGCTTCTCTCTCCATGATTCTAGCATACTCCTTGGCAAAGAACCCTGATCCAAGATCTCTCCTCCTTTAAGTTTCACTTCCTGGCATTCCATAGAGACTCAACCTGGCAAAGCACCCAACTCTGACAGGTTCATCAACACGAGAAAACCACATCACGCCTCTCGCCCTTTATCCATCTCCTGGTCACTCTGACGTGACCGCAGCTGCCTCACACAACCCTTATCAAGAAGAAGAAAACATCATTTCAGCATGTCCTCCCCGTACTACGAGACCTCCGCATTCTTCGATTTGCCGCTCGCGATCCGCAACAAAATCTACCGCCTGGTTCTCGTCAAGCGCGGCCGTCCCATTCGCCTGAGGAGGGTTCCCTCTCTCCTCCAAGTCAACCGGCAGATTCGCGAAGAGGCGTTCCCCATCCGCTATGGCGAGAACAAATTCTACATCATCCAAGATCCGGATGTCGATATCGCCCTTGGTGATCCAATGCTCCGCATGTTGGCTGAGAGCGGTTGTTTCGCTCACATCTCCTCGTTCACCCTGCGGTGCATGAGCCACTGGTCCAGGAAGCCCCACCTCGATCTCATTCTGCTCGACAAGCCTTCCCCTTCGCAGCAGGAGCAGTACCTCAATCTCCGGATTGGATCCGACAACACAGACTGGAGCGACATCGCCGTCACCGTGGTAGCGCTCGCCGAGCGAGGCATGGACATTATGTACAGGAGCGAGGAACCCTGGAAGCAGAGGGTCTCTGCTTTTCGGAGAGGAGCCGGCGTGCTCCTTAGCATTATCGCCCTTGGGTACGTGGACATGTCAAACAAGTGGCTGGTGATGGACTTCCGAACTCCTGGCAAGAGGAATTAGACTGTCCCGACGCTAGACTGGGTCAAAATGACATGGCGGGATCAACATATGGCCAGGTCATCGGGAAATACCATGTGAACAGTGGGTGGGAGCAGAAGCGACACGGGTGGTGGGAAGATCTGCATACGGACATGGCATGAACACTGCATGAGGTGGCGAAGAGGACATGGAACATAGCGGTTTGTTTGTGCGCGTGGAGGCATTGGACGGGTCAATCAATGGTCATGTTTCTGTCAGAATAGGGAACTCCTGATTTGACTGTGTAGCCTACTTCAATCTGAGTGAATCACAGGAGTCCTGCTGAAAACATCAAAATACCTTACCTGATGACATGTTTATCAAAACGGGGAGAGTAGATACTCCAAGCATAATTTGGTACGCAAGAATATTCACCATATTCTTTAATTTGTTCCTCAAGGACCGTTAGCGCAACACTCCCTGAATAGGGAGTCGGGCTGTGCGGCATCCGAGTCGCAATCGCGATCGCCCATCCACGCGCCGGGTTCGGGATCGCTTTCGCAGAGTCAAGTTTTTCTCTGGCATATATTGCAGCGCAATCCCCTTGAGTTTGTAGACGATGTTGCCATCCGTTGTAAAATTTTCAAGCAATCCGAGATCTTTTTATTGTTTCGTACATCTCCAAACAGATATTAAAAGTCGCCCCTCGCTACATTTACCCCCGACCACCAGCTCGCACTTCACGTACGTCATACAGCTCACTCGACTCCGCCCCAACCATGGGATATGGTTACATCTCTTTTCAAAGTCACCGGCCAGCAACTACCCCATCCTGATTCTGATGGAGGAATGGCTTGAGACATTTGATTGGCAATACTGCCGGGATTTAGTCCAGAACGGGGGTTGGCGCCTACGCAACCGAGAAGCCCGGTGCCGGTCCAGCATGAGTGGGGCGCCTTTCCTCGGGGGCTGTGTTGCTCCTACCGCAATCGGGTTCGCGACGTCGGGATCGCATAGATGCTGTCTCGGAGGGAAGCCCCCACTGCTGGACGGGCCACATATAAGGCATCAAATCGGCCAGCCCGGCAGGTCTTGGAATTCCCTCACACACTGGTACCAAGAAACACCAAGCCATGGAGAAGCAAGCCGACTTCCAATTGCATACCCAGTCCATGACGGCAGTGTTCGGCGCTCCTATCCCGGACCAGCCGTTGGCGGGTACGTCTGTAGGACTGCCTCGACCCGTCATCATTCCTCAGCGGCGCCCGAGGCGGCGGGACCGGGGTTTCATCCGAGCGTACGCCCCGGATTTGATGCGGTGTGGCATCGACCAAGTCACGTTCCTGTCATTCCTCGACAATTTCAACGCGGAGGTTGCGTCATCGCCTTGGGTCGGGGTCGTAGACCTCGCCGGGGGTGCTGTAGGTGCGATCCCGGCCTCGGTGACCGCCGTCGCGCCCATCACCGGGACTGCAGTGCAGATAGTTGCTGGGATATACAAGGAGATCTCGGCTCGCAAAAGGCAAGTTCCGTCCAAGAGACTGAGTGAGGTCGCGCTAACAGTTTCCGGCCCTTCTTCAGCCAAAATGCCTATCTCCAAAAGATGAATGATCAGCTATTCCGACCTCGCGGTCTGTACTGTCTGATCATGGCCTACGACGTCAATTCGTACAGGAGTGTCACGCAGCAGGACACAACCACGGATCTCGATGCGATGGTGCCAGGTTCTCATCGGTCGGATCAAGGTACAAGGCACAAGATCCGGAGCAACGATGGAGTTACGGGAGTCGCAAACTTTCCAGCAGCTGCGGAACTGATCTTTCCTGATCCGAATGACACACTTCCTGACTCGGATGATGATCAGGAGAGTGATGATGAGGATGGCAAGGGGAATGGGAATGGGTTCTTGGGAAAGCTCGGCAAGTTTGCGGCAGATATGAATGCGAAGAGAGACCTCAGGTCTCAGGTGAAATTTGTGAGTCAAATAAATCCCTTGATGATACACAACCTACCTTTCAGGCTTAAGATTGATGTTTCATGTATTCCTAGCAAAGAAAGAACCCGACAAGTGCAATCAACTCTTTGCTTGATCCCAAAGCCGGGCTCAGCGAGAAAGACCTTCGGAAGCAAGACAAGAGAGAAGTCAAGCAGGAACGCAAACGAGACAAAGCCGAGCGCAAGGCGGAGAAAAGACAGCGGAAACATCCTGAGAGAAGCCCTAAGGAGCCAAAGATGAAGCCGGTATGTATGATTTAGTGTCAGAGACTCTTTCTTTTTCGCTCCGAACAACCCAAACGCTGATACTGGACTGACAGGGTATTTTGTACCTGATGATTGTCAATATGCCGTCTGGCAATGATATGAATAATGCGCATAGACTGTTAGGAGATGAATGAAGTGGATAAACTCGACAGTTTGTTTGAATAGCCATAATCGATTATGCAAGGAAATGTTATGATGTGTCTCAACAGATCGCCACATGAACCATGCGTCTCGCGAATTCAAAATGAACCTCAATTTGAGTTGTGTGGAATCAGCTGTGAAAACAGACTACATGTAGCTGCTTTGCATCTGCGGGATGTTGCTCCCAGAGGCCAATAACAAAGAAGTCAAAGTGAGGCTTTGCAATTCCCCAGAAATTTCCCTGGAGATATTCGATATACCGGGGATAGTTTGAAATGCTAAGCCGCAATCTAGCGGACGATTTACCCAGACCAAGTCCAGGTAGAGCCTTGAATACATCCGCAAAACGGCTCAGTGTATTGAATCGTCCATGCTCGTTTGGTTCAGAACTTTTGGGAACGTGCCATGCACCAAACATGAGAAATGCAACATTCCAATTATGAGAAACCCCAATTGTAACAACGTAGCAGCAGGGTACTGCATGTGCGTGATTAGTCACGATCTCGCTCGGCTGTTAATGTTGACAATTGCCGACCCCTCACCAGGTGGGACCAGCTTCCAAGGTTAATTACTTTGAAGAGTGACCAGGAAGAAAGCACAGAGTTACCAAGTCTTAAACTCAACCAAGTAGAGTTAGCACATGCTCTCCCGCACGCATGTCAAACCTTGGCGGACAGCAGAATTGGCACTAGGGTCACTGAATCGCGGTAAGCTAATTCTGACGGCACGAACTGCCGGCCGATTTCGCCTCGGCATGATAGCAGACAAGGTGTTGACAATATACAGCTCCTCTTTAAAGTGCGTGATGGTGATGTCGCCGTCGCCGTGTGCACAGTGGAACAACATCTGCCGCGCATGGCTGCTCTGTATCTCGTAGCACAAGAGACGGCGCCACCAGAAACCCGCATTCCACCACAGCGCCACTCACTGGTCCTCCCAGGCCGGCGGACTGACGCCACGCGCGACGCAAGGGCTGAAACCCGCATGCAGACTGCGTTCCAGTGCCGCTCACATATGCAGCGCGGCGCGGCGATTGCACCACCGGGCACTATGGCGACCAATACCGACCCGTCCGGCAGCGGCCTGCGCCCTGTAACGGACCAGATCTACGTATCCCACCCGAGCGACCCGAGCGACGCCGCCGCAGCTGATGGCGGGCCATCACGCAACGACGACCCCACGGCGATCCTCATCCACGGCTGGGGCGGCGCCAGCGCGAAAAGCATCAGCGGCCATGCCGCCGGCTACCGGAAGCTCTACCCGGGAGCCAAGATCGTCGTCGTGCTCTCCACGCCTACCTTGTACCTCTTCCGCAGCTACGACGCGTGTGTGCGGGCCATGCGCAGGGTCGTGGACGAGATCTTCCCGACGGCTGAGAATAGCAAGGAGAATGAGCAGCCGCGCCTGCTCGTCCACGTCTTGTCCAACACGGGCCTGTACTTCTACTCGGCAACGCTGACCGCCTACCGCCAGAGGTTCGGCCCGGGCGCGAAGCTGCCTCACCCGCTGCTGGCCCTCGACTCGGCGCCTGGCGGCTCAGACTTCTCGGCAAATGTCGGCCGCTGGACGCAGGCCACGGCGATCGGCCTGCAGCGGGTGTCGCCGCTGCCCTACTTTGCGACGGAAAAGGTCTGCAGCCTTTTCTGGCATGCTAACCGCACGCTTGAGCTGGCCACGGGCCGGGAGAACATGCACGCCATTGGCCCGCGCGTCGTCAACGATGCGGATCTCGAGAGCACGGACGCGATGCGCCTTTACTTGTACTCTAAAGAGGATGCTCTGATGGGGTGGGAGGACATTGAGAAGCATGGCCAGGAGGCGGAGGAGAAGGGCTACAAGACTACGCGGGTCATGTTTGCTGGCAGTTCGCATGTGAGCCATATGCGCGCGCATCCGGACAAGTACTGGGAAGCTGTGTCTCGTTCGTGGTCCCAAGCGATCGAGGCACAGTCGACCAGTGCCGAGCCGACTGAGGAAGGTCGCCTCAAGGCACGATTGTGATATTGTACGGCATTATGCCTTGGAAGACTTGCTTGAGCTGGCTGGCTGGCTGGACCAGCATGCCAGAATGTCGAGGCACGATTGAGAGATGGTTTCGCTGTGTCGGTCATAGGGGAACAGGAGCGATCTTAGGCTACGTCATGAGGAAGAGAAAGGCATGAGATGCAACAACATTACCAGACTATCGAGATGATCTTCAGGCTTGAAGGAAACTAATGGCTGGTTACTGCTCAGATCATCAATAAGATCGGACAAAATCCAAAGATTCTGCCTCGTCTGGGGGGATCAACCCTCCGCGTCTGACAATAAGCCCTGTACGAAGTAAGAAAGAATGGACACCAGGCATGACAGTGACCGGCCAATGACGCTGGCGATTTGGAGCATTCCACCCTGACGCCTTGCAGGGTGTTCCTGGGGATGACGGCATTGTGTCTCAACAGCGGAGGTGCGGAATGTTCTCAATGGCGTTTAGCACCTGCCTAGTCGAGGGGATCTAGCCACTAGAGCCGGAGCCACTCGTTGTTGATCCTCTCATGATATGGCAACTCGCCATTCTAGAAGAAGCAATCTTAAGAGAGAGGTCGCATCAAGTAACCACCTGCTCTTCTCGAACAGATGTCAACCCCCACGAAAAGCTTGTTTGAACTAACACCTCGGCAAGCCATCGGCACTGGTTCCGCACCAAGCCCAATCGCCCCCGCATCGACTTGGTGATCGACGCCATCAGGAAAACACCGCAACCCAACACGTGGGCGCGTCCGTGGATAGCCGGCCAAGGCACTCTGCACATGGGACGATATGACCACAGTCTTATCCAGGGTTGTTCCTTGGGCATTTCAGCTCCCCGCTAATTTTAGGTTCTCACACGCAATCGGTGGTGTGGTGGTGCTACACTGACCCACGGCAATGACGCTGCGGCTGAGATGTATATCGGTGACCTGCACTAGAAGGTGATCGTCCCGCCCCCCTGTATCACCGAGTAGGGGTCTGTCACGCCCTCGATGATTAAACAAATGTGCGGTGTTTGATGGATATGAATGTTGATCATGCATGATGTGCGCCGTGGGGTGCAGATCAACCAGACAGGGCTGTCCGGTGGGATAAGACGGGGGAACTATCTCCAGAAGGGGTCGTCTAAGTGTCGTGTATAAATATCTCGTGAAGCTCTTTCTTGGAAGGGACGAAGTTGCAAACCAAACCCTACAGTCACCACAATTCAAGACAACTTCAAACTTTGCTCAGTCACCAACATGAAGGTCACTATTGCCTCTGCCCTTACCCTCGCCGCCACGGCACAGGCTGCTGTCCAGGGCTTTGACATCTCGCACTACCAGCCCAACGTCGACTTTGCTGCTGCCAAGGCGTCCGGAGCCCGCTTCGTCATCATCAAGGTACATGATTGACAACCCCCACCCACCTACCACCTTGTCAGCCCTGCAAGTGACTGACCAGCCGAGCACAGGCCACCGAGGGCACCAGCTACATCGACCCCAGCTTCTCCTCGCACTACACGGGCGCCACCAACGCCGGCCTCATCCGCGGCGGCTACCACTTCGCCCACCCGGGCCAGACCACCGGCGCCGCCCAGGCCGACTACTTCCTCGCCCACGGCGGCGGCTGGTCCGGCGACGGCATCACGCTGCCCGGCATGCTCGACCTCGAGTCCGAGGGCAGCTCGGGCGAGTGCTGGGGCCTGTCCGCCTCGGCCATGGTCGCCTGGATCAAGGCCTTCAGCGACCGCTACCACAGCAAGACCGGCCGGTACCCCATGCTCTACACCAACCCGTCCTGGTGGAAGGACTGCACGGGCAACTCCAACGCGTTCGTCAGCACCAACCCGCTCGTCCTGGCGCGCTACAGCAGCAGCCCCGGCACCATCCCCGGCGGCTGGCCATACCAGACCATCTGGCAGAACAGCGACTCGTACAAGTACGGCGGCGACTCGGACATCTTCAACGGCAGTGAGGATAACCTGCGCAAGCTCGCCACTGGTTAGATGGTTGTAAGAAGGAACGTAAATGGATGGAATGCTTGATGGATGGCATGGCAATTGGGAAAGAAAAGTATATCTAGGATAGCGAGTACATACGGAACTGGCACAGGAATCAGACTTTAGCACTATTATGATGAGGAAGAAATGAGAAATGTTTCATCAGTGGGAAAAAGTGGTGTGTGTATGTTATGAATCTCTAGCTCCAACATGCAGCCATGGAAACGTGCAGGACTCAGCGTATAGACAGGACACCCTAACGCTCCGCGACACGCACTCTCAATGGTACAAGGAACAACAGGTCATGAAGATCTATTCAGCCGACTCAAAATTCCTCCCGAGACAGAACGTCCTACCCCTTATAGTGGTCCAATCTTCCTCAGGAAGAACCTTGGCGAGGGCTGCCTGGGGGTCGTGACTCACTCCTGGAACGTAGGCATAGCAGAAGAGTATAGTTCAAGGCAGTTTTCAGGAGGAATGAGTCTTCTACCTGCGGCACCAATAGCCGTCAACAGCCAGATGGGACATTGTTTTAGCCTCTGAAGCATGTTTCCTCTGGTGGAACATACTTAATCACCCGTACACGCCGCTTCTTCTTATCGACCTCTTCACGCTCCGTCTCGGAAAGATAAGCTCTCAGCATCAGCCGTTATCCGGAGACAAATCTAACAGACCTTCAGCAAGAGGATCGAAGGGAGAGTCAAGGGGCCTTTAGCCCCTTAACACTCCTTAGTCCAGCCAAAGGCAACAAAGTCGCGTGGATAGCCCAATTTGCTTAACAAAGCTTCGGTACCTTCTGAACCGGCTGTGGTGAACTGGATGACTTGTCATCAGCATAGAGCGACTGTATGCTACCTATACGGCGGCAGTCGTTGTCTGGATGAGGCCGATGACGGGTGGGGCCGGGCCGACTTGGGGCGCCGTCACGGGGGATCGGGGGACTGCCAAGGTTTTAGGTTACGAAGCCCCTTTCCCGATCGAGCACCGAGCAGAGCAGCTTTGGGATTACTACCCCTTTGCATGATAGGTTTGATTATCAGGGTCTCTCGGTTATGGCCGAGGTGTTATTGGAAACTCGACCTGCCTAGAGAAAGTAGTAGAGATTCATGTTTCAGGTGTTTATAGATGCTGTAATGCTGAGCATCCAAGTGTGGCTGAGCTATTTCGGTATTTCCGGCTGGATCAGTAGAGAGCGTCTCCCTCATAGCAGATTGACCCTATTCGTAAGTATCAGCCTTTGGGATGATAGGTCTGTAGGATCATGGCGACATGTCCTACGGTCTACTACACTATTATAAAAGCTCGCGGGGCCGCCTGTTAGACGGAGTAATAACTTCATAGGCAGCAAGACCAAAGCAATATTCCTCGTGTACAATCATCATTCTTTACTGTTTACCTTACCATAGAAGCATCAGCCATGAAGCTCCTCGCTCTCCTCGCTCTCTACTGGGCGGTGGCATACAGCTTGGTCATCACAAACCAGCCTGTGCGCCCAACACGCCCCCGTCTACCGGGCACCAAGACCAGCACTCAGCGGCCTCAGGGTACCTTTGAGCTTCGGCCACGCAATACCAAGTCGACTCAATTTGGACTTGGAAAAGGAAAAGGAAATCAAGAGCCAAAAGTCACGTTACATTTTCCAAACTATCCAGCGCCCTCACAGGCTGCAAGACAATCCGCCGTTGAGAAATATTATGATTTTCAGCATAAAAACGACCCAGACTACAATCCAGAGATGACGAAGCTCAATACAGTCCCTAGCTTGGACAATTTCAACAGTCAGTCTACTCTACTTAAGCTATAGATATCGAAAAGATGTACTAACTAGCATGGAAATATAGCCGAGCATGTATATGAAGGGCAGACACTTGGTCGCTTCTTTGACTGGCTCATTGAAGCGGGAAGTTCTAAAGTTCCTTTCCCTACTGTGTACGGTCGTCCAAACCAATCGTGGATGAAAAACATTCTTAACCCTGAAAACTTGAACGGACAAAACGATTTTCAATTCAGTATACCTTCACAAGGTCCCCAACAAGGTCCCCAAAGCCTATGGTTTCATATACGCAAGTGCGTGGGTTCTCGTGAAAACTACGGAGGCTTGGTTCTAGCTGCAAAAGGCATGAACTACAGGAAGGGAGTACTATTTGGTGGCAAAAACCCTCAAATCCCTGGAGATGGCGATCAACTGAATGATTTTCGTAATGTAAGTCCGTATTCCCACCTGCTAAAGTATCAGTTAACTCATCTATTGATAGGTTGCAGGTGTCTTTTACTACATGGGAATTGGTGAAATTTGGACCAAGTTCACCACAACGTCTCATTGTATAGAGGGAGCTCTTGCAGAGTTTGATCGGCAATTCCCATGGAGGAGGGCTGAGGCACCTGGAAGACAAGCCCTACAACGGCCTTTGTCACCACTCAATGCTGGCTTGCGTACCCTCTACCGGATCTGGATTAGTGGGGAGCTGGCGAGTATAGAGGGTACGGCTGAACAATGGATAGATTTGGTGAATGATTACATACGGAGGGGTAAGGGTAAGAGCTCTTCAACTCTCCCTGGCTGGCTCAATCGGGTACGACAGTCAGAGACTTATTCAAAAAGAAAGCTCAAATTCCGAAAGGGTACGGGCCAGAGATATGACGAATTACTTCTTTAGGGGGGCAAGAGGATATTATCGATAGGAAGGAAGGAAAGAAAACCAGCTGGCATGTATAACTTTAGGATAGATAATAGTCGTTCTAGGTAGAAAAATCTCCAACTCTGCTCCGCTACTACTACTCAGCGACTACCTGTGGTGCCTTGTGCCTATTGGGCCTCATGTGCTTCACCTTTGCAATGTTTTCTACGCCAACCATTCCTCAAACCATTGGGGTGTTTTGGTATGACAAGACGGTCGATGTGGACCAGACACAGCCAGATGGAGAAACCGGCGTGACCACGTGATGATGATGAATATGGGGCATCCTGATCTTCACGATGTCGACCACTACACCACAGTTGCTACGCACCGGGGGGCCTCACTAATGTTACTCTCCATCCAAGTGGTGTCCCCTGCTTCCCATCACTGGGATATGCTATAACAAACCTGGACTAGTCTGCCACGTAGCACCCTGTGGACATCGTTTTCCCTTGTGATGTATCACGGACTAACATTCTCAAGGAAACAACAATGTTGGTTAGCTGCATTTCCCAGCCTGACTAGCTTGAAGGTTTCCCTTGAAAAACAAACAAAGTTTGTCAAAGCGTGTCTTGAGCGATAATAATGATGGTACTTTGGCTCCCCTCTTTGTTCCTTGCAAGGCCGGATGCAAACACACTCTGGGCTACACATATTTATTGATGACCAGGCATGCATGGCAAGGAACAAAGTCATATACTTGTAAAACCAACCAGCAAAGCTTCACTGGCATATTCTCTGAAGATTTGGCAGAGAAACCTTTGTTTCTTACAGAGCATACATCAATCAATGATGCTTCGCCCATAATCTATATAGACCACTTCTTAAACCCATCCTATTGTCGATTCAGTAAAGCTTCCTTTAAAATTCACGGCAGGCAATCTATTACATATACATGAATGATACCGTTTTGTGTCTTGAAAAGCACTGGAACTGCCTCTATCCTGAGTACAGAACAACTTTTACCACCACTCTGTGATTATCTTGAAAATCTATTTGAACACACCGGGCCAGGGACTGGTGCTGATGCTCTTAACATTCACTCGAGCAACAATCAAATTCCCTGGTCGCTGTGAGTGAATGGTTTCAATAGTTGGAACAACATGACACTTATCAATGACTGTAGTGAGTCAACGCAATCTACGAAAGGTGAAGAGAAACTCAGTATTAACTTTTCGTTCTCAGGCATTCACTTTCAAACTCACAATTTTTCACACATATCAGAATTCCATGGACCTATTTAAACCCACAACTCGCCCTCTTCCCCCCAACCTTGACCTTCCTCACCAGCTACAAAACATCACTCTTTTCCATACACAAACAGCTGCTTAATCCGACACTTACCTTCCAAACACCTTTCAACACCCTAATTCAGAGAGGCCATGTCTGCCATTCAACAAGCATCATCTGGTACCCAGGGCCAGGTAAGTAGAAGCCAGCATACACTCCAAATAGCCTCAACTAATTCTTCTTCAAGTCTAGGGTTAGCTTCTCTCACCTCCCTCCCCAGGTACGGGAAATGGTGTACCGCTACGCTCTTGTACGCGACGAACCCATCAAGAATGACGAGTGGCCACTTGCAGTTTTGATGCCTCCCGCTCTCGCGCAACTCAACAAGGAGACCCGCCGCGAAGTCATCGAGATTTACTTTGGCGAGAACACATTTCACCTCCACCTCAGGGCCAGCGACTTCGACCGCTGGAGCAAGTTCATCGGCTTTCCTCATCTCTACAATACGTTCCATGGCCTCCAGAAAATTGAGAAGGTTCAGTTGGAGATGGGACCGTCGGTCTACTTCAGCAAGCACACGAACCCCCTCATGCCTCCTCCTTTCGACTCTCAGGATAGGGCGGCAGTTGTCAACAGGATTGATGATCTTTGGGTACGCCTCCTTCTGGCTCCAGCTCGGGGGATGCCAAAGCCGATCGGTCCTCGCAACCATCTTTTGTCCAGGAATATGATGGCAGATTACTGTGCCAAGGTTCTCTTCCGAATCCTGGGCCAGTACTGTCCAGAGCTTCTGGAGGAGGTGACTGACTGGATGCATGAGGAGCCTGAGGGATGGTAATCGGACTATGATGGAACAGGGCATCATAAAATCATCTCTTTGGGCGGAAACACTACCTTGTATGGTCTTCTCAGGTCGGATGCCAGGTGTTCTTCGGTTGTAGGGATTTCTATGAGTTAGCAGTTAGTGCTTACAGGCTAAGAGCCTAGCTAGTCAATGCATGTTGTGCAACAGTTTCCCCGGGAATTCCTAGAATGATCCTCTGACTCATGCCATGACTGCAGCATTTAAGGAGTTTATCCAACAGCAACCGGAATTTGAGAAGGAAAGTGGCACTTTCACTACACGAAGCTTTCTTAGAAGACCCTATCTACTTTGGCACCAATCTCGCTCTCCAACCGCCTTGGACGGGCTGGGCCCCAAGAGCTGCGACTTCATGAAACTGCTCACGGCGTGGATAGAAGACAATTGAGGGAATCTGTACGAAGGCGCCGAGGAGCAGAAGGCAGGGGACGTCGTTTGACCGGAAACGATGTAATTTCTTATCCGACCAGGTGACGTTGTCGTATGGAAGGAAAAGAAGGACCTGATGGCTGTCATAGCGAAGCCATGGCCCAGTCTTATTTGGAAGCGAACTCCTCAGCTGGTCCAAACACTAAGCTACAAATGATAACACACCTAGTTGGCCATGGTCATCCGACAGTCGCGAGATGCAATATGATGGCTCTTTTTACAGACGGATAGAACACTCAAAGCCAAGACATTCAAAACCGAAGTTCCTATCCGGGATTTGAGCGCGAATCCACTGAGAGATGCGAGTGGTGAGTGGAAACAAGATCTCGAGAGAAGAGTACAGACATTTTGGAGTTGTTGAAAGAGAAGATTGGTCGCGTACGACGATGACCGCGATTTCTACGAAGTACGGACAGGCCGATCCCCGTACACACACGAAGCACTTTATACTGACTTCACCGTAATATAAAATAGAGCAGCGAACGGTTCATGGTCGACTTTCTCACATATGAAGAACTGCATTCGGACACAGCCACATTCAAGAGGTCTTATCCGATGATTGACAATCCTGATTGCAAGACAATGGAATCCGAGAGCCCACCACCTGCTTCAGATATATATATATTCCCCAATAACATCATCGGATAAAACTTGCGAAGCAAGAAATGGGGGTAGTCCTCTACTCACCTACTGGGTGCGAGGTTCGATCCCGGCTTTGGCCACTTTCCCCCCTCCCCTCCCCCCTACCCCCTTTTCCCTCTTTTTTGCCCTTGTCGAATTTTTGCTTTACCGATCGCCAGGTCGACCAGAGCTTTGTCATTATCTTTCACTTCAGTATTAGTTTCTGGGCTGCTTCCAATCTTGTTCTTTGAGCAGTCAACTCACGTTTCAAGACATGCTTATTTTTCACTCATCTATTCAATAAATCTCTTAGTGCCCGGTCTACCTGTCATATACAAGGGCAGTTACACTGTGAATTGAACAAATCCTACCCAAGAACCTCAACATTCCATCAAGGCGTCAGTACAACGTCCAACATGGCCGAGGAGGCTGTCGTGCCGGGATCTCAGCCCCAGGCCTCTAGCTGGTCTTCAGCAAGGCAGGCAAGACTTTCTCTCCAACGAGACATATCACAAATCATTGCTTAACCCACAACAGAAGCCAGGACGGAGTTTTATGGATTTCCCCAGCGAGATTCGTATGCAGATTTACTCCTACACTCTCTTCATGCGAGTGGCACCCTCCCCCCCCCCCCCCCGACGGCCTGGACTCTGGGCGTCTTGCGACCGCCTCCGCTTGCTCAGGTCAATCGAATGATTCGACGCGAGGCGACCTCAATTTGGTATGAGAAAGCCAAATTGCTCCTTCACATGGACACGAGAGACTCGCCCAGTTGGCTGGCATTTGCAGACATGCTACAGGAGGCAAAAGGACACGGGGCGCTCGCCATGGTCCAGGATATCTGGGTCGACTTCCTTTGCGACATGCGTTCGCCAGGCAACAGGCATGGTCCAGTAGGTTTGAGAGATATGGTGATGTTGAAGGCTCGCTTTTCCCGGGAGCCCAGATGTCGATGCAAAGGGTCCCCCTGCTAGGCCACCGAATACAACAGCCAACATACTACGCTTCAAGCGGCATTTCAAGCAGATGTTACAAATCTGGAGGAGATGGTTTGGGCCGCGCCTGACTATACCTGCATCACGGCCTGAGGCAGTAGGTACAAGGCTACATGGACCGACCTAACTCGGTCGATCGAAGGCGCACTGGCCTCGCTGTCGCTTTGTTGCCCGTCAGTACTTCAGCACACAAGTATCGAGTGGGAATGTCCATACATGATGCTGCGGGGAAGAGAGACCCGGAAGTGTCTCAACTACTTGAAGCCCGCCGTTCTTGCTTCAGAATGAGGGTCTATTGCCTCTACGATCAGACAGCTGTGAGTGCTGGGAAGCGGAAATATCGGGGTTTATCACCATGGCATGCGACGCTCGACCGGTGATGGAATATGCCGGATATCAGTGCCAAGGTCGAAGGTATTATTGCAGTCAGAAACTTAGTCTATGAGGTATTGCTGGGACTTAAGGCTATTCGAGCTATTATATCTTGAAGGGGTGGCTTCTACCTACTGAGATAGGCAGTTAGAATTAAGGAGTTAGGCGGTATTGAATCGATCTCAATAATCAGCATGGCGAGGCAGTCAATATGAGCTATTTGAGATGGCATCAAGATATGAAACACAATGCGCTTTGCTCTTCTTTGCTCTCTCCAAAGGTGTCTCTTCCAGCTGGTAGGGTAGGTGGGGGCCGGCCGCGCATAACAATAATAGGGTTGCGTGATGGTAGCACGGGGCAGACTACCTATTACTATGTGGTTGCCCTTCAAAGTTGGTATGAAGTTGTTTCAGTTGGTAATGCCAGATGGTTTCTATGTCAAGGCTTGCAAGCTCAATTAGCGTGAACCGCAACAATTGACCGCACCATGTTGCGGGGCAGCAATTCAATTGGTTACCAAGAAGTGTTGCCTCCCCGCACGTACAGTCTGCAGACATGTGTTGGACCTGAAAAGGAAATATAACCGATGCATTCTTCCTCCCAATAGCAGCTGGGCATAAATGAGGCACAGCAGGCAGCAACAAGCTCGATATGCCTGGTCTCTACGGCCTCCCAGGCCCTTTCCTGGCGACCACTCGAGTACATAAGATGGAGAGGACCTCTCACACTTTCTACCCACAACCTTCCTCAAGCAACGTGTGTTCAGTAACTCATCAAGTAGCTGATGATGGATTTAGATTCTGTTACCCTTTGTTCTTTCTGTTTGGTGCTGGTTGGGGAAACAAAGTACTTGGGTGATGCAGTACCGCATCACCCAACCTATGGTGCTTTGAAGTCGTCAGGCGCGTCGTGCGCCCTCTGTCAGACCATTGCATCACTATGGCACTTTGAAGAAAGCCATCTGACTCGATATGCAAGGACTGACAATGCGCTTGCCCTTCGGAGGGAAACATGGTCTCCTCATATCACGACACTAGCCAGTGAAAGGATGTCTTCGGGTGCCCAGTGGAGCTTGATGGGAGTGGATTTCTCAAACCCCAACACGGACCTCGCAATTCGATCCAGCTTCACAATTGTGGCATACAAACAAGGAGGTAAGTAAAGTATCTGCCAAGCAGGTTAATGCGCGATCGCCTCCTAATTGCGAGAAGATCCTCTGTCACTGAGACATGCGTGGGAGACAAAGACCTCCACGTACAGTCAAAAGATTTCAGCCCTCAGAACCTGGCTGCAGGAATGCCGCTCGCACACCACAGACGGCCATAATCACTGCCGCCCTGACCCCTTCACTCCACTGAGACTCATTCGCGTTGGGGTTGACGGGTCACCGCCCCGGCTGGTTGAAACAGAGTCTCGAGAAGGTCAAGCGGAATACGCAACTCTCAGCTACTGTTGGGGCGGAGAACTACCGCTCCGAACTCTGAAGCAGAGCCGAACCGAGCTCCTCAAAGAAATCCCTGAACAGTGCCTACCCAGGACCTTTGGGGACGCCATACAGATGACACGCGACCTCGAGATCCCCTACCTCTGGATTGATGCTCTGTGCATTGTTCAGGACGACGAAGATGATTGGCAGGAACAAGCGGCAGAAATGGACAGAATATACCAAGGTAGCCAGCTCACCATCTCGGCTGTCGATTCGACTGACTGCACCCAAGGCTGCTTTCCGGTAGACAACAGCGGGTGGCGAGAAGGCGAAATGTTCTTCGAGACCCCAAACTACGGCGGAGATGACTCCAGTCTGCTTGTCCGCATCTATCAAGGTGATGTACGACACCGGGCCTCGATAGATACTCCTCTTAGCTATCGAGGATGGACGTTGCAGGAGCAGCTTCTCTCGCCGCGGGTTGTATCTTGCATGCAGCCTGAAGTCCATTGGAATTGCCTGGGGTCATACCAAACAGAGTGCGGTCTGCAATTTAGCATGTCAACGATGGACCGTCTCTACCGTCACTCGAAGGGATGGATAATGCCCACAGCCACAGCTCTCAGAAGACCAGGTTCTTCGGGCAGTGTCTGGAGTCGTATTGCTAACAACTACTCCAAACGGGAGTTCACGTTCTCCGGAGACAGGATAGTAGCCTTGATGGGGATTGTACGCTACCTATCCACATGGTGGCAAGACGAGAACATTCTAGGATTGTGGAAGTCAAAGTTTGCCCAGGGACTGATGTGGATGCGCCGTGGTCCACATCCGGATCTTGATTCTGAATGCCTTACGAGATCACTACCGTCCTGGAGCTGGCTTTCGTGCTCAGCAATAGTGGAATTCGACTTCTGGAACTGGGATGCAACAGCCAAAGGAAATGACAACTATCATATCACATTGTTGGACCACGCTGTTTGTTGGACTGGGAACCCCTATACCTCAGCTGTCGACTTCGGTTCCACCTATGTTCGAGTTGAGGGATACATGAAAGATATTGAAATCACGCCTTGTGCTCGGGGAACGGTGTCCAACCCGCCTTTCTTCCAGGTTCTCGGAGAGACTTTGGACTTCGAAAACAATCCGAGCCCGTGGCGTTGCATGGGCAATTTCGACTCGGGGGCGGTGAGCGAGTCCGCCACGTATCCATGCTTACTCCTCCGTTCATGGCAAGCTGACGAGGAGGGATCCACGCATGAGATCTTTCTGATTTTGGAGCCAGTAGGGAAGCCGCAGGATGCGAGGTATCGCCGGATAGGTCTGGCAAGAATCCTTGGCGGACGGCCGACTTTTGATACCAGCAAGAAAGTGTGCATCACTTTGGTGTGAGCATTTGGCTTGAATGAGGGCACAAGGTCAAGACCGGGAACTTATACGGCAGGGAGCAGAGCTTTTTCTTAACTATGGCAAGACCTCTGCACCTACAGGATATGTAATTAAGCACGGATTTAGCTCATTTCGATTGTCACAAACTCTAGGAAGACATGGTATGAAACCGATTATTCACGGGTTGACAAGGCTATTGCAACGTAATATGTATTGGGTGGAAGTTTAAGCCATATCTCGTCAGTGAACCCTCTCTCAATCAGAAACTCCAAAAAGAACATGTAAAACCGAATCAGTCATATCTCTAAGGTTCAATACGTCGTCATGTCGCCATGGAAAACTCTAAGCAGCGCACAGGGTGAGGGTGACGTCGGCGTCGGCAGTGCAGGTCTTGACCTGGCTACCCGCGGGTGGGACGCCGTTGTCCCAGACGATGGCCGGGCAGTTCTGGTTGGCCGAGGCCTCGACGAGCTTGCTGCCGGCAAAGGCGTCGCCAAAGGTGTCGCTGAGGTCGTACCAGACCTGGGCGTTGTCGAGGCTGTAGGCGAAGATGGTCTGCGGCGCGCCGTTGTAGAGGCCGTTGGGCACGCGCGTGATCTTGAGGGCCTTGCCGCCGGTGACGGGGTCCTTGACGAACTCCTCGCTGTACTCGGTCTTGGGGTCGATGCCCCAGGCGTTGGAGACGCTGGCGCCGACGGACCAGAGGTAGACGGTGGTGTCGCAGTTGTTGAAGACGCGGGCGCGGCCAACAGCAGCGGCGAAGGGAGCGGCCAGGGCGAGGCCGGCGGCGGCGATGTTGAGAAGCTGGACCATTTTGAAGGTGGTGATGGGTAGCGTTGGTGGTTGATATTAGGGTATTATTAAGATGGTGTTATTGTAGTATTTTGCTGTAGCGAATGTTTCTTAGAGTGAACGAGTGCGTTGCTGTCTATCAGATTTCGTGAAAGAGGCGGGTGATATCAGTCCTTTTTATACCCGAGATGGTCTGATGTCGAACCCGGTTCATCGTCACCATAATTTGTATGCGATATTGCCTGACGTCTTGGCTCAGTGACGATCCCGGGTTCGGCACTCTGCCGTCCACACTCTGAACGCTTGGGCCATGTGGCTCAAAATAGTAACCAGACTTGCCAGAGTCTTGATGCCTAAGTCGACTGTCATTACAGCTCTGGGACCAGGATGGCAAAGATTGTTATTGGTTGACGGATGGAATAAGGCCTGGGGTCTTGGCTCATAAACCCCGAAGCTGCCGATCCCAGAGTTAGGAAAGCGGCTTGGATACGAAGCCGAGCCCTATGTACACATGTTTGCTTCGTTGGTCACGCTTACACGGCAAAATAGATGAGTTTCCCAAGGTGCGAACGGACTGAGATTGGAGGGATCTCAGGCCGTCGTCCCATTAGTGTCATGTGAATGCAACAAGGGAACATAAGAAACCTGCATGTCGACTTAGCGAGGATCGTCAGCCAAGCATTCGTATTCAAGTTTTGTGGAGAAGCATGGGGTCTGCACACCGCCCTGTAGCTGTGTTCCTCACGCGGAATCTGCGGCTGGGACCCTTGAGGACGTTGTAATATGTCCCTTTTGGGCATGGCCAGAGGCGTGCTCTCCCGGCACTGGGCGTGATGGTGACAGCGGATTCCCGGTACAGATGCAAAATTGCGGGGAGGAGTTGGCCGCAGCGCTACAACGGTGCCTGTGTCATGCCGTCCGATGCCGAGGCGTGTGAAATCTGACATGGAGACTTTGCTGGCATGATCTAATAGATTGCTGTCTCACCACATCAAGCTGATTTACTTTCCTGATGCTTTGATGAATGTGGTTCGACCCTGGGCCAGGAGGAATTGCTGCTTACGCTCGGCCGCATCACATCCACGGGACGTCGCAAAAACCTGTTTCTGGAGGGCATTCCACCTTGGGCACGTAGGATTCGGCTCATTCGCGCCTCAGTATGGCCAGGGCAAAGCCATGCCGCCAGGATTCGTTGAATCTGGGGCGAACTTCGCTCAATATTTCTAGCTTGAGCCAAACGGTGACGGCTTGGGGTTCAGAAGTGGATCTTCAGTGGATCTCCCGTCAGTGACAGCGATTTTCCCCGGGTTATTATTTCGCACATCCCCTCAGCCTCCTCGGTACAAATCATCATCCTCAGCTGTCCTGGTTAGTTAAGTAACGTAGCTCGGGGAGCGGAGAATTACTCCAGAGCAGTCCTACAGGCGGGCGCTCTCTTTCAGTGGCGAAGTCTCTGTAGTCAAGCCGAAGGGATCGACAGTTCTCAGCAGCCAGAGCGAATCGTATTTCCGCTGTCAGCAGGCCGCCGATCTCCTCGTACAGCGGATGCTCGGCTATCATCCAGTTTATGTTTCGAATGCTTCTGGAAACATCGGCATCCCATACGTATTGCTTGACTTTGCTACATTTCGACGAATCTTTCATGTTCGCAGAAGCCTTAGCTGACAATAGTTACAATAACGAGGCCCTGGGTCTCTCGTGGTAACAACCCATTCGATGTCGAATGTGATACCATGGCAGAGATATCCTTGGCTAGCAAGACAGCATCACACTACAAGCTCCTTCGATTATCCGCTCTACACCTTCCGTTGCTAGTATCTCATAGTGTGTGCCACTGCCAATCATTTCGCCCTCGTGAACAAGACTTGATTTCCTCAAGAAGGCTCGCACTTGTCCCATGCGTCGCACCTCAATGCCAGAGGGCTTGATCCCGGTCCATTTGCCATCCACGGGCTTAGTGATCCTGTCACAAAACAATACCAAACATGCACTTCAAATGCTCGATATTTTCTTGAGGGGATACTCAACCTCCCTGATAGGTTGTTCGTCAAAGTGCCTTCAGGTTAAGGAAGTACGTAAAGAGGATCTGCAAGCTTTGAGGTTTACGAAACTAGCTTCTCGTCAACTAGTATTCAAGGCTATAACCCCATCATACAAACAGCATCTTGCCAGTAGACCTCCCGTTCTTCCCTGAGGCGACCACAATGATCATGGACTTGTCAGGGTCTGGGCACCCGCGCTCTTCATCCCTACCTTTCCACGCGCCCAGCGAGCCAGTCTCTGCTTCCCAGTTACCCTTGGAGATCTTGACCCCTGCCAGCTCATCACCATCGACAAAGACTCGCAAACCCGAGATTTCATCAGCAGCCACGCTGCCAGACAGCCGGACTTTCTTCTCTCCTGGGGCGCCAACAGCCTCGGCGCCAACAGTGAGCTCAGGAGCCGTGCTCCCAATCTTGCCTCCTCCCGCAACAGACTCAATCACATCACTCGCCAGGGCCGGTGTCCGCGGCGGTGCCTGCCGCAGCGAGCCCGCCTTCTCAAAGGCGTATGCGTACCGGAACAGGTTGCTATCGTCATACGCCTTGGACGCAAACGTCAGGTTGACGGGCATGCCCCTGTCGCTCATGACGCCCATCGGCACGCTGACGGTGGGGATGCCAAACTGCCGGATCGCGCAGTTGCCGTTGGAGTACAGCACGCCGTTGCGCCACGCCTCGACCGCGGACGCCTCGTCGACGTCGGCGTCCGCGGGGCCCACGTCGGCGTTGCACGGCCACACCAGCGCGTCGAGGCCCAGGGCGTCCATCCAGTCCTCGTAGTCGGCCTTGCGCTGGGACTCGAGGTTCTGCAGTGCCGGGCCGAGGTTGGGGATGGAGTAGGTGGCCGGCCTGTCTGGCGTGATGTGCGCGACCACGTCGGTGTGGCGGACGAGCGGGTCCGCGTCGTCGTACCTGTCCTTGAGCGCGCCGGGAGGACGCGGGAAGATGGTGGACGAGTCGACGGCGGCCAGTGTCGTCGCTACGCTGGCGTCGCCGTTCGCGGCGAGGAAGTCATCCCAGGAATAGGCCATGAGCTGGCACATGTCGATTTCGTTGCGGTGAGGCGGGGCCGACGACTCCTTTTCGGCGGGCGCGTTGGGGTCCGGCTTCTCGAACTTGGTGACGAGCGGGAAGTCGACCTCTTCGATGGTGGCACCCAAACCTTCGAGGATCTTGCGGGCGCCTTCCCAGAGGTCGATGACGGACTGCCGAGTGTACACCTTCCGTGCTGTTGGGTCAGAGTCCTGCTTGCCGATGTACATCTTTGGCACGCCGATCTTCTTGCCCGCGAGAGCGCCCGCATCAGCCAGCTCGCCGTAGGAGCCGGGGCGCACGGTCTCCACGTCGGGTAGCTTGACATATGGCTGGCCGCGCCAGAAATCGCATGAAGTATTTTCGTCCTTGGCAACGATGACATCCAGCAGCGCGAACATATCGGGCACAGTGCGCGTGTGCGGCACAACGACATCGCAGGTCGGGAAGAGCGGCCAGTTGCCCCTAATGGAGATGACGCCCCGTGATGGAGTGTATGCCACCAAGCCATTGTTGGAGGCTGGCGACCGCCCGGACGAGATGGTCTCCTCACCCATGCCGAAGACGCCCATACTCGAGGCCGTGGCGGTAGCCGAGCCATTGGACGAGCCTGAAGCGAAGGCAGCGGTCAGGAAGGCCCCGTTGTAGGGCGACTCGGCCCGGCCGTAGACACCGCGCTGCATGCCACCCGCCGCCATGGGAGGCATGTTGGTGCGGCCCAGGACCACAGCGCCGGCCTCACGAAGCTTGCGAACGGTGAAGGCGTCCTCGTTAGCGACGAGGTCCTTGAACGCCGGGGAGCCGGCTGCGGCAGTCATGCCCTGCATCTTGTACGAGTCCTTGATTGTGCAAGGAATGCCATCTAGGGGGTTCAACGGGACTTGGCTCGCGGCCCGTCGACTGTCGGAGGCTTGTGCTGCCTCGAAGGCGTTCTCGTTGATGATGGGAATTGCATTGAGGAGGGTGTCGCGGCGGTCGTATTTTGCGATCCGGAGGAGATGTTTGGCTGTCAGCTCGACACTGTTGGTTTGTCCGCTGGCGAGGGCTGATGCCAGGTCTGCGATCGTGGCTTCCACAATGGAAAAGCTCTGGGAAAGTGTTAGTCAATTCTATGGGGTTTCCACAGTGGACTGGAGGCAGTTCCTAACCTGTGTTGGTTCGATGGAGCCCATATTGAGTGCTTTGGATTGCTAAGTCGTCTTGATGATTATCACAAGGATGAAGTAAAACCGCTCAGCGAACGAGCATGGAACACCCAAGATATAGACTTCATTTTATCCCAACATCTTTTGAAGTCAATGATTGATTGCATTTTACAGCTGCTGAACAAGCACATCCTGTTGGATTGGTTTATCATCAGCGGCAATTTTGACACTGGCATCTAATTAGCAGCTGGTAATAAATCCGGCGCTTTCAAGCGCTTATCAGTAGGGGCATGGTGAAGAACAATCACACCATCTTATCAATACTTGGCGAAGGAGATTGATCACTCCTTTCCTGAATTAGTCAAAGTGCTGGTATACTGAGAGAACAACTGTGTCTGGTCTCGAAATATCTATATCATGTCGCGGTTTGCCGCCTCATCAAGCCTACCCAGATTCGACTGCCGCTCACTGCACTCAGATATCACTGCTTCTGTACACTTGCCTGTCATCATGACACAAAACGCTGATCCCGACCACATTCCGGGTACTGTGTACCTGGTCGACATCGATGGCCATGAGACCTCCGCCCTCCACGATGCCTCCCACAAGGACATCGTGCTGATCCCTTGTCCCAGCTCCGACCCGAATGATCCGCTTAATTGGACATATCACCGCAAGCTTCTTGCCGTGAGCATGGCCTATCTTTATGTCTTTGGAACTGGCATTGCGACTTCTCTCCAGTACTCCGTCTTGGCCAATATCACAGCCGACACTGGCATCAGCACCGCGAATCTGGTCCAGGGAACCGGCGTCATGTTCTTGTTCTTCGGATGGGCTTGCCTAATCTGGCAGCCGATTGCCCTCACCTACGGCCGCCGCGGTGTCTATCTCATTACCATGCTCCTCACCATCCCGATGATGGTCTGGACTTCCTACTCTTCGTCTTCGGGGGAGTGGTTCGCCCACCGCGTCCTGATCGGCATCATCGTCTCGCCAATCGAGTCCCTCTGCGAAGTTACCGTGTTCGACCTCTTCTTCGCGCACAATCGCGGAACATACATGGGCTTCTACGTGTTCATCCTGTTCGGGTCCAACTTCCTGGCCCCGCTGGTGGCCGGCTGGTTCAACGACGCGTACGGATGGCGCTGGACGATGCACTTTGGAGCCATTGTCTGCGCGGCGTGCTTCGTAGCCATGTTCTTCTTCATGGAAGAGACGATCTACTTCCGAGACTCAAGCATCGAGGGGGAGGCCGAGCAGACCGACGTGTCCCAGGCCCACAGCCTCAGGGACGGCAAAGGCCCGCACAACTCGGAGACCAAGACGACCCCGGCTTCAGGCGCAAATTCGACGGGAAGTACCACCAGCGCGTCTCTGCCTCGGAACATCAACGCCGGGTGGGGCAAGTACACCCTCTTCAAGGCGCTCCCCGGCCGGCCGAGCAACCTCGACATGCTGCGCATGGCATACCGCCCCGTCATCATGATCTTCCGGTTCCCGACCGTGGCTTGGTCGGGCTTCCTGTATGGAATCAACCTGGCCTGGTATAACGTCCTGAATGGGACGGCGAGCCCCGTCCTGACGGGGGCGCCGTACAACTGGTCAGCCGCTCTGGTCGGTTGCGTGTACGCCGGGCCCATCATCGGAGCCGCGATTGCCTCACTCTGGTCCGGCAACGCGGCAGATTGGATCGCCCTCCGATTTGCAAGACGCAACAAGGGTGTCAGAGAGGCCGAACATCGCCTGTGGGTTTTGGCAGTGTCAGGCATCATCTCCGCTGCCGGTCTGATCGTCTGGGGCGTCGGAGCCTACCACAACATCCACTGGATTGGCCTGGTCTTCGGCCTTGGCATGCTCACGTTCGGCTGCGTCACTGGCGGTTCGATAGCAGTGAGCTACAATGTCGATTGCTTCAAGGAGATTGCCGGCGAAACTACGGTGTCCATCATGCTGATCCGCAACACCATCGGCTTTGGGTTCAGCTACGCAATCACGCCCTGGTGGACAACACAGGGACTGCAAAACTGCTTCATCACAGCAGCTATGATCTCCATTGTATGCACTTTCACCTTCTTAATTATGATCGTCTATGGGAAACGAATCAGGCGGTGGTCGATCCCGGCGTATCACAAGTACATGGCCACCGCGGCCGTGGCACAGGAGTGATGGTGCAGGGGTAGAAGGAAACTGCGATTGAATGAGTTGAGCGTTTTTATGGTCTCTATCTAGTTTTCCTTTTGTTTCATTGCTACCAGCGACTATGTTTCGACGTTCTTTTCTCCGTGCTCTGCGTCTTCTTGAGTCAACTCTTCCTTTCCAGGAACAAGGAAGAATTGAGCAGAGGGATTCAGCCTGGCACTTACTCAACAGTGTAGGACAACGTGTGACGGCTACATTCAGCGAGGAGCAACTAGAATACAGAAGATCTAATATACATATCTACAAAGTCACTTCCGCCAACCTGAGCAACCTCTCTCCAGCCTCAGCTGCGGAAGGTATATCATGCTGCAACGTACTCACCAGGTCCCCGAGGAACACTATCAACCGCCTCGCTTCAGACCTGTACTGCCCATTCTCGTAGCGAGACGCATTACAGAGCATGTGTCCGACACCCAGTATCTGGTGCACGATCTGACTGCTCGCTATCCTGAACATGATGAGCGGCACCATGGCGACCTCTTTCAGGAAATTGTCCGCGACAGTCATCACCTCGCTAGCCGGCGCCTGGCAGTACAGCAGCGCCATGATGTTCACCAGCGTCTCCATGCAAATGATCTCGACCGCCATGTACTTGCACCGGTTGCTCTGAAACGCGCTGTCGGGATCGGCCAGGAGGATCCGAGGCTTGGCGGCCTTGAGTCGGTGCAGACTGTCCAGCAGCGTCGTCGGGGACGGGCGGTCGAGCAGGCCGGCCAGGATGGGCTTGCGGTTCTTGCACCCGCGCAGGCTGAACATGGCGTACTCGAGCAGCCGGTACAGGTCGGTGATGTAGTCCCACCCGGCGGTCCAGGCCTGGGTCTCGGGCTCCATGGCCGGGGTGATGCGGGGGTAGAGCACAAAGACCTGCGACTCGGGCATCCGCACCACGTGGCCCAGGACGCAGGCCGAGTGGATCTCGAGGCGGTAGACGCACCAGAACAGCCGCCGGCGGTCGTCGACGTCCGACAGCGAGATGTCGCTGGGCCAGCGGGACTCGTCGTGGAAGCCGTGCTGGGCCACCAGGGCGTGGTACAGCCCGAGGTAGCGGTGGAGGTCGGTGTGGTTGCCGCAGCGCAGCGAGTAGACTGCCAGCAGTCCAAACGACCGCAGGTAGTCGAGATCTTGTGACTGGGCGATGCGCATGGGGATCTTGGAGACGGCCTCGAGAAAGTAGAGATCACTGTCGTGCACCGGGGGGCCATCGATGAGTGCGCTGTCAAACACGGCTTTTAGAGACGCTGTCTGTGAGCTGACGGCACATAGAGCCATCAACAGCATGTATGATGGTTCCTCCGGGCCCGGAATACTGTCCTCCCAGCGTGTAAGGAGGTCTTTCTCTGGGAGGAATGGGAAGCTGACATTGTGTGAGTACTAGTGACGCTCAATAGAGTAAACCTTCGGGAATGGTCATACTAGCATTGATACATGGTATCGCGATAGATCCGAATCAACCGCCTTACAGCCTCAAGCGATCTGTAACTCGAATCCTGGACAGTCTCACAAGATCCTTCATCCTTGGCCATATCCACCCCCGCTTTGGTGGACTTCCGGCCTCTCTTCTTGATGGGGCGATCCATCGAGCATTCGACTCCATAATCCGTGCATGTCAGACAGCCTACTGCAGCTTCGTCGGCTGAACTGCTACTTCGGCGGCACTTGAGTCCTCTGCCGTGGCAGAAGTCACAGGCTCTCGAGATGCGCTGTCTTTGTCGCTTTGATCGTGTATCCATTCTTTGAAGCTGCCTTCACTCCGTCCCATGAAGACGGCTCATTCATTGAGAGATGACTGAATTATCAGTTGCAAATCCAGAGAGCAGCTGGTAAAAAGCCCAGATATCGAACTAATTTAGCAGCTGTTAAATACCCTTGAATGATAAGACTTGTTACAAAGAAGCTAGCGCCGACCATTCTTTATCTCGATAAGACTGTTCTGAGCACTCGACACGCCGCCATTACTTGATGGATGATCGATAAGGGGTTCCGGCAGTTACTAATGCCGAGACGATCACCATTTCAAAGTTGAGGAGGCAGGTTTGCAAGCAATGTTCAACCACCTTGTGGCGTGTTCAAGTCGGTAGCAATCTCGAAACCGTAAGGCCTTCCGGTACTTCCTTCGAGTGTGAAAGCACAGTCCAGACTAGGATGTCACCACACCTACTTGCCAGTCATTATTGCAGACATGAAGATGCTTGGGAAAGAGCCAAGCTCAAATTTGAAATTGTAATGGACAAACAAACTGAGGTTGAGAGCAACGAACCAGCACAAAGAGTTGCTTCATGTTCACTGCCGAGTCCATCGTAGTCTCCACATTAATCGGAGGTGCAGCCCGATCCACCCCCGACTTTACCCCGCCCCTGCATCCTCAACGGAACACCGCTACGCAAAACCGCGGAGGTTGCCGGTGCACATACAGTTTCGTCGCAAAATCAGCCAATAGGCCGTCAGCTACAGTGTCAAGACTTGGAAAGACGCCTGCTATGTCCCGAGACAACAACGCGATGAAAGTCGCCCTCGTGACCGCATCCTCGGCCGGCCTCGGCGCCGCCATCGCCAGGTGCCTGGCCCCGGAGATGCGCGTCGTCATCAACTACGCCTCCAGCGCGGACCGGGCCGCACAGGTAAAAGCAGAGATGGAAGCAATCGCCGAGAAGTACAGCAGCAGCACCACCACCAGCAGTAGTAGCGATGACGGTCCCCGCTTCGGCATCATCCAAGCAGACCTCGGCAAGCGCGGCGACATCGAGCGCCTGGTCGCCGAGACTATAGCGATGATGGGCAGGCTGGACGTCGTCGTCTCCAACGGCGGGTGGACGCGGGTTAGGGAGTTCCGCGACCTGGATCAGAACGTCGACGAGGAGGACTGGGACCGGTGCTTCGACATCAACGTCAAGAGCCATCTGCACCTGCTGCACACGGCGCGGAAGTACCTCGACGAGGCCAAGGGCGCGTTTGTGACGATTGCTAGTACCGCTGGAGTTAAGCCCAGTGGAAGCTCTATTGTGAGTTTTGGCAGCTTGTCTTGCCGGAGCTCATGGAAGTCGTTGGTAACCTGGTGTTCATGTCCCTAGCCATATGCTGTCACGAAAGCGGCCCAGATCCACATGGTCAAGTGCTTGGCCCAAGCAGTTGGGCCCAATATCAGGGTGAACTCTGTTTCGCCCGGTCTGATGATGACGGTAAGAAGGACACGGGCCTCAGCTCACAAAGAACCAACAATGTTGCTGATGCCACCACAAGGATTGGGCCAAGCAGTTCCCGCAAGACCGCCTTGAGGCTATACGGAAAGCCAACCCGCTCCAACGGGTCGCAACTGTCGAGGTAAGCGAAGCAGATCCTTTGTTGATTGGAAACTCGGCAATGATCTCTAACTGTATGTGCACTCAGGATGTCGCGGAGACTGTCAAGATGGTTGTAAACAACAGCTCGATGACCGGCCAGAACACAATTGTCGATGCGGGCTTCTCCGTATGAACATTGGAATTTAATCTTGAAACAAGTAGAAAAATAGATCATATGCAGCAATGAAAAGAAAAAGTCATAAGTCATATCTATGTATCTATGTACAGAAATCAAAGTTCATGGCTCGAATGTACGTGTCAGGTATGTATGCAGTAATATCCCACGCTCCCCACCACTGAGCTCCCACCAACCACTCCACCTAACCAACGTCCAACATCCACCATTCGTCAGACACTCCTCTCTCTCCTTAATCCTTCTTAGCATGACCCATCCCCTCCTGAGCATCCTGCACCTCCTCTACCCGCGCCTGAACGCCAACCTCCTCAACCGGCGCGCCACCGCCGCCCACAACTCCAATCGGCTGCTGCTGTTGCTGCTCCCCCACCGGGCCGGAGACCTCTTTTTCCGCCGTCCACGACGAAGGCATCATGATCGGATCCGCCTTCTGGCCCCTGAGCACATTCGCCCTCGTGTTACCACCGATCGGCATCAGACCCTTAGCAGCGCTCCCGACCCTCCGCGCGCGGCTCGTGCCCGCCTTGAGGCCCAGCGGGTCGTCGACGAACTCGACGGCCAGCAGGAGGCCCGCGACGAGCAGGAGGCCCGCGACGACAAACATGCCGCTCAGCTCGAGCGCGATGTAGAACTTGGCGCGGTACCGCAGCAGCGCGTAGACGGTGCCCGAGACGAGCAGCACGACGAAGAGCAGGCCCGGCTGGCCCACGACAGCGCAGACGACGGAGCCCCAGGCCAGCGGCCAGACGCACGACGTCGCGTACGAGTACACCTGGTAGCCGAGCGTGGGCAGGACGAAGAGGTGGCGGCGCAGCAGGCGGCCGAGGGCGATGTGCTCGGCGTCGCCGCCGAAGAGCAGCTTGCCCGCGGCGATGAGGAAGGCGACCGTGCTGCTGATGCGGTCGAGGATGTACGACGCGTTCATGAAGCAGTAGAGGAGGTAGCCGACCTTGACGGCGTGCATGGCGCGATCGAGCCAGAGGGCCTTGCGCGGGTCGGCGCGGCGCAGGGGCTCGACCGTGGCGTCGGGCCAGCGGCCGCAGTTGACGGCGATGAAGCCGATCATGCAGCTGCCGAAGAGGTCGACGAGGTACTTTTGCGCCTGGTGGGCGAGGATCCACGTGTAGCTGACCGACAGGGCCTGGTTGAGGTAGACGTCCGGGTTGGAGAGGGCCAGGCGCAGGTCCTCGAGCGGGTGGTAGAACATGTAGGTGCCCAGCCAGGGGACGAACATGCGCCGCAGGTGGTTGAGCAGGACGGCCAAGAGGAAGTGGACCACCGCGACGCCGTAGCCGTCCGAGAGGACGCCGATCTTGGTGTTGGGCCACAGGTTCGCCATGCCGGCCGTGAAGGCGCCGCCGCCGAAGCTGTCGAGCGAGCCCATCATGCCCGAGCCGTTGAGCCAGTTGACGACGGGAGAGAGGCGTTTGCGGTAGAAGCGGCGCAACGCGTTGGGGATCAGGGGCGAGACGTGCTGGAAGGGGTCTCCACCGGAGGCGCCGGCGGGGATGGAGGCGAAGGAGGTGGTTCGTTGAGAGAGGGTACGCAGATCGTTGAGGGTGAAGGTCGAGCCGTGCGTGATCTTGGCCTTGGTGTTCTTGAACCGCTCCACGGCCATGGCGGCGTGCCATCGCATCTTAGTGAACTGGCTGGGTTTCTGATCGGCCGGAGTGGGCGGCATTTCCAGATGTTTATCAGACTTTTGCTCCTTCGATTCGGACAGGGTATCTGCTTTTCTTAGGCGGGATCTGATTAGTTGAGCCACCTGGTAGTTAGGATCTTGGGGGTTGGTGATGTCAAAAGCGTCTGTAGTGGTAGTTCCTCTGGGCAACTCATTCCAGTAGGGGTAGCTCGCAATGCCCTCGGCGAAGTTGGCCATGCTGACGAGGGTATCTATCGGAGACCAGTTTTCAAACTCCTTCGACAGCTCCTCATAGATCGGGGGCTGAGAGAAGACGACACAGACTTCGCGTATGTTACGCGCGATCCGTGCATAGTCATTGACGAGATCCCACTCTGCCTGGCCGAAGTAGGTGCTTGACTTGCGGATCAGATCGTCAACAAGAAGCGAGCTAGTCTTGGACACGGTGCTGCTGGAAACGGCGTGCAGGGGTCGCCTTTCGTGCTCGCTTGACTGGCGATCGCCTCGAGAGGCTTCGTACAGACTGCGAGCAGATTGCAGTACCCGGGAACATCCGTAATTCTGAACGTATTTCGAGAGAGTCTTGATCGGCTGCTCCAGAGCTAGCTGTGCTTTGCCCACGAGCGCCACAGACTGCATGTAGTCGTCCGACGCGGGGAAAGTGACGGGGCCAGTGATGAAGTCGTTGAGGGTCAAGAGAAAGGCCAGGATGTCGGTGGAGATGCAAAAGACCATGGAGTCCATCATGGTGGCCATGTGCTCGTTTGAGAGCTGATACTCGGACAAGGACAGGTGCTCGCTCCAGTGTGCCCAGGCGTAGGCCACGAGCGACGAGGCGGTGGAGTTGTTGTGGACGTGGGAGGTGCGCATGACCGAGCTGGTGCAGACCATGAAGCAGATACACGCGGCGATCATGTGGGAGTCCTTGGGGTTGAAGGAAAACAGGCCCATGTCGCCGTCGAAGTCGAGCGCGGTCATATAGGCCGGCAGGTCCGGGTCGGTAAGGGAGGCAAAGTAGCGTCCAGCGTTGTCAGCGCGGAAGGTGATGAGGTCGCCGACAAGCCCCTTGATCAGGGCCATGGCCTCTGCGTCGTCCACAGTCCTAGTCTCATCAACGTAGGACTCAACGAACTCCACGTTCATGTTGCCCTCGATAACAATGGCCATCCATAGCTCGGCGGCACGGACGGGCCGCAGGGCGACGGCGAGCCACATGAGGGCGGTGCGGATCTGGTATCTCTCGGCCTCGACGACATGTGTTTGCAAGAGCCGAGTGAGGGCCGCCTGGAAGCGATCATTCTTTTCCGTAGCGATCATGGTTTGTGTCTGCGGGAGCGGATGAGCGAGCGAGCGCGTGCTCGGTGCTCTGTTTCGTCGGGGGGTGTGGATGGTGAAACGCTACAGCAGGGAAGACGAGCCCAGGGTATTGTACAACGAATATCGAGACCAAGCGCGCTGTTGGTGATGTTGTCACCACTCCAAAGAAGCGAAGGGGAGCAGATGAGCAAAGCTCACAACCATAGACAAGTCTCGCGAGTGAACGGGAGCTCTTGACATGGTTGAACGACGGGATCTTGGTAGGTTTTATCGAGACAGCAAACTAGCTGTTTGCACCACCCGCCTGCCTAAGTCCGTCCAGCACAGCACAGCGGACCAGCTGCGGGGCCGCTGAGACCACAAGTGGACTCACCATATTTCAGCCGCGCGCAGGTCTAGCGTGCTGGACCAGGATGAGAGGTTTGCAGATGGCATTCGACGATGTAGGTGTGCACGTCTCTCCCTCTCCTGACCAGGACTTTGACAAGTGCTGGGCGGGCCCGTTCCGTTGACAGAGCCAGTCACACGTGCAGGGTAGGCCGGAAATGGTGCTGGATTGCTCCGTTTCTCCTACGCCTAAGCTGCAAACGGCATGCGCTGCTGCACTTCAGAGGAGGGAGGGACGATCCTTTAGCGGCGCGTATCCGACAGGGCCGAAAGAGCACAAACGACCTCAATCTTCAGTGATGCTAGCGAGGCACCAGGCCGCGATTGGAGAGGAATCTGCCTTGAACAGGTGACTGCGCCTCCGCGGCTGTAGCTGCTGTGGGGTTAGTGATGCTGTGCCAGGCCGCCAAGAAGCCGCTCGCGACCATTGGCAATTTAGGCCTGCTGCGGAATCTCCGGCCTTCCTGATGTGATGAGCTTTGGGTCTGGGGCAGACGGGTTGCTCTTCGTTCAACACTGGACCTGATGATTCAGTGTGCGCGTAAGAAGAAACAAATGGCCAGGGTACCTGTGGAGATTTTCCTCCAGGGTTTGTTTGTTCAGCTCGCAGCACCCCGCTGAGTGCTGCATAGAATAAGATGGGGGGACGTTGCATTTACTCCCGCAATCCAACCGGATTCCCGGCGAGACAAGATTAAACCGAAAGCCGGCCAATAAACCTCAGTTCTCCATCAACGAGGCGGATCACGGACGCCATGCCGTGCGCCGCAATGCTTGATTCTGCAAAAACGCTCCTAAGCCGTTGGAGCAATATATCTAGGTCCGCGCCTTGAGGATGTAAAGAAGATCGATGGTTGTTTGGTACTTTGCTAGCTGCTTGCGGGTCTCCCACATTCTACTAGGCTGGATAAATCCAAATTCGGCCACGATAATCCAAGCAAGTCCCAATTAGTATAGTGGCTAGTATGCAGCCTTGTCACGGCTGAGACCGGAGTTCGATTCTCCGATTGGGAGATGTTATTTTTTCATCTTTTTTTTTTTGGTTCGATTTTCTTCTTGTACTGCCTCTTCTGCCCGACAAGCATCCTTCTGTCTGCGTTGGGTATCGCAGGAAGCCTTGCTCCGGTTTCAATGACAGTCTTCTTGTCAGCCAATGGACTGGTATGGCCAAGGGGCTGAAGTCCAGTGGCCCTACCCAGGTTTCCCTCGGCGATCACACGAGGCATATTGGCACATACAAGTGAGAACTACAGAAGAATGTCGACCCGTTGCTGGGTCTCGCCTAATTGTGGCTCTGGTGTTCTGACAGGGAAGAGATGGCTCACATCGTATTCGAGTATTGCTCCAGACCTCAAGATGGCTGGGAGTGAAACAGCATGGCCAGGGAGTACATTGCTGGTCGAGCCGACAAAGGTTTTTTTTACAGTATGCAACTCTGAGTCAACCGCGCAGAAACTGATCTACAAAATAATAGAAGTATCCATCGACCTCGAGCATATATGTGGCATTACCAACAACTTTGAAGAGGCCTGAGCAATGCCGGTATGGCCAAACTCCCAAAGCTTGTCAATTGCATGTACGCGTGGTCTTAAAATCATGTATATATATGCATACATAAGGCGTCTCTGGGAGATCTCCAACGACCACTTTTCCGATACATTAACAATCGTATGGCAATGTGCAGACCAGAGCCTGGACTTCATGGACTTCAGGTAACGTCCACAGAGAAAGGGAGGTCTGCGCGATGGCGTCATGTCAACGGGTACTCGAACTGACAAAGTTTCGACCACCCCGCACATGAATCGATGCCTTCAATTCTGGCATCTAGACTCTGCCCTCGAAAATTAACCTTGGAAAATGCATTGACACTGGCCACACTGATTGGAGCTAATTCTTACTAGCAGATCCTTTGCTGTCGTTTGCCCTCCTTCTCAGTCAAAACGTTGGCTAGACTGCGAGATAGCGCGGGCGAAAGTGGAAGACCTCAATATGTTTGCTTTGTTTCGAGCCAGCCGGGAAGTTCATTGGTCCTAAGTGCACACCACCAGGCCCGGCCGGCATGCATGTGAGACCTACATCCTTTCTATTGATACACTAGTCCCCTACGGGTCCAGTTGGATCCGAAAACGTCTGGCCATCCAACACCCCGAACTCATGGGCGCTCGGCGATGCCAAGCGAAGCCGGCCCCATTGCTTCAGCGTCATGGGGCCGGCCTGTCCCACCGTTTGCCAGTGCTTGAGAATGCTTAGGCATGTCTTACTTCTGTGCACCTTGCTTAGCTGAGGGCCCTCGCACCGCTTCTTGACTTCCAGTGAGACAGGAGAGTCTGGTGGGGATTGCCGGGTTTCATGTCTCTTTCAAGTATACGATTCGCATCGAGTCCTCGACGATCCAAACAGTTCCATGCCTAAGAAAGCACCGCATTAGTGCTTTCGAAAAACAGGACAGTTTATATCCAGTCGATGCGGCATGTTTTCTGTACTCCTCGTCTTCTGAATATTGAGCATGTCGCCTCACAGCTCATCCATATAGTCCTCGCGCGAGACGACTTACCGGCTTAGATTCGGAGTCTAATTCCCTTCCTGTGAAGAAATGGCCATGGCCACCGACCATCTATCCTCCAGAAGTTCAGAGGACCAGAAGGAATATGGAGCTTTCAATGCCAGCACCGCACCCGTCGTCGTGCCTCCTCTCGGCGAGCCCGCCGGCTCGAAAGAGGAAGATCACTGGCACGGCCAGAACCCATTCGTGGACCCCGAGGTCGCCGCGCGATGGAGGCAGACCTACGAAGACTCGAAATACGAGTGCCGCCACGTCTTCGATCCAGCTCTGACGTGGACGCCCACGGAGGAGAAGCGACTCGTCCGTAAGCTCGACAGGCGTGTATGCCTTTGGGCGGTGCGTGATACTCCCTGGCTGCGATACTGATCCGACAGTGGCTAACGTCACATCAACTCGTAGTGTGTGATGTTCTTCGCCCTCCAGGTCGACCGAGGCAACCTCGAGCAGGCTCTGGCGGACAACATGCTCGATGACCTCGGGTTGAATACGAACGGTCAGTACATGCATCCCTATGTGCTCTCGCGAACCGTGCAGCTCGCATGCTCATAACACATCAGATTACAACTATGGCAGGACTGTCTTCCTGGTCTCCTTCCTCATCGCGGAGTTACCATCTCAGCTCGTGTCAAAGAAGATTGGCCCCGACAGGTGGATCCCAATCCAGATGGTGCTCTGGTCTATTGTTGCTGCCTCACAGTGCGCACTGAGTGGCCGGGCATCATTCATCTGCTGTCGTAGTCTTCTCGGCCTCCTCGAAGTCAGAAACTCCAACTCCAACCTTCGTTAGATGTATTCGTAAGTACTGACGCAGCTTAGGGCGGATTCGTCCCAGATATCATTCTGTGGCTCTCCTATTTCTACACTTCCCACGAGTTGCCAATCCGCCTCAGGTATGTGACCGCTCCCGACGCACGCACACACACCAATACTCCCATCCAAATATGCTGATCATATCTGCCGTGGCCCAGCTACTTCTGGACCGCCCTCTCCGGCACGACCATCATAACCTCCCTCCTGGCCTTCGCCCTCCTGCGCCTCCGCGGCGTCAACGGCTGGGGCGGCTGGCGCTGGCTCTTCCTCGTCGAGGGCCTCATAACGCTGCTCGTGGGCATCGCGTCCTTCTTCCTCATGCCCGCATCGGCCGTGCAGACCAAGGCCTGGTACCGGCCCGAGGGGTGGTTCACCGACCGCGAGGTCGCCGTCGTCGTCAACCGCGTCCTGCGCGACGACCCGTCCAAGGGCGACATGCACAACCGGCAGGCCATCACAGCCAGGCGGCTGTGGGAGGCCCTCAGGGACTACGACCTGTGGCCGCTGTACGCACTGGGCCTGGTCATCTACATCCCCGTCACGCCGCCCGGGTCCTACCTCACGCTGACGCTGCGATCGCTTGGGTTCAACCCGTTCGATACTAACCTACTTACTATTCCTTCGGTAAGTGCGAGCTTACTTGATGAGCAGATGCACTGGTATTGGGAGTTCAACTAATCTTTTTCATGTAGAGCGTGGCGCACATCATTGCCCTGCTCCTCCTCACACGCCTCTCCGAGTATCTCAACGAGCGGACTTTTGTCTCCATGATCCAGAGCATCTGGACGCTGCCATGCATCATCGCGCTCGCCTTCTGGCCAGGGGTCGTCGTCGACAAATGGGGTACTTATGGTCTTGTGATGGTTCTTCTATCGTACCCGTACTGCCGTAAGTCTGGACTCACTTGCCTACAAAGTCTGCTCATGTGTCGTTGCTTCAACCCTGACATGCTTCGACTAGATGCCATCCTGGTAGCTTGGACTTCTCGGAACTCGAACAACGTGGGCGCGCGGGCCGTCTCGGCAGCTCTATATAATGTAGGTCTCCTTTCCTTGGCCCGAAGCACCAAGTCACTCGCAGCGTCCTCCTGACAAAACTACATCAGATGGCGGCCCAGATCGGCATGATCATATCGTCCAACATCTACCGCAACGACGACAAGCCTCAGTATCGCCGCGGCAACCGGAATCTAATGGCCATCAACTTGCTTGCTATCGTCCTCTTCCTCTTTACCAAGGCGTACTATGTGTGGAAGAACAAGCGTCGAGACAAGATCTGGAATGCCATGTCCAAGGAGGAGCAGACTCACTACATCCGTCACACGAAGTTGCAGGGGAGCCGGCGACTTGACTTTAGATTTGCTCATTAGGAGGGGAAGTGTGGTCGAGCGGAGAAGCATCGCCACATCTCCGTGGTTCACTAGGCGTGCTTCGTAACACTATCATATGTTTTGTGCTCATAGATCTTTGTCGTGGACAAGCGATGCACAACTCTCAAGTTCTAATGCCCCCAAACCTATGTCACCTCCCGAGATAAATCGGACTGGTACAGTCTTGGATATAGAATTTATGAGCAATATTATTTTCTCCTGTGGCCAGATTATCTTTCATGATCTCTCTCTCTTTCTCTGATGTCCTCTCGCAACCCCCCATCTGCAAGGCAGACCGCAAGTCCGCACGACGGCTGGCAAGCAAATCCCGGGGTGGGTCAGCCGCCGCAGCACCCCGCACTACGGAATGCGCCCGGCGCTACCAAACACCGCCTCTCCAGCTAACCCCGCCGCCTGGAGACTCAAGACGTCAATCAATCTCACCCTGAGCTTGACAGGCCTCCGATACATCCAGCATCACTCACACCGACACATCTACACCCTGGCAGAGGCTCCGAATCACAAAGGACTCTCAATTCAGGGAGGCAAAAAGCCCAGTGCCTACACCCAAGCCACACATCTTAGCAGCCCCTCTCGTTCCTCCCATCAGCCCACCACCACCCGGTCCGGTCCCCGTCCCCTCCCACCTCAGCCCCAAAGACACTTACTTACCTACCTACATTTTCCCAGACAGACACGCCATGTCGTCAGCACCACCACCCCCACCCCCGGACACAGCAGCAGCAGCAGCAGCAGCGGCGGCAGCGACGGACTACCTCTTCCCGCCCGCGCTGCTCGGCGGGCCCGAGGCCCAGCCCACGGCCGCCGGCGCCGACCCGGCCGAGGGGTACACCGCGCGGCCGCTGCGGCGCTCCGACTTTGCGCGCGGGTACGTCGACTGCCTCGCGGCGCTGACCTGGGTCGGCGACGCCTTGGCCGAGGAGCAGTTCCTCGCGCGCTACGACGAGATGGACAGCGGCGGCAAGGGGCCCTACTACCTCGTCGTCATCGAGCAGCGGGGCCGCATCGTGGCGACGGGCTCGCTCATCGCCGAGAAGAAGTTGTACGTTGCCCCCTTTTTTCTCTTCTTGTTGGCTCCCTCCCACTCTCACGTATTTCCTTCACTTGTTTTGTGCCGGCTGATACGGGTGGGTCATTGTCAAAGCATCCACAACTGCGGCACCATAGGCCACATCGAGGAGATCTCGGTCCTGCCGGCCTACCAGAAGCGGAAGCTCGGCAAGGCCATCATCAACGCCCTGACCTGCCTCGCCGGCCAGATCGGGTGCTACAAGGCCATCCTCGACTGCGGGCCGCACAACGTGCCCTTCTACGCAAAGTGCGGGTACGTCAACGCCGGGGTCGAGATGTCGCGGTACCTCGACGACGAAGGGGACCGCCGGGGCGACTACTACCGTGGGTGAATGAAGGAAGGACACGGCGAAGGGCCGGATCTGATGTTTTGATCAGGGATTGGTGTGTGTCATTGACGACATCCAGATTAACACAGTATTTACAAAGCAATCACGGATGGAAGTCATCATGTAACCCCGAGAACAGACGATGGCACAAACAACACTCCTGCCTAGACACTGTCTTTGTTATGCTATCCTGCCTGCGGCCAGTACCAGTCACCCACGAGGGTTTGCTATCTCCATGCGTCTCGTCTGTGCTTCTGCAATCTCTCCCCCTCTCTTCCTACTCCTTCGCAGGAACATATCTTTTCGGACACCATCTCCGTGAAAAATACAATCTCGGTTCACTTGTTTCTTTGCCAGACTTTCCAAAAACCCGTGCCGTGGGGATCTCTCGCTCAGACCAGCCCCAATGCATAAAAAACGCCATGAGAAAAAGCAGTATCAAAAAAGAACACGGCCCCAAATCATCCGATGGGGGCGGTCGTATGGTATGCCTCCGGTCCAATCTCGTACAAATGAAAAAGCCCTTCCTCATCCTCCAATCTTTCACACCTCCAACTCTCCAAGACACGCCGTGCTACTCAAAACACCACCATACAAGGCACAAACCGCTCCTCGTCCTCGCCGGACCCCTAGTCCGTCTTTCCCCCCTCGGCCGGCAGCCCGCTCTCCAGCCCACCTCGCCGTCGTCGCGATCCCCGACACCATCCCGTCCACTATCCAGCACGGTTCCGGAGACTGCTCATACGCCCGAGCCACTTGAGCTTGTTGCCGCCTGCATGAGCAGGCCCTTCGGGGCCGTGAGCGCCTCCGACGTCCTTGGCGCCGCCGTCCTGCACCGCAGGCTGCTGCACCTCCTCCGCTGCCGGCATCTTCCCAACCGCTTCGCCGCCAACCGCGCCAGGCATACTGCCTCTCCGCGGCGGACCAGGCACCCTCGGATTCCGCAGGATAGGAGGTGGCGTCGCGCTCGCAAACTGGTCCTCCTCCAGGTCCCGCCTGTTCCCCCAGCTCGGCACGCCGACCATCGGCACCTGCACTTCCTGCTGCTGCTGCTGAGCCACAGTATTAACATCAGGCTGCGTAGCCGCCTGCGGGAGGGAGTTCTGATCATGCGACCCCGATCGGCGGAACAGGTTCTTCAGCCGGCGCGTGGGGTTGGGCGGGTAATACGACCCCTTCTGCGGCTGCTGGTGCTCCGCACCGCCCACCCCGACTGGCTGGCTCTGCGAGAACGGGAGACCAGTAGTTCCCTCATCAGCACTGTTGCGCCGCATCGGCGGTGGGCGCGGCGCGTTAGACCGCACAGGAGACTTGCGCAACTTGGCGGCGCCTGCATGGGTCGCTTTGACAGGCGTGCCGGAAGTCGACCCCGTCTGCGCATGCAGGCTCGACCGCCTGTTTGGTGGCGGAGGGGGCCTGACCGCGCCGTCCGGGCCAGGAGAGGCGAGGCCCGCTCCAAACAGACCCGCCTGCGGCGTAGGCAGAGAGTCACCCAGGGCGTCGAGCGCGTCCGACAGCGGCGCGTAGCCGGCGCCACCCAGGTGCCCGAACATGACGTCCGTGGCCCAGCCGTCGCCCGATCCCACGGCCGGGAAGGAGAAGAGGTCGGGCGACTGGTGCGCGTTCTTCTTGGCCCTGAGGTGCGCAGCCGGCTGTAGCTGGCTGTTGGGTTGCTGCTGCCCTTCGCCGCGCAGGCTCTCGCGCATCCAGTAGTCGTGCAGCGAGGCCGAGTCGTTGCCGTCGATGTCGTCAGTGCTGTCCGAGTCCCAGCCGTCGTTGCGGGCGGCACCGTGCCGCGACACGGTCGATTCATCGGCCGAGTGCGGCCGGGGAGGGATGGGCAGGCGGTTGTCGAAGTAGCTGCTGCTCTTCAGCACGCCGGTTGTGCCGCCGTCGCGCCGGCTGCTAAAGGCCGAGATGGAGGGGTTCTGGGCGACGAGGGGCGTCGGGCCGGCGCTCCATGCCGCGAGGGGGTTGTCACCGCTGGTGGAGCGAGATGTGGCTTCGGAAAGCGCAAGATAGCTCCGCTCGTTGTTGGCAAAGGTATTATCTCGCGAGAGCGTGTCATTGGAGTTCTTGTACCGTCTAAGGGTCGACGTGGAGATGGTATCTGGGGTCGGCGGGAGGTTGTGTGGGTTTAGGTCTGACGACAGAGGCGGTGCGTCGGTCCGGACTTTTCGCAGTGAGACTCGGGGTCGCCTCGCCGGCGGGTATCCCGAGGCCTGCTGTTGTTCGGGCTCCTCGCTGCCGGCTCTCGAAGCCTCGTTCATCGCAGCGAGTGACTTCTCCATTTTCTCCAGGCGCTGCAGAGGCGAGTAGTTCATGTTCTTGTCCATGAGCTCGGTGATGGATGAGAAGTTGCCGGCGGCATTGTTTGAGGTCACTGATGTCGAACGGCGAGACCTAGTCGGCGTCTTGCGGCTCAACGCGCCCGAAACGTCACGCGATGCCGGTTCCGATGCCCCATCGACTCCGTCCTGATCTTGGCTAGATGTCGATGGTTTCTTCTGGCCGTACACACTGACGAAGGAGCTCTCGCTGAGGATGCTCATGCTCGGGCTGCCCATCATGTTTGCGGCCTGCTGCTCGTCAAACGTGTCCGACGACAGACGCGGCAGGCTCAGGACGCTCCCGATATTCCGGTTGCTCAGATAGACCTCTCTCAGGTTTTCCGTCGTCTCGCTGTATTCTGACAAACAGCTGGGCATCCTCGCGAGCGTGTTCTCCTTGTGCTTCATCTTGGGCGTGGCGGCCATGTCGGAAACATCGGGCGTAGGGTAGTAGCCTTGTTTGTCGACTCGGCGTACCATCTCCCGCTCTTCCAGCAGTTGGTCCAGCCTGCCCTCAAGAGTAACAATCATGGCCACGGCCTCCTCGACGGCCTTGTCGCGTTTCTCCAACTCGTCCAACAGCTTGCCATTCATGGCGTCCCAGGCCTTCTTTTCCACCTCCAGCTTCTCGATTCGTTCTTCCAGTTTGCCCTGGGTTTCGCGTCGGTAATACAATTCGAGCTTTAGGTCAAAGTTTTGTTTGTGTAGGGTGGTAAGAGTCTGTCAGGAAAGTAGTAGGTCAGTCACTTCTCCTTGTTCAGGATACAAAGCATGATCGGGGGGAAAGACACATACCTGCTCCATCTCCTTCAGTCCCAGACCCTTCTTTTTGGAAGAGCCGCCTCCGCTCGACTGTGGCCTCTCGCCGTCCGTCGTGTTGGCTCGCGTCGGCGATATCCGTAGGATGCCGCTGTTCAGCGTGGTATCGGGCCCGTTGCTCATCCTGCTAGCCGAGCGCTCGCTGTCGACCTTTCTCTCACGCGCCAGCTTCTCCTGGAGGTAGCTCGACACGGCCGACCGCGGCTCGCTGTGCCTCGACTCGTCCGTCGCCGTACCGCCTGACACCCGCGACCTCGGCCGGTCGCTGCCCGAGGAGACGGACCCGCGGCGGCCGGTCCCCGAAGGGTGCTCGAAGCGGCGCGCCAGGTGGGCATGCTTGAGCTTGGGCGAGGCGTTGGCCAGGTCGCTGGCCGAAGAATTGCTGCTCTGGAAAGACATTTGGGGGTTCAACCGCAGGCCGTTCCTGGAGCGTGAGGAGCTGGGAGGGAGAGATGGAGGGCGTGAGCGACCTCTGGTCGGAGTCTGGCCCTCCATCATGACAAAAGGTCAGATTCTGGGGCAACAGCAATCCCGATCCCTGCCTGACACGGGGCGTTGGTGCTCCACACCGTCTGTCGTCGTGTGCGAGACCAGACAGGCTGTCGGCCAAGTACCGAAGAAGCGGGTATCTGCGTGTCTCGTCTCAGTCAGGGCTGTGCGATGCTGACAGAATTGCGGTTGGTAACGAGGTGTACGAGTACCGTACTGTGTGTTAGGCACGGAGGTGTCCACCTTGACGGGGAAAGGGAGCCAGACCAAGGCAGAAGACGACGCCAGTCGGGGGTGATGCCTGTAGGGCGCAATCTAGGTAGAGTGTGGAAAAAGGAATGAAGATGCGGCCGCAACCTGCCCGGGGGTGTGTGGGTTCACCGAGATATAATTATCGAGGATTTAGCAGGGGCGGAAGGTGAGCCGGTGCTTTGGCGCAAAAGGTGTTGTGTGTTGTGATGGTAGGGGGCGCGCAAATGTGACAGTCCGTGGGCGCTTTGGACGCCCTTAACAGAAGCAATATGTATGGGTCTGCGAACAAGCCCCCCGGACCAGGTTTCCTTTTGCTGCTTTGTACATGTAGCAAGGGTCGATTGAACCTGGATCTGCGGCGGATCAAGGACGAGAACAGCTGGTGACCAGGTATTAGATATTCCTTAGGTAAGTCCTCGTTTGATGTCGTGCAACGCAGAGCATTCACCGTGGGCTGCCAAGTGAATATTCAAGCACAAAGATCAACAGCGTGGAAGTGAATGAACGAAAACCAGTTGCTCCGATAGAGCCAACAGCAGTAGGTAATACAATTCACTAAGAAATGGAATCATTCATCGCAAAAGCAGCGCGGATCCCCCGTCTTGAGGCGCCCCAAGAGTGCAAGCAGCCGTTGAGAGGGGCAACAAGCAGCAGGGACATGCGATCAAGGTTGATAGGTGCTGAGAGGCTTTGAGACATCGGCTGGCATGTAGTGGCGACGGCGCATGGGCTGCTCATGGCAGAATGGACCATTCCTCTGCGTGTGGTCTCGCCCTGTGGTTGAAGTGGTGGAATGAGTGGAATGCGGGCCTTGATGACGGGCCAACAAAGAAGGTAGTTAGGTAGAAGCAGTGTATGGAGCAGATGCTGGACAATACGCCCAAAGAGCAGCAGACACAAAGCGAGTACCGACCGACCAGCAGAGCAGTACGTCATGCAGAGTAAAGAGGTTGCAGGATCACGAGGCCGGGGGGTGGTGGGTGTGGTGGGTGGCGTCTTGCAGGTGGTGTGTGCCAGTGGGTGG